ACCTCCTGGCTGAGAGTTTCTGTGGTCGTGCTGTAACTTCCCTGCTTGACATTAAGAATGGTTACGGTCAGAAGGAGATTGCTCCCGAGTCCCGTGACTTGACGGCTTTTAACACAGATTTTGGCTCCTATCGGTTAACGCGCCTGCCTCAAGGTTGGTGCAACTCTCCAGCGGTGTTCCACCGTGCCATGCTGCGCGTACTTGGGCCCCTCTTTCCGGATCAGGCTGTTGTTTTCTTGGACGATATTGGCGTTCTCGGGCCTAAGACTGACTATGGCGGAGCCATGCATGACGACTTTCCGGGCTGCCGCCGGTACATCGTCGAACACATGGACAACCTCATGGCTGTGCTTCAGAATCTCTATGAAGCGGGTCTGACTGTGTCTTTCGACAAGGCCGAGCTTTTCGTCAGTGAGGCTGAGTTCCTCGGTTTCCTCACTACCTCTGAAGGCCGCTTCCCGTCCCCTGGCAGTTCCGAGAAGATCGAATCTTTCGAGTTCCCCACTACTGTCCGTGGTGTGCGCTCTTTTCTCGGTGCTGTGGTGTATTTTCGCATGTGGATCCCTCATTTCAGCAGTATCGCTGCACCTCTGTACGACTGCATCTCCGCTGCGCAGAAGGCTGGCAAACTCAAGATCACCAAGACCGAGGCCACCGAGTCTGCTTTTATGGCGCTAAAAAAGGCTATGGTGAGCCCTGCGGTTCTGCACCGCTACGACCCCACCTTACCTATTGTCATCACCACTGATGCGTCCTCCCTCGGATGGGGCGCAGTAATGTCTCACATCGTCAGTGTTGGCCCTCCGGCTGCCCGTCGCCCCGTCCGTTTCGAGAGTGGTTTGTGGAACCCCACTGAGCGTACCTACGCATCCACCAAGACTGAGTGCCTTGCTGTAAAACGTGCCTTGGAGAAGTGCCGTCACTATGTCACTGGCGTTCATTTCGTGATCGAAACTGACAACCAGGCCCTGGTTTTCCTACTGCAGCAATCCCGAGTTGAACTCCCTAACGCTATGTTCACCCGGTGGTTTGCTTACATCAAACAGTTTGATTACGAGGTTCGATTTGTTAAAGGCCGAGACAATCCAGTGGCCGATTGGCTGAGTCGTGAGAAATTTTCTGACTTCCGACCTGTCGATTTTCGCCCTCCTGTTGCTGATACAGCTCGACAAGCTGATGAGCTTGCTCCGCTTGTGCCCCCGACTTGGTCCCCTGTGGCCTCCATCACTGTCCTGTCCATTGGTCCAGAGCCCGTTTTCATCCACAAAGGCATCTCTCTCGATCTCATTTTCACCACCATTGCCTCCGGCGATCTTGATCGAGATGGTGTTGACATTCCGCCTAGACTGCGTCAAATCTGCTCTGAGTTCTTCATTTTTGACGACATTCTCCTACTGATCAGCTCACCTGGTCTCCATCGACGTGTTCTCTTCACAGAGAAGGAGGTGTCTGAGGTTCTCCGAGCTACCCATGAACAATATGGCCACCGCGGTGCTGCTGCCATCCTTCATGCTCTCCGTCGCCTCTATTACTGGCCGGGCATGGCTGATCACGTGAAGTCCCATCGTGCATCATGCGGCACGTGTGCAAAAGCCACCAACCATGGTCTTCTCAAGGCGAGTCTCCACTTCGTGGTTCCCCGTCTCATTTGGGAGACAGTCCAGCTGGACATCCTCTACCTTCCCGCTGTTCATGGTCCCACCAAGGAGTACCCCGATCTGGCTGATCCCGCCAAGGCTCTCGCTGCTCAAACCACCCTCACCGACTTCCTCCCCACTGCCCCTCAGTTCACTGATGTTTCCTCTGCCCCCCGCGGACGGCTAAATGTCACTATTGCCCCTACCAGTATGTCCTTGTCGCTCGTGATGAATTCTCTGGCTGGCCTGAGGCGGTGCCCTTACGAAGTATCAACTCTCTCTCCACAGCCGCTTTCTTCTACGATTTCATCATTGCTCGTTTTGGCGTTCCCCGTCGGGTCTACACTGACGGTGGTAGTGAGTTCAAGGGTGATTTTAAGCATCTCTGCGAAGATTTCCACATCAAGCAGGTTTTCACCACTCCTGCTCATGGTCAATCGACTGGCATTGTGGAACGCGGTCACCAAAACCTCCTCCACTGCCTGCGCAAATACGGTCGTCAGTGGATCTTATACCTCCACACCGCCCTCTGGGCTGACCGGTGCACCCGTCGTTCATCCACGGGTAAGTCACCTTTTGAGCTGATGTATGGTGTCTCTGGTGTCTTGCCTGTCGAAAGTCGTTTCCTGACCTGGAATTACCTCAGTGGCAAGACCGACCTGGCCCACAACGACCCCGCTCATGCTGCTTTTCTGCGCACCTTGCAACTTGCTGCTTCTACTTTCGAAGTTGGCTCTGCTCGTGACCACCTGACCCTGCAACGCCAGCGTCAAAAGGCGTTCTACGACAAACATCACAACACAGCTGATACAGATCCCTTGGCCGTAAATGATTTCGTTTTTGTTCACGACCTCCGTCCCCACAACAAGCTGACTCCTCGTTGGACTGGTCCCTCCATCGTGACCGCGTGTCACCCTGAGACCAGCACGTACACTGTCAACGATGTTGACGGTGAGAACCCGCGGCGTATCCACCGCAACCGCCTCAAGGTTTTCCACCCCGCTTCCATCGTTGAGTTCCAGGACCGCATGAAGGAACATCAGTCCCGCGAGTCTGCTCTCCCTGCCATTCCTGGCCGCTTTTCTGCCTGTTCTCCACATGTTCTTCCCCCGGCTTCAGTGGCTACTCGTTCCGTCCGTTCTGCAGCTACCACTGCGTCGACTAGAGTTACTTCTCGGTCGAAGCTCGCTCGTGTTGATTCTGGGCTTGCTCAGGGCTCCTTCCTTGCTCAGGGCCTTTATTCTTGATTCTTCTAACCAGGGCTTCGGGACGAAACCCCGTTAGACCTGGGCAGGTGTAACACTCGCTCTGGAGAGTTAGTCATCCGACAGGGTAACTCTAATCTCCCAACACCTTATTAACTCTGCGTAACTGTAACTCTTCTTGCCACGTCGATCTTACTCAATTTTCCTGCTCATCATCTGCTGGATTGTTGTCTATCGTCTGGCTCTAATACATTTATTGTTTATTGCCCAAACAACTTTCATTGCACGTAAGTGAATTGTTTTATAACAGCGTTCGCCAATTGCTGCGCCATCGTCGTCCGGCTGTCCTACCGTTAGGGGTAGTGTGTCTCACACTACCGAGGTTACTAGAGTTGGGAAAGCGATACTGCCTCGGACACACCACCTGGGTCTTACGACTGCAGAGAGAATCGGCGTTACCTCTCTCACAAAGCCCTTCAGTACCGCCGCCTGTCGGGAACCGCGTTCAGGTGGAACAGGACCACCTCCCTTGCACTTCTTGGTATATCAGTATAGGCTGATGTATTCATAGTGGGGTTTTTCATAATAAATTTACTAACGGCAGGCAACATTCACTCGGCTTAAACGCAAAACGGACCGTCTTGATATCTTCTGACGCATTGACCACCGAGAAATAGTGTTAGTTACCGGGTGAGTTATTGTTCTTCTACACAGGCGACGCCCATCGTCTAGAGTTGATGTACTAACTCAGATTTCACTACCTACCCTATCCCTGGTACGCACAAAGCACTTTATTTTCTCACAGATGGTGACACAGACAGAGAAGAGCCACAGACAGAGGCGGGAGACACAGACAGAGGGCACAGAGCTCACAGAGAGAAACGAAACAAGCGAGAGGTTTGTTGTTGTTGTTGTTTTTTCGAGGAGGAGTTGGAAAAAAGGGCGGCCAAAGACCGACTTGTGGGGGGCGTGGGCAACAACCGGTCGTCTCTCTCTCAGCAGCAATGTAGCGGGTGTTGATTTGGGTGTCGTTGACAGGCAGCCATGTGATGGGTGGGTGTGAGAGATGAGGTGGTGCTGAAAAGGAAGGGTTTAGGGTAATCATGGTGGCACGATATGGCAACACCCCAGAGGTCCTATTCGAAACGCTCCTTCACCACAGCTCAACACCGCCTACCCCGCATCGTCACACCAGCTCTCCGGGTCACGAACAACGTCTCTGCGGCAAGTGCCAGTACTAACACAGACCGACGCACAAACGCACGCACGCGCTACTACAAGACACTCTTCCACAGTGGCAACCTGTCCACAGACACACAAGTGAGTATCAACGCATGGAGAGGGCATGAGGGGTGACGGAGGCGGTGGTGAGAAGGTGGAGATGATGTTTTGGTCTGGGAAGCTCTGACGATGCTCCGATTTTTGCCGCTCAGCTCCGGCTCAGTTCCGAACACTGGTGACACCTTCAACCCCCGCTAGCTCTGCAGCTAAAATCCGGGCCAACAAACGCGGCTAGAGTATCATCACCTTGGGTCCCACGCAATGCGTACGCCTTTCGGACCTCAATATATACGTCCCGTAACTAACTCAGCACACACAATCCACACACTATTGGCCAAGTGAGTACATCAGATGGGGATATAAGCATCTGAAGCAAGCAAGGGAAGCTGGAGAAGGAGCAGGAGAAGACGGAGAAGACAGAGCAGACAGAGCAGACAAGACGGAGCAGATAGATAAGGCGATCGTTCAGGCTGGGTTACATGGTGACGTTCTTGGCTGAGCATGGACGAGCAATCCTACGATGCACAACCACGCCAACACGGTCTACAAGATGAAAGACACAAAGCATACATCTGCTCGCAGGTGCGAGGCACGGAATCGTGGAAGCCATTACAGACACTTGACGCCCTAGGATATGACGCCTCCGACAACCGATGACGACTCCGACAAGGAGACAACTCGAGGCAGCAAGCAACCAAGACATGAGTGCAGACACGACTAACAGACACAACTGCTCGACACCGTGCCCCCCTGCAGTCTACCATAAATACAAGTGCCATTATCAGTCGCGGTCTCTCGTCTTGATCTCTCGCACAGCTCTGGTACAACTCCAAGTTCCAACTACTCCTCCGCGCACCCATCCCACATACTAACCTAGATGTCGACACGAAGAGGCCCCTGGAGTTCGGAGGAAGATCTCCGTCTGCTGTCTCTGATCGACGACCACGGCCCCACCAACTGGGTGCGCATCTCGCAGATTCTCGGATCTCGGACCCCCAAGCAGTGCCGAGAACGGTACCATCAGAACCTCAAGCCGTCACTCAACCACAGCCCCATCTCCGAAGAGGAAGGAATCTACATTGAGCAGCTGGTGGCTCAGTATGGCAAAAAGTGGGCCGAGATTGCGCGCCATCTCAACGGCCGATCCGACAACGCCGTCAAGAACTGGTGGAATGGAGGAGCCAACCGGAGACGGCGAGCCACCCTAGCTGCACATCAACGACGACCCACCTGGGACTTCGGCGCCCATGGAGGCGGACCTGGAGGACCCCCTCCCCCACCACCGGCCACACACGGTGTCCCCGGCATGCATGGTCCTCCTCCCGGAGTGGTTGGTCATCCCGGAGGCTCTCCTCCCGACGGTGGCACCACACTTCCCCCCATGACGCCATACCACTCCACCAACCCACAATACAACCGGCGGCTCTCACTGCCCAACCTGGCACCAGATCATGTGCCGCCACACCTATCCTCTCACACGGGACATCACGGACACAGCCATAGTACATCTGTGAGTCTCGCGGCGAGCCACAGCAGCAGCTACGCCAACAGCCACGCACACACGCCTGAGGAACGTGAGTCACACCATCTGCCGTCGCTGGTAGCTGTTGGGGGAGGGGTGGGCGCACCGCCTCCTCCTGCCCCCGGAGGAATCGTGTTCAACTCCGCGTACACGGATTCCGCCGGATCAGCTTTTAGCGGCAGTGGAGGAGGTAATGGAGGCGCTGCTCCGGGCCCGCAGGGATCTTCAGTGGGTCCCACTGCCGGCCCCGGGCCCGGAGCGCCCACTGGAACGTCCCCAGTGTCGACCCGTTCGCTTCATCATCTTCCTCCCTCCCGATACAACCGACGACAGTCAGCCACCACCGTGTCCACGGGCTACTCGTCGTCGCGACAGTCGTCTATTGGCGGCCTGTCTTCTGTGTCGGACACGGACGATCCGTTTTCGTTTGGATCGTCGCTCAGCAAGTACTCTCTGGGTAACAGTGCCAGCAACTCGCGCCGAAACTCGCACGTTCCCACAGCCACCGCCTCATCGAGCTCCCTTGATCCGGGTGCTCCACATCCTGCTCTGCTGCATTCGCGTCTGCATCAGCTTAGCAACGCGAACAGCGTGTCCAGCAGCAGCGTCAACGCGTCATCTCCAAGTGATAGCGGCAGCAGCAGGCCTCCCAGCAACCGGGGAAGCTTGTCTGGCCCCACCGGGCCACCTACGATGAACCTGGGCCACCGCCATAGCGTCACTGGAGTGCAGATTGAAAAGGACAAGGAGGGTGGAGGAGAGAAGTTGAAGATTTCCAACTTGTTGAGTTAGGGCTCATGAAATGCCGCGCAAAACACTTAATAGCGGTTACACATTGTATAGTAATGTATTTATTTATATGGTAGGTGGGCGATGATCAGAGCAAAGCAGATGAACCATGCTACATTAGTAGACGATATTTTGTACACTGTACATGGGTACTTGTAGCCGAGTGCGATTCACGAAGCATCTTACGAGTGCAAGTATAGCTGGAACACATTTTTTTATATCTATATACTTGTTTCATCACTCTTGGCACCCCTATTGCACTTTTCACCCGCACGCTAGCCATATAGTTCATGATGCTTGGACAAGACGGCCATGGACCATCCTACCAGAAGGACAGCGGCGAAGAACATGTTGGAGAAGATACTGACGGTCCGGGGGTTGGCCATGGCGTTGGTGGGTGGGGTGGGGTTGCGGACCTCCCTGGACATGGTGAGGGTGACGTTGATCATTTGGGTAACCACCAGAGGGAGGCCCACAATAATGATTATGAGGTTTAGCATTGTGGATGCGTATCAGAATCTGGGGTATCGGGAATAGAGAGGTATCGTTGTCGACGGGGTATCTTTTTTTGAGCGAGTCGCGAATGGTTTGGTAGGTTGTGTTGTTTGTGTAGCTGGGGTGTTGAGGAAGAAGAACAAAGTAGTTGGGAGCCCACGGTGTTTATATAGATTCCCAAGTAATGTTAAATGGGATAATTTGAAAATGAAATTAAAATTAAAATTAATATATATATATAAATTAAAATTAAAAAAATAATAAAAATAATAAAAAAACAATAGCAAGATCTTAGAGAGAGGTAATTGCACAAAAGACGGCGATTTGAGTGCAGATTGAGTGCATGTTTGCGATGAGGGAGGAGTTGTTTCAAAGTGCATCACATTTGCGGGAGTGGAAATGACGTCTCTGGGGAGCTGGTGCTACATTGTCGGTAGAAGGCATGATGTCCACGGAGACGCTATTCTGATGAGTTCACCGCATTCAGGACAAAAAACTCTGCAAAACAATGCCATATAGTTCCCCCTCTTTGCACAATGAAACGCTCTCGGGCGTAAAACGGACTAAATCCCAGTGTAGGTTACAACCATCAGAGTGCCGCCCGTTGTACAAGACGCACAATCAGAAACGTAGAAGCGTTGGTTTTATCGCTAGTCGACTGACAATACTGTTTGAAGCACGTGTCTCAAGTCCTCGTAGCTCGGCTTGTTCTAGTAATTGGTGGTGGAACAAGGTACAAGGCACGGCGGTCGACACTCAGACTCTGTATGATGAAGGCTCTTGTATGGAGGAGGTACCGTACATGCATTGAATGAATTGCACGTCGGAGGCATTTTTCAACTTTGCCAAACGTTTTCATATCGGTTCTTTTCCCCTTAATCCATCTCCGGGACCTGTGGAACGCACCCATACACTCGGTTGCAACCACGTCTCTGGCTGAAAAAGTAACGCCAACCTTTGACAGGCCAGTAAAGGGCCTTTCATGAGAATAATATTGTTTTCCAATTAGCCAGGTTTCACTTTGGAAAATATCCACACTTCTACAGGCTCGAGCACTTACTCAGCCATACCCTCAAGATTTAGACTTGTAAACCATGCTGGGCAACTTGTTTCAGCACACTTCCCCGAGCATGCAAACAGGAAATGCGCAGTCAAGACTTGAAAATACTCACAAAAAATACGTCGTAGTGTCCCTCAAGCCACTTTTGTCGCCGGCTTTTGCTTTTTTCCGCCCAGAATCTGCCAACCCCGCATCGCAGTAAAGTTGGTGCTAGCGGAACCATCGCACCAGCGTTACATCGGAAGGGGGGAGGGCGGAGAGAGGAGAGAGGTCTCGTGACTGGAGCCGTTTCTGTAGAGTCACGCCTTTTGAATATTTGTTTTCTTCTGTGGGAAACAAGTCTATGTGTGTACTTGTTCATATGAGTATGGTAGGTATGTCGCGGTTGATTGGTGTTCAGCAGATACGGTTCCGGTGCTAAACTAGTTGATGGCAGAGTTAAGCAATTGTTAGCGCGTATTACTGGATGCTTGTTTGTAGTGGTTACGACAGTCTGTTGAAAAAGAAATGGGATTCACTCTTGGTGATGGGTTGCAAGGTTGGTCAAGTCAGGATAGAGGCAGGAGCAACAAGTGGGAGAAGTGGGAGAAGCGGGAGGGGTTTTCGTTACCATCTTGGAAGGGATGATACATGAGGGCCAGACTAGAACTTTGCTTCCAAGCTATCCAAGATCTGGTGTACAAGGTCAATCTGGTGTTTGTTTGTTGCGGCTCTGGTTTCAACACCATGAGTGTGACATAACGGACTGGGTCTGAGTAAAGTGACAGATTGTCGAGTTCATTCAACAACATGGTGAAGAGCAATCTTCTCCTGGTCTCAGGTCTCCTCATGGTCTCAAATCTCCTCATGGTCTCAAATCTCCTCATGGTCTCAAACCTCCTCATCTTAGAGAGTCCGTGAAATCGACTTCATCAACTGCAGTTGTGTCTTTGAAGGTATGTACAGCAACACGTGTTATTGCATGCTATAAGTTACCGGATCCCTGTAGAATCCCGTAATGTGGTCTCCCGTTTCCCTCCTATCGCCTCATCGATAATCGCCGCCGTTGTTGCGTTCGTATATGTCTGATTTTGGTGGCGTGCGTTTGTCATGCACCTCATCTGCACCAATTTACAGGTTGGTGATGGGAGGCGAAACTTGGCAAAAAAAACAGAACCACGCCACCCATCGACACATGCGCCACTACAGACACAGACAGGCTGTGACGGGCTCGGGCGAGGTGCGTGGCCCCAACTCCGCGCTGACGGAGTTTCTCAAGGAGCAGGGAATCACGCGACGACGAGAGTCTTCCGAGCCACCTGACGAGGTGGGTCTGGAGGTCGGAGATCAGGGCCAAACGTCTCAGACGGCGATCGAGCTGTCGGACAATAACACGGACGACTCGTCCGGGTCCAGTGCCGACGAAGACGACCCAGATATCGTTCGCATCCGCAATCTGGCTCGCCGAAAACGCAACTGGGACGAGTCCGAAGACGATCCGGACATGACATCTGAGGAGGAGATCAAGGGAGTCAAGAACCCGGGCCAGAAGGACACGTGTGCGGTTTGCGGCGTCTTGTTTGTGGTGACCGCCTTCTCCCGCAACCACAAGAACGACGCCCTCAAGCTGCTGTGCTACGACTGCACCATGGAGGAGGTGAAGAAGGAAAAGGAGGCCAAGAAGCGGGACCACAACTTGCGAAAGCTGCGGAAAAAACAGGCTGAGGCGCTTCTCGACCAGAAACAGTACATCCGAGTGCCCAAGCTCCAGGACATGTGTATCACTCTGATCACCACCCATATTGACCATGTGGAGGCTCTAGGAGATATCGGAGGCGAAAACAAGAACAAAATCAGCCGCATCTTATCGAGAAACCGTCGACTGGACTCGGAAACCATGAAGTTCTTTTTCGACACCCAGCTCAAAAACCTCGAGTTCTGGGACTGCTCCAATATCGACTCGGAATCACTCCGAATGATTGGCTCCTTCTGTCCCAATCTGGAGGAGTTGGTTCTGGGCATGTGTGGGCGGCTGCGAAAGGAAGACCTGCTCTATCTGGGCGAAAAGCTCAAGTCGCTGGCCTCTCTGTACATCGATGGAGCGTTTCTTATTTCTGGAGACACTTGGAACGTCTTCTTCGACATGGTAGGAGGCGGTCTCAAGGAGCTCACTATCAAAAACAGCCACCGAATCTCCTCGGAAAACATTGTGTACATGTGTGAAAAGTGCCCCAAGCTGGAAAAGTTGGTGCTGAGCAGACTCGAGGGATGCACCGACCCCATGGGATACGAAATGGCAGCTCTAACCCTGGGAAACCTCAAGGAAATTGAGATTAGTTATCCTCAAGACGAGTCACTTGTTTCCGATGATCTCATCAGTGGCCTGGTATCTACTTGCGGTCCCCAACTCAAGTCAATCAACCTCGATGGTTGTTCGGCGCTCACAGACAAGACTCTAGGCACTCTGCGGGCATGTACAGCTCTAGAGTCCTTGTCTCTGAGTCATGTGGACCAGCTGACCGACAACGGAGTGGCATCACTGTTCTACCAGTGGGAAAACCCCGGTCTCAGTGAAATCCACATGCGCAAGTGCATTGCTCTGGGTGACGATTCGTTCAGAGTGCTTGTGGACAACTCGGGACCGACGCTCAAGAGCATCAGCGTCAACTCGTGGGCAGAGATTGGGGTCGACACGGTGAAGACGGTGTGTAAGAGTCTCCCGGGGCTGCAGGACATTGACCTGGGCTTCTGCAAGGGTATCAACGACGAGTGTGTGGAGTTGTTGGCGGAAAACTGTCCCCTGTTGCAGAAGATTGAGGTCTATGGAGACCCGGGAGTGACGGAGAATTGCAAGGTGGGCGACGGTATCAAGTTGATTGGCAGGATGAGTGATGTCGTCTAGCATGTGCCGGTGTTGTTTTCCACAAAATGTTTGTATAATGAGATATTGAAACGATTCAAGTGCATTGTTCTCAAACCAGCTGGAGACAGTACATACTGTAGGTGTTCCTCTGACATAGGCGTTTCCGTTCCCTGGCATAAGCGTTCGTCTGATGAAAAAAAAAAAAGCTGCTTTGGCGACTAAAAAAGATTGCAGCACCCAGGATTCTCGTATGGTCTCCCACTACAATACTAACTGGGCTCTCTGGTGCTTGACTATGGCTGATCGGACGGGAAGCCGTATTTTCACCGGGATATGGCCGCAACCGTTGGCTCTGAGAGTTGTAGGGGACTTTTTACGGGACCAGAAAAGTCTCGTGGGTGAAAACTTGAATGCGGATTTGAGCCCCTGTAGAAAGGAGTAGACGCACTGAGAGGAGGTAGTGTACGTAAGAGAGATGGTGGAGACTCCGATGGTACTATCTGTTTCACTGTGGAAGGGCTGGAACATACAGTTTTGGGGTATGATGTTGAGTCACCAACCTCTCTGCTCGAAGAGGTGAAACATGGTAGAAACGGCTATAACGGGTTAGTCATAATGATTTCCTGAGGAGATATATATAAGCGGTGAACTCCATTTCTCTGTTGAGTCAATATTAAAACGAACCGTCAAGGTGACTTGTGGTATTACTATGTATAGTCTGTCTACTCCTGCCATATTGCGACCTGCTCTCCTCACATTATCATCATTTAGTAGACATAGGCGGTGTAGCTGGGTTGAAATTGTTGTGAATGAATTGATTAGCTACCTGTAACTGATTATATGAGCTCTATAGGGGGTGGTGGCAATGGCTTCGGAGGATCCACACAGCATGTCGTCTAAGTATTCTCACAGACTGTTGACCCTTGAGGACAGAAGAGCTCGAGCTCGATATGAACACTCACTCACACACTCATCCTTACCTCTCTCCCTACTCCAACTGCTTGGTCCAATCATATTTGTCCCATTTGGTCACAAACTTGGCCCTCATTTCCTTATCTTCTCCCCAAGTGACGGTTCTCTTGGCTAGCTCCACCGGACACCTCAACAGCCCCGAAATCACCTCGCGAGCAAATCTGTCGTCCTTGGGCCACTTGTTGGCATCCTCGACGATATGGCCCACTCCTCCGTCAATTGTCAGCCACACATGTACATAAGGAGCCTCTTTGGCAATAGATGTCTGGAACCCCAGCTTACCTTTACCGCCAGTCTGGATCACCTTTCGGTGCTGACTCCACTCAGTGTCGGACGTCAAAAACGCCTCCTGGAAGAAGGGGCTGATGTCGTTGGTCAAATCAAGAGGCACGGGAATACATACGATATGTGCGTGCGGAAAGAGCCAAGGACGGGCAGCATTCTCGTAGAAACACACCCCCAGACCCATAGACATGTACATGACCGCTAGACACTTTTGAAAGTTGCGAATCTCCTCCCATTCGTCCGAATCGCACTCCAGAGTGTTCTTATGGTGAGCAATGGGGACAATAACAGCAGAATACGCAGCTAGTTCGGGCTTGGGGGCAATTGACAGATGAACACGGGTGCCAGTCGAAATGACAGAAGTATTGGGAGCCCTGTCTTCCGCACAGAGATCACAGGTATCCAAAATCTTGGTCATCTTTTGAACCTGGGAAATGGCCATATTCTTCAAATCAATCTGCTTCTTGGAAACAAGAGAAGCTAGACGGGAAGAGTTGTCGTCGGCATAGTCGTTGTCGACAGAAAAGCCCTTGTCACGTGAAATCGTCTCTGCTGCACGTGACGAGGCGTTGCCCATGTGACTCAACCGTCGTTCCTCCGCAACCATCTCTGCAATAGTCATATCTTCAGGCTTGGGCGGAACTGCAGGACCCATCATTTGCGTATCCATTGCCGACAAAACAACCGGTTCCGGCTTCTTGCCAGGCTCCGTGTCGTCATCTTCTTCTGCTGAGTCATCTTCTTCCTTCTTAGAAGTCGATGGAGTCTTACCCTGTAACTTGGCCCGTAGATCGTCGGCAATCTGCTTATTAAGACTGTTGATTTCGTCCGACCGTGTAAGAACCACCGATCCTTTAGTGTCCGCCACGTGACCTCCAATCTCGTCCTCCTCGTCAGATTCGTCAATGACCCATTTCCCCGGTCTCGGCTCATGCGATCTCGACCCATGCGATTGTTCTCGACGAAGGTCTCCGTCACTCGACCTATCTCTGTGTCTCCTTCTGTCACTTCTTCGGCTTTCTCTGCTTCTGGATCGGTCTCTGTTTGAGCGACTAGAGCGGCTCGACCGGCTCGAACGGTGTCGATCTGATCTTTCCGAACGTTCGGATCGTTCCGGTCTATCAGATCGCTCGGAACGATGTCGACGGTGTGATCTGGAAGAGGAGTGGCGAGACGAGGATTCCCTATGAGTGGAACGTCGGTCGTCGGTGTCGTGCTTGTCGCTTCTGTGATCCGATCGAGACCTTTCATAGTGTGACGTGTTTTTTGAGTCTCTGGTGTCACGTGGATCACTTGTGTTTGCTGGTGTATCCATTATTGGCTGTTTCCAAAGTGCGAAGAAGTGGTGATGTTTTTTGGAAGGCTGAAATTGGCCTGCATATAATTATGCACAATATGCATGAAACTTTTAGAGGGGAAATATGGGGGGGGCTTTAGAATGGTGTTTGAGAGGGGCTACTGGAATTTGGACGGTGTAAAATAATTCAAGGGGTTTGATTTGGTCTTTCTTGTCTGTCATCCTAGTTCTGAGACACATTAATCGAAAGATATGAGGATCATCTTGATGGGACCATTACTTGAGACATTACTTGGGATATTAGTTAAACTTACATTGAAGGTGGTAACAGAACCGGTTATTGGGGGTTAGTTGGGCTCATTTTTTTTCATCTGTACATTCGTAGTCTTGAAATATGTTGGAAAAATTGGTTTTTGTCCCTCTGTACTCCACATCTATACCCATTATAGTTCCATATCTCCACCTCTCTCTCAGTTGGCCTCTCACTAACTCTACTAGCTTTTCTGCAGGCAGGAACTTCACAACACCACTTCCACAAGACTCGTTTCACTTTCAAATGGCCCCTCGATACTGGTGCAAGGTGTGCGCTGTATTTGTGACCGACACGACGTTTGAGCGCAAGGTGCACGAAGAGACGGCCAAGCACAAATCGGCGTGGAAGCAACATTTGCGCGGGTTGTATGAATCCAGCAAGGAGGAAGGCGCGAAAAAAGATGATCTTGAGCGCGAAATGGCCGAGATTAGGAAGAAGGTGGCCCAGGATGGCTATGAGGGGATGGATAAACCCCTAGAAGCGAAATCTGGGTCTCAAGATCCCGCGGTAGCGCCAAAAAAGACATTCTACGACAAGATGGAGGAGAAGAGTAAACAGGACGAAAAGAAGCCTGTTATCGACACAAACACAGGAACCGGTGTGTGGGAAAGTGTTCAGGTGATACCTCCTGCTGCTCCGCCTGTTGTTGATGGTTCCGAGGGGGTTTCAGAGTACGTTTTGAGTGCTTCTAAGCGAGCTCAGAAGGTGAACGATGAGGAGTCAACAAGATGGAAGATCCAGGAGAAGCAGTTGGAGGACGATGATCTTGTGCTCAACAGAAAACGCAAGCTGGGTAGCGATAGCGATAGGAAAGGTATCAAGGTGGACTTGAAGCAGGAAGATGGCGTTAAAAAGGAGGAGGTTGAAATGAAGACGGAGGACACTGACGTTAAAAAGGAGGAAGGAGAGAGCAAAGGAAGCATGTTCAAGCGGAAGAAGAAGAAGATCAAAAGTTGATTTAGCGAGTGTTGACAAAGCTAGTGACTACTACTGAGCAATACGGCGGTCTGAGTACTCCTCCCTCGATGACGACATCAGGATCCAAAAGCAACGTCACGAACAGATCGAGAGGTTGTCCTCTTAAGATAGTTTTGCTGAGATTCACTTTCGGTTGTCGCTCTTCACGAAAGCATGTGGACCGAGAATTCAATGTCACTTGACGGACGTCTGCAATTGGTTCTTACGGAAAGAATCGAGAGTCTCGATTGTAACACCGTTGGATGGTCCCCGACGAGCTGATTCTCCTGTCTACCAGTGTGGACATTAGTATCATACCACATCTACAACAACAACAACAACAACAACAACAACAACATATCACATTCCACAGTCTCAAGTAACAGATATAGTAAAAAGCTCTTAAATGATTGGACAAGCCAGTCTGCCTACAGGCAACTGCTCTACGCCCATAACTATCATCATACATGTCCATGACTGACCTACAAGTCCTAACCGTCTATGTATTGACCAGTTTCTCTTTTGTATCTATAGACCCAGTTACTGGATGTTCTGAAGCCTACGATTGCACTTGCCATTATCACTCGCTAGCACTTGTCATTATCTTGGTTCATGGTTGAGTGAGTAGTGTAAGTAGCACATGTCTTCAGGTTAACACTTCTCCGGCTGACTGGCTCCCTTGCATCATGTATTACTTCATCGCCAGCTCTGGGGACACTCAAATCATAACATACATTCATGAGGGGCCTCGGCCACCTCCTCGCGCTATTTACATATATACACTCTAAGTCCACGATCGAGAGGCTCCCCGGACCATTTCCAAAATCTTCCATCCGCCCGTCTCGGGATTGCCCATGTCCTCAGGCACTCGGGTCAGCACCATGACGTAGGTGGACTGCTGGATGTTGTCTTCGGTTCCAGCAGCCAGCTCGCCGGTCTTGGCCTTTCGGTACAGATGCACCTCCTGAGCTCGGCAGGAGATGACGTAGACAGGCACGTCGGACGGTGGCAGCACCTTGGCGGACATGATATCGACTCCTCGAATGTCAAGAATCTTGCCGTCAGCGAAAAGACCCTGCTCGGTGTACTGCTTGGTCTGGGTGGCCCAAATGTTGTAGGGGGCCTCACTGAGCCACATTTTGAGGGTCTCGCCGTCGCCGGTAACCCACGCCTCCAGCACTTCGGGAATGATGTACTCTCGGGTAGTCTTCATGAACTGGTCCTGGTTAAACGACGGGTCCATGAGCTTGAACATTCGGATCACCTTGCCAGCCTCGGTCTCGTCAAACAGTCGGCCCACCTTGGAAGTCACGGCTCGCAGGGTGGCGATGAATCCGTTGTCGGACTCCTCCCACCACGAGGCCACGCCCTTTCCAGTCTTGCCAATGACGGAGTTTTCGTCAAACTTGGGCATTCGCCGGTTGGAGGCCCGGGCGGTGGCATGGACCACCAGATCACTGCCAGCCTCCTCGTTGGGCATGACGGGGCCGGTCTTGACGCCGGTTCGCAGCTCCTCCTCGATTCGGGCCTGCTGCTCGGCCATACGTCGAGATCGTCGGCTGCCCTTGTCCTCGAAACCTCCATATCGGATCGACGATCCGTCGTCAATCACGTCCTTGATGTCCTTGTACGCCTTAGTCTTTCGAATGGGCTCGGCAGCCTTGTCCAGCGTGTCGGCGGTGACGTTGATTCCCTTTCGGGTGGCCTGGCCAACGGGCGAGTTCCACGCCGCTCCAGCAGCAGATCCAACCGCTCCGGCGGCCTTCTTGAGCTGCTTGGACGTGGCAGATGAACCCTTCTGCGCATTGGCATACGCGGCCTTGGCCCGCTTGAAGGTCTCACTCTCGGCCATTCGGCCAGTCTCGTCGTTCAGCGCCTTGATGTTGTCCTGGAGCTCCTTGGACTTGCCCCACTCCTTCTTGAACGTGTCCATGAAGACCTGCATGGGGGTCTGGTCTTTTTTGCCCAGCGCACTGGACGCCGAAAACCATCGAGTGGAAGCCGGCTTGGCCACCTGAAGACACTGTCGAGCTCGTAGCATGGTGGAGTGGTGGTAGATAGTTGTAGTTGTAGAGGTAAAAAAATGCACCGAAATTTCACTTTGCAAGAATGGGTGTTTGGGACCTTCCAGAAGTTTATACCCACGGGCCAAAAGGGTCTTGTAGCGGCCGATGGAGTGGAGATGGAGCGGATCTGAAAACATAGTTCGACTCGCTGCATCTTTCTCTACATCTCTACATGTCCGAAAATCCGTTTCGGACCCCAACTCGTCGTCCAGAGCCACCCTCCCAAACCTCCGCTGACTCACCGACGCTCAACCAAGGTTTGTCTGGGGTTAAGCAACCGACGTTGAGAGGGGTGAGGGCAAGCGAATGGGTGTGTTTTGGGGCCAGATCCCGGACAGTGGACACAAGTATGAGAGTCTGTGTTGCTCTGGGGGGCATTTCCGACACTTTCAGACCCAAAAATACACATGAGTAAATCTGAGTATGTGCATAAAAGTGAGCTTCTCGCAAATCGAACCAACATCCTTATAATTGATGAGCCGCACGTCAATCTCAGCGGAGAACAGACAAGTTTTTTCCTGGGTGGTTTTTTTTCTCTAGAATAAATAGAATAAAAAATATAATAAAAAAGAACCGGTTGTGTCACGTTTTCTGTCCATTACAACAAAAAATTGGTCCGTTCTTGCGTCGATTGGATTGTAACCACTTTGCCGGCGGCATCATACACTGCATCGTAAGGTTGTGACGGTTTACTTGAAAGAAAGAGTATTTACTTGGAAAAAACACAACTTTACTTGAAAGGCCCAAGTAATCACAGCTATGGAGAGATGCATTTTTTGCCACTGGAATCACAAGACTCGGATTCCAACCATCTGTTCTCTCTATCGCATTCCTCTCATTGCCCACCTGCCTGTTTCCCCCTCTGCCACACCTCACTGGTGCCCTTCATTTCCCTGCGCTTACATAATCCCCGACCCATCGCGACATGTGCATGCATATTTTTTTTAAGCGGACCACCATAGACCCAAACAACGGCATAGTCAGGAGCTCTAGGCCGATATCCAGCTTTGCAAATGGAGTCCAGCGGTGGCCGCCAAGGTGCTAATCGTCATATCAACCAAATCAACGCCATTCTGACAGGCACTCCGGCAAACGCCAGGAGAGACAGCCCGTCTCCATCACTACACCAGCAACAACAGGTGCCTGCTTCGGTGCAAATCCGAGCGCCAAACACCCGTCCGTCGTCGCTCGCGTCTTTACACGAGCGCTTTTCCATCGCCCAGAGACCGGTTCAAAGCGGGAGCTCCAGGTCAGGCCTCCAACACACCTATGGCCAACGCAAGAGAGCGTCCCCAGAAAACGAACGACCGCCTCACAACGATATTCGCAATCGCCCCAAGGTCAAGGGGTTCGTGAGCAATAACAAGTATCTTTCGGCCGTCAGTAAGCGCCACAAAACCAACCCCGAGCAGCCGGGAGTGGTGGAGATCGGAGGAGACTCGAAGCGTATCGTGGCGCGGCCGTATTCGACTCTCAAGAAGACTCCGTCGATCGGAATCCCTTCAGATTTAACCTCTTCTCGTCTCTCGCATCCGTTGTTGAAGAAGTTTGTTAAAGGCAGTGTATCCAAGCCTACCATCAAAGAATTGAACGATACCACCGACGACGAGGATCTGTTCCCGAATAAGACCAACCCCGACATTCCCGAGAAGAGGACTAGCGAACATGTTCCGCCATCGCCACAACCGGCATCGAAACACAAACCCAATGACCACTCGCTTTCCAACTTAGACACCCATTCTGTATCATCTTCCTCAGATGACGATGATCGGCCCATGAAGACCAAACAAGAAAAGGCTCTAGAGAAGGACAGGAAGCATATGAGCGAAAAGAAGAAAAAGGGTAAGAGAAGAGACTACACCTTGCTTAAACCTGCTCCTCTTGGAGACTTCTTGGCTCAAAGACCGAAGGAGGAGACGAAACCCCCACCTGCCTCGTTTCAGGTGCTGGAAGTCTACTTGGACGGACATACGTGGAATCAGGAGTACACGGATTTGAGGATGGAGGCAGAAGGGATCTCTACTGGTGGGGAGGACGAGAATCGACTAGTCATGGATGTCACCTATTACCTCAAAAAGGCTATGAAGGTGAGCATCAAGCCGTGTCCTATTATGACAGACGGAGCTATCACCATTCATCTCGACGACATTCAACCCGTCAAGTACAATGAGTCTTTTCAGGTGTTGATTTTTGAGGGTCTCTCGGCAGGAAACATTCTCAGTGACGGTTCGTTTTTCGAGACTTTGGCTATCAAGCTGGATCCTCTGGTTCTCAACGAGCAGGTGGAGCGATTTTTGAATCTCTTGCCGTGTTTCCATAAAACATTGGACGACAAGATTGCTGCGGAACAGCTTATATCTTTAGGAGGAGACCGCAAGTTGTTTGAAAAGCGTCTGGAGGAGGTCAAGGCCGTATTGGAGAAGAAGAAGGAGGATAAGGAGGAGGATATGGAGGAGGACAAGGCGGACAAGAAGGGCGACGGGCTCGATGTGGCTTTCCCTCTGCGTCGCTCCACCCGATTGGCAGCTACCAAAACCCCATCTGTTGCCTTTCCCGACTTTGGTGACACGCATCATTACCAGACCAAGAGCGGGAAGCAGATGGAGATCACAGCCAAGGATGTGGAGCAGTTGCGCGAGTGCGAGTATCTCAACGATACGCTCATTTCGCTCTTTCTTCAGATTGAGCACGACAAGTTGCCAGAAGAGGGTGATACCAAAACTGCCCACAGACTCTACAAGGAGGCTTTGCAGCTGGCTACTGACAAGGCCGGCCGAATGCCCGAAGAGATTTTCTACAGGCCATTGACTTACTCCAACACATACGTCTTCTCCACCTACTTTGTGCACAAGCTATTGTCACTTGATACCAAGAGACCCGCCGAAAAGTACCAGCTGATGAAAAAGTGGACTTCTAAGATTGACATCTTTTCCAAGCAATGTGTGATCATTCCGATTGTCGAACACAACCATTGGTACGTGATGATTCTGTGGAACCTCGAAGCTGCTCATAAATGGAAGGGCAGAAAGCATGAGGCCGTTGCTCCTGCTACTAGTGTCAAGAAAGAGCTGACCGGTTTGGACCGATCTTCCTCTCCGCGGGTGACTCGTTCGCAAACTCGAGCACATGACGCCGGTGAGGAACCGGAAAAGCTCAAGGAAGAACAAGTGGAAGAAATAACATCTACTGTGAAGCCTGAGACTAAGGCAAAGAAGAGTTACGCGCCTCTGAAGGACGACGAATGCATCTGGATGTTTGCACTGGATTCTCTCAACATCAATCACCGAACAACAGCAGGTCTCATTTTCGACTATCTTCACTTTGAGGCTCGGGAGCGACTCAAGATTGAGGTTCCGCCTAATGCCTTCAAGAATCGCGACATGCCCGTTCCCATCCAGACCAATACGTGGGATTGTGGCGTCTACCTGATTCATTTTGTGCAAATGTTCTTTGCCAACCCCATCAAGTACCTTCCCCACATGGCTCACTTCCCCCACAACAAGCCCAGGGTCAAGGCCGAGTTTCGGCGCATGTGGTCGACCACGAACCAGATTCTGGACAAGCGGGAGCAGTTGGTCAAGCGGGTGTTTCAGCTCAAGGAGGGTGCTGCCAATTCTGGCTTGAGAAGCAAGATGCTCAATCCGGACATGGGAGACGAGACCCCCGACGATGATTCTGACGATGATGTGATGATCACGTCCTCGCTGAACCATTCGCCTACTCCCAAGTCTGAGGTCAAGGAGGCGAAGCAGACGGAGGAGGAGGAAAAGGGGAAGGAGACTTTGCAGGAGATGATGATTGTGAAGATGGACAAGGCCGAGGAGGAGAAGGCCCAGAAGGAGAAGGCCCAGAAGGAGAAGGCCCAGAAGGAGAAGGCCCAGAAGGAGAAGGCCCAGGAGAAGGCCAAAAAGGATGTGAAGTACAAGGCCGTGGCGGAGGATAAAGCGCCTGAAGCGGTGCCGGGCATGCATGAGGACAAGGAAATGGACGTGGAGGAGACCAAGCAGGTGCATCCAGTGGAAGAGGACAAGATGGATGTGGATGTGGAGGAGATTAAGACTTCCTTGGACTTGGACGTGGAGGAGGCCATGGGCGGGGTTTCTACGCCAGATGAGTCTATCGACGTGGACTCTCTCGACGTGGAGGAAATCCAGCCAGTGCATGAGGCCGAGTCCAGCATGGTAGATGTGGACCCTGTCGATGTGGATGAGTTTGATTTTGACGACACTCCTCGAAAAGACTCTGTGAAGCATGGACTACTGGGAAACGCGTTCAAGAATAAATGGAAGCAGTCCGACAAGTCTGGCAAGCCTCAGAAGGACAAGGACCGGACTAAATCCAAGACAAAGTGGAAGCACATTTCCATCTTTGAGCGGCCGCAAAAATGAAACTGAGCATATACATATTAACATGATTTATTTAAGAGAGTCTACTGCTGTAGTAGAGTAGAGAGTTGATCCTCAGAGTGTCTCCTGTACATAGTGTACGGTATCCCTGGTCGTAAAAGATGGCTCTGACGAACAGCCAATTATGATCTAGTCAATGGTGTCCGTACCGGTACAAGTATTCAAGTTTACATAGAAGTGCAAAAATCAAGACAAACATATACACTGTTGCAAATGGTGAAGTCTACGGACTCTTTTTTGGTCTGTGGTTCTTCTGCTCAAATCCAGGTGTTCTTGTTCTGTACAAGTGTATTGAGGTGAACTGCTGTGATAGCACCCTAGCACCCCAGGATGTTGTCTTACTATGGTCCTACTGTCAGTATTCCACATGTTTCAATGATGTTTCAATGATTGGTTCAATACATAAGCGACTTACTCTCCCAGATGCAGAGCCTCCCGTCTAGAAGGACTGGTGGGGTCGAAGTGAGGCACCTCTCCCAGCGAAGTGACTCGGGTTCCGTGTCTGGGCTCCTTGCCTTCGTAGTCCCAGATGGCGTTGTGCTGGGAGATTCGGTTGTCCCAGATGGCAGAGGTTCCAAGTCCCTCCTTGGTGGGTTGCCATCGGAACCGCACCTGGATGTCCTGGTTCTTCTCGTACACGTCGTAGAGATACGAGAGAATGGCATCGGACTCCTTGGGTTCCAGGCCCACGATTCGGACCGTCATGGCCCGGTTAACCCACAGCGTCTTCCATCCCGTCACAGGGTGGGTTCGAACCAGAGGGTGTTCTCTCTCAATGTGTTTGGGACCGGCCAGAGGGTCGTTTCGGTCAATGTAGGTGTGGGCACTTCGGTAGATGGCAGTCTTGCCGTTGAGGAACTCCTGGAATGCCGGCGAGAGTTTGTCGTAGGCTCCGTATCCAGAGGACCAGGCGGTATCTCCTCCGACCGAAGGAATCTGGTCGTTGTGGAGATGAGTAAGTCCCGCGGGCTGGGCTTCGTGGACCAGGTCGGTGTGCCATCCCGAGGCTCCTCCGGGCTGCTTGAAATTGGCCTTTCGTCCCTCCAGAATCTGGTGGTCCGGCCAGAGGACCGTGATACCGGGGTAGCCCGGCACATGGGGCACCTGGGGGTGTTTCTCGATCTGGGAGCCCCAGAACTGGCCGATTTCCAGCTGCTTGGCGGGGGGCAGGTCCTGGTCTCGGAAGAAGACCACGGTTCGCTCGGCAATGAGAAGGGCGAGTTCGTCCAGTTGCTGTTCGTTGAGGTCTGCCAGCTGGACGCCCACAATCTCGGTTCCAATGTGTTTGGAGAGGTTATTGACGGCTGTGGCGTTCTTCAGCAGCGCCTTCTTTTCGGGGTCCGCGTTCTTTCCTCTGGGAATGTACTCCTGCTCGTCGGCTCGCACAGCCACCGCTTCGTCCAGGTAGAAGGGAATGTCTGTAGGTCGTTCCGGGTAGCCTCTGGACAGATCGACTCCATGGCGTTCCAGTCGAGCTCGGGAATGGGGAGGCAGGTGCTTGAGGAACTCGGTGGAGATTCCGCCCTTGACTCTGGGCTTGACCTTGATGGACAGGTCGTTGAGAGGTTGCTCCAGGGAGGTGGTGGTGTTTTCGTCGAGAGAAGGGGGCATTGTTGGGGAGAGAGGGAGAGAGAGAGAGAGCGAGATCAATTGAAGACAGATGATTTTGCGCTGCTTCCTGCGACAAAACCAACTCTTTATACATGAGATAACATTCCGCATCCCCTCTTTGCCGCTTTGTCGCAACTCTCACTCTGGTCTGAGGTGTGGCTTGCCAAGGTTTGTGGCTGCGAGATAGTGCGATAATGCATGACGCCAAATGCAAGCAGTCTGGGGTGCACTAGTCCACGGCTCAAACAACCTCCAAGCCACACACCCAGGGCAATGTGGCTTCAACCCTGTTAGAAATGGATAATGGGATGATTGTGGCTGATGACAAATGTGACACAGTGTGGAGAGACGAGGAGATGCGTGGAGATAAGCATTGGCTGGGTGGTTCCCTCCTCCGTCGAGTACCAACTTGTCACCAATCCCCACCACCACCACCACCTCGGACAAGATCATGGTAACAGCAGCTGTCATTGGAGGAGGAGCCTCGGGAGCAATTACCGTGGATACGCTCCGCAAACAAGGCATCGAAACGACCGTGTTTGAACGACGAGACATTCTGGGAGGAGTATGGGTGTACGACTCTGATCCTGGCCCGCTGACAGTGGTGCCCGGAAGAACAGGAGAACAGTCTGATCTGGTGTCCAACACTCCGGATTTCGAAGGAATTGAGCCTGGAGAATCCATCAACACTTCCCCGGGAGAATACAACCGGCAGACGTTTGAAAACCCCCACCGATACGAGCCCACTCCCACCTTCGAGTCTCTGTCGACAAACGTGCCTGAACGAGTCATGACCTACTCGGACAAACCAAAGTGGGACTGGAAAGAAAATGGAGTCTACACGTATCCTCTGCAGACCCGATTTGTGCACCACTCGACGATCCAACGGTACATTGAGCAGTATTTCCAGCCCAACATTGATGTGGTCAAGTTCTCAACCACAGTTGAGAAGGCTTCCAAGACCAAAGATGGAAAATGGACCTTGACTACTCGGACCCGATCTGCCACGGAGGATGTCTGGGCCCAGACCAAGTACGATCATTTGGTTGTTGCAACTGGCCACTACCATGTTCCTTTCATCCCGGACGTGCCGGGCATTCAATTGGCCTACCGACTCTACCCCAACCGAATTGTCCACTCCAAGCACTTTCGGGAGTCAAACTTGGATCTGTTCAAGGACAAAACTGTCGTGATAGTGGGCTCCCGGGCTTCAGGAGCAGATCTCGTGTCGCTACTGGCACCCATTGCGCATCAGACGATCCAGAGTGTACGAGCTACCAAAGGACCCATCTTCAAAAAGTCTTTTGTCAACCAGGACAAGGTTGTTCGAGCGGGAGAAGTTGTGTCTTACGTGTGCAAAGACGGCGGTTTCAATGTCGAGACTGCTGATGGACAGTCCTTTTCTCCTGATGTCGTCATCTACTGTACAGGCTACCAGTACTCGTATCCTTTTCTTCGAGACCAAGTTCCTGACTTGACAGATGGAGTCTTTCTTCCAGACGTTTATCTCCACACTTTTTACACCCCCGATCCCTCTCTGGCCTTTGTGGGAGTCCCTGTTGACGCGGTTTCGTTCCGGGCTTTCGAGTACCAGGCGGTTTGGGTGGCACGGTACATTTCGGGCCAGATTGAGCTACCGTCAGTTGATGAACAGCAGCTTTGGAACAAACGAAGGTTTGAAGAGCGTGGTTCGACTCGGTCTTACCACTCTTTGAGCTCCCTAGAAGCTGTTCAGGACTTCTTTGATGCTCTGACCGAGCTTGGAGGAGGTGTCAAGGCCCAAAAGAAGGGAGGAAGAGACTTCCCCGTGTTTGGCAGACAAGATATCGACGAGCTCAAGGCTGCTGCTCCTGCCAGATGGGTGGAAGAGCCCAACAAGGAGGCTGCAGAGGAGGAGTCTGAGACTTCTGAACTGGATACCGGTGATTCGGAGGGCCATACAGACGACACATCCGTGGACGGAGACGAAAAGTAGACGTTACAAGTACAGGCCGGAGTTAATTGGATGACATTATAGGACAAGTACTGTACTTGTATGTGTATTGGAATGGTTCTCAGTGAGAACATGGGTTGGTGTGAAAACGATATGGTCATTCGGGTTAGAATGTACAAGGAGACGTCATAACGACATTGAACTTGTACAGGTACAATTACCGACGGAGAAGATCACTGAAAAGAGATATCAATCAGGGGTCATCGGTGCAGAACTTGGGTTGGGGATATCTTCACTCTACAAGTACAGTATGTGTAACACTCGCTCTGGAGAGTTAGTCATCCGACAGGGTAACTCTAATCTCCCAACACCTTATTAACTCTGCGTAACTGTAACTCTTCTTGCCACGTCGATCTTACTCAATTTTCCTGCTCATCATCTGCTGGATTGTTGTCTATCGTCTGGCTCTAATACATTTATTGTTTATTGCCCAAACAACTTTCATTGCACGTAAGTGAATTGTTTTATAACAGCGTTCGCCAATTGCTGCGCCATCGTCGTCCGGCTGTCCTACCGTTAGGGGTAGTGTGTCTCACACTACCGAGGTTACTAGAGTTGGGAAAGCGATACTGCCTCGGACACACCACCTGGGTCTTACGACTGCAGAGAGAATCGGCGTTACCTCTCTCACAAAGCCCTTCAGTACCGCCGCCTGTCGGGAACCGCGTTCAGGTGGAACAGGACCACCTCCCTTGCACTTCTTGGTATATCAGTATAGGCTGATGTATTCATAGTGGGGTTTTTCATAATAAATTTACTAACGGCAGGCAACATTCACTCGGCTTAAACGCAAAACGGACCGTCTTGATATCTTCTGACGCATTGACCACCGAGAAATAGTGTTAGTTACCGGGTGAGTTATTGTTCTTCTACACAGGCGACGCCCATCGTCTAGAGTTGATGTACTAACTCAGATTTCACTACCTACCCTATCCCTGGTACGCACAAAGCACTTTATTTTCTCACATATGTAGCCCCCTTCTGGTGATTTTGGACCACGAATCGAGCTGAATGGGAATATTCAGACAGCACTTGTACCTGTATTCGTATCTCAAGACGACAGAGAGACGTGACACAATGCCAATTGTCATCTTTTCAGGTGAATCACACGTCTACTTTTACAACTGTTTACTCGCAATCCACCGGATCTGGTTTCCGTGCCACACATGATGTATGCGGCGTCATGCACCTGCCGGTACAACAAAGTACAGTAGAACGAGCTCATTGTTGGCTAGAGATGAGGTAGTAGATGGTCATTGGAGTTTTTGGAGCTATTAGGACCATCAATTGCCTTTCAGGCATTATTTCCCTCCCCTTACCCCCCAAAAAATCACCTCCATTTCGCGCGCTTTCGGTCAGGCTATAAAGAAGCATGTGTGCGATAATACAACAGCCGGGAGACATGTTGGAGCCAAACAGCACTCTTCAACTCCACCAATAGTGAACAAAAAGACACAAATTTCGAAACCCATACTCTGGCCACTCTTGTGATCATTTTGATCAGCTTTTTCCGGTATCTTTCCTGCGCCAGGAGGTTCTAGCCAGGCCATTTGAACCATGACTAACATGATCTTTTACTGGTGGGCCGCGAGTGGAGCCGTACTTGTACTGTATGAGTACGACCACCCACACTGTAGATAGACAGCAAGAAACAGAACATGTAATATATACAGTATATCGGAAATATGGGTGGCAATTATTAGTCAGCAGTGTGTCACCAACACGCATTTGCTCACAGTCAGCAAATCGGTTGATTCCCCGCTCAGTTCCCCGTTGTCAGTCATCAAGCTGCCATCCTCGGCCCAGGGCAAGGGCCCATCATGGGCTCTAAGTTTCGACCCTGCATCTGAACATAGCACTTTGAAAAAAACAGACTAAGAATGGCGATACGGAGCCTGGAGCTGTTCGAGGTATACTACGACGATAGCGACGCGCTGGCGATGGTATGTGCCTTTGCGTCGCTGATTCCTCAGATCATTCTCATTGTCTACGCCACGCTCATCTTTTCGCGACGCGAAATGGAGACGCTGATGCTGTTGGGTGGCCAGGTGGCTTGTGAAGTGGCCAACAACATCCTGAAACGGGCCATCAAGCAGGATAGACCGCGCTACGGGCCAGGCTACGGCATGCCCTCGGCCCACGCGCAGTTTGTGGCGTTTCTGGCCACATATCTGTGTTTGTGGATGTTTTTTCGAATGCGCCAATTGTACTCGCCAGTGAAGCGGGTGGCGCGAAGCGTGGGGCTGGTGGCCATGACGCTGGTGGTGTCATACTCGCGCGTGCATCTTTACTATCACACCCCGGCCCAGGTGTTGGCTGGAGTGGCGTTGGGTTGTGTTTTGGGCCTGGCCTACTTTCTGTTTGTCTCTCTCATCCGCGACCTAGGTCTCGTCGACCTGATTGTTGATCTGCCCATTCTGCGGGCCTTCTACGTCAAGGACACATCTGGCGACTCTGGCAGCTTTGTCAAGGACGAGTTCCTGCGCTGGCGTGACAAACGCATGAAGGCCAGACTCATCAAGGTGGAGTGAACTTGTGTGGGCGATGGAAGGAGGAAAGTCTGCTGAAAAGACGTCACTTGTTTGTTTGATTGTAGCTATAATTGATCTGTTAGATTGACATTGAGCGTTGGTAGACCGTGTAAAACGCGTACACTCTGGTCCAGCGAAATGGACCTGTCGGTGGATATTACTTGAGAGAACGAATATTAGTTGGCTTTTTTGTTTAACCTCAACTGCGACAAGAAGTTACTTGACATATTGTTGAACTTCTTGTTGAAGAGGGTGACACATGGAAACAGAGTGATGAAGGTGATATAATACAACTACACCTCACCACAATAGACCATCCAGAACGGGTGTAAACTGGGAATCATGCCTTTTATCTTTACATCACCATTTCCCGGATCTCACCTATTCCCTGATTCGACTCTACAGCTGTCATGTTTCACCTTTTATCCATTTTTTTTGCTATTTTTTGCCATTTCCATATCCATATCCCTTCCAACTCTCCTTCATAACAATTGCTAACAAATCCTTCCTCAATAAATCCTCTCTCTATGCTATAATACACTTAGGCCTCCACACCGGGAACAGGGATCCGTTCTACTTGGTTGTGGTAGGCGTTGGGGATGATACACACAATTTCGTTCCGGGGGAACGACAGCGTGGGAATGTCCTGCACCGTGCACGCCATGAGGTAACCGTACAAAACCCGCAGCACGGACTCGTGGGCCACAATGACAATATCGCCGGGGATTCGCTCCATCTCGAGAATCAGAGGCTCCAGACGCACAGCCAGATCGTGGTACGACTCGGATCGAGGGAACCGGTGATGGTAGGGATCCTTCTGGTGCTTGTCCCACTCCTCGGGGTACTTCTCCTTGATTTCCTCCTCGGTCATATTCTCGCACACTCCGGGATTGAGCTGGGTCAGCTGGCCTCTCTCCAAGAAGGGGATCCCTCTGGAAGAAAAAGGGGCGGCTGTCTCGACGGTTCGAGCCCGCACAGACGTCCAGACAACCAGGTTGGTCATCTTTGAGGTTGACACGGCCGACGGGACTAACATCTTGCTGGTGCTGCTGGTGGTGGAGCCCGTGGGGGAGTCGGACAGCAGGTTGTTCATGGACACGACAGAAGACGATGATGCAAAAGCGGGCGAGGTGGTTCCCGAGGCTGCTCGTGAGCCGTGCTTCGAGCCTCGTCGCGAGCCATGGCGAGACGTGGTGGCGGTGTTTCTGTGAGGGTTTGGCTGGGTGGCCAGTTTAGCGTCAATGTCCTGTCCGATACGCCGGGAGTCAGGGTCGTTGGCGGCAGACTCCTCCTTCTGTTGCTGGTGCAGTTTGTAGTCGCTAATGTGGTTGAGAACAATCTGGCACAAAGTTTCGGCGTATTGCTTGCCCTCTTCCGACAAGGGCAGGTCCATGGCCATCTTGTAGTTTTTGGGGTCCACCACAGGCTCCCCAGCACGGGCAAAGTAGACGTTCCCAGTCTTGATTCGCGCGTTCATGAGGAAAAAGACGATCCGGTTGACCAGATATCCCAGATGCGCCGTGTTGTTGAGAATCATCTTTTCCGACACGTTGATGAGCTTGACGTAGGACAGATGGGCCTCCTTTTCTCGGTTCATGGACTGGTAGTAGGGGATTCTGAGCTCGATTCGCTTGAGATAGTGCTTGACGGCCTCCTCGTAGGACCATCCCTGGTAGTCGGGAGACGAGATTTTGACTCCTCGAATGTTTCGAGCCACCAGAGAGTCGTCTGTGCAGTACGATTCGACAAACAGCACCTGGCGCTCGGATCGAGTAGTCAGCTTATCGACTAGGTCCTGCCGGATCTGGTATGTTGGGTTGACTGCGTCGTAGATGGCCACCTGTCCATTGTGTTTGTCGAAAAAAACGTCCATGTCGGCCAGACAGGCGTCGACGATCTGGGACCGCAGCTTTTTGGTTTTTTCTGACGGGTTGAGATCAAAGTAGTCGGACGGCAGCGACTCGGCGTCGGCCTTGCCGGTCTGGGTCTCGTGATCGGGGAACTGGGCTCGTCGGTAGTCTCCCAGGTGGAAGGCGTGGGTCTTGACTCCCAGCCATCGCAGGTATCGGGTCAGCGACACGGCCAGATGGGTCTTACCTCGGGCGGGCAAGCCCACCAGCACAATGGCCACCTTGCCTGCGTGGAACAGGTGGCCACTTTCGGTCAGATAGAGCTGGGCCGGGGAAATCTGGGTGGGGTCGAGGGGCTCATGAATGGCGTCCATGTGAACAGAAGATCGCTTGCGCTGCTTGTGGGTCTGGGGTCCGAGGATGGGGGCGCGCACAAAGACGCTTTCCTCGTCGCTGGAAACGGCGCTCATGTCGGATACTGTATGGAGGTGTCTAGTGGCGGCTTAGCGTTGGAGTTCCTGTCCAATTAGACGGGCTATGTTGGGGTGTGGGTCTAAGGTTAGATAAGATAGACGCTGGATAAGTTGGGGTTGGGTATGTACAGTCGACCACACTCTCCACCCTGTCCATCTGGCAGGTGCTGTACGGTGATCGGATGAACGAGACGCGCAATGGCCGTGTGTTGAGTGCGCAGTGTTGGTTGCCATAAAACATGAGGACATCAACCACCTGTCTGTTGTTAATACTCTTAATCTGATGCGCCACACCAACTCTAAGACGGGTCCGTCCCATGACCCAATCAAGGTTACAACCTTTGCAGCTGACTTGGCAGGTGAGCGAGATGAAGAGGGCAATGAAGATGAAGAGCGACTCTCGTACGAGTATAGTACGATGATGTACTGTACTTGTGCAATGTTAAGGAGGAAGGGTTACGACGAAGAATGGGCGTTGTTTAAGTACCAAATCAAGTTGCTCTCAATTGCGCTCTCGAAGCCCATCTACAAAATGCTCCTAACAAAAAATAACGAAAAATCGCGGAAAAACAAAACAACAACAGTAAAAAAAATATAAAAAATATAAAAAATATAAAAAAATACAAAAAAACTAACAAACAAAAAACACCCTCTCATGTTTTATTAAAAACAAGCCCTCTCATGTGTGATAAAGACCACGGCCTCTCGTGTGCAACTTGAAGTACTGTACATACTGTACCTGTACTGATCTCGAACAACACATCGTGTCCTAACCCAGTCATACGTCTGCCTGCAGATGTGGCACGGACTATGTACATACTATGAGCGAACACTCCGAGCGAACACGCCGCGGCAACCGTCAGCGAAGAGAGAGCCGCCAAAACATGGGTCGGTAGGGTTCTTGCAAGGAGAAACCCCGGTCGAAACAGGTGAATAAGCCCCATATCGCCTCTCCGACGTCGATACAAGACTCCACGCAGTGTGGTTGTTGGCAACCAAAGTTTCAACAGGCCTCGTGGCCCCTTCCCCACAACCCTAATGACAAAGACGGGTTGTCCAAAGGTGCCCTTTTTTTTGCCTTTTTTTTTTTCCGAGTCGACAGGAAAGAAACATCGGGCCCAAGCAAAGCAAAGGGCAAATCCAAGCAAAAACTAAGTATCCACCTTTAGGCATCGTCATGGTGACAACAATATACAAGCGCGTGGAAGGTGGAGCCTCGAGTATATAAATATATATATATATATAACCGTGTTTGGTCACGTGACACGGGTCTCATCTGCCCACGCCGCGCAAGCCCCCGACGTTCGCGCTCCACCCCCCACCATCGCCCAAGCCGCCTGGTGGCCCTTGTCCTCGCCCTTACCCTACACTCCAAAAACTACTCCCCAACACATGTCGCACCACTGACCATTTCTGCACAATCTTAGAAACCCCACACCACACCTCCCACACACTTGCGCACAACTCAACACCTGCCACTGACGACCCCATCCATCTGAAAACGACGCACCGTGCGACGACCACCCGACCCCCGTGCATCACCGACAAGTAGAGGACGCTCAGACCCCCTCTGTGACGCTCTTTAGGAACTCTTTTGACAGACCGCAACAACAACATCTTGACTTTCCGCGACGGAATCCACAACACCACATCATGTCCGAAATCGTGACCGAGTCCGTGCGAGACGGAAAAACCGGCGAACAGCGCCAATTAACCTATACCCAGTGCAAGGTCGTGGGATCCGGCTCGTTTGGAGTCGTGTTCCAGACCAAGCTGCTGCCCAGCAACGAGGACGCGGCCATCAAGCGGGTTCTGCTGGACAAGAGGTTCAAGGTGAGTAAGGAAGGAACGAATGGCAGCAGGGACCAACGGCGTGACTGTTGGCAGGAATGACTGGCAGTGGGAGGCGACTGACCGTCGTCGGAGCGGACAATGACGGGCCGAATGGAAGTCTGCTACGCGATTGATTGAATGATGGAATGATGCCGACTCTGATTTACCACCAGACTGTCTTGTGTATGGTGCGCGTCAAGAAGGATTAAAGGCGATGGATGTATGCCATGGATGATTGCGATTCGTTGTGTCGTTGTTGCACTCGCACCACACATGGCGTGTTCCACCACAAGTCGACAGAGGTGAAGTGTGATGGAGACACGACAGCATCTGCTGGTATCGACAGCATCATTGACCACAACGGGTGACAGCCGGAGGAATGATGTACTCCACTCGTGCTGCCCATTTGAACTTGATCACTGTTGACGGTATGACACGCTGTTTCCATCCCACCCATTCCGGAAGACACGCAATCAGACACATGTCTGCACACATCTCCACACAACAGTAATACTAACACAGAACCGAGAACTGGAAATCATGCGACAGGTGTCGCACCCCAACATTGTGGAGCTCAAGGCCTTCTTCCACTCCAACGCTGAGAAGGACGACGTCTACCTCAACCTGGTGCTGGAGTACGTGCCCGAAACCGTGTACCGGGCACTGCGACACTTCTCCAAGGCCCGGCTCTCCATGCCCAACATTGAGGTCAAGCTGTACACCTACCAGCTGTTCCGATCGCTGGCCTACATCCACAGCCTGGGCATCTGCCACCGAGACATTAAGCCCCAAAACCTGCTGCTGGACCCCGCTACGGGCATTCTCAAGCTGTGCGATTTTGGTTCGGCCAAGATTCTCGTTCCCGGTGAGCCCAACGTGTCGTACATCTGCTCACGGTACTACCGAGCCCCCGAGCTGATATTCGGCGCCCAGAACTACACCACCAAGATTGATGTGTGGTCTGGCGGCTGCGTCATGGCCGAGCTCATGCTGGGCCAGCCCCTCTTTCCCGGTGAGTCCGGCATTGACCAGCTGGTGGAGATCATCAAGGTGCTGGGCACCCCCTCGCGCGAGCAGATTCGAACCATGAACCCCAACTACATGGAGCACCGGTTCCCCCAGATAAAGCCCCATCCCTTTTCGCGGGTGTTCAAGCGAGGCCCACCCGACGCCATCGAGCTCATCACCCCACTGCTCGAGTACAGCCCCGGACAGCGACTGTCTGCCATCGAGGCGCTCGTCCACCCTTACTTTGACGAGCTGCGGGACCCCGAGACGGTGCTGCCTGACTCTCGAAACCCCAACAATGCGGTGCGTCAACTGCCCGCTCTGTTTAACTTCACACGACACGAGTTGTCGATTGCGCCGGAGCTCAACCAGAAGCTGGTGCCGGCCCATGCCCGGGAGGCGCTGGGCGTGGATCTCGACAACTTTGTGCCTCTGACCGTGCAGGAGATGGCCGCAAACCTGTCATAACTGTCACCGGTCCATGATACAAATGTATGAATAGAGCCGAGTAAGGTACTTGGCAGGGGAGGATAATATATGTTTGACTACGACTTGAGCTGGTCCGACAAGGCTCGACTAGTAGTGATTCGCTGATGTAGAGTAAAATGTTTGATATTGATAACCGTGTGTTTTGTACATCTATTCTGGATATTGTAACTCCATTTGTCTCGGGGTAGAATGGAAAGAGGAACAGTACTTTTTTTGTCACCCAGTGTCTGTTATTGAAGATAGTGTCCATGGTGTTATGCATTGTCTCACAGCTGATACTACAGCTACGAGTATGGTATGTACTGTAGAGATGATTGGTCTATTGGCTTACAATGAGTACCGGTTCCAGTATGACTAATATGTCGTTCTCAAACCATTTTGCAATAGTGATCACAGTGGATCCAGTGTGTACAAGTACAAGGGTTTTTGTAGTTGGTTCAAGTACTCAAGTATTATGTCAACTACTTGTTCCATACTGGTTACTCTGCCAGATAATAAACAGAATAGTTAAACTAAATGCAGTAGAACAATGTCATACACTGGACAGTATGTACACCTTTTCACACGCGGCTAGATTCAGTATTATCACGCTAGCACGCTGCGAAATCATGGCCGTAGCAAGGGGCATTCTTTGGCCGCTGACCGATATTATTCGGACTAATTTTTCAGCTGTCTCCGGCTCATTTCCGACCCTTGCCTTGTTCCAAGCCATGCAACGTGCGCATGTGAATGCTGCTGCGAAAACCGATGACGTTTGACAGGGGCTAAGGGCTCTTCTGACATGATATCGGGCTTCTGTAGACAGACGATCTGGACATGGTCTGTGGAGACAGAACAGAGGAATTCACGTGCTCATACTAGTACAAGGACATACTTTATGTACTGTGTGTTGCAACTATTGAATGGTATGTACTCGTGGGACTGTACACCTCCTTCTTCTCCTTCGTAGTCCCTTCAAAAACATTGACCTGCAGTGTGCATCTTTTGCCCCTACACTCATAATCATATCATATATTACTCGTTAGAGACCTTTGGTCTTGTGATTCCGTTTTCCTCCGCCTACAACGACAAAGAGTATGAGTACTCGTCCTCAATGTTCTGCGCAACCCACAGAAGTACGCAGGAAACCATGACGGAGGCGTTGCAAATCACGTTGGCCACACCCATACCCAGAGTGGGCATCGAATAGCCTGGCAGGGCGTACTTGAGCACAAGCACGGCAATCGAGGACGCCATCCCGCCGGCCAGGAATGCAAAGCCCAGGAACAGCACCACCTTGGCCTGCCAGTCTTCTCCAGACGAGAAGGACGATCCGCCGGTGAGCGCCGATTGCAGACGGGCCTTCTCCACCAGGTTAATCACCAGCATTCCAATGCACGAAAACAGCAATGGCAGCCAGTCGGGGAAGAAACGGACGTGGACGGTGGATCCGTTTTTGTGGCTGGAGTAGAGCGCGGCATCCAGCATGGCGTAGAAGCCGAGCGAGAAGATGGCTCCGGAGGCGTAGACTCCGACAGCCCGTAGGGATGATGGGGGGAGCTTGAAGCCGGGAATGGCGATGCGAAAGAGGGACCTAGGTTAGTATGATAACGAGAAAACCGACGTCTTTAAGGGACGTTGGCCGGATAACTACTATCCGTGTTAAAAATGGCCTTCATTGGTATCGGAAACGGCCGTCACACTCTGAATGAATCCATATGGGAATCTCAGGGCATGACATGACCAGCCCCTGGCAACGAATGACTTCATCCAAGAGATTGGACAAGGGTGAAGACACAGCCAACGGATGGAGACATGAAGCAGAGACATGCAGCAAGCGGTGTGTGGCAATTGTGAAAGTCAGAAACCATCTGCTGCTGTTCACACAGATTGAATGGACGACGTCTTTGTTGCTTCTCAGGGTCACGGTCACCGCCACCAGGTATAGTGTAGACGACCTGTCCTATCCCTCGCCTCATACTCTAGACCTATCCTGTGTACTCTTCATCTTGTTGCAAAACATGGAGTACAGGATATACAAGATCGGAGTCATTGTTGACGACCGAGCTCCATCATTCATCCGCTGTCATGAACTTGTCTCGTCAATCTCATATCATACACTAACTCCGGGCATTGTTCACGACATGTTATTGTCTTGTAATGGCTGCGACATGGTTCATGTGGCTGTCGATATGTCGTTGGATGGCATAATCAGCTGTCTCCTGATGCCTGGAACCATCTTCTTGGCTCGTCATACTCACATTGTGGTGTTGTGGTGATGCTTGTGGTGGTGGTGGCTAGGATGTTGGGCTGCCGATTATTAGGTTGGACGAGGTGCCGCGATATTGGGAGTCTGCATGGGGCAACTTTAATGGTACACGGATGGGGCATGGAGGGGAGATGGGGGTAATATATATACCGGAGGGAGAAATGGGGCAACATTGGGGCACCTGGAGTGTACGCTTACGTAATGGTAGTGACTGGGTGATTTGTAATCTCAATTATTGGTCCTACTCCGAGTACCGTATGCTAAATATACTGTAGCTGTGTGAATGCCATGGTGAATGCTATGGTGCTGATCTGATAAGCAGAATGGGGAGGTCAGGAGAACTCATTGGTATGGCTGTGAGAGGACATCTACATAACGACAGTTCGAGTAGAATACACTTGTGAATGCAACCAGAAGTTCACAATACTGTATGTACAAGTTGCTCCCAGATGACTCTTGACAGTCCATGGAGGTGCCACTGCTTATGGAGGAACAAGCCGTCTGCCCGGGCCTTGCTGGTGCTACAGTACAAGTACAGTACAGTATTGCCCAAGTAAGCTCACTGTGTGCTCCATTGATACTACAGATACCTCAGAGATACCTCATCAAGTTACCTGGTCGTTACTGGGTTGTTACTTGGTGGTCACTTGCTGCTGTTGTCAGCTTCTATTGTTGCCCTCAAGGTGATGTGGCTCAGCCAACAGTGCCAGTAGCTACCGCCTCACTAGGAGTAGCGAACTTGGTCATGTCGGCCAGCACCATTCCAGCCATGCAAGCCGAGAGCAGGGTAGCAATACCTCCTGTGATGAGAGCCGAAATGGCGACTCGCGAGATATCTCCAGCTCGTGAAGGAGCTAGCCGTCCTAAAACACCCACCTGGATACCCAGAGAGCCCAGATTGGCAAAGCCGCAGAGCGCGTAAGTGACCAACATGGCTCCCCGTTTGCTCAGCGAGTGGTACTCGGGGGACGACAGCGCCAGGTAGGCCACAAACTCGTTTTTGATGAACTTGGTGCCGATCAATTTGGAGATTTTGTAGATTTCGTGTCGAGGGACGCCCAGCAGAAAGCCCACGGGAAACAGAATGTAGCCAAGCATCATCTCGAGAGTGAGCTCGTGAATGTTCCAAAAGTTGCCAAACCAGGTGAGCAGAGCGTCGATGAGAGCCACCAGAGCCACAATGCACATCTGGGTAGTCATGATAGCTCCAGCGACAATGAGGCCGAGCCAGGCTCCATTGGCAAATGCATGGAGCACATTGTCTGCTGACTCGACAGACTCGTCTTCGGGAATAACCACTTTTCCACCCGTTACCGTCTCTTCTGTTTCGGGGTACCGCAGCTTTGCACAGGCCAGAGAAGCCGGAATGGACATGATGCAGCTGGAAACAATCGCCTGAGGGTTGATTCCAAGTCCAATGTACGCTACCAGCATGGATCCGGCGATGGTGGAGAAGCCCGAGGTCATAATCTGGTGGATCTCGGCTTTGGTCATATGCGGGATGAATGGCTTAATGAGAATCGAGCTTTCTCCTTGGCCGAGAAAGGGAGAAGCTGCTGCTACCACCGCTTCGGCCCCAGACACCTTCATGGCCCAAAAGAAGAGATAGGCCAGCTTCACGGTGGCCCATTGGACCCATCTCCAGTACATGAAGATGTGGATGAAGGCGACAAAGAAGATGACAGCGGGAAGTACCGTAAACACGACCCAGGGAAGCTGTGACTCTTCGGGAGACGTTAGAAACGCTGATCCGGCTTTGGCAAACTCGAGAAGTTCCCGAGCCAAGGTCGAAATGAAGTTGAAAATGTCGTATCCGGCCTTGGTTCGCAGCACAAACAGAGCCACAATGTACTGGATGAGCACACCGGCAATGACAGTTTCCCATCTGATCTTGTGACGGTTGTTTGAACTGACAAATAGACAGAAAAGACCCACCAAGTATCCAAAGAAGGACACGGCTCGGTCCGATCTCAAGCTGTCTGGATACTCCTTCGTGACAAAGGTGCCTATCAGAATCACCGCCAGAGTTCCTAGAGCGGCTCCTGGGATCCGTAAATGAGAAGGAACCCGTTCGTATACCTTGATTACCGTTCGATCCCAGATATACGAAGCCCAAACGATGAGATATCGCGCTGGAACATGCAGGGTGATGAATCGGGCAATGATACACATCCATAGAATCGTGGGAATCAACCACATGTGTCGATGTTTCGGCTGGGCCAGAATGGAGATCCACCAAGCGGTGAAAAACATACTCCAAAAGAGATGGAACACCCACACGTGTCTGTGTCTGAACGACTTGGAGGTGAATGTTTTCCAGAACTCTACAAACCCGCCTCTTCTGGATTTGCTGGTATCTTCGACCTCTTCAACTTCAACATCGCCCTTCTCCTTCCCTTTGGTATCTCGTTTGGTGATACCCGAGTCCACAAACTCTTCACTGATGGAGTTTGCATCCAGGATATCTCCGGTCATTGAGTGAGAGTCAACCACCTCTCCAATGGATCTTCTGGAGGCCATTTCTGTGAGTGACAACTATGGCTCTATGAGAACAATGGCTCGTGGTGAATCAATATCAATCACCAGCCACAACTGTGGCTTGAACTCTTATCCACGTGTAACATGTCCATGATGATACACGAGAGAGAGAGATAGCCTCGAGACACACGCTAACGCACAACTTCCAATGATGCAATCTCTGTACGAATCGCACCAGAAACTTTGCCCTGTGTCTTAGTGTACTGCTAGGTATGTGGTTAATTGGAGATAATACGAGCTACACTCCTGAGCATGTGTACGGCGTACTGCGCTACTAGTATTAATAGACGTCAACTAACTTCTAACTAGACGACTAAAGAAGCCAGGAAACAGACACCACCAAGAACCACCAAGAAACACAAGAAAACTCGATATAGAAGAGATAAAACCCCAGACTCGAATCAAACCTCGAACACTCAAAAGTAGTTTCATTGAGACGAACACTTAACCCGAGAGAGCAACTCTGTGGATGATAAACCTCGGACTCCGAACAGTCGCTATACGAGAGAGGGGTGACGGGTAGGGAGGAGAGTCTTATGAATCCCACTCCATTTCAAACAAGATCGGAGAAGCATCCGTCATGTATCAAACTCATTAACTGGAGTCACTAGCTATCCATAGCTATAGTGTAAGACATGGACTGCCTTACTGGTGATGTATGCACTGTTAGCTACAGAAGACTTGCTTTCCTTTTATCATCTATATACTCTTTTTGTACTCGTTCACACGCGAAACAGTCTTACTCGTTCAAACCCGCTTCAGGTTACAAGTTCGCTCCAATCTGATACCGCAACTTGTCGCCAGCCTCTGAATCGACCAAAGTGTAGTGAGTGAGACAGTCCTGAGCAGCCTTGGTCACCAGCTTGTTCCTTGAAGTCATGCCCTCTCTCAACAGAAGCTGGATGCTCTCGTTCTCGGGAGTTTTCAAGTTATGTCTAGTCTTGAGACAGTGCACAAGAAACACAGAAACGCTCTTGAAGGTCCAAATCTGAAGAGAAGCAACATGGTCCTGGAAATACCGCTTGCACAGCATACGAACAATGTCGGAGCGAGAAACGGTGGCCACATGCGTGATCAACGACGTCATGACCTGCATACACCACCGTCCAAGGATGCCTCGTGAAGAAGCAGGCTCCTCAGCAGACCCAGGATACTTTCCGATAATCACATCTGCCAGCGTGTGGAAGACTGCAGTCACGTGATTCTCCACTCCAGGCGGGTATCCTCTAATGACGTCTTCCAGCAGACGTAGTCCGTCGACTCCGAGGTTCGTCAGTAGCAGTTTGGCACGTACCAGCTTATACACGTGATCGGCCACGTATCCGGCCTCTCTCCACTTGTTTTGGACAACGAGTCTGTGGAAGAGAGACTGCAGCATGGGTGCTGACACCGCGGTGCATGTGTCTATCGAGTCGCAGTCGCTTTTCAGCGCAGAATCGTCGCTGGCGCTATCTTTGGTCTTCTCGGCGCTATCTTTGGTCTTCTCGGCACTATCTTTGGTCTTCTCGGTGCTTTCTTTGGTATCTCTGAGCAAAATGGGGTCGGATAGAAGCAAGTCGCGTCGCTTCTTCTTGCTCCAGTTGTAGTCATCGAGCTGTTGGATATCATCATGGAAGAGAATGAAGGGTAACAGAGTCAAGATGACCAATGCGGTGATTGTACACGACACAAACAGCCATGCGATTGGTGAAAAAAGGTATCCCAGAGTGGTTTCGCTGGTGAAGGATGGCATTGTGTAGCGAGTGAGTGAGGTTAACAGTGTTTGTTTTGATTACACTGTTTAAATGGTGAAGTAATATAGCGTACACAGGCTCTTCGTGTAAATATTTACTGCAGGACTTTTTTGGCACTTGAACTGACTCCAAGTATTCCAGTCACCTCCATAATCGCTAATCGCGCGTCTAATTTATTAAAATATCGTAACTCGTTACCAGCTGTGGAGTCTTGCTCCCTCAACTCTTCGTCGTAAGACGGAATTATCTACTGTTTTCTTTATCGTCCCCTTTGAGAACAAAGCAGCTGTCAAAGAGCCCAGGCATTCGCTTCGCCGCTTTGTTGTCCTTGTCCTTCGCTTCATGGTCAAAAGATTTAATCCTGCTTGGTGTTTCGCTTGACAGCAACAGTCTTCTTGGCGGCGGTATCTCCAACGTAGACTCGATCGTCAGCGCTCTCCTCCTTGGCTCGGATTTTCTCAAACTCGCCAACCTGGCGTCGGATGGTCTGCTCGTCCTTCCTGAGGGAGTGGTCGAAGAACTCATCTTCGGGCTGTCGGTACGAGCCTCCCACTCGGTCCCACAGAGTGAAGAACTGGCCGTAGTTGTAGTTGAAGTACAGGTGGTGGACCGTGTGACAGGCGGTACCGTTGATGACGGGAGAGTTGACGAGGAACTCGCCGTCGTGGATCATAATGGTCCAGAAGTTGATAAAGGTGAAGAGAATCAGATAGGAAATCTTGTTGAGAGGTAGCAGGAAGGGGAAAATGTGGTAGGGCAGAGACTGAAAGTAGCCGTCGAGAGGGTGGAAGGCATGCGACGCGAACGGAGAGGGCATGATCCACTTGTGATGGGGCTTGTGCAGGTGCTTGTAGACCCACTTGTGATGCAGACCTCTGTGGATTAGGTAGACGCCACAGTCGGTAAACATGAGAAACAGCGGGAACTGCAAAATCAAGTACAGCCAGCCGTGTTTCTCAACCTCCAGATACATGCGTGAGTAGCCTCTGACTTCTGCGACAAACCACGGGGCGGTGCACAGAGACATGAAGGGGATGGCGCTCAGGGCCTGGGTGATCTCCAGGGTGATCTGGTTCTTGAGGAAACGGGGGTGGTTGAAGGTATCTCGGTCAAACACAAACAGGTAGGACAGCGTGGCGAACGACAGGTACAGAAGCGCTCCAAAGGTGGCTGTGATGATGGTGAAGGAGATGATCTGTCGGATGATGTGGTCTCGGGCGAAAATGGAGCCGCAGGCCAGAACGTGGTCGTAGGCGTGTTTCCAGAACACGGGCTCGCCGTAGAACTCGGGGTTCTTGGCGGTCGCCAGCTTGGCCGCAGCCTCGGGGAAGAAAAAGCCCGTGTTGCGGTCGATCAGAGACTTTGAAAAGTCCTGGACACGGAGAAACTTGGCCACCTGGGGAGCAAGCTTCATTTTGTAGGGCAGAACCTTGGCGTAGACGTAGTCGAACACAAACGTGTCGATGGTCTCCAGAGCGATATCCATGGCGGCAGGTGTGTGTGTCGTGTAGCTGGAGCGTTACAGTGGTAGTCCTTCTTGGTGTATATATATAACTGCGTGTAAAGAGGCTTTTGCCTTTTGGGGGGTGCACGCCAAACGTGTGGGTTTTTTGTTTTTCATGCTTCATTTCGCGGTTTTTTGCATTACCCTAGCCCTTTACGGGAACGAGGGGAGCGACAAGATGACAAGGCGGACGGCACACCACCGGCGGTCACGTGACTCGCAGAACCCTTGGACAGACTCTACCGCCCGTCTCCGCTTCCCAAGACCCCTTCTCTTCTAACCTAGGGACCCCGCAAACCACAACCTCAACAACAACAAAAAAAAAAAAAAAAAAAAAAAAAAAACACATTCTCCAACGTTGCAACTCTATCTCGGATCAACACGCTACTTTTATCAGATTCGGGCCAGGGGAACAACCGTAGGGCACCCCAGGAAAGGGTTGGGGGTTAGGGCAGGCGCCCATACAAGCCCAGATCCGTGCTTCTACTCGTTCCGTGTATTCCTCTTGTCTTGTGGCCATTAATGACTCCATACAAGACCTCATCACCCCATACATGCAACTATATTTATGAGCCGATATTTTTGCGGACGTGACAGAAGTTTATTATTCGACGGTGTCGTTTATCTCGTTTAGGCGAGACCGGTGTAGAATCAACACCACCACTTTTAGCGGGGTCTGAAAAACAGCGACAAGCGGGGGAGGGGGCTCTAGAGGGCTTATCTGCATCAATAGTGGCCATTACTAAGAGATCGGTCCTCCATACCATCTCCTTTTCGCCTCTATTGCCACCCACACCTCATGTCAACCTCGGCAAGTGCTGCATTATCCATGCCAAAAGGGCGAAAAGCAAATCGTGGGAGGCTGAGGCAAAGTGGTGTGTTTTACGGACACGTGTGACATGGCGTGGACGTGTCTGGCAACGTTGGTTTGGGGCAAAGTCTCTTGCGAGTCGTCTAGCTCGTATTACCGGTGGTGTATTGTTGTTGTTGTCTCCCTGCCACCACATGACTAAGGCGGGTCTAGGCCCTGGGTGGATGTAGTAAGTCGGTGCTTCAACAATGTGGGGATGTGGGGGTCAATTGCACAAGACGGAAGGTGGTGTTAGAGCAGGATAGGACTTGTGCACACTCTTGAAGACCCTCGACATGATTAGTGGTTTAGGTCAAGGCTTCTAGGTATTTTCAGCTTGTTCAATCTGACCAGCTGGTCGTCGCGGCTGTCGCTGAATGCTCGCTACCGTCGTTCGTACTAAACCCGCTCTTTACAATCTTCGCACCTTTTTCTACAGTGCCCGTACTTGCAGGTTGCTGTACACATCTCATCCGCTTCGCTTATCGGAGTCGGCAGAGTTAGGCTGGACGCACAAAACATGCCCCACCAAATCAGGGGTCAGCAAGTAGGAAACTGAAGATTTATTTGGAAAATCAACTACTTATGTGCCACTCACCTGATTCCGCCAATTTTCCCCGTTCCAAAATGGACCCTTGTTGGGGTTCTACGTGTTTCTTTTTCCCACACGGGAACACGCAACAAGTCCGTGAGATGCAGCAACTGAAAGAAAGGAGTAAGACTAACACGGCTCGTAGACCCATCTGTAGAATAAAAACATAACCATTCAACTCTGCCAAGTCCCCGTCACACACTCGTATAAATAATTCCCCTTTCTTTCATACAAATATCCCACCTGTTGCTACTTGTAGATGCACACCTGAAACTCGTACCTCTAGCAGCACTGGGGTTCCGATGCCGATCTCCATCAACCTAATCCGGGCCCCAGCCGCGTCGTATCCATCGTATCTGATTAGTAATGGCGTTGGAGATCAGTTGTGAAAATATCAAGTAAAAGTGCAAGAGCTGCTCTGTCGTCTAATGTGGTTTGCTGATACTCTACTCGGACAGTCAGCTATAGTCCATGGAGTATCACCACTCTCCAACTCGACACTAAAGACACAAAGAAGCCATCTGGCTAGTGTATAGATTGCTCACGCAACCCTAGTGGGTATCACATCGGGTCTTAAGGGCGATATTATGTCAGATCTCTCTTGGCTTATGTTTAGCGCCGTTTTGACTTGGTCACCTTGGCTGACGCAAGACAAGAAGCTGTCTAATACCATTGGAACCATATCATTAGTATCAGATCTATTATATATCTACATGTACATTGGTCGATGCATCTATCGCACTGTCGGTGGATAGCCTAGTTAACCCTCTGTCTCTTTGCTCTGGGGAGGCGAGGCCCACGCCGTTCCATATCCCCGGTGATCCAGCCCAGTGCAATTTCCAGAATGCTCTTGCCGGGGAACTCCCGCTGGACCACATCGTAGGTGTCGCAACTCAACATGGTGGACTGGCTCATATGGGCAACGTGCGTAGGCCACTGGTTGAGGCCGTCGAAAATATGGGTGGCGTAAACAATGGTGGCTTGTCGGGTCTCGGTCTCCTCCTTGAGGAAGTTGAGCAGGTTAGTTCGGGCCAGAACGTCCAGATCAACCGTCACCTCGTCCAGCAGAAGAGTTTCCCACGGCACCAGCAGTCCCATGACTAGCTGCACTCGCCGACGCTCTCCGTCAGACACCTCGTGCATGTGCCAGGTGGGATCCACGTCCAGCAGCTGCACAAGATGGTCTCGTCGGTCAGGATAGGCATCTCCTCCGGCGTACTTTAGCAGCTGGGTGACCTCAATGTCATGTCTCACGATTGGATTGCCGGCCCATTCGGTGCCCAGGTACCGGATTCCAGGAGGAGAACAGTCTCGGAAGGGATCAAAGCCCTGGACAATGAGACTGTCGGCCTTGGCGAGGGTCTTTCCCGCCAGAATTCGCAGCAACGTCGACTTTCCAGCTCCATTGGCTCCGATCAGCAACGTTCTAGACCCGGGAGGCAGGTCGAACGAGGTGGGATGGATGCCCACAAGCCCATTGGGGAAGGTGTAGGAGAGGTTTTGCGCCGTGATCGACATTGTGTGTGCTTTTGTGCAATTGGGCAATGGGTGCAACTACTTGTCAGGTTTGTCGTCCAACTCCACCAACAGCCCACGGCACGCCATTTACCTGCATGAAGGTGCATACTCAGCTGTAGGCCGTATGTTGAGCCGGGTAACCCACCCATGGGAGACTACAAAAAAAAGTTGCAGGCCTAATCTTCTTCTCCCCACCCACCACCACTTCGGAGAAACGCAGCAACCAGTGGAGTCCGTTTTGGCCTCTGCCATGGAGCCATGACCGCAATCGTTCGGAGGGGGGGAGATCAAAATGGCCCTTTTCGCTAACACCAATCTGAAATGTATCCACAGATGGAGTTTGATAGTAGAGTGGCGTACATGTTATATACTTGGAGCACATGTGAGCGGATGTGTCGGCGATTAGTAACGAGTTGTACCGACGAGACAGCTTTTCTAACCCTTGAAAACTCGGCCTTGGTGACAAGTCTCGGAAGTGTTCAGTTCAGAGCTACGAGTAGTTCCATGAACGAACTCATTCAAACTTCACTCAAAACTTCACTCCAAAAACGAGATCAGTTGCTCATTGACAGTTGCCGAGTATTCACAGCTAGCAAAGAAGAGTGGCGAAGAGTGGCGGTACGAGTGTCGCCTTCGGATCAAGTCCAAAGGCCATTTTCAGGGTCTAAAGACAGCTTTCCTAGGGTATAGTTGGTAAGTAGGAGTACCGCTATTGTGCCAGTAGAATGTACCATTCTCACTCTGTAGAATTGGGCCTGACTAATATTTGAGCTTCACTCACTCGACTTGGCCACTGTTTCATTCGTATGCTCTTAGACTGTCTGAGACCAAGAGCTATAGGTTTGGCGGTGGGGGTGAAACGAGCGTGAGGAAGGAGTTCTGCGATGAGTCTGTTGAAACCCAAGTCGTACAAGTCCTCCTAATTACAAGTACTCGTACTCTTAGGTGTCTTTGCCGATCTGCTACCTACATTCCAGCCACATGTCCGTGCTCCAGTCGAGACAACTTTCTGTAGCCCAACTATTCTCGGATTTAGCGGCCAGCTGTAGTACGAGTACGAGTGCAAGTATGTACCCACCCACCTGAACTGTCGAAGACTTCACCTCCACGCTGGCGTAGACTTGTGCAGTAGCATTGTGCGGAGATAGATTGTCGGTCAACGCCTAATACTTATAGAGAAGGACGGCCAACTGCTATTCTGAATCAATCGATAGCTTTCTCGATAACCCACTCCACCCAACGAAGCTCTTGTTTGAGTCCCCATTAGCATTCCGCTGATAGCCATTTTTCAGCCCTGTTTCAGCCCTTGGGTGGATCAGACTTTCATTTGCTGCTCCGGCAGACGCCCAGGTTTGCAGACAAGAACGCGCGACTGTTTCGGGGGGTTTATGGTTATCTGGAAACCGGTGGTGGTGGATCAGGTGCAAGTGGTTCTAGAGCCCATACCAAGGCAGAATGAGTGTCCTGACCAGACCCCACTGTTAGCTGGAACTACCATGTAGTGGCAGCATTGGCACACACGCTGCCAGTCCATGACTCTTGGATCCTCACAAGGAAACCGCAGCCGACATGGCGCATTAGATGGCACTGAGGGTTTGAGGGTTTGATGGTCGGGGTGGGTCGTGGAATCGTTGCAAATTGGCGTGTAGGAAGGTCAAAAGAGCTCCTCTTGGTTATCTCTGCACCCTGGCCATTGTGCGCCGCGATAAGAGACGCTAACGGGCGATATCTGTGGGGTAACGGAGCTTGGCCTGTGATATCTGGCGGGATTCTCCTCTGATCCATCGGGCCAGGGTCCTGTTCCGCCGGATCAACCCAGAAATAAGCTCCTTTTTTTGCAGATTCCGCACTCCATGGGCGACTTTGGGCGACTTTGTGTTCAGCACGTTCCTGGCCTAAACTGGGTGTATGCGGCGCCAAACCCGCGCCGTTCGGGTGGTTCTGGCCTCTTGTTGCTGTTTCCCCTTCTTCTCACGTCGATTTCCGTCTGTTTTGGCCTCCGGATCTGCCGCTTGCTTCTGAAGACTGCAGTTGGTACATTGTTCAGATGGATACTTGGCAGTGGAAAAAAAGGGCACCCAAAAAGCCAAAATAAGAGACACCCAAAAGTGAAAAAAAAAGGGAAAAAAGGAAAAAAGGGAAAAAAGGGAAAAGCAAGGTAAACCGTGGCTACCACCAGGGACCCAGCTTCCTAGAACAGAATGCCACACACGGCTGAAGCGGTGGAAAGACAACGAGCCGTAATCGGACCAATCAGAGGTTCCACCACAATCGATATCTCGAGCCCCGTGTAACAGCACTCCGGACCTCCACACCTACCAGATGCAACTCTGGACGTGATGAGAGTGGACAAAGGTGGATTCGGAAATGTCTCATCAATCACGTTGCAGTCAGCCACTTCTTGTTTTTTTCCAGCAAGCTACAACGTGGGGACCGCGAGCCGGATTGCAGGGAAAAGTCACGACATTGGCCACGTCGGGGTCCTCCGTCTAGATTTCAAGTCAATTCAGCCGTAAACAACCTGCTTCAGCGCCTTGTATCAGCCTCCTCCCCGGTACCTCAGAGATCCGATTGGCCCGAGTGAAATAAACCTGGCGGCAAGCTTCTAGGTTTGGCCGTTGAAAGAGTCTAAAAAAATTTGAGATGAGCGCCGATGCAAAGATTAAGTATCGGTAGTAGGAATATAGAACAGAGGTAGCGCGACTTGTTCATATACCCCGACACGGTCTGCAACTCGACACGTCAAGTGGCGAACTGCGCAAAACAAGAGAAATCGATTCCACGGCAATATCGACATTCGACATTGAACATAGACAAGCCAAACTACAATCTTGTCAACCACACAACCCACACATGCTAGATTACGAAGCAGTTCCGGGCTCAATCATCCTGGTTGACCAGGACCAGGAGATTGTGGTGTCGCCCATCCCGTCGTCAGACCCCGATGACCCGCTGAATTGGTCGCGAAACAGAAAACTGCTCTCCATGTTCTGTATGGTGGTCTACATGGTGGCCATTGTCGTGCCGTCCAACTCGCTGTACTCCATTTTCTCGGTGCTCACCGAAGAAAGTGGACAGACCCTGGACGAGCTCAACCAGGGAACAGGCTACATGTTTCTGTTTTTTGGCCTCGGTTGTCTCATTTGCCAGCCTCTGGGCCAGCAGTACGGTAAGCGGCCCATCTATCTGCTCTCCGTGCTCGGCACTCTCGCCGTCCAGCTCTGGAGTCCCTACGCCAAGTCCCAGGGCGCCTGGATCGGATCTCGTATCCTTCAGGGAGCCCTGGGAGCGCCCATGGAAACCATGTGCGAAATCACAATCTCCGACGTCTTCTTCGAGCACGAACGAGGCCGATGGGTCGGAGTCTACGCCTTTGCGCTCATGTTCTCGTCCTACATTGCTCCTCTTGTTGCAGGCTTCATCGCAGAGGGCATGAACTGGAAGTGGGTCTTCTACTGGGGCTCCATCTTCAACGGAGTGTGTCTGGTTTTCCTCTTCTTTTTCTTCGAGGAGACCAACTACGTGCGAGAACACGTTGCCCAACCCGTCCCCAAGGAGGGATCGGTTCTGGAGGGCTCTTCTGGATCTGGAGACCCCGAAAAAATCGACGACTACTCCGAAGGCCGATCCGAATCGTCTCTTGAACACCAGCAGAAGCCCATGAAGACCTATCGACAGAAACTCGCACTGTGGGACAAACCCCGAAAGAATATGCTGTGGGAGATGTTCAAGCGTCCCTTCATCATCTTCTTCAAGTTCCCTCCCGTGGTCTACGCCGGGTTCCTCTACGGCTCCGGTATCATCTTCTTCAACATTCTGAACGCCTCGGCCTCCATGATTCTGTCAGCTCCTCCCTATAACTTCAAGCCCTCCATGGTCGGTCTGTGTTACGTGTCGCCCATCATCGTCACTTTTATCACATCCTGGTACTCCGGTTACCTGTCCGATCTGCTACGTATCAAGCTGGCCAAGCGAAACGGCGGTCTGTCAGAGCCCGAACATCGACTGTGGATCATTCTCATCCACATTATTCTCAACCCGGCCATGCTGGTGCTGTGGGGAGTCGGCGCATACAACGGAATCCACTGGATCGGCCCCGTCATCGGCATGGGCATCATCGGAGGTCTGGCCACCATCCCGGCCGTCTCCTCCGTCAACTACGCCCTCGACTGCTACAGAGAAATCGGCTCCGACTCGCTAGTGACGCTCATTGTCATCCGAAATTGCATGTCCTTCGGAATCGGCTACGGAATCACGCCGTGGATCACCCGGGAGGGTCTCAAAAACGCATTTGGAGAGGCCGCGGGAGTCTCTGCCGCCTGCATGGGCACCTTCTTCATTGTGCTTGTGGTTGGCAAGAGAATGAGAAAATGGACCAAGAAGGACTACTGGAACTTTGTGCAGAAGTCCATCGACAACGGAATGGTCCATTAGATAAGAGATATATATATAGAGAGAGGTACTTGTGGGGGATTTGCATTGAATATATTGTTTGAATAATTGTACACCTAGTTTTCGATGCCATTCAACTGCTTCAGGTACTTGATATACTCAATACCGACTACCAGGAGGCCGAAGACGGCGATAATTCCCACCAAAGAAAAATAATATGCCTGAGGCGTCGACGACGTGGTTTCAGAGGCCGTCTTCACGTCCAGTCTCTCGGAGATGACGTCCAACCGCGACTCGATGGCTCTTAATCGGTCGTCGAGATCCTCCTCGAAGTGATGAGTTTGTTCTTTGTCGGATTGCATGTTGGAGTTGGTGTAGTCGACTGCACACTTTCTTTTGAGACACACTGGTGCTTGTACCACTGGTAGATATATATATGTATTTATGGTATCGTCCTCCTTTGACTGCTGCATGTGGCGTCAGCGCCGTGCTAGACAGCCACTACAAGTAGTGCCTGCTTGTAGATCTGCGCCTCTCGCCAACCGGTAGCGATAACGATAGCGTTCAAAAATATACGACCAGCTGAGGACCAAGTTCCTTGTTGAATACTCAAGTGGCAAGCATTGGACATTGCTGTCCCATGGGTTCTCTGGTCCCTCTACACTACAAAAACGGCCTAGTGGGTTCGCATCAGAGCATCCTTTAGTCCTTTCGTTCGTTCAGAAAGCGAAGGCCGAATGTTTATGTCCGCGAGATTTCTCGTGGGGAAATCGCCGTGCCAAAGTTGTTCCCGTATCGTTCGAGTAGCACTCGAGCCAGGAACGGGTGTACGTGCTTGCGGACCTTTCTATACTGGCCTTGTTGACATGTGAATGGTATGAAGACTTGTTCGAGTAGCAGGACATGTTCAAGTAGTCAGGACATTTTCAGTAATCAGGACATTTTCAGTAATCAGGACATGTTCGAGAAGTCAGGACATGTTCGAGTAATCTGGATATGTTCGGATAATATCGTCCGTTTCGGGAATGATCGCCCTAACATGTCTTACAACTGCTAGACGTGAGATAATGAGGGTAAACATAAGCCACAGTGTACTTGTACTGGCCCGAGTTCATGTTCAAACATAAAAAGGAAACGTTATTTGATGCCGTTCATAAACGATGAACCCCTGTGATTTGAGGAGGCACGGTCGTTTTCAGCATTTTGACCTCAGAATACGGTGCTCCTGGACACAAGGAGTGTGTTGGGCTTATCCGATTTCTCGTATCGTGCGATTTGCGCGAGTTGTGTGGGATTTTGCTGGCGGCTAAGTCCTCTTCAGAACATGTACACACGAAAATGGCCATGGTGTTGAAGGTAATACCCGGTAAGGTAATACCTGGTTAGTTCCTCACATAATGATGAGAAGTCATCACATAGTGATGAGAGGAACCAGCTTGGTCGTAGACGAGACGTCCATCCTGTAGATAGTTCTATCCACTGATCTAGAATCTCTTTCTGGTGAATGAGCAAGCACACACACACCCTTCTGGTGTGTGCTACTATCGGAACGTGGTGTCCCTAGAAGTGGGTTGTGAGTTGTTAATTAACTATATCTAATCAATAATACTTGTGATCAATACATGGAAGGCTGTTTTTCGACTGAAGCCGGGTCAGACGGGACTGGGACGAGATGGGGCAAAATATATATATACGGGAACGTGATTAGGAGCACTATGCGACTAAAATGATATATTATACGCTCATTTTAGACCTTGAGAAAGCCGCCATATATTGCACTTTTGGGACAAGTATACTCAGGTTGAAAGTATATATATATATTTTTCTCTATATATAATAGAATCGCCATTTTAAATCAGAAAGTCAGAATAAATCAAAATATATCGGATTGAATCGGAAAATCAGAACAAAAGACAACAGATATATATTACTTGAGATCGACTTTACTTCGGGTTACTTTCGTGAATACTAATACAAGTAAATAGTGCAAGAAAAAAGACGCTCAAAGGGTAAAATCTCAACTGGTACTTGAACAAGTACAAGTTGTAGCTGAAGGATAGTACGAGTTTCCTTTTGAATTTCATCTTCATCGGGCCCATTTCGCGCAAATTAGTTACATTTTATTTTATTTATTTATTTATTTATTTATTTATTTATTTATTTATTTATTTATTTATTTATTTATTTATTTATTTATTTATTTATTTTTGACTTCCCAATATACTTAGTCACTCAACTAACACCTAGTAACTCTAACGGCAATTTACTCATGCAGCGATATGCACTGAAATATTTCCACCGTACATACAGAAATACATTCAAGCACGAACAGAGACAAGTCAACGACAACACATACCAGCATGAGTGATAAAGAACGCGAACGTGAAAGGAGTCAATCACGTGAAAGGAGCCGAACACGTGAAAGGAGCCGAACACGTGACTCGAAGCGTGACCATTCCGATTCTCGATCCCTCCGGAGACGCAGTTATCGTGGCGACAGATCGAGAAGCCCGTCACGATCTCGGTCCAGGTCATATTCTCCATCTCGGTCGCCCCGAAGGAAGCGGCGCCGACACAGAACCAGTCGCAGAAGCCGGAGGTCACGAAGGGAAGGTGATGGACGACGCAAAGATGGCCCTAGAGGCCATGATGACAGAAGCCCCTTGGCCCCTAGGGAGGTGGAGGATGTGACTGTCAAGAGGGAGGATAGCACGAACGACAAGGAAAGTACTCACGACAAGGAAAGTACAAACGACAAGGAACGCAATGTCTCGATGGAGGACAGGAAGGATACTTCTGAGGATGTTGTGGAGGATGTGGAGGAGGGGGATCCTTCTGAAGAGGCACTGGAAAAAAAAGTAAAGAACCCAGAAGATGACTTGGAGGCAGCGGCAGAAGAGCTCAAGAAACTCATGGAGCTAAAGTCTGGAGGCCGATACGTTCCTCCTGCTAAAATCAGAGCGCTTCAGAAGCTGCTGGTCCAGGATAAGACGTCCAAGGAGTTCCAGAAGATCCAGTTTGACAATCTCAAAAAGGCAATCAACTCGCTGGTGAACAAGGTCAGTGCTCAGAACATTCGAGATATTGCGGGGGAGATTTTCACTCATAATCTCATCCGAGGACGTGGGCTGTTCTGTAGAAGTGTCATGACCGCCCAGAGTCTTGCTCTGCCCTATACGCCTGTCTACGCCTGTCTGACGGCCATTGTCAACTCCAAGCTACCTCAGGTTGGCGAGCTGCTTGTGCGACGACTCATTCTGCAATTTCGACGGGGCTACAAGCGTAATCAGAAGGACGTGTGTTTGTCAAGTGTGACGTTTCTGGCGCATTTGTGCAATTACCATGTTGCTCATGAGGTTCTAGTGCTTCAGTTGCTGCATTTGTTGCTTGAGACCCCCACAGATCACTCTGTCGAGGTTGCTGTAGCTTTCATCAAGGAGTCCGGTGCCTTTTTGGCCGAAGTTTCGCCTGCTGCCAACAACGGAGTATTTGAGCGTCTTCGAGCTGTGTTGCATGATGGCGAGCTGGAAAAACGAACGCAGTACATGATCGAGACGCTGTTCCAGATCAGAAAAGACGGCTACGAAAACTACCCTGTGGTTCAAGAAGAACTGGACCTGGTAGACGAGGAGGACTATGTGACACATATGACGGGTTTGGACGACAAGTTTACAGATGATAAGCTGCTCAACTACTTTGTTATGGACCCTGACTACGAGGCCAACGAGGAGAAGTACGATTTGCTGAAAAAGGAGATCCTGGGAGACTCTGACGACGAAGAGGAAGATGATAGTGAAGCCGAGGAAGAGGCAGATGATGAAGAGGAGGAGGAGGGGGATGAAGAGGAGGAGGCTCAAGCCTCTACCTCGGCTGTGCGAGACCTCACGGGTACAGAGCTTGCTACGTTGCGAAAGAAAATTTATCTGACGGTCATGTCGACCATGTCGATCGACGAAATCGTTCACAAGCTTGTCAAGCTGTCTCGAACGGTTATTGAGATCCCTGAGGGTCTCCCCGAAGACCAGGCTCTGATTCTGCGTCTCAAGCGGACCCAGGAGGTGACGAACATGCTTGTGGAGTGTTGTGCTCAAGAGAAGATTTATAACAAAATCTACGGAGGTACAGGAGAGCGGCTTCTGAGACTGTCGCGGGAATGGAGAACCAACTTTGAGAACACCTTTGGGTTCTTTTACTCGGTTATCCACAGATACGAGCCCAATCAGATCAGAAACATTGCCACGTTCTTTGGGTACCTGTTGGCATCAGATTCTCTGTCGTGGAAGGTTTTGGAGGCTGTTTCTCTGACTGAAGAGGACTCGAACCCCTCGAACCGTATCTTTCTCAAGATTATGTTCACCGAGATGCGTCAGGAGCTGGGAATGGATCTGTTGAAGGAGCGACTTTCCAAGCCGTTTGTGCAGCAGTACATTGCCGGTATGTTCCCCAAGACGAATGCTTCTCATGTTCGGTTTGCCATCAACTATTTCACTGCCATTAATCTTGGTCCTTTGACAGATGGTATGCGGGAGATTCTTCCTGGTCTGGTGGAGGAGGAGGAGAGGCTGAAGAAGGAGGAGGAAGAGCAGAAGCGAGAGTACGACAGTTACGATTCATACGACAGTTATGACTCATACGACTCCTACGACTCCTACGACTCCTACGACTCCTACGACTCCTACGATAGTTACGACTCCTACGATAGTTATGACTCCTATGACTCCTATGACTCCTATGACTCAGTGTCTGAGGATGATCGGGGGCGACGACGACGACGAGGTGTAGGAAGTAGAAGGCGGTCGCTAACTCGGTCTCCTGGTTCGCGGTCACGGCCACGATCCCGGCCACGATCCCGGTCACGGTCAAGATCTCTATCTCGGGATAGAACCGGTTCTCCGCCTCGTGGTCGACGGCGGTCTCGATCTTATTCCCGTTCGCCTTCGCGGTCATACTCTCGTTCGAGATCTTATTCCCGATCGCCATCTCCGAGACCTAAATCTAAAGGGGCTAAAGGCCGGAGCAGTTACCGGGCCGCCAGTTATTCGCGGTCGAGATCTCCGGTCAGACGAGTTGGTTATTCTAGAAGCAGGTCTCCAAGCGTGTCTGGAGGTTCCTCTCGAAGTCCTTCTAGAAGTCCTTGTAGAAGCCCCAACAAGGGCCGTGCTCCTACTCCGGAGAAAGGTCTTTCGCCGCCTCGAAAGCGAGTGCGCGCCAGTGATTTGTTCTAACACACGCCCCCCGCACCCCCCGCACCCCCCGCGCCATCAGGTAGATGTAAAGATGTAATTGATACTGTATTTTTTTAATTCCTTCTCGTCTCTGTCTGTTTGTTGAATTTTTTCCCTCTCATTTACCCCATTTTCCGCCCGTCCAACCAACAACCGCTTTTTACGGCTACAACCGGGTATTAGCGCATTTCACCTAAAATAAGCTTCCGTTGGCTTAAACAGTTTTGACTCTCTGCGATTGCTAAGCACCATCACGGGGTCCGTGTGTCTCTACAGAAGAGTATATATAGACGGGCGTGTTCCGCAATGATAGACCACGATCACAAACACATACAGTGAGTATCTTGTGCGCCAATTCTTAAACGCCACCAGCGCCGCCCTCAGACCCTCCGCGCGAACACGGACCTGTCATAGTGCACGTATGTACAGTATGTACTGGCAGGAGAGTGTGTGAACTCAAATGTGACATTTGCCTTTGACTATTGTTCCGGACCCAACAAGAGCAGGGTAAGTCTGCTGCGAGGAGCGCACCTACAGAGACGCATAGTTTAACAACTCACCCAGACCCTTCCGAAATTCACACACATTTCCAACACGACAATGTTGCGAACCACTCGAATTCTTCCCTCCAAGTTCGGCGTTGCTGCCCGAACCCGAGCTGTGACCCAGTTCCAGCGATGCTACAGCTCCGGTGAGTATCTGTGCGACAGGGAGGGCTTTTTTACGGGGAAAAAACTCCCCCGATGCGATACCACCATGGCCGCGACGACACACAAGGATCCATGGGAAGAGGCAATGAGAAAAGGACATGAGACGTGTCAATTGGACATTTTGAATTGCGAATTGTGCCACTGTCTTTTGTCTGCACCATAGTCGCCCCGTTGCACCCCTCCGGCCAGCGTCCGCCACCCCACACAAGGCAAATACTAACAACAGCAAACGAGGAGCTTGATGTCCTTGTTATCGGAGGTGGCCCCGGTGGATACGTCGCCGCCATCAAGGCCGCCCAGGCCGGCCTCAAGACCGGCTGTATCGAGAAGCGAGGCTCCCTCGGAGGAACCTGTCTCAACGTCGGATGTATCCCCTCTAAGTCTCTGCTCAACAACTCCCAGATGTACCACGCCATCAAAACCGACTCCGCCAACCGAGGAATCGAGGTCTCTGACGTCAAGATGAACATCGCCAAGCTGCAGGAGGCCAAGGAGACCTCCGTCAAGGGTCTCACCGGCGGTATCGAGATGCTGTTCAAGAAGAACAAGGTCAACTACTACAAGGGCGCCGGTTCTTTTGTGTCCGACTCCGAGGTCAAGGTCGACCCCATTGATGGCGGCGAGGCCGTCACCCTCAAGGCCAAGAACATCATCATTGCCACCGGCTCTGAGCCCACCCCCTTCCCCGGCATCACCATTGACGAGAAGAAGATTGTTTCCTCCACTGGTGCCCTTGCCCTCGAGGCCGTCCCCAAGAAGATGGTCATCATCGGAGGAGGTATCATTGGTCTCGAGATGGGCTCCGTCTGGTCCCGACTCGGCTCCGAGGTGACTGTTGTCGAGTTCCAGAACGCCATTGGCGCTGGTATGGACGACGAGATCGCCAAGGCCGCCCAGAAGATGCTCACCAAGCAGGGTATCAAGTTCAAGCTTGGCACCAAGGTGCTTTCCGGTGCCATTGAGGGCGACGGCGTCAAGGTCGAGGTCGAGAACGTCAAGAAGGGCGACAAGGAGACCCTTGATGCCGACGTTCTGCTCGTTGCCATTGGCCGACGACCCTACTCCGAGGGCTTGAACCTCGAGGCTGCCGGTGTCGAGAAGGACGACAAGGGCCGAATCATCATCGACCAGGAGTACCGAACCAACAAGTCCAACATCCGATGCATTGGTGACGTCACTTTCGGCCCCATGCTGGCCCACAAGGCCGAGGAGGAGGGAGTTGCTACCGCTGAGTACATTGCCACCGGTCACGGCCACGTTAACTACGCCGCCATCCCCTCTGTCATGTACACCCACCCTGAGGTTGCTTGGGTTGGACAGACTGAGCAGCAGGTCAAGGAGGCCGGCATCAAGTACAACGTCGGCAAGTTCCCCTTTGCCGCCAACTCTCGAGCCAAGACCAACCTCGACACCGAGGGTACCGTCAAGTTCATTGCTGACAAGGAGACTGACCGAATTCTCGGTATCCACATCATTGGCCCCAACGCCGGTGAGATGATCGCCGAGGGTGTTCTTGCCCTTGAGTACGGTGCTTCTTGCGAGGACATTGCTCGAACCTGCCACGCCCACCCCACTCTCTCCGAGGCTTTCAAGGAGGCCGCCATGGCCACTTACGACAAGGCCATCCACTTTTAAGCGCTTTTAGTGGTGCTTTTAGTAGTAGATAATAATGACTGAACTGTATGGTAGCGAGTGGCCAGGTCAGGTCGCAAGCCAACTTGTAGAGTACATGGCCGTAGGTGACGGGCGAACTAGAGCAAGTACAAGTAGATTTCATTTGGTCGTAGATCACAAAGTGCCAACTGGTAAAGCCGAAATGTTCTTGGATCAAGAGCTGATCTGGGGTGCACTATCAAGGTGTGTGAATGTCTAAAGAAACGGCTGAAGAAGTGCTTCCACTGATACTCCTCCGCGAAGTACGAATTCCAGCTGCACGAGTGTATAGTATCTTACTGTACATGTAGAACAGACGGCAGTCATATCGGATCAAGCATGACACAGTTAGGTGGAAGAAGCAACGAGGCATGATTGTGTTGTGTCTGAGTGTCAATGGGTTTGTCTTTGCTGCTTGTAGTGGATCATTAGACCAGTTGATCTGAGTTTGCGATTATCTTTTATGAATGGTGTTACTTGATATCTCTACGCACCGTAGCTCTACACATCACAGTGTACATAGATGGACACTCGGAAATGTTGATAGCGCGACCGGAAAATTAGTAATACGATATGTTGCTGAAATGCTAGTAGGACTATAGACGGGTGTTATGGCATGTGTTGCAATAATGTACAGTACCTCGTTTCCGTCAAATGATCTCGTTTCCATCAATTGATCTCGTTTCCGTCAACTGCCCTTTTTCCCTCAAATCATCTCGTTTCCATCCCCTTCCGTTGCCTTGAATGACCATATTACATGCTGTTACAGTTCGGAGAAACCCGGAAGAAATGAAATTGCACTAGGAGCAAAAAAATTGCTGATATGCATGCAGTCCACGACGTGCATGCATAAAGTCTTTATGCAGTACATACTGTATATCGTGAATCAAGCCAGATGCAGGAATGTATCCTGTTATAGGACCAGCGTGGGGAGCAAAAAGTGATTTCTGGCAGGATCGAACTGCCGACGTTCTGCGTGTTAAGCAGATGCCATGACCAACTAGACCAAGAAACCCGGAATTATGTTAAAAAATGGCAGTGTTCGTCCATATCTGAAAACTGTTCCAAACCGGCGAATCATTAGAATAAAAAGAATCATTAGAATAAATTAAAAAAGCGCGAATGGACCAGCAAACACGAATATCATGCGCTCTTCTAAACAACCGAATCCGAATCCGATTTGCAGGTATAACACTGTTTTTAGGCCTCAAGTAGTTGTTGAAATGTAATTCCGTAAAATAAAAAAATAAAAAAATAAAAAAATAAAAAAATGGGACAATATCTCAAGAAATTTTGAATGGTTTAAATAAGGCGTATTCCAGATGAAAACAAGATGAAAAAAGAATATAAAACTTCATTCGGTGATCTTCAAAATGTCTTCTGTTGTCCATCATCTATTTCGTGATACATTCCATCCTCCACTTGGTCAAAGCGTTGTGTGAGGTAAGGATTGCTGGTACTCCACATGCCGATATAGAATAAATGCAGAAGTAGTTATCTCTCGCACGGACAAGTAGTTGGATCAACTTCTTCAACTTCCCTGGTTCCTCATGATCACTCTATTTCTATCTCTTAACAGTAATGCCGCTTGTAACATGGCTACAAGACCCTAGACTACATAGTTCATACGCCCTAAAAATACTCATAAATAATGCAATTTAACACTAAACTTGGTCCACAAGTTCCCGTTTCCAGTCTAACTTCTTCTCTTCATAAAGGCCCGCCCAATAACAGGTTCCAGAGCCTTTGGCAACCACTCGGAGGCGTTGCCCTTGAAGGCCCATCCCTCAATCACAGCGTCTTCGTTGCTGCTATCTTCGGAGTCCGTGGTTTCGGCCTCACTTTCTCCATACTGGTAGTGGTCAATCTCCATGTTGAAGATGGCCACCTTACCTCCGCTGAGGGCCACTCGCTCCACGTAGCCAGCAGCGGGCCACACGCTTCCCGATGTGCCGACTACGATAATCAAATCCACGTCTTCGTCCTCGAGAAACTCATCGGCAGTGTTCATGACCTTGAACGGCAACGATTCTCCAAACCACACCACTCCGGGTCTCAGCAGACCCTCTTTGCAATGAGGACATGTGGGCAGATCTTCGACGGGTATTCGGTGGCGCTGCAGCTGTGCCGAGTTGTAGTTGTCGGTGATACTTAGTGCCGGCGTTAGTGGGTCTGCAAAGTTGTCTTCGGTGGTGTATGAACAGAAGAAGGACGTGCATTTGAGAGCAAACAGGTCTCCATGAAGCTTCAAAAGTGCTTCTTGGGGATGCTCTGCGCGCGACGAGAGACCGTCAACGTTCTGCGTAAGTGTCAGAAACCGTCCGCGCAGTCTTCGGGCCAGTTCAGCCAGAGCATAGTGTCCCGGGTTGGGCTTGGCCTTCAAAGACATGTGTCTTCGGTGGGCGTAAAACTGCCATACTGTGGAGGGATCGTTGTGGAATGCCTCGGGCGTGGCAAGTTCAGCTGCGTCGTAGTTGCGCCAGATGCCTCCTTCTCCTCTAAAAGTAGGGAGGCCTGACGACTGAGAGAGGCCCGCGCCAACAAGAGCCAGGATCTTGCGGGACGACAAAAGATGTTTCTGGAACGATTCCAGGTCTGAAGAAAGCATGAGTCGAGATATTCTGAACACGGCTGATTTTTAATAAACTCGTACTGGCACGCTCTTTTGTGTCGGTTGTTCCGTGTGCTACCACTACTTGTAGTGGTGATGGTGATGTCTTACATGACTCCTCATGCATGAAATTTAAACCTGCGTAACATGTGTGGGGTGGAAAACACGGAGCAGACTATGAGAAACTGTTATAAGCCCGGTAAAAGATGCAACAAAGAGCCCCTGTTGCCAGGTTTTTTCTCAAGCTCCAAAATTTGCATTTCTGATGCCATTACAAATACCCGTTTAATACGACCCTTGCGTGGATCGAACACACGCTCCCAATCACACCCCATAGTTAGGCTCCCTTCTCCCAACCTTCAAACCTACAGTCGACACTTCGCGTAGACAACCTCCACCAACATGAATCAATCAATCGCGGACGCGATCGAAACGGCCCGGCCCGCGGTGATGAAGGCCGCCGCGGCCAACGCGCCCATTTCGGACCTGATTTCGCCGCTGTTTGACGGCATCTACACGATCGACAACGACATTGACAACAACAAGGTGTTTGAGGTGTTCCACTCGTTGCCGGACCGAAGTCTCACAACCTACTACAAGGTCATCAAGCGGCCTCTGTCGCTGACACAGATCAAGCGGTCGATGCCGCGGTACCGAAACGTGCAGAACTTCATTCACGACCTCGCCCAGATTACCTACAATGCTCGGCTGTTCAACATGAAGGGTTCCGGAATCTACAACGATGCAGTGTTTCTGGACGGCTACCTGAACAAGGCCATTGCGGTACTTCGAGAGACCAACAAGTTTTCCAACGATGACCTCACCTATCCTGTTATTGGTCCTCTTCCTGAGGGTTCCGATGTGGAGATGGAGTTTGGGTCCGATTCTTCCGAGGATGACTTGAGTGACGACTCGGACGATGACGACGTCGATGGACGACGGAAATCGAGACGAAAGTCTGTGCGAACACGAAAGAAGATGGACTCGGACTCGCAGCGAAGCCGTATGGATGACATGCCCCGAAAGCGAGGCCGGCCACCTATCGTTGATAAACCGCACGAATACCGAATCAAGGCCATCTTACGGGGCGTTCGAAAGGCCCGTGACGAACAGGGACTGGTGCGGTCATTCCCTTTCGAAAAGCTGCCTGAAAAGAGAGACTACCCGGAGTACTATCAGGAGATTGCCAAGCCCATCGCTCTGGACAACATCAAGAAGAACATCAAGCGACGCAAGTACGACACTGTGGAGGCGTTTCTCAATGATATGAACCTTATGTTTTCCAACGCGCGGCAGTTCAACGTGGAGGGTTCTCAGATTTACAACGACGCCATGATTCTGCAGCAAGAAATGATGTTGCTGGCCGACGAGGAGATGCGAAAACCTGACTCTACATACCAGGATCTGGCCTCGCGAAACAACAACAAAACATCACGCCTTCCCCTGGACAGTGTCCAGCATCGAGGTGACATCTACCGAGTGGGTGACTGGGTTCATATTCACAACATGAATGATCCCTCCAAACCCACCATTGGCCAAATCTTCCGAATCTGGCAGGCTCCCGACGGTCAGAAGTGGGTCAATGCATGCTGGTACTACCGGCCCGAACAGACCGTTCATCGAGTAGACAAGGTCTTCTACGAGAACGAGGTGGTCAAATCGGGCCAGTACAGAGACCATCTGGTGGACGAGATTCTGGAAAAGTGTTTTGTCATGTTCTTCACACGGTACCAGCGAGGTCGGCCCCAGGGCATTGGTGACAGAAAGGTGTACCTGTGTGAATCCCGATACAACGAGGTGGAAAAGACCTTTAACAAGATCCGAACTTGGAAGGCGTGTATCCCCGACGAGGTAGACTCTCAGGATTACGCCATGGACCTGTTTGAAAAGGTTCAGCCTCTGAGACGACTGCCCTCTCCCATCAAACACACTCTTGCTCCTGGAGCTCGAGAAGACGATCCTGTTCCTGAGGCGACCCTGGGCGTGGAGAATGCTCCTCCTGTTGTTGGAGCTGTTTATCGACGTCCTTTCGACCCCGCTGACCCCCCGGAGGAACCCACTCCTGCTGACGAGTACATAGAGCCTCCTCAGTTCCAGCGAACGAACAACACTGGTGACTACGCTTCCCCTCAGCCTCATGGAATGGGGGCCAAGCCTGCTTCTGGCCACCTGGCTCCTCGACCTGCTCCAGAACAGCCCGCTGTTCGAACTGTGGTTCCTGGGACCAACTCTGCCCTGCCACCTCATTACACCCCTGCTCCTCTGCAGCACATTCAGATGCAGGGTCCTGTTCCTGTACATGCGCAGCCTATTGGGCCTGTTGGCGAGCAGCAGATCTTTCAGGTGGTGGGTCCCCCCGTCAACTTCACGCTTCCTGAAGCTGTGCAGCAGCAGCTGAGTGCAGGATATGAGCTGGATCCCGAGACGAACGAGCCGTCCAAGGTTGCTCGATGGCCTACTAAAGAGAAAACCATGGCTGTGCAGTGGTTCATTTCGCCGCCTGTGCACTGCCCCGACACTTTTGAGCCCTGCAAAGACACGCACATGTACGGAAAGCTCAAGCTGTCCAAGTATGGAGAGCCTCCGAAGAAGATGCGTATTGTGCGAGTCGGGCACAGTGCAAAGTACTTGGCTTTCAAAGCCAAGAGGGCCGCAGAGAGTGCCAAGGGGGGTGCGAAGTAGAGTATTGGTGGTGGTACCAAGACTAGGGGACGATAGTGTTTATATTGTAATTTTATGAGATTAACGGTTGGTGTGAGCGATGGTTGTTTGAGTCGACAGCAAGCACAATCTGATTTGATCAGCCGCTCTTCACACAATCTTGGGGGTGGTTTGGCGCAGTGAGAACATGAAGGCGAGAACTGGGACTTACTTGTACGAGTAGCATGAGATGAGTGCAAATAGCTGGTACAATATGATTGAGACCAGTTGCGAATTACTCTAGATGCTCAAGACCATGTAAGTATGAGTACAGCACATACATACAGTATGGTCACAAGTACATACTGCACTGTACCGGTAGTGCTGCAGTAGTACAATCACAGGTATCGTAGTTCATCTCTTTTCTGACATAGATTGCTTGCCCACAGCTTTTGTGCTCGACTCGTAGCTACAAGTACGAGCTTCTCGGGTACAAGTCACTTAGCCTCGGCTACCAATACTGTACCGGTAGTTGAACTAATGCGTCCAATACTCATACCAACGGTGATATTCCCGTTCAGGAATACTGGCTGGATGCGTGATATACAAATAGGAAGGACGGCCCTCGGACTAGCGTGGATCTTGCACGTATTTCCTCTAGTTCCGGTTACTAATCACTAGCTACAGCTCCTCTAGCTCCGTTTATGGAATGTTGTACAGTAGTACCAAGATAGTCGGTGCCATGGAACACTGGCGGAACCCAACCGGAATGCTGGATTGTCTCTACTATAAGCACCGTGTAGAAGACAGACATGTTTGATATCAACGGCGAGATGACTGCGTATAGCACCGGTTTCATGTAGGACGGGTTTTGTGATAACCGATCACCAACACTCATGGCTAAGATTACATTACCACGAGAACTCGTATGCACTGTACAGGAGAAGTCCTACGGTACGATACTGTACCATAATGGCTGTTAACGACAAAGTGCAGTGGTACAAGTATCGTACATAACTACAGTAGTTGCATTTGCAGTAGGAGATGCTCAAAGTGGCAACCACTCTCTTCATAAAGTGCTCGTAACACTCATTTTACACCAAACCAGCCCCCGAACCTCCGTGGCCCCTCGATCATTGATTCCGTACGTTCTCATTTATTTAATCTTACCCAGCTCAGCCAACTCCGTTTCAGCTCATAATAAACGACCTCGTCCTCTGCATCTGCACCTCACTGCACCTCACTGCACCTCACTTTGCACGATGCAGACTGCAGGAGTGTCGGAAATGAGACGCCAGAACGTCACACTTCAGACGTCAACAAGTGACACCCGGGCCATCAGAACTGTTTCCAGCCAATCGCAGCCAATACGAGGACGGTATTCCCGTTTCGGAGCCCCAGATATGCCAGTCCACCGCATTTCGCCAAGACCAACAACAGTCTAAACACGCTACTGCATATGTGGCTAAATACGGCGCAACATGACGGGACAGGCCACACCAAAATAGACGCATCTATGCGTTTTTTTTCGGTGGTTTCAGGGAGCGCAGTCTTGGTGGCTCGCTAGGCTGAGTTCTAGTACAAGACCTAACCATCAAGTACAGGTACTTGAGTGCTCGCTGGTTAAAACTACTTAATACAGAGAATGCATACTACTTGTACTTTCACACTAGATGGTTAAATTAATCTGTTACTTTGTTTGGTTTTTCTAGAGGTATCAATTAGCTAAATACATCGCTATCAACGGCTACTCAAAAAAAGAAGCTTAGTTGGAGAAAATACCCCAGTACTGCTCGGCGGCAAAGGCACCGGGAGACTTCCAGTAGTCGTTGAAGGCGGTGAAGAGGATACAGTCGTTGCCAATGGCGGACTTGAGGGACTGGATGGCCTTGTTCTGGTTGTCCTTGGAGGGAACGGCAACACCGTTGGTTCCTCCGGAAGAGGGCCAGCCGGACTCGGCAATCATGACCTCCTTCTTACCGTTGCAGGCAGTCCAGACTCGCTGGGTCTGCTGAACAGCCCACTCGCCGGCGTCCTCAGCCTTGATGTGACCATCGAAGAAGGCGTGGGCGTTGACAGCCATGTAGTCGGAGGCGTCACAGAGCTCGGGGTTGTTGATAACAGCAATGAAGGTGTCGACGGAGACGACGGGTCCCTGGTAGCCGTAGTTTCGCAGCTTCTGTCGAGAAGAGTTGGTGATCTGGTTCATGGCAGAGGCGGTCATGGCGCCGTTGTTGACGAGCTCGTTACCGATAGAGACGGTGTGGACAACGTCCCAGCCGCCGTGAGCCTTGACGGCGTCGGAGATGGCCTTGAGGGAGTTGTCAACGTCGTTGACGTCAAAGACACCAGCAAAGATCTTCTGGTGGGGGGCAATGGCAGCCAGAACGTTGGGGACCTGGTTGCAGTCGGTACCGTAGATTCGGATCACCTCGTAGTTGGAGAGCTTGGCGAGGTCAGACTTCACAGCTCCGGCGTCCTTGCAGGTACCGTCAGAGTTGTAGGGAGAGTAGACCATACCGAGAGCTCCACCGGGGAAGGAGGAGTCGGACTGGGGGACACCCTGGGATCCGGAAGAGGAGGAAGAGGAAGAAGAGGCGGAAGACTTGGGGGCCTCGGAGGAAGAAGAGGGGGCAGCGGCAGCCTCCTCCTGCTTCTGGGTGGCAGAGGGAGAAGACTTAGGGGCAGCGGCAGAGGTGGACTGTCCGGCGGGCTCCCACATGTTGGACCACCAGGCGGCGAAAGAGCCTCCCTCCTTCTGCTCCTGAGCGGGGGCAGCGGCGGCGGCGGTGACCTTGGCCTCAACCTGGGCGGTGGGAGAAGGAGCCTGGGGGGCCTGGGTAGCGACCTGGACGGGGTTTCCGTTGGCGTCGACGGCATTTCCGTTGGCATCAACGTAGTTGGTGACCTGGACGAAGACGGTCTCAATGCCGGCCTCTCGCTTGTGCTGGTGGTGGGCGTGGTGGCCGACGATGGGCTGGGCGGTGGCGACGGCGGCCAGAGCCAGAAGGGCGGTGGAGAACTTCATGTTGTAGTTGTAGTGTAGTCGTTTAAACGGGAAAAGATCGAGGGAAGGAGTGACGGGATTGAAACACGAGACCGGCTCAGTACTGAGTTAGAGAGGTGTCCAAACGGGAGGTGGAGAGGGGGGTAGGTGATGGGTCGAAATGAAGGACTGGGGTGGGTTGACAAGTCAGCTGGAGAGAGAAGAAAGAAAAGAGCGAGATGAGATAGGGGCAGACAGACTATGTTTTCTATGCGTGTCGCGGCGTGTGTCAAATAGACTTTTGAGTTTGCCGACCGACATTTGCGTAAACAAACAAGCCAAACACGGAGTGAGACACTCCCAACCAGGGAAAAACCTTAAGGTTGGGAGTAAGAGGGTTAAGCAAGCGAGTGTCTATGGTGTGTGTGTGTTTGGTTTGGAATGAGACACATAGACCTGTCTGTGAGATCATGTCACCCACCTCTTCCAGACGAGCACTTGTAGGTTGTGGCTTGATATCCGACTAGTCTCATTTGAGGGATGCCACGTGACCACAGTCACATGACTCGACACATCAGCTGTCTGTTCACGCTTGCTTATTCTCTCATATCTCTCTTAAACCACCACCCCTGTTCTGCATATCTCAAACCTCCTTTCTTTTTTTCACGCGTGAAGGGCAAGGGTTCGTCTTTGGTATGTGGCCTAAACAACTCCACCTGAGATATGCACTCTGGAGGTTATTCGGCACAATAGTCCACACAAACGGGTCACAGGTGGTAATAAAAATCGCCTGAGGCGATCTCGTCACCACACACGGGCAGTTGTGGTTGTTGTTGTTGTTGTTGCTGCTGCTGCTGCTGTTGTTGCAAACGCAATACAATGGTGTGGTGGTGTGTAAACTGTCACCATTTGTGGTCGCTCACAATACCCAAGATTGAACGTTTTGCGCCGCACGTCTCATTGTCAGTCGTCCATTGGCTCCTTCACGGCCCCATCCACGGCCGGTTACTTCGAGGCGATACTCACTTTTAATCGAGAAATGAATGACTTCGTTTTAACGGTGGTGGTCTGAGGCGGGCCAACACCCAAGGTATATAAAGTGCCTGGCCATTAGGCCCGTTAACGGTGGGGCACATGTGAGCTTGGAGCTTTTGTCTTTTTCTCTTTTTCTTGGCTTCTTAGAGTTTTGGAGAACCAAGAGAATGCAATTACATGCACAGGTGCGCGTCGAGGTTTATTTTTTTGGCTTTCCGCATGGTTTTTCGATTTCTGCGGCCTCCCAAGACCCATTAATTACCACCAACTAACTGCACAATGGTGCTAGGAGTCCCAGGGCGCGGATATGCTGCCGCGGTGGTTGGGGGGGCTGGTAGAGGGGCTGAAGAGTTGCTCTGTCGCCCGTATTCATGTGTGAAACACGTTGTTTTCCGACTCGTTCCTACCCCCCCCCAAACTCTGCACTACAGCCGCTCCTATCGTATTGGCGCAAAGAAATTTTCTCTTTTACCACGGTTAGATTAAAAGAGAGGTGGAAAACGGTGAGAAAAAAGTGAATTTGAAAAAGGAAGCCCAAGAAGAAGAAAAAAAACTGATGGGCGGCGTCTACGGGTCCGCTGGTCCCCCGAGGCCCCGAGGACGTTTTCAGCCGCGGGATAGAGAAGGGCCTGGGATCGGACCCTGACTTGTTGCTCTTGAATATGAGCAGTTGAGTCTGGTGCACGCGCTCTCGAGTGACACTGTAGACACTGTACAACGGTGCTGACAAGGCGGTCTGTTTGAATGCTCCCAAAAGCCCCCTCGAGCTCCTGTTGACGCTGCGGCAACCACGCCTTGCGGTATTCCGCGCTCGGGCACCAAACCTCTGTAATGCAAACCGGTGTACAGTTCCCACAGTGGTCAATTGCGAGACGCTTGGCAAAAGGAACTATGGCGGCCAAACAGCCGGAAGAGAGACCCAACTTCCGGATAGAACTCTAGCACGGGCGGTGGAGACCGATGGTTGGTGCTGCACGACCTTACGGTGCTTTGGCCGTGGATATATACACCCTGGTGCTGACTTGGAAGGAGGACTAGTTGTAATTGAAGTTGTTGACATTCTTCTCCAACTCATCCAGAGTCTACTTTTATTGCACCTTTCACGATTCGACAAGACTAACCAAACTTAACCAATCTCGGAAAGTGTTCGATGGCAGCCATGGCTAGGTTTCGTCGTCGGTATTACCGCTGTACAACTTGCCTCGCACTTGCAGTACAATACAAGTACTTTGTAACACTCTTGTTGTACTCGTATTCCACTCTCCACGCCCATATGTCCCGTTCGATCTGCTCGTTTTTCGCCAAACTTCAATGATCGACAAAACCTGTAAATCGGTCGGCAAACTGCTGCCCTAGGAGGTGAGACGACCCGGTCAGGTCCACTTTCACGCCGATGAGGCAATGTCTCTCGTTGCTTCGTTTCTCGACTTGATCCAATATGTCTCGGTCGGTGGTAAACTGGCCGTATCCATGTCTCACCTACGGCACCCTTGTCAATCAGCATGAGACCTGTCCAAAGAAGTGTACCGAGCCTCGTTTCCCCACCTAACGTTGTCAACTTATGATGTGTCAGCAAAGACCGAATAATGGCACGTGAAGGAGACATTGCAGGTGCAAGGGGGAAGGGGAGTCCAGGTTGCCGTCGGACGTCATAAAACACCGCCAGTCGCCGTATAGCGCCTCCAGCCTCCCCTACCGGTTAATTGCAGCCCAGCAGTTGTATCGGCGTATCCCACCGCGTTTACTGCAAAGTTTCACCCAAAGTTTCACTCCAAAGTTGGCTCCAAAATTCGCTCCAAACTTCACCCAGTGGACTGGGTTTGTCTCTGTTAGCTTGTTGATAAGTTCAGGGTTCACATATTGCCGCACTGAGGCTTGAGTCAGACCGGGTGCGTCGATATATGCACACTCCAACAGTCCACTCCGCGCAACTCGTCTCTGACACAGGCTGTAGGAATGGCGCAGTGGCGATTGAGGCTTTTATCACCACGTTTACCCTGTCTACGACATGAGACACCCCCCAGAGACTCCAAACTCATACACTACCGCATCCGCCAACTGCCCGTCTCTGCTTGGTAATACGCCCTTGGTGTTTATACCTCAGAGCTACCACACTAATTGCGATTATCAGAGTTGCGGCTCCTCCCCCATACCGAGTGTATTGCCCGGATGGTTGACGTCGAGCTTGAGTAAGAGCATAATGAAGGTTGCTGTTCCCAGTTGGTCTTGTTCCAGTCCGGCCGCTGTCACTGCCAATCGGGTTGTCTGTTGGGGCGACACATGTCTTCTGTGCTAGGCATATCTCCGAGCTGACCATCGGATCACATATGAGACCTGTCCGTCTGTGTCCGTCGTTGTCCGTCTGTGTCCGTCGCTGTCCGTCGCCGTCGGCCTCTCTCAGTGGCTTGTTGTGCTTCACTGATTGGCACGCATTTAGTGGGCGAAATAGTTTGTATTTAGTTGGCGTTTACTTACCCTTGTCCAGCACTCTCTCGCGCCCACTCGTCACAGGCATCTCATCGGCCTTGTTTTGTGCGTCACCTGCCCCGCCTCCTCCTCCGTCCGTTGTTTTTGTTCATATATACCCCATCTCCCGGCCCCGCCGTCTCCCTGCCTCAAACTACCCCACATTGACCCCCCTGTTCAGGGCCTGTTAGGTGGGCTAGATAGCACAAGGGTGTACAAGTGCAAGTACAAGTACCCCACTCGCACTCCCAACTCAAGGTGTAGGGGAACACGTGAACAAAGTGCATTAGTCAGGTTAATAAGGTTTCGTGCAAACTTGTACTCCCAACTCCCAAACATCGCGTTTGTGTCCCTTAATTCGACCCACTATAGCTTGTGTGTCTGTCCCATCCAAACTCCGCCTCCTACTCCATACTCGTCTTTTTGCACCAAAATGATACTATGGACCGCGGTAATCGGGGTGTTCACGTTCATCGTGTCGCTTACCCCCGTCGCTGCCAACTCTCCTATTTCTGTGAGTTATCGTCGCCGGCCACCGGCCGCCGGCCGCTTACTAACGACATGCACAGTGTCATGACGAACAGGTGGTCCGTCGCCTCGACATGAAACACGGCCAGCGGTGACGTCACACGCACGAGCGCAACCACACCAGGCCAGCGTCCATTTCTCTCTCGGCTTGCGGTCCACTTTTCGAAGTTAGTGCGCCGGTGCTTGTTTCTACGCTGGTGCGTGTGCTACGCCATGGATCCCGTTTCATGTCACAAACGCAAAGCCAACATGATACACCCCCTTCCATCCCTTCCTCGGCTAACACAGAAATCGTGCAGACGCTGCGTTGAAACTGCGTCCAACGTCACAGGCCACATTTCGTCCGACCATTTCGCCTCCTTTCTTATTTCGTGCCAAACAAACTGCACCACAGAGGTATCTATCAGTCTCCCTTGATTGCCTTAGTACGAATGAAGACAATGCTAACTACAGGAAAAAGACGAGATTCTCAAGTTCTGGATTCGGTTGAACGGGCCCGAAACGGCCCAAACCGCGGGAATGATGATGAAACGCTCGCTGGAAGAAGTCTACCCAGCCACGCCCCACCAGGAGTCCTTCCAGTATGGCGATCCCGACAAAGAGGCCCACTTGTTTAGACTGCAGCCCCGGCATGAGACCCATGAAAACCCAGATGATCCGGTCCACTCTTCTCCTGAGACCCAGACTCCGGAGTCGTCTTCTGAGCAGGAGAACGCTTTGCACAAAGCTAATCTGGGAGAAACGGGACAACCTAATCCTGTGACAGACGCGTCGCCTCAACCAAACCTTGACGAGCCGCACGAAGACCCACACGTGCCAGAGCGCGTGCCAAGCAACGGAGGAGGTCAGAATGAATCCAATGAGTCGGGCAATCCCAACCATGACGTCACAGGAGACCACCCTCTCCACCACGAGCGTGATCACCAAGCCCACCATGAGCCACTCGAGCAGCCTCACCGTGAACCCTCCCAATATGGTGATGGCACATCCGACCAGCCACCCGGCGGTGAGGAGACCCACCAGGACGTATCCCATGGAGACACGAACCACCATGATGCAGCCCATCACAAGCCTGACGGCGACATGTCACATGGGCCTGCACCTGACCACGTGAACTCTGACCAGCCCGAAGTTAATGACGGCGATGGTTTAGATGCTCCAGTGGGAATGGCAGCTATTGGCATGGGCGGGATCCGGACCGGAATGGCATCTGCCAAGAACACTCGGATTCGACCCTTCCAGATTGTACCCTCTGCCCAGGGTCAACGGGGAGGAGGGGGAGGTACTGGAGGTAGGTTCATTGGAATCCAGTTTGGCGACGGCCCCAGTGTCGCCAAGAAGAACCGAGTAAAGGGTGGTGGATACCCTGCCGCCCGGTACGAGCCTCATGGATACGGGTGCCAGTGCGACGAGTGCATGGGCTGCAATCACACCGACAGCTCCTGCGACTGCTTTGATGAGTGTCATTGTATCGGCGAGTGTACTTGTGGTATCGATCATGGCTATGACGATGGCTACTATGATGAGTACGAAGACGAATATTATGATGACGACTACGATGATGACTACGATGATGACGACAATGACGACGATGACGACTGTGACGACGACGACTGCGACGACGACGATGACGACGAGGACGAAGCTCCACCCCCTTCTCACAACCCCAAGAATTGCAAGAAGAAGAATTGCAAGCACTGTAAGGCTCCCAAGAACCACGATCCCGATTCGTGCAAGAAGAAGAAGTGCAAGTGGTGCAAAAAGAAGAAGGACTCAGACAAGGAACCCCACAACCCTGATACTTGCCACGACAAGAAGTGCAAGAAGTGTCCCAAGGACAAGGAAGACGTGCCCAAATCTGACTGTGACCACTCGTTATCGACCACCACTCAGTACAAGACGCGGACCAAGATTGTCAAGAAGGTGTTTACAAAATACGTCACCACCACTACTAGCTACTATGATACCGTTACTGAGACATGTACCGAGACTGAGACTGAGACCGAGACCATCACGAAGAAGTACGGCGCCCCCACAGCTACCCAAACCATGTCGAAGAAGAAGTTCCCCTGGTTTGCTCAGATGTTCGCTGGTCGAACTGGTTCTGCTCGCTTTGTCCCCGGTGCTGCTGCTACTAACACGCGCCTTGCAGTTGCTGACAAGTACCGCGATTTTGACGCAGAGCCGACCGACCGGTACGAAGGCAACCAGCGGATTTTTGCACGTGCTCTGGATAGCCCTACTGGTTTTGTGGGCTCCGAGATTCGAGATGCTCAGGTCACTCCCACGGCCATCTCCACTGCTGATACCGCCACAGGACTTCCATCCAAGGCTGTGCCTGTTCCGCCCCTCCTTGATACCAACGATACCCCATCAGGATACCACACGGATACCAAAGCAGCCATTCCCTCGAGGGCCAACGCACGTGCAACCAACGGCTCGTTTGCTACTGTGAATGGCTCTTTCGTTATCATCAGCGAAAATGGGACCACGGGTCCTTCGCTTAATCCAGCCAAATCCAGATCTTCTGGTAACGTGCTGACGGTCCAAATTGCGGCCAGTTTTGTGGTGTTGCTGGTCGTTTATATTGCTTTTCAGAACTAGTTAATGTATAGTGATAGTAGAGCTGGAGGGTATAGAGGATGCTCTGTGAACTCAGCCGGTGAGACATGGTGGCATTGAGTGTGGTGGCCAGGGGTACTGTACAGGTAGCATTGGGGATAGCATATGGCAAGCGTGTGTTCGAGACTTCATCAACAGTAGGGTGGTGGTCGAAGACTCAACATGTGGCCCAAGGCAGTGTGTTTGGGGTTAGACATGTTTGCCAATGAAGAGGTCTCCAACCACCTGCTCACCACTGCTGTAGACAACAAAAGTCCAGCCGTCTGAGTTGTCTACATACAGTCTGTCATTCCAATGGTAGTACTCGTACTCGTAATTAGTAGTTGAAAAGTCGACCGTGGAAGTAGATCATGTTCTATCCAAGTAGACTACGAGTAATAGATTAACACATCTCAACGACCGCTTCCGCCTGACGCTCATCATGCAAACCGCTCTCAGCACACGTGCGGCGAAGACTGCTGAAGTTGAGGTTGTTCACATGACAGCGGTGCCTAGTCAGCGGCCGTTTTACAGTGCGAGCGTATCTGAACTTAGCGGGTGGAGTGAACCTGGTAGGTGTGTAGTCACGTGACGGAATAAAACAAAGGGGAGGAGGGGCGGGACGTAGATACACATCACGTGACTCCCAAGCTACCTGGTCACGTGATCACACCTATCCAGTCTCCAGTTTCCAGTTGTACAATGTACAGTACATTCTACATAGTTCTGTCTCATATCCCGAAGACTGTCTATGGAGTGGATTGGGGGAGAATTTGTCATGAAGAAGGAGAGCTATGTACTGCAGAATTGGTCAGGTGATATTCCACAAATGTTACGATAAGTAAGCCGTTGCGATTCCATAATTGTCACCATTCTTTGTAATCCATGCCATAAGCGCTTCATCTTAGTAATCAGTTTGAGTTTCCGCATGGTACAGTTAGATGCGGGAGTCGCACCTCGAATCATCACTTCATCGACATGGACTTCAACGACAAGCTGGCGACGTTGACACGGGTGTGTTTGGCTCGGCGAGTGTCGGCGGGCAGGGTGAGTACGACTATGGAGTCATGTGACTTTCTGTTTTTCAATTCGACGGTTTGCCTTACTAACACAGTTTGTCAAGCTGACTCGACATTTGATGGAAAATGAGGGCGCCTCGGAAGTGAATCCCAAGGCGTTGTTTGGAGCCAACACCTTCGACTTGTTGTTCTTTGCATATGTGCACAAGCTGGCGTTTGAAGACAGTCTTTTGCCCCCTTACAAGCTTCTGGCGTACCTCAAGGTGTGTGCCTATGGCCGTCTTCCCCAGCTGCTCATGTATCTGGGCAAACAGCTTCAGGAAATGGACACAGACGTGGATTTGGGTGCCAATGCGGGCTACAGCTACTTGATTCAGGTTCTGGTTTCGTTCATGAAGGACGCCTTTGCTTCTGGAGGTGGGATGCGAAAGAGATATGGAACGTCTATCGCCAAGGGGTTCGGGTTCTTTGCCGAGGTCCTGTTGACCCGACTCGGAGACAGAATGGCCGGAGTGACTGCTCCCGAGATCACCTCGCAGCTCGCAGAACTAGCAAAGGTCGATGCTACCATTGCCGGAAGACTGGGCGAAGCCTGGATGGGTCTCAAGGGCGCAGCTAAGACCAGCACCACAGCTGAAACAGTAGCGGCAACCGTGGCTACACCCACGACTCTCACTAGACTTTACAGAGACACGCTGTTTGAAAGCCTCATGTTTGGAGACTCATCCTGGAACCAGTATGGATCCCTGTTCCAGCTCATCAGCACGGTCTATGCCATGCCCGGGTACCCCACTCTGGCCTCGCAGCCCGTGCAGTCTCGTCTGGCAATCATTGGCGAGGTTATTTGCGCCATGTTTGACTGTCAGAGCATCACTTTTCTGCGACGAGATTCTGCCAAAAGAAACAACTACTGGAAAAGCTGCATCCGAACACGAATCCCGCGCATTATTCGCACTTTGTTCCCGCACTCGACACCCGAGGAAAAGACGCTCATTCAATCCGTCGTCTCAAAAAGTGTTCTGGGCCTGGATCAGCCTACCGTGACCCTTATTCGTCTTTCCATCGGTTCTGACGAATTAGACGACATGTTCTCCTCGTTCCCGGGTGGCCTGGACGTTGACATTAGACACGAACTGGTTGCTGCATGCATTTCCGAAGGAGTTCTGCCCAAAGACGCCTTCAACGCGATTTTCAAAGACTCAGGAATCAGCGTAGAAGCCCTCGATTACGCAGACGAGCTGACGATCGACGGACAGGCTATGAGCCTAGATACAATGGCAGAGCAGCTGAGCTACGAGAATCTCGAGATTGGGTCTGTTTCCGACTGTCTCATGTCCAAGGTGGTCGCTCAGATGGAGAAGCTGAGTGGAAACGCACAGGAAGCGCTGACCAAACGGCTGCTAGTGTGCCTGGCAGACTTTGTGCAGGCAGGAAACGTTCGACCAGTACGATACATGTGCCAAGCTTTGGCACTGAACACAACTGCTGTCGACATTATGGCCCTTTGTGTCGATCCCATGCTATTACTCAAGGCTCTGGTCGACTGCATTGAGCTATGGAGAGAGGAGGAGGACGAGGCCAACTACCAAGAAGCTTACACGGACTTTGGAGCCATTGTGGTCTTTGCCATCACCCTCAAGCAGCGCTATCACCTCGATTTGGCCCTGTTGAACCAATTTGGAACACTCTTTGTGGGTGCTCCTTCGCCCTCCAGCACCATGCCATCACACGAGTTGTTTCTGTCACAGCTTCTCACAGAAAGCGACTCTTCACAACGCATTTTCCATCTTTCCGACGAACAGAACGACCAGCTCAGTGGATGGGCTACCGCTCTGTATGACGCTGGAGGCATCTCCGACGATCTAATGCGATCGTCATCCGTAAAGCAATTCTTTCTTGTCACCCCTGCCATTTTTCAACAAAGCATGCTCGCCCACGAGAAGGGCCTACTTTCTCTGTCGACCTTCAAGGGAGGCCTGGAGTATTTTTTGCAGCCCTTTCTGTTGGGATCAACAGTGGGAGTGTTCAAGTGGTTGTCGGAACAACTATGGGTGCATTCGCAAAAGGGACACGACGAGCAGATGAGTACAGTTATATCTGTTTGTTCCACTCTAATTCTCACCGATAACACTGACATTGAGGTCTTGTCTCCTATTCATCAAATGGTGCTGGCTATATGTGCTGACGAAATGTACGAGGCTCTGGATATGGCTCTGAGGGCAGGCTACATGGTTGAAAACCGGGTGTTTGAGTTCCTCGAGCCTTTTGTTTCGGCCATCAACTACAATCTCAACGTGCAGCGAACAGTGTCGTCTTCTGGTTTCCGATCGCAAAAGGGAATCGGTATGAGTGGGGGTGGAGGAAGTGGTACCAAGGAGCAGACGTGGAAATACGGTGCTTCCATGATTGCCACCATCAAGGAGCAGGTGTCGTCACTCATCAGTTGGTCGCAAAACCAGTACACGGGTCCCCCGTTTGGATACGAGCTTGTGATGATCCTGTCGTCGGTCGACACTCTGGGCCATAAGTACGTTCTGGAGCAGCTGATCGAGGAGATTGCGCTGGCGGACTCCAACGGCACAGGCCATTATACCGTGGAAGTTGTTGCTACGATTGCTACGGTTGCATTCATCATTTCCACGTCTGTGAAGAGTCCACGACCGTTTTCCGACTCACAGCTCATTCTCAAGTCACTCGATAACATGGTCAACGACTCCACGGGCAAGAGCAAGGACATTTGCGTGCTGCTGCAGTCCAAGATTCTGCAGTTGTTGACTACAGCAGGCTACAAACCCGACGGAAGTCGTCTGGACGGCAAACCACATGCTAAAGAGGACTATTCGTTTGTGGTGAACCGAACGGGCGAGGTTGAGAATAAGCCCATCAACGACTCGTCGCAAAACTCCAACACTGACAACCAGTTTATGGACACTAACATGTTTGGAGGCGACGACTTCACCATGGACTTTGGCGGCGACATTGACATGCCCGACTTGTTCTAGGGTGTTTGTACAGTAATTTTATTCATATTTAATCACATGTGTAGGCGATGAGACTGCGATCTGCTCAAAAACAGTGTGCGATATACCCAGATTTGCACGCAGAAGGTCCAATGTGATCCACCGCACTTGAACCTGTGATTCTCGTCACACACAGCTGGGAATGGTGGTACAGTACTTGTCTACACACAGCCAAACGGCCCAAACATGTCCTGCTACAAACCGCGGCCTGACCTGGTCAGCCCTACACATGTCCTCAATAGCATTTTAATAATTTTACATGTACATGCACGTTTTAACCTCGGTGAGCCATGATCTTACCCTTTCGAGTGGTAGTCTTGGTGTGCTGACCTCGGACCTTGTAGCCCCAGTAGTGTCGGAGACCTCGGTGGGCTCGGATCTTCTTGAGTCGCTCAATATCGTCTCGCAGCTTGACATCAAGCTGGTTAACGAGCAGCTGGGAGTCCTTACCGTCGGTAAAGTCTCGCTGTCTGTTAAGGAACCAGCCGGGAATCTTGTACTGACCAGGGTTCTGGATGATAGTAACGATTCGCTCGAGCTCCTCGACGGTGAGCTCACCGGCTCGCTTGGAGAGATCGACATCGGCCTTCTTGCAGACCAGGTTGGCGTATCGTCGACCAACACCCTTGATCTTGCACATGGCGTACATGACCTTGATTCGGCCGTCAACGTTAGTGTTGAGGAGTCTGAGTTAGCAAAATACTTTCTAGTGGCTGAAGGGATTGATCACCGATTAGTGGCCCTTGATGAGACTGATCACGATCCATCAAATCTCAAGCATCATAAAAACGAAGTGGTAGGCAGAAGTTGACAGTCAGACAAATGTACGCAAACAGGTAAGAACACATAGTGTAAACACGCAGAACAAATGCTCAAACATGTTCAGTCTGCTTGGTCCTTTCCATGTCGCATGACCCGTCTTTACTCATCATTGACCTTCTGTGCCTTCTGTATCTCCATCACAAACCACCATATCGAGCTTCAATAATCGTGTAATAAATTCTCTCCCTGTTCTCTCTGTGCTGTCTGTACATACCGAAGAATGTGCTGGAAGTTGCCTTGTTCAGTGACGACGAGGGACATTTTGGCGTGTAGTTATGGGTCGACCGGTGATGATGAAAGAACTGGTGCTTTACACACTGAACTTTCGTTTGCAATTTTCCGAGTCCAACTCTATCCAAAACGGAAATATCATGTGACACTTAGGGTTAGCCCTAAGAGCCATGAAAACAGAGGCAGGAGGACAACGTGCGGTCGTAGGTTCGATCCCCAAAGATGTAAAACATTTAAATTTGGGAGTTCCAAAGCTTAAATTAAACCAGCTCTGGGATTGTGGTCTTGCTTACTAAGCGCACAATTTGAGAAGGGCAAAAATCTACCGATCCGAGAGTATTCAAAAATACAGCATCACAGTGACACAGATATCCGTTTTGGGTGTCTTGGCACATCTTACAGCCTTGTACTCACGTGTGTGGATCTCCTAAGATGCTGTGAGTTCATGCACACCTTGCATAATTCAGAAAAAAAGTGTTGTCGTGAATATACCAGTATTATCAACAACATGAAGGTGGAAAAAACTCGAGAGGCTCTGCTGTCCAACTTTGAGGTGCTGGCTCACGTGCGGGACCAGGAGCGTGCCCGACGAATGTCCCAATCCGCGTCGGCAGCCTCCAACCAGGGCACTTCCCATGCCGAAAACCTCGAAACCGTCATCTACGAGCTCAAGGACTATCTCAACAAGTCTCCTGCTGCCAGCCAGTCGCCAGAGGCCATTACGTTGTTTCTGCAGAAGATCAACCATCTGGGGCTCGAAAAGGCCGAACGATTGCAGCTCATCAACTCCGTGCCCACGTCTATCGTGTCGTTATACTCCCTGATCGAGGAGTGCGATCAGCGTTACAATGAGGACCAATGTGAGGAGATTCTGGACGCGATTAGAACAACTCTGGTCAGTGAAGAGGATGCTATCGCTGAATAGCGAGTTCACAATGAGCAGATGCCGAAGACAAGGCTTTTGGCAGTCGACTCAACCATGACACACCCAAAACAATGTATACTACGGAAAAGTGTGGAGGACACGTTTGCATATAATTTAATGAACAATAACGATTGATCAATCAAGTACAAGTACAAGTACACACGAGAGTTGATAGTGTCATAAATACCGTTACCAGTTTTGTTTCTCTTTGTGGTCTTGTTCATCGGAGTGTATACAGTATCAGCCCAATGTCTACACCAAGATTTGTACAGAGCCATCAACTTTCAAAGGCAGTATCGGTGTTGTAAACGGTATGACTACACTGCAGTGTGTCGCAAAACATCTATAATATCATTATCCAAACCCATTTTACTCGCCCTTCTTTCTAACTCCAGACACGATATCGTCGACTCGCAACAACAAGCAAGCAGACTCAATGGCGGTCTTGATACTCTGCAGCTTGATGGCAGCAGGCTCCCACACGCCGTACTCCTTCATGTCAACAACCTTTCCGTTGTCACCGTCAATGCCGTATGTGGAGAAACCCTCGGCTTGCTTAGCTCGCAGGGTGGCCAGAGTTCGAATGGCATTACCACCACAGTTCTGAACCAGGGTTCGGGGAATCACCTCCATGGCATCAGCCACGGCCTTGAAGGGCCACTGTGCAACACCCTCGATGGTCTTGGCATGCTCGGCCAGTCGCACGGACACAGCCATCTCTGTAGCACCTCCTCCGGGAGCCAGCTTGGGCTCGAAGAAGACGTTTCGAGCCACAGCCATGGCGTCAGCCAGATTTCGCTCAATCTCGTTGAGAATGTCCTTGGAGGGTCCTCGCAGCAGCACGGTGCATGCCTGGGGGTCTTCGCCTGTGATAAATGTGTAGTACTCATCACCAATCTTGGAGATCTCAAACAGGTTGCACAGAGTACCAACGTCGGAGTCCTTGATGTCCTCGATTCGGTTGACGATGGTGGCGCCAGTGACTCGTGAGATTCGGTTGTTATCGCTCTTTCGCATTCGTCGAAGCACACTGCAGCCGCCCTTAAGCAGATAGTGCTGGGCCAGATCAGACACACCCTTCTCGGTGATGATCAGGTCGGGTTTTACCGATAGCAGCACCTCGCACTGCGCCTTGATCTGCTCCTCCTCCAGCTGCAGCACTCGGTTCCAGTCGGCCTCCTTACTGATCTCAATGTTGGTCTGAGATTCACCCTTCTTGTACTCGAGAGGACAGTCAAGCAGCACCACACGGGGAGACTCGATTCGCCGTCGCATCTTGGGGTGGGTGATATCCTTGTTGATCATGACACCGTCCAACACACGGGAGTCCTCAATCTCACCTCCGGGAATCTTTTCCACTCGGACGTATCGCTTGATGTCAACCTCCTTCTTGCCGTTAATGTCGACAGCAACGGTCTTGACGGCCTTGAGAGCCAGAGAGGACATCTGCTCGGACCATCGGGACACGTACTTGGTGCCGATGGAGGCGGCAATGAGCTTCTTCATGGCAGCCTCGTTGTTGACGTCAACGGGAACAGAAATCTCCTCTACAACCTTGAGAGCCTCAGCAAGTGCATCCTTGAGGGCGGCAATGATGACAACGGGGTGAATGTTCTTCTCCACGTAGGGGAAGGTCTGAGCGAGAATCTCTCCGGCAAGAATGATGACGGTGGTGGTTCCGTCTCCAATCTCCTCGTCCTGGGTTCGAGACAGCTCGATCATGGACTTGGCTGCAGGATGGGTGACCTCAATCTCTCGCAGAATGGCGTGACCATCGTTGGTTAGGGTGATACCTCCCATGGGGTCGAGAAGCATCTTAAGCATGGCCTTGGGACCAAGACACGTTCGCACAATATCGGCGACACTGGGTTAGTAACATTTCTGAGGGTGGTGGATGTTGGATAAGCGTAATGATGGAACCGGCGGAGTCGACTCGTCGGGAGGAGTTCAATGGTGGTGTTGCATTCCCCCAAACACGACTCTACAGCTTGATATCACCACAAATCAAATGTCCGCCCTATAAGAAAAGATGGCCGAAGCAGCTGTCCACAGCCAAATTGGAAGTCCAAACAACATATAAAGGGTAAAACAGCTACCCCAAACGCCCCAATTTGCCTCCAATTTGCTTCAGAGGCCGTCCACCCCTCCAATTCCACCCTCCACACTCCATACTCACGCCTTTGCAGCAGTAATGTTGCTGGTCTGGGCCTTTCGTCCGATTTGACGTTCCTGGCCGGCGTCTGCAGTTAGTAGTTGTTCGTCGATTGTGTTTTTGCGGCCCCTTTTGTATCCACCGGGTACCATTTCGCATGGTGTTCTTAGTCATGTTGGAGTTACACGTAGAGCATAACACCAGACCTAGGTGGCGATTTGTGCCGCAAAACCCGTCGCGGACAACACGGGGCAAGTCGTGGGACGCGGTAGCACGCAATACTCACTCATAACAACAACAGGAGCTTGCATTGTTGTTGATTTTGTGGTTGATCTGAATTTGCACTTAGCAGAAGAAATCAAGATTTCGAAGAGTAGAGAAAAGTTGGGATAACTTTAATGCGTGGCGAGGCGTCTTGTCTTGGATAAGCTGACTAAGCGGTAGAATCCTGCGGAATCTCGTGGAAGGAGAGGAAAATATTTTCCAAAAGCTGCCGTTGGCTTTTTGTGGTGAAATTGTCATGCGACTGTATATTTTTATTGATTCTGCTGGTGCTTGAGCGTGTGTTGTGGAGTGAGTCTCGAGTGTCATGATGGCATAGAACCATCTGAAATACTCGAGGAGGTTCAAATGTCAAGAAAATACCATTAAATCCGGTCATTATGAGCTATTGGAATACATATTTGAAGTCCCCATACTCCCTTCTCTTCTGGTTCTAGCTCCAGTGACGGAGATATGTGTTTGAAGAGCCTAAGATGTTGTTCCAGGACCACCATGGGCGACGGCAGTACACTAGAGAAGTAAGAAGTTGTTTGGAAGAATACACAAGTGCTCAATATCTATCTACAATCTTTTATTTATGTACCAAAGCATCTGGTATGTTTTTATCTGAACATATGTCGCAGCAGTAACACGAGGCGAGAGAGAAGAATCTAGTGGATCAATTGGATCAGAAGAAGAAAAATCACTTCAACAAGTGAATTAAACGGCTCTTTATGTCCGCTAGACACATATTTGGGGGTGTTTTTTCGGCAGATATGGACCATTTCCTTGTACATGAACATGAACATGAACATGCAAAAGTGTGTGTATAACAGTGGGAAGAATAGTCGTTGTAGACGTTTTCGAGGTCATTTGGGCACTAGACAAGCCCCCATAAACACCATCATCCGATTAATCACAACTCTCCAGTCAATCCACTCCATCTCCATCATACTACAAGTACAAATACTGTACTTAGAACAGTTTTTCTCGTACACCGTATACAGTAGCACCGGCTCCTGTCTTACTACTAATCTACAAGTAGCTGTACCAAGCAAAAACTGTTGTAGCTCCAATCCAGGTTCAGTGATAAATACGTACTACTTGACATTCACGAATCAAGTATCCAATTCAGTCAATCAAAACGTCTTCCCTTTGACATTTCACACATCTGTATGAACATGACCACTTGGATCCAGGCTCCTTATAGGTAATCGTAGTCACCTTCAAGTCAAGTACTGTACTCGCACTCGCACTCGGACTCCTACTACCAGCGGAATGTACATGATTCCTACCAATACCCACTTGTACTCCCAATACAACCCCTGAGTCCCCCTGCACTCATCCCTGTGCACGCTAAGATGCCTCTTGGTTAACCTTCAGTAACCCAATCACTATTTTGTTAGAGTTGGGAACACGTTACCAGTATCAAGGTACGGACATGTTCATCAATAAATAGCTCGCCCAGCGAGCTTGTGTATTATTATATTGCTGGAACAAGAGCCGCACAAGGGTCTCGTCTAGGTCCGTAAAATCTCGGCGACCTTGCTTTGGTCGAAATTAACATCTCGGGTGTGAAGTTCGTCAACGGGTGGAGGTCCCGAGGGCTGGCGCACAGGAAACATAAGATCGCCATCCCGCGACTGAGGCTGTCGACCATCCTTATTAGGAGACGTAAATACGTTGGTGGACAGCGAAGACGCCTTTCTGTGTCCTCTTCGGAAAGGCGTTTCGGGGGTGCCCACCGAAGACGACCCAGCGGGTCCCTCGGGCGATCCTCCGGGGCCTGTCCCTCGAGAATGCTGACTCGCATGCCCTCCATGCAAAGCTCCGGCGGTGCCTACGGGGCTGCCGGGAGCCAACCCCACCATGCTGGTACTATTGGAATGCGAATGAGAGTACGAGTGCTGCATGTAGGGGTTATTTTGGGCCGTGACGGGCGTGGGATGGGCCAGAAAGTTGGCCGACGATGGCCTCTGGATCCGTGAAGGAGAAGCGGGCCGACCCGGACCCAACCCGTAGCCCAACCCGCTAGGAGCATTGAATCCATGGCCCCCATGAGGTGGACCAGCGTGCTGATGACTGTAAGAATCATCCAGAGGCGACGCCAGCAGCTGCTCGTGCAGCCACTGATGCTGCGAGTGGTGGGCCGGCAGCGTGGTGGGTGTGAATTTGTGTCCCCCCGGCGCCGAGCCCGGTGCTCCAGCGACCTGGGGTTGTGCGGGCTGCTGCTGGCCCTCCTGGATGGCCTCGTTGAGCGCCATCTGGATCCGCTCCTGCTGCTGCGAAATCAGAAGCGACGTCACCTGCAACTCCCGCTGCTTGGCCTGCAAGTGGGCGTACATGCTCTGGGGCGACGGCGACGTGCGGCCGTCCATGTTGGGGTCTTGCGACGCCAACGACGCGCCCTCAAACATTGGGGAGCGGGGCGATCCCACACGGATGGGCGAGTTGTATCCTGACCCGGAGCCGCCGGGGTAGCCGGCTCCGCTGTATCCTCCATACGGCACGCCTGTTTTCGACGGCGAGCCCACCCGCTGGATGCCGGGGTACTCCTGGAACGGCGACCAGATCCGCTGGCCCTGAGGACCCACAGTGTAGTTGTGCTGCAACTGCTGCTGCTGCTGCATCTGCTGCTGTCGCCGGTCGGTGGCGTTTTTCAGACCACTGATAAGTGCCGCTCGGGGAGATGGCAGGGGCGCCTCGACGGAGTTGGATCCGGCCGAGCCAGGGCGTTCTGGCGTATCATCGTTGAGCTGCAGCACCGGCGGGCGGAATTGCTTGTATTTGTGTTTCTCAGCTTCCAACATGGGGGATTGTGGCATCTTTGTTGTTGTGTGTGTGGGGTGATGTGATGTCATGTGGATGTGACGATGTTGATGATGAGACAATGTGACAATGTCAGCGTGACGCAGAAAACGTGCTTAAGAAGCCTCCTGTACACAAACAGACAATGCCGATAACGTAGGATGAACGTGCAATCGACCTGTCGATATGCCCAGTGTGGTTGTGCGTGTGTCTCGCTCGTGTGTCTGTGTCTGTCGATGTCGATGTCGATGTCGATGTCTGTCGATGTCTGTCGATGTCAAAGTCGAAGTAAAACGCACCGAAAAGTGTGAGTGCAATTAGAGCTCTGGGCGGAATCACGTGACCAACCTCACACAGCTAACCTCGTGTGGTTACTGGTCCGAATGCGAAAAGGGGCCCGAACGTGAGGCGTGTTTTGGTCAGAGTGTGTCTCGGTGGTGGGTACACCTCTCTAGGAACGGGACTCTGGGGGAGGTAAAATTGGACTGGGTGCCCTGCACAATAAGGTTTATGCCAAGGTGCGGATGAATCTTGGTAAGGGGTAGGTGGAAGAGGGTTTTGACGGGGGGCCAGATGATGAGTCAGCAGACGTCTGGAATTGGACCTGCTCCGCCAACTCGGTCGCCGAATGACCCCCGTCCGCCTCTTTCCTCCCCTTGATTTCAGTGTTACGTCATGGGACGTATGAGCAAAGTTTATTTGAGTGTGATTGTCAGAGTCGATGAGAAGAGCAACATGCTGGCCGAATTAAATGGAAGAAAAAAGCTGGTAATTATGGAGACTTTGAAAGTATGTTTCAATCGTCTTTTTCGATTGATTGAAGAAAACCGGGTCGTTATACGCCTTGTAAATCTCGAGTTATTGACGATTTCGTCCTGTAACCGACCACTAGACATGATAACGCTGCTACAAGTACAAGTGCGAGTATATAAGAAACCCAATCGAGGTCGCCGGTTCAAGACCATTCGAGACCATGCGATTCGGCCACTTTAGACGGTAAACATGCCCTGACGCAATCACTGTACAGTCTGAGGTCTACATTGTTGTAGTTGCGTGCGAACCTTGTCAAAGTTGCGAGAAAAAAAAGAAACGACGACAGGGAGCGATGAGTAAGTATTCGAGAGGTGTATTGAGATGAGTAATCATCACGTGAACGAGACCACCCGAGCGTGGTTATCACGTGGCTGTTTTCGTATAAACAAGTCGCCCCCTACATACTACTAAATAGCTCACCACCCCAGATGGGTATTTTTAGCACACGGTCTAAGACGCGTCTCAGATGCTGAACCACGTGATTCTAACCAGGGGCAAGGTTGGCGATCGCTGCTCGATTGCCAATTGACGTCTCCGCCATCCTTGCATCTTTAAAGCTCGCCCCCAGCACCCGTTTTTCGTGTGTGGTGAAGGTCACCATGTTCATGACTGGGGTACTCATGAGTCTGCACGGTGAGATGGCTCCTGTGCGTTTCGTGGATGGCAGGAGCGACCGAGTACAGTCTATCTACACAGCCATGTCTCAAACCAGCATTGGTGATGCATCTGTGAGCTGAAGCCAGAGCCGGCGACAACCAGTGTTGATAGCGCGACTTGTGTACAAGTAGCAAGGACCCAACATTACATAGGAGTGATTACTCCTACATACATGCGGCGTCCCGGGCCCATGTAAAACGAACTAGTCGGGGTTATTTGGTGTCTTAGCTCTTTTGATTGCTGTCGATTGGGAAATAGAAGCTGCTACTTGAGTGGTTTCTGTATCTTGTCAACGCCATCAGGCCGGTATTGCGCGCTTGTGATTTTTTGCTATTTTATTTCATTTCGATCAAGATAATTCTCGGATAATTCCGATAGTTCCCGGATAATTCCCAGAAATACCCAGCAGGGCGCATATTCACTCAATAGCAATGTTCCCACAGACTCCCATAACTTGAATGTCGGTTTCGTATCTCCTTTGCCTACACTCGTCGCCCCAATTCATACTGGGTAGTAAGTACATTCACGGTTGTAGTTCTGGAATAGGAAGGAGGAGTTCAGATACTTGCAGGCACTCAAACCCTTGCCACTTGGACAATAACAGCACAACCACTGTCTTCTGACCTTCCACAACCATCTTGCTTCTCGCTAAAGTCCCACAAGGGCATCTATAGTGCAATCACATGTTGCTACTGTACCTGCTGTGGACCACGCACGGCGGAACGTACCGTACAAATATTTTCTTGCTCACATGACTCTCTCTCGGCCGCGCACGCCGGTGGCAAATTGCTCTTGCATTGGCTCTGTCTCTAGACGTCCAAACCGTCCAAAGTGGCAGGGTGACGTGATGCGACGCACGAAGGAGATGGCCCGGTGGCGAGGAACCGGACACGGCGAGCCGGCGGGAAAAAAGGCGGAAAACGAAAAGCGAAGGGCACAATCTGACGGTGCGGCTGCCACCAACCCAAGGAGGCTATTTTGGGTCGCTTTCCATTTCACATTCGCCCTCAATGGCCACTTTGCGGTGGTGAACATGGTTTCTGAAACAACCCCCCAGAATTAGAGTATATTGATGTGTTTAAGATTGGGTTGCTATTTGGCCATTGTGGGGGAGGGTAGCGACGTGGAGGACATTCCAGGGCGAATTGAGCCTAGAAAGTGGTACCATTCCAACCGTCTCAGTCGTCCGAATTGATCGCTATAACTATCACCTCTCTCACATGTCTACTTCCCCAACCAACATCCCCAACCTCCCCCACACTAAAGTTCACGCCAATAATGTAGGCACTCTTTCTGGGTGTGGGACAGCAGAGCAATACGGAGGGGAGATTACACAACGAGCCACAATTGGGGAGATGGTAGCCATCTCACTCGACCCGTCGACTTTTGGCAACGCTCAATTACCCACCAAATTTGGGCTGGAGTTGAGGGGACCGTGTTCCAGCGCTGTAGGACCAGCAACACACACGGTATCAACAGCAACCAACGCCCCCGCTAATGCACCCAGTACTGCGCAGGTGTGGGCCAGGTGCGTTCCAGATGCGAGTTGGCGAACCCTAAGCCGACAGTGTACTTTTTGGGACGGGCAGTAGCAATCGTGGGCGGAGACCCCGGTGTATATAAAGGGGTGGAGAGGACGGATTATTAGCACCAACACACACACTTATACTACAATGTCTCAGGGTGAGTATTCAGATGGAGAGTGAAGCGTGGGTTGGATACCTAGAAACCTCTGAGAGCCTGAGAGCCTGAGAGCCTGAGAGCCTGAGAGCCTGAGAGCCTGAGAGTCATCAACAGACTAGCGTCCTTGGCTCTGACAGGTCCATTCCATCGTCAGACGGGCGATTCGGAGACAGCCACAGACTCCTGTCTGATGTCCGCTTTAGACCATGTACTAACCTAGCCGGCCGAAAAGATTTCACTGACAAGCTCTCCGAGGGCGTGACCCCCGACTCCCAGAAGTCCACTGGCGAGAAGCTCTCCGAGAAGGCCACCGACGCCTACGACAAGGTTGCCAACGCCGTTGAGCCCGAGTCCCAGAAGTCCACCACCCAGAAGGTCGGCGACAAGTTCGAGTCCGACACCTCCAAGGCCAAGTCCGACATCTCCGACGAGAAGAACAAGCTCGAGAAGGAGGGCGAGTCTTACATTGATCAGGCCAAGGACTTCATCAACTCCGGCAAGCCCCAGGAGTACGTTGACCAGGCCAAGGAGTCCATCAACAACTTCCTTGGTGGAAACTCCGGCTCCACCGGCTCCACCGGCACCGGTGCTACCAAATAAGTTATCTATAATTTATTAATTTAGTCTATCAACTTATTGTCAAACGTGTATTGTATCCTACAGGCACGAGTAGCCGTATTCATACAGAACTTGCGTGTATCTTGGACCAAGTTTCTCTGGAAGCCAATCTGCTGCCTTGATTGAGACAATCTAAGCTACTGTCATGGGTAGTTTTAAGACCCAGGAGTTGATGTGTGCTAGGAGAGAGATATGTAACCAGATTCAAGACTCTTATGGTGAATGAAGAGAACATAGGACTGAAATGCACCGGCTTGTACTTATGAGCACTGTACGTACCACTCACTCCTCCGTCTAGATTGCCAGTGGTATCTCTAGGAGACGAAAAGATCCGACAAGGGATACTTCAAGAGTCGATTCAGAATTGCAGTTTCGTACTTCCAAGTATTGTCTTGCATGTCTTCATTCTTCACCAGAGACTAGACTAGATTCGACAGTACGAGTCCCGTTGAGATGATATGACCATTGAAACCGACAACCCAACCTTCGAGTCCGCTATACTACAGTATCAAGTCCGCTACACTACATGTCCTACAGACAGTATTTGCTGCCAGTTACTACTTGGGCCTATTACTTAGGAACATCAACTCTAGTTACATTTTTTGTTGAAACTGGACTGTCCAACTGGATGGACACAGCCCTTGCCACTTTACTCGTACAAGTACTCCTTCACCTGCTCCATACACGACAATACGAATACGCAACCACAGACACCCTTGGTAGGGTCGTTATACTCGGCATCTCCACCCTCCACCATGAATGTCAATAATAGTAAATGCATTTTTGTAGACCAGTCCTTCTGCTGTCGTCTGTCATATCTGTCATCTCAGTCATCACATCATCCTCTTCTCATCCTGCTTTCATCCTCATTCCCTAAGCCTCCTTGGACTTCTCCCACTCCTCCACGGTCTGGGACTTTTGTGTAAAGGCATGGATGGCGGCAATCTCCTCCTTGAGCTTGGTGTTGACCAGTCTGTGTCGCATGAGCTTGTTCTTGCCCTTGAAAATGTCGGACACAATGAGAACCTCGAATGCCTGGCCACATCCTCCACTGGCGTCGGTCACCTCCACATGATGGGCCTCCAAACGGTCCATCAGGATATCCTTGAGCGAATCGGTTGTGAGCATGGTGTGCAGAGAACGTGTGCGGTGCGTGGCAAGCTGGGGGTGTCGCAAAGGCGGTGCTGAAAGAATGATATATCCACGGCTGATATCTTCTGGGGAAGGTGTGAATTATCAGATGGCCGGGTAACCCCCAAAGTTAGAGCCGTGCCAAAGTGAAGTGAATGGTTATGTAAGCCCAAGAGTGTAAGAGATAATGATCCATAAGAAACCTCCCAGTGGCCACGTGATTATCTGGAATCTATTTTCAACATTTATTTTCGAGCATTTATTTTCAAAACTCCTGCCATTTTCCCTCGATCCTATTTACCCAATGAGCTGCTTCCAATGTGCATCAAGTAATTATGTCGTCATACTAACAACTGAAGAGATCAGCGGCTTAGTAATACAAAAGGGGGAAGATGGAACAGGGTGGATTTTATTTGAGTCTTGCTGACTAACCATGTTCCTCGTTGAACCAGTGAGAAACTTGCTTTTTTCGTCGGTTCCTTATGAAGAAAAACCGACTTATTGGAATGACTAATAGAGATCACAAAAAAGTCCAATATAATCCAAACAAATTCGGGAAAATGTCAAATAGATCCGCTGATTCAGGAGGTGCTCTAAATCAAAGTCGTGAACCTCGTGGAATTGCTTGTGGGTTCTGTAGCTGACATCTTGTGTTCCTTGGTCCAGAAACGAGTCTCACGGAAAAGTTCGAATGCAAAGGTGTCGTACGCATCAGTGTTCGCACGAGTACTCGTACAGTGTACTTACTTGTACTCGTACGTTCATTCTATCCATCTACCCTTCTAAATTAACACAAACTGGAATGAAGATCGATCTAGAATCTGACCGCTAGTAGTCTTAAGCTCCGACTATAACTGGTACTCGTACAATAGGTACTCGCCCATTTCGGATTCCGTGTCTCGGTGGACTCTGGAGCTACCGCTGGGTCGTTCTAATAATAGAGGCGGTCCCTTATGTATTAGCGTAACGGCGACATCACCAAATGGAGTCCTTGGCACGTTGTAAGAGCGGTTGTATACACTTGCGTATGGGCACGGAGTGAATACTTCTCCGACGGACCCCGCGGGCGATCGATTCATTCGCAACTGTATCCACGGCAAGGTCTAGCTCGCTTTTGTGCTTTCTCGAGGTGTAAACATACGTGCGGAGGGCCGCAGTTCAAGGCCGTGTGCCTCGAGATAATAAACGGGCTGCGATGGTATAGTAAAGGGGCGCTAATGACGATAGAAACAAGCTGATTGGACGTAGGTGCTCTCCAGAATGAAAAGTAAGACACTTGGCAAGTATATATGAGTTTTAGACACCCAACCAAGAAATCCTAACCGCTATCTATACCGAAAGTTTCGACCAACAGGAACGAGGCATATTGGCTTATTAGTTGCACTTGGTTGCAATTCCAGTTTCGCTACACACATTCTCCCTGCACGCTCCGTACGTGTGGCTAAAACACGACGGACATGTCTTATTCTGCTACGATTGCGTTTACAAGACAGGCATCTCCAGATCGATCCTCTTGCGAACGTTTGATCAAACGAGTTTAAGACGGCTCGTGTTGCAGGGGCCGAATCCTAAGTCCGGAGCATAAGAACCGGCTTAGTGATGTGTCAGAGATGAGTAATCCCTTGGACCCAGATGCTTGTCCCCGCAGGCATAACAGCTCGGGGCTGACACGCAACTCTGGCACCTCTCCAACCTCGCACGTGAGAGCCGGTCTTGATGCAGCCTCGACTCTCCTTGGGTGGCCTGACTTGGACGCTCGTGTGTACTGTAGCAGAACAAAGACAACACGCCCATCCCAACTCTATGGTTCCTCGTGCTATTAAAACGGCTATTAAACCCTGGCCCTGTGAGACCAGGTGCCTAGCGAGCGCTGCGATCGACATTATCCACGCCCCCCACGCCGAACGAGGCGAGGTGCAGCTGGTGGTGACAAGGGTAAACCGCCCCGGTCCGTCGGTAATCGAAGGTTGGAGGAAACCAGCTGAGGACGAGCGGAGGACGAGCGGAGGATGCGAACAGGTGAGTTTTTCGCTTTGAACCATGCTGGTCGTCCTACGTTTCCCGTAGACACGTCCCCCCTTCAGTTCCGTTTAAACATACGGTTATACTGCACTCTTAGTCCAAGAGAATCACTAACCTGTCACTGAGTCAGTATACGACCTCCAACTTAACCCCAGTGCTGTTCACCGTGCTATTGACACGCAACGGCCACTGCGGCCACTACGGCCACTACGGCCACAAACACCACCAATACAAACACAAAACAGCCACCACACAACCACCAATCCAGCCACCACACAACCACCGTCCCATCCACCTCCGCCGTCTTCTCATCTTCACCAATTCCTCGGGACGTTCCGGGAACAAACTTTCGAGACAAGGTGCTGCAGCGACGTCAAAGTAGATTCGCACAAAGAAAACGTTAAGAGCTTAATAGTGTTATATTAAACGAGCGTGCCTAGGAGGTCGCGCGGGCCCGTTTGTAAAAGGGGCTCAAAAGGGCAGAATGGGGTTTTTGGGCGTGAAAAAAAAACGACACGAGTGGTCGGCGTCACGTGATACACCATTTGGTCGGCGCGTATTTCCAAATATCTGCCCGCAACGCCCCAAACACACCGTCCTCTCCTCCATTGGCTACTGCTTATCATGCATATCGTCCAATGACAAGCGAGAGATAAGCGGACAAAACCTTGTTAAGGTTTGCTTGACTGTGATAGTTGAGGTTTATCAACTACAGTGTCACCAACTTTGGATCCTCGATATTGGGCTTGATTTGTGGACCGTTTTTCATATCAGTTTGCGACCGTGTATTTGCCGCCACCAAACCTCTTGCCCTCCGTTTTTCCGCGCAAATCAGACGTGATTTGAGCCTGCAAAGTACCTTTTACCCCCCCTTTCGACCACAGATAAGAGATTCACACGACCCTTCTCATCTCATTTCAGCAACACCAACCACCATGTCGTTTATGCCAATGGATCTCGACATTGGACACGATTATATCGGGTCAAGTGGGCCGTTTGGAAACCACATGGACTACCAGACCACCAACAACCATTTCGTCTCTTCGGGCGCCTCTTCCAACACCTCGTCGTTGTTTACCAACACAACCTCGGTCGAGAGCATGAGCAGTTTTGGCGGAGGAGGTTTCAACACTTTGAAAAACGATGGATTGACACAGATGAACCAACCTGCAGCACCGGTGTCTGCAGCTGCAAAACGAATAGGCCTCTCGTCAGACCCCAGCACAGATCTCGCCATGGTCACCAACATGTGGAAGATGTATTCCAAGGCCAAATACCAGCTGCCCAACCAGGAGCGAATAGCCAACCTGACGTGGCGGATGATGGCGCTGGATCTCAAGAACTGCGCGCTGCAGTACCACGCAAAAATGGCCCAGAAACTGCACTCCAAGCTGGGCCAGAACGCATCTGTGCATCGGGATTCTCGGGTCGTCATGAGCGCTGAGATGGGCCTTCGCCAAGCTGCCGGTGGCCATGATAATGATGATAACGATGACACCGACTCGTTTGACTACATGGCCCACATTAAGCGGCTCAGCGAGTCCAACCGGAACCGATGGGCTCCCCAGAACAATACCACCAACACTGGCCACAATAGCCACAACAACCACAACCACAACGAATACACTCCGTCGGTCAACGGAGGCCATATGAGCAACTCGACGCTCACTTCGCCGTCACATGTCACTTCTCCCATCACCTTCACCGCCAACGACTTCCATGCTCCCGCTGACTACTCGCAATCGCTCCCCGCCACCACGTTCCGACGTCAATCCTTCATGGACGACGCCCCCAACGCGTTTCACTTCTCGCTGGACCCCCTGGCGATGGAAGCTCCCGACTTTGGCATGCCCAACCAGACGCAGGCGTCTCACCAGCATCAGCAGCGGGTCCGTGCCTCCAACCTCAGCAATCGTTTGAACCAGGCGCAGGGCCAGCAACAGCAGACGCCTTTGTCGCAGTCGTCGCCGTTTGGAGTGTATCAACGACCGGAGTATAATTCGGACGCGTTGTACTTTGACAATATTCAGCTCGGGAGCGCCTCCCAGGCCTCCACCCCGGGCATTACATCACTTCCTAGCTCCAACATGGGCACCCCACAGTGGGTGGAGCCCGCCTCGTTCGACTTCATGGGCGGCATGGAGCAGCAGCAGCAGCAGCAGCAAATGGGCCAGCAGCAAATGGGCCAGCAGCAAATGAACCAGAATCTGACGGTGGCCATCAACCAAGGCCATCTTTCTAATCAGCGGTCACAGTCCGTGGTGGACATGTCGCACATTTCGACGGCCCGAAAGCAGTCGAAATCCGGCACGTCCACACCCCGAGGACTGCCGCGCACCATGTCCACGTCCAACATCCCCCAGCAGCGCATCTCCAAGCCCAAGACCAATGTCTCGTCAACCAATGTCAAGGCTGGCGCCAACACAGTTACGGCCGACGACAAGCCTACGTCGTGCACAAACTGCCACACGCAGACCACGCCGCTGTGGCGACGTAACCCTGAGGGTGAGCCGTTGTGCAACGCCTGCGGTCTGTTCCTCAAGCTCCACGGAGTTGTCCGGCCTCTGTCGCTCAAGACTGATGTGATCAAGAAGCGAAACCGAACCAACGGAACCAATGCATCTTCGTCGGGGACCGGTGGAGCCAGCACAAACACGCCTAGTCCGGACTCGGCCAAGGAGACCGCGTCCACAGCCACTCGCAAGGGGGGATCCAGATCTCGTTCTCGGAAGAAGGAGGAGGCGACCGTCAAGGGAGATACTGCGCAGAGCACGCCAACCCAGCCGTCGACACAAGAATCGCCCGTGGGCATCGTCCCCAACAAGACGGATTCCGAGGAGCTTAAGATGTTTGGAGCTGCCAACGTCGAGGAGAGAGACGGACAGTGGGAATGGCTGAGCATGGCTTTATAGATTGCATCACGATAAGGGGGGGAGAAGAGGGGTCGGGAGGATGAGCGCATCTCCAATTATTTAATAATTAATCTGACATAATGTGTTGTTGTAGTTGTATGGCAGATATACTGAGGTGGTTGGTATAGGAGTACGACAAGAAGTAGAGTAAGTGTAGCTACTTGTACTGTAGATGTTTCGTTTATCGGTGAGACATGTGAAGTGTACATTCGAGACAAAAGTGTCCACCGAAAGCAAGTTGCTGAAGAGATATCGGTATCGAAATGGTAATAGGATGATCAGATCGACTAGGAGAATAGATTTCAGTACTTTTTTCCCAGTTTTTTTCCCTCAGAATTCCTGCTTTCTTTTCCATCTTCTGGCACCTTCACCTTCGGTGCAGATTATTAGCTCAGTATCGCCAGTCGGAAATGTCGGTCTCGACGACGCCAGCCACTATAGAAAACATATTGGACACCTGAACCGTATCATTGTCAGGTGAAGGTCTGCTCTTTACCTCTTTCTCTGATCACCCCTTTTCTCCCGCTGACTCAGCACCCGCAGATGAAAGATATTACCAGATTATCTTGCATGAAGCTGCATGCACCTCATCGCCGGTTGTTGGTCCTCGTTGCTTCTTTGGATCTCAGCCTGTGAGACACGGAGCGGAATTTTGAACGGTGGCGGCAGTAGCTCATATTGGCAAAAACACGAGCTTTTCGAAGCTGCAGTTTCCAAAGCACTAGCTACTTGTAGTCTAGGTGGAGTGGCATAGCGCTGGACTCGCATTGTGAAGACGCTAACAGCGGTTGGGTATTGAAGCGAATGTTGGCGGCTAGACGTGAAGAGAAATATGAGAGATCTACAAGTACTGTCGTTGAATTGAGACTGTATGACCAAAAAGTATTAGTTACTATTGACTCAGAGACTAGGCTTCAAGCAGACCATCATCTAACTAGTTATTTCAATGTACATCTACAGAGATGGAAGCGCCAGACTGAATAATTAGAACATCCGCGACATTACTCATCCATATATCTCGCCAATGTGCTTCTTTCCACTAACACACGCCAACGCTTGCCCGTAGTGCCTGCACAGCACAGCTAGCGTCCATCTATGGTTGTGTTTAGCACCTCTCAACTACAGAAAACAGCCAATGTAGAGATGCTAGCATCTTCTCAAGATTGTTTCAGCCCTATGCCAAGCGATGACTATGAATCCGTCGACCAGAAACGGCTATTGGAACCCGCCAGTGCCGTTCTGCACTGCATAACTAGAAAGGGGCCAAGAGAGATCTAAGAGATAAACAGGGGTGGAATGGCTTTTCCTAACTACCCTATTCGACACAAGCCCTCCTTTCGCCCCTCTCTCATCACATGTGTGGTTTCAATCTACTTGCAGCACTTGCACCTTCCTGATTCTGTTTTCCTTACTTACTGTCCATGTCCCCACCCTTCAGGCAAGGTGTGTAGTGGCCATGCACTTGTCTCCTGTCTACTTCCCCCCACCCCCCTTCGTTCCAACGTTGCCAAAGCCAACTAGCAGCTTTTCCGTGCGTGGCAAAAGCTGTTTATGTCCAGACCCGCCAGTCATAACTGACTGTTATTGCTCATAACCTCAGACCCGACACGTTCCCAGACAATCATAAGCTGTCGAGCGCTGTTGGCAGCCTGCTTATAGCCTTTTCTTGTCGCTCTACTCCCCGCCAGCCTCCTCTTGCTCTCTCTAACCCCACGACGCTGTCGATACCACCCTGTACGACTTTTTCTTTGTCATCTGCAGCTCTCTGCACTACCGACTCCATCCGAATACCAACAACGCTCCTCCTCCGAGGGAAGGGTCCATGGACACGGAACACGAGGCAAAAATGGCCGATCCCAAGCGAACGGTGCAGGCGTGCGATCTGTGTCGCCAGAAGAAATCGCGGTGTTGTGGCACTCGACCCACGTGTGCAAACTGCGTGCGCAGCGGCTCCAGCTGTGTGTACGCAGCCCAAGCGCGCAAACGACGACGAACCAAGCTGGAGGTGATGGAGGAAAAGCTGCAGATCATGTCGCAGGACGAAAACTGCGACGTTGCGGCGCGACAGGAGCTGCTCGAGAGCTTTGCACGCCGACTGGAGAAGAAACGAAAGACTGAGAGGATCGACAGTCAAGTCAACAATGTGGTGCCCCAGATGTTTGCTGGAATGGTGGCTACGCCCTCGGAAACGCCCACAGACGTTCAGACAACCATGAACGCCATGGTCACGCCATCCACGACCCCTCCAGATCCGATACAGGCCCAACAGGCCCAACAGGCCGTCGAACCCATTATGGATGTCCAACACATCACCCCAGACACACAGAACCTGGCGAATCACGACACCCACGACTCTCATGATACCCACGATTCTCACGACACCCACAATACCAACCACAACACGCTAACATATTCCAACCCGTTCACATATGACGACCCCATGGCCAACCGGCCCGTCTTCTGCTCCACTTCCGACGCTGGTCTTCGGTGGATTGAGACACAGACGTGCGACGTTGGATTCCACAAACGGTACTCCCACCTGACTGAGTCACTGTTTGAAACGGGACTCAACTTTCTACGCAACTGGAGACCACCGGTGCTGCCTAGCAGACCGATTTGCATGAACGAAGACGTGCTGCGGTTTCTGGCACGCACGTTTCTGGAGGCTGCTAACCCTTATCTCGATATTGTGGATGATGTCGACGTGCTGAGGGTCTTCAATGTGGTCATTGAATCCGATAATGCCAAGCAGGATGAATATTACAGAGACGGCCACGTCCAGCTGTATAATCTCTCGTGTCCCGAGTCTCTGCTTTTCCACAGCTGCGTGCTGGTCAGCTTGGAGATTTTCATGGACGTGACACGCAACAAAAACGCAGCTGAACTCGCAGACACAATCTTGCCATTGGAGAAGGCCACAGCTGTAAGAGACCAGGTCTATATCAATGCCCAGAGAGACTACATGAAGCTCATTAGTGGTGGAGGAGGACCCGAGGGTCTAGGAAATACATCAGATACAAGTAACTACACACAACTATCTCTACAGGCTTGCTTGGTGTTATTGACTAGTACCACGGCGTCCAGTGAACCTCAACTGATGGAACCTCTCATAACAACCTGCATGAGACTCTGCTACCAGATGAGATTGCACAGAGAAGAAAGCATTGGGTTTATGAGCCGACATCGAACTCTCAGAAATTGCTTTTGGGTCACCTATATGTTTGAGGCCACTTTTCTGGGCCGGTTGGCTCGTCGTCCTCTGGTTCGAGACTATGACATTTCTCTCTTGTACCCCGAATCGACTCTTCAAGACCAACACCATGGTCCTTTCACACCCAAGATGCACTCCACTGCCAACACCCCCTGCAACTCGTGGTTGAATCCATACATTCGTCTGTGCCGTCTTCAGTCTCGTGTCTGTGACGAGCTGTACAATAACGTGTTTCCTCCCGATACACGTGACCCTGTGGAGCTGTTACACATTGCCTCAAAACTCGACTCCGAGCTACAATCGTGGCGAGCCTCAGTTCCTCATGATCTCGACTTTGAAGCCGAGTATGATGCAGTGCATCCTATCGTTCTGGAAGCATATGCTCCCTTACATGGAGTGCACATCCGACCCGTCAATATCCAGGGTCTCATCAACGAACGGTGTTGCAACGCTTACAGATTCCGGGTTCGAAACCTCGGTCTCACTCTGCTCAACTGCATGTATTTGCACGTGACCATTCTCATCCACAAGACTTTCTTCTGGTACCCGCGATGGGCTCTTCCGGTCAACCTGAGTTTTGTGAGGCCCACTTTTGGCTCGTACGACGTTGACGCGACTGCGCAGGCTCTCAATCCAGCAGAGTACAGCAGCAACGGCAACTACATTCCACCGCATCGAAACGAGCATTTTTCTGCGTCCTTCTCACAGAACAGGTCTTACACACAGAGCAACCAGTCCACCGGACAGGCGTTCAACCTGCCACATGTTGATATTCCTTCCAAGCGTGTGTTTGCTTCCAACTCGTTGGTCCGATCCTCTGCTCGAAAGATCTGCAACGCTCTGACCCGTATGGATATGCGATACACGTCGTTCATTTGGATCTTTGCCTTCTTTCCCACAGTAGCGTTCGATGTGCTATTCCAGACGATCATCCTCACTCCTCTGGACTCTACCACGTCAGCGGATCTGTCCCGGATGCGGTTCTGCATCAACTTCATGAAGAAACTGAAAAACTCCAACATCAAAACGTCTGAGCAGGTGTTTCTGCCCATCTACGAGCAGCTGTTGGCGTACGCCACGGGCTTTGTGAGCAACTGTTTGACCACAAACGACGACGATGTCCAAGACAAGGGCGTGGGCGGAGAACTCGGCTTCTTCCCTCAAGCTACAGGAGACTCATACTGGGATGGATCCACTGGGGAGATGCCTGAATTTGTGGCAATGTCCAATACTGCTCCTGTTATGATGCCAGGTGAGTCGTGGACTCACAGCGGAGATGAGAATCGAGTGGTGAGGAGGGTCATGTAGCGCTGGCAGCTCACGGCGTGGCTCAACAAGTGCAGCTTGTCGCTTATTTATCTATTTTGGAGACATGTACAAAATTCATTTCTAAAGATTATCTGTGGAGCACTCGTGCGTGTAATCGTAGCTTACAGTTCTTGTACAGTGGTATCTACGCGTCTCACTGTGGCTTGTACCGAGATGAGCTCCAAAGTGTTACTTGACAAGGTTGGAGTTCCTTCACCCTAACTAAAAAGGCCGATATAGCAATAAATCAGATTATGAACTACATGTATATTCAGATGCAGTAAGTGGCATCCTTGGATCGATTGTGAGTACAGTACGAGTAAGAAAACCACAACTCTCGAATGTTGACTGCTTGTGTCTGCAGCTTGACCGTATTCTGTTGTTTTTCTTCTTTTTTTTCTTCTTTTTTTCTTCTTTTTTTCTTTTTTCATTTTTTTCATTCATATTTTTCGTTTTTCATTCATATTTCATATTTTTCATTTTTATTTCATTTTTTCATTTTATTTCAGCCCTATCCGCGACTCCAACTCCAATGAGCACACCTTGTACAGTAGCTACTGTAGCGGTACAAAAGAAAATAATTGCAGCCTTACGGCCTCGTACTGAACCCTGGCCCGTACCTGGGAGCAACTCTCGCTCTACTGTACAGTAGCCTTCAAAAGCAATACTAAATTCGTTTTTCGCCAATATATTATGATGCGAACCATGTGAAGCATACCATTCCAAGCTCGCGTAAAACCAGCAACCACCTGTGGCAAGGGCTTGAGCAAAAAAGAAGCCAAGCTCAGCCACACGCCCAGGCTGCACTCTTGTTTGAGGTTGGATCTTTTTGTCCCTCCATCCGTGGAGTCGGGAATCCGGTGGATGTTTCACGGCTCTGGAGACCACTGCCGCCTCTCGACGTCTATCGTCTTTCTCTCTTTGGCCGAGATATTGCCCCGGCGAAAACTAGACAATCGTCGCACGTGAACAGCGTACATGACACAGCCGTCTTTGTGTCTTTCATGTCACTGTTTGACTGTTTGACGTGACATCACTCTGGTCCACCTCACTTCTCACAGTGCCGCCGCTTCCATACACCTCAACATGAACCGTGTGCGTTTCCGACGCATAATAGGCGTGCCTATCGTGAGCAGCCAAGCCTGACGCAACAAAGCGAGCAGCACCACAACGAAAACCTGTTTTTTTGGTAGTCGTGGCAAGCCCAGTATCCAGCATTTATAAAATATTATTATTTTTGCTTTTTACCCGCTCCTGCCCCTTTTTCTATTCCATTCTAGTTTTTTTTTGACAGTTCGGCACCATCTGTATCTCTCCAAAAGCTCTCAACCTATATCACCTCTGTGAGCCTGGAGTCTATAATGAGGCCAGTGGGTCGAGATATAAATAGCCCAGGCTAATTAAGCCAAATGTGGGTTTGTTGCCCTCTTTGAGCCCAAAAATTAACCAATGCATAGTAATGCATAATGCCTCAGCTCCAAATAAGGTGTGATCATTTTTAAGATTTTACTGGATAGGGAAATGCGTCTGCAAGGTTATTTTTCGGAGTTCGGAAGTTAACTGCTAACTCCGAGATGGGACAAATTTTTCCCACCGACGATCTAAACAAACAGCTCTGGTTTGTAATCACTTTTTTTTTCGGGTCAACTACGTTTTGTTGGGAAAATACTTACTGTAGAGCTCCTCCCAACCCGCCTGACAAACAAATGTACAATTATTAATCTCTGATTTACTCTAAAACAAAACAAAATTATGTGATTGATTACATGATTAGTTAACCCTGTGGTGTATATGAAAACACCAAACAACCTGTATCGCCTCCTCCTCCAGTCGTATTATACATTAAATTATGATGCACACGTACCTCGGTATAAATATCACGGCAGCGACTTGTCGCTCCCGCTCTCAACATTGCTGGAGGACGAGTTGGAATTGGGCCCAATGGGCCGGAACGGCTGCTTCTGCTGCGGTGGCATGCTGTTGGTGTTTCGTCGTCCTCCGGGAGGTACCGAGGAGTGCATTCCCATACCGCCTCCGGCCATACCCACGCCCATGGATGAGGTTCGCCCATAGCTGAACGAATTGTTACGCGACTGGGGACCAAACTCCTGGCTGGGGTAGCCGGTCATGGTGGGGGCTCTGTAGGTGACTGCGCTCACGTAGTCAGCAATGCCCGTGTCGAAGGGCGTGTCGTGGCCACGAAAGTCTCCGTTCTGGCTCATGCTCTTGACGTTGGGCAGATGTGTCTGGGAGGATTGCCCACGGGAGTACGAGTGTCTAGATCGGTTCTTGTTGCGCTTGGCGGTCATGGACATCATGTCCACGTCGCCAGACATCATCGAAGTGTCGCCCATCACCGACTGGCCATCGTCCATGCTCTTGTTGTGCTGCATTGGTTGTCCGCCCGTCTTGTAAGGGCCGTCCACGCCGGTGTTGTAGTCCCGCAGCTGCGAGTAGGACGCTGCCCGCGACTGCAGGAAGGGGGCACCGTGTGCACCGGCTTCAAACTTCTGCACAAATGACGGTGATGTGGGAAGCGAGTTGAGTGCGGGCATGCTCATGTTGGGATGGCCGCCGTTCATGTAGGGGTTGGGACCAGGTCCAGGACCGGGGCCTCCGGGACCGTTGGGTCCAGGTCCGCCGTACTGAGGACCGGGGCCGTGACCGTAGGGACCAGGTCCCCCGGGGAAATGGGAGCCAGGACCGGAGGGACCGCTCTGGCTGGGATGGTGCATATGCTGCTGATGATGCTGCATGTTGGCCTCGCCATTCTGCAGAGCCCGTTCTCGAGCTGCAAGAGCTGCCTCTCGCTGTCGAAGAGCCTCCTCCTTGTCCTTGAGCTGCTGTGTCTGCTGCTTCTGCTGAGGAGACTCAGTGTAAGAGGCAATGCCGGCGTACTCGTTCACGTCCAGGGCAGGAGAACCATTGGAGTCGGGAGTGGCTGCGTGACCCTGCGCATGGCCGTTCAGAGCGGGTGTGGTGGGCTTTTTGAGCGCCACAGGTGAAGATGTGGCAAGAGGAAGATCCGACGAGGACGAGTTGCCAGAGTTGGAGCCGCGTGCGCCGCGTCGGGTGAAGAATATACTGGATTTTTCGTCGCCGCTGGTGTTGTTGAAGCGGGCGTACTGTGTCATGATGGTGAAGAGCGACTCGAGGTAGGGTGTCTTGATACCCAGGTCGTCGGCCAGAAGAATGGGCTGCAGCAGAAACACGTCGACGGGGAACTCAAACTTGTTGAAGTAGTTGTAGAACAGTAGAGGTGCGTGGGTGTAGGGGGCGGCCGCATGCTTGGGTGCATCCTTGAGAAACTCCTCCAGCGCAGTCTTCTCGAACTCGTCCACGTTTCGGTTCACTTGCACGTTTTGTGCAGCGGCAATCTGGATCAGCTCTGCCATGATACCGTAGAAGAGCGGCCGAGCCAGCATGTCCTGCACAAACTCTGCGGGGACGGGGCTCTCCAGAAGAATGGTCAAGGGCTGGAACGACAGCGCAGGGATGGCTCGATCCCACTGGTACTGCAGCACGTTGGATGAAAAGGAGGCGTCGAGGCCGGCAGATTGCAGTCCCACGGTGAACGACCGGATGAGCTGGTCCGCCTCTCGGGACTGGAAACCCTCCTGGGGCACGCATCGACCCACATAGGTGGTGGTAGAGGGGCCAAAGTGAGCAAACTCGGTGGGGGAGATTCGTCGCACGTCTGCGGTGCACGTCAGCGAGTATACGGCGGTGTTGGGCAGCGTCTGGGCCACAAGCGACTCCAGGTTGACGCCGTAGAGCGAGGAGTCGACAATGACGCAGGTGTGTTTGTGGATGTAGGGCTTGATGAGCTTGTGGAGCGAGTTGAGTTGTTTGAGCGACTGGGGCGCGACAATGACAAAGTCAAAGGGCTTCTGCTCGGCCTTTTGGAACGCCTCCTGGACGGTGGAAGCCACGACCTGCGGTCGGAACCGGGTGTTGCCGAGCTGCTGGCTCTGCATGGACACGCCGTAGGCCGCGTTGGCCTCGGTAACCTGGTTCCAGACCACAGACACGTGGTGGGAGGTAGTTAGTCGCCACGCAAGCAAGGCTGCTGTGGGCGACGATTCGACTGGGTTAGTAAGAGAGTGGATAGAGCGAGACGGCACCTTGTGATGGCTATAGCACGGACAGCATGAGTGCAAGACCCGAGTTGTAAGTGAACAGTCGACGACGACACTTGTTCTTGCAAGTGTGTGCATTTGTGTATCTGCGCGTCAAAGTCGATGGATGACCAAGTGTCCTGTCCCTCGAGCCCCTTTGAGGGAAAGGGACATTGATGTCAGGTGTCATATCACTGGCCGCGTCCAAGGTGGTTTGGTTGTGTGTGCTTGGGTGTGTGTGCTTCTCATGGGATATCCGGGGGGGTGGTCTCGTGCACGTTTTTCCGTGAAAAAAATAGCGTGTCGTGGATGCCAAGATATTTGTCGGATACGGTGGTTGAGACGGTCTTTTGACACTGGTACACATGGCAACCGGCCGGTTGAGGTGGGCCACAAACAGCCGGCTGCCCGTCGCTCGTCTGCTGGCCAAAACACACCATGTCATGACCTGTTTTCTAGCTCTGTTGTCTCTCCAGTTGTCACGTTTGCTGGTGGTAACCGTGGAGGGAGGGGGCTCAAAAGGCTCATTCTGCGGCCAGTACCGGGAATGGTGCTCGCGCCGACGGCTAATACTCACGCGACAGAACTCTGTGTCTCGACATGTGTTGTGGGAGGCCCGGGGGCTGAGAAATCGACGGAATGGTGGTGTTAGCAAGGACGAGCTAGGTGGTGCTGCCAATTGCTGCAGAGTCCAAGTGTAAGTAAGGTAAGGGAGGTGTTGTGATGATGGTTAGCTTTTTGATTTTTGCATTTTCTTGTCTCCCCGAAGGTTTCTTAGGAGATGAACGTGTTTGGGTAAGGGCAAAAAGGGGCGAAAAAAAATGACGACAAACATGTCTTCTGTGCACCGCTGCCCAAGTGCGACGACTCGTACAAGTAGCTGGTCCGCTCTACATCTGCTGGATGGCTTGCACTTGTCACTCGCCCCTTCCCCAATGGGGAAATGGTGCCCTTGAGGACAGTCTATATATAGCTGCACCTGGCCAACATAATGGACTGTGATTGGCTGAAAACCGCCGGCGTCCATTCTCCAAATGGCGACGCTGACCAAACAGTGAGCTCCCCCTCTCCCCCCCATACAAGTTCCCTCGGCTTTTTTACCCACAAAACCAAACATAAAAACCCGTCTCCCTTGCCATTCTCATTCCAGCCCGAGCTTCCACCCCACAAGGTTTTGCTGTGTTATTCTGCTGGTGCCTCGACCCGGAGGCTGTGTTCCGGAGATTACCTGGGTAGGGGAGCCTGGGTGAAGGAAATATGGTGGTGTGGAGGAGGGAAAAAGACGTGCACGGGGCCGACAAGTGCTCGTGGAAGGTCAAACTCTGGCGTGGACCCTGAACCATGCCCCACAGGCGGAATATCTTAGCCTCTGGCTTGTAGCCACACAGGTGCCGTATCCTCCTTACAGTGAAATCTATATACAGTCGGTGAGAAGGGACATGTATACTACGATACGAGAGCCAAGCTGCAACCGACAATAGCTGATACCAAGCCCATTGCGGCTCTGAAGATGGCAAGATGGCTGTACCTGTCCACAAGGCCGTCCATTCCATGGCACCCTCCATTTAGTCCGAGTAATTCGAGCTTAGCACAGCAAGCTTTGCCTCCACTGGTCAGGTGGAAGAGGGCCTGATAACAGGAGGAAAACAAAAGCTGTTGGGCCAAAGTAAAAGCTCCAAAAGCCATGTCCATCGAATCGACGGGCCCTCGCCACGGCTATAATGACGTACCAAGCCAGCCGGGGACCCTGTCGTCCCGTTGTTGTCCCGTTATTGACCCGCCACTTATTCCCTCATTATCGCCATACTATACAATATAGGATCGTTGGTCGCCCCAGTGCGCCATTTATTAACCCACAGAAAGACACGTCGAAACGGGAAAACCCTCATTTTGGCCGACTGCTCTGCTCCCCAAACCTCTCTTGCCTCTTTCTCCCCCAATCTTTCCTTTTTTCGCCTCAACACACCTTGTGCTGTCTCTGAACCACATCCTCCAAAACACCCTACTGATGTCTGTCTTGGGATTGTCGCCTCGGAGATAAAACCGTAAAAAGTAAAAAATATAAAAATATATAAAAAAACACACCTCAACGATACGCGCGGAATGAAATCCAAAGCCAAACAAGACCCATTAACGAGCCTATTATCGAACCCAGTGTTAATAATAGCACCATATAAGACTCCCGGAGCCATTGCTACAGGTACTCGGCCTGCCACGGCCCACCCCCTCCAATCAGCCCTGGCACCACCTGCCAAACGTCTGACAGCGTATTTCTGAAATATCATTTTTTTAGCTGCATGCCCCTGAAACGGAGCCCGATCAAGATCGAACCGACGCGCACTACGGTAGCTACAAGTAGCTAAAGCGACACGCCGCGGGCGGGCGCTGGAAGAGATGCATCACGTGATCAAAACACGCACCCCCAACCTAAACCGGATACACCCATGCAATCTGCAAAATGCGTTGCTCATGTGGAATATGCCTACATGCATATAGCCCGCGTTTTAGAGTTGGGTATGCACCTAGGTACCTGTGAGACATGCATAAAGTTGCATATTGACAGATGTCCACAGCGCTTTGTGCAATAGGGGTTGGAGTATGGTACTTGTAGGAGTAGTCAGTCCGTAGTTGTAGTCATCTCCAGTGGTGTGTTACAACGGGACCGTATTCTTCTCCCGTTTCCGTGCATGTCCCTGCAGCTTCCTCATTGCCAGCAACCAGACGCTGTTGAGTAGCTACATTCTCTGACACTCTAATTTCTCCACCCCTGGACTCATATCATGATCTGCGTTTGATATCTCATTCCCAAACACCGTTGGCTGAGGCGGCGCCCTGGTTTCGGCCACCTCGATCCAAGACCAGTCTCAAACACGCACAATACACGTCATCCTACACCCCTTGTCGTCCACATTCGCCCTGAGCAATGCTAGTGGTACAAGACTTGGCCCCTCCAAGCCATGTCTGGGACCTGTCTGAGCGGGTAAAAATAGCAAAATGTCTCCCGTTTACGTTTCTGGGATGATCCAAAGTATACGCTAAGAGTAAATAAAGCAATTAAGCGGGCAGTAGGGCGGCGGCGGTGGCTTCGGACCTAGCCCTACTCCCTGGTGCTACTTGCACGTTTGAGCATACCCCATGCACCCCATATCCGCGTTTATCGCTACTTGTACGCTAGTGGCCATGACGTAAACATGTGGAGCGGCCTGCTTCTGGGCCCATTGTCTACGTACGCTTAGATTTCGTTTAGACATAGTCCTTTTTTCCGGCTAAACTAGCGCCTTTCTGCAAGCCTTGGTAGGCAATGGGTCACGCGCCGGGAGAACCATAGCACCAGAGAAACGAGTGTTCGCATTCGCACTCCACCGCCACCCTTGATTACCTTTACGCCGTTTTAATAGCAAGGGTTTAAAGATCCGGGGGAGCTTGGCGGGGAGTTGAGGAAAGGGTGGAAGGAGAGACGTTCATTTACCGCTAGTGATCCATGACGGCTTTTGATGCGGCTCATGGTGACAGTTGTGTTGGAGAGATAGAACGGGTCCGTGGAATACGGGTACCTGTACATGCATCCATATCGTGGATCGCGCTGCTTTTCGAACGTATCGTGGATATCACGTCGCTACTTGCAGTGCCAGCTCACGACCCCGAGTCCATCTTCAAGCATATAGGCTCCTTCGGTGGTTCAGATGGCCCTTCTTCAGATGATCCCCTCAGAGGCTGATGTGGCTGCAGTGTTGTTGCGGACACTGTTGCGGACACTGTTGCCCCGGCTTGATCCCTTTAGAGCTGGTAGACCCCTGTCAAGGGTCAGTCTTAGTGGGACTGGAAGGAGTATCAGTCTCACTGGTTAACTGTACTGGCTAGACCCCGGAAAGGGATGGCTGTGTGCTTGTGGTTCATTGGGTGCGGTGTGGTGTCTACAACTCGTGTTGCCAGACCTGGACAAGGGCATTTGTGAATGTGACGGTACTCGTAGGTTCACCAGAGATGGTGTCGAACGACACATGATGAGAGTGGAAGCTCCTTGGATGCCATCGACATCACGTGAACCTGTCTGATCGTCCATCGCTGGTTTGTAGGACGCGTTTGAAGGTTCCGACTTGACGTTGTTGGTATGATGCACGAGTACAGGCGATTGTAAGGTGGTCGAGCGTGTTTTAATGTACAGGTGGAAGTAATTGTACTTGTATCAGGGCCTCTTGCAGCTCGTCTTGTGTTGTTCGCATCAAATGACACTCGTCTTGTACAGTACAGTCTCCATGACTTGCTCCAGATTATGTATCCAAAACAGGGGTTGTATACTTGCAGAGTACAAGCACAGGCATACGTATGTACAAGCCTCTTTATATCTTTAAGAGTACAAGTAAACGTACTCGCACTTGTACTTGCACCGGCGAGATGTATGGTCGCAGAAAACCTGTCGGCAGCCCTCCGTCCTCCACATACGAACATGACTGACTTGCATCTTTCACCTGTTCAGCAAGTTTCATACTGCACTAGTCCAAATAGGTAAATCACCTTGGCCTCCTATTTGGGACAGGGTAAGGGCGTCCAGAAGAGGACACCAGTGAAATTACATAATACAAGCTGCAGTACTTGTCCGATACGACCTGTCTCGAAACAGCCGTTTGGAGCAGCGCATTTCTTGCCCAATCAATTCCCTGACTACTCTCACTCTTCCCCAACACGGTGCTTTTTCCCCATTCTGGTCACATGACTGACACGCTCCACCTAACCTTATCTCCAAAGACCACGACATACGCATCTCTCCTTCAGAGGAGTTTCGGAAGTCTAGCCCAATGAACAACAGCACTTTGCCCGAGTCGTTTCGAGACAAGCAGATTGGTGAGTATCACGTGACTAACCGACAATGATTCGCTGACTAACACAGCCGCGATCACGCGTGTTCTCTCTGGAGAAAATGGGAGTGCCAACAAAAGCCAGGCTTGGAAGGTGCTGGTCTTCGACAAGTTTGGCCGAGATGTGATTTCGTCGGTGATGCGAGTCAACGACCTGTTCCAGAACGGAGTCACCATCCACATGTTGCTGGATTCCGATCGGTACGCTATTGACGTTCCGGTGGTGTACTTTGTGCGACCTACATCCGACAACCTTCAAAAGATCACGCGAGACCTGCATTCCCAGCTCTACGAATCCGCGTCCGTCAACTTCGTGTCTCCTCTTCCCCGTCAGCTGCTGGAGACCTTTGCAGCCGACAACGTGGCCACAGCCTCTCAGATTACTCAGGTCTACGACCACTACCTCAACTACGTTGTTTCCGAGGCCAACCTCTTCTCTCTGGCCTTGCCTAACATCTACTCTGAGCTGGCATCCCCCAAGATGGACGAGGACTCGCTCAATGCCATCGTCGACCAGATTGTGTCTGGTCTGTTCTCTGTGGTTGTCACCCAGGGTGAGATTCCCATCATTCGATGTCCCAGAGGAAACGCCGCCGAGATGGTCGCCCAGAAACTCGACTCCAAGCTCAGAGACCACGTCAACAACCTCAAACTGACCACCAACCCTCTCTCGCGACCGGTGCTCATGATTCTTGACCGAAACATTGATCTCGCGTCCATGCTCCAGCACTCGTCCAACTACATGGGACTGGTTCACGACGTGTTTGAGTCCGAAAGAGGCCAGATCCGAATCGCCAAAGACAATGGCACCACCGAGTCGTACGATGTGGCGCCCTCCGACTTTTTCTGGAACCAAAACTCGCTTCTTTCTTTCCCCGAGGTGGCGGAGTCTATGGACAATGAAGTCAATAAGTACAAGGAGGAGTACAGCCAGATCACTGGAGGCGCCAACATCAACGATATGGACACAGATGCATCCCCCACGCATCTCAAGAAGGCTATCTCGGCCATCCCCAAACTCACGGCTCGAAAAGCCGTCATCGATATGCATATGAACATTGCCACTGCTCTGGTGGACCGAATCAAGAAGAGACAGCTGGATATTTTGTTTGAGGCCGAGGACGGGCTGGACAAGCAGGCTCTCTTGCCTCTGCTCAAGAACGAAGAGCTGTCTGGCACGGACAAGCTGAGAGCCTATATTTGTGTCTACCTATCCGGCACTCTCTCGGCTGCCGAACAGAAGGAGTACGAGGGTATTCTTAGCACACAGGGAGTGGACATGGCTGCGCTCAACTACGTCAAGCGGCTCAAGGACCTGTCCAAAATGATGGCGCTGAAGTCGTCAGCTGCTTCTGCACAGGAGCCCCAGACGTCGGAGCAATCGTTCCGAAACTTTGCCTCCAAGCTGTCGTCCGGCAAGATTGGCAACCTCATTTCCAACGTCAAGTCGTATCTGCCACAAAACAAGGATATGCCCGTGACCCGAATTGTGTCCGGCATTGTGTCTCCTTCCGAGTCTGGCGACATTACCGACGACTATTTATATTTCGACCCGTCGGTGCGTGGCTCCAGCACAAAGCCGCCCCGAAAACAGGCGTACAACGAGGCCATTGTGTTTGTGGTTGGAGGTGCCAACTACGCTGAGTACGCCAATCTGATGGACTACGGTGTTAAGGCAGGAAAAAAGGTGGTTTACGGAGGAACAGATGTGGTCAAACCCGATGTGTTTTTGGGAGAGCTGGCCTCACTCACCAAGTAGGAGCGCAAGTAGGAGCCAGAGAGATTGGCTAGGGGTTGTACTTTATGCCACTCCTTTGCACGTAATAATGTAATAGAAAGGATATACTATTGGATCTTGCAAGGGTGGATACTTGACCGTATCCCCCTTTACTCAAGAGGCGGATCTGGTTCACCGACCGAGCAAGGACTGTTGTATGTAAGTAGAGCTCCCATGATCACGCACTACTTGTACATTTTTGTACACATAGTTACCTACAGTTCGGCTACATCATAAAAAATACATTATAATGTCTTGCCATAGCCATAACAACAGCAACGGTGGGGGCAATATCAACCATTGTTCTCCGTAACAGCAATATCAACCATTGTTCTCCGTAACATCATTAATTCGGTCCAAACCACCGTTCTCGATGTCGTGCTTAGATGTAGTCTTTTAGCGCCACCCCTAGATGGTAGTCACGGATGTGGAGCAGCGATGGCTTAAGCAAAGATCAACTTGTGCTTGTGGTCTGGGGTTGGGCAAATGGCAAGCTCTGCCCCTAGCTCCAGTGCTAGGCCAAACAGATATCCAAATCCTTCTCTTTCAACACCACATAGTAATCCACATACTTTTCTCCCCCTGCATCTCTCTTCCAGCACTCTTCCACCGTTGAAATGCTATTCAGCAAGTTTCTCGCCTTGTTTCGTGTGGCAAACTCCTTGAACTTGGACAGGTACGCGTGTCTCTGAGAGGGCAGGATGTTAAGACCAGCGATGAACAGGGGGAAGCAAAGATTGCCCTCAACAGCCGAGCCCAACACAAGGTCCAAAAGACACGACAACTTGCGGCCCCAAACACGCATCTCCAGAGAAGTAGAAGGCAGTTTGAAGATGGTTCGTTTGAGATGAATCAAGGCAGTCAGCTGGTAAATTTCAAACAGGTGCTTATGCAAAGTACATTCCTCGTCACTGAGCGTCATAGTATCAGCCAGATTGGGTGTGAGAATACGAATCTGGTGCTCGAGACGCTGGGCAGTCTGCAGAATGTTAGCTTCGGTAGTGAGAGTCGAAGAAGTCATTTCTTCATTGCCACTCAATTCGTTGGCCAATTGAGACACCTCGGCAATCATCTGGTACGGCTCTCTGCAGATTCCCAGTAGTGGGTCGATACCCTGACCTCCCTGAAGCAGCTGTTCGTATTCTGCTCGACCAAAAAGAGGTCCTCGATGGTGAGAGCTACTAGCGACCAGGTCATGATAGGCAAAGTTTGTGGCTATCCAGCGGAGATTTTTGTCATTGAGAAACTTGGACAGACCGCCATAGTTGCGGATTATGGCCGCCGACATGTTGAGAAACTTTTTCCAGTTGCGTAGGTCGCCCTTACACACTTCAGCCGAGCAGCAGAGCAGCAAGGCCGCGATTGTGGAGTGGTCAAAAGTATTGTTTGTGATCTGGTTCTTGGTCAGGGTCACAGCCTTGTCGAGCGCGGCCATCCCTGTATCCTGAAGATCAGCCTTGCCTGAATGGAAAGAAGACCACGCTACAATGCTGTGTAGAACAGCAGCATTATGATGGGCCATGGGAAGAAAAATTTGAACAAAGTGGTTGTCTTGATCGGACGCCACACATATCATTCGCGACAGCTTTTCCTCGTAATACTGCAGCATCTGGTTCTCTTTGGTGCTGAGTCCTCCAAACAGAGAGGGCTCCAGAGACTCCAAGTTGAAGTCTGCGTCTATTTCAAACGGAGAGGGAATTCGAACCAACGAATTAACGTCCAGCTGGTTGATATCATCCTCTGTGAGATCGGTGATATCCACAATTGGGTGATCGACTGCGGGATCCACGTAGTTGGTGAAGTTGTAGGGATGGAAATCAAGCATGGGGACAGGGGCCACATCTGTAGAACCCGCTACAGGCGGTGGCGCATGGTCCACGGGAACAACCACAAACTGCTCGTGCGTGTCTGGCAGACCCTTTCGTTTCTTGTTCTTGTACTCTGTTCCAGGAGCTGGGTACACGCACACGATTCCGAGCCGTTTGCAGCACTCACAAACAGGCCGTGTTTCGTCGCAGCGCTTCTTGCGTTTGCGGCACGTATAGCAGCCGTCTCGGGACCGTTTTCGAGGCGGCTGGGCCGGAGGCGCCGCCGGCACCGGGTCCTTGGGGGCACTCATGGCGAAGGCGGTAAAACGGCGGTAAAACGGCGGTAAAATGGGGATGGAGAAATCGCGCTCGTTCAGCTGCAGACCACCCAGAATCTGACAATGCAAGCACGCTGGCGGTCGCGCGACGGAAGAAAAAGGGCCACTTCGACGCGGGTGAACCTCCAGAAGCTGCTATCTGCGGAGTTGCAATTCCACTGTTTTTTGGCATCTTCGGACGTAGGGTTTAATTTCCCTGTTGGGAGAGTGTGGGGGGAGACACCAGTTGTTGCCCCCCGCAAGAAGGCGATTTGGTAGAGAGAAGGTCCTCCTAGGAGTCTTAGGTAACACTTGTATAGATTCACGTGATTTACCGAGGTCCTGTCGTGATGATATCCACTTATTACCGGGAAGGCGCTGCTCAAAGAGCTCTGAAAAAGTTCGGCAGATTTGCCCGAAAGGTAAACAACAAAGGCGAAAAAGTGAGATAACAATTGCAGCAACAGTGAGGCTGAAGTGCATGGTTTAGGTGGGTAGATATGTGTGAGAAAATAAAGTGCTTTGTGCGTACCAGGGATAGGGTAGGTAGTGAAATCTGAGTTAGTACATCAACTCTAGACGATGGGCGTCGCCTGTGTAGAAGAACAATAACTCACCCGGTAACTAACACTATTTCTCGGTGGTCAATGCGTCAGAAGATATCAAGACGGTCCGTTTTGCGTTTAAGCCGAGTGAATGTTGCCTGCCGTTAGTAAATTTATTATGAAAAACCCCACTATGAATACATCAGCCTATACTGATATACCAAGAAGTGCAAGGGAGGTGGTCCTGTTCCACCTGAACGCGGTTCCCGACAGGCGGCGGTACTGAAGGGCTTTGTGAGAGAGGTAACGCCGATTCTCTCTGCAGTCGTAAGACCCAGGTGGTGTGTCCGAGGCAGTATCGCTTTCCCAACTCTAGTAACCTCGGTAGTGTGAGACACACTACCCCTAACGGTAGGACAGCCGGACGACGATGGCGCAGCAATTGGCGAACGCTGTTATAAAACAATTCACTTACGTGCAATGAAAGTTGTTTGGGCAATAAACAATAAATGTATTAGAGCCAGACGATAGACAACAATCCAGCAGATGATGAGCAGGAAAATTGAGTAAGATCGACGTGGCAAGAAGAGTTACAGTTACGCAGAGTTAATAAGGTGTTGGGAGATTAGAGTTACCCTGTCGGATGACTAACTCTCCAGAGCGAGTGTTACATATGTGGGTTGGAGTGTATGATTTGGAGTGGGGGTCAGCGTGGAAGATCGCCGCGGTGCTCGTATTATATTGCCTTGGTGATTTTCCACATCTTTTCCAGTTATTTGTTGCGCTAGTCATTGTTCCCCAATGTTTATTGCCATGACCATCAATGTCGGTCAGTTTTAGACTGGTTTGGAGCTGCATGAAGGCTTCCTTGATGATGCTCACAAGCCCTGGGTACGACTTGGACGATGACTCTTTGGAGATAAGCGTGAAAACATGCATCTAATAGCATTGGGCAACAATGGATAAGCATTTGAAATGCGACTTGCCGAATTATCCGAGCGTTTTGTCTTGTGTTAGGGGCGTGAGTGCTCAACAAGCTGTGCCTGGGCAGTACATATCGTACTTAGCACTGGGAAACAGAGAGGCCACTGAGGCTCAATAGATATAGATGAGTAGATACATGTCTTCAGCGCATCAGACGCAGACGAAAAGGTCTTCACATTCGCCCGCTGTGCCAAGATTCTTAACACAGTAATAATATGAATGAGTTAAACATACCAGACCAGGCACTGATGCTAGGGCTCATGCTCCTGCTCGTGCTGGTACCAGTGCCACCCCAACGGCTGTAGGAAGGGAAAGGCAAAGTAGAGAGAATGGAAGATACATTCTATGAGACTCGTCATCCTTGACTCGATTGGACACCAGATCAGGCTGTGGTGTCGGTCAGATACATTGCTCGACATGGTCCCACACTCCTGAGCAGTTATCATAACTGGGGAGCTAAGACATGTATATTTTTGCGTTTTAATTGGTGGACAAGGCTGCTGGACGGGCACTTTTCAAGTCCCGGACGCTTTTCGGGTCCATATACCTCCGGTTTCGGAATTATAATGGATACGGTAAATGCTGAGTTTAAGCCAGGCGACTTGGACATGTTGGAAGATGGAGAAGCAGACGGGTAGTTTAGCAGGCGCATTAGTCTGCAAAATTTGTGCTAGCCTGGTCTACTCCTCAGCTGATAAAAGTGCTTCCCGTCTGCCAAGCAAACCGAGACGTCAAACGCCGAGGAGTCTGGAATGGAAAGTAATCGCCAAAAGCTAACGACAGATAACCACAGAGTGTAAATGGTCGGTTTAAAACAAGCCTGTATGAAAGAGGGCTTATTGGGAGAGCTTGGGGAGGTTTTCTACTGTACCGCTCTGTACTTTGACTCTGTGGTGCATCTTTTAGATTGGTTCTTGTATCGCTTCTACTAGCTAATCTCATCTCATCTCGCTAACCTGAATCTGCAAGAAGAATACATGCTTGATGGTTGCTCTTCTGTTCCTCCCCTTTTATTTTCACGGTGCTATTCATTGGTTCCATTATAGGAGCTCATAGAGCTCGGCCCAGGCCATCTCCCGCCTTTTATTCTTGTGTGGAATCTATAATAGTAAACATAAAACGTGCGCGCATGGCACGCCGTCCAAAGCGGAGAGCTTTCACGAGGGCTAAAAAGGCCCCCAGAAAAGCGCATACTCAGTCATTGTGTTTAAACACTGACAAGCCCATCCGAAAAAGACTCACCATCTTTACTGCTGCCATTTCTACCCCAACTTGAGCTGAACATTGAGAGTTGAAACCCATACTCTTAACGCCATGGACTTAACAAGTTACGAGACATTCCATTATGCATCCACGCTGTCACCTTGTTTCTCCAGTGAAGGCCCCACCCCCTTAGCCAAGAGATACTAGCGGCGTCTAGCAACGTTCTTTTTCTCTGTCGACCACCAAGGTGGTTGGAGTGCAGATTTTGCTTGCCCAGGCAGAGACGGAGACATGGACAAGACACGGACAGAGACTTGGACTAGGCACGGAACCAAAATAACAAAGAGCCTCATCGGCCGTTTACTTACGAAGATGCACTTGTCACCGGCGAACTCCACGTTTACGCCAGAAGAGTCTCTTAAGCTCTGGAAGCCGGTCTTGTCTGAACTCCTCGTACTTGTAGCTGCTGCTCTAAGCCCATCTTATGCACTTTAAACCAATACGAGAGTCGCTTAGACACTGCCTAGAACAGCTGTCGAAGATGGCGATGGAAAGGATATATAAGAATGAGCCATTCCTGGTGCGGTTTATCTCATCTCCAACCAACCAACCATGAATCTCAAGGAGCTGGACGAAAAGGCCAAGTATGTCTTTGACACCAAAGACCGGGTCGCAGACAAGTTCTTCGAATCAATGTCCCCCAAGCCACGCAAGTTGATGAAGTTCCTCTTCTCGCCAGACTATGACTACAGCTCTGCCACCGAGAACTTTGACCCCAATGACACCGTGGATGATCTGCAGCTGACCCATTCGGAAATCGTCCGAAAGGTATGGAATAAGAAGCAACTCATCATGGGCTGGGGCTTTCTGCTCTTCATGTCGCTGGTATCTACCATCATGTCCTCTTCTTTCCCCTCTTACATTGTCTACGCCTCTTCCGAGTTCTCCCAGATGGGCGCCCTGGCTTCTGTTCAGATTGTGCAGTCCTGTATCTTTCTCATCGCCCGGGCTCTGTGCGGTAAGTTGGCCGACAACTTTGGCCGGTTCGAGGCTATGTTCATCTCTGTTTGCTCTCTGACCGTCGGATGTGGCCTGTACATGGGAACACACAACATTGTCACCTACTTTGCCGCCCTGGCCTTCTACTCCATCGGAGACATTGGTATCCAGATGATGTACGAGATCTTTGCCGCAGACACCTGTGATCTGCGAGACCGAACATTCTTCCAGACCATCACTCTGTTTGCCAACCTCTTCACTCCCTGGATTGCAGGTCCCATGGTCCAGTCAATGCTCCAACACTCCACCTGGCAGTGGGGCATGGGAATGTGGGCCATCATTGTGCCCGTGTGCTCAATTCCCTTCCTGGTGACTCTGCTCTATTTCCGAATCAAGGCTTACAAGATGGGTCTGCGAATACGACGAGGAGACCCCAATCGAACCTGGTGGCAGAACACCATCACCGGAATCATCAGAATGGATCTGCCCGGCCTGTGTTTCCTCTGTGCTGGTCTCATTCTCTTCTTTGTGCCCATCTCTTTCTGTGCAGGTACAGACAACTGGAAGCAGCCCGGAAACATTGCCATGCTGACGGTCGGCACCTTCCTGCTCTACGTTGCCTTCCCGCTGTGGGAGTTCTTCGTCACCAAACACCCCTTTCTCAAGTACAAGCTCATGTCCAAGCGTCTGGTGACAATTCCCGGCTTCATCATTCTCTTCTACAACATGTCCTTTGCCATCTACCACCCCTACTTCCAGGTCTGGCTCCTGCTGGCCAAGGGTCTCAAGCAGGCAAAGGCCACCAACTTGCACATGGCCATGTTTGTGTCACTGACCGGAACCACCCTTCTCTTTTCGCCGCTCATGCGATGGCGAGCCAAGCTCAAGTCCGTCATGGTCTGGGGTACTATTCTGTACTTCATTGGAATGGGACTCACCTACGAGTTCCGAAAGCCCGAGAAACCCCTCCACACCATGATTCTGGCTCAGGTATTTGAGGGTGTGGGAGCCGGTCTGCTTGTCATTCCCGTCATGGTTTACATCCAGGTCGTGTGCAAGCAGTCCGATGCTGCCGCCGCCATCACCGTCTACTACTTTTTCAATTCCACCGGTACCATTCTCGGTAACGTCATCTCGGCCGCTGTGTACCGAAACCATTTCCCCAAGCTGCTTCGAGAAACAGGGTCCTTTACTGACCGGGAGATCCAGGCCATTTTCGGCTCCATCTACGCCGGTCTCAGATACCCCGTGGGCTCCCCCCAAAGAGCGGCCATTGGAACCTCGCTCAACACCGTCATCCGATCACTGCTCATCGGCCCTCTCATTCTCTGTGCCATCATGTTCTGCCTCTCTCTGACCAACGCAGATATCAATCTCGATACCGCCCAGCGAATCAAGGAGGAGTCCGAGCATGTCAAGGCCGACGAGTCCACCGACGATAACGGACTGGTCGTGGAGACAGACTCAATCGAGAAGCCGCCCTCCTACGACGAGAAGAAGCAAGTCGAGGAGATGGTCCAGAAGGCCTGAACAAAACCAACACTTAATGACTGACACTTAATGACTGTACTCCAGCGACTGTATACTTATCAACTATTTGTACCTCGAGAATGAGGAGTAATGATTGTAGAATCATTCGTACATCTGAACTGTGCCCACCAACAATTCAGTAAGTAGCCTTAACCCTTACTCAACTATTACTACACTACAATCAACTTATAATTAATGAATGTATTATGCAGAAAATAATAATATAGACGGTGGCTATCTCGTACTTGTACTGCACACGTTAGGCAGGGACTACTTCTTCAACTTCCCTCCTCTTGTCATGTCTATATTCAATTACATTCATTCGTATCCAACCCATACCGCTTATGGCCTCATTTTATGCTCTACACCTCCCCTTACTGCTGCTTCAACGAAGATCGACCAGCCTTGAGCAGCTCGTCGCACAGCAGCAGGTTGGTGGCAATACCAGTGGCACTGGCAATGCTGTTTCGGATCACCCGGAACGAGTCGTAGACACCCTCAACCGTGGGGTCCATGGGCTCGCCGGTGGTCAGATCCAAACCCACAAGATGGCCCTCGGCAATCTCGTCCTGGCACTCGGTAATCATGTCAAGAGCGTCGTAGCCGGCGTTAGAAGCCAGAGTCTTGGGGATAATCAGCATGGCCTCGGCAAAGGCTGTGATTCCGTACTTGGCCTTACCCTTGGTGCTTCGCGCGAACTTGATGAGATGCTGGTGCAGAGCGAGCTGGAATGCGCCGGCACCAGGAACAACAGCCTGGTCGGTTCGGCAGTTGGCCACAGCTCGGAGACCGTCTCGCACCGCATCGGAGGTCTGGGCAATGCTGTGAGAGTTGGGGGCTCGGATCAGAATGGTCACCGACCGGGGGTCCTTGACCTCCTCAATGTAGGTGTACTTCTCCTCGCCAATGGTCTCCTCGTAGACCAGACCGGCCCATCCCAGAATATCGGGACGCAGATCCTCAACCGAGTTCTGGGCCTCTCCTCCACACACGAGCTGCAGACGCTCCATGTTTCGTCGCTTTGCTCGTCTCAGGGCAAAAATGCCGTTCTTGGCCAGAATGTCCAGAGACAGAGGATCAATACCCTTCTGGTTGACAATAACAAAGCCCTCGCCGTTGGCACACACTTCCCGCTTGAGTTCGACAATCTTCTTGACCTTGTCGTCCACAAACTGTCGCTCGGACTGCACCAGCTTCTCTCGCTCCTCAGCAGTGGAGTAGAAGAAGCCGGCGTTGACCTCGGACTTCTCGTACTCTAGAGACACGTTGAGAGTGAGCACAAACGCGTTCTCGACTCTCTTGGGCATGTCGGGGTGTCGGGGACCATGATCCAGAACCAGACCTCGGATCAGCCGAGTGTCGTCGGGTCGCTGCTGCTTCATGATCTCAACCATGTGCAGATCGTCTCCAACTGCCAGAACGGCATCGGTGACGACGGGAGCCAGACGCGCCACTAGAGTGGGGTTCACTTTGGTGGCGAGGGAAGATCGAGCGACCGCCAGAAGCAGCTCTCGGTCGACGCTGCCGGCCTTGTTGATCTTGAAGGTGTCGAGGAAGGAAAGGGCCTCCTTTCGAGCAATCTCAAAGCCCTCAGCAATGACTCGGGGATGCATCTCAGTGACGAACCGCTCGGCCTGTCGAAGCATCTCTCCAACGTAAAGGACAACCGATGTCGTACCGTCACCGGTAATGTCGTCCTGTGCAGTGGCGGCTCGGGCAATCAGTACGGCGGTGGGGTTCTGGATCTGCATCTCGGACAGAAGCACCTTTCCGTCCTTGGTGAGCTTGATTCCTCCTGCTCCATCAACAAGCCTGGGTTAGTATTGTATGACTCTCGTGATGTGCTTTTGGTGATATGACTTTGGTGATATGACTCTGGTGATAAGACTGTGACGTGTCCTGAAACAGTGATATGGCATATCTGTGTTCATTTGATAACTCCTGTCGTGGTACGTCCTCAATCAAGTCGTGACCACGTCAAAATGAATCCTGTGTCGTGGTTATAACATCCTGGCTTCCACCATGTTCCAATTACATAAACAGGTGCAATTGCAACACAATAATCAACAGCACCATCGTCGTGTACAACATAACACGGACAGATGCTCATCATTACCCTTAGGACGTCTTGAACTCCTTCTTGATGTTTGTCTAACACCAACTGATCGCCACCATACTCACATTTTGATGGTGCCCTTGGGACCCAGATTGCTGCAAAGAACGCTCTGAAGACCCTCTGCGGCGGCAATGTTGACCTGAAGCGCCTGCTGCCGTCGCAGGGACTCGGCCTTGGGGTTCAGTAGTTGCACAGACATGTTGTGTATGTGTGATTCGAAAAGTGTGGAAAACAGAAAAGCCCCGTGCAGATAGGATTTGGTGACGTCTTTAATTTTCACAGACGAGGTTCGCACACACTCTATCTGCACTCAGGCACTACTTTGGGGGACGCGTGTTCGATTACCGGTGGCGTAGAGAATAACGTAGAATCTTTTAGAAGACGAAATATATAAATAAACAAAAGGGTTGCTTGACTGATGGATATTTCCAGGGACGATATACATTCACTCGTTTTATGCCCATTAGACCCTCTATTCTCCGTTGTCCGGACAACGCTCACTTAGTCAGGGTCAGTTGGACGCCTTAGCAACTCAGCAACACGTGTATTGAGAGCAGCTCACCGACAGCACGAGCACGAGTACGAGTACGAGTAATTGTACATAGAGATTAAACGAAACGGGCAGATCGTTTTAGTCACGTGATTGAAATTTGGCACCTCCCGTGTTTTTCATTTCAGTACCTGTGCACTCCTGTGTTCTCGTATTACATAATATTAACATATGCATGCTGAAAAAAATCCCACCTGGCGTAATTATGAGTCCACCGCTGCAGGAAAAAAAAATTTCTGCAGTATATATAGCAGACCATGTCCTTGACCAGAACTTCACTGCCTGTGATGGTTTTTTTTTAATTAGACTCTGATCACACATGAGGTCAAAAAATGTCAAATTTGCTGAGGCAGTTCCCACACAATATTTAGTTGATATAATCAGGTTAGGAAGAGGACATGGATATCGCCAGTTCTGAGACCTAGAGGTTATGAGCCATAGCACGGCAATAGCACAATCTATTGCCAATTGGCAACGGACATCCATCTACACGTCGTTGGTGCTGATGGCAGGTGTCACGAGCTGATTTGACGGTTTCCGGACATCTTCGACGTGTTTAGAGCCAAGGCTGACAGTCATCGCTGACAGTCATCATCTACAGAACGACATCATGCCTTTTTGATCGCAGCAATACACAGGTTATGACCAGTGCCTAGCGCAGTATATACATACAACTCAAGCTCCAAGGTTCTCCTCTGATCTCTTTGGCCGACTTATACATGCTGGTAGGAACTCCTACATGCAGATACGCACACGTTGGTACGTCCATTGGTACATTAATAGTGACGAAAGAAGAGCTCTGAACCGATTAGTGAAACACGATGGCATCAGCTGTTTCCTCCAATAGACGGCCAGCTAATAATCTTACCACCCCACGTCTCCACCGATGATGTCTCATATTTAGCCTCGTCTTGATAGCTGCCATTTATTATTCAGACGAGTTCGGCTACGAAGACCAATTGATCATTATGCCGGGTACAAGTAGCTCCAATTTCACGTGACCAACGACATTAGAAATTCCGCTACCCATACCGGTACTGTACCTGTATCTATCCGTCTAACCGTTTGTAACCTGCTTACGCACGTGCGCATTCCTCGTTAGTTTCATTTGAAGGGGCTAGCGGCTATTATCTTCATTAGAGGCATAAATCGGTCCATTTTAGACGCCCTCTCCTGGCAGGTATCTCCGGTTCTATCAATTTGCCATTGCTCGGTCTTTGGCAATGCCTCCATATATTTCATTTCATGGTTACAATACACCTCAGACAGCATCGGATGTCTCACACCACCATGCAGCTGAGATGCATCAAATATGCACGTCGATGCACAAGTCGACGATACCAAGCGTAAGCGAGTGGATACTAAAGCTTGGGCTGAAAAATTTGTACTGCTAAAAAATGTACTGCTAAAAAATGTACTGCTAAAAGTTTGTACTGCTAAAAAAAATCTGTGCTGGACTAACACAGCTACGACTCCAATTTGATACAATATCAATAAATAAACTGCAGAACAATAAATAGAATGTGCAAGAGAGTTTGCACGGCGCTAGGAGCGCGGACGTAACGTCAATGTTTGCTTTCGCAAGGAAAACAAACGGTCCTAAGACAATTCAAGGGGTCCACTTTGCTGGCAGTCCTGAGTGCCAAGTGTATAGGGGGTATGTGATGGTGGTGCCCGCCGTCCGCGGTCTGCTTTTTTTGGGTTGGGAGTGCAAGTCAAGGATTATTCAATCAGCTTGACAAGACCCCATGCAGCTCCGGCAGCAAGACCACCAATCAGAGTCATCTGGATACCATTCCACGTGATGCAGCCTCGTCCGACGTCGGATCCAAGAGAGATGACAGTCTTGGTGCAACCGAAGATGAAGAGGGTGATGAGCATGACAATGACGGACCACATGAGACCATCGTCGACGTGGGCGGTAAAGAAGTAAGGGATCAGGGGAATGAAACCTCCGAAGAAGTAAGCCAGACCAATGGTCATGGCAGAGGTGAATTCTCGGCCCTCAGCAGGTTCCTCGAGACCCTTTCCGAATCGAATGATAAAGTCAACCATGGATGTGGGGTTCTTCTGCAGGTCCTTGGTGAAGGAGGCAGTGGTCTCGGGAGAGAGGTTGTACTGGGCGAGGATGTCGGCGATCTGAGACTCTCCCTCGGAGGACTCGGTCTTGAGGACGGCTCGCTCCTTGGTGCACTCGGACTTGTAGTAGTCGTTCTCAGACTTGGCGGCGAGGTATCCACCGAGACCCATTGAGATGGCTCCGGCGACAAGCTCAGCCATACCTCCGGTGATGACAAGCTTGGTGTCTCCCAGAGAAGACAGACCGGCGGTGAGGGCAAAGGGGACGGTGAGGCCGTCAGAAAGACCGATGATCATGTCGGAGACAACTCGAGGAGAGACCCACGAGTTTCCGGATCCAGACGATCCCGAGCCCTGGGACAGGGTGTCGTCGTCGGTGAGACCAAGGCGGGCTTCTTCGTCGGTCATGGTGGCGTAGGAGGCGTTGTTTCGGAGGAGAGGCTGCTTTTCAGTTCCAAAGATGGCCTTCTTAAGGGCGACAAGAACCATTATATTTTAAAATTTGGGAGTTGGAATCGAGAGCGATGGCGCAAAGCTAAATTGAAGGCTAGACACGAACTGGCGTATGAGCGTTCAATGGACAAACACGTGAATGGGTATGGAGGCAACGACTTTTGAAAGGAGTCGCACGAGGGGTTTTGGGTGGATGGAGCGGTGCGATGCACAGGCGGTGGGGTTTTTTGTCTGTTGTAAAACTGCTGGAGAGACCGGTAGCTGGTTGCTAAGCCAAAGCAGCAGACCGTCTCTATAAGTAGACCTTGCCGTGATGTTGCTCTACACACACTGTTGGAATGATTTAGTAATGCGCGGCCTGTGATTGGCCCGCCACCCTTTTGAAATATAAGGTTTCATTTAGACTATTTTCCCCTACAAATCTTATTACAAGCGAGTCCGGTTGTGGTGGGGTTGGCGGGAGCAACTGGGTCCCGTTAAATGTGTGTTTTGAGGCTATAGAAATGCTTGCCGGCATTTTCTGACCACAAATATCTCTTTTTTCCCTACAACTTCCGTCTCAGTCGCCCCCCCCAACCCCTCCCCCCCTCACCGTCACGAGTCTATATGTGTGGCAACCAATAACATGGGGGGTATTGAAAACACACTGGAAGTTAAAGTTGTTTAGCTTGGCAATCTACACCTGCTTTTGCTACCGTGATTGGAAGCCGGGCGAAGAAGGGCCATGTTTCTGCCAGTCTAGGGCCTGAAAGCTGCAGGCAGAAACGCAGTGGCGTTCAGCCCTGCCATTAGGTGGATGCAAGCAACCCCCACAACCAGTCTGCGGCATGGTAGTCCGAGACAAATGCCTCAGAACCATGTATGTACGATCCACCAGAAACCCACGGAACCCACTGCTATCTCCTTATCGAAAGCGGCCAAAAGATACAAGTCTACGCCTTGGTCCGCAAAGTTGGGTTGGATTTGTCAACATCCCTGCAGCAGAGCTAATCCTGCCGACGCTTACAGAAAGGTCATGGGCCTTCTGCGGTGCAGTAGCTTCAGTGGCTTGTGGCCAATCATTGGAACGCTATATGTAATGAAGCGGTTGGAGTCCGAGGGAATTACCGTCCGCGACAGGCTCCTACTGGTAGTATCGTTCACAGGCAGCCTTTCTCACGAAGCATACCCCCTCCTGAGTCGTACTGTACTTGACACCAATGCACAGCAGTCCAGCTGACAACTTTGAGCTTCCGTCTTCTGCAAGTGCTCCGAGATTCGATCGGCACCAACCTCCGTGTGGGGAGCTTCTTGTTCCACCATTGAATTGGTTTGTTATGGAGCTCTTTGTCCGTCTAACTAGTGGCGGCTGTGTTGTCAAGGCTCAATAACATAAACAAGATGACGTCTTAGACCACCATAGCAGTTTGTATGTACACACTCGCCTGAAACAGACCTACAGAAAACTGCACAATCCTACAGCCCGGAAGTCGCATGTATACACAATACAGGTGCCCCGGACCAAACTGTGGCGCTATCAACGTTCACACGGGCTTCAAACAATGTTGTGTGGCAGACGTCATCTTTCCAGGATCCAACTTAAGCGATGCATGATCTGGCCCGTTGGGCGTGTATCTGTCAATACAAGTACAGTGTGTACATGCACCGGTGAGAGTACTTGTACTTGTGCTTGTGTCCTACGAGCGACACATGTCGCACTAGTCAATCACATACGGAGTTTCTGCTTCAGTCTCATATGCATCAATCAATGTTGTTGTGCTGCCCATAGATGGAACCAACGTCATAGCAAACAATGATAAAGGCCATTTATGATTCTCATGACTTCTGAATGCAAACGTACCGACTGGTGGCTGATTGTCGTCTCATCAGTGAAGATCCTGACACACCAGGTCAAGGTTCTGATAACCAAACAGACAGGGGTATGAAACCAAGACAGCGAGCCCATAGAGCACGGTTCCCAATCTCTTTGTACACTGCCAATGTCGTAGGGAATCTTAGCTTGGATGCGTTTATCCCCAATTATTACATGTCTCCGCTCATCACAATCAAAACAGACGCTTGGAATGTACACAGTGTTGTATACAGACACTTGTAGCAAATACACACAGGGATACAATACTAACCTGGTGGCCATACACACAGCCTTTGTCCATGTGAATTTCGGTGGTCAGACATTGGTTGCACGAGGTGAGGCTTGCCAAGGATGACAACTGACGTTATTCTTCGTTAGTCTGAATCAGAGATTGTTTTTGTAAGGGCTTGGCCAGGAGGGTCGTGAAGGAGACTGGGAAATATTACGAATCTCTCTTGTAATCACAAGTAAAGGTGACATTCTGTGAAGGCAGAGTCTCTCTACTTGTAGCAGGAGAAGTGTGCACTTAATAGTACAAGTACCAGTACAAGTGCAAGACAGTACAAGTGAGACCAGTACACAGTACATTCAAGCGAGTACCACTATGTACAAGTGCAAGTACTCTCTTTACTCTGTTTATATATAGGGTAAAGCAATCGACGGGAGGGACGGGATACCAAAGTGATACCCAGTGCGATCGTTTGGTGTTGCTCAACTTGAAATTCTGGGACATGTGACTCTTACAAGCACCGCTCTGTAGCGTCTTCACAGGTACACCACCTACAACTACTGTAAACCGACATTGAGAAGAGTACTTCTACCAATACAGTATATACTACCTCACTATCAAATAACAAACAACAATTCATTGTTGACAGGAAGAAACAAAAAGCCAGAAAGACAGCAAATATCTAGTCATTATTTTTAACTGAGAACTGAGTAGTGCCTGCCTTAGTTTTCTCGACGCTTGTTGCTTTTCAACCCATGTTGCTCACTACACACTGTACATACTTGGACATGTATGGGGAACTGGACTTGCCTAAAACTGCGCTTCCGGTACACAAATCATAGCTACAAGCGCATTTACCGAGTAAACTTGATAAATCCACAAACTTATCTATAAGTTAGTGTCCCGAGCTGTTCTCTAGGGTGCACACAGTCTGTTGTGCCTGAGCTGTCACGAGGCGGCTACTCTGGGATGATAACGAACCTCGAAAGATCAACAAAGGCAATAGCAAGATAATATTCAGTCCAAAAATCTCTCCATTATATCTACTTGTCTCATTACTTTACTGTACATGAAGGGTATTTGTCCAGGAACATTTCCCTCAGTACTTCATGAAGCTGCAGATCTCACCGACCCTCCAAATTCAGAATTACTCTAGAAACTGTGGTAAACGGGTGAAGGAGATATAAAAGCTCTGGCAGATACACCACAATCATTAACATACAACCATATAATACATCTTCATCGTTTCTTCGTGTGGTTTTGAGCCGTTTAGCGGTCAATATTTATACAAGTAATAATTCATGGTCACGTAATCTAAACGACTGTTCCTAGTGTTTTATGGGAATTTTTAGAAAAAAGCCCGCCATCATAGTATAGTGGTTAGTACACCACGTTGTGGCCGTGGAAACCTCAGTTCGATTCTGGGTGATGGCAATTTCTTTTTCCAGAGCATGACTTTTTGCTGAACATGACTTTTTGAAGCATGTTCTTGTAAGTGCTCGAACCAAACCGGTACTCGCCCTAAATTCGCACGAGCCGTGAACATCAGACACCGCTAAAGCCCTCAAAAGACTGGTTTCGCCCGAAACAGTAACAACACCCTCAAGGTTCAACGGCCAATAAGGGCGAGAATAAACACTTAGAACGTTCCAAGCTGCGGCTTTATCTTGTTGTGACGAACACTTGCAGTTATAATGCCTCAATGGAGCAACTCGACCAGACCCCGCCAGGCTCTAGCTGCATTTCCAGCCCGTGTTTGCATTCCAAATGAGGTTTTGGGAACATGTGGAAATGTGGGGTGTAGGATTGGATGAGGATAAAATAGACAGAACCATTCAGCACCGTTTCGTTCGGCTCTTGTTAGTAAGATGACCCTTGGTGCTTATCTACAGCTGGCTATACGACAGCTCGTAACTTACGCCGTGTTATCAGAAAACCTAACCCGCAATTTCTGGATGTGGGGGCATGCATACACTGCGAGTCCAACCGACAGCAACGACTTGTGAATTAAATACTGTTAATATACATGTCCTATCTAGTTGTCAAACGCCATCTAGTTGTGATGGTTAACAGAAGAGCTCTTGGCATGGATGGAGGAGACTCGCTTGACTCCACTGAGCGAATTGACCTCGGCCATCTCAGTTTCGGTGGGAGCTCGGCCCAGCTTGTTCCACAGAGACTTGGCTTCAGGCAGCAGATCCACGTGGGGGAAGAAGCCGCACCACCAGAGAAAGTGGTAGAGGTGCTGTCGCTTGGCCAGGAAGACCTGCAGGTAGCACAGGTAGACAATGTAGATGTAGACTCCGAGTCCGGTGAAAATGTGCCACCAGGCATGGCCCTCGATAACCAGACCGTAGGGCAGGCCGACTTCTCGTCGGATCTTGATCCACTGGTTGCACAGGTGGATGTCCAGGTTCCACAGAAAGTAGCCAAAGAGGAAGGAGAAGAGGCCAAGGGCGAGCAGTCGCCAGAAGAGGTTCTTGGTCTTCTGGTCGGAAATGTAGGCCTTAGTCAGAGCCACAGACTTTCCAATGACAATGAAGTTGAGAATACCGTAGGCGGCCTGGTGGAAGGTGGGGTTCTTGTTGTGCAGGTAGATGGCTGTGAGCAACAGGGCACCGGCGGCGATTCCGACGCCCAGCAGCGTCTTGAAGTGGTTGCTCTTTTTGTTGGAGAAGACAATGTACAACGGCACGCAGGTGGCGTAGATCATGGGTAGCTCATCCAGCAGCTGGAACTCGTACCACAGCGTCATGTGGAACATCCAGGAACCAAATCCCACAATGAAAAAGCCAATGGCGGCGAAAATGATGGTGGGGTGGTGTTTCTCCCGGTACACGTTAATGATGGTGTACAGCGCCATGATCATGAACACGGCGTTTGTGGTGGTGTTCATGATTTCCGCCACGTATTTGCTGACCACGTAGTTTTCCTCGCACCAGTCAATGGTCGATGTCGTGGGGCCCCAGTAGCCGTTGTCCACGGGTGGTGGGTATGGGATTCCTCCAGGTAGCATCTTGTGTGTGTGTGGGCGGTCTATCTATGTCTAGCTGGCGAGGAACGTGTTGCTGCTTCTGTGTCGGATGCAACGGGACGAGGGTTGTTAGTGGAGAGGAGAGAAAATCTGTGTCTGACCAAGTTCCCCAACCCAGTTTATATCAGGCATGCTAAATCCCTCGATTGTATGCATAGTCGCAGCGCTAAATGCAATGTGCAACCTTGTGTGAAGAGGAGTGTCAAATCAGACCCAAAAGTGACGGGCCCAGCTGAGCCGACAAACATGTGAGAGTCGGTCAATTGGGTGCCTGCACGGTCGAATCGGGCTCGCAAACAGGTCTTTTGGTGGCCCCACTCTTGCTGCCCCGCACGTTTCGTCCTCCGCTAGCGAGTTAGCCCAAAGCTAAACACTCCAGCCAGCCGGCGTTATGGTGCACACTTGTTGGTGAGCTATGGGGGTCTCGTAGAGCCGACCTCGAATGATGTGACCCTGAGCCCGATCGGAAATAGTAGCAACGGTGCTAAGACGGATCGTGTGCGAAAAAGGGCGCTGGCCGGTCTTCCAACGTGGTGTTTGCACCCTCCGCCCTTCCTCGTCTGCCACCACCTGCCCCATTGGTATTAACTCCGAAGTATAGGCTGCGAAAGCCGGAGTATCGAGCAAGCCGGCATGTGGCGCACTATACCGAACCACAGACGCCACCACGAAAAAGGCGCCCAAATAAGCGTGACATCGAAACAACTGCCCAGGGCAAACTGCGCCCTATATATATTTACCGCAAGTGAACCCAACCACAACCACAGACACAATCACAACGTTCCCACTGTAGCTATGATACAAAGATACAAACATCATTTTCCATACCACCCGTCACGTGATAGCAATAGAGTGCAATAAATATGCACGAGGAGACCCAAAAAAAAAAAAAAAAAAAAACCAAATCATATTGGACATGTCTCATTGAGCCCATTTAATTGGGACCTGCTGAGGAACGGTAGGGTAAAAATAACAGGGGCTTTTAGCCCTTTTTCCACATAGAGCCGTACCCTGAATACTGTAAACATGCGTTCCAGCCCGCCAGCCGCACGTGTTCGTGTTCGGGGTTTGAGACATATCTTTTTTGGGCTTTCTTCAGTTCAGTTCAACCTGTGGTGGTGCTCGTACTCGTACCAGCGGCACAAGCACAAGACATTGCTGCCAAGTCTTGGCGTAATTTAATGTGCATGAGATAATGAGATTGACAGATCTCATTTCGTGGCGTATTCGGCTGCGGTTGAGGGCCTTGTTTTGTTGTGTTTTTATATATTCGGCTTTACACATTGTCAAGAAACTTAGTTGGCTGTTGTTAAGCGCATCAACAGACGATACATGAAAAGCCAATAGATCTGCTCTGTGAGGTGAGCAGTGTTCTCTCTTTCATCAATAAATATGCATTACGGTAATTAACCCTCCAGATCAAGATCCATCTCCATCTCCTTGTCCTTGTCCTTGTCCTTCTGTCTTGCCTTGTCCTGGCTCTTATCACCCTCTCTGGTCGCATCTCTCTTATCCTTCGCTCTCTGCTTGATCTTCGTCAGAGCCTTTGCAATGCGAACAGAACCACTGGTCTCGTTGCCATTCGGCAAAAAGTCCAGAATCTGCGTCTGGCGGTTCTGCTTGGCATTCATTTGCTGCAGAACAGGCAACAGCAACGAGTCAATCGAGTTACCACCAATCGTGTCTCCTAGATACTCTCGCAGACCAACCAAAGAAGGATGACCCCACTTGAAAGGAGTCTTGTCGTCGTCCACAGAAGGCTCCAAGTACCCCAATCTGATCTTCTCAGACGGAAAAGAGGCACTCAGGAATAGCTTTGAAAGAAACCGCTTCGAGAACTTGGACTTAAAAGCTGACGTGTTATCACTCTTGCCTCTGTTAGCCCTCTCAACAAGCTGGGATTCCCACCAGTCCTTGAATTCTCGCAGTGTATCTTTTCCAGGAGCCTTGAACTCGGCCAGAATCTCCATGGCAGATACAGGTCCAATGCCAGGTAGACCGTCAGTGTAATCTGATCCCAACAACAGAGCCAGGTCGACCAGATCCTTACGCTCGAGATTGAGAGTCTGTTCTATCTCACCGGTCTTGTAGCATTCCACGTACTTGTTCGAGTTGAAGAAGTTCTTGAAGACACGCATTCGAGGGTTGGACGAGAACAAAAACACATCTGAATCCTCGGTGATTACTCCATCGACAAGATCCAGATTCACTAGAGTCGCACACTGGGCCTCGGCTTCTGTGGGCGCAGTAATGAAGGGGATACCAAACAGCTGCAGCAGCTGCTGACACTCGTCAACCATGGTCTGAGTAATGGCCTCTTCGTTGGTCGTATCTCGAGACTTTTGGGTATGATTGATTTGCTCAAGTTCCTCCATTAGCGCCATTCGCATCTCCTTGGCTTGCTCCTCCTCCAGCTTGAACTGCTTCTCAAACTCCTCCTGTTCACGGTTGAAGTTTTTGATCAGGTTCTGCGACGTCTGCATGTCCTCTACAGCTTCTTCTTCAGCTAGAACCATGTTCTCGAAGGACTTGTTGTGTTCGTCGACTTCAGGGGTGGCATCACCATCAACCACTGGCGACTCCTTTGGCGTATGAGCTTTAGATATGTCAGCAGGCTCAGTGACAACCTCAGGCTTGTCGAACGTGTTGGGCTCTAAAGAACCAGTGCCAACGATACCTCCACCTAATGATAGTTCACCAGTTCCAAAGATATCTCCTCCAAGCGACTCTGCAGGTTTTTCTGTAGGAATAGGCTCTAGTTCAGCCTTCTCTGGCTCAATAGACACACTTTCAAACTCAGCATCGGACTCAGAATCTGATACTGTAATGGTCTCTGTGTTTTCAGCAGGAGTAGGGACAGGCGCTGGTTGTATATTGGCTGATTTCGTGATGACAGAGGCAGTCACAGGCTTAGCCACAGAATTAGAAGCTGTGGGCTTAGACGGAAGCTTTGTAGTGGCGACAGCCCTAGAAGTAACCGCTGGAGCGACAGGCTCATCGTCATCGCTCAATTCAACAATCTCCCTCGTGATTCCATACGATTGCCCTCCATAATACAAGCCAGCATCCTCGTCCGAGTCAGACTCTTCTCTGTTGGCCACAGGTCGATGAGCGGATTGCACTCCATCCTGAGACTGCTGGAACCACACAGGAAGGGTTTCTTCTGGAGACTTTGACTCATCGGGCTCGTCAGGCTTGAGTACAGACTCATCCTTTTCAGCCAACTCAGCATCAGCAGGTTTATTTGCCGACTGTGCATAATCATCGACAGCAGTCTCCAGGTCATTATCAAGCAAGGTGGATGACTGAGTGATCTCCTGTTCACCTCCCCACACCTTCTGGTCTCGATACGTCGACTGAAGAACCTCCATCACCTCATCTTCCTTCTTTTTCTTCTCTTCTTTTGGGGCAAAGATACCAGCGCCCCAGTCCATCTCTCCCAGCCCGTCCAGACCCTTCAACTGTAACGTTTTGGTCATGGCAGCAAGTTTGGCCTTCTTTTCGTCGTCCAAAGAGTTCATGATACTCTGTTGGGTCTCCAAATCCTCCCCAGCATCAATGATCTGCTGGTCGATATCAACAGTCTCCTTGTCATCAATGTCCACATCTTCCCATTCGTCATCTTCGCTCTCCTCCTTGATCTCCTCCTTTTTGATCTGAGTTTTTCTCCGTTCTTCCCTATCAAGACTGGACTTTCGTCTGAAACGACCGAAATCATGAGATCTCTTCTCTCCATCTTCGTCGTCAATCAAAACAGGAGAATCCCGATTCCCTCCTCCATCATGCATTGCTAGGGTCCATCCATCTTCGTTCTTTTCCATCACATACTCCTTCCCCTTCTCTCCAGATACTCGGTTAATCTCTGCAATGGTCTCATGCTCCTTGGGAAGCGTCAGATCGCCCTCCAAACCAACCAGCTGCATCAGTCGCTGTGTATAGTTGTTTCGAAGAGCAACTCGGTTAACCTGGAACTTGGAAAACGACTCAGAGTCAGGATACAGTCGCTGAAGCTGTTCGGCAGTATGACCCATACGAAGCCGAGATCTCAGCCGGGCACCGTTAAGCAACTCGTACTTTGTAGCATCTGGAAGCGACCGGAAATAGTCAGAATCAAAATCGATGTCAGTTGAAATGTCCAGAGAGCCGTCTCCAGCAACATGAGGGATCAGATTCTGCAGCTCTTTACGCTCCTCTAGCTCTCGTTGTGTCAGAAACCGATCGTCCTGGCCGATATTGACGTCCAGGTCGGGCAGATCATAGTCGGATTTGAGTTGTTGTTTCTTGTTGGAACCCCCCAACTTCTGCACCACATGCTTGGTGTCAGACCCCAAAAGCTCACTTCCCTTTGTGTAGTCGTCGTCGTCGTTGTCGTCGTCGTCCTCGCGCTTTCTTTTGGCGTTCAGCTGCTGCTCGCGGTTCTCGAGCTGCATCGCTAGAATCCGCTTGGCCTCTTTCTCCATACTGTCGATTCGGCCCTCCCGTCGCTCCCGTCGTCTTGCCACCGTCTTGCGCTTGAGCTCCGGAGCAACTCCGTCAAACACAAACACGGGCTTGATACCCAGAAACAGCAGCTTGAGAATCCGCCGGAAAAAACCAACCAGATGGGCATTCTTCTTTCCGGCTCCTCGGGTCGTCTTCAGAAACTGGTAGATCCAGATCGACGCGTCCACGGCCAGCCGGTTGCCGCCTAGAGTCTCAACCTTGACCGGCCGAGCTGTACTCTGCACGATTTCCCATAAACCGCGTACTCCCATGTGGTGGCGTCGTGGTTAACAGATTGCTGAAGATGATGCTTGAAGCTGCACTCGGGGTGCATGTTTATGCATGCTTATGCATGTCTATGGTTAGTAAGCCCAATGCGGATGAGTTCAATGAGGACTAGTACGCGTCCTGGACCAGTACAATATAGACGATAATTGGTAGAGATCAAGAGTCATTGAATCACAAGTACAAGTGCAAGTTTCATATCTAACACGTCTCCACCCATTCGATACCTCTCATACTGTTTCAATGACGGAATTCATGGGCACACTACAATTACTACTAGACATTGTAATCGCCTGTAATCGCCTCATCTCATGTACTTGTAACGTCCAAGGCTCCTGAGCCCAAGAGAGATGAGTACTCGCATAATACGCCACAAATACGATGGAGCTACTCTGAAAGATGCAAATGCTCAGACTAAAGAACCAAATTGTACTGCATATACTTAGATCTCCAACCACCAACCGCTTCGATTGAGACCCAGTGTCGGACTCCGAAGATTGGAATAACGAGTGGGGAAAACCAATAGTCACGTGTCACGTGACCAATGATCACCATCTTCGACTTGCAGCCCAAAAAGCACCGTTCGAAACAACTGACTAAGCTCCACGGAGTTTCGTTCTATTGGCTGATGTCCATGTCGACAACCTTCATCTGGAGCTGACTTCCCATCAGACTCAAACATGGCAAAAATTTCGACTAATGAGCCTGGCGAGGACGTAATTGGGCAGATCGAAAATCTTGGAAATTACCCTACATCTTTTAATCGAGGCCACTACAACAAATCATCACTCATTGCTTGTCCAGCTCCAACGTACACAAGGTTGCATGTCTAACGCACGCCCACGGCTTAACTTTTGCAAACCCATTATCACCACTGCAATCAGCTCCAACGCGAACCGCACGGGTCTCCAACTTCTTGCCTCCGACCCCAAGTTGCCCAGATGCAACAACCGCCGCCTCCCGGACCCGGCACTCCTCCGATCGGCCCTCAACGAGGCACATTTCCAACCTTCAACACCCGACACCATCCCTACCCTCCTCCACCCCATCATGGGCCTCCACAACACACGCCCCCTCCTCCTCCGCAGTACATGCACGCCAACGGATACCCGTATCCGATACAGTACCCGCCACACATGTATCCGCTGCCGTACGAGGTGATGAGCATGCCTCCCGGAGCACCTTACATGCCTCACTACGGCCTACCACAGCCAGTGTGGATGTACCCATCACCACATCAGCCGGTACCGGTAGTTCCTCCGGTGCCGCCGCCCATGCCCGCGGCCACACCCGGATCGGGCCACTTCATCACTGGATGGAAGCTCGACACGCTAGGACTGACTCAAAGCGAAATCGCCCACATGATCACATACTCATCGGAAACGGAGGGCGTGCGTAACCTGCGCAAGGACAACCTGACGCCCAGCAACAACTGGACCTGCATATTTTACAACGAGGACGAAACCGGCCAGTACACGCTGCCCCGGCAGACCGCCAACAACCTCAAACACGACCTGGACATTGTCATCGAGAGGTTCCAGCGCGGCCTGAACAACACAATGGAGGAGTCGTACGTGTTTCACAACGGCCAGCTCAAACTCGACGCGCAAAAGGGCTTTTTCTCGTCCCATTGGCCCGACACAGTGCCCAGTTTCGCGACCAAAGACCTCGTGGGCAAGTCGGTGTTCACTCTCAGCACCTCGTCTCGAGCAAAAGACTGGTGGAACTTCCAGCTGCAGGGAGACTACGAGTACATTACACACACCTTTTGTGGACGTCACTCTGCCGCTCTCTTTGTGTCTACTACCCCAGGAGAACAGGCTCTTACTGTCTACTGGGTTATGATTAACGGACAACCGTGCCACATCAATGGAGCCACAGACTGGTTCTGGTTCCAACCCAAGAAGTTTCTGCCCGAGGAGCGTTCCGAGGACAAAGTCAAGCTCCTCCTCACTGGCGACCCCTCCAGAAATCTCTTTCTTCTCGCGTCTTACAGCGACGATGTGCATTATATTTACCTGATTTCACGTGATCCCAACTCCAAGACGGATCGGGGCAACGTCACATTGATTCAGGTCATCTCCAACATCACGCGTGCTTCCCCATTGTCTGCGCCCAACGTGGATTCAGACGAGTGGTGCGAGTTTGAGATCTACACGTTTGCTAGCCGCATGGCATTGTATTCAAACGGCCGTCTGGCGGTCTTTGATGTCCAGCTGCGTCCTGACGGGCACATTTGGTCTCGAGTGGATCTCTCCAAGGTGGGTGGTATTGGCCGAAAGTCTCCCCCGCGTCAACTGGGTCGATATCTCATTTTCGACCATGTTGGTGCGCTCGATATGGTGACATTTAGATACAGGGAGTTTGAGGAAGGCTTCTGTGATGGTAAATTTGTGATCTGGAGTATACGAGACGAAAAGCTGGTGGCCTCGGTATTGGACTCGATCGACAAGGAAGGAAACGTGACTGGACAGCTCCAGGAGGTGTTTGACGTGAGTGTGGTGCAGCCCAGTAACGCCGAGTGGCTTAGAGACAGCCATACGACGCTGGATGTGGGTTCCCAGAGCGGAGACATGCGAAGAACCGCTGCCATTAAGCAGATGAATCTCATGTACGGTCCCGAAGTGGAGGTGATTGAAATTTCGTGAGGGGAGGAACGTACAGTAGACACGACTATATAAGTAATTATTGCATTATTTAAATAAAATAAAAAACATGTGGCGGGGTAGCTGTTGCTTGGTGAAGGGTGATTTACATGAAAGAGCTCGAGAGGTCCGCCAGTCACGTTAGACGGTTCTCTCAAGAATCGAGGGGCTCACTGAAGAGCACATCTGGGTGACTATGACAGTCGGGTCAACTAAAGAATAGCAATAGAGACACCACCGAGACAGCCGCCATTGGCGTTGTTCATCTGCATGAATTTGCAAAGGCGATTTCTCTGGGCTTGTTCAACACTTGCAACATTGTCCGTGTTCATTAACTGACAAGGGTCTTTGCATTCTTGGACTCACCTTGAGACAATGGAAGTCCGTCCAGATCAATCAACAATTGGCTTCCCCGGACTGTAGAGTAATAATGTCATTCGACACCATCTCCGACTTGTACTCACACCACCAGATCAATCAATCAAAACGGTATACTCACAATAGATTGATGTTATCATCCTCTCGGACTTATTCGGGAGGAAGTAGGGTAGGACATCAGGCTGCTAACGAGCAACAGCGCTATCACTGTCATGTCACGGTTGCACAATAGTCCCTGTGGTTGCCGTAAGTCAGAGCCCTTGCTTCGAAACTTGGCGCAACACCCGACAATACATCCATGCCTCCCGCCCGCCACGGGCAACGGCTTCCTCCATTCTTGTCCACACACTAGGTTATCGGGGTCCGACTCGCAGTACCCCCACCAAGTTCCCCGCGTCGATCACTCCACCCGTCGTGTGACTAGAGATGTAGCTTTGCGAGGCAATTGAGCCGATAGTTCAATATGGGCCATAAGCTCCGAGCCATAGCCAGGTGGTCCAGTCCAAAGGCTTGGAATCAATGTCCACACAACCCTGCAAGATAATCAGCACCAACTCTATCCACTTTCCGTGTAGTGCCGTATGGTCCATCAACTTTGTAGGGTCTCTGGAGTATGCGATAATTAGAGACAAGAGAAGGACAGTTGGGAGAAGCAGACCAATGTAAATCTTTGCGAGGCTTTTTAATTCCAGCTGAAATTCTCTGCTTGTTTGTCTTTGCGTGAGTGCTTTTTCCCGTTGCTTGTTTCCCACATTTGTTCGCCGTACGCATGCGCCGTGCAGTGATTGGATGGTGCTAGGAGGAAGGGAAAATGATCATTTTGAATATCTGAAAAGAGAAACCAGTTTCAAATGGGCGGAATAATCCAGATGGACCTTTCAAATCTTCAAATCCCTAAAAACTGACCGAATTATCGTCCTGTCCGTGTAACTTTCTCTTATCGTCATGCACTGATACAGATGAGAGGCATAGAAGGCGTGGCAACCATGGTAAGATGAAGAACGTGAGAGATGGACGAGCCCAATACGTCGGCGACTGGTTTCCCAAGTGTCTGAGTGTCCGCAGAGCCTGGAGCAATACTTATGTATATACTGTACACATTCACGCTACCCACACACTCTACAATCCCCTCCAATCCAAGTACAGTACTGTACTAACATGAACGTCATGTCGAGGTACTATTCGCAGTAAAAATACATACATGCCGTACATATGTAATCGACAATGTCACGCTGCCCACTGAAGCACCAAAAATATATTCAGTGAAAGCTGATGTGTCCGTCATTAGCGATCCACTTCGCTTAACTGATTGATTAGACAAGCATGCATGGTGGATGTGGGCGCACCGTAGATTGTATAGAGCTCGAGCTAGAGGAATGCAAGAATGAATATGCAGTATTATGTAACAGGGGCTTTCTTTTTGCCGCTTGTTACATTCGATCGTCTCTGGAAAATTACCGTTGGTGGATGCTAACAATGGACACACACACATCCATCATCTGTTTCACCTTGATCACTGCAGCAACTGGAGCTCCAGGGGCTGTTTGATCCATCAATGCTCCAATGCGCCCCAGTTTCATCTTGACAGATTGACGCTGGTGTCGATCCATCTACTGCTTAGATTTTTTCTGCATATACATTCATTTAATTATAACTTTGCCGTGAAAGAATAACCTTTGAAATGAATGTACGCTTACACGAATATTACTAATTAAACACGTTTAGTGTCATGGTCCAACTTGGCACGTACCTATTTCCAGTAAAAAAATCATAAAAAAACCTGGTTCAGTCCGTGTTGTATGTTGGTCCACATAGCTTCGCGTGTTTGTTCGTTCATCGGGAAAACGCCACTCCAGTCTCCAGTTCTCTAATCTCAATCCTTCCATTGCCCTCTTCATTTGCATTGCCTTTGAAAACTTCTCCTTGTGGTTCTTCTTCGTCATTGGTTTGGTTCTGCGTCCCCTGTGGTGACTACGCGCCCTGCTACGCTGTTCTCTCGGTGGCCTCGGCCGCCTTTTACGCTTGCTACTGTGTCTACTCTCGCTCATCGTGAAGTGCTGGCGGTTGTCCATCGTAGAAACACATCTGGGCTTCCTTCAGGAATTGAAGCAAACCCTGTTGGACATGTCCCAGGGTGGCGTCGTCCCCTGAGTACCGGAGGGATCTCTCCATCTTCCAGATCCCATAAGCCAATTCCCGCAGATATTTGCGTGTCTTGACTTGTTGATGTTTCCGGGGGGCGTCACTGTTCACATGCCCTGGGAAAGAGGGGAGTACTCCACATTTCGACTCGGTAAAGATCCAGTCCTTTAGAGAGTCCACTGACGGAATCTTCATCCTGGTCAACATGGAAAGAAGAACTTCGCACTTGCAGAAGATATGCTCGTGCAGATCCTGAATGATGGCCTTATCACAGAGCCCGCATCCTGGATTCTTCTTGGTGAAAACGTGGTCGTCAGGGTATCTCCATTTCACGAGCGGAAGTCGAGATATCCGCATGAGGTGAAGAACTTGTGCTTTGTTGGCGTCGGCGATGTAGTGTTTTCGAAGGTCATGCATTACCTCCTGCCAGACCATGTCGTCAGAGATGCCCCCGTAGTCGCTTCGTTGAGTCCACTTCTTCGGTCGTGCAAGTGTGTGTGGGAAGTTTGGCAAGTCGGGAGACGAGGTCTTGTGAAACATGAAGTTCTCTAGAGTAAGTGGTCCCATGCTCCACCGGAGGTGGTCGATTTCCGCTGTGGACACCATTCTGACCGGATGGTATCGTCTCGCGGCTGCGATGTCGACGTGTGCTTCCCGGAAAGATTCTGCTGCTCTCACGTTCACCTGGTTTCGTTCCCAGATTCTGTGATTAACTGTGTCTGTTGTAGAGGGCTCGTGATCTTCTCGAGGGTTGGCATGTTCCGCGGTGAGGGGCTTGTTGAGCTCGAAAGAAGCTCTGATTGCGTCTCGCATGGTGGGGGAGGCTGCGTAGCCCCAAGCTTGGCCTGTCGGAAAGCGGCAGTCGACGCGCTGGTGTGGCTTTTCCTGTGTGAGACTGTGAGTTCTGCTGTAGAACTGGAAGGTGCAGTCCCAAAGGGCCGGCGATGAGCCATGGAAGAACCTGTAAGCCCGAGCGGCCTTCAGGCACACCATGAAACGTCCCATGTCCCGCAGGTTCAGTCCTCCTCTGCCTACCGGAGTTTGGATGAAACCATTGCTGAAGGTTTTGCGTGTTTTGTCGGGTGATAATTTGTTGATCTTGTCGCACGCTAGTTCGTTCAGCTCTCGGATGAAGGTGTTGTCGATCTGGCTGACGTAGGGTCCAAGGAAATTCAGTTTCGAGAAGAAGTAGATGTTGATCATCCACGCCTTGCTGTAATAGGGGAGACCCCATAGTGAAAGGCGTCGCAGCGACTCCTTGAGGTCCTCCTTGATCTGAGCGTAGTGCGTGTCCAACCTTTCGCGATTTCCGAAGTGTACTCCGAGGTACCGGAAAATGTTGTCAGATGTCCGGAGCGTCGGGGCCTGTCGTGTGTTGTTGTCGGTTGGCCAGGTGGCGTCAATTGTTCGCTGCCATTCTGCGTCAATAAAGGTTAGTGGAACAAAACAATCGGGGGGGCCGATCTTCTGAAGCACCGTCTTTGACGGGTTTAGTGTGAGGCCTGAGACCCGTTGGAAGAGGCAGAGCACTCTACCAACCGTGGCCACGTCCTGGATGTTGTTGAGGAACACCGCTATGTCGTCCGCGAAAGCCGACACCTTCATGTGTCCAGCTGCCACTGCCTCCGGGTGAGTAGGGGGTTGTGGCGGCCTGTGCCCAGTGGTGTGGTGGTGGGATAGTGGCAGGCCTGGGGCCAGTCCAAACATCTCTCGGTCCAGACGACGCACAAGTGCGTCTACTGCGATGATGAAGAGGGTTGGAGAGAGAGGGCATCCTTGTCTCACTCCGATCTTGATGCGGACTGGGCGAGATAGGACACCTCTGATGTTGATTCTCGTTACTGCGTTCTGTTGTACAGCTAGGATACGGTTGATCATCAGTTCCGAGACACCCACATTTCGAAGCGTCTTTATCACCCAACTCTGGCTGATAGTGTCGTAGGCTTTCCGGAAGTCCAGTGATCCTACGACCCAACCCATGTTCAGCTGGGAGTAGGCGTTGCAAAAATGATCCATGGTGTCGAGATTGTTAGTGATGTGTCGACCCGGTACGAAACCGTTTTGGGCGCCGTGAATGCTGTCCGGAAGAATGTTCTGGATGGCTTTGTTAATGAGCTGTGTGTAGATCTTCACCTCTGTGTTGATCAAAGAAATAGGCCTGTAGTTGGAGATGTCGGCCTGATCTCCCGACTTGTACAGTAGTTTGATGATAGCGGTGTTGCGTTCGGTGCTGATGGGCGAGTCGGCTCCAGCTTCGTTGTAGACGTCCGTCATCAAGTCCCCCAGCTCATCCCAGCAGTCGCGGTAGAACCTGTACGGGATGCCGTCTGGCCCTGGCGCGCTGTTGTGCGTAGACGCCTTGATGGTATCGAAGATCTCCTCCTTGGTAAAAGACGAGTCCAGGCTTGGGTTAGCTGTATTCACCCTCCGGGTTTCTTCGGGGAAGAGGTCTAAAAAGGCGCTGTCGTCGGTGTCGTTGATATCGGCAGCTCTGTCGAAGATGTTGTCAAAGTATCGAGCTGAGATGTCGCAGAGAGAGGAGGTGTCGGTCTTCACTCGGCCTTGGTGGTTCCGTAGGGAGTGGATCTCCATCTGTTGCTTGGATTGTTCGACCCGAGCATGGAGCATCGGGTATGGCTCGTTAGCTGGGTAGGCTTGCCAGTCTGAGGCTGTTGCCATGAGGGCCTCGCGGCGTCTGTTGTCTGGGTGGTTGGAATCTCGAAGTGCGCGGTTTTTGGCTTCCTGTTGGATGGTGACCTTAATGTTTTCTTTCAGGCATTGCAGCTTCAGGCTGGGCTTCAAAGGACCATATCGCTTCAGAATGGATTTGACGTGGAACTTGAGCCAAGCAATGTACTCTGTATCAAAAACCCACCAGGGCATCCTCCAGGTGCCTGGGCCTCTGTCTTGTCGCTGGGTGAGGTTGCCAAAGTTAAAGACGAATTGGACCGCGTGGTGAGAGGACTTCGTGATGTTGTGACCCTGCTTGTTGGTTACCAGTTGTGTGGATTTGATCCACTGTGAGAGTGTCGAAGAGATGTGCAGCTGATCCAGGCGCCTGCCAGCTCCGCGGCTGTTGTTGGTGTGAGTGTAGAGGCCTTTTCTGTGTTTGCTGATTAGAGTGTAGGTGTCTAGTAAGTCCCAGTTAGCTAAGAAGTCCTTAAGGTGAGTCGTCACTTTTTCGCCAATCCTGCCGTCGTTGGAGGCGACCGCGTTCCAATCGCCTGCCGCTATCAGGGGGTATTGGCAGGGATGGAGGCGTAGATAGTCGTCTAGTGACTGGTAGAACTGCCGGTTAGTGAAGGGGGAGGCTCCCTGCTCGTTTGGTGCGTATACGTTGATCAGCGATAGGTGTCTGTCGGTGCCTTTGATGTGCACGTCGGCCAAACACAGTCTGTTGTCTAGGGCTGGGAAGTATTCAAAAACTGTTGTAAAGTTTGTGATGGTGACGTTGTCGGAATAGACTAGCCCCACGCCGACGCTTCTATTAGAAACACCAGCTGTGGAGCCGCTTAGATAATTCTTACATGTTCACACCGCGGTTCTCTACTCCTTCCGCTTGGGGAATAGACCTCGGTCAGAGGCACGTCAACCGCTGCCAAGGTCGTTGTTAATACTTCGTCATCAACTTGATAAAGAACCAACGTCGTCTATGACAGATCTAACGAGACAGCTACTCTAGTCATTCCCAGCCTAGCACGTCATGACTCCAAACAATGGGCCACTAGCGTCTGTTTAGCGCCTTGTTCCGCAAAGAGAATGGCTAAGCGGTAGATAGAGTCGTTGCTTAAGCTACAGTAGCCCGGCACTGTTATTATCAGCTAACAGGAAGGAGATATTGCCAGCTACTGGCAGGCACGTTCCTGGCTCAAGTTGCCCCTAGCCAGGACAGTCTGCAACATTAACCGGGGGTGACTTGTTCTCTCACTGCGATCCCTAACCGAGCAAGGTGAACTTTCGCTCTCACTGTGGATGTTACTCAGCCTCCTGTCTTTAGTCATGTCAACCAACGGAGATTGCCACTGATCTCCATTGTCGCAACTGTATGTGTGCAAGACTCAACCTCTGCGTTTGATAGACGTGTGATCTCGGGAGCTCTACTTAAAACCGGCCCTTTAACGGGGCTGTGAGGAGGATCTCTTCTGCTCCAAGTAGCTGTCCGCATCGGCTTTCAACTTTGTGAAAAAACGTCCGCTCTCAGACCTATTCTTATCGTGAGCAAATTCCTCCACCCACAATGCTGTGTCAGGACGACCTTGTGGGAAGCCGTATTTGACCGAGATTTCGACCGTCTGGGTAAAAAGCCTCACCCTAACCCAGACCCATTAATCCGAATGTCTCCGTCACGCTCGGGGCCTTTCTTTTTGTCTTATTTTGGCTCCTGTGTAAGCTGTGGAAGCATGCTGTCTGTCTGTCTTTGACTTGTTAGCGCGAAGCCTGTTTTCCGAGAACTTTGTCAACTTTCAGCAGCCCAATCAGTGAATCCAGTCGTCTTGAAACTCGTGTCTCGAGTTATCAATCACACAGCCCCGTGGAGAGACTGAGACCCAGAGTCAGCTACTTGTAGAGGGACCAACTCAGAGTCGGACAAATCTGGGTAAGAAAGAAAGACAGACTCGACTCAGCAAGACTGAGTGTGGTTCCTCCGCCAAGAATGGCTTGTGTAAAAAAAGTGCAACTTGCCCACCGCCACGACTCCCCGTTTCATTCAACTCCCCAGAGTCCATCCTCCAGACCGGTGCCCAAAGTGCTCCACACTGCTCCACACTGCTCCAAAGTGCAGCGTCCGCTCGTCCTCAAGCACGTGGGCGATCGTCACCGTCCCAGAGCAAGAGACCGGCCGCCAACAGCAAAGATAACAATGTATCATGCAGGGGCACAAGGTTAGGCGGTTGGGCAACCAGCGTCTTTTCTGTAATTGGTGAGACAAATGGTCCGTGTCACTGATAATATGCAGGGAGCTGGGAGGTGGAGGAAGCACACTATCGTGGGTCTTGGTGAGAGAAGGAGATGTACGAGATTGGCCAAATTGAATTTGAAAAGTGAAACAGCACAAAAAAGAACTGCATGTGGGGCCAACCCGGCTGATGGTCTGCTTTTCCTTTCCAGAAACAGCCCCAGTATTGCCTTGACTGTACTCATTCCGGCCGCATCACTTTTCTCTACAGTAACTTGCGCCAAGAATTGTCTCACAGCCCTCTCAACCCTTGTCTTGAACCTAGACGATCAGGTACACTGCGGTTACCAGAGTGTGCAACTGTAGATCTGGACTGGTACAGTACGTGGCCAGGGTGACTGAGATATGTGACACGGTCCGTGGCGTTATGGTGAGCAATTTTGGCCCGGAAGAAAACGTTAGTGTTAAGGCAAGGAATTGAGGTGGTGCTAATTGGCGTGATGATCGCTGCTAAATATACACAGTAAAGGCGTAAGTCATCAACCAGCTCAGAGGTTCAGCAGAAGCCCTACTTTGTAGCTGTACAGCAGAAGGTGGATCTGCTCCAATTACTGTAGTCTACTTGGCATCTCTTTGAATCAATCTATTCATCTATATACTTTTAATGAAGGTCGCAGTTAGCTAATAAATAATTACTCCTCTTGGATAGTGACTCGCTTACCGCTGGAGTTAGGAGAGTGAGGAGGGAGAGGAGACTCGTCAAAGTCCTCCAGAGGCGTGATCACATCATTGTGATCCATGGGAGGGAAGTTGGGCGAGTTGTGACACAGAGTGCCCACCACCGGAGTGTTATATCCCGTAGGAGCAGGAGTGTTGACAGCAGTGTGGTCTCCAAAGTGCATGGACTGAGACGAGGAGTTTCGAGAAAGCTTGCCCTCCTTCTCAGAAACAAGGACTTCACCCTTGGTCATGTCCTCGCAGTCGGTGCCGGACTCGTCCTTGTCCTTGTCCTCGACAGTCTTGGCCTCCGCAGCCTTCTTTTCATGGGTCTGAAGACCGTGGTCCTTGACAAACACAGTCACCAGCAGACAAGCGCCCACAATGGGGCACAGGAAAACAAAAACAGTGTGTGAGCCATTCATGTAAGCGTCTAGCACCTGGTCTCGATACTCGGGGTAATGGGAGAGGTCGGGCAGAGAGAAGGGAGCCTTGACAATGAGCTCGTACAGCTCAGAAGGCAGGTTCTTGGTCTTAAGATCGGCCTTGAGAGAGTTGGCAAGGATGGCAGAGCAGACAGCAAGACCAACGGCACCGCCGAAAGATCGCAGGAAGTTTCGAGAAGAAATGACAACCGATCTGTCCTCCTTTCGGGACAGAGCCTGGGCAGCAACAAGAGTAGGCTGGAAGCAGCAGCCGACGCCAGCTCCTTCAAACAGCAGAGAGAAGATGAGCAAGGCCATGTTGGAGTCTCGCTTCCAGAAGCACTTCATGATGGCTCCAACGGTCCAGATTCCAAAGCCAAAATAGATGACCTCGAGGTATCGGCCCATTCGAGAGAGGTATTGGCCAGAGATGACAGTGGTAACAGCCTGGGTGGTCACCAGAGCACAGGACATGCCGGCAGCCTTCATGGAAGACCAGCCTCGGATGTTCCGCATGTACATTGGTAGGTAGTAGAGATCTCCATAGTATGCGATTCCGAGTAGCACAGAGTGCATCATGAGGGCAAAGAGAGCCTTGGTGCCGAAGATTCGAAGAGGCATCATGGGAAGCTTGGCAAAGAAACCCTCAATGACAAAGAAGGCAATGAAGAAGACACCTCCGATGCACAGCATGGAGATGACCATGGGAGAATCCCACTCGTAGTATGATCCTCCACCGGCAATGGGGACAAGGAGGAACACGAGGGCCACAGATGAGCAGAAGAGACCGGGGTAGTCAATGGCCTTGGCCTTCTGGATAGCAGAGCCCTGGGGCTTCTTGGAGGGCAGGATAAAGAAGATGACGACAGCACAGAGACCACCCATGGGAGCCAGCAGGTAGAAGATAGCTCTCCAGGACACATTCTCGGTGAAAGCAGCTCCCAGGAAGGGACCAATTGTGTTACCAAGACCAACACAAGCTCCCAGAATACCCTGGTACTTGCCTCTTTCCTTGAGGGTGACGATATCAGACACGACAATCATGGTGAGGCAGGACATTCCTCCGTTAGCGATACCAGAGAAGGCTCGGAAGATGTAAAGTTGGGTAGAGGTCTGGGCACAGGCACATCCAATATCAGCGCAGACAAGGGTGCAAACAACAATCATGAAGACGAGCTTTCGGCCAAAAATATCAGAGAGACGTCCGTACAGCACCTGGAAGACGGTGTTAGCAATGAGACCCGAGGTTCCAGCCCACGAGATGGTGTCGGTAGCATTGAGGTCCTTGGCAATGTCAGGCAGGGCGACAGAGATACCGTTTTGGTCCATGAAGGAGACCAGCATACAGAAGGCCATGGCTCCAAAGACAAGAAAGAGCTGTGATCGGGGAAGCAAGTTGGTCTGGTCGTGCATTTCAAACTTGGACTTTTTGCCCTTTTCGAGGTCCACTGCCGAGTTATCAGGCGAGGACTCTGGCGAGGACTCTCGTGTGACTGGAGAAGAGGGAGTGGAGTCCACGGCCACCTCTGTGACCTCGGGTTCCTTTGATGACTTTGTGTTGAGGTTGAACATGTCTCTATTCTTTGTGTGGAGAAGACGATTGTGGGGAATCTCCAGGGCCCTGGATCGGTCTCTTTATATAACTGTGGATGGCAGTGCAGCTCTCATCTCTGTGGTAGTGTGGCAGGACTAGAGTGGATAAGCATATCGATATCGACTTGCCATCTTAACCTTTGTGTAGAGTTTGCCTTTGTCTGCTAGAGTGGCAGGTTATAGATCTGATGTGACAGAGTGACACTCCATGACAGATGCACCCAAGTGGTGATAATGGTGAGAGGAGCGTCAAGAGACCCAGGCGGCAGTCCAGAAACCAAAACTGGAGCGCAACACCGGGTGATTTGCTGACGACTCGCGGCTCCTCAGAACTATCATTCTGCCCACCATGCAGGGCTTCTGCACCCGACCTTGTGCAGAGATATGGTGGTGGAAGCGTGGTTGAGGTTAGAAGCCATAACGGAGCTTAACCAAAGTCGACTTGATGGTGGAAATGAAAAGTTGGAAAAAGGCAAAAGTGGAAAATGACAAAAGTTGAAAATGGCAAAACGTGAGGATGGCTCCAAGGGCAAAAAAAAAAAAAGAGAGAGAGAGAGAGAGAGAGAGTAAGAAACAAAAAAGCCGATGTGACAGGCACAACGCAATGTAATTCAACAGCCTAACCCCCGGAAGACACAAAGCGACACATGCCGATATATCCATATATCCACCCCATCCACACACAGCCCCACTACTCATCTCCCCCTCCCCCACCACACAGACCTAAACGCTTGTTTGGCGTCTTTTTTTCACACTGACATAGACCCTCGCACAGTAGACGTGCCCAGACCTCAAGCCGCACATTTTAGAGAGACTTCGAGGCACACTGATAACCTATCTGGCTGCCCACCCTGAGTGTCCAAACACTATTTTAAACGCTGCTGGTCAGGAACGCAGTACCTGGCCAATCTGACAATCCGACCATCTGTGGGTTGAGTGGGCGGTACCGGTCGCACGACAAGGATGGTTTGCGCCGTCCACGGTGCTATAGAGTGATTTTCGAACGCACACCTCGATATACGTCTCAGTACAATCTGGCACGAGATTTCGGGTCGCAGTGTCAAACACCCAACTTTGCCGCCATTACCACCAGCGAAACATGTGTCGCTGCATAAGCAGGTACTCGACATTCACCGGGTCTTCCACACAGACAAAGGGGGCAGTGCTATCGCTCCGGGAAGGCCCAAGTGTCTTTGGGCTTTCGGCGTCTGAACCCTTTTGACACTGCCAGAGTTTAAGGGACGCTAACATTCAGCCATTTGTAAGCGCCAGTTTACATCCTTCAGATGTCACAAATGTAATCCGACTTTGGCGGACTTCCTCACCACGACTCTGCCCCTCGATTTATCTGCTTTGAATTTTATTCCGTCAGACAGCACCGCCTGAACAGTCCGCCATGTGTTTTGCACACGCTGCGATAGTGTAGCACCCAGACTGCACTGCCAGAGTTTATTTGGGAAGGCGACCGGAGGTCAAAAAAGGGGAGATACAGCCGTGGGGACTTCGCCGCTGTACTCGTCTCGCTCTGCTGATTCGATTCATATTTCGGGCAGGTCTGTACACCCAGGTTTCAACCGTCCAGTTGCCCAAGCCACAATATGCCGCACAGGGCTGACCGAAAATAAACCTCCAATTTAATCCGGCCCACCGTTTCGCAAGCCGGATGGATAGGGTTGTCTTGGCACGATAGACCTGTAGTCACACTGTCGTCTCTTGGACTTATCGTGAGCACGTTTCCGCCCTCCGGGCTTGGCGTTCTGATAAGGAAGGGGCAGTCGGCCCTGGTACCTGCCGTACGTGTGTCTGCACCGCTGTGGGCGTCCGTGTCTGTGGGAGTTTCTGTTTGCTGGGTGTATTTGGAGACGCTTTCGTTCATATGCTTCTTGGATAAGTTAGACCCTTCAACGGTTTCAGGTCTCACCCACCTGTACCATCTACGAGTACATCATAGTGCCTTGTTTGAGACATCCAGCCACTTGTTTCTACTTGTAGCATACCTCATGGTCTCCGAACTAAAAGCAGATAGAGCAGCAGACAAGGTGGCGAACACGGTTGACGGCATGCCTGGGAGAGTGCTTTCCGCTGCAATGCCAATCTGTCCAGGCGGTTCCTTCACACGGACATTCTCTACAACATAAAGTTGCAGGCCCACCCGGACGACTACAACTAACAGACAAAAATACGAACGGTGCGATATAATCCAGTAGACGAACTCAAGCTCCAATACGTACTGGCACAAAGATTCTCCGGGCATACGAAATACAGCATTTGGTGGTCCGGAGCGTGGGTTTCGTGTCGGAGGTTGCCTCAGCACGACTCACCGTACCGTTCTCCTGGAGTATGATTGTCGTCAGTATCAATATCGCCTTTGTGATCTTCTTCTTGTACTTGTAATATCAACTCTCGACCGAAATGGGTTTGTTTAAGCGGAGTGGAGGGACGGCTCTGACATGGTCTACTGTTGTACTATAGCGGGGTCGTGGAATGTGATTGTGGGAGTGCACGCTACGCTTGTTGCACCACCAGAGCATCGTTGAACATGGTCAATGAGATACCATCAATGTTTTTACATTCATTGGCGGTACTACTCGTTTCAGGCAAGTGTCCTGCTAACCTATTGCCATAACAAGCCCGGAATAACCTCCAAATGAATCGACGGACCCCGAATACACTCCGAACAGACAAGAGCAGGATCAGCTGTCTCAGACCATCTTGTGGTGTTACAGCTGTCCAGATATCCTTGTTTCCATTGGATGTTCGTATCGAGGGTGACATGACGAGGGTGCCAATAACAATGTACACAATTGGTTCAGTATAGCGACGATACTTGCAGAAATCATTGTTGCTGCCGGCAACTTGGCACTCACCAGTTCTAGACAGAAACTCTCTAAGACAAGTAGCCAGGCCTTGGAGAGACTCCACCAACGAAGATTCACCCTCCACCTCGTAAACAGACCACTAGACATAAAGCCGCCAACAGTAACCTAGGGGACGTACGCGAGGGTTCACTTTTGGGCTCATGAAGAATGCAGGGCTGCTGGAAACCCACAAACCTGACAGAACTGCGAATGTCTTCGCCATGTCAATTGCATGTCTCACCAGTGCTGTAGACTAGTGACTCCCTCACTTTGGTTTCTCCCACGCCGTATCGAGAATTCCACCACGGTAGACCACGGTAATCCACCATTCCCGCTGCCTTGCAGATGCAAAGTTGTACGTACTCAGGCCATATCGTTAACTCATTGATTATATAAATTATATGCAAGCTGGCATTCCCTTTGCAGAAACCTGTTCCATCAAGTAAACACCAAATCACTCCTTGTCTTTTGTCTACTGTCTCTTAACAGGATGAGCCTCCGTATTGAAAACCCACTCGTCTAGGGAGATAACGTCCGAGTCGGCAAACAGCAGGTAGTAGTACTTCAAGGTCTCACCCACCCAGAAAGACTCCTGCTCGTCATAGAACCGATTAGAGTCCATTCGCCAATCAGTAACGTCCCTGATGGCAGCATAGGCTCCATGACCAGCCCAACAAAGGTTAACCACTGATCGGAACATCTCCCAGCCGCGTTCCTGCCAAACAGGGTCGCCTGTGATTCGATAGAGGTAATAGACTGACTCAATGGCTTCGGGACGCATCAGGTAGTGAGGGGAAGCCTTGACAAAGTCTCGGGGCAAGTCGTAGACTCCAGACTGCCGCCACCTGTGCGTCTGGCCTGCAAACTTCTTGGGGATCTTCTTGAGCTCATCCTCGTCAAGCTTGATGAGAGGAGTGAAGTCGGCCACCTGCTCCAGACGAATGTGGGGGTACTTTTCTCGTCTGGATCGAGGGGCGATACCGAGCTCGTGGAGCGAGTACGGCGACTTCTCCATGGTTGGCTTCTGGCCACCAATCTTCTCCTCAACGACCTTGCCCTCTTCCTCTTCAGAAGTGTCGACCACGGTACCGTCTCCGGCAAGCAGGTACTTGTGCAGAGTCAGCTTGGGCGCCTCAAACTCACAGGTCTCATCAATGCCCTCCCCAGAGTCCCCACATGGAGACACAGACAGGTCTTCGGGCATGACTCCAGTTCCCGTGGCGCCATAGGCCCAGACACAGCCCTGAGCAAGCCGTTTGCCAATCTCCACGTCCTTTGGTCGCTCCAAAACCTTGCCCCCCATAGCATACATGCCTCCCAGGAAACAGGACAAGTGAGCCATGGTAGGAGAGAAGACAATGTCCTGAAGATTGGCAGGGTTAATATGGAGGTCTCCAGAGAAGAGGATCTCCTCTGAGGAGGTGGTGTTGGGCTTGTAGAGCAGCATTTTGGCTCCTTGGTCTGCAGACTGGATGTACATGTTCTTGTACGTGTCGTCGGCACCGCCCAGAAGAATGTACTCCTTGATATAATACTCGTAGAGTGAGTCGATTCGGCCTCCGAAAGATACAGTCTGTTCAACTCCAGCATGTGCAGTCATGGGAGTAATACCCTTCTTTTTGCATCGCTGAGGAGAAGCAAAGGCCACGGGGAGCTGGACCATAGGGTCGGTCTCCTCACCGGGTTGTGTCAGATCACAGCCAGAAATGTCAACCAGAGCAGGGAACAGGCCAGGAATCACCTGCTGGTCAGCGGCCTTCTCAAACTCCTTTGTGATTCGGTGAACAGCATCAAAATAAGTGTTATTTCCAGTCAGCTGAGCGAGGCGGGTAAACTCGATGGTCATGGAACCAAGCTCAGCAACAATAGCTCCCTGGGCAGGTCGTCGACGAGTGTTGGTGCTCTTATCTTCCCATCTGTAGTACAGAAGAGGCATTCGGTTGGGTGTATCAAACGCACCAATGAGGTTATCACCCAGCTCAATAGCCTTGTAGTAGAGTCTTTTGTCACCAGAGAGGTCGTAGGCAGACAGAAGACCACCAAGGTATCGGATAGTAGTTTCAAATACGGGAATCACGTCTCGACCAGACCGAGTAAAGTCGATTTCGGCCACCCTGTCTGCAGCCAGCTTGAACTCGTCCTTCATGTCCATGATCCACAGAGTGTCCAGAGCGTCCACAAGAGTGGCAGCCCATCCGAGAAAGGGATCTCGGGCCTCACCAGTAATGGGATGGATCTCGTCGTGGCCAAATCCAAATTGCTTGTACCGCTGCCACGTCTGGTCCATGACGGTCTTGACCTCCTTGAGTCGATCCATCCGGTCTTTGCACTCCCTGTGCTCTGCGGCCTGGATCTTGGGAAGCCAGTGGTTGGTAGACTTGGACGGCAGCTTGTAGGGGTCCTTGACGGGGTACTTTTCTTTTCGGGGGATCTGCTTGGGCTTGGGCAGCAGCTTGGCTCCCACTCCTCCAATTCGAGATTGGCCTCCAATAGGAGAAATCAGCTCAATGGTCCCGTCCTTGGGGGTGTAGGAGTCGGCCAACTGAGGAGGCGCGCCGCCCTTGAGCCGGGCGTTGGCTCCCACATTCATGTCGGGCACATTGGGTTCCTTCTTCTTCTCATTTTCTTCTTCAGAGGGCTTTCCAGGGTGTTCCGGCACAGGAGTCTCCTCGACCGATTGCTTCAAGCTGGACAGACGGACGCCCGAGTCCAGAGGCACAAACCACAGCAAGAGGCCTGCAATCACACATGCCAGCAGCAACGGCCGGAGCAGTTTTCGCATTCGAAGTCGTTGCATGGTGTGATGTGCGAATGTTCGAGACACGTTCGTTAATTGCAGTACAATATCGCGAGCTGCACTCTGTCAAAAAGCACGTCCAAAATACACTTTGAAGAGATCGTCCTGAGGGATAAGAAGGGGCAGGGGGTGCACTGGTAATGAAGAGCGGATGGTCACGCGATTTTTCCGGGGGGAGAGAGAGATCACGTGAAGCATACAATAATCCAAAACACGCTACTGGTAGGCTGACGCGACCCCCGCCATAACTGCCCTATAGCTCGCAATTCTACCCGCAGTTTTTTGCACCGCATCACTCGCCTATTTTAAAGTTGTACAGTAATATGGGGAAGTGTGATTTTGGGGGCTGTCAGGCCAAAAATAGACCACGTTTTGAGACGCTAAAACAGCTCGATTTGAATGGCATTTTCTTTTTGCCGGCATTGTTACACGTTCGTAGACATTTGTGGCTATTTAGACGGCGTTTCAGAGCACAAACGGCATTGTCTTGAGTTCCTGTATGTATTATGACGTCGAATGCAGGGTGTCTCGAAGGCTGGGGACTTTGGCAGCAATGGTGATGGTTAAAGAAGGGTCATTTTATCAGATGTCGGGTATTATCAGATGGTTTGGAAAGAGGAAGAGAATACAAATACGAGTATATTGAATGTATCGGTTATCGTACTCGTTCGCAACAACTTCCTCGATGGAGATCTACCGAATGAAGTGTCGCCCAGAACTATTTTATTTGTAATGCTGTGTCGCCCAGAACTATTGTAATTTTACCCTTTATCAACAAAAGCCCAACAAAATCCCAACAAAAGCCCGAGAAATTCCAACAAAAGCCCAACAAAAGGTACTTGAATACCAAAGCTACAAACCACCGTATCTCGAAATAATCGTGTAACAAGATGTAGATATTTTTAGTTATTTGTTTAAAACTCACGTCTAGTCTCTTGATCATAACACTTTTCGTCGCAGTGGCATTTCCGAAACCCCGAAATAGGTACCCCCAGCACCACTCCTTTTCCAACTAAAGTTCAACTAACTTCAAGTAATAAGGATATTATGTCAAGGCCTTCCGTGCACCCGCGTTATTAGCAGTAGACCAATTAATATGATCCACACACACTAACCACGATAATTGTCGTGTACACCATCTCTGAGATGAAAGTCGGATTGGGAAAAGATGAGATTGTTTATATATACCAGCCTCATGACATGAGCACTCTCCGCGAGTACCGTACAACACACGCCCTCGTCTCTATACTCTGCCTCCTTGGACAAAGATGTCTCCCACACACCTCCTTCCTCCACACCACCTTCAAGGCTGCTGCATATCGGGAGCTTTAGGATCGGGAAAAGTAGGGAGACGTAATTATAGGGCTGGATTACAGGGTTAGTTGATCGAGGGGTACCGTGTATGGCGAGTGGTCTTCTTTTTGCATGTCAGTGTCGCCACGGCCACCACTCATTCGTTTCCCATTGTGATTACGTGTCTTCCAGACGTAGCTACACCCTTCGAATCTCGGTCGCGTCTTTATTTGCGTGTCTCTATTTTTCTGAAAACAAAGTTCCGAAAGAAATAGGCTGGTGCGGCTGTTTCAGCAGACTCGGAAAGACCGCCAAAAACAGGCGTGGAGTGCGAGAAAAGGCCGTGTTGCCTAGTTTTTTTGAACGCGGCGATTTGCCCAATCAGACGCTAAAACGCACAATCTCTTATCTTCCCCTCTTTGCACTATACTACGCTCCTATTGACGAGCCCTACAATACCGCTCTCGCGTATACTAAAGCGAGCTAATATGCAGTGTGAACAGGAGCCAACATAGACAAACGTGCACATGTTTGGTTTTTGGGGGCGACTTGAAGACACAAGGGACGCAAGGAAATGCTCAGCGCACCCTGAAGATTCCCAAACCGTTTCTTTTCCTCCTCTCAGACACCTACAGCCGCCGCCACAATGCTCCTCGCCCGCCGCCAGCCTGCATACAGTTGCCTACAACACCCAGCCCGAACTTTATCGCGGCTTCTAAATTTAGACAAGAGTAAATATAGGCTGGCTGGAAAAGTATGGACAAGGGACCCAGAGTTGATCTGTGGGGGCTAGCGAGACAATAAATAGCGGCGAGAGTTCCCTGCACCGAACCTTCCCATCCCGAATCCTTTTACATCCCTCAGCTCCACCACATTTCTCGCAAGGGCCCCTTATTTCCCATCCATTGAACTGTCACAAACACATCTCCACGCACATATAAAACCCTTCTGCAGCAGCCCATCATCATGCTCTCCGCAACACAACACACCCCCTACACAAGCTACAACGCCATGGATACTCCGCTCTTCAACGCCGCGCTCATCCCCAAGTCCGTCGAGGCCCGTCTGCCTCCCGGATACACAATTCGGCCTTTGCAGGCTTCGGACTACCACCGAGGAGTTCTGCAGACCCTGGCGGTACTCACCACCGTCGGAGACATTTCGGAATCCGACTTCATCAAGCGGTTCCAGTACTGGCAGGACCGAAACGACACATACTACAACGTGGTCATTGTGAACGACAAGGACCGAGTCGTGGCGATCGGATCTGTGGTCATTGAGCGAAAGCTGATCCACCACTGCGCCTCGGCAGGTCACATCGAAGACATTGCTGTGGCCTCATCGGAACAGGGCAAGAAGCTCGGTCTCCATCTCATCAACACCCTCACAGCCATCGCTGAGCAGGTCGGGGCATACAAGGTCATTCTCGACTGCTCCGACAAGAACGTGCCTTTCTACGAAAAGTGCGGCTACACACACAGCGGAAACGAAATGGTTCTCAAGTTCAAGAAGCCTGGCACTTTGTAAGAAGCATCTCTCGAAAATCCATCTAACTCGCTTTATATATAACAATGCATTTATCATCTACATTCGTAAAACTACTGTGATTGAAACTGCATTAGTCAGAAGTACAGTATGTACATACATACTTCTGTACAGACGTACATACTTGTAATAATGCTGAGTTAAGTAAATGTCAAAATGCCAGACTCGTATAGCCATAATTACCCAAACCGAATACCATCCTCGGGGCTCCACATGCTCAAGTTGCTGGCTCTCTGAGCTCTGGGAGCTGCTAGGGGAGTGGAGGATGTATCGCTGTGGCCTCCGCTATGTTCATGCTCAGACAAGTGCATAGACGACAACTCGTGCTCGAGAGAAGCTCCCTCCATCTTTCGCTCGTACACAAACTGCTTACAGTTCTTGTGGAAGATGGAAATCTCACCCAGAAGCTGGTTGTAAAAGTTTCGCCCAGCATCGAGGTGGTCTTTTTGTTCCTGGTAGCTAAAGTAAGCAACCTCCAGAGATTGGATGGCGTTCTCTCTATGGATGGCAGCATCGTTCATGTCCAGCGAGGATCGGAAATCCTTGTTGGCAACGTCAAGCTTCTCTAGCACCTCCTCCTGAAGCTCCTTTTGTTCGGAGGCCCAGTCCTGGTCAACAGTGTATTTCTCCAGCTCCTTGGATGTGATGGGCTCGAAGTCAGCCAGGGTCAGACGCAGGTTGGCGTGCTTCTCTCGAATGAGCTTATTCATGTGATACTCCAAAACAGGTTCAATGTCGTCATTCTGCTGCTTTAGAGACAGTCGATCCATGTACTGAGCTCGTTTGATTTCCAATGACTCCAGATTGTTCAGCAGATCTCGCAAGTGGGGCACCTGCCGCTTGACCTCGGGAGACCGAACTCCAGAAACAGACGATGGTAAGTAGTTCTCTAGAGCACTTCGCCCTGAGTTGAGAATCGACAGGAGGTAGTCGATTTCATCCAATTTACCTCGAACAAGCTTATCAGACGCCCCTGCATCAGCTAGATACTGCTCCAGCTCTGCCAAACGGGTGTAAAGGTGGGCTCCAGCCTCCTTGGAGTCGAATCTGGTCCATCCAGAGTTGTTTTTACGTCTCAGCATCTCGTCCTCGCTTCTTTCGTCGTCAAGAACAGCCTTAGCGGCCTCTAGCTCCTGTCGCGCGGTAGCTGCCAGTCTCTGGACGTCCTTAACGGCCTCTCTGGTGGTCTCAAGACCTCGCTCACTCTTGATCTGATCGGAATGAGCAATGATATCGGCAGGAATACCCTTGGGCTTCTCGACCGAGTCCAATGATCCCGGTAGCGCCATCTCCACGAGAGCCTGGTTCTTGCTGTTGGTGCAGTTCTTCAGCTGACTCTCAATAGATGAAACAATCTTATCACATTCCTGAGAGTAAAGAACGAGGGCTTGGTGAAAGGCAAAGGGCGTGAGCTTGACAAACAGCGGAAGACCCAGCTTGTCCTTTGTGAGAAACTCTATGGGCTTAGCCAGCTCAACGGGAGGAGTACATTTGACCATCAGTGCAGGTGTAATAGGAGCGAGAGCGGTTGTCTGAGGAACAGACTGGAGATAGATAAGATTGTTATCCTTCTCGGCCCGTTTGAGATCTTCGGTTACTACGTCGATGATTCCGTTCAAATCATCGGCCACGCTCTCCACCAGGTACCTTCTGAGCATACCCTTTCCTGTCCCCTCCTTGATGGCATTAAGAGCAGCCTTGAGACGTGCAATCTCCTCGCCATATCTGCATCCATCCAGTGCGTCACGTGCCATTCGGTAATGTGCGACCGCTAGAAAGTGCTGTCGTTTGCACGTCATGTGATGCACCCATTCGCTTCGGACCTGCGGGCTCTTTTGGGCCCAGGCGAGCGCCGAGTCGTAAAGAAGAGATACCTGCTGCGCGAGCTTTGCCACCAGAGAGTTTCGTGAGCCACTCAGCAGCGATCTCTGCCAGAAACATTCCTGTGCTTGGGCCAACATGAGATCTCTAACACAGCAAATGGTGTCATATTCGAGTCCTCGCATGTTGAGACTTTCCAAGTCTGGCAAGCCGTTCTCAATGAGAATCTGGAAGCATCCTGCTGCCATTTGAAAGTAATTGAATGACATCTTTAGACCGTCTGCGTCCTGCCTTCCCTCATTGACGCCCATCTGACTGTACAGCGAGCCCAGGTTGTAGAGAAGATTGCATCGCTCGAAATGAAGGCTTTGACTGATGACGGGGGCGGCATTGGCGGTGTAGGCCAGAGTTCCGTACCACATGAACTCCAGGCTATCGCATCCGGCTGGAAACTTGGTAGTCCAGTATGTCAATTGGGCGTAGTACTTGGTGAGGTGGTCGAGATAGCTGGCGTTTGGTTGCGGGTTGAGAATGTTGTTACGCAGGTCGTTGGCTGTTTTCAGGTCGGCTGTAAACTTGTCTCGAGGTTGGTTCAGCTGCTTCTCGATGGTGTCGCCCAGTCCTGTGATTAGATCGACAGCTTGTGTCTCCCGAAACGGGATCCAGATGATGTTTGGCATGGTCGCAAGACGCTCTTGGTGTTTTGGGGTCGTTTCCGCACTTGCAAGCAGTAGCTGGCAGTGTGTTCAGCAGTAGGCACGAATCGATGTTTACAAGTTGCTGATTGAGTTGTTGTATGCGAGAGCTTATTGTTGATGTGATAAGAACATAGTAGACAGAGTGTAATTGGACTCTTAGTTGGGAAAAAAAATCAAACTAAGAAGCCAAGTAATTTGCAACATGATACTTGATCGCTCATTGACTACAGGATGTACTTTACTTGTTCATACTCTCAACCACAGGTAGTACTCGTTACTCGTCACACACACACCCTACATTAATCAATTATCGAGTATCGCTCGAAGAACGTCTTTCAATGTTCTCAGTGACCCCTTTCTCTTCGTCCTCCATCTCTTCGAGCTTCCTCTCGTAGGCATTATCCTGCTCAGAGCCTCCAGAGATCATCTCTGCTTGTCTGTTTTCTGGACCCAGAAACGTGACACAAAGCACAAAAAAGAAGACACAACCCATCAAAATGGCCATCACCAGACTGTAATTGTACACTCCTGGTTTTTCGTTTCCGAATTTGTCATAAAGGGGAAATGTTTCTCCAATAGTGGCTTCAATGGTTGAAGAAGCAGAAGAAGCCAGGTTACCCAGCTGGTAAGCCACCCCTACCATTGACGATCGAAGGACCGGAGGGGCAAGCTCTGTAAGATGAATAGGGATGACTCCCCAGGCTCCCTGGACAAAAAACTGCAGAAAGAAGACTCCAGCATTGATTCCACTGTTGGTGACAAAGGCCCAAGGGTAGATCAGCGCTCCCCCTATCACACAAGAGATCATGATACACAGTCGTCTTCCAAAGAAAGAAGAAGCGTGACCCACAACAAGGCCACCGGCAATAGCTCCAAAGTTGGCCACACAGTTGGTAACAGTAGATCGGTCTTCGCTGAATCCAAGCTGTTTCTTGAGCATGGTCGGATACAAGTCCTGTGAGCCATGAGACATGAAGTTGAAGCCCCCCATGAGAACAACCAGGTAGGCAAACATGAGCCAGTACGTCTTGAAGGTCATCTTGATGCCTCGCCAGAAGTTCTTTTCAATACCTTCGGCCTCTGCTGCGTTCTTTTTAGAAAGAAGATAGGTGTCGGTTTCAGGAAGACATAGTCGGAAGATGATGATGAGAACAGGAGGACCCGAACCGAACCAGAAAAGAGCGCGCCACCCAAAAGGAGAAGTATCGGCAATGGCTCGGGTGAACACGACACACAACAAGTATCCGAATGCATAGCCTTCCTGTAGCAGTCCCGAAATGACTCCTCTGGCCTGTACTGGGCAGTCTTCGAGGGCTGTAGCTGCTGCCATGCCGTAGATACCCCCCATTGCGATTCCAAACAGAGCTCTGACGGCAAGGAACTGCTTATATGTCTGTACAAACCCGGTGCCCAATTCCAGGACAATAAACAAGACACAGTTGGTGATGAAGGGCCATTTTCGTCCAAAACGATCCGACAGCATTCCGAAGATGACAGCTCCAACAGATCGCAACATGAGCACAAGAGTGATACCCCAGGTGATACTTGTGACAGACACATGGAGACTCTCAGCAATTTCAGATGCAACCAGCGACACAGAAAAGAAATCAAACGAGTCCCAAGCCCAGCCACAGAATCCCACAGCTACAAACAACCACTGCTTCCTGTTCAGAAGTCGAAGGGCAGGAATCGGGTTGATGTGCTTTTTTTCCTCAACCGTGAGCTTTGGAGGCTTCAAAGAAGTGACTCGAGTGACTAGGTACCTCTTGATGTTCTTTGGAGACAGATCTGGTGCTGGGAAGTTGTCAAAATTCATGCTGACATGTATACAGACAGATTGAGCGAGTAGACAGGTCTATATATACGCCTGGATATCAAAAGTCGTGTTTAATCATTAAATGGCGAGATCATGACCCCTCAGGCGTGAACTGCTTTTCCGCCCTTTAGTCTAGCGGTCCAACCACAGTCTTATTGGTGAAACATTGTGGCCATGTGTAGTCCCGGAATGGATAGAGACAGTATTGGTCTGTTATTGTCCCATACGAGAGCCAAGAAGATACTGTGGAGTCTTATATAATGACATGCTCTCAAGTATCTGCAGCCTTGCGCAACGTCTCACTCCTCAACGACAGCTTCTCCAACTTCGTCAGTCCAAATTAGTACGTTGAGTCCCCGCCTCCGGTCCGCTTCTACACGAGTATATACGTAGTTATATACATACTCGTAGCTCTTGTATTATAAATCGACTGTCGGAAAATCTTTTTAGACCAGAGATAGGATTAGAAATGTAGACGTCAAGTATGTACTAGCGATGATAGTCATCGAGCCCAACCTCTGGCGCACTTTGACTGGGGGCCAAATGAACAGTAGCCTGATAGCACACACGTAGGGGGAGGATTGACGTCTTAATAGATCACAAGTGCATCATCTGCTGCCGCAATCGTTCCTCATTCCACCATTCATATAGTCAATAAGTATACAAACGTATTCGCTTAGAACTTCTCCACTTCCCCACTAAAAAGTACTAAACGACCCGGATCGCCACTTCCGGAAGGACCCACCTACTTGTGCTGTATCTACCCGAGCGCAGGAGCACCCCGGAGCAGAGGCCTTCACCAGCCCTGTTGCTCCATCAGCTGTTCAAAATGCACAATAAATAATTACTTAACTAATCGACTCCTAATGGCCACCCTTGGCGGCCTGCTCCTTAACCTTCAACTCACGGTATTTATCCTGCGCGGCACGTTCCTTCTTGACGAGCCAGTCAACCTCCTCCTGCAGAGCCGCGCTTCGCTGCTCAATGGCAATCTCCTCCATGCGGGCTAACTCGGAAAACACGGCAATCTCGACCTCAACAGACTCAAGTTGAGACCACCGAGAAGTCAGCTTTTTAGATAAAGTAGCCTGGCGCTTGGCATACGCCTTAAACTTGTCCACCAGAGCAGTCTCTTCGGTCTGGCAAGTTTCCGCAAGAGAAGTTAGCGTTTCAACAAGCTGGTCGGATATGATTTCCACACGGGTCTTGAACTCCTCCTCGGACTCGTCGGAACGAGCAACTGTTCCAGGAAGAGCAGCCGTCTTAATACCCTCCTCCTGCACTTCTTGCTCATCGCCCTCCATCAGTTCCATCTCAATCAAAGTTTCGGCATCCACTAAGTCGTCGAGAGAGAACTCAGACTGCATTAGAGCCACAGAATCGCCTTTATTGGGAAACCTAAGCTCCTCCTCTCTGAGAAGAGCAACTACTTCTTGACCGATAGCATCATTGTAAGTAACTTCAGGAACAGTAGCCCGGGGAAGACCTCTCTGAAGAGTCTGAGAACGAGTCTTGAGAGCTTCTTGTCGCTCCTGCTCCTCGGCAATTCTTTTCAATCGAGCTTGTTCGCCCTTATCAACTGGCAAGTTATCTGTAGGCTTCTTTTCCTTATCAGCTTCCTCATCTTCCTCTTCGTCCTCCGCAGTGATTTCGAAATCGTTCTTGGGCTTAGGAAGAGAGGCCAGTTTCTGGCGCAGAATAGAAACAGGAGTAGCTTCGACAGATCCAACCAAACCCAGAGCGTCCCGCTTGATAGGAGTCATCCCAGCAGGAGTAGCTCCTCCTATATCGGATCCAGCAGAAACACTAGTGACAGCCTTGTTGGAAGGCAGCTTGGGGATTGCAAATCCATCTTTATCAGCTTCAGCTTCGTCGTCGACCTCTTCCTCGGTTCTCTTACCAAGCACAGACCGGTTCTCCATGGCCTTGATCTCCTCGATTGTAGTCTTTACTTTCGACTGCTGAATTTGAGGAGTTCGAATGGAGTCGTCCACAATCTTGTCATCGTAATCACCCGACAAGCTTGACGCCACTCCGTCTGCATACCGCTTATGTAGAGCTTCACCCTGAGCTCCCAGCTTCACAATCTCCTCCATTTCCTGATCCTGGATCTGTGGCTCAGGAAGATTCAGTTTTCGTCGCTTGGAAATCTGATCTTGCAAGTCCAACTGTGCCAGTTGAAGTGTTCGCTGAGCAGACGCCGTCTTTTGCTGCTCCTTTTTCTTCTCCTCATCCTCCTTGGACAAAGTTGCCTTGTCTCGCTTTTGTGACGGCCCAGGTGCGTCCGCAGCTGTGCGGTGCATTTGTTTGTGTTGAAGACGCTCCGAGTCGTTTTCATGCTCCTCCTCGGCAGTTGAGTAAAAGCCACGGGCCGGTTTGTGTTCAAAGGGAATATCGGCGTTGTAGTCCATCTCATTCTTCTTCCTTTTACTCAGTCGAGTGTCGATTCCTGCATTTTTGAGCTCTCGTCGCTTCTGAAGCTGACTGAGCCGTCGCGAGTCCTCTAGCATCCGTTCTCGATCCTTTCTTTTCGCCTTCTTACCCTGAGTGTTGGCCAAACGAGCTCGCGCTTCACTCAGCATTTCCTTCTCGTCTTCGTCCATGTCCACGGCGTCAGGCCGGGCAGGCTTGGTTTCGGGAAACTGGTCACCTTCAGTGGCGGGTGCAGATGCCACCGCAGAAGCGTCTTCGCCCTCCACCTCGCCAGCAACTTCAGCTAACAAACGCTCGTATCGCTGAATGCACTGGTGTGCAGTTCGCCCCACAAACGGGGCAATCGTTCGCCATTGTGCAGGAAAGATCTTGGCCAGATGCAGCAGCTTCTCGTCCTCCTCTCGCGACCACTCGATTTTCTTGATGGTCGGATCAAGCCACTCGGTCCACCGAGCCTTGCACTGTTTGGCTGTTTTTCGAGCCAGTAGAGACGACACTCGCGCCCATTGGTTCAGACCATATTTGGAGATGGCAGCCCGCAGGATTTCGTCCTCGACGTTTGTCCAAACTCCTCCTTTGACGTACGCCATGATGTTTTCGTGTGTGTGATGATAGTGGTGAGAAAGTTCGGAGGTGAGCTCATGCAGAATATTTGGTAACTAGAGTTTATCAAAATGATTCAGACGGGAATCGAACTGACCAAATATATGAGCTTGTAGAGTGCTGGAAAAGAAATATATATATTACAGTATATAAAAAAAAGACCATTAGAATAAAGATATATTAAAAAAAATTTAAAGATATGTGAAAAATCATTAGAATTTTCTAAAAAGAAAATCTGTGAATTATGTAGACCCAATCATTCTCCAATATAAATATCTGAACATACAGCATCTTCTACGCCGAAATGAGCTGTCCCTCGCAGTTGGTCCACAAAACTCTACATCAATCGAGCCTTCCAATCATCTCAGAGGGAGTAAGAAATGTCAGTTTCCTGGTGGCTCTCCATCTCCATCACACGGTCTGTCTGAACTTTGACAAATGACGCGTTTCGAGAGGTAAACTCGCACAGTGTTTGTTTGAAATGAGCTGAAGAGGGAAGAGGATACAAACGCAGATTGCAGACATTTTGAGACACTATGAAGCGTGTATGATAACAGAAACATGTGCTGAATCCTGGGAAGCTGTTGTATCGTACCCTCGTCCTGTACATACTTGTATAAGGCGCGCGTGTGTCTGATGTTACTGTATGTGCTCTGCATGTATCATTATATTGACCAATGTGTAATGTCAGGAATATGCCACAGAAGAAGACGATAAAACGTTTGGGTCTTATTAAAACACATATCCCCTGACTTGTCGTACCGGTGAAGCCGATAATACAGCAGCAGATCACGTAGCTCTGCAATTTCCCCCTTTTAATGTATTCTTGTATCCGCACTGGTCGCACTTTATCATGCATATTTCAGGCATACCCATTTCTCCGGAAATGTACATTTTGGGGGTGGGAATGTGACGTCGTGTTGAGGTGGTTGGAGCGGGTTTGAAGACGAGAAAAAGACTGGAAACTGTTCAACTGGGCAGATGGGATTGATTCCAAAAAACTCCCAGTTCCAAAAATCCCTGATTTACCCCATTACTCGGCCTTACGCCGTCTGTTGTGTCTACACTCAATAGGACATTAGCTCCGGATGACAGGCTGGATGTACTGGTATACATGGTATACAGGATTGGTATTTAACACACACTGGCTGACACATGTCTGGTTCCGATGGCGTCGCTCTTCTTCCTTCACAAACGAGCTTTGAAATGTCACGGTTCGATATCGACGAAACAAAATCCAAAACAGACGACTCCAACGGCTCCCAGCCTCTGTACTGGAGCACATGGAGAAAGCAGGTGAACTTCGCCTTTGTCGCTCTCTTCACTCTCACATCTTTTGCAACAATGTGTCAAGCATCCGTTGTCTGGGGACCCCAGACAAGGGATCTGGGCTGGCAGTTTGAACAGCTCAACAGAGGCTACGCTTTTAGCATAGCTGGCCAGGGTTTGGGGTGTCTTCTGATGATCCCCGTGGCCATCAAATTCGGAAGACGGCCGGTCTATCTCTTTGGTGTGGCTCTGTCATTGTGCACTTCGCTGTGGCAGGCGCAAATGACGTCTCTCCATGAGCTGTACACAGTTTCGTTTTTAGAAGGCATGGCTGCCAGTTTGACCGAGGCGTGTGTCCAAATGACGATTGCAGACCTATTCCCGGTCCAGAGCAGAGGCACCTACAACGGCATGTACATCATTGCAGTTTCGGTGGGCAACTTTCTCATTCTGGTGCCTGCTGGAGCCATAGTCAACCAGTGGGGCTGGAGAGCTGCGTACTGGGCGATTGGCCTGTTTCAGATGGTCGAGTTGGTTGCATCTTTGTTTCTGTTTGAAGAAACTAAACCTGGCCATGTGTCTGGTCAAAAGTTGAGCATATATCCTCGGTCATCTTCAAAGAGTGACGAAGAGGAGAGAGAAACATTGGTTAACGACATGGAAAGACACAACTCGTATGATACCGAGAGAAGCGCGTCCAGAGGATGCATCAAGTGCACCGACTCGTTTCCACATATCCCGTTGGTCACAGTTACTCCTGGCTGGTCGAGTTTCTTCAAGTCTTTCTACACTCCGTTTGTCCTACTGGCTTCGCCCATTGTCGCGTTTGCCGCAATCACCTATGGATTTTTGCTGCTGGCTCTGTCAATGTCGTCGGTAGTGACTTCTCTCAAGTTTGCAGAAGCCCCCTATAGCATGAGTCCCTGGTCCATTGGTCTGGTGTTCATTTCTCCGTTTGTGGGCATGACCATGGGCTCCTTTTTCGGCGGGTACTTGTCTGACTGGGACATTGTGCGAAGAACAAGACTCAACAGTGGCGTCTACAGTCCACAGATGCGACTGAAACTCATCTACCCAGGTCTATTGGCCGTCACGGCAGGTCTGCTAACTTTTGGCATCTCGGTGTCAAGAGGAGTTCATTGGGTGGTGCCAACTCTTGCGTTTGGAGCTGTTTCTTTCGGATTTGGAAGCGTGGGATCCATAGTATTGACCTATCTGATCGACTACAAGGAGTCTCTGGCTGCTCAGTCTCTGGTTGCTGTTGTGGTGGTCCGAAACTCCATCTGTATGGTGGAGTCCTTCTCCTTGTCTCCGTGGGTGGATTCGGTTGGGGTTGACAATGTGTTCATCACAGCGGGCTGTTTCTCGCTGATCCCCATCTTTTTGGCATTGGCGATTGAGCTGTTTCATCGCAAGTCTTAGCCACGAGACATGGTTAGACATAATTTATAGATAGATATAGACATAGACAGACAGACAGAATGTATACGCGATACAATACGACACCAGGGCACGACGGACGCTGTCCAATGCACAATAGATGCAATAGAACTTTTGCGAGGCTTGAACGGTGTCCGAATGGTAATTCTTGGCCATCTACGACTTGCTGGTCGGTCGTCGATCGTAATCACTGTCTCACTCCTCTCCACTTGTTGACACTGGACGCAGGAACAAGTGTATGCACAACAGTCTAGTTCCACGGACAAGAGGTGGCATCTACGGTGGACAAGTATTGAGCAGGGGTTGGGGTCTTGTTTAGCGTGGATGTTCTCATTTGAATGCCGTTTCTGGTCCTTTATTACCAGCGCCTTCTTTGTATCCCGCCCGACCCAGCACTCGCTTCTAAGACATTTGTGGGGATGTGGGGTTACGAGTAGAGTAATTAGATTGCAGAAAGCAGATGGGCCAGAAACTGACGTCTGGCAGGTTATCGTAAGTATCGTGATTACTACCACCGGTGCCGGAAGGTACAGTGCAAGTATTGCCAGCTTCTGAGGATGAATTACAAAGAAGCCACTACTCGTAGCTCCAATTCTCGCCATAACGCAACAGCTGGCTAGAAACTCGCTTACCAGTCGCTAATCACTATAAGACATTGTCCAAATGACCCTTAGTGTCCGCTCTCGGTTAAGACAGAGCTATGTGTAGCGCGACAAGGGTAGTAGTACCACTACGACTACACTACGACTACATTGTACGATACTCATAGGCCAACATCTTGTGGACAGTGGAACATTGCCTCCATACCGACAGTGTGGCATGCCCCGCTTGTTCCGCTTCTTTTCCCAACCCCACCACCACCCTAGTCTGTCTTTCTTCCATCCTCTTGTCTCGGTTTTTTTTCAGACTCCTCCCCACCCCCCAACAAAGTTCGAGCATAGACTGGGTAAGCGAGGGGTGCATCCTACCAGCATGTGATTGAGATGAGCTGGGACCATGGGCTGTTTACGGAGGCGGGAATAAGCAGCGTGGCACCCCGAACACGGAGCACGCAGCTCCAACGGGATATTGCGCGCCACAAAAACATGCAAACTCGCCCGGTTCGCTCCCGCAAATCGCATCTCCGACATTCTCGCCCATGGCAAAACTAAAACCCCGGTAAACTCAACGCGGGGTGTGTGTCTAAGAACAGCTCCTTTATAGGCTTTGGTCCAAGATTGCATATCGCAGCGAACGACGTGTGCGGTGAACCCATCAGACCATCTCTCATCTTCAGCAACACAACCACCCCCGACAAAGCACACAAAATGGCGCCCGGAATCCCAAAACCGCGACACCAGCGACTGGTGCTGCAGTGCTACCCCGACGGCCAGGCCGCGGACAAAAAACCCAACCCCTCAGAGCTGTCGTATCTGCTCTTCTACGTGAACCACAGACGAGTCAAGCTGGAAAAGGTCGGACCGTTCCTCGAGAACAAATGCTACAAGGACGTGAGCCGAGGCCGCCAGGGCAACGTCATGGTGGCACTCGACATCTTTGCAAAGCTCATCGAAGAGTGCCACGAAGACCTCAACCTGTTTGCTCAGAACGTGGTCAACACCCTGCTGGACGTGGTCAACTCCGGAGACCTGCTGCTGTGCCAGCACTCCAACAAGGTCTTTGCGCTCTTCTGCCAGTACCACGACGGAGGCCTGTTTCTGGGCGACCCCGAGTTTGTGCGGTCCTTCAAGCAGCTGCTCGAGGTCTACGTGAACATGGCCAAGGTGCCCAACGGCCCCAACAGCGTGCAGTGGAAGATTGTGGGCCTCGAAGCTGCCAAGAGCATTGCTGGCTCTGCTGCCATTGCCACCCAGACCGGATCCACCTCCATTTCCCCCATTGTCCACCTTCTGCTGTCCTCTCTGCAAGAGTCCCAGTCTGATCTGGAACAGCTGGACCACTCCCTGGATCTCGGAGGAGGCCTCCCAGACAACATTGGAGGCTCCAAGCGAAACTCTATGCACCAGGACGCCATCGACAACTTCATTCACGAGGAGTCGCCCGAAAAACAGGTCAGATACCTGTCGTTCCACGCCCTGCGCACATTCTTCGACACAACCTCCGTGGTGCAGATCCAGAGTGCCACACGAGCCATTGTCACATACATCATCAACTCCAACGTGCCCGAGCACTGGGCAACGTCGCTGGTGGTCATTGTGGCCAAGTGGGCTCCTGTCCAGTACCGGTTTGTGATCCTCGTCTCGCTGGTTGAGATGCTCGTGGCCATGTCGCCTAACAATGTCAAGTCCGAACTCGTGGTTGCCGCCTTGATCCACGCCTTGCTCTCCTCTACAGTCAACATGGTCGGCCTGTCCGTTATGGACATTCTGGGATCGCTACTCAACAAGCAGGCTGCCATCATCAAGCACGCCCAGTCCAACAATGAGGCCAGCGGCGCCTTCGAGGAGCTCATTGACAAGCTTTCGGCCTGCATGATCTCCCTGGGAACCCACATTTACTACGCCGACCAGATTTCCGATATGGTTGGAGAGGTTCTGTGGCGATGTACTGACCCTGCTACTGCTGGACAAACCGGCCATGCCGTGTCTGCGGACGACGGAACTGGCCTGCAGATCAAACGACCCACCCGTCGAGTTTTTACCACTCTGTCCGCCAACAACGCGGAGCTGCAGCACTCCTCCGACGAGTCTGTGGGTGCCGCCACAGGCGGAACTGCCAACGGAAGCGCCGGTGTTGGCTCTTTCAGCCACGACAACTCCCCCGACGTGCTCATTCGACGTCTGGCTATCGTCGAGGGTTTCTTCCGACTCCAGAACGAGGAGCAGGACATGACTGCCCACAACTCGGTACCTCTTTCGGCTTGGGACGGCACTCAGTATCTGCTCAACCACGACTCGGCCATCGTCAAGGAGGCCTACGTCTTCTGCTTCGTTGCTTTCCTCGAGTACGAGTTTGGCAACCCTGACAGATTCCAGATTGGATTTGGCCGACGTGGATACAACCAGAACGTGGCCTACGGCTTTGTATCCCATCTTTCCATGCAGCTCAACAAGCTCATCACCAACACTCGAGCAACTAACGGAGATTTCCTGCTTGGAAACTCGCTGCTTCAGAATATTGTCATTCGTCTGCAGCAAGATGGTGTGGTCGCTACCTTCCCTCATATGCTCAAGGCCCATGAGCTTGGCCGTGCTCTTGTCACCGGTCAGTCCTCGGAGTCCAACACTCTGGCCCAGGGAATCATCATCGAGGACATCTTTACTCTCTACCTCAAACAGGTTGGAGATGTTTCTGATGCTGCTGATCTGACTGTGCAGGCTGGTGACGAGGTGGCTCTTCGAAAGAAGCTGGGTCTGTGGCCCAACTACCTTGACTGGCCCGTCTCCTCGTCGTCTCGCATTCAGGATGCCGACGCTCAGATTGATACCTCCATGGTCGCCAAGATGAAGACTCTTTCTCGTTCTGAGGTGGAGGGTCTGTTTGCCGAGTATGTCACCAGCATGCCCCAGGAGACTCGGGCTGAGCTTTTCTCTGACTACGATGACGTCATGACTATTCACTCTCGACAACAGGTTCCCGATGAGAACCTGATTGTCGGCAAGGCTCGATCTCTCAAGCAGCTCAACGCTGGCTCTATTCTCGAGCGACAGACCATGCGAGATGGATGGCTGGGAGACGATGTCAAGAACAACAAGTTCGCCGAGGAGCGAAAGGGTTTCACTCCAACTGTTTCCGATCTCAAGGGCGCCATGGGCGGCAACGCTTACGTGAGCAAGGAGCCCATTGCACAGAAGTTTGATCCTCAGACGTTCCTCAACACGTGGACCGTGACGGATAATTTGGGTGGATTAACCGTTTAGGCTGCGACTGGCTCGTTAAGCCAGAGGCGAACATGCTATTATTGGTAGGCATGTCGAAACAATCAAGGTAACATTATGTAACGACGGGAAAAGATAACTAATTAATACGATTCTACTGTATATTTATGGTGTATTTGGGCTGGTTTTTGTTGTTTTGTTGGATTCGGGAGGTGTTTTGGGATCGTGTATATACCCTCGGTTCAGAATGTCCAACACAGGTGCAATCAATAATTAATGCGTAAAGTATGTACTTTTACAAGTACTTGTACATATAAAAGATGGTCCAGAAACCTCTTATTGCTTCAATCACGTCATTTCAACCTCTCTAAGCCACCCATTAACATAATATCTATATGCGCTATTTACAATATCTACAAGTACTCTCTCTCTCAATGCTTCGCTCATCAAGCAGAAGGGTAGTAGGTGTCCGGCACCTTGATCTCCACCTTAACGTCATCCTTGGTTCGGTACTTTTCCCAAAAGTGGATACACTCGAAGCCAACTTCGATCATAATCAGAACGATGATCATCCATTCGAGACGAACACTCTGTTTCTCAGCCATATGAGCCTTCAGAATCGCCACAACTTCACTCGCGTAGTCGAGCTTTCTGTTGAGAATACCAATCCGCGGTCCAATGTCCAAGTTCTTGGAAATCAGGGCGTAAAGTCGTTCGAGCTCAGGTTCGCTCCAGTACAAGTCAGGGGTCTCGATGAGTTCCGAGTACAGGTTGAGCTGGCCTCTGAGTTGCAGTAGCTGTCCGGTCTTAGTGAGAACCTCCCTCTCGGTGACTCGCAGTTTCTCTCCTGTAGCCAGATGGTCTGTCAGCATCTTCAGCGAGTCAATGTATCGTTCCAGAGACTCTTCAAGAGCGGCCAGTTTGGTGGAACGCGCCAGACCAGATGAAAACGCCACCTTGTCTAGCAGCATCTTCTTCTCCGGGCCACGCAATATAATCGTCTCACCCTTCATGTACGACTTGTGTCCCGCAGGGTCATCGTTAGAAGTAGCTTCCGGTGCCTCTGTCATTGGCTGCGAGTTGTCCTCGTTGGGCATGTTTTCGACGACGAAATCGACGTCTTCAGACTCGTGGTGCTTGTAAGGTCGTCTCTCGGCCCCCTTGAGCATAGCCACAATCTTGTCTTCGGTTTCGGACTCGTTCATGCCCCAGGATACCACTGATCCGTTAGCGAGCACCAGCACATCGGCAATCTTGCCTGCCTCGTAGGGATATTCGACATGGGCGACTTCTCCGGGCAGCAGTATAGACGACTGCAAGAAGCCCTCATTGTGCAACAGCTCGACGGTCTTGGGCAAGTTGTACGACTCACAGGTGGAGATGGTGGTACAGGGCTGTAGGGTCTGAGGTGAGGGTGTCTGTGTCTGGGGTTTCTTTGAGGGGAGACGTCGAAGGGCTTGTTTGGACGACTGGAAGGATTTCACTTTGACTCCGAGCTCGGAAGCCCGGGTATATTGCCACACTGACGTTGAGAAGCGGCGCATTGAGTGTGGGGGTTGATGGAACACTTTTTCATAGATGCATTTGGCTTAGCTGATAAGTGAACTTTATTTGTACAGGTGAAATAGACGAGAATATTTCTCACCACGCGTTTCACTTGAACAATCACTGGTGAGCCGTCACCATGCCACCTGAAGTGTGAAACACAGAAATGCTGACTCACGATGAACCAACATGTGATGCTACCAATAATGAAGCCCAACAGCCCCAGATTGACAGACTCGTCGATTCCTTTCGCGAGTCGACAGCCGCTAGTCAACTCATCTGGATGATCTGGAACCTGGGCCACTTGTTTGGTACTCCCATCACCAATATCATCAAATTCCTCGTCTTCATTTATTCGTTAGGTGAAGGAGAAATGCCCGAGGGCAAGACCAAGGCCGAGCAGGTCGAGATTGTGCGCAAGGCGTTTGTCCAAGCACTGATGACCATGTTTGAAAAACCCCCAGGATTTCCAGCCACCCTTCCGGACTATTGCACCTACGAAATGGCGGGCCATATTATCATGTCCCACGCCGGAAAAAATGGTCTCTTTCCCTTTCGCGAGCTCGATTGGACAGCTGAGTTGCGTGCTATGGATAAAGCAGGAGACAATGTGTTGGACGGTATGGAAATCGATATGCTCAAGTCTGTCCTTGGATTAGAGCAACAGGACAAGGAAATGGCTCTCGAGATTATCACCGAGCGATACCCACACCGAAACAAGGCTACATGGCGATCACTGGCAGCTGCTTGGGAAGAGACTGCTACAAATCGATACAAAGGTATTTCCAGAACGTCTCTAGAGAATGGAGATCAAGTGGCAATGTATCTCAATCATTTCAAACATCGATTTCCCGGCGCATACGGCAAGAAACGCTTGCGTACTAGTGTGCATGACCGTGTTTTGGCAGCTGCTTACAAAGCACGGTACTTTTGTCGATCTAAAGATGGAAAAGTAGCACGTATCATGCACTACAGGTTCCCTCACCGATCCGCTTCTCAGTGGCAGGGTCTTATGAACTCCACCTTTGATCAATGGCTGCAGCTTTACAACTTTCCAAAGTTTTACGATGATCGATCTTGGATGGCATACTATCGTGCTCAGAAGGACAGTATCGAGGCATCACGGAGGCGAAGTCTCAAGGGCAAAGAAAAGGAGGCTTAGATATTTCTTAATGTGTTGCCAGCCGAGACGCGGTGTTCAAATAGGTACATACCTCCGTTGTCTTGATCATGTACAACAGGAAACCTTTCTTCTCGGTTCTCATGCGAGTTTGAACATGATCTCAAGCCAATCTGTTAGAATACTTGTACTTTAGTTATGCTCATTCAGTTCAACTTGTTAGTATATGTCTCTGTTTTGTTTGTCTGTGTCTGTTTTTCTGCGGTGATTTTTCTGTTGTATGTTAGTATTCAATAAATATCTCTGCTGTTAACTCGGTCACGGTATCGGTCTCGGTGTGTAATGTTTCTGCCGTTCACAATTGTCTGCTCTCTCCGCTGCCCTTTCATCGCCCTCCTCACCACGGCATAACAGGAACAGGGATGCCCACCCCAGGGGGAAGAGGGCCGCCTCTCCACATCATGTGCATTGGGGGAGGAGGAGGAGGAGGAGGGAGCAGTCCTCGCCTGATCTGATCACAAATTTCCGGTGGTAGAACCACTGCAAAGTATGGACCTGGAGGTGCCATTGGTGCCATGGGACGCATTCCAGGGCCAGAAGCCATTCCAGGGCCAGAAGCCATTCCAGGGCCAGGAGCCATTCCAGGATGAGGCGCTATTCTGGGATGAGGACTACCCATACTGGGAACTGCAACCTGGATAGGAGATCCTAGTCCTCTCATGGATGGTCCAGGAACGTGTGCCATAGGAGGAGAAGCAAAGCCCTGCACATGTGCCACAGGAGAGCCTGTGCAAGTACTTGTATTGGCCATCTCACTGGCAAAATAGTTGGGCTTGCCGCTCATTCCGGGCTCAGCAGCATGGGTTCTCTCAAAGGGAGGACTCAAAGGCGCCGCCTGGAGGATTCCCAAACCGGCACCTCCTCTGCTGACGGCACTCCCGTCCTCCACGGGTCTATCGTCACGAGACAGTCCTGGAGGAGTCAGAGGAGCCACTGTAGCCATTGGAGCCATTGGAGCCACCGTAGCAAAGCCTCCCGATAAAGGAGACACCACGGGGCTGATATTACCGCCGGACTTGTCTTCTGGGTATCTCGTCTCCATATCTACACTCTTTATCTCGTGGTTGCGCTTCTTCCACTCCTCAAACTGGCTCGTCTCTCGGGCATGGGAGGCACCAATGGAAAACGATGAGAGCGCTTTACTGGTGTCCACCGCGGCCCATTCGATTTCTTGCGTCGTGCCTGCCTTGGCATGTCGGCTGTTACTGTTGAGTCGACCGTCTGAATCTCTTCGGGTCTCTCTGTGGAATTTGGAGCTCTTGGCAGGCTCAAAATACCTATTGACATCATCCCGCGTAAGGCTGGGTCGTCTTTCACATCTACGGGCGTCAAAATAAACTCCAGTGGTCTTGTTGCTACTATTGAACGAGGGTCGGTGGTGGTCAGCACCAAAGCTCTTTCGAGCAGCAGCCCGGTGCCAAGGATGAGTGGGTACGTGGTTTCGGGCGGGGACAGTGTTCCATCCATCGTCATCGTCCTCCTCGGCGACAGCAGACTCGTCGTTGTTTTCGTCAGCGTCAGCAAAGGCAGCAAAGGAGTTGGAGGAAGATCCTCGGCCAGACTTGGAGGTCTTGGCCTGGGTGGCAGCCAGAGCAATGGCAAACTTGGGGTGCACGGCATCGCCACCCTTGTTCTTTCGGCCAACGTTGCCCTTCTGCGACAGGTATCGGTTGGCGTACTCAGTCAGAGAAATGTCCGACTCGGCGACATCCTCTACATCAATGGAGATCTCCACGGGCTTTCGTTCCTCGGCCTCCTCACGGAACCGTCGGAGAGCATCTGGGTTGTTACCGAATGACTTTCGGTACAGAAGCGACTCACTGAGTTAGTATTGCGCCATTGTCTATGTGGAGTGTGTTGTGTGGGGTTGTGCTTGTGCAGTGTCGTGTGACTTTTTGAGTTGAGACTTGGGTTCAGCAGAGGGAGAATAGTGTGGATGATGTGCCATGAAAGACAGTCCACCAGTCACATCAGAGCAAATGTCAGGGGGTGGCGAGACAGGTGAAATTCTTAAGGCGGCACACCACAAGAAGAAAACACTCACGTTCACCCCTACATGAAGATATCTGCACAACACTCCAATGACACGTCACACGGCATAAATGGAATCAGCTTGATCTGGGACAATCGGAGCGTCCCTAGCCGTCCATAAATACAGGCACGCCTTCCCCCGACCCCAAAATTCATACTCACCGTCGCTTGATGACCTTGAGAGAGTTCAGGTCGGTGTTGCTGGCTTCCAGACCAGAGAGCGGCGACTTGGCCAGCTCGTACATCACTTCAGCAGTGTATCGAGGCATTGTGGAAGGAGTTGATTGATTGGCGTATTGATGCTGCGGTTGAGTGGGTAAAAAAAAAGTCGAGCAAACGTGTGTCTAATTTGCAAAAAAACCCCGAAGCAATCCAAAAATCAATTTATGCGCTGAATGAGAAGTCACGTTGGGCGGTGGTGACTACTTTGAAGCGAGGAACGGAGGGAGGGGAGGCGACAGGATTTTTTTCGGCAGGGTAACTCCCAACCAGGAAACTCGCGGCAAGGGCATCTCAACGGGGGCAACTCTAATGTGGCGTTCAAAACACTGATCCAAAAAAAAAGAGGATTTTTGGAGAACCGAGCTCCCAAGTTCAAAGTTGAAAGCTTATTTGAAATTTTTGGAGAGGTGCATGTTAGAGAGATATTTGTGGAGGGAAATCTACACACACTACACACTACACACCACGACGGCTACAGGACGATAACACAGACAAAATGCCCATCGGACGATCTATGAGAACAGTCAAGGACAAAATCAAGGGCTCGGAGAAGCAGCTCCACCCTTACGCTCGAAAGTTCAAACAGGTGAACCGAGCTTCGCTGCGGGAAGACAAGCTGGTCCAGAAAAAGACTGAGCGAATGAACGCTCGCTCAGACCACTCTACTCGAGTCATGTTTTTTGCAGAAATCGCCAAGAAGAGCCCCGAAAAGCTCTCCTGGACGGTGGAGGAAATCAAGGATATCACAGAGGTCTATCTGTCTCGAGATGACGACGAGCTGGCTGCCCTCAAGAAAGCCCGTCGACCTGGCCGACCTGCGTCCAGCAAACAGGACATGTTGCAAATGAGAACCGACAAGGAGCGACACGAGTACAAAACTGGCTACCTGGTGCCCCATCTGGGAGACGAGGAGACTGTTCGAGCTCTCAAGATGTACAAGGGAACTGGAAACATGTCCAATGCCGTGTTCATTCGAATCCGTCCCGACTCTGAGACTTATGGCGAGCCCGAAAAGTCCATGAGATAGGTTTGCATACTCACTAGATTAATATTTATTGCATCTGAAGTTGAAGAGAAGCTGGGCGGAAAACAATCAAAAGTTTGTAGAGAAGCACAAGAGTATTATAAGTTCTTCACCTATCCTATTTGTACCGGTTACGTCTAGTCAACTGCACAATGCATGCTTAATATTTGTATTCATATATGTCATTATTCGTGGGCATCGTTCTGGGTTCTCAAGTAAGATCAACCTCTAATGGAACAACTGCACTCACGTTCCTCCAATGCCTTGATATCTCTCTCGTGGTCTCTTCGTCGCTGTTCTCGCTCTCGCTCCCATTGGGCTCGTCGTTTAGTCCCTGTCCATCGCTCATCAATCTCCAGCAGCGTATAAGTGACGACAAACGCCAGGGCCGAGGTTCCCATAATCTGTTTGATCCAGCCATATCGCCGCCGTTTGGGTCGTGCGAAAACAACCAGATCGGAGGGATATCCACATCCAATGTACCGCCACCCCTTAGACTCCAGTTTGTTGATGCTCTTGGCATAGGTCTCTGGATGGGGGTTTCTGTTGAGCACAGAAAAGAGATCTTCACTGGCCAGCGAAGGAGGCCTTTCCTTGGTGAAAATCGCCTCACCTCCTTGTGTCACGTATGCATAATCCTGGTCCTCGACCGTCTTGATCGAACTGGGCGTCTCCTGCCACTGGGGAGTGTGTGTTTTGACAGGGGCAGCCTTCTTGTGCTGGGCCTCCTTATTGGACCACTCCAGCTCTCGCTGCTGGCCCTGGAACTTGAGATGCTCCTTCTCGAGCTGCTTGCTCAACACCGTCATGAGCGACTTTGTGCCCGGTTGCTTGGACTCCCGTTTCGGCGCTGCAGGAGCCACTTCTCGACGTCCAGGTTTGATGAGGTCCTCCACGTCGAAATCGAGTTTACGGATTCGTTCGCCCGTATGTGACACTCGATCTCGCGTCGATGACCGCCCGATGATGCTCTCAGCCGTGGCCGGTGGAATTCCGTCCATAAATGCAAAGATCCGGTCGTAGTGATCTGCTCCTTGTTCCCTATTGGTCTTCTTGTTCGTGTCGGTCTTTTTGCTTCCCAAGTCCTTGGTAGAATAATGGCGACAGCACGAGCTGCGATGTACCACTTCAGCCACCCTTCCCACGCTGCCTAATGGTCTCATAGTGCGCATGATGGGTATTATCGTCGTGTGTGTGGTGATGATTGATAAGCTGTAAAGTTGTGGAGTGGGAGGAGGTCATGCATGTTGGGGATGAAGCCGAGGCGGCGTAGTATGAGAGTCAAATGAGGCGAAATAGTACACAAGTACAAGATCTGTGGTCGCCAAACGCACGAAAATATGTTTTTTCCCTCGTCTTTTTCACTTTTGCACTTTTTTTCAGCTTCTTCTACACTACTCCATCCACTCGGTACCACATCTCAGATGACCAATACCAACTCTACCCAGCTTGGATCAACATTGCCTTGTGGGGTGAACGAGAAATGACGGAGGTGATAAATACCGGCGAAAAAGTGAACAGATCGGGCTGTAAATCGAAAAAAGGGATTTAAATACATCATATAATCGTTTCATACATTTTTCAGTTCTCTTGGGCGTCTTCCCTCAAAGAAGTTTGCGTAGACGTATGTACATACTATACTTGTTGGCTTACTTCAGACAGCACAATCAAAAAACAGCTTTTCTTTACCCTATAAACGAGAAAGAGAGCATAAATAATACAAAATACGTCAGTGGCTGTACTGATCACAGTAGATACATCAACACCCCGTCCCAGTCCTACATCTCTTTATGAATACATCATCTATTGGGCAAAAATGGAGAGCCCACCTACTCGAGGCTATTATAACAATCCTCCCTCCTCCCCTCATGGCAAATGCATCACTCCTTCTTCTTGTCCTTGTCTCCCTCCTTGGTCTCCTCCTTATCCTCCTCCTCCTTGAGGTTCTCCTTGTTCTCGATCTTGTTCTCGATCAGGTTGTGGAAGGCAATGATGGCTCGGACCAGAGTGGAGAGGTAGACAATCATGAGCTCGTCGTTGGACTTGACAGCAAAGGCCTTGGCCCGCTCGTCAGTGGTCTTAGCAGCGTCGGTGAGAGAGTCGTCAGAAGACGAAACAGAAACGTTGGGCAGCAGGTTGAACACATCCTGCAGCTTACCAAGAATCACATGGTTCAGAGGCAACTGGCCCTCGACCACCTTTTGCAGGTAGTTTGCAATCTCGTGAAGCCGTTTGTGGAGCGATTGCAGGGACATAAGCTGGTTGGTGATTCGCACAGACAGGTTGCCGGCCGCGGCGTCTCGCACATCTCGCAGCAGATGCTCCACACCAATCTCCTCGGCCTCCTCGGCCTCAATGGACGACGGCACGTGCACAAACGTTCTGTCGGTGGCGCTGCCGTCGTCCTTAATGTCCTCAATGGCAAAGTAGGCATCGGTGGGGACACCCACTTCCTGAGGCTGGATGTCGACAATAAGTAGCAGGGGGTTGGGGGTGTATCGCTTGAAGAGCTCGTTGATCTGGAGATCGGAGGCTCGCAGATTGGGACCCGAGTGGTACCATCCAATGAGCTTTTCCTTGGCGTTGATCTTCTTGAACATGTCGCCCATGTTCTCCACAAAGTTGTGGTCCAGAAACCACACGTCGGGCTGCTTGTCGTCTTCCTCAAAGGGAATGGCGTACGAGTTGGTGACTCGGATCGTGTTGCCGGTGTTGTCGCCCAGAAGCACGCCGACCACCCGCTTTTTTGTGTTCATGGCGATTCGGTTGTAATGGTCCACTACCGAAAGCAGCACCAGGGGGGCGACCGTCACTTGCTCGTAGGGCAATGACGACACCAGAGTCGTGGGGACTGCTGGTGCCGATCCGTTCTGCGCGGGTTCTACTGTCGTCATTTCTGTGTTGAGAGATGGGATGTGATGAGGTTGATGTGATGTGGTGATAATAGAGAGTGGTGATGCACGCACCAGATAGAGTTAGTTGCCACCTGGATGGTGGTAGTTGAGATAGGATAAAGGAGCGAAAGAGGGGAAAATAAGAGGTGTCAAATGAGTGGAGAGTGTGTGATTTAGTGGCCCAGGTCGTCTGTTGCGATGGATGTGTCGTGATGGGTCATAATTACTAAGCTCTGAATGAAAGGTGATGTCAAGTATAAGCCAAGTATATTAAAAACAAGTCAAGTAAACTCAACTAACGCCACCATGAGGGTAGTGAACAGTATGGGAACTTGTAAAGTAGCGGTCAATGTAAAAGTTATATTAATCGAAAGAGAACTTATGGGGGAGTTGATTTACCCACAATATGGACAAAAACACTCTCCATATGAACAAAATATCGATGTCCCTAACAGCTCATTTGTCTTCTCTAATTACCGCCAGTACAGTATGTACAGTATGCACTAAAGTAGCAAAAACTAGCTCTGTAAAATACTGCGTTGGGACTGTACGCAGAGTGTTCTCATACCTCCATCTGTGGGCTGATAAGATAGTCTTCAAAGTACGCTTCCCGATATCGGATTTGACCAGAAATAAGTTCAAAATAATCACCTTGTCGATGTCTCCTCTGTCTTGTCTTTCCAACCTCATTTTCCCTTCGCCACCTTTCGATAACTACTCTCCACTGCACGCCGCCTTACCGCAACCTGCATGAAACTTACTGCCAGAATTATTTGTCAAACTAACCAACACCACACACAACATGTTCGGACAGCTGATTATCGGACCGCCAGGGTCGGGAAAATCGACCTACGCCTATGGAATGTACCAGTTTCTCAATGCCATTGGTCGCAAAGTCTCAGTGATCAATATGGATCCTGCCAACGACCATGTCCAGTATCCGTGCGCTTTGGACATTCGAGACTTTGTGCAGCTGGAGGATGTCATGACGGAACAGAACCTGGGACCCAATGGAGGCATCATGTATGCTTTGGAGGAGGTGGAGACGGATGTGGACGGGTTTGTTAACAAGATCAAGGAGCTGGGAGACAATGAGTACCTGCTGTTCGACTGTCCCGGCCAGGTGGAGCTGTTTACACATCATGGCGCGCTGCAGAGGATATTCAAGCGGCTGGAAAAGCAGGAGAAGGCGCGTCTCTGCGTGGTCAACCTCGTCGATTCGCATTACATCACCAAACCATCTCTTTACGTGTCAGTCTTGTTGCTCACTCTGCGATCTATGCTTCAGCTCGATCTGCCCCAGGTGAACGTGCTGAGCAAGATCGACTTGATCCACCGCTATGGAACGCTCGACTTCAACCTCGACTATTACACAGAAGTGCAGGATTTGCACCACTTGTTCCCTCTGCTGGAAAAGGAGGCAGGAATGACCAAGTATGCCAAGCTGACGGAGGCTATTGCAGAGGTAGTTGAAGACTTCGGTCTGGTAGCCTACGAGGTGCTGGCGGTGGAGGACAAAAAGAGCATGATACAGCTGCTCACAACTATAGATAAGGCGACAGGCTACTTGTTTGGAAGTACCGAGGTCGGCGGAGACTCGTTCTGGGCGGAAGCAACTCGACAGGGAGGATATGTGGGTGGAGTTTCTGATATCCAGGAACGGTGGATCGATTACAAGGACGAATACGATGAGGAAGCGCGAAAGGAGCACGAAGAGAAGCTCAAGGAGGCAGAAGAGGCCACTAGACCTTTGACTGCGGACGAAGAGTGGGAGCAGGCTCTACAGGATTATGAAGAGGGTATGGGAGGTCCTGCTATTAAGCGGGAGAACAAGTGAGAGCCGTCCGATACTGCATTTCTTATGAGGCCATGTGTGCTTTCTATGAGTGCTCCACCAACTCTATGAGCTCTCAATGGGCGTCCTAGAACCCATGAGTCATGAACAATAGTTCGAACTAGAGCTGTATTATATTATTAATGTATTGATTTAAAAGGAGAGGCATGTACGAAGGAATATGAGAATCCTTAGCCCTTGATGAGTATGCTGAAAATCTTTTAATGGATCTTTCCATGTGTGTTTATGCGCGTTGTTCCCTGAATCTCCTGAATCTATTTTGTTACTTAAATAAGGGCATTAAAAGAGTGTCTCTAGGACCACCACGAATCTGGAATACTATACATTTTTTCTTCATGGGATAACACCCGGATCATGATGCGCACCGTGCGACCGATGGTGGAGATGCATATGGTGGTCGTTAAGGTGGAATTCGTTTTCGAGGTCGAGATGGAAAGCGTCAGTCAGATGTCCGCCCTCGTCGTGGATTTCCATCAGCTCGGGCATGATGGTGGGGTCTTTTCTGTCGAGCACCACCGACTCCGATGTTGTGTCTGCGTCGACATGAGGAGCGTCTCTGAGCACAGACATACCGGTCTGAGTGGGGTCAGGCTTATCCAGAGCTGTGAATGGCTTCTTAGAGATCATGGAGTAGATCTTGAGCACCGTCAGACGGATGATAAGGATACCGAAACCCCACAGAATGGAGCCCACGGGAGCAGCAACAAAGGCCCCAAAGGCAGACCAATCGTCTCCGTACAGACCCTGAAGCAGAATAAGCAGCTTGATTCCCTCGTGGGCGTTCTTGAAGTAGATGGATCCGAAGATGAACACGGTTATCATACCTCCGAAACCGCCTCCAATGACTTCCCAGCCGGTAATGAAGTACATCTTTCGCGACAGGCCACAAAACATGATGGGAATGACGGCGGCCGAGAAGAGATCAGCAATCAGGAAAATGTTCAGAACGTTGGGGGCCTTGATGGCAACGACAATGACAGGGGCGTTGATGCACAGCACGATAAGTCGCACCCAGACCATTGGCACCTTGTTTCGGAAGAAGTCATTGGAGATAGTGGAGGCCATGGCAGAGACGTTGGAGTCGTAGGCAGCGACAGAGAGAGACAGAGTGAAGGCAATGGTGAAACCAATAACCCATCCAGGCATTTCTAACAGCACGTAGAAGAAGGCGTTGGCGGATCGCTCGTCTCCGTACACAAACTGCTCTCCATCAACAACCATCTTGGCCCAGACAGCCAGCAGACCAGTGAGACCCAGAACAGTCAGAATGACAAGAGTCAGCACAGTGGCGATGGCGCATGCCCAGAAGAGCTCCCGGTTGTTCTTGGAAGCGAAAGTTCTCATCCAGAAACCACTTAAAAAGCAATCGTTGGTGGCAATGGCAACAGGCAGAATGTAAATGAGCTTGTTGGCGAGCAGGTTGGGCTCCAGCATACCGGACTTTTTGGGCTCGGAAGGATCAACATGGAAATAGACACCCAGACCGACACAAACAATGATCAGCAGAATCAAAACCATTCCTCCTTGAATGTTATCAGTGAAGAAGGAGGTGTGGAAACCACCAACAGCAGTGTAGATGGAAGTAAAAATAGCCTCGACAATCAGAACGGGTAGAGCGTCAACTCCGGCCAGTGTCTCGATAGCAGCCTGAACGGCAGACAGCTCAGCCACCATATACAGATACATGGTTCCGATGGTCAGACACGAGAGGTAGAACGAGGTGAGCCATCCGTATCGGTATCTGGTCCACTCTGTGAGAACGAACCCGTCGGGACATTCTCGACGAACAATAGGTCCGACCCATGCGAAAAGCATCATGGGAAGGGCCGAAGAAATGGTATATACCATGAGACCCTCGACTCCGGCCCGCACGGCGATATCTGGATATGTATTGAGCACTCCAGCGCCCATGGCTGGGTTAATTAGAATGTGCACTTTCTCACGCAAGTATTATCTTGGTCGAGTTCGGCGGTGTTTTCTCAGCCTGACGAAGCAAGCACCCGCAGTGCGTGGAGGAAGAAGGGTAGTGAGGCGATCGCTAGGAGCTGCAGCAGTGAACCCATGATATCAGCTTTGTTCAGCCGCGCAGCTTGTTGTTGACGACAGATTAATGAGACATGCAGATGGTAGAGAACGTCTATGGGCAACACCACGGACACCACAAGACCATCCAGTGAAAACCCGCATATCAAATCACCTGCTCACAACATAGCACCACACCATCCACCAGATCATGTCGATGCATCAGATCTCGTCGAACCACCAGATCCGTCGACATTACAACTCAGGACCCCAACTCAGGACCCCAACTCAGGACCCTAACTCAGGACCCCAACCACAGAGAACCACCCTACCCCCTTCCCCTCAACTCCACAAGTCCTCCTCTCGATACTCACCTGAAGCGACGAAATTAATCGCTAACGGAATGGCTGTTCGGGTATTGTTAGCAGACAGAAAGCCTCCCTTCTTCTGACGCATGTGGATGTAGCCCACTACCAGACCCATCACCAGAAAGAAACATAGTACGCAGTAAATGATGGCGTTCGACGCCGAGTGCGAAATGTGTCCGGCCATTACTAGCGTGTGTGTGTGTGTGTGGCAAAGAGGTAGGAAAAGTTTTGACGTCAAGCGGGCTTCAAGTCAATGATAAATGAGCTTGCTAGACATCACGTGCGTTAATCTAAACGCTATCTCTTGATGCCGTATATGCAGTGGTGGAAAGCGAAAGTGAAAAAGGTACCCGGGTCTAAACGGGGATAGCGAAAATGTGCCCTCTTGTACTACGTACTTTGTAAAGGTGTAGTAATATGTTGAAGCTATGTATCTTCTCCCCCCTAAGCAGACAGAGCCAGCTCGATCTGCTTCTTGGCGTCCTGTACTTCTGTGGGGTCTGCATCCTCGCTTCCCTGCGGTTAGTGAATTATCCAAAATAGGCTTTCAATTTTTTTCGTCGACGACTCTTGCTTTGTTTCGCTTAAAAAGTTCAAGCGTCTAAATTGGGACAGAGTGGATACCACCATGAGTCACTTGAGTCAATCTGACGAGTCAGCTCCCAGAACTACTGAGTCACTTGAGTCATTTCCCAGAGCCAAACCCATCTTTGAGTCTCCCTTGAAGCCAATCTTTTTCGCGGACTTGGGTTAAGGTACGACAAACCACACGGGCTTTGTCCCTTTTGATTTGAGCAAATCGGGCTTCCCCCAGCAAGTGGCATATAGTTGCATCACCTATGATAGGTGCAGATGCTGGCTAGAGCGACTACTGTACTTGTAGTGAATGAGCAGATGGAAAAATGCATCAGACCCATGCCAAATTAGCATCTCAACCGTTGCTTAGTTGATGTCAGGACACACGAGCGCCAATTCAGAAGTTACCCCAAAAAGCAACCATAAGAGGCACTTTTGTTGGATTTCCAAGGTTTGCTGGAATTGTTCGGAAACTCATCGCTGGGAATCGACCCAATCGTAAACCACTCGTATCCCCATGCGCCTGGTCGTTCAAATTGATACTTCCCGGCTGCTGTAGGCGCCAGATAACGCACCATCCGCCGCCTTAAATGAAAACAACTGCAAGACGAAGATCAAAAAGCAGTGTGCCAAGTGGTGATCATTAACGGTTCTCACATTAGAGTAAGATACGGGCGACGGAAGTCCCAAGAGAGCAGCCGCCGAGCCGCACACAAGACTACTAACGTTTCAAAGCAGCCAACAAGCACAGCCCGTATAGAGCGTCACGGTAGGCGAAGGTCATGAACGGCGGCCGGTTATTGGCACATCAGAGTTTAAGGACTCGCACGGCGGACAAAGACAAGGGCAAAGACACATGGGAAAGCTCGTACAACCCTTGTTGTAGGGTTTCAAGTAGACTTCCCATGACTCAAGGTGTCTCGAATGACTCAAGTTGAGTGAGTCACCAAGGCCGTAAACAGAGATAATTGCGATGCCGAGCCGTTTCTAGCGCAAACCCAGAGTCGTGGTATCACGCTGTCTTTCCATTGCCCCCAAAAGGCTTTAGGAGAGCGTTATTCGGAGATCCCTAGCAGATGGACGCCATGTCGTAAAATGATAACATCTGGAGTTCCAGTCGACAACTTCAGTTTCGGTTCTTGTTTCTGCCATGGGATTGCACCATTCGATGAAGCCGACATCGCAGACCCACATCAACGTGACAAAACGACAACACGACGAGAGCACGGCGCAGAGTTATCTTTTCAACAGACACATGGGTCCTCGCATCTTATCACCACATCCCTGTCGAGCCCATTAGGGCTCTTAGTCACTCGAGAGAGTCAATGTGTGCCAGCTACCTTTTCATAAGCTTCATCCCCAATACCAAGGGTGGTGTGACTTTGCCACCTAACCTCCCTCCTAAAATTCGTCTCATACTCACAAGAATTCCCTCAAGAGACGCCTTCATCTCGTCAATCTTCTTTCGCATGACAGGAACCATCTGTTCCGTGTCCTTGAGCACCTCGATCTGCTTCTTGATGTCGTACTCGTCCTCTCCGTTGGCCTTCATCTTCTCCACTCGAGCTGCCTGCTCAGCAGTCTCCTGCTTGTACAGCTTCTCCTCCTTGATGAGTCGCCCGAGAGCGGAGGTCTTGATCTTAATCTGGGAAGGCATGATGTATGGCGCGAGGTGGTGATAGTGTGGTTAGGAGGTGAAGTGCGGAACGCGCGCGTCTTCCTAAAACGGAAACAAAATAATAGAATAGACTTCAGGCTGGTGAGTGGTTTGTAAGGGGAGAGATCGTGGATTGAAGGGCAACTTGGATTATTAATCGGATTATGAGTAAACTAACAGGGTCGCACCAACTGGGACCGGCTTGGTCACGTGACGTGTTTAGCCGATGGTTCTGTTTATGCACATCTACTGTAGGCTGTTCAGTTCAGTAAAGATGATACAATCAAGTTGATGATAAGTTTTTGCCAAAAAAAAAAAAAAAAAAAAAAAAAAAAAGGACTTGAATCCGTCTAATCGTTCCTTGTGGACGCGGTTGGTGAAGTTTGCACATCTATGGCTCTATACCTCCTAGAATCTGGTGGTGTTCTCTCAGTGCGGTACAAGTACGGACACTACTACATACTGTACTACTACTATTACAAGTAGTAAACTTCACATGGTTCGACGATGTTGGTACAAGACTACTTGTAGAGAAAGTGATTTACGTAGTGGTGTGCTTTTTTCACACATTTTCGAAGCAACTAAGATATTGGTTTCTGCTTCATCGCCCCAAACACTCATCATGGACCTTTTCGGACGTCCCGTCCGTTAGATGCGTACAAGTACAATACCCACTAGAGGTTGAGTACGAGTCGATGATACACGGTAGGTACAGTAAAGGGTCTTGGACGTTGCCATTTACTTGTACTCTTAAAATCAACTCTTCATCACTCTCTGCAACTCTGATAAGCCTGTTGATAAGTACGCCGCCCGAATGCTGATCGTTGTACAAGTCTTCGCTTGCTATTGTGTGAGACATACGATGTCATATGATTGAAGATCAGGGAACGGGATCGAGGGGAGCTGAGTGAGGGAAGTTGAGTGAGGGAAGCCGAATGAGGGAAGCTGAGTGGACATTATTTTTCACGCGCTTAAGTATAATGGTTAACTCTTTCTCAGTTTAGTTGTAAGAATATGAAAGTTACAATGGCTTTTCAAGTAAAGATCAACTACACCCCTCCGTCTCAATAGAAAGTCAACAATTTAGTTAGATGAAGCGTTTCGCGATTTCGCCACTTGTTGTTGTATGCTCCTCAAAGACGTGAGATAGAGAGCATGTTCATTGTCGTCTTCGCTATCATCGCCATGCCCACCTGTTCACAAAACCCGTTGGCACGCGCTAGCACGCTCTACTTGTAGTACAGTACCCATCCCTTCACTCCCCCACAGCACCCACCACCCCTCAATAACGCCTTGCGCTTAGTAAAGTTGAGGTGCCTAGAAGTCTAAATATTTTGATGCGTTTGATGCAGGTCGGGATTCTCAGCAACCCAGCTTTTATACACCATGGACCGGATAAAGTCACTGGAAAAGCGCGTGGCGGATACGAAAATCAACATTACCAACTATGAGAAGCTGCGCGATACGCTTGTCAGCTTCCCGCACGAGCTGTACCGCACGGTTCGGATCCCGACACCTGGAGGATTCGAGATGGAAGGCGTGGTGGAGAACACAAACAAGATCATTACGTTGATTGGCGACGGCTGGCTGGTGGAAAAGTCGGCATTTGGGGCACTCAAGGTGGTGGATGACCGTCTGGCCATTCTGGAGAAGAATCAAAAGGCCTATGAGGAGGCTTTGGAGACAGCCAAGTTCGAGAAGGAGGGCCTACCTGTGTTTGAGATTCGAGAGGAGCTGGACGACAAGGGAAATATTGTAAGCTCATCTGTGGAGGAGTTTGATACCGGTAAAGCTGCTAATCTTGAGAGGGTTATCAACTCCATGGGAGACCGGAAGAACAAAGAGATCAGCCATGACAGCGACAAGATGGATGAAGACGACGATGAGATGGACACAAAGGAGGATGATCTGGACGACAGCTTCGACGGTGCATCTCTGCCTATGATGGAGATTAGAGAAGAGCTAGACGACGACGGGAACATCATCGAGAGTAAAGTGGAGGAGGCTGGAAATGAGGACACAAATGAGATTGAGAAGCATCTGAAGCTGCTCAACGAGCTAGCCAAAAAGAAGTTGGATGCAAAGAGTACTACAGAGCCTGCTGTCAACCCCGAAGCTGCTAAATCTACCAAACCAGAAACTGCTAAACCCATCTATGGTCCTCCTCCGCCCCCCAACTATGGTCGAAAGGTTGGAGGCGGCATTTTCAAGCCCCAAGTTACTCCTGGAGTGCTGCGACAGCAGAGTCCCAAGATTGAGGAACTTAACGACGAAGAAGAACAAGTGGAGGACGGCAAGGATAACAAAAAGACTACAGAGCCCGAAAAGGAGAAGGACAATAGTCCTACAATCACCGATGTCACGGAAGATGACTCCAGTGACTCTCTTTCCAGCTTGCAGTCGTCTAACTCGTCTATCACTTCTAACCCTGCTGTTGCGCCCGAGTCGCTTCTTGAACTGGAGCTGCTAGCTGACGATGCTATGGACGAAGAGGAGGACGATCTGGAAGCCGATGACGACGACTGGGACTTTGAAGACGACGAGTTAGACGACGTGGAGGCCGACGAAGACGACCATGGGCGTACCCGGGGTTCCATGTTCCCAGGAATGTCTCAGGATCAACTGAGAAGCATTATGGAGGGCAGAAAAACCGCTGCTGCTGAGTCGAGACCTCCTGCTGCTTCTATCGTGTCTGATATCACCGAATCACCCCAGCCCGTTTCTTCACCAGTTCCTACTACTGCTGCTGTTCCAAAGAGCAGTTTGAAGTCTGCATCTTCCAAACCCAAGTCTGTATCGTTTTCCAACAATCTACATATCAAACGAATTCCCAACAAGGAGACCATCAAGAACCAGGAACGTCAGGAGATGAAGAAGCAGCAGCAACAGAGCAGATTCAAGCAGGAGCTGGCCCGGAAGGCCCCTGAACCTGAAGATGACGACGATGAAGATCATATTACCGTGCCTACTGTCTCCGATATTGCTGAACGAGCTGCCCCAGAAGACCCTGTGACTGCCCCTGCTCCTCCCAAGAAGATGTCGCGATTCATGATGGCTCGAATGGGTAAAGATGAGGCTCTTGCGCCCAAACAGTCCCGTGATACCCAATCACATGATCAGACAAACCCCAAGGATGGACGCGTCATAAGAGGCATCCCCAGTGTTGGTGCTACTTTCCCACCTACTCTTGACAAAGATATTGCTGACTACACAGAGTCAATGAAGCTGACCCCCCGACCGGCTTCTCAGGGACACGGCCATGCACATGGGCATGTGAGATCACGAGCAATTTCTGGGAATGTTTCTGAGCCAGCTCCAGCCGAGGAGAACGCCCCTTCCAAGGTTTTCATCAAGGCTCCAGTGTCTGGACTTGCTCAAGGCAAGACTAACGACGAGCCTCGACCTCTGACCGATAGCGACAAGGAGCACGATGACGCCATCATGAAGGAGGTCATGTCGTATCTTGCTGAAAATGAGGATGAGGAGGCTTTCGAGCAGCTGCATCAGGACATGGACGAGTCTAAGCTGGCTGAGGAGCTGTATAGACAGAGGGCCCAGAATCACAATGCTGCTGTTCAGCGAGGGCTCGAAAGTATGGCCGATGTTGACGTGGATGATGGAGACGACGATGAGATGGATTTGGACGATGATATGGCTGATGCTGGCGACAGAGTTGATGCGGAGAACGACGAGAATGCACAGGTCATGAATGATATCGTTGAGAACGATATTGATGATCCTTCGAAAGACATTATTCAGGGAGATCTCGATATGGATCCTGCCGTGCATCGACGGGAGGTTGCCGAGCACTACTACCGGCTGCGAAACAACATGGTTGCCAAGAATGGCGGGTTTATGAAATCCGACGGTGAAAAGGCCGCCGAGGAGTGCGATGAGAATGCCGCTCCCATCAAAATGTCTCGATTCAAGGCTGCCAGAATGAACCGAGGGCAGTAATAGAGTGTAATGTATAGTAAGATAGCACAAGTACGTACTGTACAAGTATGTGTAACACTCGCTCTGGAGAGTTAGTCATCCGACAGGGTAACTCTAATCTCCCAACACCTTATTAACTCTGCGTAACTGTAACTCTTCTTGCCACGTCGATCTTACTCAATTTTCCTGCTCATCATCTGCTGGATTGTTGTCTATCGTCTGGCTCTAATACATTTATTGTTTATTGCCCAAACAACTTTCATTGCACGTAAGTGAATTGTTTTATAACAGCGTTCGCCAATTGCTGCGCCATCGTCGTCCGGCTGTCCTACCGTTAGGGGTAGTGTGTCTCACACTACCGAGGTTACTAGAGTTGGGAAAGCGATACTGCCTCGGACACACCACCTGGGTCTTACGACTGCAGAGAGAATCGGCGTTACCTCTCTCACAAAGCCCTTCAGTACCGCCGCCTGTCGGGAACCGCGTTCAGGTGGAACAGGACCACCTCCCTTGCACTTCTTGGTATATCAGTATAGGCTGATGTATTCATAGTGGGGTTTTTCATAATAAATTTACTAACGGCAGGCAACATTCACTCGGCTTAAACGCAAAACGGACCGTCTTGATATCTTCTGACGCATTGACCACCGAGAAATAGTGTTAGTTACCGGGTGAGTTATTGTTCTTCTACACAGGCGACGCCCATCGTCTAGAGTTGATGTACTAACTCAGATTTCACTACCTACCCTATCCCTGGTACGCACAAAGCACTTTATTTTCTCACATATGGGATAGCGGAGTAGTTCAAGAAGGCTTTACGATCAGTTTCCTTTTTTAAAACTAGATGGTTGAAGTCGTAATCGTTTGATTTGAACAGTAAAGCACCTTCTCAAAGTCGACTTTGTGGACCTCCACGGAAAAGAAGTTTTGACCCTGCATCAACCTTTTTTCGGAGCAGAGTGATACTGGAAGAGGGAGGTAATGTAATTCTCAAAAACTATTGAAATATCTGTAACGTGTAGGTCACGTGATTGGATGTCTCGTTGGTTCCACCGACATCTGTATACCCCGCGTTCTCTGCTATCTGTAGTGTCATTTTCGCGCCTGTTTTTTAGGTCCATTTTTTATCCTGTTCACCCTTGTTTTGACAAGGCCGAAATGTGGAGACGGTTGTTTTAGGAGGTGTATGATGACGTCGTATGCAACGCGGCGCCTCGGTAACTCGTTCAAAACTCGGTGGAAAGAGACATGATTCGAAAGTGCTATATATATCGGTGCAGTTAATGTGCTGCCACTCCATCCACCTTTTTTTTTGCGGTATATAAGCCATTCTACAGCCCCGCAGGTCTCTCCCTGAACAAACTTGGCCTATGTTATCTAACTCACAGTAATGCAAAAGTCACTCTATTAATAACAACACACATCTCATCCGACCGAGCGTGACCCAGCATACTGCTTCAAACATGTCGAAACAACCGCCGGCTGTGGGGAAAAAGCCCGAGGGGCTCAAAACGGAGGTTGCGGCGTCCAAAATCGAGAAATCAAAGCCCGAAATCCCCCCAAAGCCAGGAAAAAAGCCACCGAAACCGCTGCCAAAGCCCGAAACTGCCAACAAACAGGAACAGACGAGCCCACAAAGACCAAAAGTGGCGGCCAAGCCGGTCCACCTAAGCGGAACGTTGCGCGATCTCCAAATCGCCCCGACGATCGAGAAGACGGACCCAATCTCACCCAAACAACACGTGCACAGAACAGGTCCTCCAGACACCCCAAAACGAGACTTTCTGAAACCACAACCGCCACCATCGCGCGAGCAGTCACGGGAGCGAGGCAACATCCAGCTGGACAACTCCCACGACCAATTGGGACCCCGTGACCCCACCACACCGCTCAGATCACCTACCCGAAGCCCAGCAAGAAGCCCGGCCCCTCCACCACCAAGATCTCGCGACGTGAGTAGAGCACGTGATCTCGCGACAGGTTCGGGACCCTCGTCACGTGATGTCTCGATGTCTAGTGACTCGAAATCCTCCTCAAACTCCGATCTCGGAGGGCCGCTGTTGCTGCCGCCGGGAGCAAGAGAAGGAGCTGTGGCTCCGATAACTGCTTCTACACCTGCAAAGTCACGTGAAGTGTCGGAAACCCTGTCACGTGAAAACATGGTGCGTGATGACTCGCCTCGAGGAAGAGTAGTTACACCCCACGTGACCAAACGAGAGGGAGCTATTGCGCCTTCATCTTCGCGGGTCCCGTCAATTGTGGAACCCCAGTCTCCCTTGACAGTCAGAAAATCACGCGACACCCACGTGACCACACCCGAGCAGATCCGAACGTCCAATCACGTTAGCCAATACACGCCCCCAGCTCCGGCTGATCGGGTGGCCTCGTCTTCATCATCTTCTTCGACTTACACACCTCCGGCGCCTCCGAAATCGCATATACCCAATTTGGAGTCGCCTAGTATTTCTCGAGACTCTTCTGTTGTGCCAATGACTGTTTCGCGTGATTGCTCTGTGACTCCGGTTGCAGTTACACGTGAATCCGTCGCTCCTGCACCTGTGGTTGTTTCACGAGAAAGTGCAGCTCCTCCTATTCGAGAGTCATCAACGCCTCCGGTGGCAGCAGCAAATGATCCACAATCTGCTCCTCCTGCAATTACCCCAGCTGCCGTGGTGCGTGATCCTCCAGCTTCTGTAGGGTCCCCAGCTCCTGGGGTAGCTCCAACAGTAGCTACACATCCGCCGCCTCCCACACGTGACGTTGCGTCTTCGTCATCTGGATCTCGTGATTCTGTGACTTCTCGTGATTCAACTGTCGCTCCCTCTGCTCGGAAACCTCTACCAGACCCTTCGTCGTTTGCCGCCCCTCCTGTTCATCATGCGGTGGTTTCCAGACGAGAAGAGTTGAAGAGAGAGGAAGCTCAGAGCCATATCCCTGTTTCTGCCTCGTCTGGCGCCCCTCCTGCACTTCCTAAAAGACGAGAAACATTCAATGATGCAATGGAACCACGAGATATGGATTATCCCCCTCCTCCTCGACGAGCTACAGAGTCTTCCAGCGCTCCCCGCTTCTCCCGTCAGTCTAGTTCTGCGAGTATTGACTCACGTGAGCCCTTGTACAAGGACCGGCATGGATCTACAGCTTCTGTGGATCACTTGAGACACGCTGATAGGCCCAGACAAGGGTCGAGTGCATCTCTTGCGTCCATGGAACGTCCGAGACAGGACTCTGCGACCGCTGAGAACAGCGACGGTATGTACAGCTCCAAGTCTGTTCTCAATAGTCATTTGGAGCCTCCTCCAACTCGTCAGACTGTCATGACTTCTGAGACAGGGGAGTTGGACAATGAACTTAACCCTTCTGCCGCCATTGACGGTTACCAGGATTACCCCGACTCTTCTAACGTCAATAGAAAGCCCCCTGTTAACCCCAGACGTGCCCAGTGCTCTCTCAAGCATGATGTCAAGTGTATGGACTGCAACGACGAGTATCTGGTGGCTTGCAGCAGTGGTTACACGTTTGTCCTCAGTGCAGACAGTCTTGAACTGTTGTTTTCCGAGCCCCATAATGATCTCAAGATCCATACTGTCAAAGTCACTTCTACCAACCACGCGATTCTCGGGTTCAAGGAGGGAGAGCTTTGGGAGGTTGATCTGGACGACGGCACTGTATCTGTTAAGAGATCCACTTCTCACAGCACTCCCGTAGTGCTTATTCACGAATCTCCTAACGGTCTGTATACACTTTCTGAGGACGGCAGAATTTGTGTGTGGCCTGGAGACGATGAGTCACCTTTGTGTGGCACACCCAGGCAGCATAAGCTCTCGTTTGGTTTCATCCGTCAGGCAGTGGGAGTTCAGGATACCATTTGGGTCGGCAAGAGCCGAAATGCATTTGTGTTCCATGAGTCTATGAACTTCATGAATCCTTTGGTTGTGTCCAGCACTGTTCCTGGCAACCGACCCAGTCTGGACTTCTCATGCATCTTTTATGATGCTGGAAACGTGTATTTTGGTCATGAGAACGGAAATATCACCGTCTTTAGCACTGCCACGACCCAGGTGGTTGCCCAGAAGTTTGTTTCGCCCTCTTGTCCGCAGACGGTCTATTGCAACAATGGAATGCTTTGGATCGGGTTCAAGAACGGTTCAATTCAGATTGTCAACGTGCGAGAACCGCAGTGGAAGATCATCAAGTCATTTGAGGGTCATCAGTCAGGAGTTTCCGGAATTGTTGGCAGTTACAAGGCTGTGACGTCTTTTGGAAGTTCTCCCAACCTCAGATTTTGGGATGCTACTCTTCGGGAGTTCTGGGAAGATGACTTTATGTCTCAGCGACAGGAGGAGTATTGTGACTACCACAATCTTTCTGTGGCTGTGATTACCTGGAACTGTGGAGCTCTGAAGCCGTCACAAATGCAGAGAGCGAAGAAAAACGACAAGTACTGGATCGATCAGGTTCTGGAGGATGCAGATTACCCCGATATTGTTGTGTTTGGGTTCCAGGAGCTGGTTGAGTTATCAGATAAGGGTCTTTCGGCCAAGGCTCTACTTGGATTGCATAAGAAAGATGACATTTCGGACCAGTACCAGCTGTGGGAAGATGAGTTGTGCCACCTGATGGGCAAGGAGTACCGACGAGTGAAGAGCCATTATCTTGTTGGTCTTTTTTCAATCGTGTTTTCACGTGACGACCTACGCTTGGGTCACGTGCAATGTGGAGAAGTCAAGACCGGCCTTGGCGGCTACCACGGCAACAAGGGAGCTGTGTGCATTCGATTCACTATTGCCGACTCGTCCTTGTGTTTTGTGAACGTTCATCTTGCCGCCGGTCAGTCCAAGGTGTCTGATCGAGTCAAGGACTTGGAGAGCTGTTTCAGCAAGGAACTTTTCAAGAAGGATTCTTCACGTGATGAAGATGGAACACGGGTGTATATCAATGGGGGTGACGGTGCTCTTATTGGTGACCACGAGAATCTGTTTATTCTGGGCGACATGAACTTCCGGGTCAACCAGCATCCCAAGCTGGCTGCTCAGCACGTCAACAACAACCGGCTGGAGAAGTTGCTTCTCAGCGACCAGCTGACGATCCAGATGAAGAAGAACATTTCTTTCCCTCTCAGATCGTTCGCCGAGCATGAGATTTCCTTCGCGCCTACCTACAAGTTTGATGTGGGCACTGACACATACGACTCTAGTGAAAAGAAGCGAGTTCCTTCGTGGTGCGACAGGATCTTGTACAGGGGTCATGTTGACTGTTTGAAGTACGATTCTAAGGTGGTACGTCTGTCCGACCATCGTCCTGTCATTGGCCAGTTTGATGTCAAGGTCAAGCGGATTGATGCTGATAAGTACGAAAGGATCAGAGCCGAGGTCAGGCAGGAGCTCGACAAGGCTGTATATTAATTTATTCGATGATTTTTAGTTAGATGAGAGTATAGGACACGTGACTGTTCGACAATCTCACCGGGTGTTACAATGTTACAGACAACCATTGACTTCTTTGCTGACTTCTTACTCGTATCTCAACTCTCAGCAGGCCAAGTCAAGGACCTTACCATTTATTAGCAGTAGACACTTGCAAGTTTGAAGGAGGCCTGGCTGTCGTGTGTTCTCAAGAGCAATGTTTTAGTGATCCAGCACCCAAAGAGATATCAATTGGACCCCAGTGGTCACATTAGGAGTATCAATGCCGTTGATGTTGCCAGTTATACTTCTTGGAACGTAAAACTCACCATTAGGGACTCTGATAGACGCTCTGACCAGTTTTTGTCAGTCTATTGCTTCTCAATCACACCATTCCCGTTCGAGGACCAGAGAGTGGATGATTCTGTGTCTCAAGTATTCTTTCCCAACATGGATATCAGCAGCGCTCCACAGTGTTTCACTGCGGATCGACTACAGCCAACAAAGGAGTTGAGTTGTCCCGTTTGCTTATCATCGAACTTCAGAGCATTACTGGACCTAAAGTATGTGCGAGTACAGTAGAAGTACGAATAGATCTCCCTTGGAGACTCGTTTGTTCAGTACGAGCTGCCTATGTGGTATGAACTCGACAACAGCTTGGTCTTGGAGGGGCTGTTCAATGAGGAGGGCAGAAGGGAGAAGCTATTGGCGTTGAAGATTCTCCCTTCTGCTACAAGGGCCCCTCTCCCTTCCACTTTTCGTTGATATGCCGTAGTGATCTGCAACCCTCGATATGCCTGACCAATAGCTCCAAGATCTATGATGGAAAGATCGGTTCAATGACGGACGTCTATAAACGGAATGCAACGTCATCTGTATCACTCCAAGTACCGGTACGAGTACGATTGTGGTTGTTGATACTGTTGGGTCCATACTATAGTCTTTCCACAAGGAGTCTTATCACAGCAACTCAGGCAAGACACCCCTATTAATGAGCGCCAAGAGTTGGGGACTTTGAATCCAGCACGAGTCGAGTCCTCTCTATCTATTGGATGTCTGTGATAATTCTGTCATTTTCATTGCGCCTCTACAAGTGGCACATTTTGCCGAAAGCGACAGAGCTGACCCCCACAAGGCGCCGGTGAATCAGGGATCTCTTGGCATTAATACCTCATCGATGTGCTCCGGTGATCAAGCGTGGGACAGAAGTCACCGCGGGTCTCTCACTCGCTCTAGAGAAGGGTATCTACAACCCAAGTATCGCAAGGTTCGATTACTGAGCTCCCACAAGTACTGTAGTTGTCATGCGGCTTTTAACTCAAGGACCCACCCAACTCAGTTTTACGCTTGATTTTAACGTCCTTGGTGTGAGTTTATTAGGAGGGGGACAGAGAAGAAGAAGACAGTAACGTCGTCGACAATGGAGATACGCTCAGATCATGTGTGAGAAAGTTGGAGATGTGGGTTCTGTGAGCAATTTGCATCTTTTAAAACCGCGCCATCTTGCCAACCGGCTCCTACAATCACCCCCTCAGTGAACCCCCTGCTACCTGCCGTCAGATTAGCTGGCTTTGTTTCAGACTGAAACTGTGGGCGGTCCTTAGCGTCCTCCGAACGGATTCAGTGCAAACAGACGCCGCAGATGAGATTGATATGACAAGAGGACTTTGGCGGCGGGAGTTTGTGTCATCACTCACACCAGAAGCCTCGTTGTTTCCGAGTGGCATTTCCCCTATCCAATCAGAAACGCTCTTGGCGTACGGCGGCGGGCCCTGAAAAAGGGTACAGCGGTCCTGTATGGAATACTTGGCCGTGCATGGACAATACAGCAAGCGAGTGATATATCGCATGTACTAGGATACTGGCCGTTGGTCCCCGCCATAGTGTAACTCCAATGCAACTCCAGTGCAACTACAGAGCGTTCCGGGTCGCATTTTGTGTCTCAGATAGACGCCGTTTTCCGGCGTTTGACGGTCTCTTAAAACACACTTTCATCTCGCTTAGCCTTGTCCCTGTGATAATCGACATGGCGAATCATTTTTCACGGCGTCCAAACTGTATTTGAAAATGTGCCTTGAGTCTTGGGGAGGAACAACGGGGCCCAGGAGGGTAGATGGGGGGCACAAAAATGATACCCTCGTGGTCGTGTGACAATGAGGATTAAATCGGCTGTTTTATCTTTTCAATGTCGCAGCTATTACGCAAACTGAAGACCCCTTCCTCAACAACAGCTGCCACTTTAGCTCTGGGCTTTGAGTGCAAGTGTGCGGGTTGAGACTGCAAAACCAGCACAAGTATAGGCGGTGCTCACCTCACAAATCCGAAGAAATGACAGATCGAAACGTTTTCGGGTCCGCCATAGCATCATAGCGCCCCGCTGGTCCGTTGTTAGATCGGCATTAGCGCCTCCATCACACATGCTACGCCGCATTGTTATCGACAAGCTGTCTTTGACTCTTTTCCCTTGGCCTCCCTCTGCTGTGTAATTAGGTACCGTCAATTTTCTGCGTGCGCAAACCTAATTATTCATGTGACGGAGAATGGGTGTAGACGTTGCTATTTGGTTTTCAAAGGCGGATTTTCGCAGTAAAAAGACCTCCAGCGGGATTCTTGGGGTCTTATATACCTCCAGTAAAAAGCACTAATCTCCACACAGTCTCTACCCCCCTCCACGCACTACTGCACCCTGCACCCCGTTCCGCGCTATCACTAAACTCTGTTTAACCAAGAGACGATATTAATAAAGCCCCGGAGAGCGAACCCTGCACTGGCTACACCATCATGTTTCTGGAGAAATTCGCCCTGGAAGTTCCCCAGGGCGCCGCCTACGAAAACACCGTGTGGACAAATCGCGACCTTGTCCCTATACCCGCGGAAAGACGCACATGGAACGCTTGGGGATACATTGGATACTGGACGGTCGGAGGAAGCTGTGTGACGGCCTGGACGTTGGGCTCGACCATGTTGGCCCACGGAAGCAATGCGCCGCACGCCATCGGGGCTTCTGTGATTGGAGCCTTTCTGACGGGGCTTCTGGCGGTCGGAAACGGCCTCGTGGGAGATAGACACCATATTGGATACACCGTGAGCTGCCGAGCAACGTTCGGCATGCGGGGCTCGTATATTCCCATCGTGTTGCGATGCTGTATCACATCTGCGTGGTTTGGACTGCAAGCATTTTGGGGTGGTCAGGCCGTCAAGGCCCTGATCGGGTCAATGATCCCGGGCTTCATCACAGGCGACCTGGATAACCTCTTTTCCGAGTCCTCACATCTCGCCAAGAACGACTTCATCGGCTTCTGGATATGGATGGTCTTCTTCGTGTTCATCCTCTTCTTTCTGCCGCCCGAGAAGATGCAGGTCCCGTTCCTGTGCTCCTTCTTGTTGCTCATGATGTCGTGTTTTTCATTGCTAGGATGGACCGTGGGGCTTGCGGGTGGCGCAGGACCGCTCTTCTCTAAAGACTGGAAGCCAGAGGTACACAAAAACCGAGCTGTCGGCTGGACAATGATATTCGGCGTATCTTCTGTTCTGTCAACATGGGGAACCGGATGTTTGTCCCAGAGTGACTGGACTCGATACGCACGCCGACCTAGTGCTCCCCGCTGGTCGCAGATGCTCGCTGCACCCCTCACAATCATCTTGACCGCCTCCATGGGCATCATTGTGACCTCTGCATCCATGGTCATCTTCAACGGCAAAATCTATTGGAACCCCATCCAGATGCTGCCCTTGCTGCAAAAGCACCTCGACCACTCCGCCAAGTCACGAGCCGGCGTGTTTTTCATCTCTCTTGGCTTTGCGGTCTCTCAGCTGGCCCTGGCTCTTGTTCTCAACTCTGTATCCACAGGTATGGATCTTGCAGGACTGTTCCCCAAGTACATCTCCATCACCCGTGGAGCCGCCTTGATGGTCATTATCGGAATCGCAATTCAGCCATGGCAGCTCGTGGCCAACTCTGCAAAGTTCCTGACGGTCCTGGCAGCGTTTGGAGTGTTCATTGCTCCTATTACTGGTGTCATGATCGCTGACCTGCTCGTGGTGCGACGAAACAAGTTTGTCATTTACGACCTTTTCCATACTATGCAATCAGAAGAGGAGGAGTCTAACACTGCCGACGGTAAGTCGATCTACTGGTTCTTCCACGGCTTCAACGTGTGGAATCTCATTTCCATCATCTTAGGCATGTGGCCCATGATTCCAGGGCTAGCCAATGCCGGCATCATGTCCTCAGATGAGCGACACTACAAGCATCCGGAGATCCCAGAGCCGCTGCCGTTGTCGTGGAGACGAGTTTACAACATTGGCTTCTTTGTGGGCTTTGCCATCTCTTTCACAATGACCTGCGTCGGGGCCTTCATTTGGAAGCCTCCTGGGGTGGGTAAGCATTCGACATGGTGTTCCGGCGACGAGACAGACTCGGACAAGGAGATGAGCTACGAGGAGCCGATGATGGAGGCAGTGGAGACAAAGTAGGATCAGGATACAAGTAAGCATACTAACAGCGTTGCCAAGGAATCACCGAGGCACGTAAAACACTGGCGTTTAGCATTAATATATTATATTGATTTATTGTATAGACGGGAGGGCAGCAGTGATTAGTTGTTATATCTCACAGTTGAGACAATTTGAACATTGTTTTGGTCATCCTTAGTCACTTTCCACGGCGGTATTTACCATGTGCGTTAACCTCAGGTTAGTAGAGCTGTAAGAGCTGTCTTCAGCTTCACAAAATGCCGATTACAGCGAGGAAGTTACTCGAAACAGTCGGGGGAAAGAGGTGGACAAAATAAAAGACCTAAGGAGATGGGTCTGAAGTGTGCGCCAGCTTCCACGACGCCCGAAAGTGTGCAAGCAACCACGACGCTCACGAGGAAGATCCCTGCACTTGTAAGACAATTGTCTCCTCTCAAGAACGACATTTGCAAATGTCTCATTTCTCTTCAAAATGAATACAAGGTGCAACTTCGTTCGGTCGAGTTATCCCAGGATTTTCATCGCGGAGGCTTTTCGAAAGAAGCCATCCCAGCTTGGCCTATCCCTACTCGAAGGGATGTTTGCGATAGATTCTAAGCAATTTAAGCAACTACTTCGCACCATTGAGAAGACGGCTCTGAGCTTCACTCCTGGGGCGACTGTGCTTTGGAGTTTTCCGGACGTCAGCAGAACAAGGAATGGACCATGGTTACTGAATACTCTCTGAAGGGATGAGCTCTAACCTCCAGGAGGACAATATCACCCAAAGATACCCATTGGCCCTCCTAGGTTCACTAATCTGAGGTCCACGGAGGATTCTTCTCTCTGGAACATTGACTTGATCGAAAGACGCTCAAATACACCCCAGCTTTCGTGAGTAGGCCCCGAAACCCGTATTAGTCATTGTTTTGATGATCCTGCGGGCATCTTTGTTCAATTTCAGGACTGTCAGCTGGTGAGCATCTCAAAGATGGTCTCAAATCACGAGACATTCGTCCCTAGCAGTAACGAAACTATACGTTACGAAACTAAACGGTTGTATGTGGCTCCGCGAACGTTTCCGGACCACGGATTGGGACGTGGATTTGAGGTCACCTTTGATCCTTCACTCGACCATAAATCCCTTATGAAGCGCCGATTGTTCTGTGGTAAAGTAACTCTGGAGTTGGTAGTTTTACCGCATCTGTGTTGTCTTTGCACCACAACCGGTTTGTCAAGATGAGATAGGCTTGTGATTCCTGCACTCAGCGCGTGTAGGCCCTTTCAATGGTCTAGGGTAGACCCCAAGACCGGGTGCTGCGTTGCTACTTTGTCTATCTGGACAGCGACACCTTTGATCATCGTGAAGATCGAGCCATTAACACTAATGTTTGCTTTCAATGGGCCCTTCCAGCAGCAGTTGTAACTCGAGAAGAGAGAGCTACGAACCTGGTGCCCTAGAGCATGATGCCTTGACCCGCCAATCTCCCACCACTGAATAGGGCAAGCAGTTCATTCCCGGTCGCCTCGACTGTGAAGCTGCAGCTATTCTGTTTTGAACAGGTGTAGCACACAGTTGGTACAGCTAATGGGCGAGACCCTATGGTTCAGGATGAGTATGATGTTGGTGATGCTTAGATCTAGTTGATTGGCCTGTTCAGTTCCAGATACTCAGATCTCTGTCGGATTTTGTGTGGACACAGTACAAGTTGGAATACTGCGTACGTACGGGACTTGTCCCTGTTGGGCTAGTCTCAACGTTATTAGCCACATTTTGAACTGAAATTTGGGCGAGACTCAGCCGAGTATGGTCTTTTTGGGTATCCATCGATTCAACTACCCATAATAATACCATTCAACCAATACACGCACAGTAAACAGGGGCAAAGAGACCATCCAAATCGCACTGACTCGTTGCTCCGAATGTTACACAGCAAGACCCACTTTGATTGCGTGCATATATCTATCATGAGAGTCTAGACCACAGTTGTGCATACAGGACTAGAGGCTGGATGGAGGACCGCGGGAGATGGCGAGTGGTTTTATGCAAGAGAGTTTGGTCTTATTTGATTGGTTGGAAGAAATGGATATTTTCTAATGTTACTCACCGGCGCCCTTTTTTTTGTCTCGGTCAATCAATGTCAGCGTTGTAGATCTCCAGCTTGACGGAACCGTTGAAGCCGCATCTGTCATGTGTGGCGTTAGTCATTGATGTGGCGGTGCACTTTAGGTTGGAACATGTCGTCTTCTCCACACCTTATATATATAGGGTGAGCAATCGACACACTGACCACAGCACACACTCGCTGAACACACGAGACACAACACACACAACAGATACAATGTCCCTGCACCCCGAAGTTGAAGACTGGCTTGGAAAGTACCCCGAGCCCCAGGGCATTGCTCCCATCGTCCAGAAGGAGCAGGTTCTGGAGTGGCTGCAGAGCGGCGATAACAAGGAGATGATTATTGATCTGCGAAAGCACGACTTCAAAGGCGGCAAGATTAAGGGCGCCCTGTGTCTCCACTACACCGGTGTCTACAACTCCATTGAGGACATTTACCAGCTGTGCAAAAGCGCCGGCAAGACCAAGATCATCATCCACTGCTGGTCGTCGCGACAGCGAGCTGTCAAGACCGCCGGCTGGTTTTTTGATATCCTCAAGGCCCACAACGACGACTCCATCGAGGTGTTTGTGCTGGAGGGCGGCATCAAGGGCTGGGTCGAGGGTGGAAAGAAGTACACCGATCTGATGATTGAGTTTGAGCCTACTGCTTTCTGCTAGATGTGAAGCGCCACGATGCCATCAACGTCCATGAGCATAGCTACAACAGTGCCAATGGCACTGTTCAATCCCATAAGCAGCGGTGTATGTTTGACCAACGCACTCGCTACCTTCTAATGTGAATGTGAATATATGAAATGTCAACAGAATCGAGTATCAGTGATGTTTCGCAAGTGTCCTACTTGTACTACGGAGGCGACAACCTGAAAACAGGCCAGGAGGACGATGTAATGGCATTTGTGCGTCACAGATTATTGTGCTGTAATGGTCTGTGTCCCCGTTGTTCCTGTATTGTACCCGTACTGTAAGATCGATGATGGTCTGGTGTGTTAGTTTGACTGGAGTGTTGAAGAAGTACAAGTACAAGTACAGTACATACTGTACCAGCTGTAGATGTGCTCTGTTTACACCCTTAGACTTGTTCCCGTACTTCACCATTTATTTGGGGTATTGGGCTGTCTAAGAAGTGAAAGGCATCCCTGCATAATCCATTGTAGATCTTGAAGTCTTCGTTTCAAAGATCCTGCAGATGTGTTGTCTCAGAGTATCAAGACAAACCGGTAGAATATGGAAAAGGAATAGCTCAACAGGCTCGTTGTATACGAGGTAGCCCATTCAAGACGCGCCAAAAAAATGATATCCGTGAGATTCGAACTCACGCCTCCGAAGAGACCAGGAAATTCGTTAAGGTATTAGCCTTAACCTGGCGCCTTAGACCGCTCGGCCAGGATACCCCAAAATATACGTGTAAAAATCCCCTGTTTGTCAGTATTCAAATTCCGCTGTAAAAATGCAGCGTTCACCGAAACGATTTATAAGTGTATGATTTATAGAACGCCAATAACCCGGCTTACCATTGAAGGTAATACTCGGTAGGGTAATACCTGGCTAGTTCCTCACATAATGATGAGAAGTCATCACATGTGGTGAGAGAAACCAGCTTGGTCGTAGACGAGATGTCCATCCTGTAGATAGTTTTATCCACTGATCTAGAATCTCTTTCTGGTGAGTGAGCAAGCACTCACCCTTCTGGTGTGTGCTACTATCGGAACGTGGTGTCCCTAGAAGTGGGTTGTAAGTTGTTAACTACATCTAATCAATAATACTTATGATCTTCAATACTTACTAGGCACAGTATATAGCTGTAATGAATCATTAGAAGAAGAAAAAATCAATATTTATGCATATAATAATTATATTACGAGTCTCTTGAGTCTGATAAGACTTCTACAACATTGCTACCTCTTCTGAAAATTCTGGATATATACCAGCTAGGCAACATCTAAGTTCCAAAAATGGGAAATAAAAATCAATTAAAATTGAATAAAATTGGAGGAAGTCAGTTAAAATTCTTAACAAATAGTATATCCGTATTTGAGAGGGTAGAAGAACATCAACGAGAACCAAATACCCATGTTATAGCAGAAAAAATCAGTCATTTTTTATATCTAAAAAGAATTCTTCTGTCTAACAATTCTTGTGAACACTGAACCGTCAGGAAGCCGCTCAAGAACCTCTACATGTTTGAAATTGCCGAGCTTGGGCCAGATGACCGCCCACCAGAAGTAATAGAGACCACAGACAGCAAGAATTGCAATGCCCACAATGCAATAGGTCGCGTAGAAGAACGAGACATCTCCTCCGTACTTTCCTCCGGGAGGAGGGATCCAAGGAGCAACCAGGAGGAAGAGGGATACTCCCAAGTAGAGGTACAGAACACAATCCCAGGCCTCAAAAGGTGCACTTGGGAGGCCCTGGGTTCGTCTTCGCTTCCGGATTAAAAACAGACCAATTACCAGTAATACCAGGAAGACGTTGCTGGGATATGACTGCAAGTCGATAACAAAGTTGAACGCGTCTCCTGGAGGAGGGACCATGATGACAATGATTGTGAGCAGTAACTTGACCAGTAAAGGTCCTGCAGGTGTTCCAAATGCCCAAGTGTTTGTCCAGAAGGCAGGATAGGGGAGGACTCCTTGGCGTCCTACTTCTCTGACGACTCTAGAGTGTCCAATTGTAACAGACAGGAGGTTTCCAAAGGAAGAGATGGCAATCAAAGAGGGCAAGATTCTTGTTGTCGACTCATCTCCGTACACTTTGGTGAAGAAGAGAGCTGCAGTCAGTAGTTTCGAGTCTTTGATCTCCTGTTTAGGGATTGCAGCAAAGTATCCAACAGCACAAACCATGTACAAAACCGAAACCAGAGCAAGGGCTATTGATCCGTAGATCTTGACAGTCTTAACTGGGTTGGGGATCTCATTAAGCACGTTATTGGCATTGTTCCAGCCCGCAAACGAGAAAATTACCTTCACCAGAGCCGCAGCCCAGACGTTCGGTGATGTGGAAGTTCCAGAAAATGGGTTTTTGAAGTTGTCGAGTGGTTTTTCAATCTTGGTGACTCCGGAAATAACAGCCAGACCAGTGGTTGCGACGAAGATGAGAATTCCCACCTTGATATAGGCAATGACCGACTGCAAACGCATGGACCACTTGGTGTCAACAATAGCGATGATGCAGACGGCCACAGAGGTAGCCACAGCCACAAATTGCTCCATTCCGTCTGTATGTTTGATGTTAAGAGATACCATAAAGTACTGAGCGAAGACAATGGCGTTTGATGCTGAGTAGCTCAGAAGAACTGTGCAAATAGCAAATGTCACAGGTACCATGAACTTGGGTCGTGGATATGCCTTTTCCAGATACACCACTTCTCCCCCCGATCTGCTGGGATACAGAGAGGCGAATTCGGTGTAAAGCGAGAACCCACAGAAGGACACGACTATGCCAAACATCCATAGAACCAGAGAGGCTCCTATCGAGCCTACCGAGTTGAGAATTGTTCCTGGCGCCACGAAGATGCCAGTACCGATCATCTGGCTGAAGTTGAGGGCCACAACCGTCAATGGTCCCACATGGCGACCTAGAGGAGATACAGATTCGCTTTTTCCATCGGCTTCTGGGTCGTGGGTGTTCCTGCCTTCCACAATTCCTCTCACCAAGGGGGTGGATTCTGTTGTGAAGATTGGGGATTTTGAGATGGAATTTTTTGAAGATGACGACGCTGCTGACGCTGAGGAGGCGCCCGAGTCTCTCCTTGTTTCTATGCCGTCGATAATTGACATTTTGGAGTAGTGTTGTGAAAAAGAGCCGTGCGTCTCTCCACCTGCTTATCTTGCATCATCTACATGCACAAGTGGCTTGATAACGCTATTAGTGATAAGCCACGGAGATTTGTCATGGCTTAGTGTGCAGACTTGGGAGGCACGGAAAGACAGGGAAAACGAGGAGAGAATCGGATATGACTGGAGGGGGGTCTGCTGACTAAGGCCAGAAAGAAGGATTCTTGACGTCCAGATGAAATTCATACTGCTCTATTTGGCTTTCTTCATGATCGTCTTATGAAATGCCATCATGGAGACTCTACAACATATACTTTGCCCCTGTGTTTAAATAACGGAGGTTGAGACGGTTATTTTGTGGCTTCTCTTTCAGATCAATGGTTTATCAACTTGGTACAACTACTCTACCCATATGGTACCCGTATGTACTAAAGGCACCTGTCTCGACATTTGCAACGGCCTAAAAGTAGAGGATTGAACACCGGGAGTTGTATTAGTCGGGGTGGAAGGTTGAAGTCTGAAGTGTGCAATATGTCGTCGTCTCCAGTTCAAACTGTGCCCATATATTCCCTCTAGTGATAGTCTGTAAGAATCAAATGTGTGTAGCCTGAATAATCTTGTAGGGTTATGAAGACTATGTCATGTAGGAACAGAAGAATAACTACAGGAGAAATACTTACAGCTACTTGTAGTATCATGAACAAACCTATCAGGAACGAACCTCCCCTGAACAACCTTCCTGTTTATGGCTTTTATGGCTTTTTATTTGGTCCTGACCATTCTACATATAAGCACGAGGAATATTTACATCACACTCCCTGTTACGACAAGACGTTGATATCGCATAGCAAGTGAGGAAGAGAAGCCCAGTGAAGTAAACTGCTGTATCTGAATGTGATAACGTCGTCTCGAAAAGTGACTGCAGTATGTACTTGTAGCTCAGAATTTTTATATATACAAGTACAAACTGTAGCAAGTGTATACTTGTGTAAGCTGAGAACACCTGGTTAAACAGTTGTTGTCAATAGTATATACAGCCTTAGGAAGTATTGATGTATTGATGTAAAAAAAATAGAGTACAAGTACAAGTACTCCCAAGTACAAGTACTCCCACTTGTACTTGTACTTGTACAGTTGATTCATGTATACTACAGATATCCCATCCAACAACTCGTTGATTACTCTATATACCCGTTCCACCTTCAAGATCAAATTGTTGTTCATATGTATGGGATTAGATATAGTCAATGGAACGCCTTACAGCCCACTTCTGAGAACACCACGTCCGAGAGTAGCACAAACCAGAAGGGTGTGGGCTTGCTCATTCGTCAGAAAGAGATTCTGACAGACATCTCGTGAATTACCGTCAATTACCTTCAAACTTCAAAAGATGCTGTACCTCTTGAAATACTCCCGGAATCACAACTACCGTCCTCGTCTCCCCTCATCCCTCCAGATAAACAAATGCATATAGTATATACCTCCCGATAATTAAGCAAAGCTGACGCTCTTCTTCTTGGAATTTCCCTTGCCCTCCTCCTTCTTCTTGAGCTCCTCCATCTTCTTCTGCACTTTGTCAGCACTCTTGCCTCGGCTGGTCTTTTTGATTTCCTTCTTCTTCTGCTCGATCTCGGCCTCCTTCTCAGCCTCTCGCTTCTCAATCTCCTTTCGCTTCTGTTCTCGGATCATCTCCAGCTGACGGGCCTTTTCCAGCTTACTGGCGTTTCGAGAGTCAATCTTCTCGTTGACAATGCTAACTAACAGGTTCATTTGGTCGTTATCCACAAACTTCTTGCCCTTCTTGCCTCTCAGTGCCTTCTTGGCTCCCTCGGGATCGATGGCCGTGTTCAATTTGGGGATTCCCAGTTCCTTTTCTGTGTACACTCGGGCCTTCTTGACCTTGGGCTTGCCGTTGTCTTTGGGCTTGGCCACCCGGTTCTTGAACTTGCGGGGCTGCTCGTTGGCGTTGTCGTAGTTTTTCGAGGTGTGTGCGAGCTGGTTTCGAGCCTTTTTGTCGCCGAAAACCTCACTCTTGACCTCTCGCGCGCCGGCGTTCTCCTTTCGAAATCGTTTGGGGACCATGGCGTGTGTATGAGATGTATAGGTCTGGTGCTCTGGTCGAGAATCGAAATCTACGGCTCGTGCATGCACAATTTTTTTAAGGTTGGAATAATTTTATGAAGATAATGTATGTGGCGTGAAGAGTTTGTGTGTTCAATTCCGATAGATGCGATTAAAGAAATTTACTTTGTAATTATGTCAATTGGTAAACCAAGACCAATCTGCTAGTCTAGATACCAAGCGTAGACGGTATGGCAACCGCCCTCGATCCCCTTGACATACGCCCATCCTTCGTCCATCTCGAGATTCAACAGATTCACATTGACACCATCGACAGTCATCTTCAGCTGCTTACCGAGAATGAGAGGGACACAAATTTCGCCAATAGTCCCTGGAGTAGACTTTACTGCAATCTGGAGCAGGTTCTTCGAGTCCCGCTTCCACCCTCCAACGAGATACCCTGTCTTGGCCGAAGTAAACCCAGTAATGCAGAAATCCAAATCAGCCAGAGTAGGCTGAAGAGTCCAGGTCACGTGGTTGGGGTTGGTGAAGCGCAGTCCACAGATTTTGTAGCTGAGAAAGCTCGTGGGACCTGTAGACCAGGGGTGGCTGTGGCTGATGTAGCTGCTGTCATGCTTATCGGACGGATAAGAGCAGGTTCCGTCCTTATAGAAGCCCTCCACAAGACTGGATTCGACACTCCAGGGCGCAGACAGAGCGTAAGACCAGGTCTGGCGAATAAGAGCTAGTGCTCTAAGGGTTCTTCCAGCTTGGTGATGAGCCATAACCTCAATACCACTGATAAATGTGCTGATCATGCCGTTACTCTCAGGGTTGATAGGTCCAAATTGGTTCCAACGAGCAAAGAGCCTCTCAGAAACAGTCTTTGACCGTTCACTATCACACACCCCATAGTAAATTACCAGGCAGTTGCCATCTTGGGGGTAGAGTGTTGACGAGAGGTTATCTTTGAAGAGACCTTTCTCTGCGTCCCAGAGCAGCTCGTTGATACGCACGTGCAGACTCTCAGCGGTATTGATCCAGATAGCTAGTTGAGCTTCAGGCTCTCCCAAGAGGTTGCCAATCTCGACCGAGCACACTAAGCAGGCATAAAGAAGCACGTTCAAAGAAAGAGAATGACCCTGAAGTACAGACCGGCCCCAATCAAGACCACAAACAATCTTGGCCAGTCCGTAGTCAGAGTCGATCCAGCTCATACCCAGTTCCACTCCCTTTTTGAACGGAACCCATAATTCTCGCACTCGCTGGAAATCTCCACTGTGTTGCCACAGCTCATACAAGCCCAGTAACCCCCACAAGTGGAAGGTATCGGAGCCGTAAAGATCAGCAGGCTTGCAAGCGTAAGGAAGACGTCCATCAGGCTGTTGGCCCGCAAAAATCCAATCAATTGCAGTTGCGGTGGCAGCCGAATTGACACCTCCGAAAGCACAGTGGTAAACTGAAGTGCTAATGAGCCGATCACCAGACCAGACGCTACGGTCTCGCTTTGCACCGTCAGTAAGCACCTCCAGGCCCTGACTTACATGACCAGAATTGTCCCATCCACGAGATTTGACGACGTAGTCACTCTTGCGACCCTGGACTGACGATATGGTCGCAAGCTGGATAGTGTAAGCTCCAGCGTACCAAATTTTGTTCAGCAGAGGATCACTGGAGTGGAAAAACCCAGAGTATTTGTTGAGGGAGGCAGAAGAAGGCATCTGGGTCATGTTGCAAGACACAGATGTCACATGTGCAATGCAGTCACGGGTTTTGCTCGCTACAAACACTGTCAGGTATCTAAATGCTCCTCTCAGCTTCTCCACAGGCATTGTGTATTCGGAGATGCCTGGGTATACCTCGACAGTCACGTGGCCATCGGTGACCTTGAAGTCGACAGATTTGTCCGAGTTTCTGCCAACGAAATCGCTTGATTCGGAGAAGGCGAGTCCCAGAATTGTCTTTGAGCTTCTGGGTCCAAATTTGAGAGTGACGACTCCACAAATGTTTTGGCCGAAATCAAACGTGATGAGACTATCAGCGGAGGTAAAGAGACAGGAGCCAAGATTGGTGTCACGAGAGGAATTGTTTTTGGGACTGTGGAGCGTGTGGAAGCTCTGGGAGGAGGGTTGATCGCGCGGTTGGCAGAGGGAAGTTGCTCCTGCTACAGTTCCCTCTGTTTTGTGGATTCTCACTGGGAAGGCTGTTCGGGTAGCTGGGGAGATGTTGTTTTGTTGCCAAGGTTGGTCCGAGGGTGTTGCTTGGAACACGAGCTCGGAGAAGGTCTTTGCTTTGTACATTGTCCTGGAGTCCGAGTGAATCAAGTGTCAATTGGATAGAAAAGGACCCTTAGGAGCGAGTAGTGTCGACGTGGCTTTCTTGAGAAGATGACAACCGAATTGACGACAAGAATGGATGTAATTCGCAGATCGAAGATAGTCTGCAAGTAACGAGCGGGTTCAATAGTGATGTTAGTACTGTAGCGAGAGTCGAGGGTACTGTATTGTCGCAACAAAGGCCGTGTTCAGGTCGTCAGGCACAAATTAATTAACAACTCGGATGGTGTATGATTCGTTGTTATTACTGTAGTATCAGGGGCAGACTACAGTACTATCTCTTTAGCTCCTTGTTTCAACTATTGTCGGTGTGTTAGATGGATGTCAGGCTGAGTCGAGATTATTGTGGTCTCCCTCCTCTTGTCACTTGGTGAGTGGACCTGTCGCTGTCATTATGACACATTCCAGATATCTGCTTCGGACTACCACATTTCAGATCGAATCAGGCAAAGGATACACACCAAATATTACCTGATGCGCAGCGCAGAGGTGAAATATTATGTGTCAAGTTATGGCTATGCATGCAGGTGGGGTAGGAGAGACACACAGGTGTTGGTGGAGCGTAGAGAAGGGACAAAAGTTGTATGAGTGTGTTCAAATATTGAAGAAGGGTTTTGTGGGGTTTTTTCTTTCCCCCATAATACCAATTTCAAGCCATTTTGAAGGGTTTTCTTGACGCTCTATGTATATGATTACCCTCCACAGTATTGTCTGCTTCATGCTTGTTACTCCATGTTCATGGACAAGGGTACCCGGTCTGGGCATGTATCGTCACGTCAAATATCTGGAGAGAAGAGGGAGATCCAGGGTGAGAATTATAATGCCATCATTGACCACTCCAGCTCGAAACTACCTCCTAGGGTCTACTGTATCGCGCTACACTGGTGAGTAGTGCAGCACGTGCACCCAGAGCAGATTCAGGGGCTTGAAATACCATTCGAAGCAGACGCTGAGAACACGAAGAGTTGATTTTTTTTTTCCAAAGCCCCTGTATTGATGAAATTAAAGGGACAATGTGTCACTGCGGCTGGCAGAAGTTGTCGGAATGTGGCAGTCTCCCGGCCGGGCCCTGGTGTATCTTTACATCTACAATCCAGTGCTGGCTAGCTCGACTCGATGGCGCATAATTATTTCGAGGTTTGTCTAAGTAGTGTTTCTGGTGGTTTTTATAGCATCAAATATCTGCTCTAACCCTTTAAGAAGTTGGTAGCGGCTCTGACTCTCCAAAGACGTCTGGCACCTGTCACTCACCCTCCGCAGTATGTGCCTTGGTAAAGTACGAACCAAAACTCGTGTAGCTTCAAAGTACTTTTCCCCGTAGTACCATAGCTTGAAAGCACGTTTCTCTGTCCCGTTCGTGGTCCCTTTTTCAACCGAGATAATCGATCTGCCGTACATGTACATACCTAAGTGCGCTTATGAGGAACAACGAGGTCTCGGGAAAGGATTCTGAAAGCCGAAGTCACTCGACCGATTCGGATCACCTATACCCCTTTTATTGACAAGACTGCTCAACAGGATCTGACGCTCCCTGATGTTGTATTTGTGAGAAGGCTCAACAGGTCTATGATGTCAACTTACAGATATAAAGCGAGATAAGCCAGAGACGAGTGTTTAATCATCTGAGAATAGGGGTTCGGAATGCACTGAAAGCAAAGACCAAGCAAACTGACAGTACTGGTACAAGTACAGTAGTCCGTCTGGTCGGTCAACCATCTTAGAGCGCGTCTCAGTCACGTTCAATATCCACGCCTACTTATCACCACGCATTCTAACCCAACTGGTGTCCATATCTCAACATATCTGTACGAAATACCCAGATTTTATTATACCATTCAACTCTTCTAATCAGTGTCATCATTTTGATCTATCTGACTCCCTCAAATGAACTTATATCAGCGTCCAATTTCCCGTGCTACTCTAGCCACAGCTTTGGACTTGACGGTAATTTGAACGAGAGCGCGTCCTGCTCTGAGACCACTCCAAAACCGCCAAAACCGTCAAAATAAATAAATAAATAAATAAATAAAGGTGGCCAATTAGTTACACTCATGCAACTCCCCCAACCTCTACACAACACTTCAGGTCCGGTCCCCCTACAAGCACAAGTGGTACTCGCAGTAACAGTTTACTGTTACCATGGCAACCTTATCACTGGTGCCGGAACCTAATGTCCGTCCATGCCGAACCCCTCAAAGTGAGTCACGAGTGGACCCCGTCGATACAACGGGCCAAGTGGGTCCGTTTTTGACAGGGAGCAAGCGATATATACATTGTCGAGGTCATGTGACACAAACCACTGACCCCAAGAGTCCGTTTTACCGGTAGTCACGTGTACCACCTCTCCACGTCCCTTTACTCTACCCACCCAACCTCGTCAGCGTCTCACGAGGTGGAGTAGGTTGGGGTGCATTTGACGGCTCGGGTCGTGTGTCTTTTTGCATTATCGGCTCTGATCAGACCTTGTCTTCTACACCGCACCTTCACACAAGTCTACACCGCACACTGGTGTCTGGACCAAACAAGCCCAGCCCTCCCACCTGCCCAGTAAGCCTGCACCTCACTGTACCCCTCTATTCCCAAACCAGCATCCTTCCGGCCACAACCTAAAAAATGGAGACTCCAAGCCTGGCCCAGAGCGATTCCAGCGGAGTCAGTCTGTTGCAACTAGCTGGAGACATTGAAGAGACGCCGAGAGTAATGACTATTGGCAGTGCCAGAGACACAAATCCCACCGACACATGCGCAGACGATGCCCACAGACCCAGCACCAACACATCCACTAGCCACCCCCAAGACACCCGCTACAACAGTAACCTGCGACTTGAAACCGCCAACACAGACAGCTACGTGAGCGTTTGTGATCTCGACAACTACGGAACGGCCTCCTTGCGACACTCGCCTTCTCGTGACACAACTCTCGACCCTACATACACCACCAGACACGATATTACCACGGTCACCACCCCCCACACTAGCCACACGGAAACAAGCCCGCTGCTCAAGAAACCCACCTCCATGACTACCGACGTTGCCGACTCGGAGGAAGGCGAAATCATCTCGCTCCCAGACCTCCCCGAAGACGTGCCCCACATCTCCGATAAAATCCCCTACTCGGCCTATCTGGTGGCAGTAGTCGAGCTCTGTGAACGGTTCACCTACTACGGACTCTCGGGTCCCTTCCAGAACTACATCCAGAACCCGCGGGAGGGCCGACTACCTGGAGCCCTCGGCCTGGGCCAACAAAAGGCCGTGGCTCTCCTCTATGCCTTCCAGTTCTGGTGCTACCTAACCCCCATTTTCGGAGCTATCATTGCTGACTCATACTGGGGCAAGTACAAGACAATTCTTCGGTTCGCCATCGTCAATGTTATTGGCGTCTTTGTGCTGGTGATCTCTTCTCTTCCCGTCAACATTGACAACGGATGGGCTCTCCCAGGCCTGCTGCTGGCCATGGTCATCATCGGACTCGGAACAGGAGGAATCAAGGCCAACGTGAGTCCTCTGATTGGAGAGCAGTACCGAAACGAAAAGTACAGACTCGTCTATACCAAGAACGAGTCTCAAGCCATTATTTCCCCTGTCGTCACCATCCAGTCCATCTTCATGATCTTCTACTACTGCATCAACATTGGCTGCCTGGCCCCCATGATTACATCTTACGTGGAAATGAAGGTCGACTTCTGGGCTGCTTATCTCATCCCTGGCGTCTTTTTCTTCTTTGGAATGGCTGCCCTGGTTATGGGAAGAAACATGTACTACTGCGCTCCTGTCAAGGGAAGTGTTGTTCCCGATGCCGTGGCTGTCTCTTGGATGCTCTTCAAGGAGAGAGGCAACAAATGTGACACTGAGACAAGCGCTCTCCCACGGGACACCGATGCTGAATCTTCCTCTCGTACCTCCCAAGAGTCTCTGCTCTCCCAGGACCTTGAAACTTCCCCCGAGTTCATCTCCTCCGTCGACACCACCATCTCTCCTCGAGCCATGTACGTTTCCAAGGCCTCGGGCAACAAGTATTCTGCTTCCTTCGTGCAGGATATCATTGTCACGCTCAAGGCATGTCGGGTATTCCTCTTTTACCCCGTCTACTGGCTTGTTTACGGCCAGATGACATCCAACTTCATTGCTCAGGCTGGTCAGATGAATACCTACTCCATTCCCAACGACATTATGAGCAACATTGACCCAATCACCCTACTTCTGTTCATTCCCATTGTTGAGAAGAAGTTATATCCCTGGTTGCGATCTCGAGGCTACTCGTTTGGTCCTCTTGCTCGAATCTTCACTGGCTTCTTGTGTGCTGCATTGGCCATGGTCTGGGCCTGTGGAGTGCAGGTGTTTATCTACCGAGGCCAGGCAGACACAAAGATTGACGAGGTTGGTGTGGAGAACCTGGTATCTGTCTTCTGGCAGGTGCCTGCATACATTTTCATTGCATTTTCCGAGATTTTGGCCTCCGTCACTGGTTTGGAGTATGCATTCTTGAACGCTCCCAAAACGATGAAATCACTGGTTATGAGTGTCTTCCTTGTCACCAATGCTGGTGGTTACGCCATGGGTATTGTCATTAGTCCGTGGTTCAAGGACCCCTACATGGTGACTTGTTACTTCTGGATTGCCGCATTGACGTTTGCCACAGGAGCTCTGTTCCGATACTGCTTCAGGGACTGATGAGGTGTGAAGCACGAGCTCATCGGGTGATTACTCGCGTAGTAGCTGAGGACCACTGTTGCATTAAGCATACTTGTACTTAACATATTGCATTTGATTGACTGTTGGAAATATAGTCTCTTTCGATACTGTACAGCCGCCTGATACCCCACATGAAAGAACTCAGGCAACCTCTTTGCCAAGGGCCACCAAGTTGGGCAGGTGGAGGAGGTGCCGTCTGATGTCTCACTTCAAGGTTATCAGGGTTATCATTATCTGATGATCGGCAGGAATAGGATGGATAAGCGAGTGTAGAGGGGCAGTGTGGAGCAACCGAGCGGCTTTCGAGAGTGATACCGGCTGTTTTCGTGCTGACACCAACTGAGTTTCAATGTACTGCTACGAGTAGAGATGGTTATGAACAAGTTCAAGTTCAAGTACAGTACATACAATCGAGGACTGAGAAGATGAAGGGCGATACCCAAGCGAAGCTGGTACAAGTACTTGTACTGGCGGTTTGTATCAATCTGTTTGCTTGCTGTGGCTTGCATTTATGACGTCACCAAACGACGCGGCTCAAATTCTTGGAACATCTAAACTGCATTGATATGGATAAACAAATCACTCATGAGATAGAAAAGCCATAATTTTGAGTCAAGAGTCAAGAGCCAAGAGCCAAGAGCCAAGAAACTTGTACTTGGACTTGTACAAGTAGTGTGTGCGAATTTTCGACTCGTTCTTCAGTTATAAACCAGATACAAGTACATGTACTCGCACTGCTTCGATCTTCAGCCACTTGTAATGTACAATACAGACACGATTGTAAAAGTATAGTACACTGTACCAATACTTGGAAGTGTTTGTTCAAGCCTGGGGTACATTCATTCTTACAAGTCTCATGTTTAGACCTCCTCGAACCAGTCCCTAACCCTTTCTTTGTTGCAGTGCCGTATGGCTCAGGGCCCTGGATTTGTGGCTCAGCGCTGTGCTTGGCGGGTTTGTCAGCGGACGCAAATACGTCAAAATTCACTACAAACCCCGTAGAGCACGTCAATTCCGTTTCTAGCGAGCGTCCCGTCTAATGTGTGGAAGCAAAAACGGTGGGTACTCGGACTCCGAAGGGCTCACATCGGCTATTATTACAAGGCAAACCGAAAGCCACAATAACGCCCTATGACGCTCGAAAAAAGACAAAGGACCAATCAGTGGGGTATGCAGACAATGGAGACTCGGTATTTTTCGAACAGCTCCCCCACAAATCCCTAAATGCGTCGTATATCCAGATTCATAAACATGGCTTCCGAAACTCTATATGCCTCGAGAAAAACTCTTTTTGGAATGGAGATCCTGACGTATATTAAAAAGTTGACAGCAGAGGAGCATCTGAAGAGCGTTTGGCATGGCTCTAGAAACCCCTCTGAACGTCCCGGAGCCATCCTTTCGAGCAGGCAACCGTGTGGCGAACACGAAAAAACAAAAAACAACCCCCGTGGAGAAGAGACCTAAAACTAGGAACATGTGGAACCCACAGTTTACCAGACCCCCTACTTTGCAGTCTACTTGTAGGTCTCTTTTGTCAAAAGACAAATGCATGCCGCCGCTCCACGCTGGCTGTCACGGGCCCATCAACCTTCAGCAGTTGGTTGTTGTCATTCTTCAATAGCGTTCATTATCCGCGCTCGCGCAACGCTTGCGAGACATACGACACAAGAGGAGACTAACAAGAAAACGACAGAGACACCGCGGAGAAACCCCTCTACTTGTAGCTTGTTTCACTCGGAGCCATCTATAGCCCTAGACATTAATAGCTTGCTTCTAAACTGTCATTCTCCGCCCTGGCGCTAAGTGAACCTTGCTCATGGGCTCAAGGCCTTCGGTGCCTCGAACATAAGCTTTGCCACGGAGCCAAGTGGCTTGACAGACAGGAGCGGCGTTTTCTGACATCAGGGAAGGATATCTTGGCTCACGTGGTATCAGATCGATGCAAGTGAACACTAGACCAGAACACAACACCGCAGTCTCATCATGTAGCAACCGCAATCAGTATTAGTCGGGGAATATACACTTTGTTCAGCCCTACGAGGCTTAGTAGCTTGTATCGTAGGTTATCCCCACGAACCATGAGTATAGCAGCCTCGTGGTAGCCTCGTGGTAGCCTCATGGTAGCCACACCTGGTCGAACCATGTTGCACGGGTTTGTCACGTCTCACCTGTCCCTCGTATAGTCCTATCTCCCGGCTCCTCCAACTAATAACCGAGAGAGGGTCTGCCCCACCATTTCCGCATCCGCATATCCGTTTTTTGTGGGTCCTTCAGGGTGGATCGGTAGGTGTACCATCCATAAGGGTAAGTTATTTACACTGGGATGAGGGAGCTTTTCCCTCGTGCAAAAACGCTCGTACGAGCATGCTGACTCTATAGTTGGAATGAGCCCATATGAAACACCCCTCTCTGCAATTTCCAGCCTGATATTCGCCCATTTCCGGCCACCACCGGCTGTTGATCGTCCTACTAGATTTTTTTTTCGTCTCGTCTTTAAAGTTGGTGCCGTGCCAACTCAATATAGGCTTGGGTGACTTTTTCCGCACTGAAAAAAAAAAAAACCAAAATGGAAAGTTATCAAGGCAAAAGTGGATCTTCATTTTAGACCCGTAGGCAGACGGAACAGGCTGGAAACATGAACAAGGGGTATTGTCATGATAAAGATTCGATCACAGTGGTCGGCTAAGCTCCCAGGCGTCCCCCAGAGCAGCTAACACCCGCCCAGCCCATTTAACTTCCGCCCTCGTTTAATAGAAGAATCCAAACCAAAATTAGCTCTTGGTCGTGTGAGGCAGGTATCGTAAAAGACGGATAACGACCTTGTTGAGGGGGTGCCACGTGACAGATCGCGGTGTAGATACTCCCTCGGATATCAGTCTTTGGCTGCAGGAGTTTACCGTGTTCTAATCGGCCCCGGATCGGTCTAATTATGCCTCTCAAGTTTGCTACACGGCTAGCCGGCCTTATGTTCACCCTTAACTTTATGAATTTTCCAACTGTCGATAAAAGCTGAATTTGCGGTCAGATTATAGATTTGAAAAGACAAACCAGCTCTTCAGGGCCAGTGGATTATACTCCATGTGTTTTTATTGTAGGCAGACCACTCGGACATCTCCGATCACAGCCCAACCACGGTCTCCCAGCTTCGGAAAAATGGCATTCGCACTACATGCATGCCAAGACGTCAGGGCATGATGCCGTTTGCAAACCGATAAGACACTGAAACTGGACGTGTCTCCAAGAGGATTCTTTGCCGAGACGTGAAATGTGGCAGCAGAATTTGATTTCGATGCACCAGGGAAGAGTCATACTTTCTCCAGCGGCGTTTACAGCTTCTGTTGCCCGAGTTCTACGGTGGTGTTTTGGGGTCTGAAACTTGTCCACTCCACCCCGGCAATCACTCCAGTCGCCTAATGTCACCCTGCCTTGTCAATCCTCAGTCGGAAAGTCTCAGTTTTGCGGATGCCCGTTGCCGCCTTTGTCTCTGTGGGGTATAAACAAAGGGAAATAGGCTTCCAGAGAGATGGACGTCATGTCTTGGTAGAGAACCTAAATCAGACCAGTAGTATATGTTGGGGTGGGTGTCCTGCCATTTGGACAACATTCACGCCGTTTTACAAGATGGAAAAGAACAATCAGGGCGAGATCGTCGAGCCCGTGTACACCGCCACCAACACCGAGCTTGGATCGGTAAACCAGCTGGCCGAGGAGGTGGTTGAGACTGAACGAGTGCCTTCTTACGACTCGGATATCGACACTAAACATGAGGTTTCCACCACCATCAACGCCCTGGGCCCCGAGCCCACCGAGGAGGAGATGCTGACTCTCCGACGAGTGTCCGACTCGCTCCCCAAGGCTGCCTGGATGGTGGCTGTGGTCGAGCTGGGTGAGCGATTCACCTACTACGGTATCACCGGTCCTTTCCAGAACTACATGCAGCGAAAGCGAGGCTTTGGCGCGCACGCCGGTGCTCTTGATCTCGGTCAGTCCACCGCCTCTGCTCTGTCCTACTTTTTCCAGTTCTGGTGTTACGTGACTCCCATTCTCGGAGCCATCATCGCCGACACCTGGTGGGGAAAGTACAAGACCCTGTTTGTCTTCTCCCTCATCTACGTCACTGGTAACCTGATTCTGTTTGTCACTTCTCTGCCCTCGTCTCTGGACGCCGGAGCCGGTCTCGGAGGTCTGGTCACCGCCATGATTGTCATTGGTCTCGGAACTGGAGGTATCAAATCTAACGTGTCTCCTCTCATTTCCGAGCAGTACACCAACACCAAGTTCTACATTCGAACTCTCAAGTCTGGCGAGCGAGTTGTCGTCGACCCCAACCAGACCATTCAGTCCATTTTCATGGTCTTCTACATGTGCATTAACGTCGGCTCTCTGTCCGCCATTGCAACCACAAACCTGGAGCGATACGTCGACTTCTGGGCTGCCTACCTGCTGCCCTTTGCCTTCTTCTTCATTGCAATTGCTGCTCTGGTCCTCGGCAACAAGTACTACGTCAAGCGACCTCCTATGGGCTCTGTTATTCCCCAGGCCTTCCGAGTCGTCTTTGCTGCTGCCAAGAAGAAGTCCTTCGATGCTGCCAAACCCTCTTACCGACAGGAGAACGGCGAGAGCGAGGTTCCCTGGACCGATCTCTTTGTTGACGAGGTCCGACGAGCTTTCATTGCCTGCAAGGTCTTCGTCATCTACCCCATCTACTGGGTTGTGTACGGCCAGATGCTTAACAACTTCGTGTCCCAAGCCGGCCAGATGCAGACCCACGGTATCCCCAACGATATCATGCAGAACATTGACCCCATTGCCATCATTATCTTCATTCCCATCATGGAGAAGCTCGTCTACCCCGGTCTTCGACGAGTTGGTATCAAGATGCGACCCATTACCCGAATCACTCTCGGTTTCTTCTTCGCTTCTTGTGCCATGGCCTACGCTGCCATTGTCCAGAAGATCATCTACTCTGCCGGTCCTTGTTACGACGCTCCCGGTGCCTGTCCCGCAGCTCTTCTGCCCGACGGAGAGAACTACGCTCCCAATAATGTCCACGTTGCCGTCCAGACTCCCGCCTACGCCTTCATTGCTCTGTCGGAGATTTTCGCCTCTATCACCGGTCTGGAGTACGCCTACACCAAGGCTCCTACTTCCATGAAGTCCTTCATCATGTCCATCTTCCTCTTCACCAACGCCATTGGTGCTGCCATCGGTATTGCTCTGTCCCCTACCGCCAAGGACCCCAAGCTCATCTGGACCTACACCGGTCTTGCCGGAGCCACCTTTGTTGCTGGATGGATTGTCTGGTTCGGATACCGACATCTTAACAAGGTGGAAGACGAGCTCAACGTCATTGACGCCGAGTACACCGCTGAGCTCAACGCCACTCTGATGCATGATAAGGAGAAGGCTGATCTGGAGCGAGCCCACAAGACCGCCATTGTCGACGAGGGTGTGGAGAAGGTTTTCTAAACTAACTTGTATTTATTTAATGTACATATTTGAAACGTGTGCCACTGTAGAGCGACTGTAGCATGAGCTGAACCTGACAAGCGTACCGCTAGCGATACGTAATGACTAAAGCGACAAGCAGCTTACCGTCAAAGATAGTACTTGTACTTGTAATAAGATCATTCACCCACTGACCTGTTTTAGCAGACCTACAAATACATTCTTGAAACTGTTCTCCGAGGACAGTCACGCAAATTATGGACTGATTTCTATAGCTTCGAACATATCATGGCTCAGATATCTTTCCTCTCGCTAGGGACTCTGCCCTAAGAACTTGATCCTCTGGACTGCTTCTTCAAAGAGAAATTCAGTGCAGAAGCACCTTGTAGTACCCGCCAGAGATACAAGTATGAACGGACATCATCTTTCCCTGCTAGCGAAAGTGACAACGGTGGTTTTATATCTCGAGAAGCTCAATAAAAAACTCCACCAACCACCTCCATTGCAATGAGCGTCACCATCGAAGAGATCAACTCCAAGCTTGATATGGTCAACCTCAGATTGGCTGCTATAGAGACACGGTTGACAGACCAGGCGATTACAACCTAGCGGAGAAGAGAACGAACAACGAGACGACGACAGAAACACCGTCAACAACTGAGAATGCCAATACAGATGAAGTTGAAACGACTGCGAAAAACATCTACTCTTTCATGTTCGTCATGCTCCCTGCTCTCATGATCATATCAATGAGATGTGAAGCATCGCACATTCCATTGATAGGATCATGAGTTGTGTTCATTCCGCCTATGGCGTTGGTATCATAGCTCTAGTGCATAAACCATTACTCTTCTTGTGGTGCTTATTCCGCTCGCGTCTTTGCCGTAGGTTATCATCTGGTTTGGACAGGCTCGAGTATCACAGGTTCTGGATGGCCAATACAGTGATCGGGGTTTATGACCTAGTGCTACACATACTACCAGTACTGTAAAACAATACATAAATGCCATAGATCTACTTGAACCGTTCGACAAAATGACCAAACTCGGTCCACGAGTTGAGCTCCACATCCGTAAGAGGCTGGACCGGAGCGTCGTCCAACAACGTGGTAATGGAACCAACACACCGCAGAACGTTTCGCTGGATCTCGTTCTTCTTCTCAAACTCTTGCTTAATGGCACTCTCCTTGACCTCCTTGTTGAGCAGACCGGTGAGAGTAGTAGTCAGCACGTTCACAGCAGGCTTGGTGCCTTCTCCAACGTCAATGTGGGCCCCCAGAAGGGAGATGTCCACAGCCACGGCCTTGGGAATGCACACCAGCGACAGAATCTGGATATTGTGTTCGTCGGAAAGACCAGCAAGAAGCCGCTCAAACAGCGCAAGCAGCTGCTGGCTGGGAAGATGAGCGGTCAGAGATTTGGCGTCAATGTTGGACAACAGAGACAGAACACTGTCGTAGGTGGTCTTTCGGAGACTCAGTCCATCGTCAACCTTGAGCTTGAAAGGACCCATCTGCACCTGTCGAATGAGATCGGCGTTCACATAGGTGTGGGTGATCAAGGTGGACACAAGAGCTGGCAGAATAGGGAGAGCCAGAGTAGGTGCATTGTGCAGAATGGCATTCAGACACGTCAAGCTCAGCTCCACGGTGTTGTCCTGCTTCACATTGTCCACAAGAGTTACTAGATCTCGAGGCACAGAATGCAGATCCTCGGGAACGTCCTCAGAAGACGACACCTGACCGAAGATGTACCGCAGAGAAGACAGAACAATGGCTTGCGTGACAGAGTTGGGGTCTCCCAGCCGTTTCTTCAGGTCACCAACATACGCCTCATGCCGCACACAGATTCGACCCACACACTCGCTTACCACGCTCTGGATGTTGTCGTCCATTTCGGAAATGTCAAACAGCCGCGAAAACAGCGGCTCGGGGTCAGACGTGGACGACTTGATGTACTCTCGCAGAGCAACCAGAGCAAGATAGGTGACCTGGTTGAGAAGAGAGAGTGTGTATGCGAGAAAGTTCGGATTGGCACGAGCACAGTTACCCAGAGCAACCGCAGACGCATATCGAATTACCTCATCGGATCCTGTCAAATGAGGAGCAAACAGCTCGGGAGAGATTGGCAGGGCCTTGGCAGCACCAATGTAACCCAGAATGAGCAGGTCGGAAGCTCTGGACTCAGAAGAGGCGCCACCAGCCTCAGAGGCTCGCGAAATGTAGGTGTTAGTCAGCTGGTCGTCACCAGCACAGACAAAACCAATAATTTGTGTGGAGATGCCCTTGTGGCCGGAATCACAGGCTCGCAAAAGCTGCTCGTAGATGACATGACGCAGGTCGGTCCGCAGGGATGTGATTTGTGCGTAAAAGTTGACGAAGGAGTCAGCCAACAGCTCTGATGTCACATGGATGTGGTTCAGAGGGAGCTCAATCACGGGCTGCACTAGCTTGTCGTTGGAAGACACCAGCGAGAACAGGTTAGCAATAACGTCAATTTCCAGAGCAACGAGCTGCAGATCGTCGATATCTCGAGACCCATTGTTCAAGAACGACGAGATCACGTGCTCTGCGCTAGTAGTGTCCACCACACTGCTTGCACTCATCTCCTTGAGAGTCTCCAGGGCGGACAGCCGCAAAAGCCGCTGCGACTGACGCAACAAGGTGACAAGCTGTGAAACCACGTGACTCGCAAATTCGCCTCGGGTCACACGGTCACGTTCAACAAGGTCTCGCACTGCACCGATAGCAGCAAGTCGGAATGTCTCATTTTCGAGGGACTTGAGCAGAATGGCGTGGCTCTCCTGACCGTCGTTAAGCTTGCCGAGGCACGAAATTGCTCGCACTCGAATCTCCGAATCAATCGCAGTGGAAGAAGCAAAGTCGAGGATGAGGGCCTCAATGGCGTCCCGGGGCTTGAACTCGGGATTCACACCCATCAGACACATGACAAGATCGATAGCAGCCACAGGCACCTTGAAAAAGGTGTCCTTAAGACCGGCCTGGATCAGATCCTGAATTTGGGCCAGGTACTGATCGGTAAAGTCCGACCAGTCAGTTTTCGAAACTGCAATCTGCGAAATTTCCAAAGCATCAGCCAGAAGAGTAGTCTGGGCATGCTTTCCGTCAATAACGGCATTATGGAGAACTGGGATCACCTCCAGCACATGTGCTTCGAGGGTCTGAGCCAGCGACCTGTACACAAAAGCGGCCAGGGGAGCAGTAGCCTGTTGAGTCAGCCACTTGGAGGTCACCTGGATGAGCTTTGTACGAGTAGCATCGAGCTTCTCGATGGGGTCGTTCTCCACCACCCGCATGGATGCGTCGGAGCCACGTCTAACCCGCGATCGAGCTCCACTCACCCCGCTGTAGACCACAATACTTCCCAGTGTGTCGAGAAGAGCCACAACGACTGTGGTCTCTCGCTCCTGTGCGAGACGTTTGAGAATGCAGGGGTAGAGAGAGGCGTAGACCAGAGAAAGAATGGTCTGGGCGCAGTTCTTGACAATTGAGTCGGCTAGCTTAGCAGCATATCGTCGCAGCTTCCAGGACTGGTCCTCATCGTCGGAGTACGAGTCAAACTCGTCATCGTCATCGTCATCGTCATCTTCATCCTCGTCATCATCCTCGTCCATGTTCTCATCATCGTCATCGTCGTCGATGAAGTTAGGGTCGTAGACAATGAATTTTCGAGATGCCTCCACCAACTTCTCCACAAATGTGGTGACAATCGCCTGGGGCAGTTTCAAGAAGCCCTCCAGAGAGTACAGCGTAACTTCTCTCAGCTCCAGCAGCTGCGAGTTGTCCTCATCGGGGTCCTCCTCCAGGTCCAGCTGCAGACAGTCGAACACCAGAGGAAACGTGGCGGGGGCGTAGGGAGCGAACTTGGCAGGCTCTCCGCTTACCAGGCTGCCAATCAGCGTAACCACAATCTTGGGCTGTTTTGGCAGCATGCCAATGCAGTGCTGCACGAGAGAGTCGAACTCAGGTGTAGAGAGGTATCGGGCCAGGGCAGACAGACCCAGCACAGCTCGTTTCTGGATCATTGGCTCAGGCGACTTGAGGAGACCCACAAAGTGCGTTTTGAGAGTGGCAATTTCCTCGGCAGTGAGCGATGAGCCGAACCGTCGCACAAAGTCGATGCCAATGTCCACAATGTCGACTGACGAGGCTGACACCGGCTTTGTCATCCAGGGAATGAGGAGACGGGCCAGCAGGCGGGCGTTTCGACTAGAGGCCTCCAGCTTACCGACAATGGCCTTGAGCGCCGTGCACGTGATGTTGCTTTCGATTCCAGCGTCAGCCTTCTTGCCCACAGAGTGGCTATCGGAGTCAATGAGCGTCTGGATGACAAAGTTGATCTGCGTCTCGCTCACCTGACGAATAAGCACCTCCAGGCACCGCACTGATTGGTTCTGGACCTCGGATATCGGGTCGTTGAGCTTTTCGATGACAGCTGTGAGCATTCGATCCACCAGGCGAGAGTCGGTGGCGACCACAGACACAAAGTCAGGTCCAGACACGACCGAACTCATGTCACTGAGGGCCATGAACCGTAGGTCCGCATCGAACGACTGGATCTTTTCCAATTGCTCGCGAATGAACAGAGAAGAGTCAGTCATGGTGGTTTGTATGAAGTGTGCTATTGTAGTTGGCTGGGAACTGTGATGTGGAGTATCGGGGTTAGGGTTGGAGATGGGCCCAAATATGAGGAAGAGAGTGGGTGTCGTAAAAAAGGAATCGTGCGACTAATTAGCCAGGATACATGTGACGCAGAGCAAACCGCACTAAACGGTTGCACTGGATTCAAGTGATTATATGGTACTCTTCATGATCTTCATACATTTTATATTGTCCAATTGAAAGCAGTGGCCGACCCCAGAGGTGAGCACAAGTGTGTGGCTTCAGATCACCTACAAATATGTATTAACTAGCTGATTACAACAGGTTTCCCTTATTAGAACAAGAGCTCATCTTCCACCAATCCATTCAGTCAATAAATATATACATATGTACTTTTGCTGCTTCAGCAGTATGGGGGTGTGTGGTGGTGGTCCATTTTTCTACTACTGAGACCATGACCACACTGTCTATCGTCCTGAAGTGTACAGTTGTCACATCGGAGCCACTCCATGGGCTACGCATTACTTGGTCAGCCAATTCCTCAAGTGGTTCCTCCTCTTCTCCGCGACAGTGTCCTTCTTCTTCATCGCCTTCTTCTTGTCGCTGGTCATGGTTACTCTCTGAACCTGCCTCAGCGACTTTAAAAAGTGAGCAATGATCCATACGGTCAACAGGGACGCCACGCCAGTGACACCCAAAAAGCCCCAGTAGCTCTCCTCGATGAAGTTCTTCAAGTTCATGCCGTACAACGACGCAATGAACGTTCCTCCAGCCAGACCTAGGGCTCCAATCTGGAACTTGAGATCCAGATGCATCAGGGCGTTTCGGTTGGCGTCCAGAATGATGTTGACAATCTCCTCTGTGTTTCGGATGTTAGAAACGAGGTTACCCACGGTTTGAACAATCTCGTCACAGTGCTTGTAGTAGGTTTCCAGCAACATTTCCACCTCGGAATGATCATCAATGGCTCGGGGATGACCTGCCTTCTTTTCGGTCAGATAAAGACCAGCCAGATCCTCGTCTGTGTCGAGGAGCTCGTCAATCACATCTCGAATCAATGTAGCCTTCTGCAGAAACGCACTCAGCTTCTTCGATTGAATCAGCAAATGTCGCAGCTTCTCTCGATCAATATCCTGCTCCAACTCAGACAGGATTCCGTTAATGACCGTGGTATGCACCTTCATTTCAGCGTCCAAAGCTGCAATCACGGAAATGAAAATCGCCTCCAGCGCCCGCATTTCGTAAGGAAGAGATCCCATGGTCTTATTGGACTTTTTGAGCTTGTGGCCCAGGTCGTACATGAAGAGCGACTGGGTTTTGGAGTCCGTGCTGCCAAACACGTCGAACAAAAGCACCTTGTCCGCCTTGATCAGAGCCCGAATATGCAGCAAGTTGATGAGAATCGAGTTGTCTCGCACAAGAATCGTAGGGACAATGGAATTGACTCCGGTGTCGAGCTTTCGCAAATCTCGAGGTAGCAAACCGTGCTTATTCAGCAGCTCTGTCCGCTTGAACTCGCCGGAAGCAACCGTCACGTTTCCGTCGCTGTCGAATACCGTACACCGCACCAGGTTGTTCTCGGGCAGCAGCGACTTGTGGGTGAGCGACTTGATCAGCAGGTCTGTGTCACGTGGCGTGTCTCCTGGTGGCCCCGTGATGGGCACCAGATAGTTGCCTGGCGTGGGTGTTGGTACCTCTGAAGGTGGTTTTTTGGTGGGAGAGTAATGCCGAGCGAACGAGATGCCGGACAACGGCTTTTTTGGCGGGCGGAAAAACGACACAAACGGTGTCGCCGCCGTCCTTTGTCCGCACAACCTCAACAAAGGTCGAATCATGGTCGTACAATGGAGATTTTGAATGGCGAAATCGGTCGATATTTTTATATGCATGTCGGCGCATCTTGAAGGTTAAGTTACTGTACAGTACTGTACTGTAGGAGTGGTGAGAGAGGTGTGAGTGAAATGGGCTTTAGAGGGGTGACTGGGAGATGGAAAAAGTTGCAAGAAGGGAGAAAATGCTTCAGTGGTGTATAGCCGAGTTTTTAGATCGATCGGATTTCCGTAAAGTCGTCTTCTAAAGAAGTTGTGGAGACAAAATGGCGTCAAGTAAAAATAAAGGATATGTTGGGAGTTGGGGAAATGTCAAATGAGAATCAGTCAATTTAGTTGATAAATTGTTGGAAATGTTGTTAATCATCAGAACATCTAAGTATACTAATCCTCCTATCCAAAGGTCCTACATTAGATCAGATCATACTGAAAGGAGAGGAAATAAGTAAGAAAAGTATTGGAAACTACTTTCAATCGAAATATAACCTCTAACTACCTCACCAGATGGAATTAAATCAACCCCCTCCACCTCCACCTTCCAAACCTAACTCACAATCATACCTATCCAATGCACAACTTTTCAACCCCGGGTGCACGACTTTCTTCCCTCATATCCAAGCTGATACCCCCTTTGTGACTGTTATAATCACGTGAGTGACTTTCATCCCCTTAGTCAGGATGAAGAAACACGTGATCAAGAAACCAAAATCTCTTTCTGGAGTGATTCGTCGCAAAGTGGAGAAACCAAAAACCAAACCTGACGACCAACAAGGATCGAAAAAGCTACAGCCATATACCATTTTGAACCCAGTGGAGCAGGGATCGTATGGTCACGTGAGCAGAGCATTACAGGTGTCCACAGGCCAAGTTGTGGCTGTCAAACGGCTCAAATCGAACCCCAATACAGGTTCCGAGGGCGTTCCAATAACTGTGATTCGCGAAATCAAGTGTTTACAGCTGTTGGAAGGGAGCCATCACGTGGTGAAGCTATTGGACGTGATTTCTTCGCCTCTCCAGCTGGTTCTGGAGTTTTGTGAACATGATCTCAAGAGTATCATCAACACTCATACTGCTCCTTTTGGGGAATCAGCAGTGAAACGCATCGTCAAGGATATTTTGACCGGTCTAGATTTCATTCATTCACATGGTGTGATTCACAGGGATATCAAGCCGGCAAACTTGTTGTATACTCAGGGACGAGTGACGAAAATAGCTGACTTTGGCTTGGCTAGGCTTGTAGATGAGGATGCCGAGTACACGAGGGAGGTGGTTTCATTGTGGTATAGAGCTCCTGAGGTGTTGCGTGGTGAAAAGTACACGACAGACATTGATGTATGGGCTGTGGGGTGTGTGACGAGAGAACTCGATACGGGAAAGGTGCTTCTGAGAGGCAGGAACGAGATTGAACAGCTGGATCTGTGCAGTCATATTGGAGACAAGATTAGAAACGACAATTTCCTAAAGGCTGTGTTTGAAGAGCGACTTTCTGCGGCTCAATTGTTGTACTCAGACTACTTTGCACGTGACCCTGTTCCGAAAGAGCGTCTGTTGATGCCCACATTTCCATCCCGGGCCAGTGGCGACTGATAAAACCGCTGCTATCAGTATTAACGGTGCTTTCGAGAACTCTACAGTCTGTTTCAGCAACTTTCTTCACTGCTGGAGCACGTCATGATGCCTTGATAATGTGTGTTTTGATGCCCAACGTCTCAGTGTAGATCAGCAATCGGAGCAAGCCGTGTCGGAGAGAAGGGAGAGTCACGTGAATGATTACGAGGAGAAGAGGACGCATTTCATTTCTTTAGTGCACGTGAGTCCCAACCAGAGAAAAGACGCGCACACTACTACTTGTAGTACAAGTACATACTCGTACGAGTAGATATACATCCAAGTAACTAACTGAATGCGCTACTATCAACACGGCTATCCGCCTACTTGTGCTGTACAAACATAACACCCTGTCGCGGAGACCGCAAATCTCTGACAACATGTTTCGAAACCCCAATCCAATTGATAGTCGTGCTTGTAGATCATGACAAGGTCGGTTGGAGGACTGTAAGATCGGAAGGAGGTATCCCTCAACAAAACCAATCATACCAATAGAATCCTTGCCACCAGACGCGTCCAATGATATCAATCACGTGACCGCCACTTCCAAATTTCCCCGACTTTACCCCGCTGCTATAGCCGAGCTTCCAAACATGCGCTGTATGCACTGTATAGAGGAGCGTTTTATTTCGGTGCATGAATGTCCACAGGCTCGCGTTTGTTTGGTGTCATGTGAGCTGTGGCGATTTATTTTGGGCGTTTGAAAAAAAACTTTATTTTGGGTGTATGAAAAATTAGGGGAAGAGCAAGAGGTGAACGGCGGGAGGGAGGGGATGGAGGATAGTCACGGGAATGATTATTTAATAGTTTGAAGGGTTTTGGGTCACGTGATAGGAGGCCAACATGGAGAACAGAACGGGTATTACGTGATATTTCTTCCTTCAAGTACTCCCTTTATACTACTGTCTTCTAAATGTCTTCTAAATGTGTCCACGATGACATCACATGAGGGTTATTGTTTACATTCTGGCTGGGAGTGGGGCAGTAGGACGACATGAAAGTGCACGTTTTTGACGTAATATTGTGTCAATATGGCCATTAGGGATATATTTGGAGTCCCTGCAACGGAGAGAACTAGCTCATCTTTTCAGATTTTCGCTAGCGTTATTATTTCGCTGAGAAGAGGGTCTCTAAACCACAAGTACAAGTGCACAGTAGTACATACATACAACTACGGGAGTAGTTTTGACTTAGCCAAACTGAAACAAACTCGGCCCTGATTTACAATGAGCAGACAGACGGAGTGTAAGAAGCAAGTGTCGGAAGAAAATTGTCTACAGTCAGGTTTGCAGGACGAAACGATTGCCCCTTTTGGGCTCTGTTCTCTTTTTTGGGGGGGTTGTGATGGCCTGGTGAGTTTGCTCGTTTGTGTAACGTTTGTGCGCTGTTTGGTTTCCGAGCAACCATTGTTAAACAACCACCTGCGCCCCAGCTGCACCAGTCTAGTACGCGACCTGGCGGAGCACAACATTACATATACTGATCGTCCCCGAGATAGGAGAACTGAACAACTGTTACAGGTTTGACTTGTCAAGAAACGACATAGACACGACACGGACCGACGATACGAAAGCATCTGCATAACAGCCTCCACGTCATAGTACGAATTCTCCACTTTACAAGTAGGTACATTCAGGCCCTGTGCAACACCAGCAACCACCGCAGGTAACAACAGAAACAGCCACAGCCACAGCAACGAAACAAGTTCAACACTTTCAGAAGTCTTACAACAGCAGCATCTCATCTCTGCGAAACACACGCATAATGGCATCGGCAAGCTCAGAACTATCACGGCTGGCCAATCTTACGCCACGGTCTATTTCCGGGTCGTCCTCGACATCTTCCTCCACAACATGTCCGCCCAGAAACACGTCACGTCCCAGCACAGCAGGCTCCAACTCGTCCATACGCTCGCGACATTACTCGGCCGACCAGTTTGAGCTGCTGGAGGAGCTGGGCTCGGGCTCTTTTGGAGTCGTGTACAAGGCCATCGACAAGGTGAGCGGGCAGATTGTTGCGGTCAAAAAAATCGACCTGGAGTCGTCAGAAGACGACATTGAGGAGATTCAGAAGGAAATTGCAATTCTATCGGGCTGCCAAGACGAACACATCACAACCTACTATGGCTGTTTTGTCAGGGGATACAAGCTGTGGATCATCATGGAGTACTTGGCTGGAGGATCGGGTCTGGACTTGCTGAAACCAGGCATCTTTCATGAACCCGAAATTGCAGTCATGTGCCGTGAGCTGCTGGAGGGACTCATTTATCTCCATGACAATGGCAAGATCCACAGAGACGTCAAGGCGGCGAACGTGCTTGTGTCGTCAGAAGGCTCTGTCAAGCTGGCGGACTTTGGAGTGGCCACACAGCTGAGTAATAACATGAGCAGACGAAACACGTTTGTGGGCACGCCGTTCTGGATGGCACCCGAGGTCATCAGACAGGAGGACTACGACACCAAGGCGGATATCTGGTCGTTGGGAATCACGGCCATTGAGTTTGCCAAGGGAGAACCTCCTTTGAGTGAATACCATCCAATGAAGGTGCTGTTTCTGATCCCCAAAGCCGAGCCGCCTACTGTTCCTGCTGGAGGCAACTGGTCTGCAGATTTTCGAGATTTTGTGGCATGTTGTTTGCGCAAGAACCCCGCTGAACGACCTTCTGGAAGACAGCTTCTGAAACATCGGTTCATCCGCAAGGCTGGAAAGACGAGCCAGCTCAAACTGCTGGTTGACAGACGGGAACGGTGGATGGAGCGACATCGAAAAACGAAGCCCAAGAAGATGGCTGTGGAGACGGTCGTCAGCATGGACCAGGTGGAGGAAGAAGACTCGTGGGACTTTGGTACCGTCAAGATGGAGACGTACTTGGACAAGTCCATGGACAGCAGTTCCAGCACAATCAATCCCGCTGTACTTCGACAACTGACCATTAGTGAGAACAATGCACCGGAAGTGACATTAAAGAACCCTTTGCGAAAAGTGTTCATGTCTTCCGAGTCGCTTGGCAACAGTGTCAAGTCGGTCTCTTCTGTTTCTACGGCTGCTGATGGAGACACAATCAAGGCAGGTCCTCCAAATGTGCACGCTCTGGTGCGGCAATGCATAGAAGAGACGTACATGGAGATTGGTGGTGAATCAGCTACTAACACGCAACAGCATGCGATGCGACGATTTGCCAAGGGCTGGAACACGCTGGAGCAGGTGGACTCTAAGGCAGAATTCTTCTTCGTCAAGCAGCTGTTTAACCAGATTATCAAGAACCCCAAGTTGGTGGAGCAGATGACCAACAAACGAACCAGCAAGCGGATTAGTGTGGGACAGCAGAAGGAGCGAAAGAGGGATCAGGTGGAGGAGTTGATGTTAGGACGGTGGATCGAGGAGTTCGAAGAGTACGATCGTTACTAGACGACCACCTGTGTACCCCCAGATTGTACCCTCAGATTAATGACTTCTCTCACAGACAATTTACAGACAACATCCACAAGTGTACAAATAGCATAATGCATTGATTGATATTTAGTTGTATTTTACATTCCAGGGTCTGTAACAAGCCATAATATTCACTCTCTCGACTCTCTGAAGTTCGTCTCCGAGATCAACCAGTTGAGGTTACTTGTATCTTCAACACCAAGTCCCCGAACACGCACGATATTGGCTCTCCAGTTCAACCAGACGTCCATGGCAAATTATCTCCCCTACGATATCCCTCTGGATCTTTTATCTCTCAGTGTTGGATTACATAGTTGCGGATGAGGCGACAGCCAACAGATCATCTACAGCACTGTCTCTAGCCAGAGCGGTACAGTGTGTTATCCTAAGATGGTCGTGGTGCCCTCAACCTCACCAAAGGGACTTTTTAACACTATGTAGCTTTTACTCCTTGCCACATCCGTTATAAATATCATCTATTCTAATTATACAAACATCTACAATAAGAGACGCTTCATTGTACCGATGCTCCAACATTGGCTGTCGCTCGTACAACCGCCATATTTTTCCAGAAGGCCATCACTCCAGCCATGGCAGCTGTCTCGTTGCTCCATGTTGCACTGTTCCGTTCGTGAGCATACTTCGGACGGACACTCCCTATAAACATCTCGCAGCCATAGTCACCGGATCAACATAGGGCACACTAATGGCCTCCAGGTACTCGTCTCTGGTCGTGGAGCACTCCAGTTTGTCCTTCTTTTCCGCCGTCAGCAGCTCACCAACATCCCAAGTATCCTCCTGGTCACGATCTCGCCACTGCAATGTGACAAATTCCTCGTCCTCAGCCTTCTTGACTGCCAGCAGAGCCCCGGAAAACCGCGGCGTCTGTTCGGACGACGACTTGACTGTCATCTGAATGGCCTTGGGCTCATTGGCGTTCTGGGCTGTCCGTTTGGCCGCGGCAGCAGCAGCAGGGTCCTTGATGTTCTCCTGGTTCACATGATCAAACGAAGGACGCAACAGAGCAGTGGAAACAATGGGGTTGAGGTGAAGCTCATTGTTCTTGAACACACCCACCATGTTTTCCTGCGGGTTGGACTCCACTAGGTGGCCCTTGAGCGTCTGGTTGTCGATGTTCTTCCATTGTGTGCCCTTGGCCTGGTCGTAGCATCGATCTGTGGGCACAGGCACGTCCACCTCCACCACGCCACTTTCCTTCTTAATTCGCGACTCGGTGATACCTGTGGCGTGCGACGAGGTGTATGGCGAGTCCACCGACCGAGCAGGGTACTGGTACAGGTGGATGTTGCCTGCCAGTCTGGTCGAGAAGAACACCGGGAACTCCTTGACAATAGGATCGTCTTGGTCGTCATGCTCGGTTACCGGAGCAACATCCACGTCCATCGCGTCTTCGGTCTTGACCTCCACGTCTTCATCCGGCACAAACAGGTCGCTCATGGTGTGTTTCGTGTCTGGGTCTATGTTCGCTTAAAAAAAATCACGGCTCGATTTTGATTATGCATTGAGAAAAATTTAGACTTCATGTTCGGCCACAGGGAAGGAGTGGATGTTGAAAGAGAGGCATGATTATATGGCAAGGGGTGGTTTTTATTAGAAAAATTGCCTTTATCAAGTTCAGTAATCTCACTGTAAACAAAAACCTATCAAAAAAATGTCGTTTTTAGACCTTCTATAACACGAGCTTCCCATGCACTGTTTTTTTTTTTTTTTTTTTGAGGGGGGGGGTAGGGTTTGTTAAGAGGTGAGATGGGGATGAAGGGGTACTCATACTGGCCATGTATGTTCATTCCAGAGGCTTATTGATATATACCATTGGAAAAATTAATGTCTTAATAGGTCTTCTTTAACAGTTCATGTCCCTAAGAGCTGGAAATATGGAGTATGAGTAGTCGTATCTATCCAGTTGTAGTTAAGAATTAGTTAGCTAGACCAACAATGATTGCAATCAAGCAAAGTTATAATTAAATGAATGTATGCAGGAGAAAAAAAAACTGAGAGTTGTATTAGAGGAAAACGTATGACGAAAGAACCACTGTGCACGTGCTTGATGTCATGTTCTTCGCTGAAGCTGTTCCTTTCTTCAATCAGAAGATCTATTAGTTCTTGAAAAAGCACAATACAGTATTTGTAGGTCTTCCTGTGCTCCATACACAAGCCATTTTGCTTGCACAGCTCTCGACGACAAAAGACATTTTGTCAAGGGTGAACTTGTACGATTCCGAAGTGACAATTCCTAAAACAGCTCATTTTTAACTGGTAGATAGAGTCCTCCAACAACCACAGTATGTACTTGTATACAGTTGTACAAGTACGCCTCCCACGCTCGATAAAATGCATGTATTCCTATATTGTATTCTGGGAGATGGGCAGTAGTGGAGCCGGTCGTTTCCATTGAGGAGTAGCCGCTCCGTTCATGTCAGGGATCACGAACAAGCTGTAAAATCATGAGAAAGCAGTGGATAACAGGGGAACACTTACCAACTAGCCGCGCAACGTTTGATCCAGAAAGTGTCACTCTGTTCCTGTTTTTAGACTACGCGCTTCGCTGATAGCTCACTCATAGCTACAACTTGCTCCCACCCCCTCACAACTTCTCCTTCTTCTCCAATGCCTCCTTTCTCAGCTGCGTCGAACTCAGCTTGTCAGCCCAATTGTCCTCCTCATTGCCCTTGCCACCGACAATGTTGATTTCAAATACCGTTAGCTGGCTCCACCCCTTCTCCTCTCTCACCTTGTTGATGGCAGCTCCTCCACCTCGAGTCTCGGCAGACAAGACAAGAGCATCAATATCGGGATCCGAAGCAGTAGGGCCATAAACATCGTTAATCATGACAGGCTGAAGACGAAGGGGAGGGGAAATGTAGTTGAGAAATTGGGTAACGTGGCTCTCGCGCACATCGAACGACTCCATGGCCTCGGCGTACTTCTTCTTAGTCAGCAGCTGAGGGCCCGTGATGCCCACAATCAGCTTGTCCCGCGTCAACCAGGCTGCCAACGTAAGCAGAATCTTGTGGCCGGCGTGCAGGTGGTCAAAAGTGCCACCCAGAGCAACTACAGAATACTGCTCCTCAGAAGCATTCGCCAGCAGCTCCTCGGCCTTGTTGAGCGTCACGGGGTTGGCCACGTGATCAGGGGTGTTTGTACCCCCGGTCGTATGTCCCTCGGGATGTTCATGGTCGAACTTGTAGCCTGGCTTTTCGTAGTCCATCTCGTAGCCACTTCCCTCGTAGCCTGTAGAGTCGTAGGAGGGCTCCTGAGACTTTCGGGACTGGTCAAACATACCGGGGTCTGTAGCTTGTGGCAGAATAATGACCGGAAGGGTGGATACAGTGGCTGAGTGGATGAACGAGTCTCGGAAGGAAGAACAGAGGTCCGATTCTGTGTTAGCATAAGTTCGATGAGGTCCAAGGGCAGAGAGAAAACGTGCCACGTGTTGTAGACCAAGATGTGAGATTAGTCGATCTTTTTTGTCATGTCAAGGGTGAGATTATATGTCTCGTCAGAATACATGACAGATGACATCTTGAGGACTGTGCAATGGCGTCGTTGATGGAGGAAAGAAGGGCAGCATCAGAAAGACACAACAAGCTGTCCACCTGGCTTTGATCGTCTCATATCTGGTGCTCAAGCACGAGTAAAACTTTCACACTCTCCGTGCAAATGCAACACTCGCTCTCAGATCACGATCCAGCTCACGACATGACTAAATCAGCAGCATGACGAACTGATCTGTCATCTCTGACACTATCAAGCTCACTTCAAGGTCTTTCTCACGACCCCGCGGCTCAGATAATGAGACTTTCGCCAGAACCTGGTCTTCTGCGTCCTTCGGAAGCTGGCTTCGCCCGCTGGCAATACTCACCAAACTTGCCCGCCACCAACACCTCCCAACTCTGCTGTCGATCCAACTTGACATTTTCGCCGTCCAACAGCACCCGCACGTCAATGGACTGTCTACCGAGCTTGGCGGCCTCCTCCACAGCCAGTCCGTAGAACTGCTGCAGCAGCTTCTCGGCCTCAAATGCCGTGGTAGGCGCCGCCAGTGTCAGAATATCCAGAGTGCCGTTCTGATACGTCATTTCCAGCGCCTTGCGCAACACTGGTGCATACAGCTGGCTCACCTGCTGGACAGCTCCATCAACTGGAGCCACCAACATGAGAGTATGGGCATAAAGCATGGTTGACGATAGTTGCGGTGTTGTTGTCGACGATGTGGTAGTATGAGTCACGTGGTGATTGGCACGTGGGTCGTTTTGTAGCGGTTGGAAGAAGATACGGTCTCTTCCTGTGAAAGATGGTGTTGCTGTATAACCTCTTATGATCACAACAATGTGGGGTTAGTTTGGTGGGGTGAATTAGGTTTGGGTGCAGTGGGGTGTATGACGGACAGGGCCGATTTCAGTCCGCTTAGGCAGAGAATGAATCAATTGCACTCTTCAGAACATTCGAACCCCTACTTGCAAGCGTCATCGTTCGGGGAACCTTCTTGCAAGTGTCATCGTTCGGGTGAACCCTTCTTGCAAGCATCATCGTTTGGTGCACATCTGAGGCCACAAGAAAAGAAATGTTGGTGACACTTGAGAATCGAACTGAACTTCAGATTATAGAAGGTCTACATACAGTTTTTTTCTTTTTTTTTCTGCATATATAGTATGTACAGTATGTACAGTATGTACAGTAAGTAGTCTACTTCAATGAGATGGAAAGAACATGACTTACGAATGGAGAAACTGGAAGGTGTCCGGACATAGTTGACCAATGGAAACGTTTTATTCAGATTAGCACGGACAATTAGCAACGTCATGATTCTCTCCAATGAGCAGGGGTAACTGAGCTGTGACGCCTCAAAGTGTCCAGGAAACACATTTCCTATTGGCAGTGCAGTATGGCATGTACGAATACAATTCCAGTATCTGTCAGTACGAGTATGTCAGTACGAGTATGTCAGTACGAGTAAGCCAGCACGATAAAGGTCATAATAACCGAGAGAGAAACCCGTAGAAACCCCCACTCCCATGGCGAGGGTCGCACGACTTGTGCTGGCTCTTCGATTTCCAACCTCACACAGTCCTATCGTCACAGTATATCCTCTGCTTGATACACACACAACCAGCACAGCAAAGTCATGAACGCCCATAATGGCTGTTAACAGCAGCTTTGACAATCACAAGATGTCCCATCCTGTCACGTGATCGCTTGTCTCTCGTCTCGTCTCTCCTCCCTCCTCTTCCTTGCTGTTCCTGCCCACCAAGGTTGCTACGCTACGATGTCACTCTTGTTTTGGTAGCAAACTATAGCAAGCGAGGAGAGAGGCGGAGTTGGGCAAAGGTAGGCGGAGGTGGGCGATCTGAGAGGTCACGTGCGCTCTAACTACACTTGTGGGTCTTGTCTCTACGATTCTCTGTGCCATAATGCTCTTGAGCAATCTTGATTGCGTTTTGCACCCCGAAACGTCAGATTTCCCACCAAATATTTCGGGGGAGTTCGAAAGGAGCTGTCGCTCACCGTGAAGCACCCCCTTCTCACCATCTGGCATCCAGAATACGCCATCTGATTGTTATGCGAGACAAAGTTACGATAAAGAAGTTTCTGGATTGCGGCATTTCACAACGCGACGTAAAAGATGAACAGAAGCAGTTACAAGGCTGAGAGATGAATTGCGGCTTCAATTGCAGCTGGAAAGTCGATTCCGGTTTTCCAGAATCTCAAAAGAGTCGATTTTCGTCTAGTTCCGGAGTGTCTTGATTCAGAGCTAATTTGCTCAGGCGTTTAGCGAGAGGGGCAAAATGAGGATAATTTAATTGCCTGAACATAATAAAAGTTTGACCATCGGATGGAGAAGCTCTGAATTTCTATATTCCGAACATATTTCTTTTCTAGCAGTCATATCCCATCCACAATTCCATTATCCGGCCGTAACCCCGCCTTGACTATTTGGTTAAGCTCAGCTCGCTTGTGACAAGTATCCAGTTAGAGTTGGCCTGCCTTGGGAGAAGAGCGTAGAATGTGGGACTTGAGGGGAGACAAATTAGGCGATACAGAGAGAATTTTCACATTTCAACGTGACAAACGGAATCAACATATTTCAAGGATCATATAAATGTCTTAAATTTTTTTAAAATCCCTTCATTTGGCCAGCTATAGAGATTTCGCTCACGAGAGCAACATAGCTTGTCTCAGATAGGTGAAACTGTATGAGGTTGGGTGTCCAGTCGGAGGTTGGAAAAAAAGTCACAATTGTGTTTTTCGAGCGCATTTCCTCCAGTCACATGAGAGGGTCACGTGATAGACAAATTTCTCTCTACTGGCTCGCCTTTTTTCCCTCTCCGGCTCTTGGTAAAATGTCCCATACAAGGCAGGTCATATATCTGGTGCGGCTCGGAAATTCCGCAAAGCTTAAATTAAATTTCAAGCTTATTCTTCGATTTTATATATATCTTGACTTACCTCGATTTTGTCGCCAAAAACACAATTACGACACACCTACACCATGTCTGAACACGTGCCTGCCTGGAAAAAAGCCGGATTGGCTGTCGAGTCGGTGACCGAGGATTCTGCCACCGCTCCCTCGTCCAACAAGCGAACTGCCGCCTCTCAAGAGAAGGACAAGAAGCCTCCCAAGCGACAGAAGCTGCCCAAGGACAAGCGAGCTCCTCCTCCCGAGTCGGACCATCTTGTCTACATCAAGACCTTTGTTGACGACAAGCCCTCATGGAAGTTCAACACTGTTTCTCAGCAGTGGATTCTCAAGAACCTGTTCAATGAGCTGGTCCCCTCAGACTACGACGACTATGTGCTCAAGTACGTGAGTACGGTCAAGGGTGGTGCTCGAGATCGAGTTTTGGACTCGGCCAAGCAGATCATTTCCGACAATAACGAGTACGTCCAGTGGCTCAATGCCGACGACGAGGAGGACAATGACGAGGACAAGATTGAGGAGGATGGGGAGAAGGAGGACAAGAAGGAGGAGAACAAGGCTTCGAAGAAGCGAGTTCCTCGACATTTCGTCAAGCGAGCCCACGGTCTGATTTCCGAGATGACCGGTGAGGAGCCTGATGTCGACTGGGAGCCCGAAAACGGAGAGGAGGTGTCTACCAAGCCCGATTTCATTGTCCAGGATGTCAAGAAGCAGTACAACGAGGATTTCTCCGAGAATACTGTCCCCCAGACCGACCTGGAGTCGTTTGATGAGGCCCAGAAGAACGACAAGATTCTTGACAAGGCCGTCAAGAAGATTGAGGAGCATGATAAGGAGGCCGCATCGAAGCAAACCAAGGCTCCCAAGCAGGATTTCATTGTCAAGGACGTGAAGGAGCAGTACGAAGAGGATTTCACCGAGGGTAAGCCCGAGGAGACCCCCGCCGAGGAGTTTGCTGCTGCTAAGAAGCTCGACAAAGAGCTGGACCATGCCGTGGACAACCTGCACAAGGCTGAGGCCAAGGGCAAAGGATCCAAGAAGGACGCCAAGAAGGACAAGAAGACAAAGTCGCCCAAGCAGGATTTCATTGTGAAGGATGTCAAGAAGCAGTTCGAGGAGGACTTTACTGAGGGTGTTCCCGAAGAGACCCCTGCCGAGGAGTTTGAGAATGCCAAGAAGCTTGACGAAGAGCTCGATGAGGCTGTTGACAACCTCCACAAGTCTGAGGCCAAGGCCAAGGGCTCTAAGAAGGATTCTAAGAAGGAGTCCAAGAACGCAAAGAAGACCAAGTCTCCGAAGCAGGACTTCATCGTCAAGGATGTAAAGAAGCAGTACGAGGAGGATTTCACCGAAGGACTTCCCGAAGAGACTCCTGCTGAGGAGTTTGAGGAGGCTGAGAAGAACGAAAAGATCCTCGACAAGGCCGTCAAGAAGATTGACAAGTCTCGAAAGGCCAAGTCTGCTGCCAAGGATAAGATCAAGAAGTAGAGACGAGGAAATGAAGGAATGGTTTTGTATTTTCTAGTTATTATTATTCAAAGAAATGATTGTTTTGTGATCAGATGGTTTGTAATTGTGTAGATTACGTAACCGAAAATCGGGCGTGTATCGTGGTTAATGAGCTACTTGAGGTTTAAATAAATTTTGCTTTTCAGTTGGGAGAGGGGTTAAGCGGTTGTTGGAAAAATACTCAGTCCAACAAGTTCATACAGTATAATGCAAAAATATATATAAATTAGATATGCTATGAGTGATCTTCACATCCCCATTTGAGAATGTTGTACACTTTCTCCAAGTCGCCAGGCTGCAATGGTGTCCACTCCTCATCATTTTCCGACAGCTGAAAGTCCGCATGAGTGTATTCTACCTGTTCCCGTCTCTGTTTCTTCCTCTCAGCACGCTCCACTCCAAAATCGATATCCGAGTAGCCACCGTCCATAGAGTCATAGTCCGACTCACTGTCACTTGAGTACGCCAGCTTGCCGTCAGGGTATTGAGTTCCTCTGAATCTGATAGGCTTCACGGAGTACTCTGCGTCTGGATGGTTGCGCACATCCTCGTCAACCATTTTCTGAACAGGACAATCGTCTGTGATCTCCAAATAGGAAAAATCCTCCGAATAAGCAGCCAGCACATCTGGGGATGACTCGTGAGCTTTGGGACTAGTGGGTTCGAGTTTTAGCATAGCAGGAGGGCTGAACGGTTCGTCCTTCACAAAAGTGGATGATGAAGGTGTTGCAGACGGAACAACAACAGGGACCGGCTCAACAGAGCGAGGACTTCCCGGCTCCGCAACTACAGGGCCTGCCCGTTCAAACAGAGGGCTCGATTGTTCTGCCACAATGATTCTTTCTGCGTCTTCGAATGGGGGACTTTCAGGAACCAACATGCGATCTGCTTCAGCGTTAAGAGGGTTAGAATGTTCGGAAAGACTGGCTTGACGAGATCCAGACGCAGATTCCTCACTTCCACTTCCACTCCCACTCTCACTCTCACTCTCACTCTCACTCTCACTCCCACTCTCACTCCCACTCTCACTCTCACCACCCTCCTCTCCATCTACCGAGTGGGTTTCTTCATCTTCATCTCCATCCCCCTCTCCAGCTTCCATGTTGACATTTTTATCCTCCATATGGTCATCGGCATCACCATCCACAGCTTCATCACCCATAGATGCACTCATCTCCTTACCGATCTCTCCAAGCAACCGAAGTTGTTTGAAATGAGCCCCGAAATCGACCTTTCTCTTTTTGGCTGGAGAGGCAGTCGGTGAAGGATTTCGAACAGTCGGAAAAACCATATCCTCCTCTGTCTCGGGTGCCTCCCTGTCAATGTACACACCTCGACGCACCTTCTTGTACCGCTCATAGGCCTGCCTGACCTTGACAGCAGCAATCTCAGCAGCCCTGCGAGGAGTTCTCCTAAGAGACAGATCAAGCGCAGGAACAGAAGCTCCTGCATCGTCCACCATCGGCTCTGCCCCAGGGTCCGAATCGTCCGCCGCAGTGGGCTCTTCTTCTATAATTTCTTCATCACTGTCAATCTCGGTTTCATCTTTTACTTCCCGTTTCAGCTGTTTCGTTTCGCGGGCCAAATGGAACTGACGTCCAGAGGTATCCTTAGGATCAATAAACTCCGACCTATTGCCATTGAAGGCCTCAGCAGGACCAAAGCTCCCATTCTTCATTATTTCCACGCCATGGGAAATCCAAAAGAGATCATCCTCATTCATGGACTGGAAAGTAAGCTTGCTCTGCCTCATAACGGTGGCCACGTCGTAAACACCTTGCTTCTCGGCCTCCCTCAGCTCATACAAGTAGACTAAAACCTTCTCGGTCACATTGTCAATCAGGATATTGGCGTGTTTCTGCCCCGCACTAAGACTAAACTGCTCGCTTTTCTTCATCAGTTCCTGGAAGACTTCGCTACTCGCCTTGTCAAGGCGAGTAGCTGAGCTTAAGGGACAGTCGCCACAATTGAACCGCTTTGGAGGCTTGGTCTTGAGCATCCGGAAAGTAATTGGATCAGCCTTGACCAGGTTGAGTCCCGGAATTTCAGCCACAATCAGCCTTGGTGACAACATGTCACTCAGGGTCTTGGGATGATAAGAAAAGACTTGGTTCTGAGCCCAGTGGATGTTAGTGGCAAACGTCAGTCTCCAGGACGAGTCTTCTGACTTGAGGTGTTTGAATGGAGGTATCTCTGAAATATCTCTGTTGTATAGAACGTATGCAATCACGCTTAGAAATGGTTCGACTTTCTGCAACACCAAGGGCTCCGTATCACTCTTCTGAACAGGAGCAACAAACTCGGTATGGGTTGGAACCCACAAGTGCTTCACTGCTCTGCTGAGAACATAGTAGAGCCAATTTGACAAGGGATTGACTAGGACCAAAAATCTGGGATGGCCGTATTTCTTCAAAAAGGCACAGATACAATCAGAGACCTCCTGTGACATGCGATCAAACTCCCTGGGGTTTTTGAAATCTCGATGTGTGGTGATGAGATCCGAAAACTCCACCGCCTCGGTCATTGCGTCCATGAAGACCACCGAATAAATACTCTTCTCGATCCGAACGAGTCCAAAGTAAACAATTCCAGCCTGATCCACCAAGTTGTTTAAGCTCGGAGTGCGCAAATGATGGTTATAGAGCAACTGCCAGGTGTGCTTGATGTATCCAGACTTGCAGTAAGGGAAGAAATCGGGCTCAGAAGACTCCAGCAGCGAAAACACGCGTGAGCAAAACTCTTGCTCGCCCGCAGTCATGGTCAATCGAGCCGGGTAACTCGACCAGGCAACAATATCTGCAATCAGATCATCTGGTAAAAGCTGGAAGCCTGCCCGCGACAAGAATTTAGAGATGACCTTCACATCAGTAGAGTAGTCCAGAAGCACGTGGCACCCGAACACCAACCACGGCAGCAAATTGTCCGAAACCGCCAGTCCCTCGGGCGTCTCCAACAAATGTATCCTGTCTCCTTTGGTCTTCTGTTGGCGTATTTTGACGTGGTAAATGGCAGCTGGAAGCACGTTATGGGCCATCCAGTTTTTCCGCTGCCGAGCAACCCATCCAGAAAAGCACCGGTAGTACTCGTGCATCTCGTCCACATGATCGTTGAGACTCACGGTCCCGAGAACCTGCTGGACAAACAGCTCCATGGTCTTGTTGAGTGCAGTGTGGAGCTGATCTTGGAGATGCTGATAGTAAGCGATTCGAACTTAAATTAGTTGCAGGAAACCATCAGACGCGCGTTTGAAATTACAGTACTGTACTGCAAGAGGGATGACAGAAGGTGTTTTCCGGGGTACCTCGAAAAACGTCACGTGATGGATATGGACGTGACAATTTTAAAAAACTTCGATTGTGGACGGATCCACTACCAAAATACTCCAAATCTTTTGATGAGGCCAGTGATATCACTCATTAGGTGATAAGTGCACTTTCTGAGACCGCGACAAATAAGGAGATGCGAACATCTGCCTGAGTTGGATACATTATTGAAAGAGGAGGAGGACGGGGTTCTTATCTGCCAAGGCCCATTCCAGCCACTGTACTGTACTCGTACCCGCAGTTACTCTGTCTCCGGGACTGCCAATAAGTCCCTCAGTTCAATACGTCTTGACTCTTAACCCTAGCTTAACCGTAAGATCTCAACGTCAACGCATCTTCTGGTTTATTGGGTGGTATGAGCTACTGTACCAGTACAAGTACCGAGAAAAACAGAATTGCAATCTTTAGAGCAGAGTTAGTGTCAGTTTGACTGAGGCAAGCAGTTATGTATAAGCAACTCCATACGTTTGGTTGAGCATGTATTCATACCAGTGTTTTTTTTCGACTACTGGAACAGAACAACAGCATAGAGATGTACCAAAACTAGATAAAAGGGTCTGATCTTCTTCGTTGCACTTATTTACCACTATTAAATAGCGAAGCCTCTTCAGATTGCGTTTCATTACTCGTGCGGGGTCTCCCATATACCCTCGTACACCTGCGAGGCTCGGAATTCAGTCCAATCGAGTTCCAAAGTTATTGTACATTCAGAGTGAGCAAGACATCTTCAGACGTTCAATAGGTGGCATTGGTACAGCTACACGAAGTCGCAATTATTGCTCTTCCCTCATTTCCCGTATATCTTACCAAAAAGCATCTCTTACACCACGCTTTAGAAGAAGCCAGAGACACAGGAGGATACGTGGGTACAAGTACCTGATTAAAAAAAAACGGTTATATTTGCTTTCCAACGATTAATAATCTTCTCGACTAGTCTTTAACTCTCACATTTCTGAACTCTGCGGTATCGTCCTCTAATACGTGCAGTAGCCCCATCAAGGGGACGGCACACACCTTGAAGGTAAAGAGCCTCTTATGTGATATCAAGTGGCCGAATAAAGTCCACGAATGAGCCACTAGTCCGTGCTAGTTAATTGTTTCTCGGAGATCTAAATGATTTACGAGCACGCGGCCTTACCTCGCTACGAGCGAGCCTCCCTAGCTCCCACCTGGCCTACTAGGCTTACTTGCCGCTCCTGTGCGACAGTGCGGCTATTCAAGGAAGATCAAATCAAAGACTCCTTCCATTCTCCTCGAGTCCAGACTAAACTCAGCCCAATATATTCATCTCATCCCATTGAACTTTGCTATTAATAGAGAAGAGCTGTCGAAACGAGGGGGTACCGGACACGGAGGTCCAGGAGTGGTTGAATGTCCCGTACCACTATTCACATCCACCATCATATAGCAAATGTCTATCGATCATTTTCTACTTGCAATTCCTACCAGCAGCTCTATCAATCAGCTCACTTCTCTCCAGCAATGTTACATTAGCCTTCTCTCATCCGCTTTCAGATTGATAAGAAGCGAAAAAGATCACACTGGCCCGAACGTCTATCCACCTGTAAGCCAAAGGAACTAGTTGCAAGAGGTCTCAAAGTTGGACTGATCGTCAAGGGTCAGTCAGAAGACTGAATGATAGACAGAGGGGTAAACAGGCAGTGCAACGTTGCCCGTCCCACTACAGTCATAGCTCTTATAAAAGAGTATGGTTCTACTGTGTGTTACGAGCAACATTTCAACGTCTGCGTTATATAAATAAGACTCAATAATAGCCAAGTTTCTTCTTTTACACTCGGCTTTTGCCCAAAAAAATGCCTGCACTGACCTCCACCAATCAAGGAAACAAACGAAATCCACATGCTAACGCACAGGAACCTACAGGAACCGACATCATGTCTCAAACAACGCAGGTGCCAAGAACCGATATGCTTTTAGCCTTTCTTGGCGGCGCTAAGTGTACACTCCTGGACGTTGCCAAGAGTAGGCTAATGAGAATGATAACACCAACTAGGACGCAATTTCGACACTTTTGTGTGTGATCGAGTTGATCATTGATATTGGACACTTCCAAAGGCTCTCGTAGATGTCAATATGTCACCGAATCTGGTCTGTTCCGAGTCTGACACCTCTCAATAAAGTTGCCAGTGTCAAACCCTACACAGCCATGCTCAGTTGATTCCGCCCTTTTGAAGCAGTCCAGGGGGTCGTGGAGCTATCTGACAGAAAAGTGAACTAGATCACGTCACTCAGCGAAGGTAGGAGAATAGAATGGTCTCAATATTACCCACTAGAATCTCCTTATATCATTCTCCTATCCCACCACAGCACATGTCGCTCACTCCATCCTACCCCCCCTTCGTATGTCCTTCTCGCATCATTTAAGCGAGGGTATCACGTCATGGAGGCAATAAAAGGGGTAGTACGGGGCCCAATTCGGCCGTGACACAATCTAAAAGTGGGATCGCCGTTTGGAGATGGATCTAGCAGATGTAGAGCACCTCATATTGCTTGCGCCCTCGGGTGCCTACACATAGCTATTGAGTTGCCGGGCGATATTTACTTATTCAGGTTGTTTCGAAAGATTAGGGAGATGAGAAGACCACTTCAAAATATAGAAAAAGCTGGGGTAAACTGGAATATTTTTCTCCCGACTAAATCCGCCTTATGGGTCTATTTTAATCGTCTTTTAGGTCCCGTTTTTGGACCCACAATATAAACTTTTGCCCTGTTTCATAAATGCAACCCGACGGATTCGGGGACGAAAATCTCGCCTTATAATCACGTGATTAAAATTCAAAGCGAATTTTTGAAATCAGCAGAGCGAGAGGAGCAATTTTATATAGCTATTGTCCAGTTTTGGGCCATGTCTCACATCCTTCATATGTCTACATTTCCCGCTAAATACGGAGTCTTGGCTACATTATCGAGAGTCTATTTTCTGGTGGAGGGATATTGCTCGTTATGTTTGGGTTTCAAGTTCCTGGCGCGTAGTCGGAGTTGCGGGACATGGTAATACGGGAATAAAAACAGCACGGTTGGATTTGGGCGACTTGTAGGATGCAAATGGTGTAGTCTGCATTTCGATAGGACGAAATCTGAGCGAGCAGGACTCCCTTTCAAACTCTGGCCTAATACCCACTCTAGATGTCCTGAAAAGTATTTAAACAGACGGTATTCGCCTCCTATAGTCTCTCATCATACACACCATCATCCAACACAACCAAAAATGAAGTTCACCTACATGCTCACCGCCCTGGCTATTGCCCCCGTTGCCCTTGCTGCCCCTGCTCCCGAGGGTCTCGAGATTGTTGCTCGACACAAGAAGGAGAAGAACGAGACCAAGCACCACAAGGAAAAGCACCACAAGAACAAGCACCACAAGAACAAGACCGAGAAGCACCACAAGAACGAGCGACGAGAGGTCACCCAGCTTCTCATGTAAGCGCCTTGACGGTCTTACCGGTTCGGCTTTTTGTTCTACAATGATATAATAGATTTATGAGTTTTCCTTTGAACGTTGAATTAGAGAGTACTCTGTAGATATTTACACCATCAACCTGGGTTCATGGGTTATAGCCCTGAATATGCCTCTGCGAGTGCTGTGGGTACTATACGTATGTACTATTCCACTGTCACGGTCGTTAGTATGAAACAGAATCAGTAATTAGAGCACATGAGAAGGAAATGTCCAGTCAACTGAAGGTAACATGTTATCAGTATCAGATCTACCCCTTGAGTGATAGCACGGATACTACAACTCTGTAGCTTCGCTCAAGCCAGGAGATTACATCAACTCCGGCAGGGAAGTACGATTCAAGTCACGTTCCATACCAGAGACTTCGAAAGTGGGAGTTCAATGAACAACTAATTCCTTATCGACTATAACTTACTGGGTTGGGTGTGTCCTATTAGGAGTCATACGGTTGCTGTTCCCCACGAGTGATATGTAATCTACACCAACGGACCTGTTTGATAATGAGCATAGACACCCACTTCCATTTCTTTGGAACTTGCGCGTGAGAGTACCAATACTTCTTCAAATGATCCGTCCGTATCGAACAAAACTATCGACAAACCCGTGAGAATTACAGAAGCCACTCGTATGAACCACATGAGAACCTCGAGAGATGCACTACAATTATCCACACAAACATCATCTTTTCTCTTTAGCTATTGACTCTTTCCTCTATCTCGATGAGTCACGGAGAGGTCTTCATTTTGTCCATCTCTTTCATTTATCTTATAGCTACCCTCATCCAGTCGTGAACAACAGAATGACAGTGTGTACTTGACAGTCCAAATTTCTGATATCTCTAACCTGGGTCTCCACAACCACCCCATAAACCCACCAGTCGTGCAGCTGAGGCAGTGCATATAAACGAAGGGCCTCTCGAAGGCTTGGCACCATCTCTTGGCACCAGCTTATCAATTGTATTTATTCGCCTCAGAAAACCACGACGGCTTGTCCTGCGGATTTCCAAACATGTGGAAAACAGACACGCAGGCGAGGCAATCACAGAGTACGAATAGGAGACCAATGAACTTCATCGGAGCCATCATGGATATATTGGAGGGAGTCAATCTGTCAGATCTACCCACACGACCAACGGAGATCATATGGGAAGTGCTAACTATACTGAACTGGCTACTTGTGGCTCTAATCACACTTGTCACAAGAGTATGGACATGTTGGAGGCAGTTCGAGTCACTGCAGACGTAGATCGATACACAGGTGATTTGTTGGTGGGAGTTTCGAGGAGCTTGAGAACATTTCCAAGTAAGGCTCTGGGTCAGAACTGCCAACTAGAACTCATGGAAATCACTCAACGCAGTCCGTCGAGATGCAATCTTCGAGCAGCAGACACTTGGCTTTTTCGGATTTCTACCTATGTGATTGATAAGCTGTATAGATGGCGCTTCATGGTAAAAAAAGTGCAAACGGAGCTGCTGGCGGCATGCGTTTGTTGGCTTCGTACGAGGTATGGCACATATTGTACTTGATGTTGATGTCTTATGAATTGCGATGAAACTACGTACCCTCGGGAATGTGTCTCTTTTTGTATCTCTCTATTGTCGTGGTATTGTTACTTCGGTAACTCGGTCCATTGGCCATATCCACGACTCGGTGTGTTGCAGACAGACGAATGAGATCTGGTTTGCAGCTAATAAACACCGACGAGTAGAAACCGATGTAAAGTTGGGCAGTTGCTGATGGGTTAGATGATACTAATTTTATTGAAATAAATACATTATGATGTGCACTTGTTGCACGGCAGAACCCGTGTCGGACGGCCTGCAATTATTGTGAGTATGAATGACAGACAGAAGACACACTTCTGTTACCTAGACAACATACTACTCAACGGAGATAAACAGCGGACAGTGCGGCCCATTGTTTCCTCTTAGAACCACTGCCCCTCCTTAATCGCACTGGCATAATCTTCAGCAGAAATTTGAGGAACACCGAACGCAGAAACTGGCCTAATACTGGGGCTACCTTCCCCATCTTTAGGAACATAGAGCGATTGTCGCAGAGCGCCCATGTAATCCTCCTTGACGTAATTGTTGGAATAAACCGACGAAGACGAAGAATCAAACCGGTAATGTCGAGATCGGTACTTTGACCGGGGAGGAGGCACCAGATCATTGTCTGTGGAGTACAGAGTGAAAGGACGAGCTGGAGGCACAGCAGGAGTCACGTGAAGAGGTTGGGTCGTACCTTGTGTGTGGAAAGACTGTGTATGAGTCACGTTTCCATGGCTAACAGGCTTTTCAAAGCTCACGTTGACAGAAGCACATGAAGAGGGCGAATCCACCAGCGACGGAGTCGACATGGTCGTGGAGGTCGAAGGTGACATGGTGAAGGTGGACGACGAGTTGCGGTCGTCGAGAGAGGGTGTATTGAATGGGCTGTCGTTGGACTGTCGAGATTGTCTGTTGCCAGAAGACATGGCAAAGTCTCTAGAATGGCGGTTGCCAGAGGAGAAGACAAGGTCACGTGATTGTTGATGAGAGAGCTGCTGGTTAGGGAAGTCACGTGACTGTCGGTTACTGGGCGTCTCGTCTACGCCCTCCAAATGATAGTACCGGCTGATGGTGCTGGCAAGAGCAGGGTCCATGTAAGCCGAGACCGTGTCGACAGAGGCAATAGACATGTTGCGCTGATGGATATCGCGTGATGAAGACAGTTGAGGAGATGTGTCTGTACACGTGATAAACGAGTCAACAGAGGGGTTGGGTATGTGCGACTTGACCGGAGTGTTAGTCATTCCATAGGTACCAATGTTGTGAGGGGGAGTAGGAGGTGCGTTAGCCATGTGATTGGATCTGTGATTGGATCCGTAGTTGGAACTGTGACTCTCGCTCGCAACCCTGCTCTTAACAAACTGAGAGGCATGTGTCGGTTGGGGCGAAATGCAAGATCCATTGTGCGACTTGGTTCGCTTAGGAAGATGCGAACACGACTTGGACTGGCTCATTTGAGGTCTCTGGACAATAGGCGGCTTGGGTAAGCTCTTGTCACGTGACTGGATGTTGATTGTGGGGGGTGATTGAGCGTGTCGTAGAGATCGTGATGAGGTGTGGGAGCCGACCGCGTTTGTTGGTGCGTGTCGGTCGTGCGATTTTCGTTCGCATCGTTCAAGTTCACTGAGGCCAGGTCCCGGTTGCCACTCGCTACCTGGTGTGGTAGGAGTGCTCAAGGGAGACTCAAAGAAGCCGTTGGACACCGACTCGGGGGCGAGCACGGACTTGCGGTCACGTGACTCGCACTCGACGCGCTCGCCCAGCCAGTAGCTTTCGTCGATCGTCGTTTTGGGGGTATTTTTCTCCGTCCACGCCTGCAGTTTGGAGTCGTCCGAAAAGTCGAGCTGGTGGAAGTCGAGATTCAGGGTATCAGCGAAGTCGAGATCCAGTCGGAGCTGCTTGGGCGGAGGCACCATGGGTTGGAGCGAGGTGATTGTTGTCTCATCATCGTCGTCGTCGGACTGTTTTCTCAGAAAAGGCGACGATTTAGACCGAGTGATGGTTTTGAACGTTTTAGTGAGTGTGCGGGAGATAGCCATGGTGGTCGAGCGGGTTCAGATAGGGGACGGGCAAGAGAAAGGGGGCTCGGAGGCACTGACAATGTGGACAACAGATGTTCTGTTATGTTGACAGTCTTGTGGTCTTATATGTCGTGTTAATGTTGTGTTTACCAACCGGTCGTGTTACAGGTCGAGTATGTATGATGAGGCTGATACAATGCGAGATTGGCTTAAACAGCAATGGTAGGAGCCGTACAAGAGTGTAAGCCTCAGATGGAGTGAGAGAAGAGAGAGAGAGGAGAGCGTGTCGTACAAGGCGGTAGGTCGTTTGTTTTTGTGCCTCGAAGGTGGTGGACGTTTCTGATGTCGCCGGTAGAGAGGTCTGGAGGTAAGGATTGGGAAGAGGTGAACCGGGGTGGTGGTGTGGTGATTGATGAGATGGAGGAGGAGTGGAGGAGGGCAGAAGGAGTCTGTTGCGAGTGGTGGAAGGTCGTCCGAGTATCGTCGCCAGCAACGAATGAATGAATGAGTGACAGAAAGTGTGTGATCGTCTCTGTTTTAAGACATTAGTACACACCACACCATATCCAGGATTTTTACCTACCCGTCTTATTTTTTTCGTTTTCTGCACAACTTTGTTTTAGCGTTTAGCGTTTCGATGCAACTCAATATCACACCTCTTTGGGCCTAGGTAAGGTTCTTTGTCCCTAAAATGGAAAACTCTGCGTCGGTCACGTGATCAATTATCTATCCTCAACGGGCAAAGATGTGATTTCGGTGATAGTCATGTACGGTGAGGAATTTACGTGTTCTTTTTACGTGTTTAATTGCGTCTGCGGGCGGCGAGTTTATTCCCAGCAACTTTTCGTAGGTAGCCTCTACAGTATAATGCCGTTGGACGATACTTGCATTGTGTTTCCAGCTGAAATTCCACCTGTTGGACAGATAATACCCGGCTCACATGCAATCAAACACGTTTACGTAGGGGCATATTCCCCTTCGCTAGGGGCTCCTTCAGCATAATTATGTAAATACATTGCGTGACGGCGATATTTTCAGCTTCACTTTTCAGTTCGCTGATGAGCTCATCATCAAGCATCAACCCACCAGGGCTCGATACGTCCCAGTTTGGGGCCTATTGTTCCGAAAACTGCACCCATCTGCGCCTGACAACAGGTGGAATGGGCTGCACCGCTTTGAAATGGATTCTCTACCCCAAAATTCCGACTTTCCTCCAACAGTCGAACTTTTCCCACTCCCCATGTCTCGCACACATTACTTAAAGTTGCACTATTGGCTAATTAACGGGAGAAACAAAACAAGACAATAGTAGGAGCCAGAGGCGGGAATGGGGACAGTCTGAAGGAAGACAGTAACATCGCGCGCGCACCCGCCCTCCGTCACATGATCCAAATTGAAACAAGTTTCCGCCCCCTCAACAGCTCCCTGGCCCCGTATTTTCATAGCCGGCAGTCTATCCACACTATGGGACAATATTATTTACCGTGTCTAAACCCTAACCACCCTTGTCAGACTGAGTTTGGACCCTATTTGGAGGTGCAGATAATATTTGGGCTTTGTTTTGGTGATCCTGGAATGTGAGAAAAAATAGGGGGTCCTGTTCAAGCTGGCACAGAAGGTGGATTTCGAGGACCTAGAAAGGGTGGAATTGACCGGAGGGAATTGTCGCAACAATGGCCGACAGACTGGTGACTATTCCCTCACCCTCAAATCGCCGTTGTTGTTGTTTTAGCAGTTCCCAATTTGGCTGCTTACTGTGACAGAAACCACACTAAAAAGCACGGACGGGCTCGAAGGCTGCCTTGACTAGCATCAAATACCCAGCCCTGTGACCGCAAAAAGAAACGTCACCGCCAGTGAGCATGCGGGAGTGAGAGCGTCAGCGAGTGACGTATGTGGGGTTGTACGGTACGATTGCCGGTACTGTACTGGTGCTGTGCGATATCGTATAGTGTCAGCCAGACAAGACTACTGTATGTAGATAACAGTTATTGTCCATAGTTTACAGCCATGGGTTGTAGCGCGTGTGCGATACATTCCTACCAACTCCTAATATGTTCACCATCCCACAAGTGCTGGTACAGGTACAGTACCTTCAGCTGGAGACAGACCTTGGGCACCTATAGATACAAGGTCCAGCGCCGAGTGACAGACACTACCAGCCATCATGGTCAGACTCCGTCATCTGCCGTCTGGCAAAACCGCACTAAAACAACGACAGTCTATAGTATCACCAGTAGTCTGGTATTCAATGGTCAGGTGCAGTAATACAGTAAAAGTCCAGTCCAGTACAGTACCAGTGCATCCAGAAAAGCTGTACCATAGCCACAAACTAGCGCAGTTCACCTATGGAGCACAGTGAGTAAGTTGTGAACAGGGTGTGATTGACCAGGGTGTGAACAAGTCGTCTTAGCATGTGTCGTCCACCTACACATGACAGTGACATCAGCAACCCAGGCTGCTGCTTTCCATATTGGAAAAGCCTGTGCCATGTCGTACTTGAAAAGCAATTCGAGACGCATGTCAGGTCCTGCAAGGATCACATTTTGCACCACATTGAGCGTCTCCAGCGCCGTATCCAGCCGCTTTTCATCTGTCAAAGGTGACACATTGTTATAGTGGCCCGAAACATAGTCTACGAGTCCAACCGTGCTGACAATTTTTGAGAAGACCTAGTCTGTAGCCGAAAAGGGGCTTGTTGCATCCCAGAGCGCGGTTCTGTAGGAGCGCAGCACACCCCTGACACCGCCATGCTTCTTGTAGCTGGGCTCCATCACCAATATCCACTTTGCCACATTCGGAAAGATCGACAAAGTGACTCAACTAAAAGAGATACAGAGTTGGACCCAACGCTAACTAAAGCTGAGACTGAGTTAGCAGTTACGAGGTGCATACAGTCACCGGAGGTGGAGCAAGAGAATGATCACCAGAAACGCATTCAGACCTGCTGCCGAAAATCCGATTGGTGAATTCTGCTCAAAATTGAAAATAAACCCCCGCTGTGTCTTTCATCTTTTCGATAGCTCCAAAAATGACCATATTAGTAGCACCCAATACCATCTCATAGTGTCTAATAACACCCACCCATTATGCACAGAGCATATGCTTGTAATACCACAACTCTGCCAGAACTGGTCCTAGAGCGCCTCTGAAACGTCCAATCAACTCCTCTCCAGCTCCTCTCCACGCTCGTATAATCAGCTACTCGACTCTTTCCACCCATCATCCACAAAAACAGGTCTCCACCATCATCTCTGCCCATTTGATTTCCTCCCAAAAGGTGCACTGTCTATGCAGCCAATTTTTCAACTTTGTAAACTGACATTTGTGCATACTACCTCCACCGCTGCCCAATAGCCCTCACAAATGTCTCTGCCGCTCCCTTGACTGCGCAAAAATTCCTCCCGCTGCATCCGGCTGGACCAGGAGATTCCACACGTGAAATTTCCTTCCAATTCGCCCGTTATTACGATCTAGCGCAGCAAAAAGCTGCTTCCGGACACAAACAACGTTTCCACCCCTTACTTGTCTGCTGCTGCCTGTGCCTGTATCATGGTTACTTTTTGCTTGTCTTAGATGGAGGTGGAACCGGACGGAGTCAGTTTCTGACCATAGGCATGGCTGGAGGCCCACAACAGACGGCAGCAGTACAAACTCCATGTCGCTGTGGGTGTATTCATCTCCTCGGCTCGCTCAACTCCGTCTCCATTAGTGGATCTACGCAAGTTCCAGCTTTTTCTACTGCCCCGAGATCGACACTGGCCCAAAGCCTCGCGCCTTTAGACTAGTCTGTGAAACGTTGAACTTGGCTTGGGCCAAATAATATCGTCTGAACTGCGAATAGGGGGTGTGAAAAATCAAAAAAATCCTCATCAGGGAAAAAAAGGGCATGGAAGAATGAACGACAGTGTTGAGGGTTGACGCAACCTGTGGCATGAATTGGTCCACGGAGATTGTTTTCACATTGAAATCATCTGCTCCCCTCTCTCCCGTTATTTCTATCCGCAATACAGCACCACCCATAACCATACATACAACTGTCGAAAGCAGTAGTCTAAGAGGAACGTAAGGGGCCAAAAAATATGGATCTACCGCTGTTACAGTCGAATTCATCAATGACAATGGATTTGTGTCTTTCATGTATCCAGCGCTGCTAGCGTATGTATGTCCAGGACAGATGAGGGATGTGGACAGAAAGGAGGGGGGTGAAAGGGAGGTGCTGTAAGCGTGAGGAGATAACCATTCAACTCCCCTTGCTCAGGAGAATTTATTAATGGAGTTATTTTTCCAGTCCCATCAGAACTGGTCCAGCTGCTCTCCCCTTCCCTTCTAGATCGATGTTACATCTGGAGCCAAGCAGGGACGCTGCCGATCGAAGATCGACACTCTACAGGTACGAGTAGCAACTGCTGGAGTGGCTCGTGATGTGTGCATGAGCAGCCAGGCGGGTTAGGGTGACAATGTGTGGAAACGACACGAGTCACGTGCAGTTAGTGGGTGGGTTGTAGACGGTTGTGAGATTATCGTGATGAAAGAGCGATATGGGAAGATATTGGGTCTACTATTGTGGTTTGAGACATCAGGGATATCCATGAGAGGTATTTTTTTCCTGATCCCATCAATATTCAAGCTGTAGTGAGTTGTACTGAGTGGCTCTTGCAGGTGTGAAAATGTGATTGTAAATGAATTGGGCTGGGAGTGAGAAAGACGAGTGATGGTAGAGTGGAGAATAAGAGAGTGCAGAAGAAGATTACTAGACTTTGTCATTGTTTAGTTGAGTGGCAGGTGAATTGAACGAGATTGTATGTCAGCTATTCTAGTTGAAAGTTCTAAAGGTAGATAAGATGTTCAAGTAATAATGATGCTTTACTTAGTGGTTTAATGGAGTTAAAAGAAGCTCCTCAGATACTCAGTTGTAGAGGTCGGAAAGTTCTCACGTGAATTCGTAGTGGTTCTAGTAGCTCTTTCGAAACCACCAATAGCTCATTCGAAGCCACCAATAGCCTCTCAAACCCACTCCAAAGCACCTGAGATTGGCTCTCATGTTTTCAAAGTCATTCCTTCACTTGGTTAGTTAATGGTAGCAAAAGAGTGGTGCTCTAGAAATCTATTCCACTGGCTGGCAATTATCCATCCATCAACTTCTCTACTCTTTACCACCTCTGCTTCTCATTCTACACAAGACTTTCAACTCTGGTCTCCCCCTCTCAATTTCGGCCTCACTTTTCTACTTCAAAATAGATACTACACCTTTCCATTTGTGGAAACTTCTTACAACGGTCTCTAGACGCTATATACGCTATATTTATTACTAAATATCTCATAACTGCTTGTTATCAATCCCTACAGCCACATTTGCCAAAAAGCAATACCAGCAGCCGCCTCGAGATACTCAGATAACTGCAAAATTTGGATGCACTTACGAAGTTCAGCGAGAAAAAGCACGGGGAAAGGCACGGGAACAAGTACCGTTTTAACACCCGCAAAGTCTGTATTTTGGCCCGGAAAGGGGAGAGATTGGTCTGTAGATACTGGAATATGGCATTTGTGGAGCTGAAAACGGATCAGTGGACTAATTGATGGGCTATGATTCGATGGTTATTGGCTTTTAAAATCAAATTTGCCATATACAATGAAACCCTTGAAGAAATTAGATAGTTCTCACAGTATAGCAAAAGACCGAGTTCCAACATCAAACCTCCACTTTTTCGGGTTAAAACACTTTTCGTTGATGGCTTGCACCTACATTACCAGAGAAAACTTCTTGTCTCTGATCTTCTCCGCTTCTATCGTGCGCTGGTGGGCCGTTTACCACATGGCTGGCTCATGCAGCAACCTCGAGATGGGTGTCACGAATGATGTACACCGACTGTTTGTGAGTACAGTACTTTACTTTAACAGTGTGGAATTTGGTTATTTAATTTAGTTGATGTATCGGTTTACCCCATTGTTCACTTACCAAGTTGGTTAAGTAGAATACAGTACATACTTGGAACACTTTCAATAGCGCTAATAACGAGTACTGCACGGGTCCGTGATCATATTGCTTATAAAAAGGTCCCACCTTTTTTTTTCTACATGGAACTCTCTATTACCATTCATTTAGTCGGTCTCAACTTCTGTCTTTCGTCTACTTAGCTACCCATTCGACTATAGTGCACTCTCGCACAAGTCAACACTCCCCGATCAATAATTTCTAGCTATTATAGAATAAAAAAAACCCCCCACTAGTATCTCAATGGATCAGTAGACCTCCTATGGGTTTCCTGAGCGCAGAATTTACACTAGCAGAAAAAATATGGGCTATCGTACAGTAGCATAAGTAAACAGGCGGTTGGAAAAAAGAAAGGGACACTGTGGTAGGACGAATAGACGTTAGTCTCTTGTTCTGAACATCCCATTGCAATTTCAAGACCCTGGGGATCATTTTGGAGTTTGTTTTGTTACCTGAATCTCCTCCGATTGGTTTCTTCTTTCAACCAGCCCTCTTGTCCACACCTATTACACTGTGGAATCATCTACTTGAGGGGAAACGAAAGGTGGTGTAATTTGACGCTATATTATCCTACTGTTTAGCACTGTGACACTCCAGCGTATCATTGAGGATCCGGGAATTGCTGTGGGGTTTCGACTGAGTTCTGCCAGACACCAACAGGATGGAGTAGGAGAAAAGTAGAAGTTGACCTTGTAGCAACTGCAAAGAGAAAGTAATTATCAAGTAGGGCGTTACCATGTATTACAAGTATAGTATAACTTACAAGTTGCCGTGCTCGTACAAGGTAAAACTTGGAGGTTTGGGCCGAACAATCCACTCTTTATACCTACTCGTTGGTACTGGAAGCCGTCATATCGGTAACGTTGATGACTTGAGAATTGAGACACATTCATCTCCAAAAACACAGTAATGATAATATACTCTTTCTTCTACAAACAGACCAGTATTATCCTGCAATATTGTACACTATGTACTTGTCGAGTGGCTTGCTCTACATGAATCTAAGAAAGTGCGTGTTTGGCAAATGGAACGTTGACGTGATTAAGACCAAATCCCCGAGTCTATCAGAGCTCATTATACAATATATCGGAAGATTGAGTATGAAGGAGCTTGCATCCTTCTCGATATTCCTGCTCAAACAGCATGTGGAACATCTACAGGTTACGACAGACGCAACAGAACTTCAATTGACAAGTGTACAGTGTACAGACTGGGAGATTTTAAATGATTGTCGCTAAACGATTGTAAAAACGTAGAAGATTGCAGCACCGGAGATTCTCGTATGGTCTCCCAAAACAGTACCAACTGGGCTCTCTGGTGCTAGACTATGACTGATGGGACGGGAAGCGGTATTTTCACCAGGATATGGCCTGGACCAGTGCTACGCCGACTGGGACTCGACTCGGGAACCCATCGATCGCAACGATGGATTTTCCACTAAACCATCGGCACTTATCAATCCACAGGGGGGAGGAGGAGCAAAAGTTGTAAAGGGGGATTACGTAAGCCCCATACTTCCTTACAGCAATATTATTGGTATCAATAGGAATCTATCGGTTTAATGATTAAGTAATCGAAGTTCTCTTTCAATATATATCCTTTTCTATCGTTTTATGTTATGTTGTGCTTGGTTAAACATCACTACTGTACATACTTGTCAGCTCATTTTCTCTAGAAACTTCATATTTACAATATATATACTATGATCTGCTTTTCAACTCTCTAAGAGATTCAGCTGGTTGCTCGGCAGGGTCGAGTATTCTATAAGAGTTGCTGCAGGAGTCCTACTACATCTCGTGCATCTCGTTGGGCTTGCGCTGGAACCAGAGATCCTCAGAGAAGGATGAGTGTTCAACCAGAGTATCCAGGGTGGTATCACTGGTGGTATCGTCGTCGGTAAGGTCTCCGAGGTCGGGAGAATGACCAGGAGAAGGGTAGTCGTCGACAGGTCCAATCTCCTCTGTACAAACGTAGCAGGAAGTAGGAGAGAGAGGCTCCTCTTCTGGGCTGTAAGCAGGGGTTACGACCAGAATCTCAAACTGGTCTAAATCACGTGGACGAGAATTTCGAACGTGCTGTCGTTTGACTAGTCCAACGTTCTTGCCCTGCTGCTGGATCGCAACAGGAGACAGATAATGAGGGAGGTAGTGCTCGTCCTCAGACAGTTCATCATCTTCGAAATTCTCTTCTCCAAGCTTAGATTCGTGACGAACGTAGTTGACCTCGTACTCACTGTCCACGTCACTCAGAGCGTCAAAATCAGTTTCATCTCCGGTCAACGTGGACTGCGAGTCATTGTCAAAGGCGTAGTTGGGCTCAAGAATATTGAACGAAGGGATTTCCTCAGGGGCAAAGTTGACTGGCTTTGGAAATAGGTCCATTGGACAGACACTGTCTGGGGGATAGTTCATAGACTTAGTCTGGAAAGAAGGACTTGAGTCGTAGAAAGCCGAGTAGTTCATGTTAATGGCTGTTTCAAGCTGAATGCTGAAATTGAGGAAGCAACGACAACTTATAAAGATGTTTTCCAAACCCGAATACCATCCATAATACTCCAATTCCCTCACCTTACCAACTGGGCATAAATGAATTCATCTCCGTCGCATAAAGCAGGTGGAATGCTTGTTCCTGCATGGATATCAGGGGAAATGAATAACTAAACAATATGATGGAGTAATGCTTGGTTCTCCATTACATGTTCACTCAACCTGTGACCAAAAAATCAACTCTACCTGATGTGTAATCAACACAAAAAACACCCCATTTGACCACACCATGATACCAGATACTGTATTGCTCTCTCAATTGGTTTCTGGTCAATCATGACCGGTGCAATAAACTATCTGGATATTGGACTCATTTCATTTTCCCATATGCTATGGATCTCTACTGTTCATGCACATAATCCGTTTATTCAGCCCAATATGCTGAGCATGAGAGATCACCATAGACTGGGGGAATCGGAGAATCAGAAGAAGGCATCAAGTAAATATTTGTGTCAATCGAAACCGTAATGTAGCCGTAAGGCAGTGGTTTACTAATTATTTAGATATTGAGAAAATTGATGGCATTATTTGCACTTTTCAGACATGTGCAATTGAAGCCAGAGTCTCAGTCTTGGTCTGACAGAGAAAGGAAATGTGCCCAGAAATGAGCCGTAGAGAGTTGAAAATACCTATTAAAATATCGTCTAATCTCTAAGTATCAACTCACCGGTATTACTACTACCTTGTTATTCAGGCAGGTTCACTGATATCCGCATCATACATCAATCACTCACACCCACCACCCCATCAAGCACTCAACAACACAGATATTCACGTACATTGACACACACTACCGATCCTTGTATCGAATTTCTATGAGTCTCTCTCGGTATCTTTGTTTCTTTGCTTTTCTTTTAATTAGAAATACATTTCAGCTATTTACTGCCAGGCCCATAACGGTGTTTAACCCGCACGTCGGACTCGGTTTCGGGATTACAATCGTGGTTGTGGTTTCCTCTTACTCCTCCTAAAGACCTGATAAACAATAAATTGAGCTTACTAATCCCACTTCAGGGCCCCCTCTCTGAAACGGTAAAGTGGTGTAAATATCGAGTTCTCAACATGCCATCATCAATCAACGAATCTCAAAAACCACCCTTTGAACCGAAAGAAATCCGCAACTAGAATAAATAATTTATGGAATAAAAGAACGAGAGCTTTTAAATCATTCCAACTAAACCTATCAAGTATCTGTATTGATCTTTTTGTGTGTGTTGTATCTGTAGTTCTCTCTCAACCATTCACAATAGGGCACTCCGAATGTTTATCTACACTTCCTTGCCAAATGAGTTCTCACACTCCTGGATAAACCATCTCATGGACTTATTGACCTCATCCAAAACTTCCTTGTCTTCAGAAACACCCAGTCCCACACTGATACCTTTGTCTTTAAGTCCCACAACCGAGTACTGGATGAAAGGAGAAATGCCTCCGGTACATTGGGTGAACCTGAGCTGCTCACAGGGTACATCCGAGCACGTCAAGTTGCTCATAGCAAACATGGAAGACCGCTGGTGGTTGTTTGTGTGCTTCTTGAAGTACTCCTGAAGCGAACGGACCCAGGGAATAAGTCCCACAGGTTGCATAAAGGGGTACCCTGAGAAGGTGGTCTGCTGAGTGTCGCGAGTAATTTTGGACTTGAATTGGTGGGCTATCTTAACGAAAGCACGACTAGGAACCCGCCCAATCACTTCTTCGGGCTTTGGGACAACCGTAGAAATGCAAATCTCTCCCACAACCACTCCGAGACGTTTGGGGTCCAGTTTGGGAGTGAAGTTTCGACCATTCAGAGGAACAAGACCTCGAACTGGGCCAGAAACTGCATCTGGATACTTGCGGTGAAGTACACCCGAAGAAGAGCTCACAAGAAGTGCATAGAGACCTGCCCCAACACTGAACCCATACTTCTTACACATGTTGTAGAAGGCACGTGATTGGAAAGGAGTAAAGTCGATAATGGAGTGATATCCCTTCCAATCATGTTTCTGAAGTGGAAGTGTCGACACCTTCTCGCTGAAAAGATACTCCTTGAACAGTTCCTTCAAAAGCAGAGTGAAAGGGGGAGACGCAACCAGCTGTTGTTCCACTGGCAAAGGTAAAGGAGTGGAAGGGTTAGGGATCGTGGTCAGAGAAACCAGGTCATGTGAAGAGTACTCCTGAAGTGCCTTGACAACTGTTTCGATCACAAACAACCCCGACATGCCGTCCAGAAGGGCATGATCGAAAAGAAACACAATCTCCTTGCCGTTGTTGAGCAGAAGCAACTTCCACTGTTGCTTAGAGAGGTCCAGGCGCACGTAGTGAAGGTCTGTAACCACATCTTCAAGCAGTTTGCTGTTTAGAGAATCGTCCACATAGTTGTTTAGTTTGGCTTCTCTCAGTTTCGTCATCTTGAATGTCCCTTCCTGGCCTGAAATTGACACTCCTAGAAGCGGTTCCTTCTCCAGGAGGATCTTGGCGGCGTAGAGAGCCCCCTGACGATTGGTGGGTTTGTATAGAGTGGCTGAAACAATCACATTCGAGTAGAGGCCGAGAATGCTTTGTACAGTGCCATAAGTTTCGTGGGGGCCTAGAGGGCGAGATTTGCAAGAAGCAGACATGGTAGACGGTGATGGCCACCATTAGAGCAACTTGTTTGGTATTTATATGTTCCCTTGGTATCGCCATAGCCATGATGCTGTCTATGGTTGTGACGTGGACTGATTAGGAAGGTGTAGAGAAGATGAAACGAATTTTCACTGAGGACATTTTTTTATAGATGCAAATGATTAGTTGGATTATAAATGTTGGTTTTTGGATGGCGTCTGTCGAACAACCATCACAAGTGGAGTATTCCATTCATTTTTTATCCCACTTTTATGTACCGACAAAGTAGGGCTCCAAATGGGGTTCCGGGTGTTTGACGTGACGTGACATTAGATGTGGGTCCTAAGATGACGATCAGTCATATTGTTGCTGTTTGTGGATCTGACAGATGTACCGAACATAAGGGGAAGTTAGTAGGGAGCCCTCGCCAGGTGTTTTGTCGTGCGTCCATCGACAGTATTTCTTGTGTACATGTGAGCTCTTCGAGGCCGATAAGGTCCTGGATTACACCTCCTTACCCTCCCCTTCTCCTCCGTCATCCTTTTTTTCATCCTGCTCTTCCTTTTTCTCCCCAGGCAACCCCTTTGGAACACCTGGAAATTGCATGGTCTTGATGTGCTCAGCTCGCTTTTTTGCTGCGGCCAACTCCTTCTTCTGGCGCACCCGCTGCGTGTAAATGGTCGGATGCAGGGTGTACTTTCTCGATTCGGGCACGGGTTCCGGTTCAGGCAGCTTCTTGTCCTTGAGAATCATCTCCTTGACCTTCTCCGCGTCCTCCTTGTCTTTTTCCTCTTCGTTCTTGTCGCTCTTTTTCTTCTGCGCGTCCTCCCATTCCTTCTTGACCTTTTCCTTCTCGGCCTCGAGCTGCTTCTTCTTGAGCTCGGCCTCTATAGCAGCGGTGTCCACAGGAGGATCGACCCTCGTGGCAAAGCCCTTGTCCGTAAGATGCGACTTGCAAATGTAGAAGAAGTCCGTGTTCGATTTGTCGATCAGAACGTGAGCCGAAGGCCGGTAGCAGATGTAACAGGCCTTGGAGGCGTTTTCCGCCACCTGTCGCAGAGTATAGTCGTTTTCCATTCTTCTCGTATGGTACTGATAAGACCTCCGTGCATCAAGTTCACGATGTGTGGGGAGGAGGTGTGGGGTGGTGAGTTCGATTTTGGCAGGCGACAATTTTTTGAAGCGTCATGACCACTGGCTTTTTGGAGGTAATGCACATTGAGAAATTGTTGCAGTCTACAACTAGTTCAGTAAATCATTAAAGCTGAATCACTCAACCATTGGCTTGGTGGAGACTTCTTGAGAGCTGATCTCAGCTAAACTATCGCACCACGGCTCCCAATCGGTTTAAGACAGAAAAAGTATCCGGACTTGACTTCTACACTGTCGTCTGTGAGTTGTATGGCGCTCAAAATGGTCTCGAACTTTGATCCAAGGGCTGAGAGAGAGCTGAGCAACAATGATGAGCACTTACAGAGCTGAGCTACAATGATTAGCACTTACGAAGCTGAGCTACAATGATAAGCACTCACTGGTCAGTAAAAGTATTTTTTTCGACCTGTAGTTATGTAGTCAAACAACCACCACCAACGCCACAGTGTATCGCACACACATGATATCCTCGTCACGCTGCGCGCTGTGCCCGGTTGCTTCAGAAGTCGCCCTTCTTTGCTCTGTTTTCTTTTTACATGTTGGTTTGCTTATTCTCGCTTGCCCTGGACTACATCTTGGCAAACCTTGGCGTGTTATCCGAAGGCTTGTTTAGACAAGGAATGGATATATATTGAAGATGCAAAATAAATAACGGGTGAATATAACGAATTCGAGTCAGGCGGTGGTCGTTGAAGCGGTTGGAGCGGAGGCTTGAGAGGCTCCTTGTTGACCTCCAAGGGTAATCTTGGGCTGACCTGGAGAAGCCTGGGCAAGCCGATACTGGCCCTCACTGAGCCTCTTGCCTTGATTGAGACAGTCCAGAGCCCAGTCAACAGAAACAGCCCGACCAATCACCTTGTCGTGCTTGCCGGCGGCGAAGTTGCGGGCAATCACGTGTGTCACTCCAGCTGTGATCACACGAGACACGCGGCCTCCATGAGCAATAATGTCCTTCTTGAGTTGCAAGTCAGAAACCCCGGACTCTGCCATATAGGAAATGTTGATTGTGCAGCCTGCAAAAATCGGCGGCTTGTCGGAAGGCGTCGACGTCACGGCCTTGTGGAACAGCATGTCTTTCACGGCCGTGGCTGACATGCGTTTTTTGGCCGGTCCATTTGCCACGGGTTTCTTGTCATTTTTCCTGCGGAAAATTTTGGCTGCGATTTTCTTGTCCATTGGAGCGCCTTCTGGCTTAGCTGTGTGTCTGTGTGTGAAAACTCGACTTGCGGAATCACGTTAGAGTCGATTCCAGCTCGGTTCTTGTCTCTGGCCGTCGTTTCGAGCGTACCAGAAGATATGGATGTCAGTGATGAGTCGCGCGGGAAAACAAAGTAATTTAGAACCCTGTTTGTTTGTTTTCGTGTGTTTTTGGCGTTTCGATGGGATTTGATGTGGACGATATGGACAAGGTACAAGTATGGCTGGAATCGGCGTGACGCGGAAAATCGAAATTCGGGCTTGGTTTTTTCATTCGACTAATACTACAAGTACATACTGTACAGAACTTGCACTCACAGAGTCCGACTGTATCACGTCAAGAAGCTTTGTTTGGCAATTGGCTAATATAACGCAGTCTTCAAGAGGACATTGTCAGCAGGGTTGTCGAGACATCCTGGCACTCAAATTGTGGAGACATTTCGGCACTCAAAATACCCCGTTCAGGAGATCCCAGCCGGTGTAACAAAATGCACTGCTCAGTTTCGCTCTACAGTGTCTATGGCACGAAATATCAACGTTGTTCCTTGGCGTATCTCATTACGATGTATACGAGCATCGAGCATGTACGGAAACATGACTGTCCTGATCTCTCCTTCTGGACAGCTAAATGAGACTGAAAAGAACCCTTAAAGAGATTTGGATAGCGCGGCAAACATGATTACAAGCTGCCCAATTTGAAAAATGCCAATTTCAAGCAAGTCTGCTGTAGCCCCGTGATCCCGACACTAGTGATAGGCGGGTTTAAACTGAATTAGAAATGTACACCAGGTAGAATGGGCAACGAAGGTGATATCGAAATGATATTTACACCATCGGAATCCTCGCTTCTTAGGGAACAGTATCCAACTCTCAGATGACGAAAATATCCGAATCTGGCCGAAAAAAACACCCGCCCGATTCTGATTAAGTTGGTGGCATTCTTCATGGGACTTGCAAGGGGGGTGGACGAGGATATGGTGTCTGGACGGGAAAAATCAGGGATCGAGCGGGATCGAGTCACGTGAATGAATCCATTTTTGACAGCTTTCATCCGATAGCCCCGTCTCCTTCAAGCGTCTCCTATTTTTGCCAAGTTTTCCCCGGAACTGAGACTTTTCCCGGGTATCCGTGTTCCGCTCGCGTTCATCGTATTTTCGAGCGTACGTGTTTTGGCTTTTGGGAATTTTAAAGTTGCGCAACCACGACGTTGACCCGGGGGATGAGGGCACCCAAACTGGGGTATTTGGAGCTCATAAACGTCCGAGAATACAACTGCGGATCATTGTCATATATATATTAGTTTCCTCCAAGTTTCAGAGCAATCGTGCAAGTGCATCACCTGATATTGGTGATCCTCCCCATCCCCCCCCACAAAGCTAAACTAAAGAGATATAAACATAAAGCCATCCACCCTTCCTTCGCAACCACACACACCATACAATGTCTGCTGTTCGACAACGTAAAAGTGAGGCACAGGAGTCGCTTGGCGACAGCTCGAAGATGACGGCTTCCCTGGCCAAAGCTGAGGATGCTGCTCACCAGGGCTACGACTTTGGAGGACCGTTTGGAGCTCTGGCAATGATGACGGGCTTCCCTCTGCTCATGTGGTACCTGTACATCTCGTCGACCTACTACGACGGTCTGTTTGCTTGGCCCGCCGCCAACCAGACCTGGTCCGAGTTTGGTCGCCAGCTGTGGCACTACTGGCTGGAGGGTTGCTACCCCACGTGGCAGGCCTGGGCCATGCTATGGATCTTCCTTGGCATCCAGGCCGTCTTCTACGTGACCCTCCCCGGCGTCTGGGGCCACGGTCTGCCCCTCGCCCACCTCGGAAACAAGGCTCTGCCCTACTACTGCAACGCTGTGTACTCCTTCTACACCTCCATTGTGCTGGCCTTTGTGCTCCACGTCACCGGCCTGTTCCCCATGTACACCCTGATCGACCGATTCGGCGAGGTCATGTCCGTGGCCATCATCTCCGGTATCGCCATCTCCTTCGGCCTCTACTTCTGGACCATCTACATGGGCCACGAGCACCGAATGTCCGGCAACTTCATCTATGACGTGTTCATGGGCGCCAACCTCAACCCCCGAACCGGCATCATCGACTGGAAGATGTTCTTCGAGGTGCGACTTCCTTGGTTCATCCTCTTCTTCACCTCTCTGTCTGCCGCTGTCAAGCAGTACGAGACCTACGGCTACGTGACCCCTCAGGTCATGTTCGTGCTGTACGCCCACTGGCTGTACGCCAACGCCTGCTCCAAGGGAGAGGAGCTCATCATCACCACCTGGGACATGTTCTTTGAGAAGTTTGGCTTCATGCTCATTTTCTGGAACATGGCCGGTGTCCCCTTCACCTACGCCCACTGCACCCTCTTCCTCATTAACCACAAGCCTGAGGACTACGAGTGGTCCACTGCCTACAACGTGTTCCTGTTTGTGACCATCACCGTGTCGTACTACTTCTTCGACATTGCCAACTCGCAGAAGAACCGATTCCGACAGCAGCGACTGGGCACCATGATCAAGCGAAACACCTTCCCCCAGCTGCCCTGGCAAACCATCAAGAACCCTACTTTCATCAAGTGCAAGAACGGTTCTACTCTTCTCACCTCCGGTGTCTACGGCTGGTGCCGAAAGCCTAACTACACCGCTGATTTCATCATGTGCCTCACCTGGGCTCTCATGTGCGGTGTTGCTTCTCCCCTGCCTTACTTCTACCCGGTCTTCTTCTTCCTGGTGCTCATCCACCGAGCTTACCGAGACTTTGAGCGACTGGAGCGAAAGTACGGTGAGGACTACCAGGAGTTCAAGCGACAGGTCCCTTGGATCTTCATCCCTTATGTTTTCTAAACGATAAGCTTAGTGAGCGAATGGTGAGGTTACTTAATTGAGTGGCCAGCCTATGGGATTGTATAACAGACAGTCAATATATTACTGAAAAGACTGAACAGCCAGACGGAGTGAGGTTGTGAGTGAATCGTAGAGGGCGGCTATTACAGCAAGTCTACTCTACAGTGTACTAACACAGCAGAGAACAAATACAGGTGTGCATTCGGCTATCTGAGAATTAGTTGGAGAGCTCGAGACCCTCGGCGATAAACTGCTCCTCGGTTTTGTGTCCATACTTGTACGGACCATTGTAATGGGGCAAGTCGTTGAGTTCTCGTCGTCCGACGTTCAGAGCACAGAAACCAATGTAATCAATGTAGCAGAGATGGTTCTGCAAAAGATTGATTTGTGCGAGCAGGTTGAATTCCGATCGGTAGCACTTGGAGTTTTCTCCTCCTGCACAAGAAAAGACGTCCTTCAGAGGAGGGTTGACGTACTTGCCCTTGATGTACACTTCTCCATTGGAGTGAGTGTATCCGTCCCAGTTGGGCAGGCCCACAAACACGTCGTTCCAGTGGGTCATTCGATACAATCTTCGCTGCTGGTTGATTTCCAGGCCGTCCCCATTACCAAACCACAGCGCGGAGATGTAGTCTGCAAACGCCTTGTTTCCAACTCGGGGCTGTCCGTAGTTGATCAGGATGGGGTCGTAGCCTCTCAGTTTAATGGAGGTGGCGCCCAACAACGCCATTGCGGCTCCCAGAGAGTGTCCCGTCACGTACAGTTGGTAGTCTGGATACGAGTCGAGATGCTGCTCCAGCAGGTCTCCGATGTTGTGCCAGGTCTCGGTGAAAGCCTTGGAGAAGCCGTCATGGATCTTGCACTGTTTGCAATCGATCTGGGCCTCTGGAGCTGTATCGTTGGCGATGAAGGTGTTGAGAGCGGGAACATTTACCAGAAAGGAGGACTGCTGGAACTGGATGTCGGTGATAGCATCGGCAATGGAGAAGGTACCTCGGAAGACCACATACTTCTCCTTCTTGACGTGGTCCAGAGCAAGGTATCCGGTGATAGATGTGGAGAAGAAGTCGCCTCCAAAGATGTGGACCAGCTCAATATCCGGGAAATGTACACATGACTGGCCGCAGGAGAAGTCGCTCTTTAACGGAGTGATGGGGGCATTCACACAGTACGCAATGTTGGACAGATGGGAAAAGTCCAGAGCAGCATCGTAGAAGCCCTGCGAAACAAGAGCGGTCTTGGTGGAAGAAGAGGTGGAGGCAGCTCCAAACAGGAGTACCGAAAAGAAGTCCTTGATTCGAGCTCCAAAGCTGACCATGGTAGTGTCGACGTTGATTGAGGTGGAGCCAGATGGGCTATTGTTTCATATATAGACTGGCAGCCACCTCTTTGGCCCAGCATGTTTGTATACCTGGAAGGGAAAACTAAAGAAGCTGGCTAGTTTAGTTTGATTATTATAGTAGATGTCCTAATCACTAGAGATTAGAATGTCTTGGCGATGATTAGTCGTCGTCCCCTGTATCATGTCTAGACCAACTGTGTCATGAAGTTGGTGCTGGTGTTTTACCTGTGTACTACAAGTAGGTGTCCTAGATCTAGTGTACAGAGCCGTTTAGACCCATGTGGACTTCACCATTAACGATGGAAAATGTTCATTATATGACAGTATATTACAATGGACTTGCTCCATTTCTTCCTTGCATCACATGTTCTCCACCTCCATAGTTGATCAACACATCATAGTAGCTAAGGCTGCTGCTCTCCCACTACAGTCCACCACAAGTTAAGTAGCACCGTCAGTACAGCTAAAAGTACACGTCTAGTACGTTTCATAACTAGTCAAGTAGCCCCTATTACAGATATCAGCACTATCACGCACGAGTTTTTCTCTGTGCTATCTAATCAACTTGCCAAGTATTCGGAGAAGATACACTTTCTTGGCATCAGGTATACGAGGGAGCCTATCAGATGAAAAAGGGTATATTGGATCCATTCATATCCACCTACACGTTGTCATAATCTCCTCATTCACGTGATTCATTTCGTGACACTAGTTTCTCACTTTCCCCCCCGCACCTATAGTCAACTTGGCGGACACGCTACTTGTAGCTGACGTTGATTTATAGACCCAATCAAAGCGGGTTATCGGTCAGGTAGCACTTATCATTCATCGTTCATACTACGATGAGCAATCTCGGGCATGTCCGGAAAAGTGTCGCTAGAGTAAAAAAAAAAAAAAAAAAAGATTAGTGTAAATGAGACGGACAGAATCCGCCACGAAACTCCCATTTTGGTAACATTTCACGTCACATTTCACGCTGTCCAATAACGTTTAGACTGATAAACAAGCAAACTCGACAAAATGCGGCGAAAACGGCCATTCCAGCGCTCCTCAGCGTCACAGCAGTGTTATCTCCTGCTGAACGAGTTCTGGCAATATCCGAACATGCAAGCTTAAAGCTTGGAAATAGTTCAAAGCCCCGTAGATCGCCGGGGCAAAATGCAGAGCCGGAATGAAGTGCATTTGTGACGCCGAGAAGATACGGGTATCAGCTGCGAGATTTCAAGAATCGAAACACAAGTAGACCGCTTTGGCAGATGGTAAAATGTGCCACTTGGTGTTGCAAGTACATACGAGTATGTACATATGTACTGTTGATAAGCTTCACTAACAAAGGCACACTGCCGGACAGAAAGTGACATATATCCGTGGCCAGGAAGGCGAAATGGGGGTTTTAAAAACGGCTGCGTATGTGTTCCGAGGTGATAAACCAAACTGCGCTCTTTCCAGAACCTCAAATACCCCACAACGACATCAAAGACCTCCCTGTCCCTATCAACCCCAACATTTTATATGGAACTTTATATTCCAAACCTTGAAAATTATTTTCCCCCCCCCTCCTCTCTCTCGCTCAAAGCACACCCCGAAAATAGACGAGAATGAAGCTGAAGGTCGGCACGAAATCTTGTCACGTGACCTGACGCTGCGGGAGTGGCGCGCGGGGGGAAACGCTGTCTGTCGATTGCGTTTCGGGACAACTTTTCGCCAAGGTTACCCCGGACTTTTAGGACCGTAGGCCGGACTTTTGGACAGTGCGTATACTTAGCATATTCGCGTGTTGAGTGTGCATTCATTCAGATAATGGTTGGTACCATTGCAACCGTCTGAATCAGGACATAGTGCCGGTGGCGGTATTATCTGTGAAGCTCCTCCGTGGCGTGTTCAAGAAACTATCTTTGTTGGCACCGGCTTCTGACGTTTTCCTCCTCATCTAAAATTTGTGCAGGTCACGTGACTCGAAGCGGGACCCACTTTTGTCTAATTTGGTCGCGGTGTATGTTGGGCGGAGGTTAAAGTGAAAGCTGTGGCTGGAAATACAGGTGTTGGGAGGTGTGGCAAAATGGGCTGCATCACTGTGTTTGTGGAACGGGGCGATTCGGGGGCCACTAATGAGCTGGTCCTTGGAGGCGTTTTCGGGGGGGTTCTGGGGCTCTTTTCGAGACGAAGGCGATACCGATCGATTTGTCACGGCGAGTTGAGTTGATTGGTAGTTCCATCGGGCCAATCGGACGTCTATCCGCGGTTCTAGAGCCCACATTGTCTTCATCCGCATTATCACAGGTGGGAGTGTAGCGGCAAGTGCACACGCATACGTACTATAAATACGAATTATCAGGACGGCTTCAGAACCATGTGCAGTGGATCAATTAAAATTCCGAAAAGTGCGTTCGTCTCGCCCATTCTCGGCCGTCAAATCTGTGTTTTCTGATTCCCCACAACTTGTTCCACTCGCCCCCAACTCACCGCCGCCAAGAACTTCTTCCGCTGACAAAAAAGTTTATCTCGCTCCTTCTTCAACTCTTCATCACCACCATGAAATCGGCTTTCAACAAGCTCCGGCCCAACTTTTGGTCGAGGCTGACGCCGTCGTCCGATGGCGACTACTTTTTCGTCGAGCTGGAAGACGCTCATCGCACCTGGCACCCTGGAGACACGGTTCATGGCAACGTGATTCTGGTGCTATACAAGCCTCAGAGGATAAGCAGTGTGGATTTGAGCTTTGCCGGCAACGTGGTGGTCAAGAGCGCGCTGGTCAAGGGCAAGGGAAGCCGCAGCGTGCTCTTTGAGCAGAAATTGAGGCTCCACGGAACTCCTACGGCAGGTTCAAACTCCAACACGACACCTTCAAGTGGTAACCACAACAGCCACGTCTCCAACAGCGCCACCAACAGCAACAGAAACAGCGGCAGTCACATGAGTACGCGAACAAGCAACAGAAACAGCAACAGCCATGTCGCCTCCAACACCCCCAGCATGTCCACCTCTCCAACATCCACGTCATCAGGAGTTGCAGCAACGGCAGACACAACCACAACGATGGACACAAACACAAGCCAAGCTTCTTCGACAGCCCCAGATACCCTGAACCCGAGCTCCTCTACGGAGTTGTCTCGCACGGCTACCCGACAGTCGTCTGACGGATCAATATGGAGAAGCGTAGGATCTTCGACGCCTGGAGCAGCCAGCGGGGGAGTGGCAGACATGATGATGAACTCGGTGACCACCGAACCGGTGCTGAGCTCGCGCATGTCCATGCATACCACCAACTCGCATCTCAGTCAAATGTCGCGCGAATCGCATGTCACTACAGCTTCTCGCGAATCGCACATGTCGCGTGAGTCCAACACGTCCACATCATCCACTTCGGAGGAATTGGAGATTGGCGAGCATCGATTTGCCTTCATTCTGGAGATCCCCCAAAAGGGTCTCTTCAACTCGCTAGAGTTTGAACGAGGGTCGATTTCGTATGTTATTACGGCAGTGGCCAAACGACACGGCCCGCTGCCGGCACTGCATGCGAAACGAGTGCTTCAGCTGGTTTGTCCAGTTGATGTGGCTCGTTTGCCCCCTCCTAAACCATCTACTCTTTCCGTGGAGATTCAGAAGCGGAAGAAACAGCAAGGCATCATTACAACAACGCTGGAAGTCGGCCGAGGAGGATACTTGCGAGGCGAATCTTTCCCTGTCAAGATCACCATCCAACACGTGAAGTGCGTCAAGTGCTTGAGAGGCCTGGTCGTTACTCTCTGTCGGTTCAGTAAGGTTACTTGTAACGACGATGAGCCGCAGAGTTTCCGAAAAGATCTCTCGCAGACAGTCTCACCGCTCTACACTGATCCCGTTACCTTCTCCTCCACAGTGTCAACCACCCTTAGAATCCCTCCTGACGTGTTCCCTACCACCAAGGGACACGGCCTGGTCAGTTTCAACTACTGTGTGGAAGTGGTGATTGATCTCGCAGGCAAATGGGACCTGGAAGAAGACCGAACGGGTTTCCTTCATACTGACAGACTCAAGCGAAACAAGGGAGTTGTCAGTCTGTGGACTGAGGTAATTATCGGTACTGATAGAAGAAGATACCGATCCGACAGCCACGCCACAGCCCATACAAACACCAACCACGTGACCAACCACGTGTCTCAAAATCATGGGAGTCCCGGCCACGTCAACTTTGGACATGTGCCTTCACCCAGCGGCAGCAGTAACCATGGCAACGGGCATGGTGCATATGGCGTTGGACACGCATCCCAGTCGTCCTCTCCCGGTAACCACAGCAATTACAGTTACCACGGCAACCCCAATCACGGGGCCAGCCATATTAACAATCACGTGACTGCTGGATCGAGTCACACGTCTGGTGGTCTTTCGGAAAAACAGCTCATGAAGCTTCGAGAGGAGGCTCTGCTTCCTTCGGAGCCGGCTGCTATCAGCTCTCCTTCCTTGGACGCGTTTCCCTCAGCTCCAGAGTATGCTATTGGCGACGAGGTAGCTGGTTCCAGTGCGGGACCTTCAGCACCTTCTGCGCCAGCACATACCATTGCTGGCGTGGTTGCTTCTGCTCCTCTTACACCTTCCGACAAGCATGAGAACGAGCTGCTTCGTCTCCAGGGACTTTCTTCCGACCCGTACGCGGATGAGGATCATGTCCCGCAATACAAGGAGAAGGAGAAAGCTCCTGAGGAGGTGGTTGCCATGCAACTGAATGAGCTGGCCAGTGTTCCTCCTATTGAAGGCGAGATTGAGGAAGTGGGTAACAGTGCAAATGCCCCTTCAGCCCCCGTGATGAATGGCCATGAAGGGGGCTTTTTTGATGCTCCCAGTGAGTTCTCAGAGTCCAGTGCTCCTCCCGTTGTTCATGGTCATGTTCATGGACATGTTCATGGACACAGCCATTCTAGCACTGGCACCATTGTGAGTGGAGATGCTTCTGCCTCAGCCCCGGCTCCTACCTCCATTCGCAGCGTTTCTACTGCACCCTCAGACACCCCAACTGCCCCTCCTGTCATTACGCATGGGTTCACGGGACCTGTTGGCCCTGGAGTGGTGGACCCCGGCACCAGTGGCACAGCCAGCACGACCGTGGACTCGCTCAACTCCGAAATTAGCTCTGGTACACCTGCATCGACCCTGCCAGACACTAACAAGTCGCTTTCTGACAGCGACGATATTTATTCTTAGCATAAATGTACATTATAATGAATTGATGATTAGCCATGTCTCTCTACAAGGATCCAGCTTCGGGTTGGGCCCGCTTCGTCCCATGAGGCGGTGATATAGCCCAGCACAGGGGTGCGAGTGCGAGTGCGAGTGTGGGACTTAGTATGGCAGTTTAACACAGCCAGATGGGCTTGTAGATCTGTTGTACGCCTTTCAACCCTTGGAGAGGTACATACAATGAAGTATGAAGAGCACTTACACACTTGTAACTGGTACGAGTAGAGACTGGAGCTCCTTGATCTGCGTCAGAAGAACCAGCTCAAGCTCGACGCAGGCGAAATCCCCACGTATTCCACGGAAACAGCAGACATCCGAGCAGACAAATCGTGGACAGGTCCATCTCTAGCCCCCGGTCTCCAGACACAAGCAAAAGTACTGTTGAACTTGTTAATGAGCTTTTCTCGGAGGTGGAACTCCCGCGTCAAGATTACAGTCTTCCATGTCACAGTTTCGCGCCTCGGACCAACTTGGCAACCAAGAGAGGCGTGACCAGGGATGTTTAAGGAAGTGGTGAGGTTTTCGAGGGATAAGTGATTGTTTCGCGTTATGGATGAGTGTACGACTGAATAATCACAAGAGGAACCACTGACTCCATAGTGTGATACTCTTCGATAGTAGGAGGTTACAATACTTGTAGCAGAATGATTCTGTACGACTCTATCAAACGGATGTCAGAGAAGTAACAGTTCTGTTCTGATGAGTTCTACTTCCATATCGGTGAAGCACTGTAATGTCTACCGTATCCAAGAGAGATGTGACAGACTGGAAAAAATGTAGTTATCTGATATATCTGCTGTTCCCCGTCACGTTAGACAAGTGTTCGCGTCTTGAAATGCTCACTTGGAGGTTTACATACGGTCCAGATCAAAACACAATTTACGACAGGCGACACAACCAGGTGCTTGGATAGTGCATCCCCATGCGAGATAAGAACAGCCGAACGTCAGAATGGACAATATCGCGATATATCTGGAAGCACAAGCTCGTACAAAAAAAAGGGGGTGAAATACAGACACTGGGTATAATCTTTGTAAATCTGAGATTCTGCTTGTCCCTAGCACCGCCCTTTCACAAAGAAGCAGTCCATGGAAGCGTTTCACGAGTAGATACTGTATTTACCTTGTAGATCCGTACGGCTCTGATAGAAGGATTCCGAAAACAAAAGGTATCTGTGTGTCGATGAGGGAACCTTCTTGATATCTCTTGATGTACTCTTCATCATCGTTATCGTCAACACCAACATCGGAATGGACGAAGACGAAATATCCACTTACTCCTGGACGGACATCAACTCCATAACGCCTATTACCATCTATGGAGTCGCTACTAACCGCGGCACTATTACAGGCATGGTCGTGTTCCTAGCGGGAATTGCACTCTATGTCAACGGGGCTTTCAAGAAAAAGGAAGATGTGTAAGCCCGGACCGTGCAGGTAGATAAACAGGATTAATCTCACATTAGCGAATACATCTATAGTACAAGTACAAGTACAGTATGTACTGTACCTGCTGTTTGTTAAAATTTTACATCCCCTTTTCTCCACCAACCGGCAGTCCTCTCTAAATCATAACGCGTTACTTAAATAATACTCTTCGTCATCCCACCTACTGTTCAACCAGATCAGGATACAGCAGATCGGTGAGGAACTCTGCAAAATCGCCGCCAATCTCAGATCCCAGCAACTCGCCTGCTCGCTTGACAGAGTCGGTGTTTCCCAGCTTCTCGGCCTCCTGGGAAATCATCTCCAATACCTCCTCCTTGGTGAACTTGCCGTGCTTGGTCCACTGCCACAGCTGGGCACGAGAAACCTCGGCAGTAGCAGCATCCTCCATGAGGTTGTTGATGGGCACACATCCCAACCCTCGCAGCCATGCCTCCATGTAGCGCAGACCAATGTAGACATTCTCCTGAAGACCCTCCTTGGTGATGGCAAAGCCTTCAATGGTAGTATCCAACAGCTTCTCGGAGGGAACGTCCTCTCCGACGAAATCAAATTGGTTTTCCCCTGGCATCAACTCGTCAAACTCCTTGGTGGCAGTCTCAGCCAAACCGGGATGAGCGATCCAGGTACCGTCACAGCCTGCAGAGGCCTCTCTGTGTTTGTCAGCCTTGACCTTCTCCATGGCAAGGGCGTTCTCCGCAGCATCCTTGAGAGGAATGATGGCAGCCATACCTCCCATGGCATGCACCTTTCGTTTGTGACACACGTGAACCAGACGAGTCACGTAAGCGTTCATGAAGGGAACGGTCATGGTGATCATCTTTCGGTCAGGAAGCAGCTTCTCGGGCTGGTTTCGGAACCGCTTGATAACTGAGAACATGTAGTCCCATCGACCACAGTTGAGGCCGGCAGAGTGATCTCGCAGCTCGTAGATGATCTCCTCCATGTGCAGAGCTGCAGGAAGAGTCTCAATCAGACAAGTAGCTCGAATGGTGCCCTGGGGGATTCCGCAGTAGTTTTGAGAGAAAACAAAGACATCATTCCAGAGTCGAGCCTCGAGATAATGCTCCATCTTGGGGAGGTAAAAGTAAGGGCCTCGGCCAGCCTCAATCAGAGCCTTGGCGTTGTTGAAGAAGAAGAGTCCAAAGTCGAACAGAGACCCAGACATGCTCTGTCCATCGATCTGAACATGGCTTTCGAGCATGTGCCAGCCTCTAGGGCGCACCAAAAGAGTGGGTCGAGTGTCCGTGGAGCCTCTAGAGTAGGTCCCCTCGGTCCACTTCTTTGTAGTCAGCTTGTAGGGTTTCTTCTCTGTGTCGAAATCAACCTGGTTTCGGATGGCATCGTACAGGTTGACTTGCCCATCGAGACAGTTGTCCCAGGTGGGGGCTTGGGAGTCCTCGAAATCGGACATGTAGGTGGCGACGTTTGTGTTGAGGGCGTTGATGATCATCTTTCGGTCTGGGGGGCCAGTGATTTCGACCCGTCGGTCATGGAGACCGGGAGCCAGAGATGGACCTGTCCACGACTTGTCTGCTCGGATGTCTGCTGTTTCCGTGGGATACGTGGGGATTTCGCCTGCATCGAGCTTGAGCTGGTTCTTCTGACGCAGATCAAGGAGCTCCAGACGTCGCTGGTTGAAGTTGCTGTGGAGTTCAACCAGGAACTTTTGGGCCTCGGGGCTCAGGATGTCTGCCTGGCTGGTTTTGCCCAGTTTCGGGGAAGTTGATGCCGATCTAAAAGTGGAGTTGACTGTCATGTTTGTGTGTGTGTGTGTGTGTGTGTGTGTGTGTGTAAATGGAGCGACGTTTGAGGTTTGTGGGCTGAACGTAGACGGCCCGCTACCTATATATACATCTTTGGTATCTGTGTGTCATGGTACATGAACGGAGAAACGGACCTGTTATCCGGGGTGCATGAGATCAGCAACCTTGAGTTTAGTTTTTTTTATTTTGGCGGCATGGAGTGACGGGAGTTTAAAAGAAAAAGTGGGGGACAAGTGGGGGTGTCCGACTCGGGATCTGGACCCGTGAGGGCGATTCTGACACCAGATTCGGGCTTGTCGTGGTCGCTTTACCCTGTCAGCCAAAAATCCACCCCTTTTACGTTGTCTCAAACGCCACACAAGCCATCTTCCATCCATCCGAATATCGGCCGATTAACTTATCGCTCATCTCCAGACTCCCGCGTCTAAAATTGCTGGCGGCGGCGCAAAGATACAGGTGGGAGACAGGCGACGGATATATGATCCGGTTTTCGGAGAGGGTCGGGTGGATCTCAAGCGAAACAGTGCACTTGCAACCAATATGGCCAAGAATACCCAGGTGTTATCTGGTGGGTGGGGCTTGTAGCTCTAGTGAATTACGGTACGGTAGTACAACTGCGACCATGATACAGTATGTACTGTGCTACACCAACCCTCCTTGAGAATTGCAGTATCTCTTAGATGAGGCACTGTTAGGTCTCTCTCTCTCCGGACCAACGGAACATCATACAAAAACTGCGTCTAACGTACGGTGAGACCCTGCATATAGATACACCCAGAATTGGGAGTGCTTGACTCAGTGAATTGACTCAGTGAAGCGGAGATATGTGTGGGGGCCAAGTACAGGCAGCAAGTGGTTATGGGCGTTTATTGATCAAGTGTGGTGCTAGATCGAACGTGCTAGATCGAACGTGCTAGATCGAACGTGCTAGATCAAACATGTGCTAGATCGAACGTGTGCTTATTAATCTTTCAGATGCTCCCTGCGCCTCCTTGCGGTCGGATTTCAACTGATTCTGTCCATTGTGAGTTGAGTCGACTGCTATCCCCTGATACCAACCAAGGTTGTCGCTACTAGTAATATTCTATCCGAATCAGTACCAAATCACCGATATATCAAGATATTATTACATAAAGAGCAGCTATTGTCTGGGGTTAGTTATTATAACGGTCGCCTGTTCACGCTCAAATGCGCACGGTCTGCAGCAGCTAGTTTGATGCCCTTGATGGCACTGTTGTCAACAATGCATTAGTCATATTCTGAGCGCTGTTGTGCTACAGTACTGTAGCTGACAGAGAGACCCGCCGCGAATCTGGGCAGTAAATGATCCGAAAAAGATCCGAAAAAGATTCTGGCCAGCTCCGATCCTTCATCAGCCAAAACTGTATGAACTGTAGGTCTGTCTAGCCAACACGGATACTACCAGTCCTGTAGAAGCTACCAGGAGTGTAAAACTTGCCAACTTCTGTATTCCAGTCCGCCACCAATGCAGTATTGATCGTAACAAGACCCGGGCCTGAGAGGAGGTTGTACCTGATGAATACTGTCAGAGGAATGACATGGCTCGTTCAGAAGCTTCACTGCTGCTGCCGTCAGTCACAGTACAGTAATAGCGGTTTTCAAGGTGCTGGTGAACTTGGAATCTGTGAATGGGGAAACCCAGGTGGGTTTTGAGGATTCCATGGAACCATTTTGCTTTGTAGCACGCTGAATACCATCGTACACGTTGAGATAAGTTAGGCGGAGGGAACACTAGGAACATTTGGGGAAGTGAGGGAGTGAGGGAGTGTGTGAACGAAGAGTACTCGTACAGGTACGTCTACCGGTGTTGAACCATGTTACTTCTTGGAAGTGGTCCACGATGTTCCTAGACTTATCCCAGTCAGCTTCATAATGTCTCTAACGGAAGAAATGGTGTGTTTCGCTATTAGCCAATCTGACTCGAGATACTGACGATGGGATGGTGGGAAAACTTGGGACAACTTGTGACAACTTCGCGCAGTTCAACAATCTCGATAGTATCAGAACATTTGTAATTAATCTGAGCCGGTTGTCGATTCCACCTACTCCAGCTTCATGAACCTCTTCTCTCCTGCACCCTTGTTACCACTGCTGATAATCACTGCTGATAACCACTGCAGAACTTACTATTTAGAAACCTCCATGGAGACCAAAATTCCACATAAAAAATACATAAATAATACACTGCGGTCCATTGGCCTCTAGTATTATATTTTCAAAAAATCAGGCCCTCCGATCACATTGTAACGGTCCCCAACCACCCTTCGTGTTCCTTCGTTAGTGCATCAGCCCGCATCTCAGCTGCACCTTGACGCAACCCAAACTTTGGGTGGAAAACATCTCCAACTTTTTTCAGCAACTACCACTACACACAAAACCACCGAAATGGCTCGAAAACAGACCGGCAAGGGCCGACGTATGGAAACCAAGCACCGAGAGACGGCTCACAAGTCGAATTTCCCCGCCAAAATGGCCATGTGGGATTTCGAACACTGCGATCCCAAGCGGTGCTCCGGCAAGAAACTGCACAGATTGGGCATCATCAAGTCGCTGAGAGTGGGCCAAAAGTACAGCGGAGTTGTTGTCTCGCCCAACGGCAAGCACGTGATTTGTCCCGACGACCGAGAGATCGTGGAGGAGCACGGAGCAGCAGTTGTGGAGTGTTCTTGGGCCCGGCTAGACGAGGTGCCCTTCAACAAGATCGGAGGTCCCCATGAACGTCTGTTGCCGTACCTCGTGGCTGCCAACCCCGTCAACTACGGCCGTCCATGGAAACTCAACTGCGTGGAGGCTCTCGCTGCCTGTTTTGCCATCACAGGCCATCTCGACTGGGCCGAGGAGGTACTGTCTCACTTCTCTTGGGGTCAGGCGTTTCTGCAGATCAACGAGGACCTGCTGGAAATTTATGCCGAGTGCACAGACGCAGCCTCGATCAACGAGGCCCAGAAGATGTGGCTAGATGAAATCGAGGCTGAGCATGCCCGAAGACAGAAAGAAAAGGCTGCATCTGGAGGAGTGTGGAAACACGGAGAAGATCGAGACCATGGAAAGGCTGGAGAACTTCCTCCCTCCGATGACGATGACGATTACGACGAGGGAGATATCGACTTTAACAGACAACTCGATAACCCCGGCGAGGTCGATGTTTTTGGAAACACCATTGTGAAGAAGGAATCCAGAGTAGACGCCCTGGGAAACACCATTGAAAGCGACAGTGAAGAGGAAGAGAAGAAGTACTTTAAACAGCCCAGAGTTGATGCCTTGGGCAATACTATTGAGAGTGAAGACGACGAGGAAGGGGTCAAACAGCCTAGATACGATTCTCTTGGTAACACTATCGAAAGTGAAGAAGAGGAAGAAGAAGACGAGGGTGAGTACGATGAGGAAGACGAAGTGGATGCGCTGGGAAACACCATCAAGAAGGTGTTGTAGAATATTTAATTAATGCATGATATAGCAACTACGGCGGAACTACTACTGTATTGCTGTACGAGTATAGGACATGTTGAATGATCAAACATTTATTTATGGTATCGTTAAAAAAAAAGAGAAGTTCACACACAGGTCTGATCTGGCCAGCTTGCCGACTAGAATCCAAACTTACTCTTCAAGATACCCTTAAACATATCGTTCTGAGCCTCCTTGATACTCTCGTTTACAGAGTTCAAGTACGAATGGCCCGTCTCCTCTAGGTTATCCCAAGCACCCTGTATGCCGCCTGCGTTTCTTCGCCGAACACCGTCTTCATCATAGTACTCGTCATCGTCGCCGTTTCCAGTGTAGTACTCATCATACCTTTGTCGATGGGCCACTCGCTCCTGGTGTTTTCGTCGCTCCAGATCACGCTGTCGACGCTGCTCTTCTCGAGCTCTCTCTTCCTCTTGGATCATAGCCTGTGACTTGGGTCGTCGGGCACCTCCAATCAGCTTGTCGATGTCCTCCTTTGTGGTGTAAACGGATCCCCTCACCCACTGAAGAGTTGAGACCACAGGGCGCGGAGGGCATACCTTGAGAGGATCGTAGAGCAGATCTCCAGGGATATCCTCAAATTTTACACCCTTGCCAAACACTGAAATCAGGCCAGCTTCGTGTCTATCAATCTGGATGATGATGTCTCCAGTCAGAGAGAAGACGGAGTTTACACCAGTTCGGGGATCAATTCGGTACGGCAGTTTCTTCACAGACATCTCTCGCAAGGAGGGCAGAGCAAGGCAGACCAGCTCGGAAGTGTCGGTGATACACACCAACGCCATGGAGTCACCTTCTCGCAGGAAACAGATGGATCCTCCGAGGATCGAGTACTGAGGGAACTTCTTGTGGGTCATCTTGGAAGCACTTGGACGGATCACACGCACGTCATGGACACTAGTCACAACCACAGTACCTGGAATGAGCACATCCTGGCCCAGCTTGGCCATAATGTGAGGGAAAGCCAGAGCTGCAGAACCCCGCTCAGCATCAATAGCGTTAATAGCAAGGATTCGGTCGTCGCAGATTCGCAGACGGTTCACATACTCGACTTTGTAGCCTCCTCGGCCGTTAGGCACAAACCGGTAGGTGATGAGCTCTCCGTTGGAAGTTCCAGCAAACAGCACAATGGATGAAAACTCATCGTCGTCGATACAACAAATGGAGAACTCAAACCTTGTCACGTGGGCAGATCCTACACCGGATCCACGAGAGCGGAAAACTCCTCCACCACTATTTTGAGAGCATGGCTCATCATAGATAATGGCAGGTCCTCGTCGGTCGACAATAACCACACGGCCATTCTCGTATCCGATTGCAACAAAACCAACGTTGGAGTGGTCCAGAGCAGTGATGTTGCCGTAGTTCATGTTCACAAGCGAGATGGGCATGAAGCCTTCCTTCAGACCGGGAGTGAATCGGTGCCGAATATCAATAACCTTCTCCTTGCTCTCGGAGAGGTTCAGGTCCTTCATTCGATCCAGACCAGGCTTGGGGTTCTTATTCACGTCAAACTTGTACAGAAGCACATGCCCAGTGGATACGGCAACCGCAAGCTCGGCGTTTTGGCCTGCAAAACTCACTTTAGACACCGGCACTCCTTCCTGTAACTTGAGAGCGTCCTTGGTATCGACTTCAAGGACTTTACTCTCCTGGAGTTCACCCCGCGAAGCGTCCCAAATTCTTACGAAGCCGTTCATGTGGCCCGTAGACAGTGCGTTTCTGGTCTGAAAACGTCGCAAATGACGCTGGGCAGGGGCTCCACCCACCAAATAGGGCTGGTGGCCTTTGACGGATGCCATCATGCCCACCCACTGGTTTCGAGGTACAGCAGCGAGGTTGAGAGTGGTAGTGTGGGGGTGCACCCATCCAATAGAAGGAGGCATAACCGATGCGGTGTGAATGGGGACGCCTTCCGGGAGCTTGATTGAATAGATTTCTCCAATGTTGAGCAGCACAACCACCACACCAGGATCGTGAAACCGGTTGTAGAAAGGAGAAGCTGCTCCAAGAGGGAAGAAGTCCGTGACATCGGCTCCCTCTGTGATAGGGAACATCCGGGTACGTTTAGGGGTGCCGTAATGGGTTCCCATGGCTGCGTATGACGTTACAGCAACCGTGGGAGTAGGTCCAAAGTCCATATACGTCAGACCTCGAATGGGACCGTTGTCGATGTCACCACCAGCCACGAGAATCGATGTGTTTTCAGGATTCTTCTCGCAGATCCAAGCCAGGCCTGTGATAGGAAGTCTCCGGCCTCCAGGAGGAGTCTTTGATCTCTTGGGCTCGTTGACGTTGGAATCTGTCACTGTTCGAGCCTGCAGAAGATTTCCCTCGGTGGCATCCCAAAAAACAATGGAGCCATCCACATGCCAGCTGACTACATGGTGTCCGTTGGGGTGCCATGTGGCTCCCAGGCATGGAGGTGATCGGTTGATCGTTTGCGTGGCTGCGTTCGTGTCTCCTCCAGGAGCTCCCGCGGGAATTTCGTACTTGAAGTGTTTAATGATGTTGTTCTCAACCAGAGAAAATAGCACGACAATCTCCTTGTAGGCGACAAGCAGCACTGAATACTCACGTGGACTGAGCTCGATAGAAATCACGTGAGACAGACGGGCCGCGGGAAGCACAGCTTTCTGGAGGTTGCCAATTCGGAACGGCGACATGCAGCCTCGGTCGGCGTCGTAGGTGATGATCTGGCCGGATTCTAGGCCGATAAAGACCCAGTCCAACGTGGGATCCGTGGCAATGCATGAGATGTTGCCGGAGATGTTGTTGCTGTAGATGGCTGTTCGGCTTTCGAGCGAAACGATGTGGAGAATTCCAGCTCCATCGACTGCAACAATGTACTTACCAGCGACAAAAGCAAGATAGTCGACCGAGGAACGGTTGCTGGGGAGCTGAACGATCACCTCAACGTTGACTTGTCCAAAGATGTGGATGGCTCCAGAGGAGGTTCCGATAGCGAGAAGAGATTGCACCTGATCGAAAGCCACACGGGTGACAGCGCCTTGGATTCCATATCGGGCGAGCTGGGTTAGTATGTGATGAATTGTGACTGGGAGCGGCCGAGTGTCCCAGCAAGGGCGTATCGTAGTGGAACTCAAGTGGTTTGCATGGCGGCCCAGAGAAGAATGATAGCAAAGATGTGCAGACAGAGACCCGTCGCTCGGTCGGACCATACAAGAAACGCTCGCAGACCTGGTGTATTGGTCATACAAACCAAGCTAGATCTCCTCCATCGGCCTCCCACCACCCTCAACATTTCACTTCTTGAATCCAACCTCCTTACCACAGCACCGGAGAAGATACAGATTTGCAAACGGTCGTACTTTCAATATTGCTACCACCCCATTGCCACACCACTCGAGTAGCACAACCTATATCGCCATTGCTGATCCCACAACCCTACTCTCCCCGTCTCCTCGGCAATACTCACATCGTCGAAATCGAAGGCCCGTTCATTGAGAGCTCCAGAAAGATCTCGGTTGCCGATACTTCGAAGTTTGCCAATGAGTGCTGACATTGTGTTTGTGTGTTACTGTAACTGCAGCGAATGTTCAAGTATCTTGTGTGTGATGTCGGATGTCGGAGGTGTTCCAGTACAGTAGTTGTTGTTTGTCACGAGCAGTGTGTTTGTGTACCTAGTTTTGTGCCACTATGGTATCTGCGCAGCTCGTCGGTGTCACGGTTATATGTGAATAACCAGTGTGTCGTCTCACAACGTCTTGTAGCTACTCTTGTCGGATGTAACTTGCAACTGGACTCGCAGATTGCCAACTGTTGTTTACTGTGCGGAGGTAATTATAAGGTGCGCACAGGTGCGCAGTTTGTGGGGGTTTGAGAGCAGTCCTCGAGAAGATAATTATGTTGGCGGGATCCATGAGTCGTGTAGATGCCTATTATGAACCCGAATATCTGTTAATATCTCTTGTAACTGTTATTTGGACAGTCTCCGACATCCCCGGCACTTTTTTCAACATGCACGTTGATACCTTGTTTGAAAGTCTAATATGTGAACCTCTCGTTTAGACCGAAAAAAAAAAGGGATTACGACCCAAGAAAAGAGACCAATGAGAAGAGTATGGGTTATGGGTATATGTATCGGGTTTCATGTTACGCGGGGTTCTTCGTAATTGTAGATTAAATCAAATAAAAAAGTCATAAATCGCCAGGAACGTTGGTCAGTGGACTCGACTAAAAACACTCATCACCGCTGCACGATGACATTGTCGTACATTAGAAACGGTCTCTCCTAGTGGCTTCAGTTTTGCCCTTGGTCGGTGTGTACTTCCAGCAGGATTATAATGCGACAAGATGTACTGTAGTTAATGGCTACATTCCTGGCCTAATCCGTGTGTTTCAATGTCCCCTTTGATGGCTTCTTAGTATTCTCCACTACTGCTGCACCAGTGCATACTTATCTTTAGTTGGACTGTAGTTGAGAGTGGTTCGTACATCACCATAGAACATAATTTTCTGTTGATGCTGGTCCAAGTCAATAACGGTAAAGATACTGTACTCTACTGTACAGATTAGTGTGGCAAAAAGTTCATTGGTAGAGCTCGTACTGTGTCTTATGAATGAGACAGAACTCGATGCGTACTGCTCACTCGTGAAGACCAGGACAATCTATGAGACCACCGTTAGACGTAATGGACTTGAAGAGTTGAAAATAATAGATAGACAACATGTTTTAGTTGGACCAGGATTAGTAGAGACTTTTACCCCTTCAATTACTCAGTGCACAAGTGTAATGAACGTGTCTCTCGCGATGCCATGACGCCCCAAACGGTACACAGAATCTCCACCTATCACAGATATGGTGAGCAATAGCCGGTCAATGAACAAAATATAACCCTTATTCTTTTGTTTTGAACTCCCTTCCTTCCTTGTTAGCTCCTTGGAGCCAATGCCAATGTGTTTCTATAAGGGAGGTAGTCTGAACTGCACAGGATCACATTTATTGCGTTACATAAGATCCTATCGAATGTGGACTTCTCCAATATATTTCTTGTCTATTTTTATATTCTCTCAAGCACTCTTCTTCCTACTGTGTTCCTCCTCCATCTTCACACTGGTCCCACGATCTGCCTCCCGACACCCTCCAACTCCATCTGTAAGACATTGTTCTGTCGATTTATCCATGCCAATGGGCCACTGGTAGTACATTTTGGATACAATGATACCATCTTATCTTCTCCATTATTCACCCCCCTTCCACTTGTGTAACTTTCAGAATGCGATCGGTATGATACCTTTGCTGTCTTCCTTGACCAACAGACAGGACGAAATACAGCTATCAACACAAGTGGCACCAAAAAATGAGGATTTTTTTTCGTTTTATTAACTGTCCAAAAAGGCCCTCTCGAAGTCCCCGTTTATGTGACCGTGACTTCGACGGCTGTAGAAGCACCCCGTTCCCGTTCTCTATTCACCATATTTTCGTATCAACAAGAATGAGAGAAGAAATCTCGAGAGATAGCCTAGATTATAACTGTCGCGATTTTAAGAGCTTCAGATCTCCTTTCAAAGGCACCCTTCTCTTGCATCCGAGTAACCTCCTCTTAGCAGCATTTGTATCATTACATCTACACTACCAGGTACACCAACGAAAAACTGTCAGGGCATAAGATAATTGGTTCTCCATGGACCAGGATGAACCTCACACCCCACTGCGCTGTTGCTTGTGGCCCATCGGTTATGTTAGCCCTACCAAGGTGTGTTCATCCTCCCCCTGAGAGGTGACTTATAACGGTGGTTAAAGGATTCCGGGACTTGATAGGAGACTTGAACAGACTTCTATTAATTACTTCCTTTGACTCAAACTGTTACACACCTACCGGTAGACCCCCTCAATCTTCTTTTGTGAGTATCTTTCTTGTGAGTATCAACAGCCCTACTGTACTGAAGGTGTATAGCTGAAGTGTTTGACCCGAGACATGCGTCGTGCACTTGATGAACGGAGTTCACTGGATGTTTTCCTCTCTTTTGTTTGCTCCACTAGTTGATGGACTGCCTTTCATCGCCTATACGGTCTCTGGTCAGATACCAGCATGTTCTCTGAGAGGTGGTTGGATAGCAGAAGTTAGCTCAACAACAAATTATGATGGAGCTGGTGAATTGAGGGGAGCTGTTCAATTTGACGCGTCCTCATCCTTTCCTGCTCATCCAGTCTACACTGAACCAAAGCCACCAACAGGTTGCTTTCATCGTCGTGTGTTTTGTCCACACAATCTTCACACCACCGAGGAGCTATTCTACAGCATTAGCACACTCCAAAAACACAGTTAACGCAACATACTACAGTGTGTTGGCTCCCTTCCACTCCTGATCGGACTTCTTGTTGGCTGCCGTTGTTTCTCTTATACTCTTCCTCTTATGGTAGACTCCTATCGATGCCCTTTATGGGCCCCATCCTTTTCCAAACCACTTCTCGCCTTTGTCACCCTGCTAGACCCTCACTGGAATCCTACTAACAGACATTCATTTTACGTAATTACAGTACATAGAAACAAACGATGCCAAACCATGCCTTTCTCTTCTCGTTGTCCATTCCAAACATCTATTCAACATATACAACCATCTAAATAACTGTGCTCAAGCCGTACACAAAGATAACAATGAAGAAATCGCTCTTGGCCAGATTGAAGGTCTTGTAAAGTCGCGAGCCGCTCTCAATGTAGCCTCGGTAGGGTTGGGGCACAAATGACGCAAGCTGTAACAGCATGGAATCCGGAGGAAGACGGCCCTTATCCTGCACAAGACGAGCGGTTTGGAGTACCAACTGCACGGAAATGAACAGAATGAGAGGCTTGACAGAATGCAGAGACTCAAAGTAAGGCTCAAACTGGGTCCACTTGTGTCCGAACATGACGACTGTGTATAGGCCAATCAGAATGGCAGTCAGAGCATGCGTAATGGTCCAGAACAGGTTCTTCTTTGGCGACGAAGAAGGTGTAGCCATCTGAGGTCCTCCCTGGGCACCCTGAGCGCCCATCATGCTTCCTAATCCTCCCATTCCCGCAAAGGGGTTACCCTCGGCCCCTGTACCTCCGGGGGCTCCCTCTCCACCCATCATCATAGACATGAGCTTTGAGAGGTCTGGTTCGCCTTCTCCGGGCTGTCCGCCCATACCCTGGCCCATTCCAGGCATTCCACCCATGCCCTGTCCTCCCTGGGCACCTAGCATTTGCTGAAGCATGGCGGCAAAGGGGTCATCTGAATCGGGTCCTGCAGACTGCATTGCCAGCGAGCCAAATGGATCTTCTCGGTTTCGAGCTGCGGGAAGATGGTGGTGGGAGTCGACGGAGATGTCCACGTCCGGAGGGTCTTCTGAGTCGACAACGGAGGTAGCTGGGGCGTTTGCAACGCCAACTGAGTGTGTGACACCAGTTGCTGAAGAGACGCCGGTGTCTGCGCTTGGGCTGCCAGTTGTTGGCTCGTTTTCCTTTCCTACGACCTTGTCTGCGTCATCGAAGCCTTCAGGACGGACCGTGCCGGTGATTTTGGCCATTCGCTCGGCAGCCTTTTGCTTGATTCGGGCCTGTCGCTTCTCCCGGGCGATCTGTGCGGCGGTTTTTTCAGTTTCAGACATGGCTGGTGATTGTGAGTTGTTTTGTTGCTGTGCTGTGCAACAAGTGATCTGGTGATGATGATATAGAGGTGTGGGTAAGGGGAATAGAGTTCAATGGTGGCATATGGCCATAATGTGAATGGGAATGCTCTAGGAGAGGTCTACAACAATTTGGGGGGGATAATTGATACGTATTTTATAAAGGTGGTCTCATTTGATGGATTTGTTTTGTCAGAATTCGATTCGGAGCATTTTTGGAAGGAATAGTCGGAACCTAGATATGACTGGAGGATGGGGAGAGATGCAGAGATATATCTCTGTTGGTTTTTGATGTCGGTTGGCTTTTGATGTCTGCAGACCCGAATGAGTAGTCTCAGTGATGCGTTGAGACGAGTGAGCCCTTTCAGTATAGGACGTGGCCCGGGGTGAATTATGGTATCAATTGAGTCCTAATAGTGGTTCAATACTTTTGGTGTAGCTCATTACTTTGGTCCGATCTAAATCAAGACTTCAACATGTTTTGGTGGTGGAACTTGTACGGGCGAGTACTTGTTCTTGCAAGACTCTTTCGTACTGTACTGTACTTGTACTGCTAGTTCTGGCTTTGGATTCTAGAAGAATCTGCCACGGGTCGCGTCTGAGCACTGGCATGTACTAAACTGTTTGCATCTCCATCTCATATCGTAGAGAATGTTTGTCCACCCCGAACCGGTCCAATCGAGATAGTTCCAAGCCGACACGACAAACTCCAATCAATCTCTTATCTTGGCATCTTTCCGACATGCCCATTTTTGTTCTTCGCACCCTCCGTCAGTCCCACGTCATGGCCAAATCCTCCTCGCTGTCTGGAACATCGTCATCACTGGCATCCTGAGCACTTTTTTCGATCGGCTGATCAAACTGCTGAGTAGTAGGATATCCAACCAACTGACACATGAGCTGGTACCGCTTTCTAGCAAAGGCTCCTCCAGGAGGAGAGGGCCCAACCTGCTGAGAGTCCCTGTCCTTGTACTGCGATGTGATCACGTGAGCGGCAAGATGGTCCCAGGTTTGCAACGTGACAACCAGCCGCCCTCGTTTCGTCAGAGCCTCATAATCACTTTTGTCGTCCATAATCCAGTGTTCTGTACATACAGTAGTACAGTGTACTGTGTCTCGCCATTTCGTCAGGTTGATGCTCCAGGTTAAAGACGCGGGTTAGGGTATGAAGAGGAAATGGGGAGTCTTTAATTTTGCGAGTTTTGGGGTCACGTGTAAAAAATGTGAAAAACGGCGTCTGGGGAGCTTTTTCAACCGGATTAGGAAAAAAATCAGCTTCATTGGACAATTATATGTTAGTTTGAAAGGGCATTTTACTTAGGAAGGGCATTTTACTTAGGAAGGGCATGTTTGGTAGACGGTATGGAATAGAGTGTTTTTTGGACAGATTCAGTCGATTTTTTGAGATTTACTGTTCAATATATCTTTGGATAGCTCTTGAGACGGATCAAGCAGTGGGTATATTGTTTTCTCTTTCTTGTCTCTTTATTTTTGTCACAACGTCGCTTATGAACCCCGCCCGCGTCGCTTCTGAACCCCGCCCGCCCCTCTCTCACTCTTTTCCGTTTCTCAGACTACTTATATTTTTTCATAATAACATAATACTAGCTACACTTGACCTTGTCAAGTTTGGTCAACTAAATCACAAGGTTACTTAAGCATCTGCCAGTCCAATCCTCCCAAAGCAAACTCTAAACCCACCACCAGCCAATCAACTCGTTGGAAATGGACTTCTGGATGCACACCAAAGATATCACGGCAGAGTAAGCCTAGCACGCTCAAAACGACAGTCACACACAAAACGACCATGCTCAGCCGATTTGTTTCCAAGCGGGCCTTCTCGGTCTCCACCCAGGTGTCCAAGTCCATCATCTCCTACAACGGCAACACCATCGAGATCCCCGAGGAGTACACTAAGCAGGCTCCCAACCGAGACTCCACCTGGGCTCCTGCTCAGGCCTCCAAGACGGAGATCTACAAGAACAACATGGTCCGATTCGAGCAGAAGGATCTCAGCAAGCAGCCCATGCCCTACGCCGGTATCGAGCTCATTGCCCAGCAGCCCGTCCGGTTTGTCCATGGCAACACCGCTGTTTGCGACGGAGCTAACCACAATGGCCCTGGTGCCCAGGGTCACCCCAAGATTTTTATTAATGTGGACGCCCCCGGCTCTCATGCTTGCCAATACTGTGAGTAAACTGGTCGTCTCAGAAGGAAGTCTTGACATGATGAGAAACACGAACTGGACTTGATGAAACAAGTGGTCATATGGCTCTAGAAGCTATGTGGGTGGTTGTTTGAGAGTAAGAGTAGATTCGGCAACAGAATGAACGGCAGAAACATGAATGGCAGCAACATGGCAGAAACATGAAAGGCAGCAACATGAATGGCAGCAACATGGCAGCAGAATGAGCGACAGCAACATGAATGGCAGCAACATGGCAGAATAATGGATAACAGCAGAATGAGCGACAGCAACAGCAACGTCAGCAGTGATACCTTATCATGATAACACCAGTAACAGGTAACAGCAACGTCAGCAGCCAACTCCATTTTCAGAATGGACACTGCAGGAAACAATACACCCAAGCACGATGGAAATGTTACGTAGAGCAACGGGCAGTGAAGTATTGGAATAGCCAAAGTGGGTTAGTAAATCATTGTTTGTTAGATGCGATGTCCTAGCTGCTGACACGTTTCTTTTTTCGACTTGCCCTTGTCTGCTCATTTCCACCTCCACATTGCTCGTTCAAGCTATTCTAACGTCAACCAGGTTGATTATCTACATTTCTGCCCAACCGTCTAATTGTTTGCTTGACATCTACTCCACATCTCCAGCATCTTAGTTTCCCCCACTCATGCATCCCCAATCCAGTACTAACACAGGCGGCACCAGATACGAGAAGGAGCACTAGAGCATTATATATTAAGACACATTTGCACATTGGAATACTTGACGGTATTGTAGGATAGGTGTTAGAGACGTCGATACAACTAAGATACTGAACTATTCGAGTACTTGAAGCTACAAGTACTCTACAGTACAGTACATACCTGATGATACATCCTACAGTTTATTAGGACTGTCCACTGTATCGCCACGGACAGCCAATGAGCTTTGGGGAAAAGGACATGGTCATCAACTACCGCAGAAGACGTTTGACCAATCTGAAATTATGTTTGCTCGGTTTTTTTGGGCTTGTTTGTCTGTAGAAACGTACATCTTTTTAGCTGCTCACCTTCTGACCCTTTGGCAGTATCTCCGTGCTCCCCCGTTCCAAGCCGGAACTACTGAGGTGCCTCGAACTTTCATTGAGCTTGTATATATGAACGTCGGAGTGATATAATGTCGATTTCGAGACATGTCTGTATTCACCAAAAGATCACCGGACCACGTTTTGTACTGGTTTCTGTATCGCTTAGACAAGTCTCACTAGTGTACAGTAATCTCCACATGTGGAGAAGCCTTCACATAGTGGTTACAGTAATTAGCGTGCGAGTAATTACGGACAGTTTCCAGGTAAGACGTGAGCAGAATACAAGAGAAACGGAATGAAGATGTCTCTCCTCCCTCAATGGAACTGTCGTTAGTAGTGCAAATCATCACGTGACTGCATTAGTAAAACCACCAGTTAGTCCTTGTCTTGGAGCACGTGTTGCTGTTGGCAGTCAGTACAATATGTACATCATGTACTGGTACAGTTCTTTGTACAGTATCGTGTGTTGAGAAGCAGCTATATCTGCGCGGAGCGGAGGTTAAACGGGGGTCACGTGACCAACAGGGAGCTCTGACCACCAATCATGTGATGTATGTCCAAGGTGGTGATTGTCACGTGCTTGGATCTTGGAGGGACTTGTATCCAACCCTTTCAAAGTGTCGACTTTTTGGTGCACGCGTCTTCAACAAGGTTTATTGTCTGAACTGGAGTAGTTCTGCCATAAGCTAAAATAGGCGAGCAGCATTATGGGCACTGTCAAAGGGGGTCAATTGGACCGGTTTTTCCGGAGTTTTTCCGGGTTTTTACTATGTTAATCAATTTATTCAGGGCCAAAATACCCAGATTCTGTTTTTCCAGCTTCGAATTCCCCCCTCTAGTGTCTTTTGCAGCCTAGTCCAAAAAAAAACATCCCCCCATAATTATTAAACTCTCTTATTCTCGCTAACGTGTCTATAACCTGTTCGTTGTACACTCTCCACCACACCTCCAACAGTCTCAGTATGAACGGTTTCGCCACCATTCTGCTGCTGTCACTCATTATGGGAGTGGCGGCGTTTGTCGCAGGGCTTCTGCCGGTCATTTTACCGCTTTCTCCGGCCAAAATCAGAGCGATATCGGCTCTCGGAATGGGCATTTTGCTGGGCACATCGCTGATTGTGATCATTCCCGAGGGAGTTGAGACTCTCTACAACGAGACAGGCGAGGATAGCGGCAGCGGAGCTCCGGCAGTCGGCATTTCGTTGCTTCTCGGCTTTCTCATCATGTATCTGATCGACAACATTCCCTTGATCAGCCAGATTTGGAAGGGAAAAGGAAACTTCCAGCGGGTGGACGTGGAGCTGGGAGAAGTAGACACCGGGGACGCAGAGACCATTGTGGATGACTCGCGAGCCAGTACGGCAAACTCGACTTCTCAGTCGACTGCCAACAGTGCCGGACAGGCTTCTGCTCGGGCTACAACTACAGGACTGGTGATCCATGCTCTGGCCGATGGAGTGGCTGTGGGCTCGTCCGTGTCTGCCGGCAACTCCAAGCTGGAGCTCATCATCTTTGTGGCCATCATGATCCACAAGGCGCCTGCTGCTTTTGGTCTGTCTGCTGTTCTGCTGCGATGTGGTCTTACCAATGGTCAGGTCAAACTGCATCTGGGAGCTTTCGCCGCTTCGACGCCCGTGGGCTCGATTCTCACTTGGGCCTTGATCAAGGTGATTGCGGGAGACTCCTCGGGGGGATCGACAGGCTCGGGCTCCATACACTGGTGGACTGCTGTGCTACTGTTGTTCAGTGGCGGCACATTCCTGTACGTGGCTGTTCACGTGATGCAGGAACTGACCGGCGAGGATCATGGGAGCCAGGCAAAGGCCAGTGAAAAGTTTACCCCGGCCGACCTGGGCTTTTCGGTCATTGGAATGTTGATCCCGTTGCTGACCTTGTTCCTGCCGGATGTGGAGTAAGGATCAAAGCGACGAGAGTCAACCACAAGCCAGCGAGTGGTTTGTGTTGAACTTTTCATCGCAGCCTCTTCACCGCACCACTGCGTGTCCAGCAGCGGACTACCGTACTTGAGCTCGTGCTTTTATTATTCAGTTCAGGCATTTGTGCGTTGCAATACTGTCGATACAGCTCTGGTGCCAAATCAATCCACCCGAGTTAGTGACTCATCCCCATACCCTCTGTATGGCTGTGACAGCAGTCATACTGACTAACAAAACACACACAGATTGAATTCTGGTCAATAGACAAATGTATACTTATGAATCGAGCAGGAAACGAACGAACGTTCCCTAGTCCAGTGGCAGATCTGATAGGCGTTGTAGCGTATGGTGAATCCTTGTACTTATGAATATGAATACTTATGAATACTCCTCGATACGGGCTCCTTCTCCCATTCGTTGGTACATAAATGTATCGGTACATACTGTACTCGGAATGTTGAAGTACTGGTGGACGGTATTGTTTGTTGTACAGGTACTGTACTGCCAATCACCTGTGGTCTACGGATAAGTAGCTCCTACTTATGGATGATTTGGTAGAGGAAAGACCCGTGTATCAGAACGGCCGTCACGGAGTCACTGTTCCACACAATGGTTGACGTCTCGGTGTTTAGCACAGTACACAGTCTCATCACTCCCATTGAGTCTCGATCCAATCGCATTTGCTCATATCATCTTCTGCTAACTGTCTATAATTACCATCCATTATCTATGTGAAGTGCATCATCCTCACCATCATCTCTTGACCTGTCGTCGGTCGATCGAAGGTCTGTTCAAAAAAGCCATTCGTCCGACTGTAGTAGCGCCCTCGGCCTTAGGGGGCAGCTTAGACTTGTTCTTTTTGAGTACCCGCACGGAAACAGGACCCTTCTTGATCTCCTCCTCAACCTCCTCAAACACCCGCTTCTTGGGCTTCTTGGGCTCCTCCACAGGCATGTTCTTGGACCGCTCCAGTGCCTCTAGAACCTCCAGAGGCAGCTGTTCTTGATCCTCATCGTCGTCTTCATCCTCTTCTTCTTCCTCGTCCTCCTCCTCATCCTCTCGAGCCTGTCTTCTGAGCTCCTCCAGCTTGTCCTTCTTGGCCTTGGCCTGTTTAGCCAGCACCTCGTTGGCCTCCCGCCGCTTCTTCTTCTCTTCCGCCTTCTCTAATGCTGCCAGCCGCTGCTGTTCCTTTTGCTTGGCCAGGGTCTTTTCCTGTCCATCCTCCAGTGTTTCCTCCTCGGGGGCATCGTCACTGTCGTCTTCAGACTCCTCCACAACCACCTTTTTCTTCTCAACGATGGGCTCGGCACTCATTCCGTCCTCGTCAAAGGTGATCTTCTTGGCCTTGCCCTTGACTGGCGTTTCTGACACCGCCGGCTCCTGTTGTGACGCTTCAGGCTTCTTGCTCTTTGCACTCTCTGGGGTCTTGAAATCGTCCTCCTCAGCAGAGGACAAGTGGGCGTCGTCCACCAGAGGCTTCTGCTGCTTTTTGGGCGTGTACGCCACCGTTCCAGATCGTTCTCGGACCATGATAGCTGTGTAAATCGACGTGGTTGATGAACACAAATAAAATCCCAAATCTTGCATATATTTTTCCTGCATACAAAATTTCCCCAACCTAGATCGCAGGTTAGGGCTGGACAAGAGGTGTGAGTGGAGCAGCATCCTATACAGGTTATGAGCGGTTCGGGGAGTGTTGGTTGTTCTGTGGGTTGGATTTTGAACTGATTTTGACGCATTATTTGTGTGGTGCTATCCAGATCTCTTCTCAAAAACCAAAAGCAATAATCTCCTATTTCTTTACAGTTTGTTGAGGTATTACTTGACAAGGTCAACTAAATTAACTTATAGTCCATAGAAAGAAGGGAACAGGTGAATATAAAGCGACAAAAAGATATACTATGGGTTTCCTACTTATGGAGTCAAGTTGCATCAACAAAGGTGTCAAGTATTTCCCCGAATCACCAAAATGATGACTTCTTGAACATTCGAGTGCCTTATGATATTGTGCGAGTACTTGTACATACTGCGTTCTGATTGACATTCATTGGCAATTCGGTACAAGTAAGTACATACTTATATGAGTAATTCCATCATTTACTTGTATGATTTGTATGGGTATGTATTCAGACTTGGATGATCTTCGTTGCCTATCTGACTGCTAATGTCCAACTACACTCAATCAATGTCTAATCATAAACAATCATTATCTATATACATCCTCTAAGGAGCGCAGTAGCCACCATCGACGATAATGTCGGCACCAGTGGTGTAGGTGGCAGCATCAGAGGCAAGGTAGAGGTAGGTAGAGCTCGGAGGGGTCTCCCTCTCGGCCCATGGGAATGAGCTGCCACCACTTCTCCTTGGTCTCCTTGGGGACAAAGTCGGAGATCTCGGTGGCCATGTAGCCAGGGGAGACTGTGTTGCATCGGGCAAAGCCGGCCCACTCGACGGCCAGCGATCGAGACAGGTGCAGCAGAGCGGCCTTGGCGGCGTTGTAGCAGGCCTGCATCTGGGGGATGTTGACAATGTGGCCGGACATGGAGGCGGTGAAGATGAAGGATCCCTTGCCCTTCTTCTTGAAGATCTGGCCGGCGTACTTGGCGCAGTAGTAGGCACCGTTGAGATCCAGGTTGATGACCTTGTCCCACTCCTTGTTGTCGGGCACGTCGATCATGGGGCCGGCGGTCCAGGGGACACCAGCGTTGGCGACGAAGATGTCAATGGTGCCAAAGTCCTTCTCGATCTGCTGGATGGTGGACTCCACGGCGGCGGCGTCGGTGACAGGGCACTTGTAGGCCTTGGCCTTGACGCCGTAGGTCTTAGCGAGGTGCTCAGCCTTTGCGTCGGCGGGGTGGGAGTTGTACCAGATGGCCACGTCGGCACCGGCCTGGGCGTAGGCCTCGGCCACGCAGTAGCCGATACCTGACGAGGAGCCGGTGACGGAGGCAACCTTACCCTTGAGGGAGAATCGGTCCATGATGTTGGTGGGGAACTTTGGGGTCTCTGTGGGGAGAGGGTGCAGTCCCGTGGCGAGGGTGGAAGGTCCAGACATGATTGAGGTGGTGCTGTGTATGGAGGTAGTAGTTTTACTGTGACGGGTCTGTTCGAGGGAGCACACCCAGGTATATATAGACTTGGGAGCGAGGGTTTTTACCTCAGTCACAGTAGCAACCAGCAAACAAAGATGAGCCATGCATTCACTTTAGCCTTAATAGCTGCGCCATGTCAGTGAAGTTAATTTTCGGGGGACAGGTGGCTGACGTGTTTGAGGGGGGGATTTTGGGGGGGTGTTGGAACGCGGCTTTCGGAGTCACTCGGTGATTTTGTTTTGGTTGTCGCCCTGGGGACCGCGCCGACGTGCTCTCCCCGGGCTTTCTCTCTCCGGTCGCCATGCAAGTGGGATGAGATGGATGGGAGTTATGTACCCGGTGTGACCATGATGGTGTGGTATCTTGGTTTTGTGTGGAGCCGTCTGGGAATTGAGCAGACATAAGATATATATAGCCGGCGGAATCCCCCTGCAATTTCCCTTTTGTCAATGCCCCAACTCCCCATCAACTTGTCCACGTCACCTCACCTCACCTCACCACACCACTCTCTTGATAACATATCAGAGTTAAGGCGGACATGCAGTTTGGGATTGATTGCGGTTTAGCTTTCAGTTGTACTGCACTAGCAGTGGCAAGCACAATGGAAGTCCCCCCCGCTCGTCGACATAATCTCACTACAAGTAGAGGGAGCTCGACAACGCCGCCACCGCTAGAACGCCAAGCCACACCACTCAAATGAGGTCAATTGACCTGCTCGCGTGGTGCACGCAGCTGTCCCGTGACGTCATGCCTCCCACTCTACGCTACGACTTCAACAACTCGCCTAGCCAGTCGTGTACTGTCTCAAACCGTAAGCTGGAACATTGCGGGGGTGACTAGAATCCCGAGAAAGTCGCCAAAAGAGAATCTAGCGGTGCGCCATTTAGTCGGGGTCGAACCCCAAGTCTCGACGGCCCATTCAAGACGAAAATTACGCTTCCAGCGCCCAAACACCCCTCGTCACCAAGTCCTGTCAAGCCTCCAGCAACTATCGTCAAATAGGGTTGCCAGAGATGGGGCATCTCCCCCCTCCCCCCACATCACACCCCCATAATCCACGATAAACGGTCTCTTTTTGGTGCGAAAATTATACCATTCTTCTTGTCTCGCCAACACGAACAAAACGAGACTTCAAACTAACCCATTGACCGATTTTTCACTTCTCGGAACCCTCCCATAACTCCCTCATTTGCTTTTTTGCTTGCGTCCAACTCCAGATGAACGCTATAATTCCTGTTCGAACCGGCATGTGCCGAGCATCGAACATCGAACGTCCAGCAACACTCGGGTCACAGAGGAGCCCGGAAATCCACCATAATAATACTCCGGTGTATTTCTCAAAAGTACTAATTAACAGACAAAGACCCTCCCTCGGCGGTTACCCGGACGCCATGCAGTAGTTCGTTTGGGGATCATTTGGGTGGAAGTGGCAACAAGAACGTCTTCAACTTGGCCAATACAAGAGCAATTGGAAAACTAACACCATTGGCAGAATCCCCTCGTCCTCAGTACCAAAATAATACTCATAAACAGCCCATTTTCCCCCTTTCGAGACCCAAATGAACCCCTCGGAATTCGCTCTAGGTCTCCACTTTAAAGTTGTCACTCTAAAAAGAGGTCGTCTCGGTACGATACTTTGGTACACTCCCCGGAGAGGAAAGGTACGATCAGGTTCCACACAACGCGAGTCTATTTCCGATCACGTGGCCGGAAAACGTTGGCAGTAGTCTTATTGCCGACCACGATTGCTCTGGTATACGCAGATTGCTCCGAAAGTATGCACCTCCGATCATGCCACGTATATGTCAGGATCTGCACCACTTGCATACACGAGAGTGGCGAGTATTTTGGGGTTAGGGCTGGCTGAAAGGGGGAACTTGGTTGAAAGGGGGAACTTGTAGTTGTCAAGTGGGTACATGGATCAACTAAATGTAAGAAGAGTTTAAGGTGGTGGGAAGAAAAGAATATATATATATATATATATATCCATATACAGTATATATATACAGTATATAAAAACAAAACAAAAAAACCTATGTGAAAGCTCAATGTGAAGGCTCAATTGACAAGAATTGACAAGATTTGGCAAGAGTTGAAACAATTGAAAGAGTTGAAAGAACAGTTCGGGTGGGTATTTCAACGGCTTGGAACAGCTTGGATATGCATGTGCAATCCAGCAATGAGAGCTATCTTCTGGTCGTACACGACATGTCTTTTCTGTAGACGATGTATCTACTGATTTGGGACATCTTTGAGATGAATGAACAATATATACCCTTCTGGTGTGCTATTATCGGAACATGGAGCCCCTAGAAGTGGATCGTAAGTCGTTCCATCAACTGTATCCTCAATCATACATGGTCTTGTTTATACAATACTTGTAGCAATGTCCGCAGACGTCATTGGTAATATGCACAGTAGTGTCGTCACTTCATGCCGAAATTCGTCGTGCCGGTTCGATTCTCACGGTCCAAGTCAGTTGAATATTTCTCTTTAATCGGTTTTGTCCATCATCAACATTGGTTACAGTATGTACAGTACCTATATTAAACATTTCACGTTCACCCAATGACCTCTTGTTTTTTAGTCATAATGCTGTCTGTCGCCCTTCATGTAACTAACACAAGAAAAGTAAACCCACAATTTTACTCGGCTCGTTCAGCTCTTTGCAGTCGAAAAATCATCTCCCCGATCTCTCCATTATTTTTGCACGATATCCACTGCTCTCCATCGAGCCGCCACCTGCATATAATATGCACTCCGCTGTCCCCTCCAATATCACACTTGTCATCATCACCACCGTTTTACCACCTCACAGAAAATGCACCCTGTGATTTCGGACGCGTTGCGAAACGCGCATGGCACGTACCACGCGGCACTCGACCGGTACTACGCCCTCACCACCAAACAACGCATTGCAGTGTGGCTAGGACTGGGTTTTGCGGGGTTTATGGGTCTAGGATTTCTGATTTGGCACCAGACTCTCATTGCCTGGCTCGTGGGGTTCGCCGAGAAGGTACACGACACGCCATTTGCGTGGGTTGGTCTGTTTCTGGCCATCTGCATCATCTCGTTCCCCCCCTTGATTGGCTACAGCATGATCTCCACCTTCTGCGGAATGGCCTACGGATTCCCCAATGGCTGGCCTCTGTTGGCTGCCGCCACCATCATCGGCTCCACGGCCTCTTTTCTGATTGTGTCTCGGCGATTTGCAAACTATGCCCGTCATCTGGCGCAGACAAACACGAAATTTGCGGCTCTAACACAAACAATGGAGAAGGACTCGTTTGCACTGCTGTGGATGATCCGGCTGTGCCCTTTGCCCTACTCCTTGAGCAACGGGGCCTTGGCTTCAATTCCCTCAATCACTCCCCAGGCCTTTGCTTTGGCTACAGCTATCACTTCTCCCAAGCTGCTGATCCACGTGTTTGTGGGAGACAGACTGGCTCGATTGGGCCAGGGAGAAAAGGACTGGACGTCGACGCTGGTCGACTTTCTGTCCATTGGTATCGCTGTCTCTGCGGGAGCTATTACTGCGTACATTGTCTACACTCGAACGTTGCAGCGAGCTGCTGAGATTGAGGCCGAGCAGCATCCCAACTTGGATGAGCTGGACGTGTTGGACGATGATGAGTTCATTGTGAACGACGTCTAGAGAGCAAGTAGCGAAAGGGCATACCATCTTGAAACATCTATCGACAATCATCAAGTGGGTAGCGCATGAAGCGCTGAGCTTGCGCTGAGCTGAACAGGACATGGTCATGGCAGATTCCTCTAAAAAACCAGAGATACAATATCACTCTCAAAAAACGAAAGGTGCAGTCAATCATACCACAGTTCGAGAACTGTGTCCTAACATACAATAGTGCCATCGAATGAAAGCACATTTTATAGACTAATATATGAATGATGACGGGTTGTACATGATGTATGGGTGTGTCATTGCTGCTGCCGAGTCCCAGGGTGTCGTAGTAGCAGTCACTAAATTCATTGCCGCCATGATACTAACAATTCAGAGTAATTCAGGAGGGTGAGCTACTTGTAGCCTGCGAGGGCTGAATTGCTGCCAAGCCCCTTTTCTGGCTGATGACGACGTTTAAGACAATGATATAAAGGAGTTGGGGGTCTCTTCAATAACATCCAAAAGTCAGAACTAGTTCATTTGCAAATTAATGCTCTTTCGGTTCAGTTCTAGTCCTCACAATGTCTCCTCTGATCTCAGAGGCATGGAGCACCATAACACATGATTGTGGTGTCTGTCAGATTGCAAGTTGGATGAGCGTTCCAGTTAATCGGTCAGCTCAATGTTCGTGTTGGTGCAATTACATGGTTTATTGATGTCTCTTATTGAGTCATTGACCACCTACTTGTATTCACCTCCTGATACGGCATCTACAACCCATAATAGATAGCATGGACACTTCCCCACCACCCCCAAACATCTTATCCATGCCTCCCTAACTGCAATCCACAACTCATCATTTCATATCTGTTAATCTATTCTGCCATGACCTAAGTGGATGGTTGTCCGTCTACTGGACGGTGTCCCGATGATGTTTAGGAACACCTGTTACCGTGAATCTACCGGATGCTGTCCTTCGGTGACCTACTCCTTCTTCACATCAACATCAGCGCCAATAATATCCACCCACTTCTTTCCGTTCAGCTCCTTGACAATCTCCTGCTTCATGTGGACGGGGAGTCCGGGACCCTGGTAAGCGAGAGCGGTGTACACCTGCACAAAGGTTGCTCCGGCTCGAGCAAACTCAATGGCGTCCTTTCCGTTACTGATACCTCCACAGCCCACAATGGTGATCTCGTCTCCAATGTTCTTTCGTAGAGTTTTGATGGCCTTGAGAGCAATGGGCTTGAGAGGAGCGCCAGAAAGACCTCCAGTCTCGGCAGAAAGATAAGGCTGTGATCGCAGATGCTCGGGTCGCTGAATAGTGGTGTTAGAAACGATGATTCCGTCAATCTTGGACTGCTTGGCTGCAGCAGCAATCGACACAATCTCAGACTCGCTCAGATCAGGAGCAATCTTCACCAGAATGGGCGTGTAAGTGTTGGCGAACTGGACCTTGTTTCGCTCGGCAACCACGGCGGTCAGCAGCTTTGCCAGTCTCTCCTCTCCCTGCAGAGCTCGCAGGCCGGGGGTGTTGGGGGAAGACACGTTGACGACAAGAGCATCGGACAGGTTGGCAAACCGGGTGACGCCCTGGGTGTAGTCGGACACCTCGTCACCGGTCTTGTTCTTGCCAAGGTTGACAGCCAGCACCTTGTTTTTGTCCAGAGAGTGTCTGGTGTCCTCGTGCTGGGGCTGCTCGTGGCCCAGAGCGTGCAAAAGACGTTGCTTGAGACGGCCCATGACAGCAAAATGGCCCTCGGAGTTGAAGCCGTATCGGTTGATGACGGCATCATCCTTGGGGAGTCGGAAGAATCGGGGCTTGGGGTTTCCGTCCTGGGGCTCAGGGGTCACAGAACCAACCTCCACATAGGCGAAGCCCAGGCCAAAAAGCCCGTCAATGGCCTGACCGTGCTTGTCAAGACCGGCAGCAACTCCAATGGGGGTTCGCAGGGTGAGGGGTCGCTTGGAGTTGGCGAAAATGGTCACCTCGAGAAGGTGGTTGGGGTCGATCTCGTTATCCTCCTGACGCTGCTTGGGAGACATGCCGTTGGCCAGAATTTCGATTCCCAGGCGGTGGGAGGTCTCGGCGTCGGTGCACAGACGTAGAATGGGCAGCGCAATGTACTGGTGGATTGCGGATCTGCTGTCGACTGTGTAGAAAGCAAAGGCCGTGGCTCCGGCGAAAATAGCCGACCACTTGAGAAAGCCCGTGAACGAGGCCTTGGTGTACTCGTATTTGGGATTTGAGTGCAGAGATCGGTGCAGCGGACGCAGGGGAGCCGCCAGACGCGCAGATCGCCCCGATTGCATCAGAACTCGTGCTGTTCGGGCTGACATCATTTTTGTGCTCGGTGATGAAGAATCAGCGAATCACGCTTGAAGGTGGTGTCATGGTGGAGGTGGGATTTAGGGTTGGTGAAGAGTTCGATTTGGGCTGGCGTATGATTATTTGGGGGCTTGTGGGGGTTTTGTGGTTGAAAAAAAGATATATAAATGTCCTTAAGATCTCCCTTTGGTTCATTAGCCAAATTTCCATCTCTTCTGGGCCCCTAATTTGACCTCCAAAGGGAACATCAAATCCGAGGCTGCATTTTATTAGGTTCGGATAAGCTTGCTGTGATATACTGTACTGGTGGTGTATAGCGACATTTGTTCGGAGCGTAGCACAAGAAAGGATATGGGAGGAATTGAGACGAGGAGAAGAATGGGTATGATTTGGGGGTATCTCTGGAGATTATGGAGACAATTGAGGTGTTAGTTTGAGACCCGGATCTGCTCTGGAGACCAAATGAGGGGGGTTTCTGTGTGTGATTATTCGTTCGACATTATTCACGCGATACTGAGGGTGGAGATGTTGGTTCGATTGGCTACTAACCAGTGCAGAGATGAAGAAAGTACCCTTAAGTATTTACTTGTATTTAAATCAAGCACTTTACAAAGCCCAGTGCCAAATCGGGTTCAAGATACGCAGCTCATTAGTTTGCCAATCTCGCTAGTTTTCCAATCTCATCATACACCTCGTGGCCGAAAATACTACTTTTCCACGCATCCACTATAGTACATCCGTGTGTAGGATATCATCATCCAACTCCCACGTCCCAGGTTGACGGCTCCGCAAGTAGAAGGAAATGTGGACAAGTGCGAGTAGTGTACCTACTCTACGGCGCAAACCTCTCATCTGATAGCACCTCGACTCAACCTACCCGCTCTGTCCCTATTGTTCGGCCTTTCCACATTCTACACTATGGTGGGCTAGACACTATTTGACAGTCCTTCATGTCTGACTTGAGGGGTGCGCCAATCACTGAAGCGGTGGTGGTAACATTGACAGTATTGTTCAGGTGGTGTTCTATTGGCTACAGTACCTACAGTGTAGGGTCATCTTGTTACATCAAATCCTGGCGGCAGGAGTCACATGATACAATCCCGTCACGTTATACGGCTGGTACATTCCTTTCAAGTCATTCCTTTCTAGACATTCCCACAGCACTGCCAATGTTTGTTCTGCACTTGTATCACCTGTGCTCAACTACAAGTAGTTAGTTCCTGACAGTTGAATACCTTCTGCCCTTGCTCAATTGGGGTTATTTGAGCGGTGTGGGCTCCTCAGTGGCCAATATAAGGACCCAAAAACGTCTATTGAACTCCCCAGCTCGTCTCCGCCCCTACTTGGACCCTACTTGGACCCTACTTGGACCCGAGGACGGCCTCCTACGTCCGACAAGTGAAGGTGAGCGATGACAGCTTTGACAGGGACATTTTTTGACGTAATCTGACATACCACCGGTGCTCGAAGCCAGTAAACCCGCGTTATTTTTAGAACCTGTTTCTCCCAGCCAGCCTCGTATCTCTTTGACCTTTTGGCCCACATATCTACACTCTAGAGTTGGTATTCAGAGGTCCACGGAAAACTTGTTTTGGAATGCGTGGACGGGATTTTGGCGGTGCAAGAAAACGAGTGGGCCGTTAAGTGTTCCACGCTGGAGTACAACTTGGAGGGGATATGAACCGCGAGCTCAGTACAGAACTTTTACTGGTACTGAATGTAAATAGTTATACATGCTGGATGGAGATAGTATACTGTAAAACAAAAAAATCTGAGCAGAGACAAATGGCGATACGATATTGGTACAAGTACTTATACCACCTCAATGTCATCTATACGGCTCAAGTTACTCGCCTCTTATACACAGCCCTCGGACTGGGTCTTTCCTGTGTGAAAAAAGATGGTCAGGAATGTGTGCTGCTTGTATTGAGTGAATAGACGAAAGCTAAGATAGTGATCAAAGTGGCGGAAAAAAAGCGCCCATCTGGCTGATTTTTCACAGAGGAAAAGCTGGAGCAGTAAGGACTGTACTGACACAATTTCACCCCAATTGAACATCTCCTTCATCCACTTGTCCTATCCACTGCTCCTGCTTCTTGGTACAGTAGTTGGACGATATTAAACTACACGCAACTTTGTTTGGCTCGCCTGTTTTAGGCCACATTCCAGAGAAAGAGTCCTAAAGCAGCGGATCTCCAGGACGCTCAGGGCGGTGCAGTAGAGTACGTACCGTACAGTACAGTACAGTACTTTTGGAATGCGGAGGGGTCACGTGGGAGGAAATAGATGGCGGTGATTTGGGGATGTGAGCGTGTGAGCATGTGGTCTGTTCTGTGCCGAACGAACGGGAGGCAGTACGAGCAAGAGGCCGTACAAGAGGCAGTATGGGGACGCAAGAGGCAAGTATTGTCTAGAAAGTCGAGTATTAATGTGTTTGACTAACTACACCAATATCAACTACACCAATATCAACTGTGCCAAAACAGACGAGCTCCTACTCCTCAATCTCAGCTGTTTGCTATCTGTTTTGTCATTGGCGTCATGTCGCACTCCCCCAATCTCCGCCGACACTGCTACTACTTGTAGTAGTATCTGCTAATATCTACTCATTCAGCTACTGCCCGTATCTCTCTATTTACTCTCGTTTAGGAAAGGAATGTGCTGCTTGCGTCTCTGTCATGCTGATCAGGTACGATCGCTGAGGCAGTACAAACTCTCGAGTGGCACGGAGAGGTGGTATCGTTTGCGGCACGCGGAGGTTGACATCTGTTTTCGGCGTTTTGATGGGGTATAGTAGTGACGATACTGAGCTGTGTTGACTGTAGGAACGAGAACAGTACATACGAGTAGACAATACAGCACACTCAGAATGAGCGAACCACGAGCAACAAGTCGAAAAATCGACTAATTGGTACTTGTATCATCGCCCACTTGTCCATCGCCCACTTCCATCGCCCACTTCCATCCACACTTCCATACACACTTCCATTCACACTTCCTCCATCGTCCTCAGCATGTCCAGTCAGTTGCTGGTTCTTTCTATGCAGGGGAAAACGCGTGCGATTACAGTTTGCCGAACATGGTGATGAGGCCACCACCCATCTGCGAAGATCCGGGGGATCTATGTCGATCAGGAGTAAATAGAGAGCCGGCTGAGGCGGGTCGCGATCGTGTGACAGCGTTTTTTGGGGCGCGAATAGGCCCCAAAACAAGCCAAGAACGTCAACAAGGTCCGCAAATCGACCCATTTTCGGCTGACACACGTTGCCGCTAAAAATGCCTGCGCGACTTCGGCAAGGGTGGATAATTTTGTAGGCCAACGGTTGCACTTTGACACGACTTGTTCGCGTTTGAGTTTTTAAAAAGCAAAAAATGAAAAAGAAGGTTTTTAAATGGACAAAAAGAGGGTAAAAAAGGGTAAAAAAAGGGTAAAAAAAGGGTAAAAAAAGGGTAAAAAAAGAGCACAAAAAAAGGGTAAAAAAAGAGAACAAAAAAAGGGCAAAAAAGAACAAAAAAACAAACGGCCAGACTTGACGCAATGCGCAATTAGACCTTGGGAAAAACGGTGCCATAAGTGAGGAATAGCAAGTAGGGGAGGGCCAGTACAAGTAAGGCAAGTAAAGGAAGTAAGGGGTAATTGAACAAGGAGAGGAGACGGTGGACAGGAGTTGTGAAAAGAAATGGTGTTGGAGAAACGAATATTCGATTACTAAGGAAATGGGATATATCAGCGTAATTTTCTGCCGGCTTTCATCATCCCGCTCTTGGCCATTTTACCACGATAAAAAATATTTGTGGACTGGTTTCCACTAACCCTTTTTTGCTCGCACATACTTGATTGCTGTATCCAGACAAATGTAGAAGTGTAAGAACACGATACGAGTACAAGGACAATGTACAGGTAGGTACGTACTGTAGGTACTTGTGCTGTGTTTAGTTTTCCCTGCTTGGAATATAATACGTATGACTAGAGTAAGTGGTGCAGCTTTCTGCAGCTTTTCTACAGCTTCTCGTGCGCTTCTTGTGCTCTACTTGTACTGCTCTTGTGTTCTTCTCGTGTTCTTCTCGTGCTCTTGTGTTCTTCTCGTGTTCTTCTCGTGCTCTTGTGTTCTTCTACAGCTCTTCTCGTGCTTTACTTGTAGCTCCTCAGCTCTCAGCTCCTCAGCTCTCAGCTCCTCAGCTCTCAGCTCCTCAGCTCTCAGCTCTTCTCAGATCTCCCTGTAGCTCTCCTCAGCTCCCTCGTAAGTCCCCTCGTACTGTATCTCTCTAGGAGTGCGAATAAAACATGAACCATGGCCCAAGTACAAGTACATACAGTACAAGCACACAAAAAGTAGTGCAATTTCATCAGACTAAGCGCCATATCTCTGGTGTTTTCATGGCCTACTGTGTATCATCTTGCCCTATTAGGTTAACCGGCCGGTGGTAAGAGTGACAGCAAAACTGGACATATCCAGTAGCGCCTGGACATGATTTGATCATTGCACTCACCCGTTACTTGCACAATACCCAAACCATCCCATTGATCCTCCTCTGCTGCTCATCTCCTCCCGCTTGGGACGATTGACCCGACGCACACGCACATCATGATACATGGCTGCCGAATATGATACAACCGGAGCAGCCGTGCAAGAGCGACTACAAGTACGCGTAGGGGCACTAGAACCCGAAATGCCACCAGCGGGGTTGTCGAAGACTCTAAGAATGGCACAGAACAGTCTTCTGGACTAACATGGGGCTCGATTAGGCCAGTCTGGACCGCCTACAAGAGTTAGGGGGTCTCAGGAAAAACGGCGTAAGCGAGGCTGGTCTGCATATGTCAATTGGTTTATACTTGTAGAGAGTGTGGAAGAGTCACGTGGAGTTTGAAACAGGATCTTTGCGGGCCCGGTGAAACCGTTTCAAAAGTTTCCCACGTCTTTTTGAGCCTCTCAACGTCTCCATGGTCGGGCTGTATTTCCGCCCATGGTAGGTGTTCCCTACAGTATGTTCCTTAGTATAGTTTGACCAACAAGGGTACAATTGAGTGGAGATTGAAACTGGGGGATTTAGTTTCCGGTGCAATTGTTTTGGACGTTCTCTGACGATGAATAAACAGCAGTTTTTCTTTCTTTTTTACCCACGTTTCGAATTCTTGTACTGTACATACTGTGTACTGCACTTGCACTCGTAGTTGTATCACTGTACACACGCAAGATCAGAAAATGTATCCTGAAAGAACCCCTCCACCGACACTCTCAAACACTCACTGCACCTCAAACGCACCGTCAGATGGTAACCGAAGAGACCAAGACACCACCCATCTTTCTGCCATATCATATCCAAGACACTGGTTTTACAGATTTACAGGGTACTCCATGTTGCCTACCATTCCCCTACATCTACGAGACCTTGGCAGTCGAGAGAAGAGGCAAGTAGTTACGTGTTGTACCTAGGCTTTCCTGGCGAGGACCTACCACCACCACCACCACCACCACCACCACCACCACAACAACAACAACAACACTGGTACTCGACCTGGTACAATATAACCGTTTGAACCCCATCACCGCCCCTAACTCCTTTTCACCCCCTCTCTCGTTTTCTAGCACTTTGCGTTTAGACAAAGTCAAAGTCGCGAGCGAGTGCTTGTTACATTCCAGGCAAAAAGTGTAAAACGCAACTAAATCTGCAGTCGCAACTCTAAAGCCTAACTGTAAAATCCCACTTCAAAAACACACCTAACATAGACACCTGGAACAACGTACTCCTGACATCTTGAGCGTTGGTATAGGTTGAGGACGTGGCAGAGATTCGATAGACGGCAGAGATTCGACACGACCAGACTGCACACAGACAAGTGACACAGACACGACCCAAACAAGTGACACAGACACAGACACGCGACTCAGACACGACTCACACTAGTGACAGACAAGTTACGGTACAAGTACTCACCCACCAACGAACGGAAACACAGAGGTCCGAACAGACGAAAAACAACTCCGACACACACTCATTGATCACACACACAAGACGCACAATGAAACCTCTCAACGTGAACACGGACTTCCGAGACTTCCAGTCCCGCGGATACGCCTCTTCTCAGTATGGAGGCTCTTCAGCCTCGTCCATCCACTCTTCTCTCACGTCGCCCTTGTCGGCTTCTTCGCGCTCAAACTTCGACAACGCCTTCCCTAAGTTTGTGCCCGGCGTCCAGTACAAGAGCGTCTACGAGCGGGCTGGATTCGAGGTGAACCGGGAGGGCCAGCAACGGGCTGGATACGCCTCTTCCATCAAGAGCGGCCGATCCCAGCGATCCCAGCGCTCGTACAAAAACGGACCCTATTCGCATATGAACTCGTCCGAGGTGTCTATTCTGGGTCTGTCAGAGATGGAGAAACGGAACCAGCAGCAGCAGCAGCAGCAGCACCCCCACCACCACCACCACCAACAACAGCATCAGCATCTCGTCGGATTGGGAATCGACACAACTAAGCCCGAGTCGCCAATCTCGCCAGCAGCGCCCGTGGCACCTCCCATGTCGCTGAGACGAAAACAGAGCATGGCGTCCGGCAAGCCCAAGGTTGATCATTCGGAGCCCGTCCCCGATATCGACATCCACGACAGCGCAAGTTACACGGCGCCCAGATCAAACAGCAACGCCTCGGACTATCTCAAAAACAACGGCTTCAAGCTGGACAATTCGACAATCAGCCACACCAGAGGCCTCAGTATCGAAACCAAGGGCCTCAACGTAGAGCCCAAAACGAGCTTCGGCAATATGCCAGGTGCCAAGTCGTTCTCCGACAAGACATTTGGCGTGTCGAATCTCGCGACGCCGCCCAGCTCAGCGGGCGAGCCGTCATCGGACCACCCCCATCATCTCCAGATCCCCGGTTACCTGCCTCCCAACAGCCCGTTGCCCGACCGACCGCTGTCTTCGTGCTCGTCCATCTACTCAGACTCGGACGACCCTGTGACCCGGAACTCGGTCATGCCCAACCCTCCCAGCAGACAGCTGGAGTCGCAGCCCCAGTACAGCCATTCACCGCTCGCACGGGTGGAGTCGAGTGACAATGACATGTCACGTGCCAACGACGTGCATATGTCACACGCCAGCTCGGACCAGGGCTACACCTATTCACAGACACATGCCAGCTCGTCTTCTCGGTCTTCCAAGGACTCCATAGACTCGTCGCTGTCTAACATGAGCATCAACACTAGCGCTACCACGCCCATGGACTCGTGTCATTCGTCCTCCATGTCGCTGATGCCTGTGCAGGAGTACCAGCCTGACTCGACCGACACGTCGTTCACATTCGAGAGCAAAACGTCTTCCTCTGAGAATGGCGGCAAGAAAAAGAAGCGAAAGACGCCCTGCCGAGGCTGCAACCAAATGATTGTGGGCAAAGCCGTTTCTGCCAAGGATTCGCTTTCTGGGCGATGGCACAGAGAATGCTTCAAGTGCCACGGATGCGACGACGACTTCCCCAGCACTGAGGGACTCGAGTTCTACATTCATGACGACTGGCCATACTGCCAACAGTGCTACCACCACACCAACAACTCCATTTGTTCGGGATGTGGTCAGGGCATTGAGGGTGAGTGTCTGGAGACAACTAGTGGTGACGCTGGATTGTTGCTGAGATATCACACCTCGTGTCTTGTGTGTGCCACTTGTGGCGACTCGCTTTGTCACGACGAGTACTACACGGTTGACGGAGTGCCGTTGTGTGACAAGCATGTTGGGGCCAGTCAGGTTGTAGAGAAGCGACAGACTCGGATGATGTTTATGTAATTGCGACAATGAACCAAGTCGTGATCCAACCGTGTGATGGAACTGACGCTCCACGGACATGTGCGCGCAGGACTTTGAGATATCCCGCCTTTGGCGTTTTGCCAGAACTGGTCTCCATGACCAGGAAGGCATTGACTGCGGTATTCGATTTGAGTATCAGCAGTGTACGAGGCACCGGACATCTGGTGGCCGCGGAAAAGCATTTATTTATAGCATTGCTCGGCTTTGCGACAGCAATAGTAATCGGCTGAATGGCGTGAGCCCCGCCGGATCATACAGTAATTGATAATCTATTCATACAGGATGTGTACATTTGCGTTTGTGTTCGTGATATAAGAGGAGATATACAAAGACTGAGGGTGATAAGTATGGAACAAGTGGAGGTATTATTTGTTTCATGGAGTGCGTCTTAGAAGTCTCATTTGCTTTGATAGTGTACATCCATTAAATGGGGGTACAGGTACAGCCTGACTGCACCACCAAGAGGGGGAGAGCTCAGGAGAAAGTTTTGCGGGGAGTGCGGAGCTTGGATTAATCACGGAGTTGATTTGTTGATTGTAAGCAGTCATGCGAGGAGGTTTCCGTTTTATTGTGGTTATTCGACAAGCCCTCCAGACTTGTTTCGTTCAGTTCTCTACAAGGATGTTTCCCTTTGAATTAAAAAATACAAAATACAAAATACAAAAAAACGAAAAACAAAACAAAACAAAACAAAACAAAACAAAACAAATGACTCTGTGGGTTGGTGGATGTGAAGGAGGGGTTTAATTAATGAATGAAATTGATTGGACAAGTTGAATATGTGCTGTTATCTTTTTTGATCGATTTGATTGCAGTTCTTCACACTATAGTTGATGCGAGGGGCTCATCTCCTCATCTAAAGGATATCAGGGGTTCTAAAAGTGATGTGATGGTTTCTTAGGGGGTGGTAGTCCATTCAACCGAACTGATTGCCTTTACCCAAGTTTTTACTCTTACTTATGATCCCTTTGAAACGTAAGAACGATCAGTAAGTCTGGCAAGGGTTGTGATCTTCTTGTTGTCGTTTTCCTCTTCATATTCCACGATATGAGTCGCAGCAGACGTCTTGAACAATGTCTCAAGCCTTCAACGGTAGATTTGATGTAATCGTTTCCTCTGAGCATGGGTCATTCAGTTCGGTCAAGACACATCCAAACAGGTCGTTTGGTGTCTGACTACTACCCCAATGGCATGTTTCCTCTACAATGGTAAATGATATGTATTGTACTTAACCTGCTTCTGACTAACACTTTTCGCATTCGAATTGTAGTCGATTTTTTTAGTCAGAGTGCATGTCTAAAGTGGCCAACAAATTACAACTAACTGTTGAAAATTTAGTTAACTTACTATAGCAGTTCAACCAGACATGGTCATGGTGGAATCATTCCTTCTCCAATGGACATTCCATTAAACGACAGCGGTTTATTAATCAACTACTCAAGCTATTTCAGGTACACTACGCTCGTCTCTCTCTCTCTCTCTCTCTCTAACACGACTCCACCATCACAACACCGCCCTTCTTGCTCTCAGAGTCTTCTTCCTGACGCAAGTGAACAGTGGCAGAGGTTTCTGGAATCATCTTGTGACCGCGTCGACCAATAACGTACCACGGCAATGAGAACATCTCATCGATACTTTCCAGGGATCGTCCAGAGACCTCGGGAAGGAAGAACCAAGACCAAGCGAAACCCAGAAGCAAGACGCCGGCGAAAAAGAACATGGTACCATGATCGGTGATGCCAGCTCTCATGTATGGAAGAGCCTTGGAATTTCCGTACTGGTTGGCAAAGTGGAAAGTCATGATGATGCCAGAAGCCAGGGATCTATGTCTGACCGTGTAGATCTCGGCGTTGATGAGATACTGAATGGAATTCCAGCCCAGAGCCCATCCGCAACCCGACAGGTAAATGGCCGCAATAGCTGCTGCTCCAGCATGTCTCTGAGATGGGGTTCTCTCCACTCCTGTTTTGGCTGGAACAATCGCAAGGTAGATACCCAAGTATAACATGGAGACAAACTGAAGACAGATGCCTGTATAGAGGGATCGTCGTCTTCCAATGGTATCAATAAGGAACAAGGCACAGGAGAGGGCGGAAACGAGTTTTATGACTCCCAAAATTGCGGTGTACATCATCTGGTCTATTTTGGATGGAATTCCGAGCATGGAGAAGAACTTTGGAGAGTAGACCGTCACAGCATTAGCCCCCGACCATTGACCGAGAAGCTGGACCATGATTCCCAGAAACAGTCTATATCTGTTGGCCTTTGTAGATACCAGTTCTTTCATGAGAGAAAAGATGTTTGTTCCACTGAGAGCCTGTTTCTCACGTTCAATCTGTTCTCTGACATCCATGATCTCTCCCTGGACGTAGAGATCGTCTGCTGGCAGGTTTCTGATTTTTGACAGTGTCTCGATAGCCTCTTCATCCTTGCCTATCTTCATTAGCCATCTGGGAGACTCATGGACAAAAAACGAGCCAATGAACAACAGACCCGCAAAGATGAACTGAATGGATACCGGTACCACCCATTGGTTTCTGCTAGTAGCCGGCATGTGCATGGAGGTGGAGTAGTTGGCAAAGTACTCTAACATGACTCCGAGATAGACGGAGCCCGAAAAGATGCACGTGCACAGTCCACGGACGTTCTTTGGAGACACCTCGGCCAGGTATGTCGGTCCAATGACCACAGACTGGCCAATGCCGAGACCGGCAATGAGTCTTCCCGCAAGCATTTGGCCCTGGGAGTATGAAGTGACTTCGATGATGACTCCCACCGTCCACAGAATGAGCATCTCTTGGAGAGATCGAATTCTGCCAATCTTGTCCTGTATGAGCATGGCAATCATGGCACCTCCGACAGAGCCAATTTGGACCATGGCGGTGATATTGGAAAGCTCATCATCCTGTTGCGACTTGCTTTTGAGTGGGTCTTTGAGCTTGAACTGGCTTTCAAATGATGCTTGAGACGTGATTCCGGAAATCAGGCCTTCATCCAGCCCTCGGACGGACCCCAGACTTCCAAAAACGATCACCGCAAGCCACAGAGTCCAGTTGAGAACCTGAGGCGGTTCATTCTTCATATTTTTCCAGAACATTTCGATATTGGGCGCGTTATCTCGCAGTAGCTAGCTTCTACAGATGTGGTTATATAGACTAGATGGCGAGCAAGGCACCGGAGCATGTCACATCTCTTAGTCGACCATTATGGACTAAAAAGGCACGGAGAAGACAATACTGGACTTGACCCATATGTGACAGAATGGGAAATGATGCTAAGGAAGTTCTCATTATGACTTCATAGCCCCCAAAACAACCCATCACGCCAGATGCACTCGCAGGCTTGACTAGTAACCCGTCAACAAGACATCCCCAACCCCCCAGGTTCTTGGTTTACTTGACTGGACATACAACCGACGAGCATTATGACTACAAGTAGCTCGTTTTATGGTGCTAAAGTGTACTCTGTCCCCGCACGGCTTGACGAGGAGTGCAACCATTATAGCTCCATAGGTGCATTAGGTGGGTAGGAGAGACAGTGTGATGAACCTAGGGAGACCTGATTTGACTCCATGAAACTAAATGAAAGAGGTTTGAACCACTGATTTTTGATATATGAAACAACTACCGTCTGTTCTCCTGGTTCCGACTTCTCTATCTTCCTCACATCTCAGTTTGGTACTTGTCCATCCCCGCTAGTGCAGCGAAGAGGAGCCAACACCAGTCTGGACCGCAAAGAGAGCTATACAAAGTCAATGGCTACTTTCCAGAGTCTCCAAAAGTCGACTTTCCGACTCATGTCGACTTGGCAGCGTCCCAAAAGATGACCCTCAACAGATTGGGGTAGATTGATCAGTGCAGTGTCTAGAATACACGGGGTACTCGTTTGAACAGCTGAAACAGTCACCAAAGCACCCACTCAACAGATAAATGTCTCAGAGGATAGCCCCGAAGAGGAGAGGTGGTGGGACATCCGGGTATAACTCTAGAGTATCCCCTCATCGACCCCACCCCCCTCGAAGTTCTCGAAACGGGGTCTTAGACGGAGTTATAATGAGTTGGCTGCTCGACCGCCCACCTCGAAAGACCGACAGTGTTCTTTGTTGCTTTTCTATTGGAATTAGGAGCGTAGTACCACTTTGAAAGGCGGCTGCTTGTCGAAAGAAGCCAACAATGTAAGCGACCAAAGTCCGTTTTGATACGATCATGTTTGAGTACTGTACTTGAACTTCCAGGCATATAAACGGATAACACTATCATCCGCTCGAGCCCAGTGAAACAACAGTCACGTAGTCTTCCCGCTAGCACTACCACCAACAGGGTTCTCACACTCCAGGTTATCTCGCAGATGCAGACAAACCCATCATCATCAGAAATTTATTACATTTCCACTGAATAACGCTCAAAACCGCTATCTCAGCACAATTAAGAAGACACATTTATTGTATCAAATCATGTGGACCGCAGATGCAGACTGTTCATTATATAAACAGGTCATTCCTACCCTTGGTCAACCCTCACGGCACACCCACGCGGCATCAACCCACACGACCACTAGCCCAGGTAGCACAGCAACAGCAACCCAAGAGGATGAATAGAACCATACCATGGCCGGGGGAAACACGTGTCTATCAATATCTCCGCGATCTCCTCGTAGACTTGCTAAGATACTTGCGCTGCCACGGACCCATTTCAGATGATTGCTTCAGGACCCGTAATCAGCAAGTGACATGTAATCAGCAAGTGATCTGTAACCAGCAAGTGATCTGTAATAAACAAGTGATATTTTTCCTTGCCCGCAATCAATGCAATTCTTTACCAAAATCTGAATACATGTCCTTTTTTTTTCTTTCTTTTTTTTCTTCTTTTTTTCTCACTTTATTGATTCTGAACAGTTACAATAATACTTGGTGGTTCAAGTAAGATTTATATAGTTGAAACAATACTGTACTTGGAGAAAATGCCCCCTCTAACTTCAGATTTGCAAAAACATCTAAAACTCGAAAATCGAATAGAAGAAGACACAAACCATTCACATGTGTATTTATCGTCTAAACTACCCTATTTCCCTGTTTTCCCTCACAAAATACAACTATAGCGGCGGTACTCAAAGTCGAGACGATTCATCCACTGTTTAAACTAAGGTTTCTCATACAACTTGCTGGAAAAAAAGAAGCAGCTCATTATCGCAGTTTTTCTTGGTCAAATTTCATTTTTTAAAGTCCCTTTACCATAATATACACGTGAAAAAACCACTTCCTTCTCCATATTTCTTACTCGTGTCTTCCCTAACCCGAAAAATCACATCTCCGACACTCGGGCTGCTTATGCACGTGCCGATACCAGACATGACAAATGCGAAGCCGATTCCGATCTGGTATCGCGGTCGGATGTGGTCCCAGTGGCGCTTTGCGGCTGGGGCTTTTGCGCACCAAAAAATAAAAAATAAATAAAAAAAAAACTCGCGTTTTGGGGCAATTTTCGCCACGAGCACTTTTTCCGGACTTTTTCCGGAGATTCCAGTGCGGCATGAGCCGGCTCCAAATTTAGTGCCCGAAACGTTCCGGTGCGGGGGAGGGGTAGGGGTTTTGTACACCAAAACGGGGACAATGGGCAAGTTAAAGATACGGTTGTGATCAGGGAGAGTGTGGTAATTGAGCTATGTATTTTTTTTCGCGATCCGACTTCAATTGGCCGAGTTAGATGAAGGGTCGCGTGGGCAGTGAGACTCGGGTCGTGTGAACAGTAAAGTTTAAATTGGCAAAAAATATATATGGAAAAATGGAAAAATGGAAAAATGGGGAAGATATATACAAGAAAAGAAAAAAGAGCATCAGCCACCAAGAAGCGGCAATTTAGGACGCGTCAAAATTACCATACAACAAGAGCTACAATCGTCAAATATTGTTAAAATCGTTAGTATGTACATGCATCTATAGAAAGGCCGAGCTTGCGCAATTGGAGCGGTTCGGGAATGCTTTTTTGGGGTGCTATGCTGTTGTGTTCTTGAGTGGTGGTTGCTGGTGCTGTCTCGTCAGAGAGGATATGCAAAAAAAGAGACGGCGGAGGAGATCACAGACACTTAAGACAGGGAGACGGACTCTCGGGCGAACACGTCCGAGTTGGCCACCTTCTGCAGGACGCCCTCGAAGCCGGCCTTGCCCTTGATGGCGTTCTGGCCAAATCGCTCCACGGTCCAGTCCTCAATCTTGTTGCAGATTCGCTTCCAGGAGGCAAAGGCGGTAATCTGGGCCTCCTGGTCAAACACGGTCTTTGTGGCGGGGTTCTCGGGGTCGGGCGAGTAGGTGCAGGTCTCGAACACCAGCAGCAGGTTATTCATGGTCATGTTGGTGGATCGCATGACAACGGTTCGTGCCTTGGGGTCGACCTCGGAGACCTCTCGGACGTACGACACCTCCTGGCCTCCTACCAGCGCAAGAAGCCACTTGGGGATGGACTGTTTGCAGGTGATGAGTCGCTCGGTTCGAAGCACGCCGGACTTGGGGTCCACTTCTCGACGCAGAACATCCACCGCAATCACATGGGTGGACACCTCGTTGGGGTACTTTTTCCAGTTGGCGATGGACACCTGTTCCCACGAATAGTTGAAGTAGTGTCGTGAGTCGAAGAATTTCATTTTATGAGCTTTCTAGAGTGTCTTTTGCTGTGACGGTGGTGGTGACCGTTTGTAGGCCGGGGCAGCTCCGCTCTATATACTGGGAGAAAAGTGCCGAAGCTTAAAGTGAAGAGATTTTGAGACAACTTTAATAGTGGCGAAAAAAAAAAAAAAAGGCAATATAAAAAAGAGTTTGCTAGTACTCTGCATCCTCTTACCCGGGTTTATCGAGACGGCGTCCCAGGCGGCGCGGTGGGGTATATTGTGGCGATTTTGGACCTCGGAAAGAACTTACCTGGGATCAAGTTTGCGATTTTCGAATTTTCCCGCCGAAAATCGGCCGGGTAGCCGCAAAATGGCCGCCTCTTATCTCTGTTGCTCCCAACCTCGGCCCACACTGATAATAGTCATTCGGTGCAGACTAGATGCACCCGTAGAGGTTATCGGGCGGAATGTGACTGGCGGAGTGAGTCAAGTGATGAATCTGAGACTGGCCGGAGGAGACAATAGTCACGAGCAAAAAGTCGGTACAGCTTCGGATTGTTCCGACGTTCGACCCAAGTTCGATCCGCCGTAATACAGTCATAAAAGAATGGCCCTCGGCACACTCTCAATCGGAACTCGGTACTCCCCTGAACAGAACGTAGTGAACAGCGAAGAAGACCGTCATTCCCTTCTTCTCCCTACTTGTAGACTGCCCGCCCCCAACTCAATTCATTTGCTTTCAGCCTCACCAAGCTGGCCAACGGTCGCCTAGGTTTGTGTTTATTTTCTACCGTTGTACTATCGTAAACCCCTCAACCATACGTGCTGGGTCACGTATTGTGGAACAGTTATAGTCCAGACTGTGGGTCTAACGGAGCCGTTTCTGGCTCCGCGAAACTATGAGACAAATAGGCGGATGATGGTTTCCAGATGTGACCAAGTGCATTGTACATAGTGATGCGTATTTGAACACCACAAAGTGCACCTCAGTCCCTGAAAGAGCTCAAAACAACAGATTTTGTGAGAAAATGGTGACTGGGGAGTTCAAAAATCTATCTGCCCACCCTGAAACTACCCGTAGATACCCTTTTCTCCCGGTTAATCCATCCAGAACCGCCTCAATATAGCTACCTTTATTACCCACGCCCCAGACTGAACAACCTCTTCAAAATACCCCCCCTGTCTCAGCTCTCATTCGTTTCAACGTCTCCCGCCTCCCGCCTCCATCCCATCCAGCCCTCCCAAAACTCCCGGCTCCAATACGGTTCTTCTTTGCGTGGATAAAGTGTGATTGCTTCGATCGACAGAGGCTGAGCCGTCACATGGTGTGCTATACTGCTGACTAATGTTCTGAATTTGCGACTAACTATTGTTTCAACCTTTTCTCAACTCCACCATCACCTTCCATACTCTGTCATACTCTGCCATACTCTAGACGTCTCCGTCGGACGTATTATGATACATAAATCACCAAAACATGGAGAGGGCTGGACCTAGGACATTACACAAGCAAGATACAAACATGAAAACTACACCAATGGATTCTCCTCGATTGTTAGAAGACAGCTCAGCTTGGGGCTCTTTTTAATCCATCCACTATGGTACCAATAGGACCAATCGTATCAATCGTAATACAAGTATAAATACCCTCACAAGGCATCAACTTCTCTTACTATTTGTACATTCAAAATGGAATTGAATTGCAAATCAACTCTTGTGCCCGATGTCAAACTCAATGGATCGCTTGCTTCGCTCTAGTGTTCGGATTCCACACTTTTCTGACGCCCACGGCCCAGACGCAGCATTACGTCATGATCGACACTAGACGTAGACATACACAAGAGATCGAGCAAGCAGTATTGCGCAACAGAGTTGGCGATAGCCCGAAATACAATTATCGGGCAGTCTCAATAATTGAGACGGTGGCCGGTACGGTAAAGAATACTTGTCTATCTCAAGGCAGATGTCTGAGTCTGCAGAAGGCAGACATCTGAGTCTGCAATTGAGCAAAGTAATTAGAACCGTGGAATGCGGAGCAAACCGATCGGACTGATTGGACTGGAGGGCTCGTTGGATCATTTGACTCGCTTGACTGATTGGACTCGCTGGTATCTCAATAACAGTTCGAGGTCGAGCGAAGCAGTATTGGAACTCTCCTGAGACTGGCTTCAAGTACCCACTGTACTGTACCTGAATACATTGATACAGTATGTACTACTTTTACGGTACTGTACCCTTCCCACCGATCTCCAGTTTCGCGTACTTTTGGTGCACGAGCTCGAGGTTCCTCCGGAGGGCTCCCTCAAACGAAAGAGTCCTCCGGAGGAACCTCCAACTGAGGGAGCTCGGGTCACCTCCTGCATCACTCATTCCGTTGTCAAACAGCATCTTGCGTTGTCAAACAGCATCTGATGGGCGAGAGTCTGAAACTGCGGGCCGAGATCGCACTTCATTGAGCCAGTGTCACCAGCTGTTGGACTTTTCGGACGCAACAGATCCAGCCACTGAACAGCATCTTGAGCAAGCCAGCCGCCATTTCCCGAACACGTCCATGGAGTCGTCCATGGCGATCGAAGCGACACAAGAGACATGGCAGGGACATGTCGCAGAGACTTCTAGAGAGTATGTATTGTAGCCATTAGCCATGATAGCTAGTTGAGGAGGTTCTATCCAGAGCGGAATGCTCGTGGTACGGTACGAGTTCAGCAGAAGAGAAACGAACTGAGACGAGAAACGAGCTGAGACGAGAACGAACTGAGACTCTTCAACTACAGACTCGAATTAAAGAATACTCAGCCGTGTCTCATATCTGAGTGCGGCCCTACGATACACAAGTATCCAACAAGTCCAGGAGAAATTTCGCATATTTTTGGTAAATAAATGAACATATCGACAATGACACCGACAATGACGTTTCCGACAATGACACCGACAATCACGTTTCCGACAATGACGTTTCCGACATTGACACTTCCCGATAACATCACCATTATTAAACTCGAAATTAAACTTGTTGCGAGGCTGCGATAAGGCTGACCACTGCACGATATCAATACGACCTGCATCTTCATCGTCATTCCACCAGACACTGTCACAGTCCATACAGTGCTCGTAGTGACAGCCACACCCACTTTCGCTTAGTAATCTAACCGCCATGGCAGCACCAAACAAGCCATACACTTTTGGGCTTCCCAAGGCGTGCTCTGAGGAGCAGCTGGTCAGAGAAACCGCCTTCCTCTACTCCTCTTGCACCCTACAAGAGATGGGAAGCTTCTACTTTGCGCACGCCCTCAAGGCCGACGGAAACGCCTCCAGAGCGGTGTATCTGAAGTTCTACGACAATAAGCTGGGGCTACTTCATACCAGTTTGGACAAGTGTTTCCACGCAGAACCGCCCATTTCCGCCAGCTCGCCGCCCAAGGTCTTGTCCATGGCCGTCAACCCTCACGTTTTCTTTCTGAGGTCTCGTCTATGGCAAGGAGTCTGTCTCTTGGACAACAGCTGGACGGTGGTGGTTTTCCAGACCCTTGAAAACGAAGATATTCCAAAGTTGGCATCTTTCATCAATGATAACAACCCCGACGAGATACATCTCACCAGCGTGCACAAGACTGGATTGGCCAAAATCAGAGACGGAACTCCTGGAGACTTTCATTTGACTAGTGAGGATGGACAGAAAATAGAGGTCCATAAAACGGTGCTGCAACCGCTGTGGCCGTTCTTCTCGGCCACCATAGACTCGAACATGATGGAGGCGACGGAGAACTCCCTGGATCTGCCCTTTCCAGCATCGACCATCGAGGTCGCCGTGCGATATCTCTACGGGCAGCCTCTGGAATTCGGTTTCGGCGATGCAGCTAATCTTCTCGTCATGGCTCAAATGTACGACTTGCCCGAGCTACTCAGTCTCGCGGTGGCCAAAATCAAAGCGGAGGCTCTGGACGTTCAACAAGCCATCATGTTGTGGAAGAAGTCGTTTGAAGCCTGCAACGACGACCTGAGAAGCTACTCCGCTGCTAGAATCAAACAAATGATGCCAGACATTTCACATTCCAAGCTGCTAGACGATCTGGATCGAGACGAGATGGTGGCTTTGTTCATGGATGTTTCGGGAGTCGAGTCCAGGAGTTAGCAACATCATCAAATGACTCTATTATGCTTGCTTGGACATGGTCTTAGAGAGTCTTAGATAGTTCCCTACTGCAATTATGACAATATTAAATGGTATCAATTAGCTATATTCTAGATGCAAGTTGGACTCTCCTTGCGAGTATGATTGTGGATTGTAGTCCATGGGGTCTCGTCTTGGTTGTTGGGTCAATTACGCCTTCCGGGGAGAGTCACTGTAGTACATGTAACGTCCTGTGGGGGTGAAGCTCTGGCTCTGGTTGAGCTTGGACTTGTTCTTGGGGGTACCGATGGGCGTGCTTTGGCTGAGCGACATGTTGGCGGTGGTGTTGGCGGCGGAATTCTTTCCAGTGGACTGGATAGTCTTGGCGACATTGACACCAGACTTGCCCAGAGGGGAAGGAGTGCCAATTCCAGGCACATTGGAGACCACGTGGTTAGGATGGCGTCTCAGGGGAGAAGCCGAAGGACCCAGAGACAGATTTCCAAGGTCCACAGAGGAGTTTCCGGGAGAGGCTGAAATGGTTCCCACCGAAGACGAGGAGGTCGAGTTGGATCTCGATCGCGGTTTGGGCGAGGGGAAGTTCATGGAGCCCGGCGAGTTTCGCACGTACTTTGGAGGCGTGGGGACGTTTTTGATGTCGGTTTTCTTGTTGAGTTTGGGCAGTCCCATGAGTTCTCTCTGCTCGTCCGTCATGGGCAGATCGGCGTACTTATCCTGGGGCTGGACCAGGTAGAAGAGTGCCTGGAGAATGTTGGTGGCCAACACGCCCTGGATGAAGTATTGCAGGTACAGAACATACTTCCAGGTGGGGGAGTCGTCTGGGGGTAGGTGGATGAGGTCGTTCGGAGCGATCCAGTCAAAAAAGACCCGCTTGACGAACGATCGAAAGAGCACAAACACCAGCCAGCTCAGAGCGTTGTAAACCACCCGCTTGACCATGGCCTCCTTGCTGATTCCGCTTCGTTGCTTCACCACCTTGAGACTGGGATGGGTCCACGATCCCGTAGGAGTGCCTTGGGGGGTGGCTTGGGTCGATCTGTTCGGGGTCGAGGGGCCGCCAAACTTGGGCGTGAATCCGGCCTTTGGCGTCACCGGAGAAGCCTTGAAGTTCACTCCAGACGCAGATTCGCGAAACTGGTAGTGCTTAGGAGTCGAAGGCAGAGAAGTCGTCATGTTGGAGGTCACATTGCCGGGTGTGCTCTCACGAGTGGGACTGGGCATGTCATCAAGAGTACCGGCCTCGTACAGACGCCGAGTAAACGGCGATTGGTCCATTTTTGTCAGTGTTTTGTGTGCTTGTGTGGTGGTGGCCATGATCCACATTTATTTGTTGACATGCATGGCATAACTAGGGTTAGGGTAGACAGAGTGGGCGGTCTGTGGAAAGGTATGTGAATGAGGGTAATGAGGGTAATGAAGGGATTATGGGGGTGGAAAAGGTGATAAAATGAGGTTTCAAACAAGACTTTTTTTTTCCCATTCTCAATTGAGCTTTTTTTGACTGAGTTGGAGGGAGTAAGGAGGATGGTGTTAGGTAGGTTAAGTAGTAGTGACACTATTAGTTGCGGGTTTTAACAAAACAATATGATTACTGAATGATACGAGATGGAGAGATTCCGAGACAACAAAAAGTAGTTTTTATTGTCGGCTTAGTCGTTCTCTATTAGTTGTTCAAATATCCCTCGCTAGTGTTCGAGATAGTGCGATTGTATGTTCAGTCTCACTAGATTAATTAGTTGACTCACCAGAGTCTTAGTTGAAGATTAATTGAATAAAAATGATTCAGAAGTAAGCTACAGTATTGTTACAAGTAAATACTGTAGGCATATAATTACCTAAGCCACCAGCAACCCGTGTGTGGACATCTCGATATCTCTCCAGAATGCCACAACACAATTGGCCAGTCTTGCACACGCCAATAACAGGCTCACCAAGCATGTAGCCCTCTATGGTCCGTTTCCGACCTTGTACCATTCCCCCCATCGATATCTTCTTCGAGCTCCTGTAGGCAACATCTCCAACAGTTCAGGGAACTCGCAGACGTGTTTCAGGAGCACCCAACAAGGCCTTGCATGTATGTGGAGGATCTAAGCCGAGAATTCTAGTACATTATGTACTTGTATATGCTCCATGATCCCATATCAAGAAGGTAAACACATTCTTCAATAATAAGTTGATTCGTTAAGTAAGAAGCGGTTGGACAGTGAGGTGGGGTTTGGGGAAGTTGTCGACTCATGACCAGCGGCTTTTTGTTCCGTTGACTCGTTCCGATTGCCATCCAGTTAAATACTGTTACACAAACAGCTGCAATTCGGAACAGGACAAACATCGTGCTTGGAAAACCATTTCTGCACATGACCCGCATGCATGCCATGATTGCAGCTCAGACAGAAGCTGAACCAATGCGAAAACTGGTGGAAAGCAAAGTTGTTCTTCTCCTGCTCAACGCGGGTGTCTGGCATAGCTTCTCCCATGGTCAGCAGACACACGGCACACCGAGGAAGAGGCGAGTTGCAATGCGGGCACTTTGCAGATGGAGTAGACGTAGTTGCGGGCTTAGACTCGTCCTTGAAAATGTTCTTGTTGCAGTATGAGCACCGAAGAAACACCTGTCGAGGCTTGGTGACCGCAGTAACCGATCCAGAGGAATTCTGGCTCAGCTTGGTACGCGCAATATCAAACAAAGCACGTTCCTTGAACATTCCCCACTGGTTGAGCAGCTGCTGGTACGACAGAATCCACTGCGAGTACCGCTCATCCTCAAAGAACCGAGGAGCTCCAAACGAGGTCAACAGCGCTGCCGTTTGGATATCACCAGTTCGATCCACATAAGACTGTAGCAGATCAACTGCCCGGGGAGTGATTCCGGTCAAAATAATGCCTTCCAGCTCTCCTCTGCTAACAGCCTGATCCCCCAGTCGGTTCAGATAACTGGTGAGATCATTGTCGGGAAGGAACCGAAGAGCCACACCCAGGCGTTCCTTGAGAGGCAAAGAAGACTCAGCAAGCACATCCAGCCAGTCTCCATCGGCTATATAGGCGAAAATGGCCCGAAAATAGGCATTGTCCAGCTCAGAAGCAAGCCGTCGACACTGCTCTCGCCAGGAAGAGTTGGCATTTGTAGATTGAGACAGATATCCTGAAATGGCGGTCGAAATGATTCGATGCCGCTCCTTCTTGGACCCAGCAAGACACTGGACAGCTCGCTCCACGTTGCCATGGAACACCGCCCAACCTGCTGCCTTCTCGTACTCGCCCTTACCTTCGGCTTTCTGGATCTCGGCTTCAAGCTTGTCGTAGGAGAAATCCCAACCAGCAACATACAAGCATAGTTGTCGTTGGAACTGCTTCTTTGTGCCCGCCACAGACGCGGAGATGTAAATCTTGCGTGTGAACTCCGTCTCCATCGCCAGCTGAATAGCCTGGGCAAACTGGGACTCCGTAGCGTCCTTTTTCAATAATCGATTCTGCTGCAGAGCAAGACCCTGGACACCCTGCCACACGTCCAGAATGCCCTCGTAGCCAAGGTCAAAGAATTCAGAGACAACTGACCGGTCAATATCGGCCTTTTGGGCCCGCGAAATCCACTTCCACGTGTTTTTCAGATGGGCAGGCCAGAGACTGTGATTGTGGCTCTTGAGCAGACTCTTGTTGGTAGCAGTGTCGAGTCCGTAGCCGGCCAGAGCTCGTTTTCGAATGATGGTGGAGATGTCGTTATCCAAAATGTCTCTGAGCTTCATCAGCCCGATCTGAGAGTCGTTGCTGTAGTTACGAGCACGTGGGGAGGGCTCTTCTTCGTCAGAAGACACGTCTGGAGAAACCACCGAAACGACAGATTCGCGCTGATTTTTGAAATCGACTTCTCGGACTTCATCACTGGGCGTCTCAAAAAACACGTTCGTGGCATTGCTGAACGTGAGGGTGTTCAGGGGATCGAACCGCAGAACCTCGGGCGACTCCTTGGGCCGGAAACAGTACACCTGGCCTGTTCGTCGCATGCAAATGTATTCGACAGGACACTTTTCAGGCTCGGCGTGGATGTAGTCGAAGCCCAGAAGCTTGTCGAGCGGCATCTCCACGTCCTTGGACGACCGCACAAACAGGTATTTGTCAAGAGAAGCTGTGGGGTCAGACGGTGGCTTTTGGAAGTCGAAAAACCGATTCTGAGACGTACTTGATGTGGGCTCGTTGTTCTGTTGATTCTGATACACGTCATCATCACTTCGAACAGCCAGACCGATATCGATTCGACGAATGGACGAGTCTGTGTTTCCATAGACGGTCATTTCTCCCCGTCTGGTGGTGCAATATCTCAAGTGAGTAGCGTTCGCTTTTCTGGGGAGTTCGGAAAGAAGACGTGGAAATAGTAGCATCGGCTCGTTTGACGAGTTTCCTCCGGGCTGTCGCAGTTGACGTCGATCCCAGACGGCCATGCTTCCATCTTCTCCGTAGGATGCAAAGTAGTTGGGTTCGTGGGGGTAGGTGGTGATTCCTAGAGTGCATCGAGTGGCACACTGGTACAGAGGAGTTCCGGATCTGGTGTCGATTTCACGCAACAGCTTGTATGAGCCACAGAGCACGTTATGAGTCCTGGGGATGAACTCCAGACTCGACACAATCTCGTTCGGGAGATAGGTGCTGAGAGGAGTGATATTGCCGCCCTCCACAACAGCATTGACGTCCCAGATATGCAGGCAGTTGTCGTTACGTGTCTTTTCCAGTCCCGCCGCGAGAATTCCATTGTCAGAGAAGGCTAGAGCGTTGCAGGTTCGGCTCTGTTTGGAGCGTAGTTTGACCACCTGCGACTCGGGGTTGTTGATGTCGAATAGAAGCACCGATCCGTTGAGCTGCGCCACAGAAATGATGCCCTTGTTGACGGGCGAGTATGCCGAGCAGTGGATCGCCGAAAAGCCGCTTCGATACCTGATCTTCTCTGGCTCGGTGAAGCTGTCTTTGAAGAACGATTTGTGATTGAGGGGAAGTTGGTAAAGCGACACCTCGTCTCGGGTAGGCGACACGCCGATGATGTGGTGTCCGTCGACGCCGGGACCAGGAAGAGAGTCCCATTGGTACGCGTGAGCGATTGATCCAAAAGTCGTCATCTTGTTGGGGATGACCTGAGTTGGGTATTGGCTCGTAGAATCGTCAATTTACGTCCGCTTCGAATTCTGAAAGTAGCGGTGAGGTCAGCAGAGATGTAGCTATGTCGCGTCTTGGTTTGGGCCCTGGGTCGACTCTGCTTGTCGAAATCCGGGGATGCTGTGATGTAGTCCGGAGATGTAGGGTGATAATGATAGTGCATGGCGCCTAGAGTCGGATGTTATCGTGAGTTCGATTCGGGCTGGAGAACACAATGTGTTTTGCTTAGCAGTAGGAGAGTATACGAGATAGCCCAAGGGGTAAGACGTATAAACGATAGCGAGGGTCATTCGACAAGATTTTCGACTCAGCAAAAACCCACAATCGTCTGTAGAACTGACAGTGTAGTCCTCCACACCATCAACTAGTCAATTAAAAAGCCAAGTAATATCCCAACTAAACGTAGCTGGAAGATTAGCTACTAAACAAGGTTACAGTGTGCATCTCAAATCATTTTTTTATGCACCTGATTTTCAACACCGTTTTCAGTGTCTCCGCTACTCCGACACTGCTCTCAAAAATGCTCAGAGCACAGTACAAGGTTTGTACAGGCCGGCAGACGCGGCTCCTGCACTCGGCCTACGTGCTGCGAAAAAAATCCGACTATGAAGACACCTTTATTGGCGAGTTTGAACCTCCCTCCACCAAGGCTAGGGGTTCGTTCAAGGACCCGTTTGCTGCATTCAAGAAAGCCACGAAAGAGCAGGGCGACGATCCCCTGACATTTAGCAAGTTCTCTTTCAACGACGACAACCTGGACAGCTCAGATATCGGTTTCGACGATTTCAGCTCCGGATTTAACAAGACCAACCGATTCAAATTCGATGCCATGGAGGACGAGACCAAGGCATTCGACGCGCTTGGCCAAGACGATCACAACAATGCCACGTTCGACTGGTCCGGCGGACTCGATCAATGGGGAAAGTCTGATATGTTCCCCGAAGAGCCTAAGAACCGATATGTCATGCCCCAGAACCTGGATATGTCGCCGTTGAGAGGCAACAGCGACCAAATAAGTACACACGTTATTCCCCCGTCCGAGTTTGGAGGAGCTCTGGGGAGCTCTGCGCCGTTTGAAAAGATTTTTGCAAAAGTTATGGGGGAAGAAGCGGCTACGGAGACAGCAACAGGAGCAGGAACGCCACCAGTGTCGCATGAGTCTGAGTACGAGTCCCGTGAAACCGCAAACTTGGATGCTATCAGACAAGCCAGTGGAGTCGAGCTTTCCTCTATCAACTCGCCATATGTGAATCTGTTCAACTCTGGTGTTCCTGACATGTTTGTTGAGATCTGTGCCGAGCCCGATATGGATGTTCGACATGATCGGATTGATTCTCTGGATCTCAAGGAATGTACCGAGGTGGAAATTGCTATGATGGAGCAACTCAAGAAGCTGATTCGATTGGATTCTGACTACGATATTCTTGAGTTCATGAACAAGCAGCTCGATGAGATCGAGGACATTGGCCAGAGCAGAAAAAACCTCCCCTCTGAACTGCCGCCTGTGGCTGCCGGGTTCCCTCTTCTGCTCAACGAGTCTCTGCAGCTTCTGGTGGAGAAGTTCGAGTCCCCTGCTGACTCCGTGGCTCTGTTTGACGCCGTCAAAACCCGTTCCGGCAACCTCTACTTTGCTACCGTGTCCACAGACGTGTACTTCACTATGATCAGGATTGTGTGGGAGTTCTACCGAGATCTTTCCACGCTGTCGGTGCTCGCGTCAGACATTGCGTTGATGAATATCAAATCTCGAGCCTTGATCAAGGCAATGGAGGACATTGAGCGAGACTGCTACAAGACGTTGGAGTCGCGCAAGCGACGGGTGCCCGAGTATGAGGAGTCCATCACTGCGCGGGTGCATGCCGAGACCCTGCGGCGGTTTTCGCTCATTATTAACTACCTGAGACGAGGACTCAGAATGAAGGACAATCGGCAGAGAGCGTTCCGATTGAGAGGAGAAGTTTGTACATATTAATTCGCATTTTACTACTTACGCGGGTGGAGACTTTAGAATGGCAATTCTTGTGAGACGCAGTTCTAGTGACGCATCTGTGTGAGTGTATTATAGAGCTCTCACCCTCCATCAGACCCAGGTTTTCCAGGGAAAGAAGCCCCGTTCCATCTTGCGATACATTTCCACAACATTGAAGAGCCAACTGAGGAAGCGACTCGTACATGTGCAGCAGATCTGCTCGCCTCTGAGGGTCAACGTAGAGAGTGTAGGCCAAGTAGGCGACTCCAAGGGAGATAGCAGGGTCCATGATGGAGATCAGAGCCATGCTTCCACTTGACTGGATGGCTCCAGACGCCACCATCAACTGCTGGGCATCGGCCAGAAGCTTGAATACCTTCATACAGTTGGCCAAGTAGTAGAGAACCTGGTTGACCGCTACTTGATTGGAGGTGTAAGATTCCGGGACCAGACATTTGACGACAGCGTAGTATTCGTACATTTGAGACGCTGACGAGGATAGAACTTTTCGCGGGCAGGTATCCTTGCTTTATACGATAGTTCTCTGATAGCGTCTGGGCATGGTTGCTGCATTCGCCTCTGAGATCGAGACCACGAACGGTGGGCTACTGCTTCGAGATGGGTGAGTAGAGCGCGAGGTCCAGAACCAGATTGGGGTCTCAACATCCATATTATGGAGACAGTATCTCCAAGTACACGGCACTTGTACAAGACCTGGCTGCAAGTGTCTCAACAACAACTGACGCCATGTTGGAGTCAATGATGAGATATTGGAGCCCATCTAGGTGTCATGACTAGTCCGTGTCAGTTACCAAAGATCCAGCCCCCGTTCTAACCGATCTGGATCATAGCCAGTGAACAACCGATCTGGATACATACTGTAGTCAGAATGCTCATTTCTGGCTGAAGTCACGAGAACGAAAATCATGTAAAAGAGTGATGATCAAAGAGTGATGATCATTTATCTCGAAATTGTCGCCGAAATAATCACACTTTCGTTGACGTTTCCACTAATGGCAAACATTAGTTGACTTTGCAGTTGGTCCACCCATGCTTACGTAATATGCAACATGGGAAAGGCGTCTGAAGAATGAACAAAGAGTCGACGTTAACAGTGGCGGATTTGGCAATTGTAGATAAGAATCACCACCCAGAAAACAACCGGAGGAGTTTGCCAAAGGTGTGGGTCTGGCCCATTGGGTCATATCCCTAACCCTGTGGTTCAAGACACGCTGATTGGTCCCAGGGCGGAGCAAGGCAGCTTTTTGGCTTTTTGACTTTTGGCGATATTGTCGTTGTTGCCAAAACCTCACTCACGGTCCATACCACCTTCAATTTGCATCATGTCTTCCACAACTGTCGCCCAGACCCGCAAGTCTGCCTCTGAGAACCTGCTTAACGACAAGGTGAGTATTATTGACGGCTGATTGGCTTGAGAATTGATGATGAGGGAGATAGTGGATGAACGGCGGTGGGAGGGTAGGGGCCTATTACTGCGCTCCTGTCTGGTGGCATTGGTTGTGTCGTGGTGTTGGGTGGAGTTGCTGTCAAAGAAGGAGATGGGAAAGAGGGAATTGGCACAGATGGACAAACATTGATGGTTGTCTGACGCCACGGCCCAGGCTGATTGTCAATAAAACCGCTTTACTGGCAATATCTCCAATATGGCCTCATTTTGATCCACCCAACAGAAGGCAACAGTGAGGAAAGTGGGGGCAATCGTCATGTCTAAAGCCCGAAATAAGGCTACGATATGTCCTGTGATCAATGCCAATTGAAGGACACGTCATGAGAACTGACTTCGGACCTGACCATACCACTGACATGACCATACCACTCGCATCATACCACTCGCATCACACCTCGACATGGGTGACACTGTCGCAACCAACCTGCAATTACTAACTCAGTGGGACGTTGTCATCTCCAACACCCTGGTCAAGACCGGACTCGGTTTCGGCGCCGGCGTTCTTGCCTCCGTTCTTTTCTTCAAGCGACGAACCTTCCCCGTGTGGCTCGGAATCGGCTTTGGAGCTGGACGAGGTGTCGCCGAGGGAGACGTCATTTTCCGACAGAGTGACGCTGGAGTCCGATCTGTTCGGGCTTAAAAATAGGTAATTATTATAGATTGACACGACCACGGAGTGTTAGACCTGACGTGAATCAGTGGTGCATATCGACAAAAAACACAGCCATAGGATACATATGTATCACCATTCTTCTGGCCTAGATGACTGCATATCACCATATTTATTGGCCTGGACGACTGCATAATACAGCATATTGTAGTACATATACGCCCTTGAGCCACAATAGAAGGTAGAGAGGAGTTTATGGCTGTATTCTCCTGATCCAGAGCTTTCGAATGATGCTATTTTCGTGTCCATATTTCCAATTCTGGGGGAGTTGTAGTCAGTGTCGTGTATAGTACATACATACATACTCTCCACTACAGTTCAAAGGTACTCAGATGGCCAGAACAAAACGAATGGAGAATCGGAGAGTACAAAGAGATAGCTCTGGACCCGCTATATCCAAATATCCACTTTTCTCGCTTCATTCGGACCAATTGCGCCTCCCCAAATCGGCGTGTTAACCCCGTTTAACTCCGTCGCACTGTAACCAGAGCAGCAACCAGTGAATTGACCATCGAGAACGGTATTGATGTTGAGACGGTTGTTATCTAGACATCTTCCTCTGGCGATGATTGTTGCCAAAAACGAATTTCTATACAACAAATACTTAACCACTTACATATCGCTCAGGAAAGTCTACACACAGTGGTGGAGGACTAATTGTAGACCGAGCACGCCATCTGATTGACCAAAACCAGCTGAGTGAATTGGTCCCTCAGAATGGAAACTGGTGGCTAGTCACCCACGTCAAGGGACCATTCTACAGGTTATGAGTCCATTCAGCGTCCCCGAGGTCCCGAATTGAGTCTTTATTGGTCTTCTGTCAATCTCCTTGCGGACGACGTTGTATTACCAGCTGTACCTGGTACTATCAACCGAGTCATGTCTTGGTTGAACAGGATTCCTAGATCAATGCTCTGGAGATGTTTTCTCTACATCTTAGACTGCTTCCTCTTCTACCAGACACCGGCCAGAACAGTGATATCGTGTATAGAACTGGGCATTAGTCACTCCTGCCTCTGGTGCCCTGTAGTCGGTAGATATAAAACGGTCTTGTAGTGCTGGAGCTCCTACTACAACTGTTTTGAATGAAATCGGTTAAAAATATATATATATTAAATAAATAAATAAAAATAAATAAATAAATAAAAATAAATAAATAAATAAAAATAAAAATAAAAATAAAAATAAAAATAAAAATAAAAATAAAAATAAAAATAAAAATAAAAATAAAAATAAAAATAAAAATAAAAATAAAAATAAAAATAAAAATAAAAATAAAAATAAAAATAAAAATAAAACTATAAATATAAATATAAATATAAATATAAATAAATAACTGAAAGGAAATTAAAATTAAAAAACATTAAAAAATATTAATACTAAAAAAAAATTTCTAAAAAAACCCACATCAACTGCCCCCACAGTACCTCTCACAACACCTATTGACATCGTACTCTCACGAAACAGAACAAGCCGGACTACTACAAAATACTGCAGCCTCAAACTCCCTCCACAATGTCTCACAATACGCCATTGTGTGTTTAATCTTGTGCTGAAAGGGAAAAGTGCAAGAGAAACGTCGAGGAAGATCATCGACTCCACTTTACTAGTGCCCACATCACGTGACCTGGCCTGCAAAAATACTACTAGAAAATACTACTAAAACTAAAAGTTCCGCAATGTAACGCGATGAACCGGTCTCATCACCATCATCGCCGTCCATCCCCCAATTTCATACAAGTAGACTTTGGCTGAACAAACTGAAACTCCATCTGACTCCAACTGAAACGCGAAATGGAACTTACATCAACCCCAAAGGGTTTCACTACGATAGAGGCGATAGGTAATGATGGAGTAGACAAGTGAGTAAGGATACAAGTATAATATCGCACTAGCCCAGCGCTCACAGACTTCGAGTACTCGCTCTGTAGTCTTGTCCCGCCATTCCTTCACCCTCACCCTCACCCTCACCTCACCCTCACCTCACCCTCACCTCACCCCACCTCCACTCGTCAATCAAATATTAATGTTACTACTATACATGTCTACCGTTGTGCTGCGTCGTCCGTGTGTTAGGCCCTGAGCCTGTCGCTTAGAAGAGACAGTCGAGACACAGACAGCAGGCCAGACCAGCGCACAGTCCGCAGCAGCAGTCGTTGTTGCCGCCCTGGGGCTGCTGCTGCTGCACGTAGACGGGCTGGGGAGGACCCTGCTGGTAGTACTGTGGCTGCTGGTATCCTCCCTGTTGGTAGCCCTGCTGGTATCCGCCCTGGCCATAGGCCTGTTGAGGCTGCTGGGGAGCGTACTAGGTTAGTATAGTTAGGTGCGAGTTCGCAAACCAGTGCAAACCGAGTGCAAACCGAGTTCAAACCGAGTGCCTGTTTGGGGCCCCTGTGGGGATGGGAGGGGAGTGCGACAGAACCGCTGGGGCGCTGTAGAGAGGTTGTGGTCATGTGCCTTCATCACCCTTCATCACCCTTCATGCGCACTTCGCAGTGACATACAGGAGACTTGCGCAATGCTGACACACGCACGCTCCACAGGCATGATAGTGTCAGAGAGGTGCCACATCGCATCCGACGTTTCCATCTCAGTCGACATGACACCCACCTGAGCCAATAGCGACACCCAACTGGGTCTCTCCCATTGGCCAACCGCTCCACTGACCCACGACATGACCTTCCAATTTGGGCAAAGCTTGTCGACCTGTAGGTTGTGCGGCGATCGGAGAACCCTACTGGAGTCTGTGAACATGAACACAGACACAACCACTGTCACCGCGGAAATTGCACTCGTTGCTTTATCGGTCGGCGATACACAAACGAAATCTCCACTCCGCCTATCACCCTCTGCTTGTCACCTTTCCCATCTCTCTCCTCCCTCGCCAATCCCATTCCCACTTCGGTTTGGGTCTGTGTTTGGGTCATCACCACTCCCCTGTTGTGTGTAACGCGCGCTTCTGCTTCTCAATCATACTCACGTATCCAGACATGTTGTGTATGTGTGTGTGTGTGTTTGTGTCGGTAGATTCGGTCGGGTCGGTGGTTCAACTGGCTCGTGTGATGGCAGTTGAGGGAGTCACTTGGTGGCGTGTAGTGGTTGTGGAGTGCACGGCGACCTCGCTCCTATATAATGTTTTGGAGTGTGTCAACACGGAAACTTTATTTGGACAGGGTGGCTACCACTGGGGTTCGAACCGGCCAAGGGCTCTAATTCGGGAAGGAGACGGCCGATTGCCGATTTTGACGCGGGAATCGCAACTCTTGTTGCACCACGAGCAAAACTGCATTTTCAGAATCGCCCCAGCGCCTCTCGTCGCCCTTCTAGCGACCCCCCAATCTCTCCCTGGATTAGGGGGCTAACATTCGCCGTCACCATGCAGCTATTCTGCATAGAAACCCAAAATAGTTCCAGACCAGGGTCTATTTATAGGTGGAGAAAATCTTGATGACCTTCTGACGAGAGTCGACCTCGTTTTATCGCCAAAATACCAGCTCCAGGAGCTCCCAGAAGCCTGTGGGAATGTCACAGCACTTCAACTTTGAAAATCTGCCCCAAAATTACACAACAGGACCCGAAAAACCCCCACCAAGGCCAAAATCCTCCCACCGTTCACCTGCTCCACATGTCTCACCAGAATGAAAAGTGCATCGTTGTACAGCCCAGACTCGTGATATTCACCCTATCATGTGACATTGTCCAATTCTCGACATAATCTCGATCTACAGCCCACAGTCACGTGCCACATTACGCCTCAAAATCCACAGCCCGAATCACCAGCCCAAAATGCCCGTTTTCTGACCATGAACTCTGTGGAAATACGATCTTGGCAGATACGAGATTACCACACGATAGATAGACAAGGGATGGATGGGGGGACGGTAAAAACGGGCTTGAAACCGGCGAAAAAGAACAACACGACGAAAAAAGGCGTTTTTCCGGCAGTTGGATGACTAATACTGCCCCAAAAGTCAGATATACATACCACACAACCCCACTACTTGTAGATTAATTTATGTTTATTATTAGTCTAGTATGTTTTCAGACAAAAATTACATAGTCTGAAAAAAACATAGCCTGGAAAAAAACATAGCCTGGAAAAAAACATAGCCTGGATTTATTTAAAAAAAAAAATATCCAGAAATAAATGGTCCACGAAAGATACGAGCAGACTGCAAAAAGGCAATGGTGCTCCAGACTTGGAAGTGGTACCAAAATGATCCCTAAATTCTGCTCAACAGGAATATATAACAATATTCCACCATCGCCATACCAAAATGTTCCGTGATTTCACTTTGAAAACCGGATACTTTTTTTTCTTTTTTTCTTTCTTTTTTTTTCTATTTTTTCTATTTTTTCACAAAATTAGGTTGCACTAATAACCGACTCCCAAAAAGAAAGACAGCCAAATAGGAAATCTTAAAAGCTCGGAAACGGACGTTGGAGAGACCCGAGACCCGAGCCCAAGGGAGGCGGGGTCACGTGATGCGACTTCTTGAGCATATATAATTGTTTGGTTTTTCCCTGTGTTTCTGTTTTCGCCTACACAGGCTCTCTGCGGCTCGCTCCGCAGCTCGCTCCGCCTCTTGTACACTGCCCTGCGGCTGAGTGTGATGCGGAGAAGTGCGCATTCGCAGATTCGGCAAAGTCAAATTTGCAAAATGGATTTTCGGCGAGATTTTGGACGGGTAGAAATGCTGTTATTATAGTTTGAATTATACCGTTGTGTTTTTTGGGTCTGTCCGAGTCGTTTGGAATTGGTCGCGTCTCGATAGCAGTATTTTTCGCTCTTTTAGAGAGATCTATCTCGCGCTACTCGTACTTGTAGGTAGTTTCGGCTCGGGAATGGAACATGCACCGAATGGGCGATCCGAGAGAGATGTGATCACGTGGTGGATGTCATGTGGTGGATGTCACGTGAAAGAGAGAGAGAGAGCAAAAAGACGTTCTGGGAGTTACGGAGAGGGGGTATTGTGGTGGATGTGTTGGTCCTGTTTTCGTGGTCTATTTTGTTAGGCGTGAGATTCGAACTCACAACATGATGAAGAATACAAAGTGCGTTTGGCCCCTCAGTTCGATTCCTCTGTTTTCCCAATTTTACTGCAATATCTGGAGGAGAATACTTGTCTACTTGTAGTCTAATTAAAAAATAGAACGGAAAAAAAATAGAAAAAAAAAATGGAAAAACATTGGAAAAATAGAAAAACATTGGAAAAATAGAAAAACATTGGAAAAATAGAAAAACATTGGAAAAATAGAAAAACATTGGGAAAATAGAAAAACATTGGAAAAATAGAAAAAAAAAATGGAAAAACATTGGAAAAATAGAAAAACATTGGAAAAATAGAAAAACATTAGAAAAATTAGAAAAAATAGAAAAATTGGAAGTTCTCATGGAAAAAACAAAGCATATCATATTACTACAAGTAGCTCCAAAAGATTGGATGACGGTGTCGGATCATTCTGGAATTGTCTGAAACACATAACTAATATGTATATGTCGTAAAATCATCAATAAAAACTGCTAAACTTGAAAACCCGATACTTGATCGTATAAGATATAATTTATCCAGTTCATATTACCCATTTCACTCCCTGACAATCTCCAGAGTGTATGTTTAGTATTGCTAGCTTCTCAATTAAGAAGTGTGCTAGATTGCATTCCAGACGGTATAAGGGGTGAAGAACGAGATCAGTGTGCTTGGTATGGGATTACTACGAGTATATGTACTGTCTTAATCAACTCCAATCGATTTTTTGTCTTGTTTTGACAACTTTTGACCCCTTTGAAAACGTCAACATAGACATCCAGTTTAATTGACATAATTTGGAGTTACAAGAAGAGATTTGAACCTGAAAAGAGTCCTTCAATCACGCTCAAATTGCAGACAATCCCAAATGAACAGCTTGTCATCACTTTACCAAACCTATACTCGTGCCATAGTCAGAGGTACAAGTACCATCATCGCACCTGGTTGCACATTATTATACATTAATATCACATTTCAACCGTCACGTGACCAAATATCACCTGTTCTATACCCTCTATTTCACTCTGACTCGTTTGAAAGGTCCCTGTTGATCATTTTCCACCTCTTCTGCTCCGAGAGACACAAAGTCTCCTCCAGTCCGCTTTCGGTTCTCTTTCATGACGCGTTGTTTGTACTCGTTTGCCAACCGGACCATATCTTGGGTTTCAATAGCTGTTTCGAGTCTTGCTTCTCCACTGAGGACCACGTCGCGCATTGTTTGGCGGATTCTTTCAATTTTGGGGTCGTTTTTATGCATCAGATAGATGTCAAGCAGGTTCAGGGCCGTTCTTCCCAGGCTTCGGGAGCATGTGAGCATTGTTTTTTGGCCGTTGGACAGCATGTCCTGTTCAACAAACACCTCGAGCCACTCCGCAACTGGGTTGGCGTTGAGAGAGAGCTCTTCGGACAATGTCTGATGCTTGTCGACTCTCTCGGCCTCGTCAAACATGTACAGAAACAAATCTGAGAGGAGCTCGCTGGGTAGAGATTTCAGCATGGGCAACAAAAGAGCCTTGTTGATCTGGTTCTTGGTATGCATCACCTTTTGGTGGACCATGGTGGCAAACAGAGTAGCGGGATCGGAGCTGTAATATAGCACAATCTGTTTGGCCAAAAAAGCAAACCGCATTTCCGGTTTGGAGCCCGGATTGGACAGGTCCTTGAGCGCCTTTAAGTCCCGGTTATCGCGATAGAGACGGCGCCATTGGCGGAATATCTCCTTGATTTCGTCCGAGTTAGCCGCCGGCGTTGCGGACTCGTTGGCTTCAGCGCCCCGGACACTCCAATAGTTGGTGTGGAGCCATGTGACGGCCTCGTCGACCCCTGCACGCAGTTCTCGCAAACTGGGCAGCGTCTCGTGGGTGCACGTGTGTCTGAGATCCACCAGAAAGACCGGAAGACCGATTTCACGTGCAATTACCTGCATGGGGATCACGTAGCTGCCGTTTTGATGGGGGTCAATCATTCCGTTCACAAATCTGATGACCGCTGTAGACATGGCGAGACGGGTCGAAATGGCGTTGGCGGAGGGCGTGTCTTCGATCTGGGCGCTGACTAACATTCCCGTGCACTCGACGGCGTGCGGAACGTTGCCCCGGATCATATACGCCTTGGTTCGGGCAATGGCGCGCTGTTTGGAGGCTGTGGCGGCTTCGGGGTCGGACAGCCCCGGAAAAAACCAGTTTTTGAGCTCGAAAAACTCGCTCTTGTTGGCCCATGGTGTCACTGTGGGCGTGGTAGTTTTTGCCGACATTTTTGGGCGTGTTTGAGGCGGTTCTGGAGCGATGTATGCACTGACAAGTATATTGAAATATTGAAATATATATTGAAATAAATTTCCACTCGAAACTTTATCTAATTTTTTTTAATTTTTATCTGAGTTGATGTTGGTGTGTGAGAAAACGAAGAGAAGAAAAAAGAAAAAAAAGAAAAAAAAAGAAAAAAAAAGAAGAAGAACCAGAATGGACAGGAGTACAGATGTTGTACTTGTACTTCTAGTAACATTCCTGGATGATTTACACATTTGAATTACAGCCCCAAAATACCTGTTTGTATATATATATATATAGACCCCCCGCTCTTTTGAGAGACAGAGCCTCTCTTAATCACCTTTTATCAAGTGAGTTTCCTGAGATACCCGAGACACTTTCATTGGAACATCTACGACAAGAAGGGCCACGTGTCGGCTACGAAGCGCCACTGAAGATTCCGGGATCATCTACTTCTGTCTTCAACTCGTGCGGTGAAAGTGATTGCAGAGTACATACTGTCCTCGATAACGGAACTAGCCACCCCCAGTCCCGAGTCGTCTGTGTCGTTAGACTCAGCTAGAGACACGAGATGTGTGGTTAATTGCGAAAGATTTACCACCTTGCATTGTCATCAGTCATTTCGCTGCTAGGAAAAGGAAATGAACTTGGAGGCATGCCCCACCTGCCTAGCCCGCCCGTACTCTTCTCTTTCAACGGAGCTATTACCTTCCCACTAATGAAGGCTTAGACGATGCGAGAACTCTCAAAAAGACGGAATACCAGAGAAAAGTACGCAAAATTCTCAAGTAATCGGTCAGCTTTTCTCTTAATACTGTTCTACAGCCTGACCCAAGATGAACAGACGGAAATCGGTAAGGGGATAGTCGATGGATCAGAGACTGATTTGATCGACTGATTTGATCGACTGATATGATCGATAAAGGGTGTCGATGAGATTAGAGACTGATTCGTGCTGTTATCCTGAGACTTAAGACTCATATTTATCTTTCTCTTGATCCGGAGAATCATCTATATGATCAATAAGAGGGTGCAAATCTGAAGACCTGAAGACTTGGAAGTATTGAAGATCACAAGTATGATTGACTTGATGTAGTAAGTGCAACGACTTACAACTCACTTTGGATCACGCCCACGCACCTCGGGCCTCGGGGAGTCAAGGGAAACCTCTGGAGACACGCAAGCTGAATCTGATGGGGCACGCAAGTCAGATTCGGTATCTCAACTATCTGCGACTACTATTACAAGACTCTGTCATCAACAAACTGACACGACAGATGCTTTGGGTAGCAAAACGGACCGTACGAGAGCCTATTGCGACTATCGACCGCGGTGACAGGAAGAAATTACCGAAAAAGAAGAGCAGTAGGGGGGGGGGGGGGATGCGTAGCAAAGGCTACTCGGTCCAAAAGACAAGGGATTGTCCAGATGGATTGAGCGTTATCGGCATGCTATGGCTCTACCTGACAAGCACCACTGGTTGCGGGACATGAAGGAGGATGTGTGGACTCTTTCAAGAGCGACGAGGTTTTTGAGAGGGTGGACAGCACAAGAAGCTAAGGGCAAGAAAGTCCTACCATCACGGTGGGTCTACAACCGGAACTTCAATCTGCACGGCTCGCTGAGCGATACAAGGCTCTGGTGGTCGCAAGAGACCAACATTGACAATCTGATGTCCTTCAGCCCAGTTATTCGGTTTGAATCAGTTTGCTGCTTTCAACAAGTGGAACATGCATCAATGGATGTAAAGACGGTGACGCTGATGACCACAAAAGATCAAGAAGTACCTCACAGACAATTTCAAGATGAAGTATCTTGGCCTTGTCGAAAGAAAACCGCCACCATTCATTCTCTCATGGAAGACTACATCACGCAAATGAGCAAGGACCTGGACATAACTGTTAAACACAAAGTCAAGGAGGACCCACCACTGATGTCTCAGTTTACCGACAAGGAAATATCAAGTTGAGCTACTTAGCTCACTCATTAAGGCTTGACTTTGCCCATGTTGTATTTCTTGCTACCTTCAATCAGGTCCCATGTGAGTCACGTCAGCTCGTACTTCACAAACTACTGCGGTGTGACACCAAGAACTACAAGCTCACCTATGCCAGGCCCAAAGTCCCATGGCTCTGTTGGTATACATATATGTTAACTGGGGCAGTTCGATTACACTGTCCACTGATGAAGCCGAATACATGACACCAAAACAGCAAAGTGGCGAAGGTCTACGAAAACTTTGGTATTCCCATGGAACCCAGAGCCTTTGAGATCCAAGCACCGATTCAGATCTCTAAGGATCCCCAGTTCTATCCATGAACCGAGCATATCAAGCGACGATATCACTTCAGCCTATTGAACATCATAAGTATGACTCCACGTTCCGATAGTAGCACACACCAGAAGGGCTTGCTCATTCGCCAGGAAGAGATCTATATCAACTGGTACACTTTCAGATACTCTCTACAGGATGAACATCTTGTCTACGACCCAGCTCTTATGACTATGCGAGGAATTGGCCAGGCAATACCCTACCATTACCTTGAAGGACTAGTCATGATGAAGTAAGAATTAGTAGCAATTGCAGTGCTACTTACCTTCATATCTTCTTGGAGCTACCAATTCATCATTACAAGAAGTTATATGGGTTACTGATGAAAGAGTATCTAACATTGATACTCATTAGGGAGCAGCCCGTAATATGCCCATGTCTTCAACACAAAGACACTGGAGACGCGATAATTACCGCGGCTCCAACGTCCAATATGTTCGATATCACTTGATTAGTCATCCACTGTGAATGTCACGTGATATCGGCAACTAGTTTCCGGCATGAGTTCAAACAATCGATAACTGGCGCTAAACGACTATCTTGTCTTTCTTTTATGGCGACAGGACGTGTTTCTTTTGGTAGAGACACCAACCAAAGCTGTACTAGCTCTAGCGGACTAGAGAACTGAGCGGCTGTTGCTCCTCAAGTGGAACCAGGAGTCAAATGGTGTTGAATTTGAACCAGGTAGTCTAGAGCGGGAATTGGCGGTACTGTTCAAAGGAGTGATGGGTGGCTTAGTTGACTTATTCGACTCCCTCGAGACTTACCCGACTTGTAGCTCGAGAAAAGTACCCATAGAAACACTCCAAAAGAGGAAAACGAGAATCGAATTCATAAAAAGACGTCTGTTCATCCCCAGACCATCATCTGTCGACGCTACTGATCAGCCAGTCAAGTTCAGATGGCGAGATGGTCCGGTTGTCAATGTCGTCACAGAGCCATATCCACAGAGCCACATTGTCAAGGCGATTCGACCATGGCCGAAAACATCGTCTAGAGCACTTGACTGTTTCTTCTCCAGGAAACGTGGTTGGCAGGTTCAGGGGCGGCTTTCGAGAACACCACGTTTACTAATCTGGAGCTAAGTTTCTTCCAGCAAGCCCAGTTTCAACATGGTATCTCGAGTTTTGGTCGTGTCTCGAGTTTTGGTCAATTTTTTCTGCTGATTTTCGACCAACTCTGGCAATAACGGTGCGATCGGAAATGCGAAACTTTTGACAGGTTTCTCGGGGCGCGAATCACACTAATAGTCGACGTTGACTCGCCCATGTCGCACTCGGCCGTTTTTTGGTCCCACGTCAGGTCCCGAGACCCGGCTGGACTCGATTAGCTTCAGGCTCGCAAAACCGGGGTCTGGGTTAGGCTTTTTTTGCTTTTTAAGTTTTCGAGGGCTTGGCGCCAAGGTTAGGGTTAGGGTTTCGACCAAGACTCCCAATGCAGCGTAATATCCGGGGTAATGACGTCAGAGGTCATGTGTTTTGATTGGAGCAATTGCCAAAAGCAACGAGCAGGTGGCGACAGACAAGTGGCAGGTGGCAGACAAGTGGCAGGTGCACGACGGGGGAAAATGAAATACATGGCAAAAAAAGATTGATTGACTGTTTGACCGTTTGACCAGAAATGACGGGAAAGGACGAACATGGGCAGAAATGACGGGAAAGGACGAATATGGGCCGAAATGGATGGAAAAAGATCCAAGGAGGTTCTCCAGCGTTGAAGCAACACAATGGTTTTTTCAGTTTCACGATTCCGTATCTCAATCTGGACCTATGGGTTGCATCAAAACGCGGGACGGGGGTTGCGGACATCCGGGGGTGTTTTTGTAGACACTGGGGATATTTTGTTTGGTTTTTGTAGATATTTTTGATAGTATTTTTGTAGATATTATATTTTTATTTTTATTTTATTTTTATTATTTTTTTGATAGTATTTTTATATTTATATTTACATTTATTTTTAATTAATTAATTAATCTTCTTTTTCTTCTTTTTTCTTTTTACTGTAATACCCCTCAGCCGTTGAAATCTGGGGTAGTGTTAGTCATTGATAAAATAAGTTTGGGCTACTGTAGAAAGGTTGACGATTGGCGGTCATGGGATGATACTTGTAGAAAAGCCGCAGTCGACATTTGCTCCGACGATTCTGATTGTTAAGACCAATTGGAATTGACTCTGAGTAGGTATGACTAAGAGGTGAATATTGTCCAATGCTGACTAACGGGCCAGGTTGATTCTGTAAGAGCGGTTGAGGGTTGCCTCAGAAACAGTGCAAGTTGGATTATCGGAGTCTAGAGCTCTATTGGTGGCAGAGATAACTCCCCTTCCACCCAGTCTAGAATTCTGTCAGATACTGGGTGTAGGTCTTTCAATAATTTTGGCTGGTTTCTGGTTCCAATGTCAGTCGTTTTTTCTCTGATTTTTCACCGTCTTTTCATTTCTCTGATTTTCTCTGATTCTCTGATTCTCTGATTTTCTCTGATTTTCTCACCATCGTTCTTGCCCATCGCCAGTTCAGTCATGTCACCATCACTTGCGAAAATAAAATAGACCCACAAAAGGAACACACAAACAAACGAACATAAACCCCCCCAAATCAGCCAATTTCGGACCTCGAAGTTCGTCATCAACCGCGATGATGGTCAACTATGAATACTCTCTCTCGCTATAGGTTCCGACGAGATTGGCCGAGTTGTGGCGACTGTTGGACTAAGATGACAAACAGCGACGATAAAATGACGATAAGAAACCCCAAAACGACTAAAGAAAACGAATTTCGCGATATTTCGCTCGATTGACATCAATGGGCAATCTGCGGTGGATTCAACACACGAATCTCCAGCCAAACTGCGTTGTGGACGGAAGTGAATCATACAACAGGCGCAAAGGGTACAAAAGGATGTTGTCAGGATGTATAACGGGTGCCATTGGAGGTCTCTGGGAGAACCGAACGGCCAGAAGGTCTCACAGGAGTCACAGCAGTCACAGCAGTCGCAGGAGTCACAGGAGTCGCCGGAGTCGCAGGGGTCGCAGGAGTCACAGGAGTCGTAGGAGTCACAGGAGTTACAGGAGTCTCTAGAGCTCAAGAGTGTCGTCTGAGGGCCTCGGAGTGCTCTAGGGTTCTGGAATGATGTCCCTCAGTCTCTCCGGTCGTTCTTCAGTCTCTCCAGAGGACTGCTGGAGTCGTGCTGGAGTCCTGAGTCATTGTCAGAGACCTCTAACCCACATCCATTGCTGAAACTATGAGGAGAGTCGACCTAAGACGCCAGAGGGTAATACAGATCAGCCAGGGGTGATAGCGATACGACCTCGGCTTATGCTCCACTCCTGGATCTACTCCCAGACCTCCTCCCAGATCTACTCCAGATCTACTCAGACTCTGGTAGAACCCATTCCTGGACTCACTATCAGTTTCAAAAGAAAACACCGCGATGACCCACACACTCCAGTCACTCCAGGTGACTCCAGTTGCCCCGGTTCCCCCATTCGTTCCAGATCTTCCAAAAACCATGAAAAATTCGAGAGAAATCAGAAGACGGGAAAATACGAATGAAATGGACAATCAGATCGGAAAATATGTGCTTGAATTGCCCCTTTTTGTTAAATTGTGCTTATTTGGTCCCGATATATATTTTAATTTAATTTAATTTAATAAAAATTAAAATCTCAATTTCTCAAAATCCTCAATTTCTCAAAATCCTCAATTTCTCATGGTTTTTTGTGATTCAATTCCTTCTTTCTTCTTATCTGATTACAAATGCTGACATAATCACTTATTCATATGACCCCATCTACACACAGTCTATTACCTACGATTACACAGATCTACCGCTACGCTCAGATCACGCTCAGATCTGTGATCACATCTCAATAAATAATGCAATATAATACATCACCGAATCTGGCGTGCCCGAAACCTCAACGCCTCGGCCATCGTCTTCATATACGGCCACACATAGACACTGGTGAGCATTTTGGACACCACATGCAGCGTCAATAGCGACAGCCGCTGCTTGGGATTGCCAATCTCCGGCGTGGGCAAATGGTCAATTGCCAGCACGCCCAGATCGATCGAGCCGTCCTTGTCCTTGACAGACTCGCACACCCGGAACAGAATCTTCGACATGCGGATCCACAGCTGCGCCTCAGCGTCCGTCCACATGGACTTGGGCTTGAGCTCCAGCCGTCGGAAAAACTCAGACACCACCAGCCCGCAGTCGAAAATCGCCATCAGCGCGTGGATAAAGGTCTGCGACACCAGCGTCTCCATGGTCCATCGCACAGAGTGCTTTTCCCACAGCGAAATCGAGTCCGCAGAGTACGACGCCGCCTCCAGTAGCCCGTGGAAGTCCACAGACATACCGTCATCCAGCCGCGACAGCTCCTCGCCCATCAGCTGGAAGTTGCGCTTGGCAAACGCCTCCTTGACCGGCTGCAGATCCACATAAGTGCGCACGTGCGCCAGCGAGCTCAGCGGAATGGCGTCGCTCATCAGCGGGCCGTACTGCGAGTTCGGCGACAGCGACGCCAGCGGCGACATGCTCCACGTGGTTTCCCACGTCCGCAGAAAGCTCTCGATCGGCTTCTTCTGCAGATTGAGCCACGCCCGCTGCTTCTCCTCGCTGGAGCCGTGCCAGTTGCGGTTGAACACCTTACGCCGCTCAGAAATCTCCAGCAGCGCGCCGTACATGAGCGACAGCAGCGTAAACTGCGGAATCTTGTCCACCAGGGTGTGGCCTTGGATCAGCGAAGTGAGACACTGTCCGTACGAGGGGCCCCCGACGGTCGTCTTGAGCGAGCCGTCCAGCTCCTTCCGCTTCACAATGTCCCACCACTCATTGGCACACTGCGACGACCAGAGCGATTCGTCGCATGGCGAGCCGCACACAATGTCCGAGTTTTTCAGACTCGTGCACACATTGTAGCCCGTGGCCACCAGGCACGACAGCGCGTGGATCGCGTGAAGAGTTCGGATCCGCGTCTGCACATTGATGAAGTAGTGCCACTTGTCGGACACGGACGAGTCGGGCCCCGGCAGCGAGAAAAAGTTGTGCGCCGGCAGATGCAGACCCGCCGCCCGCGCCAGAGACACCACGGCCGACGCCTGCGCCACTGCAATATCGTTGACCAACGCGTCGTCGGAAAACAGTCCGTAGACAACGCCCAGCGTCAGCGCCTGGATCAGCCAGATGGGCGTGTCGGTGCTGCCTGAGCCGGTGCCGGAAACACCCTGCTGAGGGCTGCCCTGCTGAGAGCCCTTGCCCCGCCGCCGCTCGAGATAGGCGTGCACGCAGCACCGCGACACCTCGAAGATGGACTGGGCCACATCAAACTCAAACAGATAGCGCGCTCCAATGGCTGCCATGCACAGCGCCAGCGGAATGTTGTCGTTGTTGAACTCAAGGGTCGAGTGCAGGAACGGCAAGTGCTTGGCAAAGTGGTCCTGGAACGCCACCACGTAGCGCTGCAGGTCCGCCGTATTGGGCAGCTTGAACGCCGTCTGGTACGGCGTGGGCGTCGACAACACATTCAGAATCTCGAGACGGATCTGCGGCGTGATTGTGGGGCCCTGGTACGTTGGCGGGCTGGGCTGTTGTTGCTGTTGTTGGAGTATCGAGGGGTGCATATGACCGGGGCCGGGGACCTGAACGCCAGCACCCGCAACGCCCTGATCGGCATTGTGCATCGGCTGGTAGTCCTGGTTGAGCGATTCGAGGAACGAATGCACGTCTTCCGTCGAGTTGATTGTGTGTGTGGCGGCTGGCCCGGAATGGCCACTGTTGCCGTTGCCGTTGCTGTTACCGTTGCTCTGGAAGTCGAGATCGAGATCGAGATTGTCGAGGTCCATGGGGGGCGCGGAGCCGGCACCGGAGCCCGTGGACGGGGCAAAGTTGGTGTGGAACTGCATCGAGTTGGGGGGTGTGAGAATCATGTCCGACGGTGCAAACGCCATCATGGGCGACGCCGACGATGTCAGCAGGGACATGCCGGGGTGTGACGACTGGCTCTGACCGTGGGACTGGTTCTGGGTCTGGTTCTGGGTCTGGTTCTGGGTCTGGTTCTGGGTCTGGTTCTGGGTCTGGTTCTGGGTCTGGTTCTGGCCGTCACTGGTATCAACGTACTGGGACATCCAGTCAAAGTCGTCGTTGGCCATATCGCCGGAAAACATTGACATGAGGGGCTCGTGTTTGACGCTGGAGTCGTCGGGCGACTCGTGGTTGAGCAGCCGCGGGTTGACGAACGACGACTGGCCCTGTGACAACAGCACCTCGTCGATGCAGTAGTCCGGGTTGGCCAGCGTTGCCGGCGCCAGCTGGGGTGTGGAAAACTCCACTTGCACGTGGTCGTCGATTGGGAACTTGTCCTTGAGCATATCAATGTCTGCGTCACGGAGATACGATGCCGACGATGATGCCGAAAACGACGCCGGGCGCGTTCGGCGGCCCCGCAGCTCCCGGTCGTTGTCCATGTGGTTTTCGGGGTGCATTAGGAGGTCCGAAAACGATGTCTTGTCGAATGCCATCTTGTCGAACGTCTTGTCGAACGGGTTGGAGAAGGGGTTGGAGAAAGCCGGCGGCGACATGGCCGACGTCAGAACCGACCCCGTCGGCGACATGCCGTGTGGTGGCTGTGGTTGCGATTGTGATGGCGTGGGTTGGTGGTGGTGAAGGTGTGTCTGTGTCTGTGTCTGTGTCACTTGACTCGGGTGTGGTGGTTGGTTGTGTGTCTGACTAGGCGTTTGGTGCTGTGTCACCTGACCCTGTTGGGTTTGTGTCTGACTCGGGTGCTGCGTTTGTGTCTGTGTCTGTTGCTGGCTCTGTGTAACTTGGCTCTGTACTGCCTGGGAAACATCACTCTTAACCGCCACACTGGACCGCCGACGAGAGACCTTGCCCTTGGGGGACTCGGGGAAGTTGGCGTGCAACTTCTGTCTGTGTCGCAGCAGCAAATCGCGGCGCGCAAAACACCGCTCGCAAATGGGGCACTGGAATGGGCGCTCCTTGGTGTGGGAGCGCTCGTGACGCTTGAGATGCTCCAGCCGCGCAAACGACCGGGTGCACGTGAGACAAACATGGGGCCGGGGCTTGTCTGTGCGGATCTGGAGCGACTTTGTGGGAATGGGCTCGGTGCCCTGGATGGCCGGGTGTCCCGCGGCCTTCTGGGCAGCCTGCTGGGCGGGTGTGATGGTGGCGGAGGTCACAGAGACCCCCGAGGGGGCAGACGTGGCCACATTGGCAGCTCCAACACCGGCCTTGTCGTACGTGTCGCCAGGATACGTGGTCATGAAGAAAGACTCACCCTGGGGAGATGGAGGAGTAAGAGTTTCCAGCTCGGGAAGCATTTTCGAGGTGGTTTCTGCTCTTGGTGGTGCGCAAAAAAAAGCTTAATGCGCAGCGACAAGCGACTTGTTGGGTGCGATTGGGGGGGGAACGAGAATGGTGGGAGGGAATGTCCAGGATCGATTCGGGCGTGAGGCGAAAGGTCGAGCCGGAATCTTCGTGCGCAAGGGGAGGTCGGGGAGAAAGCTTTTGGATCGCGCGAAAAATCCAAATATAAACACTTGTATCTGCGTTTTGGCAGGGTGCACAAGCTCATTATATTGCAACTTCCCCCGGCCGGCATTTTTCTGGGATTGGGTACAAATGCCCAAACCTTGGCTATTAAGGTTAGGGTTTGGAAGTATCCTCCCCAAATAAGCAAAATCAGAAGACTTGACAAGGACAAACTCTACTTCTGGGTTTTGCTTGTTTTTCTGAACTGGCCTTGTTCTAATTGGAAACAAGGAAATCCGGGGATTCTCAGCTGACGGGGTTAGGGCAAAGGATGGATTGCAGGGCGATGCCACAGGATTTAATGGGTGAAGTAAAAACTAGGGAAAATCAGGAAAAATCAGGGAAAATCAGGAATAACGATTGACCAAAGACAGATATTCTTTGTTCAGTTGGAAATATGATGCTAAGTACTCAGCAGATTTTGTTCCCACTTTACGTCCAAATTTTTGGCACTTTTTGTCATCATTTTTTTGCTGCTCCGAAAGTCTCTGTCAAACTCTAAATTATCGACAGGGCCGTATTGCGCCAACCCCAGCTTTTGGGCAAGTTTAAAATACATATCGGCAGGACATGTCCGCTGGAGCGTTTTTTAGGGGCTATTCATTGGGCTGAAAAGTGGCTGAAATTCCCTCCAAATATCACCAATCTGTTCGTCTCGATTCAAAGAGCACATTTCCGTTTTACGCGACGTGTTTCGGTCGACTTTTCAGCCTCAAAAGCCCATCCCCGGATCCCGCCAACCCCAGATTTTCGCACATATCGATATTATTTCACTTGATACACAAACCTAACCATTGGCTGGATTTGCGCACCTAGTTTGGAGCCGCTGTGCCTCTTGCCTGAGGACGCAACCAATCTAATTACCGGTACAAGAAGCCCCTTTGATGCAGATGCGTTGGCGATCTTTGGGGTGTGGCGGGCGCAGGAAAAATGCGGGCGCGAAGCAGGGAGGACGAAAATAGTGGCTGAATTGGGGGTTCTTTTTTTGTATTTTCGGGGCAATTTTCTCACGGGATTTAATTGGGCTTTTGGGCCCCGAGGACCTTTGTGAGGGTTCCCAGTGCCGTTTTTGCCCTAAAAATTTAAACTATTCGGCATGCATGAGACCTGATCCGAAATCTGGGGCACAAAGAGCAAAACCGTAACGTTATTGGGAAATAAAGAAAAAAGCGTAAAGTTGGTTCTCCGTACATGAAAGAGCAAAACCCAACCTAAATATTAAACCTTGTTTTCTTAAAGCATATTTATTCACCTACATTTTGACATTTTGATACTGTCAAAGTTTGCCAAAATGTTGGGGGAGCTAAGTGTTCGATGGGGTGGCCATGAGATCAGTTTAGGACGGCGGGAGGTTGGAGGGATGCTGGTGGTGGAGGAAGTAGAATCTCGTCTGACGCACTCTCTGAATGGCTGGAGATGCATAGGCGGGTTTTCTGCAGTCAGATTTTTTTGAATTTTAACGACATTTTTAACGACATTTTTTTGATTTCTTTTTGATTTATTTGATTTACTTGATTTACTTGATTTTATTATTTTCGTTGCATTTTTATTATTTGGCCACACAGATATGCATCAAATGTCATAGCTTGAGAGGCGCAGAAAGTCGGTAAAAAACGGGGAAAATCCTTGAAAATAGGAACAATATATCAATCCACAGGTGACCGAGTCAACCACAACCTCAAATCTCTTTTTCCCATTTTCCGCCCAGTTTTTGCCACCGTTCTGGACCGGTTTATTAAGCGAATATCTCGGAACCAATCGGTCTCGCAACTCGGCGAATTTAGGCTTTTCAACAAATCCTAACCTAAATATCATATGTGTAAACCCTAAAACCCTAGAGAACAATTTCTCTAAGCCGCTTGAAACGGATGACGTCGAGCAATGTGCGGTTGTGCAAGTAGTTGATGTGAATTAATTTGTGGGTGTTCGTTTATTTTATTGAAAGTATTTCTTTCTGTTTAGGGGAACTAATGTTTTTTTAATAATCTATTTGATTTCTGTAACTTATTTATATATATTACTTTTTTAATCTCTGCATCTATTGGCGATCGTTGGGGAAATAAAAATAATCAATTCAATCGGAAAATGGGTCAAATGGACTGGCAGGTGGTAGAAATCCGCGCCAAATGAAGACTTCGATCACGTGACAGGACGGTTTCTACGGCTCCTGCGGCTCCCGGTTTTGCTTTGTGTTGTGTAAGAGGTGTGTCTTGACAAATAGTGACGAATCTATATTTATATTTATTTATTATTTGTATTATTTTTTTACCCCAGATCGCCATCCAATTAGGTAGAGTTAATTTGGACGCGTTTTTGTGCAGTATCAAAAATTGGAGAAAATTTGGTGCGCTGAAACCAAAATGAAATGATGTCGTTCTGGTAAGATGATGTTACTACGAGTAGTTAATTTCGTGCTGATTATATTTTGATTGATGTTGATTGATGTTGATTGATGTTGATTTATATGATTTATATGATTTATATGATTTATACGATTTATCTGATTTATACGATTTATCTGATTTATACGATTTATATGATTTACCTGATTTATACGATTTATATGATTTACCTGATTTTATTTTTATTTATTTTTAATTCCCCTATTCTCCCATTGTCATATGCACAGCTGCGGCTGGAAATGAACTGGGCCACCGTGCGTTTATTGTGCTGCGTTTATTGTGCTGCATTTCGCCACGCCGCTTCCGGCGGATTATTGATGAATAAAAAATGAATATAAAAATCAGACATAATCAGATAAAATAGAAAAAATGGATATAAAATCAGAAAAATCAGAAGATGGACATAACAAAAGCGACATGATTCGAATCCTCTCAAATCTCAATCCAAAATCCCCCTCCCATAACTCGTATTTTTGCCCCGCCCCCTCATAACCTCATTGTACATATGCATTATGCACATCCCCCAAAGGGTCAGATTGGGACCATTGTCTTGGATTTAAAATTTGGACCGAATTCCGGAGACCGCCAAAGAGGCCGAAATGGACACTAAAACGACGCGAGAGGCGCCTGAAATGACAACCAGCGAATCAAACGCAGCGAGACGAGCCTGTCGGCACTTTCTGCGGTCACATGACATCATTTTTGGGCGAGATCGCCTTCCCCCCCTTCCCCCGTTGTGGTTCCCGTTGCGGTGTTGACAAACGGCCTCAGGAATGGTCCAAACGGCCGCTTGCAACCGCTTTTGCAACCGTTTTGCACGTGAAAGATATGGCGGCGAACAGGGAGGTATTTCTCGTGATTTTTTATATTTTTTTTGGTCTGGCCGTATCGCCATTACATGGGACATGTTGTGGCCACGTTTACGAGCCGGAATGACGTAAACTGTATGGTGATCGGCGAGACAGCTGGGAGCTGAACGTCACCATCGGTGAGCACACGGGGAATGTGTAGGTTACACAGGGGCAGTTGGGGGTTACACGAGGGTAGTTGGGGGTTACATGGGGGCAGTTGGGGGTTACACGGGGCCAGTTGGGGGTCACACGGGGGGCCAGTGGGGGGACACACGAGGAGTTTTGGGGGTTACACCCGTTCTGTCGTCACTGTCATGGACGCCGACTCTAGATGCGGATACGAAACAAAAATCGGGCGCGTGGCTGGATTGTGAGACCCCATTATATTACGGCGGCTTTTGTTTCTTTCTCTGCTATGACTCAGAGCTAAAGGGCGGTGAAACGCGGTCCGAAAAGGTCACCACAAGAGTCGTACAGATCCATGGTGGTGTCTCGACGGCTCGGTTGTTTTTGTCGTGTGTTTATCGACTCTTTTTGCCCGAGCAGAGTCGGTTGCAAAAGTGCCTGGCATGTTCGGCGTTTGCAGAATTCCGAGCTCCGACTCCGTTAGCGCAATTTTAAAATGGAGGAATTAAAAGGGGGAAAAAATTAAAATGCAAAATTCAAAATAAATCTAGAAAATTCAAAGGAAAAAATCAAACAAAATTCAGAGGGAAAAAATTCAAAATAAATTCAAACAAAATTCAAAATAAAAAAATACCTACATGAAAACTCGTACAAGCCGTGTATATGTCGCTCTTCGATGCTCCACGTGGCCTTGATAAGGTACGTTTGTAATCTGAATACGAGAGAGCGCTTGGATTCAGTGAGGACTGGTAAAGCAGAGTAAATATTTGTCAAGTAAATCCCGTAATATGTCAAGTAAAATTAAGTAAAATCAAGTATCCCGGCTGTCAAGTAAAACCGAGAATCCTGAGTCGGTCTAGCAAGACACGGCGATGGAACAATGTAAAGACCTCGGTCGCCATGCAACATGTCCGCGGAAAATGGAGGATCGAGTCTCAGCTGCTGCCTGTTGACCACGTATTTCCCCGGATAACTTTGCTGACCAGTGAGACAGCAGAGGAGGTTTCAGACGGCCAAAAGACGACCAAATGTCTCGGAAACAAGGACCAAAAGCTAGCCCTCCATCTTCCCCGCCCCGTGGGCGTTTCCCGGTCCAGCAGGGATCGTCACAGCCCCGTAGATCCCTCCTCGATCGGTCGGGATGTGCAAAGTAGTTTTTTGGCGGGGCGCCGTGGTTTGGGGGCTGTAGAAGGGGATTGAAGAACGGTGTGGCAAACCAGAGACCACGGCTGGGTTTGCTGGCGTCCGGAGAGCAGCTGTGACCGTTTGGCACGTTGCCCAAGTCCTTTTTCGGGCCCCATTGTCCGATGTCAAGTGGCTAAGCTTGAACCAAAACTTCCCGGCCAGTAAAGGTACCCGTGACGGTCTATTTTTTTGGGTCCAGACGTCGAGTTAGGGTAGGAATGGATTTCCGCCGGGTGTCAAATCAGTCTGGTGTCTCGCCTGTACCTTTTGGGCGCGGCTTTTAGGGGAAACTCCTGATATACGAGAATCGAACCATGGCAGTAATCGCTAAATGTACTTGTCTGTTGGACGACTCCATTTCCGAAAGAGAAAGACCATCTTCAAGAATCAGACCCGAAAAGACTTCCGCTAAGGACGTATAGCGACCGTGGACGATAGATTTTGGCCCTTGTATGTCTTCACTTGGCCAGAGCCTGGGTTCTGAGGGAATTTGGACTTGTTGGGGAGCGGGCTTCCAACGGTGGTTGTGGGTTTGATTATCATAGAATAATCCAAAGATAACGGCAATAAATGATTAGAGGGTGATTTGCAATCACGAGGGGCTTGGTTGATACCGGCTTTGGCCAAAAAAAGCTCCCATATCGAGTGCTCTATTCGCGCCGATAGTGCATCTCCACACACTAGACCATCATTGGCGCGAGACACCAAATTGAACAGCCCAGTTATGTGGAGACCTTTTTGGGTCCTGTTTAGCGCGACAAGGCACTCATTGGCGCTATAAAACGGCACCATTTTCCCATCTCGGGTTCCATAGACAGCACTAGGAAGACGGCTCAGCTCCAAGTGTAGTAGGTACTGTAGAGATGGCCAATCACCAGGTTGGAGTGTATAGTGGCTTCGGTTTCTACAGATGACGTATTAAACAGGATAAATATCAGTAACTAGTGCAGACTAGTGAACTGAGACGGTGTTAGCGGTGTTAGACAAAGCGTTGGCAAAGCGTTGGCAAAGGGCTGACAAAGCGTTGGCAAAGGGCTGACAAAGCGTTGACAAAGGGCTGACAAAGGGCCGACTAGTTTTAAAACGTTGTGAAACATCACGTCTTTGGACCGGCCATCTTGAGGGATCATCTCTTACCAACTGGCCACCCCTGACCATTCTGACCAGCGGGCCACCTCTGACCATCCTGACTATCTCTGACCATTGTTTCAAGGATGAAATTACACTAGTTGCACTCAAAGACCAGCTGAAACACGACTACTGGTAGTTCGTGGACATGGCGGAAGCTGTAGACACGGCTTGTGTCTTCTTTGGTCTCGTTAGCAGGTTCCAGGTAGCCCGAAACATCCACATTGCTGTAGAGCAGGCTAAAGAAGAGCAAAGTGACCCAAAGCGGGTCGATCGAAAGATGTCGACGAGCTGAATTCAATCTTCAACTTCTCTCCAGCTCCAGTAGTCGACATCGTTGTAGTACAAGAGATGGACCATGAATCTGACCAAGAGACTGGAACACGACCATTGTCCATGCTAGGGACACGAGAATACCGACACCAAAGACTACGAATCGCAGTATCAACTAATATCAGATCTTGGAGCTGTCGAACAACGTAACTCCGCCAACGTAACTCCCCCAACGTCAACTCCCCGGCCAACCCGTACCACTCCCCGTCAAACCGCACGTCAGACGCCAAACGTCAGCCTTCACTCTGACACCTGCAAACTCCACTCCGCAGCTAGACCGTACCTGACATCAGACAATACGAGGCTACAGTCAAACGACCAGCACGGCAGGTGTAAGGAGATGCCACGATGCTGTCGTGTGTCAGGAGACAGGAGGAGACATGAGGACGCTCAGGGTGGAGTGGGTTTTATGCAAGGTGGAGCAAGGTGGAGGAACGTTGACAGTCGAGAAAACGTGGACAGTACGTGGACAGTCGAGAGAACGTTGACAGTCGAGGAGCCGATTCGGAGTTAACCGGAGTTAACGAATGGCAACTTTTGTCGGGACTATTGAGCTGGACAGGAGTCTGGAGTCAGAATATCGTCCATGTTTAAGGTCATTGTCGAGTTTCAGAATGTAAAACTTGTCCGATAACAAGTCTCTGGTTCAGAATCGTGCCGTTCACGGCGAACAATGTGTACAGATCTGGACGGTTGTGGGTTTGTTAGAAAGAGCTCATCTGAAGAGTTGGTCTTTCAGCCGACTCTAGCGTTTCTCAAACGCCGTCTTTGATGTCCAGTATCTCTCCATACAGCCAGATTGAACGAGACCAAGCGCAAGGAATGGAGAATGTACCGAACTTTGGGCTCGAATGCCTCGTTATTGATACTGCCAGAATCAGGAGATTGGTACAATTCGAATGGTAGTACTTTAGATACTCCAGCTAATCTCTGTCAAAAGTCGTGTAAGAACCATACTTCATCCTCGACTACTTCATCCTCGACTACTTCATCCTCGACTACTTCATCCTCGACTACTTCATCCTCGACTACTTCATCCTCGACTACTCCATCCTCGACTACTTCATCCCCGACTAGACTCTCTAGAATCTGCAAAGTTGCCTTGACGAACCTGAAATCTCATATATGAAGTTTCGGCCGTTATTTGATACATCGAGAAAAATTTGGACCACGTGACTTGTTTTTTGCCCGGGTTGTGACACATTTAAATAGACAACCTTTGTCAAGTATTGTGCGGAATATACTTGTGATTAGGAGGGACTTTACTTGGAATGTTAGTTGGGCTGCGGCAGTTTCTCGAATGAAGATCCGATCATCTAATCATTCGACTCTGGTAATCTGGTGACCGGGTCAACGTCCCGCCATAACTCATGCTAACGGTGGCGAGTAGTACACCTTTCACTGCTACCGGAACACCTTTAACAACTCCGGAACACCTTTGACAACTCCGGAACATCTTTAACAGCTACTAGAACGTGTCTCTGTCCTGCAAATTGCTCAAAAAAGTGTTCAGAAACGATTTGGTCTGACAATATAATCTCTTGTCCACTCTATTCCCGAAAAACAACATCAGAATGCGATTGTACAGTCCATTGACCTAGTTGCACATCTTCACTACTCTCCTCCGACTCTCAGACCGCTCACATAAATCTCCTACTCACCCGTATTATGCTGACAAGTTATGAAAAAAGAGATTCAGTCACGTGAGCAGATATATGGATATACGACCGTCTCGGAAGAACTATCTCTATGACCCAATTATATATGTCGCCCCTAACAGTAAGTCCTCCAGCTAATCAACTAAACTCTTAACAAAACATAATCTTCTTCCAACCTAAAATTGTCAAAATCTCTACGTTTTTGTTACCTGAACGAATCATTTAAATTGATATAATAGATATTGAAGAAGTTATCTATCTATTTATATATGTTTCAAACTACTGCCACGACCGGAACATTGTTTTTGAACCCCCAGCTGACTTTTCCTCTTAACAAATTCTAAGTAAATTTGAATTTTGGCCTTTGGGAGACCATACCGAAGCTGATACCTTGGAAGACCAATATGTTGAAGTCGGGTCTGGTGTCTAGACAGACATGCACGACGCCGAACATGTCCAAGATGGAAGATCTATAAGGGAGGAGGAAGAATGACGAGAGTTGCAGAGACTTACATCAAGACGGAAAGAAAATTGCGTCATCATATTTTTTCTCGTGGCGAATCAATGAAATTGTCCCCCATAAAGAAGAGACATCAAAAAAACCATTTAGCTTTTGGTGATGACAAAATCGAGTATCAGAGAGAAACAAACCTGGTCGACCGACAGTTGTTGAAAAACTGGTCTAATCACTCAATCGTACTGAATGTTCCAGGTCTCCGGGAATGGCTGTAGGGCAACAACACGTGCTATCGATAGCGGAGTACAACGGCGAGGAATCGTAGACAGTCTGTACTTTACTAGTGAATGGTCAACGTCTGACCAAAGTCTCGGCACTTGCAGAACAAACGCGTCACTTGAGAAGAGTCTCGGCGGGAATGGCCGAATCGTCGTCCTTGAGCACCGGCGTCTCAAACGGCACCGGCGGATTGGCAATTTTCTTCTTCAGACCAAAACAGCCGCCGTCGGAAAAAGGTCCTTCTACTAAACATCCATACTGCGTTTCGAGAACCAGGATGGGAGGATCGGGGGTGATGGGCCGCACCGGCGGTTTGTGTTGGGAGACTTGATGCGGTTGGAACTCCATGGGGTGGGGAGGGCCGTAGTGGTAATACGAGTGGGGAGGAAAGGGCGGTTGTAGGGGGAGATGCTGTTGAGAGAGATGCAATTGAGGAATATGCTGTGGAGGGAGATGATGTGGGGCAAGGGGCTGTAGTGGAAAATGCTGTAGTGGGTGGGTGAGAGGAGGGAGAAGTCCAGGAGGAAGACCAGGAGGAAGAGGATGAGCAGGGGAAGCACCGATCGGGATCCCATGAACAGGAACTCCATTCTGAACCCCGTGGACAGGAACCCCGTCCAGAACTCCACTCTTAATCCCACTCTGGACCCCACGTTGATACTCATAAGGAAGCAGCAGACGCGACTCACCCGGAGCCTGGGGAAACTGGGGACCTTCAAACATCGTGCGTGGAATTGCCTCGCTGGCGGCGGCGGTGGGCAGATTTGTCGTGTTGGAGACGGTCTCCTGTGCGCTTCGGGGAACCTCTCGAACCGCCTGAGACACCTGTTCCAGCAGTTCCGATCCCTGAAGTTGTTGTCGGAAACGCGCCAGAGGATACCCGGTCACGCAGTTTCCAATTTCGCCTCCGGGGCGCTCAAACCCATGGTCGGAATACTTGGCACCCCAGGGATGGTTGTCGTCCCCCGGGTTGTTGGGCTTGACTACGACTCCTCGGAACGGTTCGAATCCCGGGTCGCCGATAAATAGAGCCTCCTGGGGAATGACTCCCTCGCCGCCCTCAGTGATGGACACTCCGGAGCCGAGCAGTTGAAGCCGCGGTTTTTGTTCGACTGTTGTTGGAGCTTGAGGAGCGTGGTGAGCTGGACGACCGTTGCCGGAGATATGAGCATCGCCGACAAGGTGAGCTGGAGCATGACCTACCGCCTCATATCCTGGCAACGACGCTGACTGTTGAAACTCGCGTGACTGCTGAAACTTGTCTGATTGCTGGAACTGACCTGGCCACGACTCACTGAGAGGACCCTGGAAATTCGCCGAAGCAGGAGAACTCCCAAACGATGTCTGTTCCAGCGAGTGATGGTCGCCGATGGGCCGCGGGTAGGGCGAGAGAGAGGTGAAACGGGATGACGGAGACGCAGTGGGAGCCGTGGAGGGCGGAGCAGGCTGGCTCCGCGGTGGGAAAATCCCATGCTCGTTGCCAGAGTCATTGGGCGACATGAGATGCTGTAGATGCGTGAACCCGCTAGTGCAACAAGTTCTCGGCCGGTACCAGTACTGGCTAGCACGGTCTGCGTTAAGGCAGGCGATGGCGATTGAAGCTAGACCACAGCAGCAGCGACTGTGGTAGCAGCGGCGGGAGGTGTTGTGTTGGAGACCAAGTTGACTCTGGCTCCAAGTCAGTAGTCATAGTCAGCTCCGCACTTGATGAGACACTCTGGCTGCTTTTGGAAGTTCAACTGTCACCGTTAGTCTGTGTGTGATTGTGCGAGTGTGTGATTACACCACTAGACGTATGACTCCACGATTAGACCACGACTAGACCACACCATCTCTAGACCACACCATGTCTAGACCACACCACACTCCGATAGGCTGGCGTGGCGATTCAGCTGGGTTGGCTTCTCCCGGTCTCGTCTCTCGCCTCTCTCACCTCACAACCCCTTCTCTGACTCGGTTAGCCCCAAATGTCAACCACAAAAGGCACAAAGTCGTTTTAGCACGCAGGAATGGTGCTGAGAAGGGAGACGGTCGTGGGCTCCTTGTCGGTGACCTTGTTGGAGACGGTTTTTGCTCCTTGTCGGAGATTCGGCGGCGATATCTTACCAATGATGAGGGTTCAGGGGAGGAGACTGAGCATGTGGGTTGAACAGTAACACCAGGTTGGTTTTCTGTTCCCTCTTTGTTCCCTCTCTGTTCCCTCTCTGTTCTATCTGTTGCCCTTAGCGTAGCCCTCACTGCTCACTAGTCTGGATCGATCATTGCCGTAGTCCAAGTGCCTCGGACGCCCATTATCGTACGACTAACGTGGACTGCGTTAGCTCCGTGAATCGGGCGCAGGAGGATTGATATCTGGTATTGGAGGTATGAAGTATTGGGATATAAAATAAAATATATATAACATATAACATATAACATATAACATAACATATAACATATAACATACAACATACAAGTAGCATATAACGTATAAAATATAAAATATAAATATAAACAATAGGTTAAATTGATTGAGAAAAAATATATATAGTGTCGTTACAGCTCTCTGTAGCAAACAGCAGGAGCTCTGCAACCTGTCAATCTGAACACAGAAAGCGCCAAGGTGAGTTGTCCTAAAAAGGGCCCCTGACTTGGTACGTACTACAGGACATTAGCCATTGCTGGATCACCATTAATTCAGCAGCTCAGCTCCTACTTGTAGTTGACCCATTACAGCTCCGGAATGGGTTTCCATCGACTCACTCTGTCCTGGTCATCTCGACAGCTACCACCGAAAGACCACTGCGTATCCAAGGCGACTCGTACTGCCATCACCAAGTGAGGGAACTTGAACTCCCGTGACAACCACCGAGGTTACCACCCTCATTTCTTCCTACTCGACCAACATGTCTCCTCGTGGAGCATGGTCCTGACTCTCACCAGAACCAAGGGCAACGTCACACAGCCGGTGGCAGGAGATGACAATAGTAACACGCTGTCCAAGTGGAAATAGCATCCCAGAAGACACTCGGAAACGGTGAACCAAGACCGCAAACCACTCTTGCCGATGATTCAAGAAGATCCGCTTTTGACCACTTGTTTGTCCCGACTCATGCTGTTGCTCAAGACGGAATATGAAAACACCGAACTCAACACCGAGTGACGATGGATGGAAATTACACGACCATACTCCACAGACCAGGGTACATACTTGTACTATTTATGAGCAAATCTGAGTCTGGAATATAAAACTGTCCATGTCATTAAGACATTCGACATCTGTAAGCTACGTTCATCTTTCCACTCAATAAACACTGCTGAAAACAGCTATAAATAATTATAAATACATAAATAATCGAGCCGGGAGCTCATGCAAATTATTCCAACACAATATCACTGTCGTCCTCGTCGGCACCCTCAAACACGCTGGTCAAGTCGAAATCAGGCTTTCCAGGACCAAGCTTCTTGTTGCCAAACTTCCACATTTCCGTCTCGTCCTCACTGCGCACCAGCCACAGTTGGTGACACACAACATTGTCCAGGTCCACAATCAGGGTCTCGCCAGGAAGATCGTCTCGCAGCATCGCAGACTTGAGTTTCTCCTCAAATCCTCGGCAGTAGGGAACCGCCTGAACACTGAAATCCGGATGCAAATCGGGCAGGTAGCCGGCCACCGGAGGAAGCACTTTGAACGAAGTCTTGTCAATGGACACCATGTCGGGATCCAAACTAGACTCGCTGTCGTCCTTCTCACATTCCATCGAAGTCTCGTGCTGGTCCTTATCCCAGAAGAGCGCCTCGACGTTGGAAAAGTTCACGTCGATAACGGAATCGTCTGTCTGACTGGTCTCAACCGAAAACTTGACCTCACTATGCTCATGACAAATCACAGCTGTGGGAGTGCGCTCCTCCAGCTCGCTGTCGAGGTCTAGATGCTCGGAAAAGTCATCCAGAGACGTCACCGACGACCGCGCAAACGACGACGAAAATTTTGACGTCGGCGACTCTTGCGAGTGCGACAGAGACCGAAGGTAGGCAGCATTGTTGCTGGTGGGGATGCTGCTAGCGCCGCCACTGCCGGCAGTTGGACTCCACAGCGAAAAGAGCGAGGTCATGGAGCCCTGGGACGTCAGCGACCGCTTGAGACCATCGAAGAATGGCACCTGGCTCTGGCTCTTGGACCGCGACAGAGAATGCGAAAGAGATGACGACAGGGAAGACGAGGAGAACGAGGGCCGCACAACGTGAGGCATCACACACTGCTGGTTCGAGGACACAGCCCGTGCTCTCTGGGGAATCTCCCAGCCTGTCAGACCCTCGGTGACGGAGTTGATGGAAGGAGGACGAACAGGCTGGACCTCCTCCATGGGAGGGGCTACAGTCGTCAGAGTAATGTCCTCTTGTGTAGACGCCAGAGACGGGTCTGTCTCTAGCACCTGATGGAAATGGCACTGGCCACACTTCTCCATAGAAGAACCAATGCCGGGCATGGTGCTGGCGAGAAGGTAGACAATGCGTCGGGCGGCAATTTTGTCTGAGGAGACTACCACGGCCCGGTTAGTCAGCGTGCTCTCGTCGTTGGAGTGACGCAGACGGCTGTACTCGGCGAGAATCTGGTTGACAAAGCCGGGGTCGTACTGCTGCCGGGCCCATTTGAGCTCCTCGGCCACGTCCTTCTTTTGGCCACAGACTACGCGAGGGATACGGAGTCGGGACACAAACGAAATGCGGAAGCAGTTGACAGCGGACTTGATGATTTCGTCGGAGGAAAAGTAGGCTCTGGCAGCGTGGGCCAGACTCGAACTATGTTCGTTAGTAGGGCGTTTCTCGCGCATGAAGGTTGGCAGAAAGTCGCTCAGTTTATTGGACAGCAACAGTCTGAGCTCGGCAATGTCGCGCGAGAGATGCTGCCAGTGCGCTGGCAGCAGGTTGCGCCGTTTGTTGGGGACCGAAATGAACACCACCAGTGCGCAAGGGTACGACACGTTGGGAGTGATGGCCACCTTGAACAGCTTGGTGACGGCCACGGTGGTTCGGTCCAGATGCTGGGGCTGCGGAATGGGATGATGCTTGGTGACGATGCCCGCAAACCGCATGGGCGTGGATCCAAACGCCAGGTCCTTGAGCAGGTTCAAGGTGACGATGGAGTCCTGGAAATGGCCATCGTTAGGGATGGCTCGTAGGTTGAACGACGGCGACTTGTCGTGGGGCTGGTTGTGCGAGTCGTAGAGCACAAAGTCCGTCAGCGGCGAGTCGCATAGCAGCAGCACTCGCGCGTCTCGGTTGGGGTCAATCTCCGGATAAGAGATTGCCGACGGCCCGTACAGCAGTTGCCGCGTGTATGACTCGTCCAGAAACGACACTGGCGGGTCGTCGTGGGGCGAGTTGTGAGTGTGGTCCATCCAGTCCTCGATGGGACGAGATTTGAACAGGCGTCCGAGCATTCTAGGCATTAGTCATGGGTGTTGTGGGGGGGGGGGGGGGGGGCAATTAGTGGTAGAGGTTGTGTGTGTGTGTATGCTGAAGATGGGTCCTGGTGCTGTCTGTGGCTGTGTCGCTACGCTGTCTGTGCCTCTCTGTCGCTATGCTTCTATGCTAATTCCCTGCTCCTGTTGTCCCTGGTTGTGTTCTGGCTTCTCCTCCTGTGTTGGTGTTCAAAGACCTTCTTCCGTTGGTGAGCTTGGTGAGCCTGCATCGCCGCCATGTACTGCCGCTAGAGGAAGTCTGGGGTTGGGACGAATAATGGCCCACATGACATGTATGTGGCACAAATGTAACAATATGTAAAAAGTGCATGAGTGGAGTGCATGGTGGGGGTCGGGACGTGTGAACTGTGGGGCGGGCACGCGAGCGACCATCGCCGCGCTCCCACACCAACACCCGTCCTGTCCTCGACATCACCTCTTCATTGCTACAATACATAGTGTCACATTCACCGTGCTGCGGTGTCTCATGTCCATCGTCTCAGATGGAGAGACAAATAGGCTCGCCCACAAAGTTCCCGCCGCCTCCCATTGGCTACCACGCTTATCTTCCCAAATAGGAAATGCAAAACGAAAATAAGCTTTAGGTGGGATGGTGGGATGGGTGACAAACCAAGGGTCGTGGATAGTAAGGCGGAACGCGGCACCAGACAGAACAGACGGATCCACTAGTCCGGGCTCGAGATGCTGGGTCCCTGTCACTGTAGCGGCGCAAGGCCACCGTCACATCCACCATACACCATTGCCGCGTGTCATGTCTCACTCGCGTAACAACCCAAATAGGCAGCCAAACAGGTAGAGTGATATTATGGCGGCAAAGATGCGCGTGTTGCCACGGTGTAGGACAGAGACGAGGAGTTGCGCGCATCATGACGTCGGCGCACAGGTTCCCGCGGTATCTCCCCCCACTTTTGGCTGCTGTGTTGGATCACGGATAATGCACAGTTGGAGCTGGGGTTGGTCGATCCACTGGAAGATAGGGAGTGGTGAAGGAGATAGGGATCAGAAATTGCCGAATGAAGACATGGTGAAGCTGGTGGAGAAGACAACAGGATAAGAGCAGAAGTCGAAAGTCGAAACACAACGATAATAATGGCAGGCCACAGTGGCGGGCCACAGTAGCAGGCATCATAGCCAGCAGTAACAGCAGTAACAGGCCAGGGACAACAAACCAGAAGTAACAGACACAAGCCAGCAATAATCGCACAACAAACCGGCCAAATCGCACAACCAAACACATCCAAAGCACCCAAAGCACAAAGCACATCCAAACCGGATGCACACCACACACAGGCTAGCGTGGACACAGAAACCGGTGTGGTAAACACAAAAGACCCGTTACACGAATGGACGTTACTCAAATGGAGACATTTCGTACCGACCACGACTCCATCTGCCGTCTCGGCCACCCACTTGTCACACAGGACGTGACCAAACCATTGTAACGTGATCCACCACCCTCCCTCTCATCTCTCCTCCCTCCTCTCCTCTCATACTCACCTACTCGTAGGTATCGACAGTGTATTAGATGCGTGTAGCCGGAGCTGGGTGCGAGCCTTTGGTGTGGTTGAGTCTCGTACTGGTAATTACTTCAGTTGTGTCGGGCGTGGAAGTGAGGGTGGTCGGGGTATATAAACCAAGGATAATCCAGGTGCATAATCACTATCAAACACGCTAGTGGGTGGGAGTTTAATGGACTTTTGCTTTTTACATCAGACATCCATGCACCGAACTCAGAGAATGGCAGCAAAGATCGCCGGAGGGCGAATACAGCGACGAAAAGAACAGGTTGAGGCCAACTCATGACCTTCCCGAGTACCGTCTGAACCCGCTCTGGGCCCTGTCGCGGCCCCCACAGGGTCTCTGTGTGACACATGTTGCGCTCAACCCAACCTTTGGCCTCTCGAAACTAAAAAATGGCTCCTGTGCGTCTGGAACCTTTTTGTCAAATCCTAAATCCGGTCAGCAGGTGGTGGGACAGTGGGACAGTGGGACAGGTGGGACAGTTCGGCTCGAGGAGTTGGGGAGCTGAAACGCCACCTGGTTAACCCGGTCGTTATACCGCGCCACTGTGGCGGTGGAGAGTTGGTCTCACCGGAAAATGCTCCCGATTTAGGTGGTAGCAGAGCCAGTGAATATGAGAACGGTATGAGTACGAGTGAGTGGAGAAGAGCACTGTACTTGCACTTTCTGAACAGGTGTCCGACGAGAACTAGGAGAAGACGACTAGGAGAAGACGACTAGGAGAAGACGACTAGGAGAAGACGACTAGGAGAAGACGACTAGGAGAAGACGACTGAGGAAATGAGGAACATCGCCAATGACACCGCTTATGGCGATACGGGGGCCCTTGCACTGCATAGCTCAGCTTCCCTACAGCTCTAGAGTTGCCCGAGCCTGCTTGGCATCCTTAGCTACATGGTGGTACTGCTACATGGCAAATCAAGATACTGTCACCAGCCAATGGAACATGGCCAAATGTAACTACGGCTCTTGTACGGAACGTGGCGGTCACAGTTCGAGTGTGATGCGTTTCCGGCGCCTGGAATGCCCTCGAGCTCGCCAACCCATTCTCTACAGGTAACTTTGATCGACAACGTTGGATTATGTGAGACGAACAGCATAGGCTCCAAGGTTGCGTTTCGGAAAAACGTCCGAAACGGTATCCAGTTTGGAGGATGGGGAGGGTTGGTGGTATTCTATTGACTATAGTATACCAGCACAGTACTTGTTTAGTACAGCACTTGTCGCTGACTATAATGAGACTACACCCAACACGTATTTTTCACTCAACGGGGATGACTCAACCATTTCCACAATGCCCCATTCAGAACGCCGTACCGCCGGTGAGCCACTCTTGCGACAGAGCTCTATGCGTCCAGAAAACGTTGACGGCCTCTGGTTTTCTTTTTTCTCGCTGGTTTCTTTTTGTGGCGCCTTCTTTGGGCGCTCCAGCACCATCAGACCGACAGGTAAAAGACAAACCTAGTCTTCCTCGGAGAATATGTGAGGGAGATGGTCTTGGTCCCGCACTCGGAGAGGCTTCAGATGTACCAGAACCACGGGAGAGGATTTAATCGAATCTCCGCAGCAAGAAGATTCGATTTCCTTCTTTTTCTGACCCTTTAGAACCCCCAAACCCCCAGATGTCGCCGTCCCAAATCCCCGAAATTCGCTCAAAGTTTTTCATATAACTCAAGGTTGACAGAGAGCCACCGGCAATGTGTGCTTTTTATATCCCATACATGCCGGAAATGAAGCGATGCATGAGATAGCGACTGGAAACGCCGCCCGGTGCGTCGATAGCTCCGCTAAACGTCGGAGACTTGTGCCGAAAAGACACACATTTACACTCTCTTTTGGATCACGGCCAAAACTGACTCCAAAAGAGACGGCTTCTTTTACACCCTGAAGGGCTAAAGAGCGCGTGTTAAACACTCACAGCAGCAACCTTCACCGGCCGCGGTTCGTGTGTCTTACAAAGTCTTCGCTGTCTTACGGGATGGCGTGGTAGATTGCTTTAAGGAGAAATGTGGCGATGCTGATTGAGGACTATTGTCTTAGTTGCAAATTGATGCCACATTAAACTACTGTTATCCCTCAATATGGTACTTACTCTACAATACATTGACAATTATATGCCTACCCCTCGCTCCCTCATACAACCATATAACAATCCAGACATTGTTTGCTGAAGCACAAGACTCGAGTTCTTCAGTCCCCCCCTTTTGCTCTTTGTGGGTCCTTGTGCTCACCAGCATCCACCCGCTAAAGAAGTCCGTCCGGAATTCTCACGTCCCTAAACAAATCCACCAGCCGCTGAGGATCAAACGTAGCCTCTCCATAGTCAGAAGAGTTGGGAAGCTGCCTTAGCAAAGCATCAATCTTCTGAGGCAGGTTGAAAGGTTCCATCTTGTCGCCCTGGTCGTTTCCGTGAGAGGTTCGGCGAGCTCTCTTGCTGGGCCGCTCCGAGTCAGAATCTTCGTCGGTTCGCGACTTGGGCTTTTGCAGCATGTCGCATTGTCGAATGACATCAAAGTCCGAGGTAGCGAACCGGTCGGCAATGATGGTGATGGGCGACGTGTCGGGGTTGAGCTGCCGCAGACGGTCCTGCAGCTTGACCACACTGGTGATCTCGCCAAAGTCAGACTCAAACTTGATCATCGACTTGATGAGCGAAGCAGCGTCCGACGGACCTAGAAGAGGAATGGTTTTCTCAAACAGAGCCCGTGCGTTGGTGTCGTCGTGCAGAGAAATGAGAAAGTCGAGATAATGCTGAACGTAGGCTGCATTGGAACCGCAGTACTTGAGACCAAGCTCAAACACGTTGGTGGCAACCGTGGGGTTCTTGTTGTGGTGAAACTCCATCAGCGCAGACGCGACGTAAATGTGGTAGGTGGCAAACCCAGTGTTTCTGGCCTTTTTGAACACCATTCGGCCTGGCTTGATACCCTCAAACCGTTTCACGGCCTTCATGCACACCGAGTACGCAATGGAGATCTGGGTGTTGAGCTTGATGATCTCAGCAGTAGGCTCGGCCTCCGGATCGCCCTGAGCTTCAATTAGAGCCTGTCTCTCCTTGCCCAGAGACTCAATATGCTCATCGTAAATGGTTCGCATCTTTTCAGCATCGGCTTCCCGCTCGTAGTACTCGGCGAGCCGGAAAGCCAGCAGCGATGAGTTGGGGTTGAGAGAGAGGCCATCCTTGAGAAACTGCAGAGCCTCGGTCTTGAGCAGAGGGTCGTCAAAACAGTACTCAGCAGCCAGAAACCAAATCTCGGGCACAAACTGCAAGCTCATAACGGCCTGTTTGAGGCAGTACAGCAGCCGCTTGTTGGTTTCGGCCTTGTTGTCGGTACCCAGAGGGTTGCTCTTCTCCCAGTCGATCCATTTCTTCCAAGCTCGCACCTGGAACTCGTCTCTGGGCCCGGACTTGGGCACACTGCTTCGGTCCAGACCCCGCATCAGGTTCTCCAGCACCGTCTGGCACTGTCGGGCGTTTTGGCAGCTGCCAGACTTTTCATTGATGAACTTTCGAGCTGTGGCCTTGTTGAGCGAGTACTCAAAGTTGGTGTAGGCGGTCCACAGAATCGACAGGTTGTTGAGCGGGATGCCAATCGCCTTTCGGTATATTTTGCGCGTGAGGTCATTCTTCTGCTGCTCCTCCCAGGTAGTTGTAGCCGGCTTGGATTTGATGAAGTCCAGGTACTCAAACCACACATTGCCACTCTCTCGATCAATGCCGACATGGTCAAGGTAAAACTCAAAGGCCTTGATGATGTTTGTTCGGGCTTCAGTGATTTTGTCCGACTCGGAAGACAGCACGTTGACTCGCCGCACATAAGTCAGGTAGATGTTCCACAGCTTGAGGTTGGGCAGGCGGGTCAGACACCGCCCAAACAGCTGCTCCAGGCGCTTGAACTCGCCATTGTCCATTTCCAGCGTGATGTACTCGATCCAAATCTCGGCCGACAGCGGGTACAGAGCCAGAAACCGCTCGTAAATGTCCCGCGACTCGTCCAGCTTCTCCTTGCGCACAATCGTCGAAATCAGATCCAGCCACGCAGGCATGTCTCGGGGGTTGGCGGCGATGCGGTCCTCAAGAATGCCGATTGTGTCTGTGGCCAGTCGTTTTCGCTTGTTGTTATCTGGGCCGCTGTTGTTGTTGTTGCTGGTGGAGCTGGCTCCTCCTCCCACTTGGTTGGGGTCGCTGGGAGGGGGGATGGTAGTGCTTGCAGCCAAAGAACTGATAGCTCCATCAGGGATTCCGGTTCCTCCAACCGACCCTCCTCCAGCCGAGTCCTCCTCCACAGGCTCACTCACCGCTGCAGGCACATAGTCGTCATCTTCTGCGACTTCTTCAGACGGGTTCTCAGGCTTGTGTTCTTCCTTTTTCTCATCATCCCTCTGCTCCCCATCCTTGGGCTCGTCTAACACTCCTCCATCGCTCTTTGTGTCTGGTCCATCCTCCACCTTGTCCTCCTTGTCAATCGATTCAGGTTCGTCGCCCTGGTGCACCAGGGTCCCCGACTCGACGTTTGCGTTTGTATCTTCACCACTTTCTTCATTATGTGCCGGGTCCTTGGCAGCAGCCTCGGCCTCGAGCGCCAGCGGCTCGCCAGTGTTCATATCCGTCTCCATGTCGCCCGGCTTGAACGCCACGGCCGTAGGATCGTAATCGTCAGACATGTTGAGGAGTGACAGGGTCTGAAAAGTGCTGCAAGTAGTGTATGCGGATTTAGGTTGGTGGTTGTGTGTGGCGGCGGTGAAAAATGAGAGGTGGCATTAACGAGCGTTTGCTGGTGGTATAAGGCTGATTAGGGGCCATGGATTCTGTTTTTGGGGCTATTAGAATACAACTGGCTCTTTCAGCTAATCAATCGGATAACTATAGACCGAGTTGGATCGAGTCTCTGGAACGTTGCTATCCCTTGTAAACACCTAACAAACCCCCCAAAGTTAGTTGAAACTCCCAAGTAATAGCTGCGACTCCAGAACCCCTTCGATCGGGGACTTTCGGTGAGTGCTGGAAGGTGAAAAAGCATCCCCTCCATTTATGAGAGCTGCCTATGCGTATGAGGAAAAAATGGTTTTAATAAGTGTCATTTCAACCAGTTAAATCGCATATTTGAACAAGTACCATCTCCAGCCCCCCGCATCTCCCCAGTCACGGTCTCCATTGCACTAGAAGCGACCAACCAGTCTTCTAAAACACTACTTTATGCACAAACCCTTGCCACCACGTCCCACTTATCCGTTCTTCCGAAGATATTTATTAATTTCATTATTCTGCCCCACCCCGAATCGAACACACGCATCCACCCACCCACCTCCTACGATATATGAAAAGTAGTACATGCTGTAGTCTTGACGGAGTCGACAGACCAGCGATAGACACAGATACAACCAGCTGACCATCGTCGGAACAGCTCCCTCGTTATTGATTCACCTCTTCATCCAACACAAACGCGCCTGCACACTCACAAACCGAGTGTACTGTACTCACAAACTGGGTGATATGCTCATAACCTCTTAGAAAGAACAGTCTACAACCGCATTCTCATTCTCTCCCCGAAAATCATGTTCCGTCTGCACGTCTGGGGCCCCGTGTCCACCTCCCTGACCTTTTCCGCCCCCTGTCTCGCCACCATCTGGTACATGCAGCTATGTGATATCGACTTCACGGTAGTGCAGTCGTCCAATGAAGGTCTGGCGGGCGAGCTGCCGTGTCTGGAGACGTCGGAGAAAAAGATCGGAGGCGCCGAGTCCATCATTCGATACCTCAAGTCGCTGGGACACAACCTCGACGCCGATCTGACCTCGGACGAACAAATCAAAAACACAGCTCTCCTGGCCTACATGAGCAGTCTGCAGACAATCACAGAGTACTGTCTGTTTGTGGACGAAGAGGCGTACCAGAAGGTGACCCGGCCCATGTTCAACGAGTTCATGCCTTTCCTAATGCAATACAATGTCAGTGTACGACTTCGAGAACAGGCCAAGGACCGATGCTGTGCCGCTGGAATCGACACGGCGACGCCCTCGTGGGCTGTTTCGGCAACCAAGATGGCGTCCGAGTCTCTCACCAACCCCAAGCCCAGCATGGGTAAGCTCTACGATCAGTCTGTTGAGCGTGAAAAGCAGAAAGACGCCTCCAAGGCCGTTTCCAAGACGGTTTTCCGACTGCTCAACTCGGCCACAGAAATTTACACCGACATGATGGATACTGCCACAGCAAATGTCGCCAAAGGAAGTCTGTTCAGCACGGTTTCCACGTCAGATGTGTTTCTGTGTGCTCATCTGCAGCTTCAAATGCTGCCTGCGCTGCCTGACTGTGCTGTGGCCGGGTTGCTGAAGAGCAAGTTTCCCGCTCTGTTGCAGTACGAGGACGTGTTCGTTGAGAAGATTGGCAACAAGGACCTCAAGGTGGAAGGACCGCTAGGAAAGGATGCTCCTTTATGGATTTACCATTTGAAGCAGATTTTGGGGTGGTATTAATCAGCATAGTGCATCTACGTGAAGTACGTACTTCTAGATCCACTCAGTACATAATGTATATAATGAAGTTACACGGACAACTTCTGACCCTCTCCGAGCCTCCAGTAGCAGCACAGAAATGCCACTGCAAATGCTCCTCCTCCAGCCGACAGACCTACAAAGGGCCAGATAAGATATGGATCTCTCAGAGCCGGAGTGATACCTGTGGCGATGGCGGTGCTGAAGGCCGACATGAACAGAAGCAGAGACATGACGATTGATCGCATATGAGTCGGAGCTAGAGAGTAGGCCAACTCGTATGAAGTGATGGTGGCAAAGATTCCTGACAGAGCAGTGCATACGTACGGAAACACCTGCCACCAGATTGTGATTGGGGCTACCCCCTTGTTGCATCCGGTAGCATGGTATCCACAGGGGGAGGTTTCGTAGATTCTCCACTGGAGGATGGCTCCGATCATTGGTGAGCAGGCGCCTAGTATGAACCCCAAGAAGATTCTCAGCGAGGCTCGGAAGTTGATCTTGTAGCGTCTCAGCAGTGGATACAGGCCGTAGTTGACCATGGGGATGGCTACGATGATGGTGATGGGGTTGAAGTTGTTGAGAAGGTCGTTTGGAACTCCGTTGGTGATCATGGAGCTTCCCTGGGAGTTGGAGAGGGCTCCTATGCCGGTATCATTGAGAAAGTAGATGGGAAAGAAGAGAAAGAAGCGGGAGGCTTTGAGGGTGGACCACACGTCGGCCACAAACTTGTCTGGGTACGTGGAGGGTTTCCGGAGTATCGTCTGGTACATGACTCCAAAGAAGCCCGCAATGATGGAGTCCTCTGTAGGTGGGATCTTGTAGACTCTGTTTTGAATGAGGAAGAGGAAGAAGGGCAGAAAAAAGTAGAGAATTGTGGGAACCAGAAAGGCGAGCCAGAACCCGATACGTTTCTCGGCGTAGGAAGTTCCTAGACCGAGAAACGCCCCCACGTTGATGGACCAGTAGTAGACCAGGGTCATTCTTTGCAGGGTGGATTCTTTGTCGATGACCACCTCCTCCCCACTTGGGAGACGCTTGACCCAGTTGTCGTCTTCTCGGTACTGTTCCAGAAGAAGTGGCAGCAAGTTTGGTTTGAAGAGCCCCGTGCCGAATGCAAAGATGATAAGCCCGACGATAAAGACCCCTAGAGATGCCTTTTGGTGCTCGAGAACCCCCGGGATGGCGGCAATCACAATCACAGTGTGTCCAATACCGCAGATAACTGTTCCGGCCCAGATTGTGCGGAATCGCCCGTACTTGGAGTCGGCCAAGTAGGCTCCCAGCAGAGGGGTCAGATAGGACAAAAAGTTGAGAACAAGAGTGAGAGCCGTGGCCACTTGAAGACCCTGATCCAGGGCCCCGGCCGTCAGCTGAGAACCTCTCGGAGTGGCTCCCCATCCGTTTCCGCCCTTGGGGAGAGGAAACTGTACAAAGTTGGAGATGACGTTGGTGAGTCCGTAATACGAACCTCGTTCGGCAAACTCCACCAGAGACAACATGTAGGTCATTCCCGTGATGGGAGCAGCGACTTTTCGAAGTGTATGGCAGTCTTCGTCTGTGGCAATCCGGAGTCCGGCCCGGTTGTATTCATCCGAGTAACCAGACCATGTCTCGCTGTATCCCCCAATGACAACTTCCGAGTACTCCACGAGCCCCTCGTCTTTGTCGATTGACGGGTCGATCCCGCTGGTCTTCTTTTCAACTGATCTTGTAGAGGGAGAAGGCTTCATTGCTGTTTGAAGCTCCTGGCTGTGTCGGGGTTCACCAAAAGCCATGGTGACAATGATAGAATGAAGATACACAGCGGACCCCGAAAACAGCCCTCTTATAAACATAACTGTACCCTCGAGTAAGGCGTTATCTGAAGCCACATTATCTCTAACTGGCCGGAGCGTTTAACCGAGATAGACAATGTTGACCGGAGATGGAATGTACTTTTACGTACTCCAGACGAGATTGTGGGGTGCATACCAGTACATCTCCGGTATTGTCAGAGTCGATATAAGTGCTCTAAAAGCAGCAGTTTACATATTCTACTTCTGTTGTAGACATTCCTTGCTCTCTGGACGGATATGAACACTCCCCTGCTCCAGATCAACCCCCACTTTCCGACTAACAATGATAAACACTCCAAACCCACCGGTCGGAGTCCGCTGATAGACGCGGTTAGGTTTGAGCTACAGGTGTTATCAGCCACTCAAGAAGAGATAGACACGTTTCTAAACGTTCCTGGGTTCTAGCCGAGGCTCAAGGTATACGTTCCTGAGTTATTATCAGGGGCAGTCGCTATCTTGGGGGTCTCATAGTACATTTTTACGTCAACACAACAGTTGTCCGTGGTTAACGTCGTGATCCTGTGGAGCCTTCGCACTCAGCCTCCTGGGGCCCACTATGCCACAATGTCAATCACATCCTCATACACCTTGGCCACTTCACCCGTGGTCTCATCCCACTTGCTTGCAACCAACACTCGGCTGGTCTGGGCTATACTCTGCAGTCTCGTGGCCTCTGTCTGTGTTAATGCCACTCCCTCCAGCTTGCCCACCAACATGTCCTTGAACACCTTGTTCAGACCGTTCAACAAGTCAAACATGGACTGGGTGCCTTCGTAATGGGGCAGGTACGCGTTGTAGTCGTCTGCCAACCGCAGCAGGTAAAATGTCTGACCATACAGGGACGAGGTGTCAACGTTGCCAGGAATGCTGCTGTCCTTGAAATCAATGGTCTGTTGCTGGTTGATATCAAAAACAGGACATGCTTCTCCGGTGCCGGCCAGAGTGTTGTCGACGTTCTCAGACAAGGTCTTGTCCGAAAGAGCGTCGGGTTTGGGAGTCACGTCTCGTGAATTGTGTGCTCCTTCATCGTCGGTGGTCACGTCTCTCATAGGAGACCCCACAGGAGTACTGGACTCCGATCCACTTCCATCAACGCCGTCCTTGTACTTCTTGAGGGCCGCCAAACGGTCCAGATGATGCGATTCGGTGTTTGTTGCCGAGTAGTCCACTTGTTGGGCCTGTGTCTGCGTCACCGAGTAGGTGAGGATGTTGACCAGTTGGATCAGGTCGTGGTTCAGCTCATCCAGCGACTTGTAACCGCCTTCTTCGCCCGCCAGACGACGCACGTTTTTGCGTTGCGCCTTTTTGAGCTCGCCATCAATGTAGTTCCGGAACTTTTCCTGTTCTCTTTCCGTCACTATCCTCATTGGGTGTATCGAGTGTGTATGTGTCGTCGTGTCGTCGTGTCGCTGATATCGTCTGATCCAGTATGGCAATGGTCGCTCTTCGATCCTTCGTCTCTCTTCGATTCTCGGTCGATTCTGTCGTAGATCAACTGCCTGTCGCAATGATATAATAATGTAGTCACGTGCTATCAAGAGAACAACTTTCTCAATCTCTCTCGGTATATCGTCGAGGTGGAAGATGCTCCAAATGCACTGTCATGAGAAGGTTGCTGGGGAAGCAAGGAGGTGAGAGTGACAAAAAGTAAACGTCACACGAGCGGTTTCTGATAGTCACGTGACCACAAAAACAGGAGCGATTGATACACCAGCCCAGGACAACAAGGGAGTGTATATATTAGATCCTCTTGTCACCCGATATTTTCAGATATCTGCGTCCGCCTGAAGGCATGCAAGGGTGTCCATGGAGCTAAAAATAGTGCTAGTCGGGAAGGTGCAAGGTGGAGAGGTGGAGAGGTGGAGTTGTGGAGAGGTGGAGTTGTGGAGAGGTGAAGAGGTGGTGAAGGTGGTGACGAGGTGGTGAAGAATGCGTGGCTTCTAGTTTACAAACCTGATGTGTTTGCGTTGCATCAGTTTTAATAGGACTGATATTCCTTGCTAATTAAATTACCTGGGTCCATCAACTAAAGATCCTTTCTCCCAACTAAGAATTCCTTCTCTCAACTAAACCCAACTATGATGGAAAAGAAGAAAAGTGGAAAAGTGGACTAATTATCTCTGAAATCCCCATCCCGGCTGTTATTTATTCTAGAGGTCAATTCCCTGATCAAACTACAATACATAAATACACCAGTGCTCACGAGTGTTCAAGCACAAGTACAAGTGAGTAATTAATACTGTACAATACTTTTTCTTTTTTCTTTTTTCTTTTTCTTTTTTCTTTTTTCTTTTTTCTTTTTTCTTTATTCTTTCTTTTTTCTTTCTTTTTTTTTTTTTCTTTCTTTTTTTTTTCTTTTTTTTTTTTATTTTCTTGGAATATCCTCCCAAAACTTGTCTGTTCGAATCCAGTGAAACTCATATTTATTGTATTCTGAAAACACGTGTGATTCTCTCCAGCACGGCCCTACATCGACATACCCCTCGAAATCTCCGACTTGTCCTTTCTAGACTCTACAACATCTACAACCTCTTCACCCTACAACCTCCCACAACCACATGGACATGTTTTGATATGATTAACCATAGTCTAAAAACATGGCTCAGAAAACACAACAATAAATACATTGAAACCACCCACACAGTCAGCCAGTCTACCTGTCTACCAGTCTCCGTAGCCCTTCTCCTTCTTCTTGTCGCAGTTCTCGCCACCGCAGTTGCAACACTCGTCCTTGTCCTTGGCTAAGCTGGTACTTTTCAGCTCCTTGTCGTTTTTCTCACTAACCACCTTGTTTCCTCGAAACACCTTTCGGGGCTGCCGTTCAGGAGAAATAGATGGTGCTAGAGTCGTCTTGTTGTTAGCGCAAGAGAGAGAGAGAGAGAGAGAAGCTGTTTTCCCAAGTCACGTGACGTCCAACATTGTACTCACCATTTTTCGTCTTTCCGTCTTGTTGTGTTGTATCGTGTAGCCAACAGGTTGCTGTGTTGGGTCACACGTAAACAGCCTACACATGCACTCTGTGCAGTATCGTATGATCTGATTTGTCCTGCGGGAGTTATCAGATGAGGGTTAGGGCGGGAGTGGAGGGTTAGGGCGGACTTTTGGGGGAGGTTAGGGCGGACTTTTGGGGGAGGTTAGGGCGGACTTTATGGGGAGGTTAGGGCGGACTTTTTTAGGGGGTTAGGACGAGCTTTGTTGGAAGGTTCGTGAGTGGGGGTTGAGAAATGGCGGACGGCGGAAGCCCACGCTAGGAGAGCTGGTTTAGTCATGCGAAATGAATCCGTGTGATGTTGAATGTCAAATAACATCCGCCGGTTGCAGTAGTGAATATTCGGGTATTCGGCGTGTTGTGTCTTCTGTCGGTCGTTGTTGTTCTTACTGTAGACTGAGGCAGTGGGCTGCCAAAGGCGAAGGAAAGCGAGTGTGTTATGTGATTTAGAGGTTATGTATTTGGTATCATTTTGATCGGGCGGATGTCACAATGTTTCATTTCAGGTCGTTTTTGAAAAATATGAAAATTCGCGACTTCTGGGGTGAGACTTGAGGTCCAGACATGTCAGCGAGTTTTAAATGATTTCAGTAATGTTATTGGACTCTGTTAGGTGCCGTCTTTATCTTTTGGGAGCATTCCAAGTGGTATTACTGGGTTGAAGATGCTGTCCATACTCTCCTAAGATCAGAAGCATTTGGATAGCTCCAGATCAACTACATACAAGTCGGTGAATAAAATGAACTCTTACATAACAAAAGCCAAACGACTTCATTTCACTTGCTGGGACACGTTCCAATAACCCGACTCCTCTCCATCAGAGATCAGGAGTCTCCGCTGGAGGATTCGACTGACAACGCCTTCGTTGACCAAGTATCGGCTGAGTGAACTTGTCCTTCAGAATTGAAAGTAGTGGTTTGTCATCCGCATCAATGGTCTTTCAACACAAGTCGGTGAATCCCGATCTTTCCCTCTGGTCAGTCTGAAGGTATCACTAGAGACCGGGTTGAGGTATGTGTGTGTACAACGAATCTCTTTGGGGACTCTTGGATGTCAATTGACTAGATGTCGATTGACTCCCTTTCACCGTGGTTTCTATCCTTCCACCACGTAACTCCAGCTCTCGTGTAAAGGATATAAATACAATGAACTATATGTGCGGAACAACACGCGTCTGTATAGCTGGTTAGAGGAGAAATTTGAGTGAGTGGAGTTCATCTGGGGGTAAAATAGCAGGCTGGAAATCCGCCAGTTGGGTCAAAATCCCACATTTCCCGAGGATTCTCGAGATATTGACCGTTTTCGTGGAACAGTCTACTTTGTATGGTCTCAACGTCTCCAATCACGCCAAATCCTTTGCTGAAGACTTCAAAGACTCTTCCAGATTGTCGTTGGTCTTCCACTCCTCCAATCGCTGAAGATACACGTGATTGGCTTCAACCATGGCCTTGACTGCCAGAACGTACTTCTCCTTGGCCTCCAACATGGCTGTTTTGAGAGCAGTCTTTGCTCCAGCTCGTGTGATCTCGACATCAACCGCCGTCGCCTCGATCTTGATGGTCTTTGTGATTCTCTCCTCTTCTCTCGTGATGATTTTCGACACTATGTTAGTAGCCTGAGGGGAGGGTATGTCCCGAACCGGGAATTGTCGTTTGTACTCACTTTTTTTGGTGGGAATTGTGAATCTGGTGGTTGATCTCGCCGTTTGCCTCTTCTCAAGGGTCTCCTGTTTCTTCCAACTGGTCTTTATCGCCAGTATATGTCGTCTGTATGTGCTCAAGTCTGTCCGGAGGAATTTTCTGCACCTCCAATGCTCCCTGAAGTAACCTTAAATTAATCTCATCTAAGATAGTCGGAATATCAACTAAACCCGGCTCTCTTAACTATACCCTACTAAACGCGATAATGGGGGTCACAGCCGATAGACCCCATCTGATGATACACAAGAGTCATTGACATGAATCACTGACATGAATCACTGACATGAATCACTGACATAAATCACATATACCAAAGCCTTCAGAAGACACACACACCACAGACGCATGCCTGAATGCTATCATTAATCTCAATGCATATGAAGAAAAGAGAAAGAAGATGTTTCCTGTACTACTCTTTCCACCGACATGCTAGAGAAATGGCGATCGCACCATCTTATAGCTCTTCCTTTCCTTGATATAACGGTATATTTTTCAAGTCCCTATATCACCTCCTTCTTCTACTATCTAGAATACCAACAGACCCAAGCGAAACTCTACAGCCTCGTTGGTGCCTGTCTCCATTTAAAAGCTCAATTAATAAATATAAGAAATAACTACAGCAGTAGTTGAAATAAATATGCAGACTGGCTTGCAGAGACCATCCAGTGGTCATCCTCAGTCTATGGGTGGAGAGGTCCAGGTCAGACTCACCTGCATTGCTTCAACGCACTGGCAGCGCTCTTTGTCTGCTCACTCAATCTAGGAGTGCCTGCTCTTACCGAAGCCAAGTCGACTCTCTTGACCATAGTCACCACCCCTCCGCTTCTCCACCACACCGCCAGGGTGTTCTCATCCACCATGATCATCACCACAGGCACATACTCGGGATCCACGTAGTTGTGCTGGGCTACCTGAGCCCATCCAGAGTACGCCTTGCAGCCCTTGAACTGCTCCACCCCATTCTCCACCTCTGTAAAGTCGCTCACAAACGCAACTTCTCCACGAGGGATTCTCAAACCTCCCGTGATGTGGGTCGCGGTCAGCTGAGAGTTGGTCTGGTGAAGATTCAGGAACACAGGGCCGTCGTCACAGATACCCGGGGCCACAAACACACCTCCTAGGAACCCAAACCAGCTCTCCAGGCGGCCAAACGTCTCTGTCAAGCCGCCAGCTTCGTTGGAAGGCGTTCTAAATGGACACAGTCGTTTCCTGAGCCGAAAGAGGTTGTGGGAAGCATCCGCGAGACACAGAGGAGCGCCAGAAGACGGCGACACTGATGTGCGCTCAATCGAATGGCCCAGGGGAGGCCATAGCGAGTCGCGTGAACCGTAGTTGTTAGGGTCACGAGCCAAACTCATGTTTTCGCACCGCTGCACGGCGTATGAGATTTGTTCCGCTACTGCAGCGGGATGTAGTTCTCCCAGCTGGTCATAGTAAAGGTCTGGGGTGCAGAAGATGGACACTGGGGCCAGCTGAAGCAGAGGAGAGAAGGGCAACACCGTTGGTGAAGTGCCAGAGCTGGCTTCGACAGTACCAGCGACTGGAATCGCAGCTCCGGATCCCAGTTCGTGTCCCCGTCCGGGTCCCCGTCCGGGTCCCTCGTTGACAGGACCTCTATAGCCGCGATAGGTGCCAGCACTGGTTCCGCGATAACTTCCGTCGCTATTTGCACCATCCTGCCTCTGCTGGCACTCGGTCACCACCAGAAACTGCATACCGAAGCCCCCGCCCGTCACGTCGTAATATGTTCGCAAAAACGAGCCGAAAAGACCCCGGTCGCCCCACCAAACGCCATTCCCCATCCAAACGACATTCCGGTAGTGGCGGTGGAACCGCCGGTAGCTGTTGAAGGGCAGAAAGCTGGCAATGTGGAGCTTACGTAACCCTATCTTGTTGAGCACGTCCTGATCACGTGTCACGTCGTAGAAGAACTTGCAGCTCAGGTTGATTTTTGGCACGTCTTCGGGCTCCATCAGCTCGAAGATGTCGGTCCAGATTTCCGGAGGCAGCTTTTTCACACAGCAGCTGGTTCTGGTGCTTGTGGGGGTGGCCTTGTGTCTGATTGGTTCGTCCGACACTTCGGAGAAGGCTGTCGAATCGGACACGTCGGAGAAGTATGTGGACGACGACTCGCGTCGGTGTCGCGGTGTGTTTGGCGACTCCGGCAGACTGTACGAGAAGGACGTGGGGTTCATAGCAGTGTTGTAGAGGGAGAGTTGTCAAGTGGCGAGACTTCGATACAAGTACTGTTCTAAGTTAGTGTGGAGAGTAGTGGGAGTTTAGTTGGGACAAGGTTGTAGGAGTGGTGGATAGGGGTCGTTGGAATGGAGTATTCAGGAGGTAGAATGGTGGTATTTTTTCGATTGGAGGTGCTGGGGAGCTGAGTAACGGGCAGTCGAATTTTTGGGTCAATTGGCACCCTGTATCGTGTTTTAACGGAGTGTTGTGAGAGTAGGAGTAGGAGTAGGAGTAGGAGTAGGAGTAGTTGGAAATAGTGTTGGCTTTTTTTTATTATTTTATTTTATTTTATTATTTCTTGTTTTTCTTGTTTTTTTCTGTTTTTTTTTTTTTTTTCCTGTTTTTTTCTGTTTTTTTTCCTGTTTTTTTTTTCTGTTTTTTTCTTGGTTTTTGTTGGATGTAATAATGCTTGTGAAAAAACACGAGGGACAAATATCAGATATATTGGATCCAAAAATGGTACCATTTGGCGTCAAGATTCTCCTCTTGATCTTCTACATAAATTTCGTGTACTACTTGTAACTAAAAAATACATTAAATGGTTGAGACTAGCTCGATATGAGAAGTGAAGGTGAAGGTGAAGGTGAGCGGGAGCGTCACATGGGATAAGTGGCCTCGTAGATCATTCTCTCGCTGAACTCGACGTCTGCAAACTTGCCGCTCCAATGCTCGACTCTCTTGTGGATTCTCGGAGGATCAATCATCATCTGTCTCTTGTCCACGTTAAAGGCGCAGTAGAAGATCCAGTTGAGATAGGCACAGTGGTTTTTGAGAATGTTGACTCGAGCCAGCAGGTCGAAGGACCCGTAGTGGCACTGGTCGTTGTCTGGTCCAGCGCACGCATTGACGTATTCGATGGGGGCGTTGACTCCGTCTGGGTAGCTGATGTACACTTCTCCCAGAGTATGGGTATAACCGGACCAGAAGGGCACTCCCACCACGATGTCATTCCAATGAGTGACTCGGTAAAGACGTCTTTCAGGGTTGATATTCAGTCCGTTATCTCCCTGTTTGAAAAAGAGCGAGTCGGCGTAGTCCGCAAACGCCTTGTTTCCCACTCGAGGCTGTCCAAACGTGATCACCATAGGGTCAAAGCCGAGATTCTTCAGGTTGATGCCCATGAGCAGAGCAGTGGCGGCTCCCAGAGAATGGCCGGTGACTATCAGCTTGTAGTCTGTGTTGTTTCTAAGAAAGGCCACCAGGTGGCCCTGCATGTTCACCATGGTCTCTCGGTATGCCTTTTGGAAGCCGTCATGAATCTCACAATCGGGGCAGTCGACTCGGGCCGAATTGCTAGTGGAGTTGATGTTGGTGGTGTTCAGAGGCGGCAGATCGGCCAGGTAGGGCTCCTGGAGAAACAAGGCGTCGGTGATGGCGTCTGCCAGAGAAAAGGTGCCTCGGAAAACAATGTATTTCTCTTTCTTAGTGTGATCGTGGGCCAGAAAGCCGGTTATGGACGTGGAGAAAAAGTCGCCTCCAAACTGGTGTTCCAACGTCACGTTGGGAAAGTGACCGCAAGATCTTCCACAGGTGAAGTCCGTCTCCAGTTCGTATGGACCGGGGGCCTTGACACAATAGGCCACATTGGAGAGTCGTCCGTACTTGAGAACGAAGTCGTAGGTCGACTGCGTGATGTTGGCTGTTTGAGCGAGGGCCGTGGTGACAAGTAGAAAGATGGCAATTAACGAGAGCACTTTGTTAGTGCGGAACGATTGACGAGATGGAGGAGCTATTCAGGCAATTGTAGACAGCTCGTATCGGCTCTAGTGGACATTGGACCTATACCAATCTCAATCTTGTGTTTGCGAACTTGTGCAAACTTTCCAGTCAATACTCACTTTTGAAAGAACGTGGCTGCTTCAACGCCAGATCTGATACCCCCTTCACATCTATATACTAGTCTATTTGGCTGTTCCAGATCATCTTCCGCGGGCTACCGGGGCATATTCGTCTTGTACACCCCTCAAAGCTAACTCTGACTGGCGCAAGTGGGGATTAGAGTTGAATAGTAGGTGGGCAATACTCCCCCGCGACGATGAACAGACTTTGCCGGTGGTCTAATACAGCCCTGCGGTAGCTTCCGCCTGCTGCTGTGTACCTCCCTGTACCTGCAGCTAGGTGGAGGGTTCCGGGGAGTGGTGAAATGGGGGATGTAGTGGGCCGATTTTGATTTTGAAAGTTGCAATCAACTCCCATACAACCGAACAGTGGGGTGTGGGTTTTTCATGGCTCCAAGGTCTCTCAAATGCCGAGATTGAGGCTTCCAGAGACAACCCCTCGCTTCCCCACATCGCCAAATTAAGCGAGAGTTTAATGCGGAACCTAAACTGTTGATACCATGGAACCAAGAGAAGAGACTTGCAAGTACTAACAAAAAAAGCTCAGACACAGGTGAGACAAGGCGGGGGTTTGAATATGGCAATGCCGCACCACCCTTGCAAGTCCACTGGCAAAAGGCGTCAAAAACGGCCTAGCGAAGAACAAAGGCGCTGCTGGACGTTGGAAGCCACCGTTTACAACTGTCAGTGGAACCCCAGAGGAATGACACATTGGAGACGCTGTTTTTTTACGTAAAAGGTAAGTCGTGGTGATGACGGTGTTTTCAGCAGCAGCACAGATACGGGCTTTTTGGAGCCTATGAAAACTGTATTCGACGTCAACAGAAGACGTGCGGGGAGAGAGATCTCGTACATACCGTGATCATATGGTCTCGTCGGTGCTGTATACGGTCTGCGGTGCTTGTCGTTTCCCAAACTGTTGAAGATCAATCAAAAAATCAAAAGCCATGCCAACTGTCTGACACATGTACATAGTGTACTGTGGATTCACAATCGCCCATGCGCGGAAAACGTTTGGTACAGCGACAGGAGTTCAAAGTCGGGAATATGGACTCTGACTACAGTGTCGAGTAGGAGAAAGTGTGAACAACTCTGAGTTGATGTGAAACAATATCAAAGACAAGTTATAACAGCCAAACTGCTCAATTAAGACGTGATTTATGATTGTCGTTGACAGATAAACATCGTCGGCCTTGTACGTGGTTCAGGGGTCTAAACCCGGGAAAAAATCCGAGTCCTCGAGTTATTGAATAAGCCCTTACAAGTACAATATGTACATATATATAGTACACTCGGGTACGTGCCTGTACGGTATGTACTTACAGCTATCAAACGAGAGTGGCTGCATGATTGAGGGCAATGAGAGGTTTGTCGTACCCGTTATTAGGACAAGATGGCACTTGTACAACATCTCCAGATCTGATCTTGTTTGGTATCAAAATGACCCTTGGAATCTCTTATCTGAATCGGTTCTACTTTCATTGCCCTCAAGGTCATGTAAACACCTGTTTCGTATCCACCACTGCAACGGGCCTTTTTTGGATCTGAAGAGTTGCTCTGGTTGTAAGGGATCCATTCCTACACGTGCAAGTGCAAGTACTGTATTTTACGGCAATTTCCAACTCTTCATTGATGACAAACCACGTCTTGTCTCCACACGTGGCTGAGTAATCAACGCCAATAAGCGCGCGGTGCACCAGCATGCATATCTTGTGTGTTGACGGTTTTAGGGGAGCTAGTTTGGACTCACATGGACCAGCACCCTGCAACAACACCAAATCCCATTCTTGCGCGGAATTCATGTCTGAGAAAACTTGGAGCAACGACACAATTTCGATGAACGACAAGCAGGTCCGGGTTCTGACCCTTAATTGCTGGTGAGTGCGACAAGAGAGATGGAGGAGGAGGAGATGACGAGGGGCCGGGCGGAGGCGTTCGAGGGACTCCAAGGAGCAGGAGGAGTGGCAGCCAAGATATCAATGACAATCTCACGTGATTCAACACGTGATCAACGTGAATGGGTGGACTAGGACGTGTAAGGCTGTGTTGTGATACGGCTGGACACTTGTTCTGAGACAACTGCTCCTATGTGGGTGGTATCCCCAACACGCGAGGTGTGGCGCAGAAGCTGGTTTAGGCCAACATTTCTTTACAGCTACCGCTCTCCAACCTCCAGTAATGATCTTCATGCCAGTCTTCCGTGGCAAGTACCCAAGCAACTGTTTTCACCCTGGTGTTGTCTACGTTCACTCTAGGCGAACCCCAGCTGACATTGTAACTTGCTCCGGCCAGTCTTTCCCGTACTAACTCAGGGGCCTAAAACTCGTTTCCAAACTCCGACCTCTCCGTTTGGAAGCCATTTCCGCCCAACTCGCCCAAGACGGCGACTCCTACGACATTGTCTGTCTTCAAGAAGTGTGGGTGGAGTCTGACTTTGACCAGATCAAGAAAGCATGCGTCGACCACTTCCCCTACACAAAATACTACTACAGCGGAATTATTGCCGGTCCAGGACTGGCCGTTCTGTCGCGATGGCCCATTGAGTCAGCCTACGTCCACCGGTTTGGCCTCAACGGCCGCCCCAGTGCATTCTTCCGAGGCGACTGGTATGTTGGCAAAAGTGTTGCCTCCGCCACCATTATCCACCCATCCAACCACCGCATTGAGATCCTCAATGCCCACATGCATGCTCCGTATGGCCCTGGTGATGCCAATTATACATGTCACCGAACTTCCCAGGCTTGGGAAATGGCTCGAATCGCCAAACGGTCCATGGACGCTGGTAATCTGACCATAGTCACCGGTGATCTCAACTCCCGACCGTCGTCGCTGACTCACCAGCTCTTTGAGAACATGGCGCTTCTGCAGGACGCGTGGGAGAGCCGACACGGAGAGTTTTCCGGCGATCTGAGCGAAATGACACCCGAGCAACAGATCGAGGAGGCCGGAGTCACGTGCAACTCGCGGCTCAACTCGTGGAGAGCGTCCCGGCCTCTGTCGGACGCCTGCCGGCTCGATTACATCTTCTTTGACCCCTCCAGAGCTACTGTCCGAGAGGCTCGAGTGGCCTTTACGGACAAGATTGAGGGCGGATGCAGTGTGTCGGACCACTTTGGCGTTTCTGCAGTTTTCGAGCTGACTCCTCAGGACAAATCTCGGCACCGAAAGGTGTCTTCTGCCACGCTGACGACCATGTTTGACGAGTTTCTCGCGCTGGTGACAACATACAAAGGCACGTCAATCACTCAGGCGCGGGTCCGAAACTGGCATTTTATGGCGTCCATTCTGGTTGTTATCGGGCTTTTGGTGTCCGTGTGGTGGGCGGCAGCTGATAACAGAGCTTATGTGGGTTTCATCTACATTCTGGCAGCCGTCGTCATTGCCGTAACAGGCGTTGTGGACGGTCTGATTGGATACTTGTTTGGAAATACCGAAATGAGAGCCCTGCTAGAGTTGGAGAGCGAGCTGGAGCTGGCCAAGCGGATGTTGGCCAAGGAATAGGACTGGCGGACTGCTGGAGAACCAGATTGTGCAATGCAGGATCCGGTGCATACCGATTATGGTACCTGCAGCGGAGGATAGTCATTGAAACATGTGTTTCTAGTGTGGTGCAACTGCTCCACAGTCCGTACAGATGAGGAGAGCTAATAACAGAGTCAAGCGACGACACACTTCAAAATAATCAACAACAAATAATGAACGAGAGCAAAAGCTATTGCAGTATGTGCACCTCTGGCTTTACGTGCAGAAACCGTTGGGTGCAGTACCGGTTGTTGAGTGGCGATAGACGGCAGCTCAGGCCATATTGGATGGGAATGTGAAAGTGGGCATCATGTGAAAGTGGACCAAATGGCCAATTTGAGCTACAGTACCAGTAGTCTGAGGCCTGAGAAATCTTACCGTATGGCCGATGTATATATATATGTACTAGTAATGATCTTGAGTGAGTTGTTTAGTGTGTTTTGGATTGGAACGAATGTGATTGTTAGTATGATTAATCAGCAGAATATTTGGTTAGTAATCATCAAGAAGGGCGTACGACGGACGTAAAACGGACATACAACGGGGAACAGCAGGACGCTCTGTGTGGGCGCGATTAACGCGCTTTTCACGTTGGCGACGGGCGGTTCCACGGATGGGCACGTGACCAATTTTAAGGTTTATGTACATATACGACAACGATATGTAGCATGTGAAAAATGTTTTTTTTAATTTTTTAATTTTTTTTAATTTTCTAAAAAGTAAGAGGTCAGCCCGATTGCATTCTGTACCTGATGGATACGGGCCCATTCCGAGCTAGAGAGGTAAACAGGAGGGTTCAGGTGGCAGTGGGTAATTTATGAGGCTTGCGGTGCGTTATATAAGTCGTTTTTGGGTGTTTTCCCATGAGCTTTACAGATGATCTTCGGACGATCATGTCATCACCAGAGTAGGACCAGCAGATCGGAGGCCGTTTGGCCCAGAATGGGGTTCGTTTCGGAGCCAGTTTTTCCGGATCCGCACCACCGACAGTTTTAGTCGCCGGTGGTGTGAAAAAGGAGTTTGGAAGGGTGGCAAATGTACAGAAGAAGCCCGCAAGGGAGTGTCTTGAATGTGATTGTGAGGGTTGGCGGCGGCAGAGTTTGCGGGTGTTTGTCATGGAGGAAACTCCAGGGTCGATTCGGTTGCTTGTTTCGAACCGACGGGCACTGTCCAGGTGGTATTGCGGCCGGTGATATCGTTCCACACGCCATCCTGGGGCGGTGGAGCGGGTCGGGTTGCCGCTGCGCCGTCACAATATATTTCCTTCATTAACTTGCAGGGCGCCGCATGTCAACGCACCCTGCACAAAGATGGGTGGACTGTTAGGGCATATTGTACGAGCAAGTGGGTCGGACTTGTACTTGTAGTTAATATATCCCAATATATCCCCGGCAGCTTTCTGATCTCCAAGATGCACAACAACGATCCCACAGCGTATCCGTCGATTGACGGCTTGGTGAGTGTGGTGAAGAGGGGAGGAGGGATGGAGGGGTCCGTTATTCAGGTTTTCAGGTGTTCTGGTTTTCTGGTTTTCTGGTTTTCTGGTTTTCTGGTTTCCTGTCGATTTTGGTCCATATTGCCATGTCCATTATACCATCATACTTGCTACTTGCTTGTACTTCACTCGTACTTGCACTTGCACTGTACTTGCACTTGCACTGTACTTGCACTTGCACTTGCACTGCACTTGCACTTGCACTGCACTTGTATCAAGTACCGTTCGGACCAGATCAACCTCGGCAAAATTTAATTTGAAAGTGCGTTCGACAGGTGACCTGGCCAGCCGGAGGGGACGAAAAAGGGCGCTGAGTCAGCCACAAGCCGTGCCCCGCGGCTCCTCTGCCGTCAGCTTCAGCCTGGACTGGCTCAGGGCCCGTCGCAACGTCTACTACAAGTACAGTACCGCGAGGTTCGGTCTGTGCGGCTGACAGCATTTTTAGCCCGTGCAGCAGTATGTAGGTACGGCCTACTATACTACACGTACGAGTGACAGACACCATCTGGACTAGATACAGGCGCGAGAGATGTCAAGGCCGAAACCAAGAATCAGATGATGCCAGACTGCCAGTAGAGACCGCTGGAGACTAGACCTGGAACCCCCAATCAGAGCTGTCACCGGGCTCCACTTACCATCTGCAACTCCTAAGGTTTCTTGAGAGACTTTCTGAAGAGCTACAAGGGTGGACCGCTTTCATCTTCATTCACTAACCAGAGATGAGCATACCAAACGATACAGACGAGCAAACGGCGCGGCGGTTGTCGCAACCGACGCCGGACGTGAGTCTTGCGGAGGCACAGACGCCCTATTTCCACCTGAATCTGGAACCGGCCCAGAGTGAGCCGGCGGCAATATCTCCTACCACCAGCACAGACACAACGGCAACTGCACGTCCGAATCTGGGGCGATCGCGGTCGCGAGAACGACCGGCCAGCATCATCAGCCGACGGACGTCCACGCTCAAGAAACGACACAGTTTCCTGCCGTGGCTCAAGAGAGACAGCAAGGGCGAGGAGGAGACCGCCAACATGCCCACATCCACACCAGCAGACTCGTCGTGGAACCAGTCCAAACACAAACAGTACCATCTGCAGGCGCGAGCGTACCACGACCAGCGCATGTCTAAGGCCGCCAGCACCGCGCCGGTCAGCGGAAACTCGTCCATGGGCGGCTCTCCCATTCCAGGCACACCCACTTTCGACAAATACAGCATGGTGCCCCCCACCAGTGACGCGCCTCTGCCCGTGGGAAACCAGATTCCGTCCGGAACGCCGTCGCTGGCGCCATCACGCAGCAACTCACGAACAGCATCCTTCAGCGGCACTCCAGGAGCCATGACGCCAAATACACATTCGGGCAACTCGTCAGCGTCCCAGTCGAAGCGGAACTCGTTTGTGAGACGGCCCTCGGGCTCCGGAGGACTGGTTTCGCCCGACGACGCCGCCATAATGGGCCCACCACGCGAAGCAATGCCAGTGGACCCCAACCAGCATGTTTTGGAAGCGGTGGCCAAGTTTGGAAATGTGGCCAGCAACTCCAGTGGGCATATTGCCTGTGGCATTTTGAGATCTCTGTCCTTGACGGGCAGTAAACCGAGGTCGAGGACCGGCTCGGTTCCTACAAGCATGGTAGGGTCTCCCTTGATGAGTCCGAGTACACCGGGTACTCCAGGAGCCATGACTCCAATTGGAAGCAGTCCTGATCATTTGTTGGCGATTCAGGATGTGCTGAGTAGGGTGAGTAAAACCAGTCGTCTTCTGAGCGCGTCACGTGTTTGACTATAATTTTGGGAAGGATTCAACCATCGACGACTCTGTTTGGTGTAGTAAGGGATACTGTCTTCTACAGTTTACTACTCTCTACACATTGTTGTAGATGGGCGAGATGTTTTAATGAGTGACAGAGAGAGCCCCGTTCAGGACATCGGCTTGACGGGTTGGAATTTTGTCCGCCGTGCTCCGCTGTGAATTTCAGTGGTGGTCGGTTTCGGAATGAATTTTCCCCTTCAGAAAAGTGAGATGATTAGAGACCTGTTTACGAACGACTGTCTGGAGATTTCGAGGTGAAATTTCGAGGTCCGTTCTTGACTGAGACACACGACCACCTCGACATCGGTGATACAACTGAGCACACAAGCGACCACGACGATACGAAAGGCTTATTACGACAGGCTTCAACTGAATACGACCTTTTTGGGTGAACGTTTAACGGAGGGTGGCTGTCGGTGGTGCGATTGTTTGCGCAACTGAAAAAAAAAGCAATGCCGGGGTTCAGGCCAATGTTCGTCTGTGGCCAGCCAAGTGGGTGCCAAGCGGATTTGCTGCAAGATTTGCGCTAATCTGGCATCTGTCCGTTGAGCAACAAACCCTGTGGTTCTCGGAATTGCTCTTTTTCGCCGGTTCCGTCTTCCGCGTGCTGCGCTGCACATTGCTATTCCAGGCATACATTTTATTTTGCCCAACCGACGACATGGATTAGGCGGGCGGGGTCACGTGACAAACTCTGTTGGCCACCCATACAGTGGCAACTGCAAGGTTTGGCCTCGGCACCTGCAGTTTAGATTGCTGCCCCACTAAGTGTGTGCGTGCATCTGGCAAGTGGGCCGTACCACCGGTAGCGTGGGGCCAATGGTGGAGTAATTACCAGTTGTGAACTGCGGGCGATTGAGTGGTTGGGGTGGGTGGTGTGGCACATGAGCCTTTCCGTCGGTGCTCTCATCACCGCCCTATCACACCACCACCAATCACACCTGACCCTTCAATAGAGTTCAGGCCCATTTAATTACTCAGACGCCGTTTTGTTGAATGCACCCGTACCCTGCAGCAGCACCATCTGCATCGCTCTTAACGCACCCCGCCCGCCTACTTATAGACATACACGCCGTCGACAGATCCGCAAAACAACGACACGGACTCTGACAACGCCACCCCTCCAACATACACCATGCTCTCAGCGTCGCAGTTCCTCAAGCACCGGGTCTCCTGTCTGCCCATGCTCAACAAGGTGGAGTCAGATTCGACTGACGGAGACCCCGATGACGCCTGCCAGCATCCTCACGACTGCAACATCTTCTCGGTGTTAGTCAATGGTGCCACAGACCGATTGGAGGGTTTCTTCGACGAGTCGGACGAGGAGGACGGTGATGAAGTCGAAACACCCTCGACCACCACCACGGCAGTCTCGCCTTCAGCGACCATGTCGGCGCCGTCGCCTACAGCCACCGCCCCGACTCCTCATTCAGGCACCCATACACCCAAGTCGCCACTGCACTCAATCTCGCACTGCCCATCGTTCAATTCGGTCGCCCAGGCGCTGCCTCACTCTCTGTCGCCTCACTCTCTCTGTCACACTTCTTCTCACGAAGCCAGCCGACGCGGCTCGGCTGAACAGGTATGCTTACACACCCACAATTGAAGACTTGTTCTTACTAACACAGCCCTCCCGAACACAAAGCGAGCTTGCTCGTCGAATCAAGACGGAAAACATTCTCAACTCGTTCCACGACTCTCTGGAAGCCGCCTACGAAAAGTGCCATGGAGGAGCCAACCCTGAGGAGCATCAGTCTAACAAGACCGAGTACTTCCAGCAGAAACTCAAGGGCTTTGCGGCACTGGACGTGGACGAGCAGTTGATTGCAGACTACCCCGTGTGGTTGCTCAAGAATGTGCTCATCCAGGGCCATCTGTACATCACCGCCAAACACATGTGCTTTCTGTCGTATCTTCCTCGACGTCAGAATGCCAACATTCGCTCGGGTACCCTGGTCAAGGCTCGAAAACGGTCTCTTCGAGAAGGCACTCGATACTGGTGTGTGCTGAAGAACGACTCCTTCTCCTACTACCCCGATTCCACTGACGTTTACTTTCCTGCAGGTACAATTGATCTGTCTGAGGCCCTTGCAGCTGAGCTGTGCGATGACGAAGGCGACGTGACCGAGCCTGAGTCGTTCCGAATCGTCATGCCCAAGAAGTCGGTGCTGTTCAAGGCCGATTCTCACTCTGCTGCCCACGAGTGGGTCAAGGCTCTGCAGAAGGAAATCTTCCGAGCCCACAACCAGGGCGATACAGTTCGTATCGTTATCCCCCTGCAGAACATTGTCGATCTGGAGAAGACCAAGATTTTTGAATTCGCCACCACCATCAAAACATCTGTGGTGGAGTCCAACGAGACGTACGCCATTGACGAGTACATTTTCACCTTTTTCAAGTTTGGTGACGATGTTCTGCGAACACTGACAGAGAATGGTGTTGAGATTAGCGGCGGAAATTTCTCCCCACGACAATCTCAGCTAGCCGTGGGACACAAGCACGTGACTGAGTCTGTTCGAGATTCCACGTTGCTCCATGCCTCTGGCCACCATCACCATTTCTTCCACTCGGCGCATCATGAGAGTGATGGCAAGTCTAACAGCAAGAGCCATACATCCTCTAGATCTCACACTCCTCGTAACCTGACACCCCAGGTCACTGGTGAGCAGCCTCACGAGAGGGACGAGAAGAGAGACAGCAAGCTGCCTCGTTTGCCGAAGTTTCTGCGACGGTTCAAGGACAAGGTGGATGACAAGTGTGACGACAAGCCCACACTTGTGCCTTCATTTCTCAAGTCGCGAGCCTCTTCTCGTCGAAACTCCGCCGAGGGAAGTGACCGACCCAATCTGGCCTCCCAGCGAACCAGTTCTTCCACTCTTTTCCCCTCTGCCCCTCCTACTCCTGGATCTCAGCCTACCACTCCTGGAGTGCATGCGCCTGGATCGTCGACCCCGGGTGGGAGCTACGGCACCACGACCCCCGGAACTCCCGCCTCGGCCGACTCGGTGTCTCTCGCTGGCACCCCCGGCGTCGCTGCTCCTGTGGGCGACATTGAGGGCCTGAATGGCAACCCCATGCCTGCTGGTATTGCTGCCGAGCTCAAGGAGAAGCGAAAGAGCGGAGGCGCTACTTCTTCAGGCGCTGCTACCGGTGCCACCACTCCCGGTGGCGCTGCCGCTCCTGGTTCTACTGGAAACTCTTCTCCTGGCACTCCTGGTGGTCTTGGAGGCCCTGGAGCCGTTGGAGCCGGGGGCCCAGGTGTCATGGGAGGCGCTGAATCTGCGCCTGCAGGCACTGTTCCTCAACAGTCTCATCACGCTGGAATTTCTGTAGTAGCTCCCCACGACCCTGCTGCTGCTGCTGCTGCCGCCGATGCCGCTGCTCCTTTCACCAGAGGCCCTGGTTCTGGCATTCCCGAGATTCAGGACGACTCTGACTCGTCCGACGACGACCACTGGGGCCATATTGGTACCGCGGAGGTCGACGAGGACCCTGAACAGGACACATTCAAGAAGAAGAACAAGCGTTTCTCCACGCTGTCCAAGGTGTCTGATCTGTGGTCTGGATCCACCAAGCACTACGGCAAGCACCACACCGAGCGGCTTGGAGATGATGACGACAAGCATCTTGCTTCTGCAGAAGAGATCACCGAGTCCAACGAGCGATTCCAGAAACGGTTTGCCTTGGGCACTGAGGAACGTCTGATTGCCTCGTACCACTGCCATCTGCACCGAGGCGGTATTCCGACTTACGGTAAGATGTATGTGTCCACCAACTACGTCACTTTCCGGTCTTTCCTGCGAACCAAGACGCTTATGATTGTGCCTCTCAAGGTGGTCGAGAACGCCACCAAGGACTCTGGCTTCAAGTTTGGCTATTCTGGTCTGGTTTTGACCATCCAAGGCTACGAGGAGATATTCTTTGAGTTTGCCTCGGCTTCTCATCGAGACGACGCCGAGGTGATGCTGCTGCGTCAGCTGGACATCATCCGACCCCATATCAACGATGATATCAAGTCCGACGACCAGTACATGTTGCAAAGTGCCCGACTGTGCACTTATGAGGACGCTCTCAAGGCTGAGGCTAATGTGGAGATGCCTCCTGTCATTATTGACGGTAATTTGGCGTCGGTACTGCCTGGTCTTGTCACTCCTCAGTCCAAGATGCTTTTCACTTTGTTGACCATTGGTTCAAGAGGAGACGTGCAGCCTTACATTTCCCTGGGTAAAGCCCTGATCGAGGAGGGCCACAGGGTGCGAATTGCCACGCACTCCGAGTTCAAGGACTGGATCGAGGGCTATGGCATCGAGTTCAAGGAGGTGGCTGGTGACCCCTCGGAGCTCATGAAGATCATGGTGGACCACGGAGTCTTTTCCGTGTCTTTCCTGCGAGATGCTGCCTCCAAGTTCCGAGGCTGGATCAACGAGCTGCTGGCGTCTTCCTGGGAGGCCTGTCAGGGCTCTGACGTGCTGATCGAGTCGCCTTCAGCCATGGCCGGCATCCATATTGCCGAGGCTCTTCAGATCCCCTACTTCCGAGCCTTCACCATGCCCTGGTCTCGAACTCGAGCTTACCCTCATGCGTTTATTGTGCCCGACCAGAAGATGGGAGGCTCGTACAACTACCTGACCTACGTCATGTTTGACAATGTCTTTTGGAAGGGTATTTCTGGCCAGGTGAACCGATGGAGAAAGAAGACGCTGCACCTCCCCAGAACCAATCTGGACCACATGGAGCAGAACAAGGTGCCCTTCCTATACAATGTGTCGCCTGCAGTTCTTCCTCCTCCGGTTGATTTCCCCGATTGGATCAAAATCACCGGCTACTGGTTCCTGGATGAGGGTTCCAAGGACTACACTCCTGATGACAAGCTTTGTCGGTTCATGGAGAAGGCTCGAAATGACGGCAAGAAGCTGGTGTACATTGGTTTCGGCTCCATTGTTGTTTCTGACCCCACAGCGCTCACCAAGTCAGTAGTGGAGTCTGTTCTGAAGGCAGACGTTCGATGTATTTTGAACAAGGGATGGTCCGACCGTTTGGGCAAGAAGGATGCGAAGGAGCCTGAGATTCCCCTTCCCGAGGAGGTTCTCCAGATCACAAACTGTCCCCACGATTGGCTGTTCCCTCAAATTGACGCCTGTGTGCATCATGGAGGTTCTGGAACCACGGGTGCCGGCCTTCGAGCAGGTCTGCCCACCATCATCAAGCCCTTCTTTGGTGATCAGTTCTTTTACGCCAACCGAGTGGAAGATCTTGGAGCCGGCATCCATCTGCGTAAGCTCAACGTTTCGCAGTTCTCCAAGGCTCTATGGGAGGCTACACACAATGAGCGAATCATTGCCAAGGCTGCTGCTGTTGGCCGTCAGATTCGATCTGAGAATGGTGTCATTAGTGCCATTCAGGCCATTTACAGAGATCTGGACTACGCCCGGTCTCTGGTGCAGAAGAAGCGAGGCTACACTCCTACCAGCGACAAGGAGGAGGAGACGTGGACTTTGGTGGACGACATCGAGAGACAGATGCAGGACGAGGTTGAGAAGCATAATCTATAAGGAGGAGGAGGAGACCCATACAAATATTTATCAATTCAATGTATTTATGATTAGAGCAGTGTGCTACCGTCTACGAACTTACAGAAGTACATTACTTAATAACTAGGCAAAGAATCTAAAGTAATTAGTTCATCCTCCTACTGGAGAGTAAAGGACTCGATGAGAACAAAGTCTCTGGAGGAGTTGCCGACGTAGATCTTGTACTCTCCTCTCTGGACTCTCCAGCTCTGGATGACCACGTCCCAAACAGCCAGGTCTCTCCACAAGATGTCGTAGGAATTAGTTTCGAGTTCTCCGACGTCCAGAACCCGAGTCTTGTCAAATCCCCGAAGTTGAATGAGAGGCGAATCAATGTCGTCCTGAGGGAAGGCAATGTACATCTGGGTGACTGCGGCTCCTGGATAGGGACCGAGGTTTCGGATGGTGTGAGACACGGTGGCGACGGTTTTCCAGAGAGATGGGTTTCCTCCAACTCCTCCGGCGGCGTTTGTTGACGTCCCTGTTCCGTTGGCAAAGTGGAAGGGCTCGGAGGTGTTCTTCATTCCAATGGTGGTTTCAACGGCGGTTTCGTTGGAGGTGCTGACTGTTTCAATTTCATCATCGGCAGCATCCGACTCGGTGTCTCTCTTGGTCTTATCGTCAGACTTGGAGTCCTTGTCATCATCGCCAGTCTCGTGCTTGGCGGGAACAGCACAGGTATCAGGTTTACCTAGACCCAGCAAAGTGGCAAGAGCAGGACTCACTCCCGAAAGAGCTTCGCCGGCAGTCAGGGAATTAACGTCAATCCACGGATAGACAACTCCTCGAATGGGCTTGAAACCCTTGGGAGCCTTGAGATCGCCGTGGGACGAGTTGGAGCTGGTGCTGCTGGGCTTGTCAACAATGATAGGCCGAGGAGGAGAAGGAAGAAGCTCGGAAATGAACTCGTCTACAACCACATCCAGGTCTCCAAACTCGAAATCCGAATAAGACAGCCCGTAACCAAACTCGAACCGAACTGTCTTGTTGAGCTTGTCAAACATCTTGTAGTCCATGTAGACACCCTCATCAAAGTAGGCCTGAGGAGCTCCATCTTCGGGAATGTCCACAACCACCGGAATGTAGTCTTGGGGGTCCTTGGCAATGGTATAAGGCAGCTTTCCCGATGGGTTGACGTCTCCATAGAGAACCTCGGCCATGGCTTTACCTCCATAGGCTCCAGCAGGACCAGTGAGAACCACGGCCGATACGTTGGGATGCGAGATCCAAGGCTCCAAATCAACCTGACCAACGGTGGTAACGACGACAATGTTGTTTCTGGAGCTGTTGGCAAGAGTGGTGATCAGTTCGTCGCCATTGTGCCACAGAGACACGTTGTTTCTGTCTCCCATGTTGTCCAGAACGGTCGAACCTCCCTCTCCGGAGTTGGACAGCACATAGATGATGTTAACGTCCGAGTTGTCAGCCATGATCAGAGGCAGCGTCATGTTCCAGGACTCGGTGGTTCCAATCACGTGGCCTCCAGCTTGGTTGGCTCGTTGTCGGAGTGCTTCGTACGGAGAAGTGTACTCTGTTGGGTTGGCAGTTCCACTTCCCCATCCCTCGATGAGAGCTCCATCCGAGCATTGCATGGAGAACCCGCAGTAGGCTCCCTTTGGCCCGATTTGCGAGCCGACTCCAAACACTCCGACATTCTCGGGGCCCTGCAGAGGCAGAATTCCGTCGTTCTTGAGAAGGACTGCTGCAGCCTCGGCTCCCTCCAGCGCCACACGGGAAGAAAAGGCGGTTCGGGTGTCCAGATGGAGGTTGACCAAGGTGGAGGTGTAGTTGATGTTGAACATAAGCACGGGGTTGGGGTTGCCAAAGGTTTCAGTAGTGAAGGCGGAGAAGGTGGGCTCTCTTTCGTCGATGCCTGTGTAGATGGTGGCTGTGAGAATTCGCAGCACCATATCGTCGAGTCTGGACTCGGGAAGAGTGCCGTTAGCCACCATTTTGGTCAAGTCCGGTCCCCAGAAGATGTTTCCGTCCACGTCGTTACCAGGCATGCTCATGTCCAGTCCGGCTAGAGCATTGGACACTCCGCTGAGCTGGGCCTGCCAGTCCGACACCACAAAGCCCTGGAACCCGAGCTCGGACTTGAGCTTGCCGTTGAGCGTGGCGCTGTTTTGGCAGCCCGACGAGCCGTTGATCTGCTGGTACGAACACATGACTGAAGCCACTCCGGCCTTGACGGCGTCGGCAAAGGGCCACAGGTAGGCCTCGTGCATGGTTCGATCGTCAATGTTGGAGGATACCGAAGTGGTGAGGTTGTCGAATCCGAAACGAGCCCACTCGGAGTAGAGCCGGTAGTGCTCCTGCTCATTGCCAATGAAGTGTTTGACGGTGGCCATGACGTTCTCGGACTGGATACCTCGGATAGCTTCGGACACGAGCTTTCCGGCCAGGTAGGGGTCCGGAGAAAAGCCCTCCCAGTTTCGGCCGCCCGTTGCGTGTCGTCCCAGAGGTCCCACGACGGGTCCCAGATGGACATCGACTCCCTTGGCCTTGGCCTCCTGTCCAATGGCGGTGCCTCTCTGGTGGACCAGGTTTCTGTCAAAGGTGGCCGCCATGGCAATTCCGCAGGGGAAAACAGTCACGTAGTCGGTCTGAGCAATTCCCAGAGGTCCGTCCTGGAGACAGAGACCCTTAAGACCGAGTCTGGGAACTCCGCCAGTGTTGCCGACACAGGTGCCTCCTCCCCAACCAAGACCTGTGGTGATGTTGACCTTTTCGACAAGAGTCAGCTGAGACAGAATCTCCAGGGACTCGTTCAGAGCAGCTCTCCACCGCTTGTCCGCGTCCAGAGTGCCAATTTCGGGAGTAGGATAGAAATCGGGAGAAGTGAAGGGAACATGGGTAGAGTTGGTGAAGTTGGTGAGAGTTGAGTTGGTGAGAGTTGAGTTGGTGAGAGTTGAGTTGGTGAGAGTGGAGTCGGTGAGAGTGGAGTCGGTGGAGTTGGACACAGCCAGAGCTCCTACCACGAACGGAAGTAGGGGTATTTTTGCAATCATGGAGGGTGGTTGGATCTAGCGGATGGAGGAGTCAAACTACTTATATCTCTGGTTAGCGTGGTTTGAGGTTTTTTCTGGAATTATTCTTAGTTTACCGATGGAATTACCGACGGAAATGAAAAAAAAATTGTGTAAATTAATATATAACATATTCCACACCATCAGACTATTCATTTCGATACATTTTATTCTGTAAACCTCTGAAAATTGCCTCAATTCATCCCTGAGGGGCAATACGGTAGATGATGGCATCCGGGGAAAGAAGAGATCTAGTCAATGGCATGATACAGACAAGCTAGAGACAATTGCAAGCTGAAATTGAAGTGTTGTAGTGAGCAATAAAGTAACTCCGAACTGTCACAAGTGTACTACTCTCTTGATGTCATTATATTTGTGGACTAGTCTTTGCAATATTAGTTTTGGGCTTCTTCATTGAACAAGTCGGGGAACAACAAGCGATATTTATATTGTTTTGTTCACAGAGAAATATCCGAGTATATAATGGTATCATTGTGATCACCACATTCCAAGCTAAAAGGTGGTCAACTCCTCGTCGTTTTATCTCTATTCAATCTCTCAATACAGCCATAACCCTCACCTAATGGCACGCACTATTTTAGTCTGCAGTGCCCGGTGATTAGGCTAAGGCGATGAGCTATATGAGACTCTCTTGTAGGGCAGCCGGGTCAAAGGGACGAGTTAATGAATATGAAGGTGTTTACTATGGTATTTGGGTGTTTGTTACGGTATTTGGTAATGTTGAACAACGACTTTTGACGTCACTGGGTTTCGCGAATCACACAAGAGTTCTTCGTCAATGTCCTTCAGTGTGCATCTCCACTGAGGCTAGATCTGCTTCATCAAGGCACATTAATGGTTAGTGTCTTGGGGTCGTTAGTGGTCTAACAGCTACTTTACGGGGGCGGGGTCCGGCTTCTAGAACGTCCAAAGTGAGGCGTTTTCGGAAGGGCATATTGGCCGAAGAAAGAAAGAAAAACAAAGCAGAAGCAGCGTGTGGACCGGGCCATTGGAGGCATTAATGGTGTCTAACGAGAGGGCAAAAGGGCAGCTCTGGTTCAGCACTGATAGCACTGGTTCAGCTCTGATTCCAACATGCACAATGGAGGGACACCTATTGATTCCCTTTGATATGTAGAGCGGCTCCAACGTAACCATCGAACCAGAACCGCCAGGTGTGTACGAGTCGCACTAGCCGCGGGAGATTACAAGTACAAGGCCCCTTGCCGTCCCCATCTGCCCATCTGGGATTTCTTTCCATGCACCAGCCCAGTTGGACATGAGCAGGCAGAGCTGCTGTACTTGTACCTCGGCATGTCTTTGTTCGGCAGGAGTTGACGGTCTTTTTAGCGAATACGCACGAGTTGGTAGGAGGAGTTGGTGTAGCATTATGACTTGTGATTTTCCCAGTAATTCTGTCATTCTGCGCTCAATCATCCCATCAATCACGCCATCCACGGAGCCACGACGAACGTCACCAGCCCATAATATCGCAGCCCGCTCTGCCATCGTATACCGAAAGCGCTATTCTCCTTTGCTCTCCATGAGCGGCCAAAAGAAACGAAAAAAAAGAAAACAATGTCTCACCATGGAGCACCAGCGTTTCAGAAGAGCTCGGAGATGAAGACGCAGTCTGTAAGGGGCACAGATGGGCGGGTGGAATTTCGAAAAGTGCGTTTTGACGAGATTTCGACGGAGAATCGATTTATATTCGTGGATCTGCAACGTGGAGTTCATACTAGTACAGGGCTCGAAGTATTAACAAATAATGTCTATAAATTATGCATGGTGAAGGAACGTAATGGGACCTGCCCAGAGAGTCTGTGTAGAGACACACTCTCGATTTTTTGGGTACTGTGCTGGCATAGCAAGACTGAATCGGCGGAGGATTCCGTGAAGAGCATCCTCATATGTGGACTAACCACAGAGTTGCACTAAGGCACTGTACACACTGTACTCGTAGTCGTGCTTGCGCGAATCGCATAGTGGCTCTAGCTCAGCCGCTTACCGCTTTCGATCCATGTCAATACGACTGCTAGGAAGAGCGGGGATGAAGAGCATGGGAATGACTCCAACGCAAGCAATGACGGCCTGGAAAATGAGGGCCCGTCGCATGTTTCCGGGAGGATCGCCCTGGGTCTCGTTGTACTTGAGAGCATCCATACAAATGATGAAAATGGCTCCGAAGAACTGGCCACCAACCCACAAAATATTGGAGGACACGGCGGGGGAGACGGGAGAGGTCTGCTCGGGAATGAGCTCCAGGAAAGTGGGTAGTAGTGCAAACGACGATGCTCCGAGAATGGCGCAGACAACAAAGGGGCCTGCAAGCTGGTCGTCGCCCTCCTTGGTGGACATGAAGATGGCTCCGATGTAGCAGGCGGCGATGATGGGCACACAGATTCGAATGAGCCACAGATGGAAGTGGAACCGGTCGACAATGGGGGAGATGATGAGGGTGAACACGATACCGACAAAAATCAGCAGAGCTCCGGCAATACCAGCATTATCCTCGGAGTAACCGTAGGGCAGCATGATCTGGTTAATGAAAGTGGAGAAGGCATTGAAGAAACCGACGTAGATGGCAAAGGGGAAGAAGACGGTGACAAAGTACCGCGACTTGACAAGCTTGAACAGCGATTCCTTGAGCGGCAGCTTCTCAATGGTGGCAGAGGGACAAGGAGGGGTGGGGGGCTCCTTGGGCACCAGTAGCGTGGAGGCAGCAGCCACGGTAGACACAATGGCGGTCACCAGGATGAACATATCAAACTGGGTGGGGTCGGCCGCCACCATGGCGGGGCCCACGAGCTGGGCAATGGCTCCACCGAGAGGGTTGGAGAGAGAGGCCAGGGCATTGGCGGTGACTCGAGACTTTGAGGTGAACCACTGGTCAGTGAAGTAGGAGGGGGCTCCGAGGGCAAAAGGCTGGCCGAAACCAATGAGAATCTGTCCAAACATGACGGCGCCAAAGTTGTTGGTCTTGGAGCCAGCGTATCTGACCCAGTTTCCGCAAATGACAAAAATGCCCGACACAAATAGAGCTCCCCGCACATTGTACTTGTGAAGCACCCAGGAGACTGCGGGAGGGGTCAGGCAGAAGGCGAACAGGATGACGGTGGACAGCCAGTTGACAGGGGCTTCACTGCTGAGGTGGAACTTGTCGACCACCAGGTTGGAGATGGCGGCGAACGTGAGCCAGCCCCAGGACGAGACAATGTTCAGCAGAACCAGCGCCACGATTCCAAACCATCGTCGCTTGTACGACTTGTACACCACTGTGGGGCCGTCGCTGCCAAAGGTGGTTTCCGCGTCCCCAGTGTAGTCGCTTTCGCACGGCTCGGCCTTGTGAGTGAAATCGCCTTTGATGGAGTGGTCCAGCGCGTCCATGTTGAAGGGGGGGTAGGTGGAGTGGGAGTCGTTGCTCTTGAGGTATCTGTGGGCGGTGTCGACGGAGGAAACGTCGTGCAGGGTGTGGTCTTCCACGTCCGTCAGCGACAGGTCCACGTCTTTTAAAGACTCGGTCGACAGGTGAGATAGTTCCATGTTCGAAATAATATGGCGCTTATCGGGCGTACTTGCTTAGTTGGGTGCAGTTGCAGGTGAGACCGTGGGGGGTGGGGTTGGACTTGCCTGGCGGTGTTGGTAGGCGGAGGTGACAAGTGGTTCTGACGAGTACATCGAAGGACCCGGCCAGTCTTATATATAGGAGACAGACAGGACAACACGGCCGATCCCCATCCCTTGTATAGATCAGCCCGGGGATCTGGAGATCCTCACTCCATAGGGTTTGCCCCTAGAGTGGGAAGAAGAAAAAAAACAAAATGAAAAAAACAAAAAATGAGGATTGGGTTTAGGCCAGGTTTAACTCTCAGGCTTTTTATTTTATTTTATTTTTCAGGTTTATTTAAAATCTTTTTTGCCCTTTTTCCCATACACCGTGTGAAATTGGACAGTGCAAGCGGTACCAAACGTGTGCCAGGGAATAATGATATCGCGGTGATGTACCGGGGATTATCGAGGTCTTGCTATCAAATGACACAGCCCGGAGTTGCATATATATTGCATGTCTCCGGTTTGGGATGTGGGGAAGGAATCACAACAGGGAGTGCGACTACTAACATACGGACGATACCTTCACCTGTGCCCAGAGTGTTGATGCCAGATTGATGGGCCAACGTGACCATGCACTCGGCACACACGACATGGTACCACCTACACCTGAACGAAGACCCAGATGGATTCGCACAGACTCAAACGACGGATCAGCTACAACCTCTGGACACAGCCCCAGAAACCAATATCATAACACGGCGGCAACGACATGATTCGCAAGGCGACAAGTATCCATACTACCCAAGGGTTCAGAACGTTCAGAACGCATCCGGCCCAATATCTGTATGGATCTGTACAGCAAAAAAGACCCACATAAGCTCTCGCTACAAGTCCCTAAAATGACTAGCTCGGAACTTTGAGCTTGACTACAGGTACAATGGCTGATGGCTGTCAGAGCGTCGACTCACTGATCTTGGACGTAGCGAGACATGCGGCCGGGTACGGGATGTTCCTGAGTCCAGCCGTCGAATTTGACCTGAATTTGGCCCAATATGACCTGAATTTGGCCTGCGGTGGCCCAAAATCTGGCCCTAATCTGGCCCCTACCTGAAGAACCGGAATGAAAGACATTCTCGCCAAGTGGACGCGATACAAGAGTCGTTTTCGCTCAATCACGTGACCCACAGCTCCACGTGTCTCCCGGATCCATTTGTTCACGTGATTTTGTCCGGTATCGCCTACTACTGCTCTTGTTATCCCAACTCCTGTCCACCCCTGTTGACCCCTGACCTACTCTGACTTTCAGTTAGTCACCACGGTAAGGCTGGTTTTAACGTGCACCACTTACTAGCGGTAGGTACCACTACGGCTTGGTACCGTCCCTGATAGCGACTCTTCAAGAGCACTCACCGTGCTCTCTCGACACTCAAACCAGGCCCGAGCTGATCTCCGACGTTGGTTGAAAATAATGTCACGACGCTCAAACCCGTTACGCGTGGCAAATGCAAAAACAAAGCGGGTATCCCTCTTGCCGATCGTCGAAACACTACCAGTCTTTTGAAACCTAACCGGACAATGGACGGTTTGGGCATCGATGAAGGTAATTAAAGCAACTGCGTTTGGAGCTATTTGGGCACGTTTTCATGACGCACTTTTGGAAGTCTCATATTGATGTCAAAAGAAAAAGAAAAGTACCATTGGAATTCCCAAACAAAGAGGTGTTGATTGATACTACTCCCGTGTCAATAGTCCCACCACAGCATCTTTTGTGTCCACGCCCGCAAAAACAAAGGTAATATGAGGGACCTTGGCACTTCCAGATGGAAGACGCAATGTCCGTCGGTGATGCATGGCTGGCTGGTTGGGTCCTGCCGCGGCGAACATCTGGCAAGCGTGAGTGAGTTGGACATTAGTTGGATGTTGGACATTGGACGTTGGACATTGGACATTGGACATTAGTTGGACGTTAGTTGGGAGTGCCTCGAGTGCCTGTTCAGAATGCTGTTAGTACCAGTACACTCGACAATGAACACTAGCATCCAGACCACTATCTTCCATACCTCTCGTCGAAGCTCCACCGGTACTCGTACCGTCAATAGTATGGCACCAGCTCCGCGGGAAATTACCCCTTGTGAAAGAAGACCCGACAGAAAAGGTTGGGTCATACATTGCTTGTGAGCGGTAGACGAGAACGTGATACAACCGAACCACAAACTGCATTGTGCGACGGGGTCTAATGTACGACGCTGTCGAAGATCAAAACTAATCGTGGACAGCCTACGACCACGATGCAGCCGTTATGGGCTAATAAAGCAGACAAAACTGCGTAAACGGAAGGGTCTGGAGGAGAGACTTGTCTAACCAGACCTACAACTTTGGACATCACTGTGACAGACACTGCAACAGACTCAAGGCCTGTGTGTGCTATCTAAGAACTCTCCAGATCCGTTCTTGAGGATCACGAGCAGCAACACTCGATACCGTCACTTGTGGAGGGGTACACTGTTTGTTATCGAGCTAGCTCCCGCTCATTGTATAATGACACCCCCTGCAATATTGCAAGACATCCAACGGCGACCCACTGCCCATGTGCCTGGATGTAGGTCTGATTTCAAACTAGTCCGCTTCCGTCCTCTTTCACTGCTACGCTGAGAGAGAGAACAGTTAGGTTCGGGGCCCCTTTTTTGTTATTATTTTCACATCTGGGTGCAGTCTAGTGCCAGGGACGTCTCCAAACGGACATTGCCTCGAAAATAAACTGGCAAAATGACAATTCCGAAGAGAAAATCGTGATCACCTAACATCCACATACAAATGCACTCACACTCGTTCCATTCCGACCTCATCCGGGGCCTCTGGACTGTGCCCTTTTTGTAATAACATAAGAGCACACTAAACTAAAAACAGTGTCGACGGAAGCGGTGGTGATGGACATAGCCAGGGGTCTGTCTTACTACAGGGTCTAAGGCACGGTGGAAAAAATCAGCCTGGGGACTCGAATCAATGTGTTGCTGTGGTGACGGTATCAACTTGGGAAACGGGAGGACAGATACCGTCAAAAGATGGTCAACAAAGTGAGGCATTTACACCGTTGCTCATTCTGGACAGAGCGAATCTCTCTTCGACCTTGGACTGGCTGCTGATGATGCGGATGATGCTGATGATGCTGATGATGCGGATGATGCGGATGATATAGATGCTACTGTATCTCCGTGGACAGTATTGTTATGGCCCTTGAAGCTGGAGGTTCCATCGAAAGAGACGACAGAAGTGTTTCATTTTGACCGTTTGAATGACAAGAAGCAAGTACAATACAGCATTGTACATTGATATTGTCTTCCTTCTGCCACCTTCATTGACGATACTGTGACCCAAATCTGGCGACAGCGTGTGAAAAGAGACTGAAACAAGTTCCGCTCTACCGACCCAAGTCCAGCGACTTTAACTCCAGCTTACAAATCTGTTGCTTCTTGTCTACGCCTCGTAAAAGACCCTTCATGTACACACAAAGCCCTGCACTTGCACAGTTCACCCTCTCACGTCCGTACCGCAGCAACCCCTTGATAGCCGCGTGAGACACGATACACACGTGAAGCAGGCTGGCGTGGAACGGCGATCCCTCGTTCATCAAAGACCCTTTTCAAACTTAGCGTCACTACACCGCAGATCACGTGTCGATCCCACATGAAGATCACGATCGACACCAGGGTGTACTGGACGTGACGCGTGGAACGTGACAATAGAGTCTACGACTGCGGCTCAATAGGCGAGGTAAATGCTCTTGGAGTGCTCTCGAGGTCTTTCAGTGTGCCCACAAGGCTGCTAGGCGGACCATTATCAGTGTCCTGTCGAGAGCTGTAGAATGACACTTGCCCCGTTGTTTTTGACCCGTTTTTCGTGAATTCTTCACGTCTGGAGACACAAATGAGCGCCATTATCGTCTCACAATTGCCGTATAAACAACTTTAGACAATGCAAGACAAGTGCCACCTGCAAACGGTCATCTGGTGACAAGGTCGGATATTTTTTTGCCGTTGAAAACACGCGCCTAAGCGAGACAGGACAAGGGAATGAGCAGCAGTATAGACTAACGTCGAGCGAGATTAAACCTGTCGCGTGTGATTTGCCAAGCCTGTCGTAGCTTTCAAACGGTTCCGACGGTGCCCTACTCGTAGTCCGGCATGGGGGGCTCTAGAGTCGGGCGGAAGATACCGCCAAAGGTACTAATATCAAATACTTCCTCAATTATCACTCGGTCCAGTCTCGTACGACGGGCAGGTTCTCGTACTGGTACAGTACTCGTACTTGTATCTACCCCAACTCCAACTGCCGGTGTGCGACCCGCCTGAAAAACACCAAGACTTCAACCAGCTACATAGAATGAGTACCTGTACTCTGCTCAAGATAAATCCTTCTGATAAGAACAGGAACTGGAAGCTGTCAATCCAGTGCTTAGCGTACATACTGACTCCCTCTTAGCACCTACTTGTACAGTATGTACTGGTACAGCTTGCATCATCTCTTATCAACACCAGCCCTCGGCTCTTCCGAGGTATATGGTGCCAAATACACAGATAGATTAGTTCAACAACAACAAAATACAGATAGACATTCTAGAGAATCATGCCGGCCGCCCCATGTTGAATATCACGTGACTTTCTTCATATATCTACATATCTACATGCTTCTCTCAACTACCTGAACCAGTACATAGTCTTCTCTGTATCTTCTAAAAGATGTGATATCCAACCCACAGGAAAATGGAAAGTACCATTTCGCTCCCAGAGTTCCAATATCTCGCCATATGTCAAGAAAAAATGACCCAATGTCAACTGCCCCTCCCCATCGGCGTTCTCCGATACCCCTTTTTCCTTGGTATACTTTATTCAATTAGATACACTCAGAAATCAAGCCTCGGAAGGCATGATATATATATTCGAGTCACGCGACCACGATAAAAAACTCCACACGAACCACGTGACCACCTGCTTGCTCCGCGTGACCAAATCTCTTGCCATTTTCCGTCTCTGTCGCCCTCGGCTACCCTAACCTCCTTCGCTTATGTCCCAGCGGCCCGAGGGTCTGACTAAACGGGCAGATAGCAGGGTGCATGTGGCGGGGATATTAATCTTGGCTGTGTGGGCTGAAAGTAACGTGACTGGAAATCGGAAGAGTGCGTTTTGTACAGATTCTTTTAGAGAGAAAAATGGTTGGTTTATAGTCTTAATCGACCAGGTATTGGTGTTTCTGGAAGCGATTCTACCCACAAGTCATGCAAACAGAGTTTGGATCCCGATGGGTGTTTGAAAGGAAGACGGGCATTTAGGCAGAATAATGTATGTAAAGCGGTGGTTTTTTTTAGATAAATCAATTTAAACCACCCGGATCAGTTGATTTTTGCTGTAGTTTCTCACGTGACCTCCATTATACGACGATATTATCTCGGCACATTATATACGGCACACATTGAACCCTATCTGCAGCATCATGTATATATATATACACAAGGGCTATCCATCACGCAGCCAAAAACCAAAAACCAAATGTCCAAGCAAGTTTCCGAGTCCGACTTCAACCGCCAGATTGTTTCCAACTACACCGATGTCGCCGGCGAGAAGCTGGGAGGCAAGGTTCTGTCTTTCTCCGACGAGTGGTTTGCGGAAGCCGCCAACCTCATCAAGCCCTACGCTCCCATTCGAGAGGCAGGCAAGTTTGTGGACTCTGGTGCCTGGTACGACGGCTGGGAGACCCGACGACACAACACGGAGCCCGCCGATTGGGTCGTATGTCGATTCGGCGTGGCTGCTGCTCACATTGTCGGCACCGAGATCGATACTGCATACTTCAACGGTAATCACGCTCCCGAGATCAGTGTGGAGTGCACCAGTATTACCAGTGGTCTGAACGAGGCAGACGAGGCAGCTGCTCTCAAGTCTGCTTCTTGGGACACTGTCATTTCCAAGCACGAATGTGGACCCAGCCAGAAGCAGTTCTTCGTGCTGGACAAGCCCACCTCCAAGACATACACCCATGCCCGTCTCAACATGTACCCCGATGGCGGAATTGCGCGATTCCGGCTCTACGGATCCGTTGTGCCTGATTTCTCGCAGTCCAAGGACGTGGAGATTGATCTGGCCTCTGTTCTGAACGGAGGACAGGCCGTGGCTCGGTCGGACCAGCACTTTGGATCCGCTGACAACCTGCTGCTGCCCGGAAAGGGAGAGAACATGGGCTCTGGATGGGAGACAAAGCGATCCCGAGAGCCTGGACACGTTGACTGGGTGGTCATTCGACTGGGAGCTCCCGGAACCATCAACAAAATCGTGCTGGATACCGCCTGGTTCAAGGGTAACTTCCCCCAGAAGATGACTGTGTCTGCCGTCAACCTGAAGCCTGGCGAGTCCATTGCTGCCGATGACGACCGGTGGGTCGAGGTGCTCGCTCCTGTTCAGGGCGCCCCTCACGTGGAGAAGGAGTACCCCGTGGACAACAAGCACGTGTTCAGCCACGTGAAGCTCACCATCATCCCCGACGGAGGAGTCTCTCGAATCCGGGTCTTTGGTAACCGAGCTGAGTAGGATCAACACATTAACGAACGATATAGCAATGGCATTTAATCACTATCAAGCGAACGTGATCATTGAGGCATTGTAAGAAGCTCGATAGAAGGACACTTCGAATCGCTATTAGGAGCAATTTGGCCGTGTAGCCTCGCGTGCCCAAGTTGGAATGTACCATCACTCTTATATCAAAAGTTCTTATGAACAAACAGCTGACTCAAACGGATGGCGGTGTAAGAAGATATTAATCTGGCGTAACTGGGGGCATATGACACTAGCAAGTGCCACTGGTCCGAAGACACAGCTCGCTTGGAAATAGGTGTACTACAGTCGATGCAGAGCATCTAGTTGGATCTGTTTATTGACTACATAAGCAGCCAACCGGGTGTGTGTGAGTTGTGTGCAGGAGGATAGGATTGCAGGGAAAAAAAAGATGATACATACGCGATCGATGCGGTAGGGTAACCCTATATATATTTTTTCTGCATATATTTTTTTCTGCATATTTTGAACTCTAGGGTTCTGTACTAAAAAGTCAACTAATTAGTGGACTAATTAGTAGACTAATTAGTAGAGACATTGACAATGTGACTTACTTGAGGAATATTGTTTGGAACGGATTTTCAGTGTTTTTGATTGTTAAAATGCGCCAAAATATACATTCTTATGTATTTTGATTCTCAGGAAGTCCCACAAGTTCTCGTACAGTGCCCGTACTCGTACCACCACCCACTGTCCTGTATGCATCTTGCTTAAACCTCCTTGAGATGATCACCATCACTACCACTTTTTTTTCACCACCATGGACAACCTTCCCACGCCGATTCTGACGCGTATAATCAGCGAAACCGACTACGACACAGCCGTTGCCCTATGCCACACCAGTCCACGGCTTTCGCAGTTGATCCGGTCGCCCAACAACGACACCGCCATCTTCAAGAACATTGCACTACAGACATTCCCATGGTGCCATCCAGCTGTCGGACAGTCGTGGCGAGACCTGGCGTGGGATGTGGAGAACATCGGGCCCGAGTCGGACGCGGAAATATGGAAAGAAACGGCCCAATGGACGCTTGCGGACCCCGACACTGATCTGGGTCTGCTGATCATGTCTGAACACCCTGCCGCCAAAGAGATCGCCAAAGATCACGTGACAAGCCACATTGACTCCCGGGTCCCGCGTGACACGGACATTTGGGGTTCTGGCATTGTTGAGCTCGAGGGTGGATTGGTAGTGGATTTCGTGGAGGCCAAGGCATGGAAGGGCGAATCAATCGAAGCTAAGGAGTCACATGGTGCAGAGGATGCAGAGGAGACATTGAAAGAGCAGCCTATTGCACGTGATATTGCACGTGATTCTCCAAAACTGGAAAAGAAGGGCGACAAGTGGATAATTAATGGCTTCAGTATTCCCGTCACAACCGGATTCATCCCCACTGTTCATACGCATAACAACCAGACATTTGTATTTGAGACCACGGTGGACGTCTCCTGTCCAGACACGGCCATGAGCAATTTGCACGTGATTGACTGGGGCGCACGACGGTACATTTTTCTTCTTTCCCTCATTCATGAAGCTGGAGTGTTTCCTGTTCCGTACCTGAGCAATGGGTTTCTGTGGTTGTTCTACGAGCATTTTGTGGTCAAGTTCAATGTTGATGAGATCAAATTCGATCCCACTAAAGACAAGTGCACGTCCAAGATTTTCTACGTGAGTCAATGTGGCCTTCCTGTGTCTCTCAGAGACTGCAACTTCCAAGTGCAGGTTCTTTGGGGTCGGTTTGCTAAGATGGGTAGGTTTTTTTTGGATCTGGAAACGCTCATGTGGTTTAAGATTGACCATGGTCTTGTTCATGGCATGCTGCACAAGACTCATCACTTGTGGGACTACTCAAAGGAGGCGTTGGAGAGGATAGCAGAAGTGGTGAAGGACTCAGAAGCAGTAGATGCAGTCTCAGCAGTCGATATCAGCTCGTGTCTCAAGACAAAGAAGAAAAAGAAGAGCAAGAAGAAGGGGAGGGATACGTCTACGGAGGCGGATGAGGTGGAAAAGGCAATGGCAGGCTTGGATGTGAACAAAGACCTGCCTCCAGAACTGCAGATTGATTAGCAGGATGAAATGGAGACATTCCACATATATGGACAAGACAGAACAAGAATCAGCAACAAAACATGATACAGACCATGTCAGTACATCCCAACTGAGACTTAGACTGCACCCCTAACCGCCTACATGACCCTCGTATCGCATCTCCTGTACTGTACCTACTTTTCACCTATCGTATCTACTGTACCTACCTTTTCATACATTCCAAAACACTATATCTGATACAAGACCTGTGTCGATAACTTGATCCTCTCAGTATCATTCCAGTACATACAGTATGTACATGTCAGCCCATTCTCTCTGATACCAAGATCGCCGGTCGTAGTCACATGATCTAATTGAACGGTTGTCACGACTTGTTGCAAGCGTGGACACGTTTTGCCCTCACGTGACTCTCGGTGTGCAGAGTCGACGATCACATGACCGGCCGACTATACGGTCGTTGCTGTGTTTTTTTTTTTTGTTTTTTTTTTTGTCGTTGGCTTTGGGACTTCGCTTGTTCATGCAGCCCCTGTATCAGAAGTGTTGGGAGCGCATTCGGGTCTCTGATTTGGGCGGCGTTTTGCGGGGGGAAGAAGCGGTCGGATAGCGTTTTTGGGAGAAGTTTTGGAACTGGCTCGCTTGGCCCTTTTGATCTCTATGTTTAAATCCGTATTTGGTTCACTTTGGAGTCTACAGAGCCTCCCCCAAATGCCCAAAGGTCAACACAATTTTTAGCGAGCTGTGGTTATAGAATCAAAAACCCGCATATTTGGGACGACCGTTGGGGGTGTGAAAAAAGGAGATTTTGCAAAGCTGAAAAGAGCATTTCGTTCGGAGTCGTCTCGAGAGTTGATCAAACCTGGAATTCCCCCCAGTAGCCACTCCTCATGGCCTTGTAGACCGCCCCACATTCTCTGAGACAGTACCTCACTAATGCAGCTTGTGCAGTCACAACCCCAACCCTAATATCTCCATCGGTGGTGTGTCTACTCGTACTTATAGCCACCTATAGGTGGAGAAGACGAGAGCGACCCCACCAATTGCTACGCCCCATATCAAGTCCACATGATGACGACCGCCATTTCTCCAACAACGCTGCGAACGTGGATGGACGGCGCCAAGCGGGTCTGTGTCGTGGATGTCCGAGACGACGACTACAACCAGGGCGGCCATATTCGGGGAGCCGTCAACTTTCCCTCGGCCAACTTCACCAAGAGCTTTGAGGATCTGGTGGAGACCAGTGCGTCTGCCGAGGCGGTTGTGTTCCACTGCCAGTTCAGCCAGGTGCGAGGACCCCAGTGCGCCCGGTACTACGAGTCCAAAATCAAGGCATTGGACTCCTTCAAGGGCCAGGAGGTGTGTGTTTTGTCGGGCGGGTTCAACTCGTGGTACGACGAGTTTGCTTGCACAAAGTACATTGAGAGATGAACGGCTGCGAGCGGAGCGGGCGGTTGCAGGTCAATGCGATGCGACCATCATTGATTTCACCACATACAATCACCACTAAACACCCCAATCCAAGCCCAGCCCCATAAACCATTGCTGTCAGCGGGCTGAACTGCACTAATGAGGCACTAATGGGCATTCTCATCACATTTGCTGAGCAAACGGAACTCCTACAATGTACCGCCTGCAAGCCGCCTGTACACGAGATAAGATAATAGATAATGTATTACTAAGATTTTGATCGCATTGTGAAAACGAATCAACTGCCTGTCTCACAAACCCCTCGTTTGCACTCGTACGTGCCTGAACCTGACTTGTGCGTATTGTCTGACTTAACGTGCTTTCTTTGTGCCTGGCTTCCGGTGCTCCACATGAGTATCCAACAAAGACGGTAGCAGCATCGACATAGAAACTAGCGGAAGGAGTCCAATATGACTTGACACTACGGGTTTCTCAAGTCTTGCCAACCTTCACAGCCGCCCGTACAACACTTGAATACCACTGTATAGTCAACGCCTCCTCCATACCCTCTTCCTGGGGAGCGTTAGTGAGACCCTGCACTATGTGGTTGCTGCAGATGAGGTTTTAATAATGGCGAGTTATTCCTTGAAGACGTTTGACGAAGTAGATCGACTTTCTAGCCTCGTTCTCGGCCCACCGAGTATGTAAACTTGTACTCTCCATTACAAGTCTCCGTGGGGCTGCTGTACTCGTATTGTAACCGTCTCTCTCAACTCTAGATAGTCCACTCTCCGTTATCACCACTCCACTCATTGGGGGTATAGATAACTGTCCCTTTCCCCGCTCATAATAACTGCGAGAAGAGTTATACCCTGCCATTCAACTGTTTCACCCCAGTCGTACGATAAAACCAGCAAGGCCGGGATTCATTCCGGGTTAAATGATTGGACTTGCAAGAGAGGAAACAACAGACCGAATTCCAAAGTTTTTCTTGGGGATGTTCCCAATGTCAGTTCTCAAGGTCTCAATCGTGGCCTCGTACTCGTGCAACACCACTATATCGACTTCAAAATGGTCATGGAGTTCAAAAAACATGTCCATATAGCCCAAATATCTGTCACAAAAGCTCCCCTTTCTCTTGTGGTCAGTTTTATTTGCACTCGTCTGTATTGTAGCTATGTGATACAAATACGAGAGCATTGTGTCTTACCAACTGCCAATCTGCTTCATATCTGGAATATCAAAAAGCAACTTTTGGGATACTTGTCTAAAACCCCTTAACCCACACTCATTCCAAAGCTGTCTCAATAGTCGTTTCTTTTTCCCCATCTATCTTACAGAGAGGTCAAGGAGGCGGTCTGAGGGCCCATGGTTCAGACGCTCTAAAATATAGGTGTACTATTGACAGCACCGGAAACGCCAGTAAGATAACTCCATCGATGAATGGTCTGCGAATGAGTTTGTCTGCCAATGAGTGTGTCTGTCAATGGCACTTATCTCAAAATATACAAGTACCCTCCCCCCTTCCCGTGCTATCTTTCAATCAAGTCAATTAAAATACATACTCTTGTTGGCGTGCACCTGCTCAGCACTTGTTCCATCTACTCGTCGTCTTCCTCGTCTTCGTCGTCTTCGTCGTCGTCGTCGGCTTCTTCGTCCTCATCAACCTCGTCGTCGTCTTCCTCCTCCTCATCAGTGACGTTCTCAGACACGTTCTCCGAGGAGTCCACGTCAACAGCGTCAGGAGCCTGCAGAGTCTTGAGCACGTTCATGTACATCTTCTTGGCGTTGGTCTGCAGCGTCTTTCGCTGGGGAGTGGAAGTGCCGGAGTTGTCGCCGTTCCAAATGAGCACATTCTGCAGCAGACCGCGAATCTCGCCGTAGAGATCCTTACCGACCTTCTTTCGCTTGAACGAGTTTCGGAACTCGGCCACATGACGCTTGAAGTCCAGCTCGTTCTTCTTGAGCCACGAGACGTTGAGATCCTTTCGGTTAGCACCCCGGGCAAAGTTTCGCATTAAATACTTGTCGTAGTCTCGGATAATCTTGGTGATGATGTCCGAGGTGGAAATGCCCTCGGTTCGCTGGGTGGCCAGAAACATGCCCTTCTCCTTGATGGGCTTGTAGATATCATCGTCGTTGCCGGAAGCGTAGGGCAGATCGTCATGGGCCACGTAGTCGATTTTGTGTTTTTCCAGAAAGTCCATGGTGACACACCAGGGAGCATCCTCCACCACCTCGTCCACCCACTTGCAGTGTCGCACCGTCTCGTACCGCTGGACGTCACTCAGCACGGTCAATCCCTTCCGCTTGTGGGTCTCCTTGTCGCTGGGAATGCCCACAATCAACACTGCGTTGGGGAAGGCCTTCTTGGACTGCTCCAGCTGACGCATGTGTCCCAGATGGAACAAATCAAACACTCCATCGGCGTAGATTCGCACAGGTCGGTCGGTAGGCGGGTTGTTGAGCTTCCAGCCTCGAGGACGGTACTTGAGATAGTCCTTGTTGTCGATCAGCGAGTCCAGATACTCCTCCTTGCGCTCCCGATCCAACTGCTGGGCAGCCTGGGTGGTGAAATGAATCTCCGAGTTCTTCTGCTTCTTGGCGGCAGGGCTCACGTGACCCGAAGTATCGGTCAAGCCCTCGTCCGAGCCGGTCACGTGCTCTTCCACAGCCTCCGACCGTCGTTTGCTTTTGGCCATTGTATCCTAAGTAGTCTGTGCCCTGTTGGCTCGTGATAATGTCAGGATGTAAAGGTGCAGCGAATATGCACGTGGGTTTGTGTGTCGAGGGTTAGGGAAGAGGAGATGGATGGGGTAGGTGGTGGTGGTTGCTGGAGACGGTAGGTCACGTGGGTTTGTTAGCTAGAAAATCAAATCCCGGACGTCTTTCGGGTCAGTAGAGATGGCTCTACCAGTTGTGTGTGAGAGGATCAAAGTCTGGTTTTTTTCTGACAGGTATGCTTGCTATAATTATTTTTATTTTTGCTCGGGTCTGAACTTTATTTTCCCGAGATGGGGCGTCGTATCGAGAATAAATCGGGGAATATTTGTAGTTTGTAAAGTCTGGGTTGATACGGACAGCTTGGAGGGTAATTTGGCGTTTTCAGAATTCCAATTGAGTGGCAGGAAGATGATTTGGAGAGGATGAGAGTATTGGACTAAATTAGTTGGGTGTTGGTTGAGGGGTGCTTTCGTCGGGGGCTCTTTTATGGGATTGGGGAGATATGGAGGGAGTGTGAGTGGTTTCAGGCATGTTTAATGTATTTATTCCTTGCATGTGTATATATTTTTTATTTATTTTGTGCAGAAACGACTGATATGGGGACTTGTGGGTTTTTTTTTTCATCAACATTTTAGTTGAGATTTGTTGAGGTGCGCCAATTAGAACTGATTACATATGCAGAAAAAAGAAGCGAGAAAAGAAGCGAGAAAAAAAACAAGAAAAAAAAAGAAAGAAAAAAAAAAAACCTCATTCATAAAATCCTAGAAAATTCGAACATCGGAAATATGCAAATAAAAGCACGTGGAGACCATCAAATACCCGCTATGGTTCTTCTCCAGTCTACATCAGCTGATTCACTTGTAACTACAAAGAAAAGCGCCCACCCGGGTTAGTCAGGGTTAACGGTGAAAAAAACAGTCCTTGGAAAGATGTTGAGTGAAGATACAAGTGAGTGGAAGATACAAGTGACTCGAAGATACAAATTCATGTACAAGCAACTTGGAGAAAGTACTCATTAAACCTATAGTACTGTACCAGTGCTGGAGTTGGTTTGAGTCCAGTTCATGGGGCAGTTCCTAGAGCAGTACTTACTTAACCAATAAATATATACTTCAATGTTTAGTTGGTTTACTCAAGTATTCTTCTCGTAGCAACTACGTCTCAACAAAGACTGTTGAGACAAGAAAAGAGAGATACGTGAAATGAAAACAACCAATCATTGTTGAATGGAAAGCATTGACGTCGGTAGCAAACCACAAATTTCCTTTCTGAGTGACAAATTCGCTCAATTAGGCCAACCAGATGGCGTGCTTACAAGGGTGCGGGTACGGAGACTCCTGAAACGTCTTTCCGATAGAGAAGGGTCTGGTTATCGGACATGTAAGTCGTTAATGTATTTGTAATATATATATATATATATTTCGTTTATTCAACAATTATTCCAAACTCCGGAACCGTTTCACCCTTCTTACCATTGTCCGTAAAGTACAGCCGCCTACCGAAGCGTACGTCTCAAACACGCTACGATGGAGCGTCTTGGAAACGTGTTCCACACCCGTCTCTGTTCTGGCCGTGTGTACAACTCAGCCAAAACACGAGGGGAAAAAACCACCGCCTCCTCACGTTATCCGTCTCGTTATCCGTCTCGTTATCCGTCTCAACATCAGGGCCACTTTAGCCCAAATCCGCATCCGGAAATTAGCAAAAAACCAACGTCATACACCATAAGACTTCTGGATTGGGAAATGTCATGGGAGACCGCGGAATCTCGTGCTGTACAACCAGACCAGAAGTCGCCACTACCCTAGCCGGGGTTGCCTAGCAACTGCGCCGACGGTCGCTTGTAAACATGCCCATGCACTGATGTGACAGCCCGTCAAACGTCTGAAACGCCGGTGCAGATGCAAGATGGAAGGGGGTTATTGAGGCTTAGTATGCACCGAATGGACTCGTAACCGATACCATTGTGTTCCGTGGATCCGGGGCTTTCGATTCGTATAGCGATATCCGCCGTAGGTTCCATGTGGACCGAAAAAACGTGGTAGTTCCAGAGCCTGCAAAGTATTATTGTCCTGCTCCATATAGAGCTTCCCTGCCTAATGCAGCACATTCCGCACTGTCGATCTCAGATGTGGACCGATATAATACGCCCCAGCTGCGTTTTGGGGAGATTTTATTATATGAATGGATTCCCTCAAGTCTCGAAAATGCTGCTATCTACTCGGCTTGTCGATATCTGCTCTCCCTCGGCCCTCAATGGCCCACATCTCATATCGTATCAAATGCGTTTAATTAGCCTCGCTCAATAAAGTTGTGTCAGATCTGATGTAGATCAGCGGAGTCGTGTCCCACGATGAAGTGTGTTTGGAAGCAGGACGCATAGAATGGGGCCGTGTAGTCCGTGTGGAATCCAGGGGTGTTTTTTTTGTCACGTGATTCTCCCTTCCGTGTCTGTATTTTCCCTTCTTTGCTGCTTTATTTTTTATTTCTACCGTATATTTTTATTTTTACATTTATTTTTATTTTTATTTTTACTTTATATTTATTTTCACTTTATATTTTTATTTGTCGGAGACATTTCACCAATGGGGAAACTCAGACTACGATAGCATTGGCAGGGGGCCAGAGATCAGGGGTCGAGCAATGTCCGTCCAGCGACGCGCCAGATGGTCTTAGTAAGCGGAATAGGGATGCGGTGGACTTGGGGATGTGTGGTGTGGGTCTGGAAGCGGCTGTTGGTTTAGTTTGTCAAATTATAGACGCCAGCTTTTTTTTTTTTGTTGTTTTTTTTGGGCCGATTGTGTAGTGCTGGGTTTTGCCTTTCATGCGCTAAACTCTGATGCTGGACCACTAAAGACTCCAGATGTACCCCTGAATGCGCTGGTTGCAACCTGTTTCATCCTTCTCTCGCCTGTACAGAGCGTGTCGAGTTTCGCAATGACCGAAATCGATATCGACAGCGAAGAGTCTTTCATGTCCGACGGTGATTATTCCGGCTCCACCGCCACCAGTGTTGAGGAGGACAAGGGCGTGGCGATTGGCAGCGACAACAAGCGCCACACGGTGGAGAATGGCGTGGGCACACAAACAGCAACACGCCCGACGTCGTCCATAGCGTCGCGACGAAGCTCGGCGTCCATCAACGGAGTTCCGCTTCTGGGCCAGACCAAGCAGGATGTGGCTTCCGAGGTGGCTCGACGGATCAGAGAAATCTCCCAGAGCATGGACAATGGACCCAAGTATGTGGCCAAGCCTGAGCCGCGCAAACTGTCGCTCAAGAAGCGATGGCGAGACTCGTTTTACGGAGGGTCTTCGCACGAGAGCTCCCCCACCGCTCCCACACACACGCCCGGGTCTCGGACATCCATAATCATCTCGACTCCGACGCTCAAACAGGGCTCCAAGAGCTCGGCCCTCGAGATTTCTAAACCCATCTCCCGAGCCAACAGTGTCACGGCGCCCGTGAAACGACAGGCCACCAACCCCTCCCCACAGAGAAACTCGTTCCATGGAGACTGCCCTCCTCCTTCCTCTGCACAGAGCGACCATGGAGGACTGGTACGTAACCCCAGTGTCAAGTACGGCGGCAGACGAATCAGTGGACCCATTGAAGTCAACGGAACCCCCGACTTTCAAACAGTTCCCCTCTCCCAGTACAACCACAACAATCCCAGCGTCACATCTCTGCAGCTCTCCTCTTGTCATACCCCTGCTACTACATCGGATGGTGTTGTGGAAACCATCGAAATGACGTCCCAGGCGTCCCACTTCCACTCAATGCGTCGCAAATCCGACGGAGCGCTTCTCAACACCATCACCAACCATGCCAACGGACGCTCCAACTCTCTCAACGCCACATCAGCCAATGTGACCCTGGAAAACCCGCCACCGGTCAGCTCCATGCTGCTTCCTGCTGGCGCAGGGAGCCTCAGTCGCAAACCCAGCTCGCTGTCGGGCTCCGCTGTTTCTGCCAACCACAAACTGTCTGTGCAGAAATCGTCGCCTCAACTCAAACACAAACACTCGCCCAACATGAGTATAGACGAGACGACAATGGAGCCTGGACTGGCGCTTGAGCTCGAGCGTCGCAAGGTCATGGAGCTCAAGCGGATCGCCACTAACCAGAACGTCGAGAAGCTGCAGCTGGTCAAACAGGCCGAACGAGACCGGCTGCTGTTTGAAGAGACAGAGAAGCTGTTGGAGGGGCAGCGTAATGAGGTTTCCCGGCTGGTCCAGGAACTGGAGCGTGTGGAAAAACTGCGCAAGGAGGACAAGGAGGGCCATCTCGAGGTCATTGACTCGCTGCAGAGAGCAGTCGGGAGTAACAAGGTGCAGGCCATGGGTGTTACGCGGAAGGTAGTTAAGGAAGGTGATAATGAGAGTGTCGAGGCGGCTGCGGATGTTCAAGATGAGGACCGGGATGTTGTCATGGAAACCGAGACGGTCACTGCACCCACCAAGGACGAGGTTGCAGAGTCAATTGCCATGGCGACCGCGGCCATGGAGCGAACCACCGCGGCCGAGGCTGCCATTGTGCATCTTGAGTCCGAAATCAACCACTTGCGACTCCACCGAGACTCGCTCAGAGACGCCCTTACTTCTCTGCGAAAGTCCTCCGACATTGAAATCAAGTCGTACCGAGACCAGTGCATGCGGCTGGAGAAGCGTCTGGCTGAGCTGGAGGGCGACAAGAAGACTGCTGTGGCTTCTCAGAGCAAGAATGCCTCTGCCCCCAACTCTCTGGGTCTAAAGCGGCTGTCATCCAGTTCTGCTCTTGGCAAATCTTCGTTGTTTATTCGAAACGAGCTGTACCAAGAGCTATTTGATCGAGACGCCGATGTTGTGCGAAAGATCCACGAGAACATTGAGGAGGAGGAGGAGGGACGAATGAGCCAGGTTCCCGAGAACGATTCAGCCCATGAACGGCGAGGCGTTCCGCGGTTTATCACCGTGGTTGAGGAGGAGTAGGAAGAATCGCCAACATTAAGTGTTCTGTCGACTATGGTCGTGTCTCGATAATACAACACAGTCCACTTTTGCGTCGGCAGTCGAGCACTCCCCCCAACCAAGGACAGAGTATTTATAGCTAATAACAATATGTATACTAATTGATGCACTGTAGGCTTACAGAACATATCCATTAAATGCTCTATGCTACTGGTTTAGTTTCCTTTCCCTCCTCAGAATCGCCCTCGGCAACCTTTCTTCTTTTCTCCATCTCCTCCTTCATCTTCATATTGTGCTCTCTCTTCTTAATGGCCTGAAGAGTCTTGACATGTCTCCTGCTCTTGAGATGAATCTCCAGTGCCTCCTTACCCACAGAAACAACATGCTGCCCATCCTTGTCCACACAAGTAGGACACTCGAATTGCACGTACTCCACGTCACGTGCCCCAAACTCCGTCTTCTCACGTGCCACCAGCTTGTGCAGCTCCTCTCGTTTACTGGAAACAAGTCTCTTGTCCTCCACATCTTTACCCTCCAGCCAATCCCGAGCCACGCCCACTCCATGGTCAATGGTCTGCTTCCAGACACTCAAGTCAGTGGCGTCAAGCACACAAAAGGTCTCACTGGACCCCCCGGACCTGATTCAGCAACTTTTTACTGATCCATCCAATCTGCTGCTTGCTGTATCGTCGAGTGTCATTTTTCATCACTTGGAGTCCGGTTTCAATCCCTTCTTTACCTTCCAAAAACGGCAGAAACTGTTTGAATCCAATAACCTGCCAAACTCCTCGCTCAATATCGATATCACCCTCTCGATAGATCTGGTACATGTCCTTGATCTCCTCCAATAAACCGTTACTCAACATACCATCAACCCGTTTGTCAAGACGATCGTTGAGAACTTGCTGGTCGGAAAAGAGCCAGAATACCAACGTGCGGTCGCGCGACTTGGTTTTATTCTGCTGGCTAAACACCTCGCTGGGCTTCTCTCCTGTCAGAAGGCAGATTTCCAGCATGCGTCGAATTCGACGGGTATCATTGGGGTGAAACTTTTGGGCAATCTGGGGATCCAATTTGCGCAATTCAGACAAACACAGATCACGGGAATCGAGAACCTCCAGTTCCCGCTGGCTCAATTCCCGTTTCTCCTCAATCTTGACAATGTTCTCCCTGAACAGCACGCTCTGAATGTAGTAATGGGTTCCTCCCACCAAAATGGGCACTTTTCCCCGAGCTCTGATCTCCCTGATCTTAGTCAGCACCTCGTCCTCGAATCGGTGCACTCCGTACTCCTCCTTCCAGCTCACGTGGCCCAGAAGATGGTGCGGGACTCCCTGTCGTTCTTCCATCGGGTGTTTATTAGTAATCTGGTTTAGTCCTTGGTAAACCTGCATGGAATCGCCATTGATGATTTCTCCGGATATCGCTTTAGCTAGTTCGATCGAGAAGTTGGACTTGCCCACTCCCGTGGTTCCTACGATAGCTATTAGTGGTAGTTTCATGGTGATGTTGGAGTGAGAAGATGTGCCATTTGGGGTTCAAAAAAATTCGATATCGTGAAGAAACTTTATTTGAGCATAATCGGGGGAGATAACGGAGGAGAATGGGGGAGTTTGGGGGGTAATTTGGGGGTCTGCGAGAAGAAATTAGTGTCGGGAAGGTTTTTAAATTCCCAAGCTGCCATTTTTCTGTCATTTGATGTATTTTTGGTGGAGTTGGATGGAGATTGTTGATGGGGATCAAGTACTTGGTTCAACTATATTCTCACTTAGTTGACAAGTCTTAACTAAGTCGTGTGCGGTTTGAAGAGATAATAACTATTGCAATATCGGTCATGAGAAGTTGATTTTTGCACAGATTAAGAGGAGGTAACTTGAAGAATATATCAGACATTTCGTGGTCGTTATATGACCACTTTTACAGTAAGTCAGAAGACCCGACGTGTGGTACTCATTCCATGCCATGTACAGACTGAGATATGACTATCACTACTTGTAGCTATGCCATGGACTCGAACCACTATAAAAGAAAGAAGAAAAAACCAAGCCAAAACGCCGTCGGGGCTCCCCTCCATCTCTCCGATCTTGCCATTATGACGCCATCATCGCCACCCTCATTTGTCAGCACTTTTTATTTTCTTTCTCCAGAATCTTCCTTCTGCAAGGTTGTGCATCTGACATGCGCCCTCTGCTCAAACTCAACATGTGGCGATTTATTTATACACTTGATCCACCACACGACACCCTTGAAATCCTCCTAAACTGCGACACGGGGACTAACTGTTGGTTTACGCACCAGAAAACTACGATATAAGCACAGATTCGACAACTGCTGGCTCCATACGACACCATCGATCACAATCACAGCCAAAAACAACTGCTCTAATTATCATCAGCATAATGAAACTCGTTGCATACACTTGGGCTAACAAATACAGCGACAAAATCACTCTGCCAGCGGACGTTCTGGACTCCCTAGTGGCGGAGTTTGGAGATGAACTGCCTCGCCCACTGCTCTTCACAATCAAAGCACGTGATCCAAAGAACCCACGTGACTCGCACTTGACTACGGTCGGAGTCAAGGAATTCACTGCCGAATCGGGAACGGTCGGAGTGCCACAGATCGTCCTGGAGAACATCAGGACGGAAACAGGAGCCATCCTCGATGTGACCGTATCACGTGACATCCCGCTTGCTACCGACATGACTCTCAAGCCCCGTGATCAATACCAGGTCGACAACTACGAGGCTCTGCTCGAGGCTGCATTAAGGGCAAGTTACACTGCGCTGACAGTCGGTCAGAACATTGTGATCAGGAATCCTTCTGATGCGTCGCGTGATCTTGAGTTTGTGGTAGAAAGCCTCTCTCCCGCGTCTACTGTTTGCATTGTTGATACTGACGTTAATCTGGATGTCCTGGTCCCTGTGGGAGTGGACAATGGCCAGATTGCTAGTGCTGGGTCTTACAAGACTCGTGATACTGCTGCGGATCTCGCAAGTCTAGACTTTAGCACCATCACTTCGCTGCCATTTTCATCTGGGCCATCCAAGCACAGGATTTCTCTTGAGAAATTCCCCCACATTACCATTGCTTCTTTCAGAGCTTTCATTGGCATCTCTCAGGACACTTGTCCGTCCAGTTTCATCTGGTCGACATTGGACGGTTCGGTGGACATTCAAGCGAGCAATCCTTTCGGCCAGGAGCTGTACATATGGAGCGAAGATGAGCTCAAGATAGAGAATCATGCAATTGAAATCGAAGATGGTGATCATGAAATGGCAGATGGTGCCCCTGCCAATTCAACCAAGTGTCCCACTTGTAACAATTACATTCCCGACCAAAGTTACACTCTGCATTCCAACTTTTGCGCCAGAAACAACATTCCTTGCGACCAGTTTGACGTCTGTGGTCATGTGTTTAAGAGAGGAGAGCCACGCGAGTCTCATTGGCACTGTCAGTCGTGTGACAAGTTTGGAGACGGTTCTGACGCTCACGACACTCATGTTCACTACTCTCATACTACGCCGCAGCCCTGTGCTTGTGGCTTTCAAGCCTCTAACCACATCACTCTCGCCCTCCACAGCCACACTGAGTGTCCGCTGACGCTTCATGAGTGTCGATTCTGCCATCTTCGAGTCCCGCGTGACGTGGCTTCTCCCCGTGACTTGATTTCGGGATACTCAGGCCATGAGAGTGCCTGTGGAGCCAAAACCACCGACTGTCACGTGTGCAAGAAGCCTGTGCGTCTGAGAGACTTGTTGAGTCACCAGAAGCTGCACACGCTGGCTACTCGTGACAAGATTGCTCCAGAGCTTTGCTCCAATACTCTCTGCATTCGAGGTCGAGGCAACAATGCGCTTGAGCTCTGTGACACCTGTTTCGGACCTCTCTATTCGTCTGTCAACGACCCCACGGGTTCTCGACTCAAGTCTCGTGTTGAAAGACGTTATGTGATTCAGCTGACCAAGGGATGCGGTAAAAGCAGTTGCAGAAACTCATATTGTGTTTCTTCCGGGCTGCTTGCCAAACCCACCATGGCCCAGGTGATGGGTCTTATCAAGGAGATTCCAGCTCCCAGTTTCTGCGTCGACGAGAAGACCACCAAGCGCAAGAACTTTGTCGACTTCCAGGCTGAGAACTCGCATTATTCCCGAGAGTGGCTGTCTGTGGCCATTGAGGAGAACAAGGGCAACGAGCAAGAGGCCGTGAAGTGGTTGGAGTACAATGCTCCAAAGGAGATCACTGTATAGTATCATACACTAATAGCACAAATATAGACAACTTGGAAGGAACCGTAGAGAACTACCCGTGGATTTGTAATACAGTAACAGGTCCGTCATCTTTTGTCCTTCCGCCATCTCAACATCAAGCAGCACACCTCTAGTTCGGTCTCTGTATGTACAGTACTACCACGGGATATATCTGAAGTTTCAGCTCAATTCACCGTTCGGATTCTTTTGGCACACCCCCTCCCATGATCGTCATCTTCGATTTCAATAGCATGATTCTCTACCTTGAGGAGTTCCTCTGAGTCCCTTACGATTCTTAGCTGTATATATCGATGCGAGAGCCGGACCCATGAACTTATATAGTGATTGAATTGAAGTAGTACTTGCTTGAACAAAACACACTTGTTGCAACACATAGCTCTGGGCTACTTAACCAGCCGTCATGATAGCGTTCCCCTCGTCTCGTATTCAGGAAACCAACGGTGTTGGCTCCAGACTCTCCAGCACATGGGGGTTATCTATGGAGTTCCTCCCTGTGTTCTTGTGCTAAATCTCTCGCTGGAGATGTGCCCTTGTAGAGGGATAGAGAGTAGTTCTCATGGAGTGATTTATGGAGTTTTCCAAGACGAGCACATCCATCTCTGGGTCCCGTCAGTACTCTGAAAGCTGGATTGTCTAAGTACAAAAATACCAAGTAAAAAACCATTGTTGGGTTTTCAAAAAGTCACATTGGCCATGTTTTCGTCGCAAGAAAGCGGTTAAGGACCAAAAAAGTAATCTAGTACCTATTTTAAACCCACCATTGCTCTTCTCATGTCTCTGGCATGTCTGGAAGTTGTGGGTTGAGCCCCAGTATAACTTTTGGCTTAACTAATTTCAAACTAAATTTAGTGTGAGTTGATACAAATTACAAGAGGTGTACTCGTGCGAGAGATGGAGTATTGGAACATGGCGACATTGTGTAAAGAGTACGGAATGTATATTTGCCAGCCCGGTCGTTCCAATTGAGGACTTTCCAATCTGATGGAAGTTGGAGTAGTTGGAAAAGCCCTTGTGATGATACTTACTCGTTCTTGTGCCAATACACATTCGGAGCAATTGTTTTTCTTGTACTAGCTACTAGAATTATTTTGTTTGTTTTTTATTATCTTTTTTGGTCAATTACTGTTATTATGTACACATTTTCTTCCAAACATCTTTCTCTACAAACTCACCATGCTCACCTTCTTGTCCTCAACCGACACAGTCTTGGGGGCCTTCTGCTTGAGGTTGTAGATGCTGATTTTAATGGTTTTCTCCGCGCTCTTGAGCATTTCTCCAGCGCAGCAATCTGCCGCTTCTGGTTTCGCTCAACCACCTCGGCCACCTTGGCAATCCGCTTTCCATACTGCCCTCTTGGACAGTGTATGGTGGCCTGGTCGAAGGAGAGAAGTTTTACGGCGGATAACCTCGCAAATTGTGTAATGTAACTCTAGTCTGACTTGTCACCATTTGGCCGAGCCACCCAATCTTGGACTTTGGTCTGGCGGACCATGTCTCCTTTCTTGTCTGGAAAAAACCCAGCCTGTTCGGACTGTGTCGCTGGGCGGTGTCGCCGGACTGTGTCGCCGGGCTGTGTCGGCGGGCTGTGTCGACAATAGGTTTCAGTACTGTGCTACGATCCATGTCACATGGCATATTTGAACTGTTGAAGAAGATACCCTGATTGAACCAGTGTTTTGTATTCTCTGATTGTCGGTGTACAGTATGTACTCGCACTCGCACAGGACTTCCAGTGGTCGCGATAACCACGTGCTTTGGGGTAAACAAACTGCCAGCTTAGAAAGAACAGAAAGTAGAGTCGATAAAAGTCGACCCTGTTGGAAATGTAAAGTTGTCGACAGTATACCGATCTCTACCATTGTTATCTTCAAAGTGCTGAATGTGGCCTTATCATACGGTACACCAAACGGTGCTAGGAACGATACCGAAGACGGCCGCTCTGGAGAGCTGGAGCATATTGGTGTCAATTGCAACCCCAATTTTCACACCATCAACTCGCCTCTATTGTAGCTGTTATATTGATGCAGATGTCATCAATTGTATATCTCTCCCTGTTCTCTAACCGACATCTCAAGAATACTGCAAAAGACGTCTACAAATAAAAAGTGTGTCAAAGCTGTTTTATTTTGGTCCATTTTGTTTTTATCGAGTATACAGCTCTCCACCATCCTCTCTACTGCGCGACTCTGCCCCACGTTCTCGACATCATCACCTAGACTCCGGTGCAGGAACCTTCCACTAATATTTCAAGTATGCTGCTTCATCATCAACAAGCAATAGGTAAGGAGTGCACTCCAACCAGACCACTTCAGTTCTTTACAAAACATTCGTAGAATGGGTAACGAAAATGTAGCTAGTCTACAAACTGAATGATCGCAGAGAATTCAGTTGTCTACTCGAAACATACCTGTTCCCGCTCCCCATGCTCATTGAATCATTTTATTCGACGTCGACGTCTCCGGCACTCCTTGTGTCATGCCTCAGCTCTACTATATACACTAAATAACAACGGGACCCTTGTCGATAAAAGTCCCATTGTACCCCTCTTCCTGGGGTCGGGTCTGCTCAATGGGGGAGTACAGGTAGTATCCCTTGAGAGCGTTGACCGAAGCTCGGATCTTGGCCTCGGCAAGCGACGCTCCCTGGCCTTCTCCAAGCTTGTGCTTGCCGGAAAAGACACCAACAACAAAGACGGGGGCCTTGGACAGACGGCCGGTCTCGGCCATGAGTCGGGCCTCAGGTCGCTCCAGTCCCTCTCGTGCACACACTCGCACAATCTCCTTGTGGGGCTGGTTGAAGGAGAAGAGCGACTCAACGTCGACGGCTCGCGACAGAATGAAGTTGTCGATGAACTTAAGCGCCTCGTCTCGCGACACGTGTGCGTGGATGGCGGCCACCAGAGCCTGCACAAACCGGGCAGCCGATCGCTCGTAGCCCTCGGGAGCTGACGAGTCAAACACGTAGACCTGCGAGTCGTAGTTGTGCTGCGAGTTTTTCTTTTGCTTCTGGTTGTATTTCTTCACGTCGGATCGGGGAGTGTAGGAGTCGAACACACCGTCCTTGGAGGCGTTGCTGACGTCGTCCTCCACGGGCTTGTATCTCAGGTAACCCAGGGTGTTTGCGAGCGAGTCGTTGGACATGTGTCGCTCAAAGGCAGATCGTCGGTCGGTCTCGACACCCCAGGACTCGGCCAGACGAGTCAGAGATCGCAGACTCAGATGGGAGTCCAGCAGTGAGTTGAGAATGGGTAGAGGAAGCCGGGGGTACTGGACCACAAACTTCTCCGTCACGTGATACTTGAGCAGACTGCCGCCAAACACAGACATGCCGTAGTTGTCGGCCAGCTTTCGGCCGTCCTCTCCCACAGTGTCGGCCTCGGGACAGGTCAGACACTGGGCCAGAGTAGACAACGGCAGAGCCTCGGGCAGACCAAGACGAGCATGCAGAGTTTTGAGAGCAGGCGACTGTCGGGCCAAGTCACCGGGGACGAGGTAGTCGCCCTTGGCCACGTCTCGAAGATTGACACTCAGATCAGAGTTGGGGTACCGAAGAGCTGTGGGGTCCATGGTGGGGGCCTGGGGAGGAGTCTTGGGTTTGTGGTCAGAGGTGAAGCTTCTCGGGGCGCACGTGATGAGTCTGGACCGGGACACGGCCACTCGAGACACCCGCAAAAGTCGACTGGTTCGAATCATCCTGTCGTGGTGATATGTGGAAAGTGAGTTGTGAGTACAGCTGTAGGGAAATTTTCATGATGCACAGGGTTAGGGTGTGGGAGGAGGGTGGTAGTTTCTGGGCGAGTGTCGACCTTTGTTAGAGTTTGGGTAGTGATAAATAGTTTGAAATGAGTTATTTAGTGTATATGGCTTTTTTTTTCAAAAAAAAGTGGTATTATTGATATATAACAACGCTCGTAATCTGTATGTAGAAGGGACATGAGGAATTTCATTATATGGTGAAAAATTGAAATTATGAAAAAAATTGAAAGATGCAATCGATTTTATTAGCACTTTAATTATCATCTGATTGATTTCTCCATTAGTTTCTGATCATGTTCATATATTTACTCTGATTTGTTTCAACTTGTTCATTATATTTTGATTTGTTTTAGCTTAATCATTATATTATGATTTGTTTCAACTTGTTGTGAGTATGTTCCCAATAGTTCCCAAAACAGCCCGAGTATCTCAAAAAAATTATATTTTAGTCATTAATTTTGCAATCACCTAAAATTCTTGTCAATTTATTATCCACATTTTTCCTAATTTATCCAAATTGGTATAATGGCGAATCGAGCATGTCTCCATATCCGTGTCCCGGCTGACTAATAAAAATAGAGTTCGCTCCCAACCACCAATCACCGACCAGCCAAAGACTAGAGGTTTGCAGAAAGGTAATCCACACACTAACTGCAACATATATCAAAATGGTGAGTGCGAGCGGAAGGATTGGAGGGCGAGAAAGCGACGAGAACGTGTGCTACGCATGCGACGAGGACATGGGTGGTTTTTTGTTGGTTCGAATCGGACTTTGGAGCGACATATGACCCAGTGATGAGATGAGATGCGATGACATGTGTCTGGGTGAAACGACAACGATAAGGGCTGCGTGATAACGACAAGGGCTGTGCGAGCTGCTTGCTGGAAGATCGAAGCTGACCTCGGCGCTTGATCTGAGCTGTCATTGAACAGACACGGTGGGTGAATGTGGGGTATGACCATCCAATGGTTGCAGCAGCATGTCAAGTTGTGTCTGAGATCGTGAGCAGAGATGCCACGTCTGAATGAATGAACGTCATGGACCCGTCATTTTCACTGCTCAGTTCACTCCAATGACAGTCTCATCGCACTGCTCGTGGAAACGCTCGGACGCGCTCAAGGCAGTGGACCCCGAGCACGACAACCAGACGCAACGAACAACGACCCAAGCTAATATCATCGTTTCTCAATACTCCATAACTCGCCGTAACGGCGCTTTTGTCTCATTTGACTCTTCTAACCCAGGGCGGAGGACGATATCCATTCCCTAAAGACGTCATTTCTATGACCGGAGGCTGGTGGGCCAACCCCTCCAACTGGAAGCTCAACGGCCTTTTCGCCACCGGCATCGCCGTCGGCCTGGCCCTGTGGGTTTCTACCGCCACCCTTCCCTACACCCGACGACGAGAGGGCATCACCTCCGAGTCCGACATTTCCAAGTGGAATGCCGCTGCCGGCGTGTGGAGAGAGCGACACGGCAAGATCAGCACCGGTGAGGCTGCTGAGTCTGAGTAAACACAATAGATTGATTTGAATGAACCATGCCGACACTTGTGCAGTCACTACTTGTAGTGTCACTGCAAGTTGGTTGTAGACCCAATCACTATCGCTGCAGGATGCTTCGGGTGTCTGGCTACTTGTATTTCGTACAATTACTGCTTGAAACGTGTGTCGCGTAGATATCCTGCGGTTTAATATCTCTGGAAGAGCGTCTGAGAGCACAAGTCCTTGTATCGTGAACATGCAGACCCAGCCGAGACTCCGTCGTGCTGCAGATGAAATCGATACGACAGATGAGTATATGTACTGCCTGTTCAACTGGGTGTAGTTCGGGCGGCGTTATACTCCAATCGGTTGTTCCCCACTTGCCACCATTAAACCGTGGAAGCTCGATTTTCGTTGCAGTGTATAAATAAATATTAATTAGTATATGATACGCCCCTCGGTATGCAGACACTCTTGACGGGGCCGTGGTATCAATCGCAGTGGCACCCCTCAGATCCTCCATCTCGGCCGCTCAAACCGATACAGCTTGATCTTGCTCTTGCGCTTGTTCAACAACGCCAGATCGGCCTCCTTTCTCGCCTCAATCGTCGCCAGGCTCTCATCATGCGTCTCAAACTTGTCCCTGGCGTCCAGCCAGTCGCCCATCAGCGTTGTTTCGCCTCCCTGCAGCTGTCTGTCTCGTTCCAGCGCCTTTTGGTCCTGCACCGTATGCTCTGGAATGACGGGGGGCTTGGGAGGAGGCGGTGGAGGAGGAGGATTGGGATCCATTCCAAGCATGACTCGTGAAAAAGCCGCAGTTCCAGGTGAAAACCGCATCAGAGGAACCGGTGCAGGAAGATCGGCCCGAACAGGTAGAGAAAGGTCCGTAGTAGTGTCGGGGTTGGGCATGAGATAGAAACTGGTACGGTCCTTCCTCTGAATCTTCTCCAGGTTGGCCAGAAACCCCAGCCCAAAGTCTCTCTTCCACCGGTAAAACACAGGTTTGTTGTTGTCCTTAGTGCGGCCTACAAAGATGAAGTTCTGATTACCATCTTCGTCTCCCTCGTCTTTGACAATGTAAGTCGTTCCGGTGCCAATATCGGCGACAATTCGTCCTCCTGACAAATGAGAGGCCGCGAACCGCCCATCGTTTGAAAAATGCAGTTTGAGCCGTCTCAATCTTCCTCCTCCCACCTCCTCCACTCTTCTCTGAACCAGATTCATGGCCAGCATCTCCGGTCTAACTCCCGACGCCACCTTGGTGACCTTCATGGGGCCATTCTTGTGCACATAATCGTCGCTTCTAAGATCCTCAAACCCCAGCTTGGCGAAAAGAGGCTCCGAAATGCGATTTCCTGTCGGATGAAACTCCAAATCGGCCCATAATGGCGTCAGAACGTCGGCCTTGTAAATGTAGAGTATTCCTTCGTACGCCAATACCTCCATATCTCGCGTCTGACTGTTCACAACGCTCACAATCTGTCGCACAAACCTGTTTTGAGGATCGGGATCGTAGTACATGATCATAACGTCGCTTGACGCTGCTTGTTCTCGTGTGAATCCAATCAGTCCGGCATTTCCAGACAGTAACACATTGTCAAAATCTGACTCGTGCGGCACCAGCATTGTACTGTCGTCGTTGCGGTCAAACAGCAATGTGGATCCGTCGGGCGTTCGGCCACAGCTCGGCTTGTCGATCAGATACTGCATTCTGAGCGGGTTTAGCCGCTGTTTTCTCTGTCTGGGATCCGGCCGAAGCTCCCACAGCCACACCACGCGCTCATTTTCGCCCAGACACCGGATCGTCGAGTTCTCGTGGCCCGTGGACACCTTTAGGCCGCTCGGACAGGTGAAGGTCCGTTCGAACGGAGGCTCCACCGGCTGAGGAGGCGGTTTCAGAACTGGACGCCCCACCTTGCGTTTCTTTGGCTTCGGCTCCTGCGGCTCCTCCATGGGCGCAGCACTGCTCACAAACGTCTTGAGGTTGAACTGCCGCTTGTTGAAGTGAAGTAGAGAGCCCTCGATGTGAGTGCTAATCGGACAGGGAAGCTTGAACTGAGACATGTCGAATAGCGGCTCGAAATCGTTAGGAAGAGGCCCGTTCAAGTCCACGGGATCCAGATACACCGTCTTGTGGTAAGGGCCATGGTGCGAAAAGTCCGCGTGCACAAAGACAGACCACTTGCCGTTTCGCACCCGCATCATGGAATCTGCCCTGCCGAGCACCAATCTTGCCGCATCCTTCCACGACTTCAAATCAGAGCCCGCCTGCGCCACTTGCATCCACGGAACGCGTTTCTGAACCCGGTTCCGCACATATGGGGTATCTATGGACTGCAAATCCGCCCGAAACGTCTGGCAGGTATCACTGTAGGCTATGAGGTCGCCGAGCTCGAGCAGATCGAGAATCTTCAGCAGGATTTCCGTCGGCAGCCGCGGCGGAATATACGAATCTTTCATGTTGAAGACGACAGGTCCACACGTGACGTGTGAAGGCATGTGAGTGGACGTACGTGTGTGTGTCTTCTAGTCTGGGGTAAGTTTGTTGAGCGCGTGGGTTCGATTTGGGGTTGCGTCGAAACTGCGCAAAGTGTTATTCGACAGATGGCCAATCACAACAAGAGCAATCGTTTGTTTTGAAAGATAGTCAATCAACTGCAAATTAAATATCCACACTTTTGCTTCCAACCGCTTCTACAGGTACAGCTACTCGCACTTTCTCCACCTGCAGTTTCCTCCTAAGTATGTACTGTACATACTACTGTACTGTACTTGCACATGTATGCCGACGAGAGGACATCACGGACCGAACATGCAAGTAGATAAATGACGCAAAAGTGGAATTAATGCCGAGGAATTGAGCGTCTTTAAGAGTTCAAACGCGATGGAGTTGGCTTACAAATCCGTTTCCGCAGCTCTGAGCACGTGATCCCTCCAAAGCTCCTTCCCTCAATCATCTTCCTTACACTGGCATTATATGGGTTATTCAGCACTCATATACGGAAAGTCGAGAGACTTGAAAAACGAGATATCACACGGCGCAAGCAAGATTGCTCGTACTTTACAAGGAAAATATACTTGTACTTGTACTGTACTTGTACTCTTACTGTACTCCATCACCAAAAGTAACTTGGTGGAGGTACTTATCCTAACCAAGTAATTTACTTGCCTTTCATAAATGTCCAAAGCAGAGCAATACACTCAATGGTGACACATCCTCGTATGTACAATAGTTGTCCTTCGCTGAAAACATTGCCATCATACCATCCATTTCCTCTCATTGTCACTCACGTTATCACTTTTGATTATAATTAGTCCCTATATGGTAAAGCACGCCACTGACATGTGTTGTAGTCATTTCATTTCTTAGACCACGAGTGCAGTTGGAACGTACAGTAATCGACACACTCACCCTCCGTGCTGGTCAGTGTGTCTATCTGGCTCGGCCAAGACTGAAAGCAACAGCGCAAGCAGCAGCAACCACAGCAACCGCACCAGGCAGCAGCAGATCATTACTCAGACCAGGGATGATTTCCGGAGCAGGAGCAGCGGCGGCCTTGACGGGAATTTCCACAGAGTCCTCCAGCTTCTGCGTCACCACAGGCTTGACTTCATTATCGGGATGATGGATAAACAGATCGGCCTTCTCCAGACCAGCCCGTCGGGTGATGGAAACAGCATCCAGCAGATCTTGGTCGGATGTGATGGCCACAATATCGCCCTCGTCATCAATGTAACTGATGGCATAGTTTTGCGTCACAAGCTCCACGTCGCCCACAGACAGCTTGTCGGAAATGGATGTTCTGAGAGCAGTAACACCAGCATTGGGCACGACTGTAAGACGGTGGTTTCGGCCGCTGGGAGACTTGAACTTGAACTGGAAGGGCATGGTCGCAATCATTCCAGCGGCGTTGCTGCCTGGCCGGTCGTAGCCATCGGTGGAGATGGAATCGGAGGGACCCACCTCTCCCACACCAAATTGGGCGAGCTCGGAGTGGCTCACTTCTGGAGACGACACAGAAACAGGCGACATGATGCGGTTGTGGCTATTGGTCTCGGAGCCAGCCTCGGAGCCGTCGTCCAACGACATCCAGAACTTGTTCCATGCAGGACCCTCGGAGTCACCGGTGCTCATAGTGTTGATCTGCTCCAGAGTGGCGTAGGTGAGTTTGAGCACATCGACAACACCCACAAGCTCGGCGTTGGGGCCCATCACAGGCAGGTTCAGGTATCGGCCCTCATGCATGGTTCGGAGGGCGACCTGGATGGACATGTTTTGAGGAGCCACGTCAGGATGGGGGGTCATGACGCGGATGACGGAGCAGTTCTTGGGGTCCAGACCTGCAGCAATGACTCGCAGAACGACATCCTTACTGGTGAAGATACCCTTGACCTGGTCGTGGTCGGTCACCAGCACGGCGGTGGTGTGGTTCTGTTTCATGAGAGAGGCAGCCTCGAATACGGTGGTTCGGACATCAACATAAGTGGGTGGCGTGCCGTCGAGCACAGACTCCAGGTCGGGGCCCTCCATGCGTTGTTTGAGAGCCTCGACGTAGTTGATGATCTGGGCGGGCTGCGACGATCCCAGCTCTGTCTGCACACCTTCCAGGGCGTCGTACAGCTTTCGAGAGCTCTGGTAGGCGCGCTCCAGCTTCTCCATGGCCTCATGGTAGCACTTTGTGATATCCAGAATACCAGAGACCTCGTTGTTTTCGTCCATGACGGGCAGATGACGGAAGCCCTTGTTGACCATGAGATTGAGACCTTCGGTGGCACTGGTGTTGGTGGTGGCGTAGAGCGGGTTACGAGTCATGATCTGGTCGACGGTGGTGACGGAGGCATCGAGGCCCGAGCCCACGACCTTGAACGCCAGGTCTTTGGCTGTGAAGATGCCGCTAATGTTGTCATCTTCAATCACCAGCACGCAGTTTTCTCTCTTTGCGCTCATGAGCTGTGCCGCCTCGGACACCGACGTCTTGGGCTTGATGGTGACGGCGGGCGACGGTTTGAGTGCCATGACCGTGCCGGACACAATCTTCTTGGTTGGTTTGGGGCGGACATGGCTTCTTTTGCTGAGATCTGTCTCCAGCTTTCGGCGGATCGCCTCGTCCTTTTTCGACTGTCGTTTTCGCGATTCCGTCAGCGAGTCGATTGGGCTCTGCGTGCCGGACGTGCCCGAGTAGTTGGAGAACCGCGACGGCGTGTTTCGAGACATGTGGAGCGGTTTTGCGGGGGGCTTGGACAAGTCGTGGTGTAGTGAACAGTACTGGTGATGGGTAGAGGCAAAATGCGTGTTATTGTTTTTGGGAGATGCAACTCTAAATGCCAGGGAGAGGGAGGTCGGGAGCAGTCCATCTCTGTCGCAAACGACGTTTGCGACGTCGTGACGGGATCCAAAAAAGTGCAATCTGACGAGAAACCTCCAAAGAAAAGACAGGAGTCACCTCCGCCTCCGTAAATACGCAGCCACACCGAATCACAAGAGCCCCCCTGAAACGGCGCATCTGGCGTATGATAAACTCTATTGGGCGGCGGTCGCCCGGGAGACGTGCCATCAAAAAACACGAGACCCGCTGGCCAAACGGTGCAGATGAGACGTGCGTGGTGGGGCGGGTTTTTCGTGCAGAGGGGACAAATAAATGAGGGAGTCCGGCTTAGTCATCGGGCAGTGGGGTTGGGGGAGCGGGGGGCTGGAAGCTTGACTCGTCACGTGAGTGTCGACAGTCCGCCAACAGTCACGTGGACCCAAGCCTGTTGGCACGCTTGGCTCCAGTCTGTTAGTGCCAGCTGAGATGAAGGGTCCAATTAAACCTAACTTAACTAACTCAATATCTTCACGTGTAGATGGTGAGTTTGATAACAATTTTATCAGGGAGATGAGAGCAAGGGTGGAATTATGGGCTGAGATTGTTGGCAGGTGGTTGGTGGAGGTGGATTGTTGGTAGGTGATTGGTGGCAGGCGGTTGGCAGGTGGGTTTGTGTCGATATTTTCCGTTTGGGCCGTTTATTGTAGAGACTGTTCCCGTTCGTGATGGTGAATCCACCTGAGTAAATACGTGTACATACATTACAGTAGGTACAGTACTTCGAAAGGGTATTTATCATGTGCTCTATCCCCCTCCTCCAAGTGTATCAACTCCCTAAGGAATCTCTGTGGCTGGAGAGTGGAGTTGTGGTGTCGGAACGACTAGCAAATACTGTACTGTACTAGCGAGTGATGAGTAAGTGGTTAAAGTATTTGAAAAAAGGATTTTTCCTGTTAAAGTATTTGAAAAAAAGATTTTTCCTGTTAAAGTATTTGTTATAAAGATTTATTTTTATTCAACATTTTATGTCTGAAGACACTGACTTGACATGATACCGATACAGAGCTGGTAGCTACTGTCGCAGATGGTGTATAGAGATCTTCTCAAGGAGCTACCGTGGCAGATGATGTATAGAGATCTTCTCAAGAAGCCACCAAGGCACAGCTTGTGGTGTTCAAAAGCGTCATCAATCTCCAGGGTACATCCGATGACAGAAACGGACATTCGACTACGGTGTGATGGTACGACAGGAAATACACGGACACACTAGCTCCCCACACAAGAAGGTCTCTAGTTTCGGCAGTGGGTATATCACTCTAGTGGTAGTCTGAAAGTATGGCCACAAGAGGTTGGAGCCTCGCCAACCAGAGAAGGACTAGTTAACTCAGTCTGCAAAGGTTCCATTGGTAAGTAAGTCTTTCAGCAAGATGTGGGATAATGAATAGTGTGTGTGGACAGCAGATTCCACCAGCGTGTATTGCTCACCTCGTTTGGTTGAAGAGGTAGATACGAGCGGATACGAATGTGCCATTGGTTTGGCTCGTCATTCAGACGCAAGGCAACTTCTCCTCTGGGAAGCTCATATCTTCCAGTCTATCAGTTCTTCAGCTGGTCGAAGAGGTCTCCTCGAAACGATAACAAAGTCACAGATGAGAACAGTGTGTATACAACTTGAGAACAATGTGTATACAACTTGAGAACAGGCTTGAGAACCGATGGTTCACAACCAAGGACTTCAGAACCAAAGACTTGGAACCCACCCGACTTCACCCCAACTTGGACACCGCGTGGACTTCAAAGTACACAACTCGGACTAGAAGAGGTCAAGATGTCGTCATATTCCACCAGAGACTTCACCGTAGAGTAAGTCAACCCCAAGTAGAGACAGGAACATTTGCACATCAACTGGATCCTTACCCACCATGGAACAAACACAGTTTCTGGGAGAATGTCCCTCAACGCGACGAGAAATGCATCTATCAAGAACCCGCTCAAGATAATGGTCCAAACAGTTGACTGTCGATTGTATCATCCATCCAACTTCGCCTTTCCGTAGTCTTCTCTTTCCAACTCACTCGGATGTTTTCTCAAACCTGATTGGTGACATTTCTGACGGTTCTTAGAATCCTGGCACCCTTGTCTGCAACATGTCCCTCAGCAGCGCCAGCTAAAATCAGCTATCGGTCCGAGTATTCACCGAATCTCGAGCATTGAATCTGTGAAAACACAAGTATAAGTGTCTGCACTTGAACATCCGCCGGTAAAAGTACAAACAGTTGTACTGTATACGGTGGCACGCCGCCTTGAGCAAACAAACAGCCAATATCCTATAAACACCTCGTTTTGGGATTCCAACTCTGTTACAAGAACTAGTAATGGTATATATATCCACCTACAAGTACAGATACCTGTGGAACGAGGGTTCTGCTTCTATACAGGTCTTATATTTGACCCCCTCAACTGTATAGGAGATTGTGTCTTACTAATGAGGCGTACCTGAAGAATAACCAACCTGCCATAGCACTCCCTATCGATATGATAGAAGTTGAGCGTCGATGGTTCATATGATACATTTTCAGTGTTGGACTTGAGCCTTGGACAAGTTGCCCTAGCCCCCCTCCCCACCACCACATGACGATTCGAACTAGTCTAGCGTAACGGAAATAAAAAGCGAGACGACCACAAGAGAAGACTAGTTTTAGTCCCGTACAGTAGGTCCATGTCGTATTCGCATATCTGATGGTACGGCAACAAGTGGCATCCGGCGTAGGAGAACACTTGGCTTGGGGTGATAAGACCGCCAGCTATGATAGACCGGTCTGCTATTGGCCCATGTCGTCATGGTTGCACACAGTGTCAATCAATAATAGCAGCAACTTATTACTGAACGCCGGAATGTGGCAGGCCCGCAGAACTTTGGAGAAAAGTCTTCTTCAATGACTACAGACACAGTAAACCCATCTTGCTATGATCTTCTGCAGTGTCTGCGCACACTGGGATGCACAGTTAGCGTCTTGGGGGTCTGGAATCTCGCCATTAACGCATTCTAATGCTTTCCAATCCCCCGTGCACGTATTCACTCGGTTCTATTGAGACACCAGGTATAAATGGATAAACTGAAGCTTTGAAATCACGTTCAGTTATTGATAACAGGAGCCGGAAATGTATTGGCGTAGCATTCTCACACTTGTGTGTAATATGGAACCCTGTAGACTCCCCTGTCTATACCTCACTTCTGCATGCAAAGTCGAAGGACATTTCTGACGATCGGAGAGGGCCCGGGGGACCGACTATGGGCGTCCATCAGGTGAGTGTACCGGCTTTAACGGGGGTTCACGAGTGCTTGTGAACTTGTCGTCTCTGTGTGTACTGTTTTGGGGGATGTTATGCTAAAAGGGGCCAAGTCAGGGGCGATTCAAGGTGACTGGAATGAAAGCAGAAGCTGATGAGCAGACTCGAGGGGTCATTTCAGCTTTTTTATGGAGTTTCAATAACTAAATCAATCAACTCCTCGAGGCGTGGTTGGTCTTCAACGCTGCTCTTCTGGTAGAATGCAATTCCCGTTCGTCGAAAGAAGACATTAGTTTTAATCTGGAATCACCCGCCTGTATATGGGGTGACCTGGAAGTACGGCAATGTATTTATTGCAGTCCCAGGTGTCGCTTGAGTGAATTCTCGCAACTCTGCGGGCGATACTGAAGGGTTTGGGGGAGGTGAAGAACGGCCGAAACACGGGTCCAAAGAAAGCAAGGAGAGTACGAGTTGAGCGAGGGTAAGGTGTTGCTGGAGTTGAGGGAAAAAAAAAGTGACGCTTCAAGTTTCTCTAGAAGCTATCCAGATACTCCTCATTTATCTCGCAAGTAAGCGAGGTCCCCCAAAGATGTGACATTAGCAAATATATCGCAGTAAAAGCGTAATATCGCTTAGTCTCTTTCATTAAAAAACACATAAAAGCTCATGAATTCTTCTCTATTAGTTTATTAACTTGTGACTAGCATTTTTGAATCTCCGTATGAACCGCACAATTTTGAACATCTCAGTTCTCTCCTTCCTCCACAACACCACACGAGACAACACACCACAAGACCAACAACAAAAACGCCAGGGATGCAAACACTTGACTAAAAGCATCTTTTAGTCTCGGTGAATCTCGCAGCATTTTCGCCCTCTACATTACGGAGTCCTGGGTCCATCAGAGGCCTGGAGTCATCCCCGGGTTCTCGAGTGAGTATTGGAGATGAAGAGAGTAATTGAGAGAGATTCGAGAGGGAGTGATTGCCATAACAAAATGATAGCGGTTCAAGGAGTGTTTCAAGCAACTGCTCTTGTTTCTACCGTTTTTGTGAGACAGACAATCGATTTTACAAGTGAAGCGTGGTGCGGCAATAGATGGGGCAGTTAGAGAAGCCGAAAAGGGAGCGCTAAAAAGATGAAACAAGTCACAAATTGTCATCAAGGATGCTATAGATAATATTCTCAACTCCAGTCTCTCGTAAGCCTCCATTAACATCATCTGCGTCCGCACACGGCACTATGGTGGCGTGAATGGCGATTCTGATTGCTAATGCATACTTTGGTGAGCAAAAAAATAACAAAATTGAGCGGAATGAAACAAAACAAAGATGGCTGTATACTCAGATTTACCGATCTATTACAACCATCAACTCCAATATCTATAACAATCATAATATTCGTCGTAAAATGTGTCGGCAAAACCATCCTTCAATCACCGTGCCAAACGGTATTCACTTCTTCTGTGGCCCCCCACTCCAACAGGACCCGAAATGGAGCAGCAATAAGTGCAACATTTCATCGACATAGACTCGGCCGCTTGTCTACTATAGTTTTCCTCAGAACGCCTTGGCAGCTCAGGCGGAGATCAAGAGGGGCTGGCTGTAGAGGAGATTCAGGAGACTCTATAGGTGTTATTATACACTAGGAATGGAAGCTATGCTGCAATAGATGCACCGATCACCGCAGAAGAGGCCGCAGTACTCTCCAAACATGGTTTCTGACGCCCAAAAGCAAAGAAGATGGGCCAGCCCTGAAGACTATATGTATTGTTGAAACGTGGCAGTTTAGTCAGCCAAAAGATGCCGTACACGTGATTGCCAGCTTCTTTGGGCATGTTTAGACGACGGTGTCAACAGTCTAGTGTCAAAAGACTGCTAAATTAGAATAGTCAGCTGATACTGAACAACGTCCGGCACTACTTGAAAAGTCTAACTAAAGTTATTTAAGCCTAGATAGGAGGCCTAAACGCGGGAACCGGGGGACCCAAGGATGTTTCTCGACATGAATTGCGCAGTATTCAGGACCAAAGAGTGCGTTTTTTTTGGCGCTTGTGCACCGCCCCAACGCCGTTATCCGTCATGTTGGTCTAGCCCCATATTAGCACCCCGCTAGACCAACTAGACACACTAGCGGCACTAACCGACTAGAAGGGGCTAATGCGCAGGTACCACTCTCGCAGGTGACCTGAAGAGCAGCGATTTGTGCTGAAATTCTGTGATTCAAGTGGTAGAAGACGAGAGAAGGAAATACAAATACAAGTTTCATCTCCGACCCTCCAACAGTTGATAATCACCAACTAAACTCTTCACTCCAAGAGAATACAAGCCATTACAACAGAGTCCACCAACTTCTAAGAATCTATTGTGCTACATGTGTACACATCCCAGAGTCATACGTAATGGTGCAAACTGGCATCAGCTCAGTCAGTCTGCTCGCATACTCTAATAATTTATAATATACATCCACCTCGTCACAGTCTTCTTGTCTCGTAGCATCTGTGACACGCTCTTCTGCATTGTCTTGCCCCCCCTCGTCATTGCCCCTCACTGTAGCTCCCTGGCCGTGACATGATGCCAACTCGCTACTGCCACCTGGTGGCACTGGTCAACAACTCGTATTGTTCTCTGCACGCATTGGAGGTGAACTTGTTGTCCATCTTCTGCGCGACAATGTGCCATTTTTCATTGTGGTAGTCCTGTACCGCCTTGGTGAGATCCTTCAAGTCCTCCGACGTCCAGTTCTGGGACTTTTTGCGTAGCTTGGTACAATATCGCACCTGTAGAGCGCCAGGCGTGCGTCCAGGGAAATGCTGCGCTATCCTCTTCCACGAGTACTTTTGGTTTTCCTTGAGCTCGATGAGGAGTTCATCGTCGTCCGCCGTGAACTTGGCCTTTGAATTGCGCATGGGCGCCACGCGGAACTCATTCTTGGTGCCCGACGATGACGCTACCGTGTTGGTCACTCCTCCAACGTCCATGTCCTTGTCTCCAAGACTGCCAAAGGCACTCTCATGATAGTATGTCTGGGGGTTGGGCAGATGGGTGGAGGTTGTCTGGCTCATCATGTAGGGCGTGGACGAGTAGCGGGTCATGGAGTAGTTGCGATAGGGCGAGGTGGAGGCCGGCGGGCCACCTACCACTCCTGAAGACGTGTAGGGTCGAAAGTAGTTGCTATATGAGCTATGCAGGGGAGGCTCTGTTGGCGTTGTTAGTGGCAGCGGCGGTTGTGGAGTCGGTACTATCGGCGGCTGTTGCTGTTGCTGTTGTGACACATTGGATGATGGGGGTATGGACTGTCCCACCACAGGTTGTTGTTGCTGCGTGTGTTGCTGTGTGTGTTGCTGTGTGTGTTGCTGTGTGTGTTGCTGCTGTTGCTGGGACAAGGACGACTGTTCCGGAGACCCCAGCTCGGGGCGGTCGGTGTTCATAGCAGGGTTGTAGGAGGTGATACTGTGTCGGGAGAGTCGTGTGAGATTACTTGGTCATACTGGCCTGTGTTAGTGGGGAGAAAAGGTGACCAAGCGGTTGGAGCGGCTGCCGAGTGGCAATGGAGAGGGTCAGGGGGGCATTCTGCACTACCGCCAGTGGTCTATCGGGTTCTGTCTCTTCAATTGGTTCTGCGAGGGTGTGCCTGGTTGGGGATTGTGGTGCGTTGCACTAGGATTTGACATTGGGTCACACCGGACCCTGGTGAGCCGAGTCTGAACAACACAGGTTTCAAAGTGCCCTGGTGTGTGCCGCTTCTAAATGGCATGTCGCTTCGCCTGTCGACACAAGTCTGTCTGTGTCGGTCACTATGCCTCCGTCCCCTGCGACTCCGATGCAGCAGCTGGTATCAAGCCTGAAAATGTCGAAATTTGAGAAGCCGTCAAATCACCCACAAGACAGCTGGAGACACGCAACAAAGTCGTCCCGAACCGCACGGGCCACGAGACTCCAGCCACAGCCCTCTGGAGCCGAAATCGTCTCCGCCCCCCATAGGGGCCCGTGTAGACCCCAATACCACGTTCCTGGATCCGCTCCGCCGGGCCTGTCCAGCTGTCGCAGACCTCTCGCCGTTCGCACTCACGGCTGTCGCTACCAGTCAGCGATACTCACCGTGTATTCGTCTTGTATCCTTGGGTTCTGCACTGTGCTAAACTATATAAGTGTTTATCAGACACCAGCTCAAAGTTGAGCAAAAGGTAAATGTGGTTAATATGTATAGTTTATAGGTGTATGGTATAGCGCTGGATAGCCTGGTGGGTAAATGTTACATGGGTACTTATAGGGTGGCTTATAAATATGTTTTGGCGGTGTGTGTCTTGTTTGTGGGGGTTTGGGACCGCGGGGTGGGAGGAGATTCCCTGAGAGCTTCCCCACCGGCTGGAGGGGGCGGGTTTGGCGCCTGTGACCGGGCGCGCCACCTGGTCGCCTGGCCCCAACGGCCAATTCCTCCACGTTGGCTAGCTCCTCCTCCCAGACTCCAAGCTCGACTTTCGGCCCTCGCCCCTCCAGCGCTATCCTCTTTACATTACATCCGTCGAACTTTGTGCACAAAGAATTTGGTCTTTGTCTGAATCAGACCAACACCTGTGCATAAACTTACATCATCGGGCGATCTTGAGAAACGCAAAACGGAGGGCTCGTGGAGGTAGCGATTGAGGTGAGCAGACGGCGGGAGACGGCGGGAGACGGCGGGAGACGGCCGGGGTCCAGCTGAGAGGGCCGCAACGAGGCGCAAACGTGGCCGGTGGCCGGTCGCCGTGGCCTCGCCGTCTTCCGGAGGAGGAGGCTCTTTTTTTCTCAGAGGCCCAGACCTAAAAAGGGTCTTTTTGCCAAAAAGCCCAATTGCCCAAAATGCCAAACATGGAAATTTTCAAAGTCGGATTGGAGGGCCAAAAACATGAGAAATAAATAAATAAAACAGTTGCACGGACAGCGAACCCACCTGGCCACTCGCCCATATTGTGGACGACGGGCTGCGGGGTTTTAACACTTATGCTCTAAAGACTTGTTTGGATAAATTGCATTTATAGGGTGTCGGTACAGAATACAAACAAAATACACAACAAGTATTTGTTGGCCAGTTTTGAAGACAATGCCTTTGAAAACTGGCAAACTTGGAGGACAAAAAGTGAGGTCCTCAACTCCATCAACAAAGTGACCCCACCGACACACCACCACCCCCCTCTCCTCCTCCGAGGCAGCATCGACCGCCACTACGCTGACTGTCCCTACCCCCACCAGCCTCCTCATAAGTCAAGAGCTATGATAACAATATCATTTCATAAAAGACATATACGGGCTAAAAGCCCCCAATAATAACCAAAACGGAGACCGCTGGAATGTAGCACTTTCCGAGCGGGTCATAAATATCAATATACGCGCACAAATCCGGAGCCAAGGAGGCCGTCCTGTCGAGCCGGGTTAACATGGAGCCATACAAGCCCGAGTTAGATTCAAAGTCTCGGTTGGTCCATTCCTAAACATGTAGTATTCCCACACACCTGGAGCACATCACGGTCTAGAACTCCCCGCCTGACCTCTAGCTCCTGCTCTAGCGCACGCTAAGCCCTCTCCACACTATACCGCCCTAAATCCACCAAAGTAGTTCCGTCTGACGACGACGAGAACTTGTAAGCGAGCCGGGATGCATCGACCGCAGAGTGTGGCCAGCGAGTACAAGTACAGCTGTTAAGACGCCTGGCAGACGACTTTTGAGACTGTGGTGGAAGGCCACCAGTTGGTGGGCCACCACGGGTGACCGAGCGCGGTCTAGACTAGTCTCTACGCTGATGATAACAGTGTAGGAAGCGAGCTAACCGGCTTGTTGTGGGGCTGGTGCGACGATATCGTGGCCGACAGAGTGCACCGTGGAGGAGACGCAGGTCATTGATGGACCCAGACACTTGCGGGACTCGCTGGATCGGGCTGGACACTTGAGTACGACATTACAATTCTTTTCGACATTTTTCTGCTTTTTTTCCGCCATTCAAACGCTCACCGCATTCTCCTGTTCATCGGCATTTCATGCTCTCGTCGCTGCAAACTAGCTAGCACCACGACACTGATAACATCAGCGAATGAAAATGGAGTGACACAACAAGCATAGGACGGCGGTTAGGACACAAGAGTTAGTTGAGCAGGACAGCTGACCATCACTACCTGTGAGCACGCTAGCAGATAGACGATGTTTTTTTCTTTTTTTTTCCTGTTTTTTTTTTCTTTCTTTTTGATGGGTCGGTAATTTATTTCTGTGGTCGCGAAAACTCGGAGATTGCCACGTGACTCTAAAACACTGATCAGACGACAAATATCTTTTTTGCCCTTGATCTGGCACTCTCTCGCCAAGATCAAAAGTCTTATTCTCTTTTTTTTTCTTCTTTTTTTCTTTTTTTTTCGTCTTTTTTTCTTTTAGCGACTAAGACGACGACTGACTTGTGGTTTATGTGCCCTATCTCAGTACACCAACCAAGTGGGCTTTTCCCCGCCCTCGCCCCTTTGTTGCTACCAAACATGGATGTTTTCATAAAAGACATTTATTACTTCTCGCGAGAGACGACTGCCGAGCTTAGGCTTTTGCAAGCAGAGGTCCGAGAACCAACGCATCTTAGAATGGTCTGGCAACGGTTGCATCCCCCAGCAAAGCTCGCCCGAGAAAAACCCTTTTCGGCGGATTCTGTGGCCTGTTTATTACCAAAGTCGAAGCTCGTCGCTCGTGTTTTCCCCTGGTTCAACTCAATATTAACCCCCAATCTCTTACGCCTGGTTCATGCTCAGATCGACAGTCTGGAAAAGCCCGGTTGAAAATGAATGTTATTCGTTGGATTTGAGGGGAGAGATACATGTGGCGAAATGGGGGTCCGAAGACGTGATATCAAGAAGAGGAGTTCTGAATATTTACCGTCCCACCTATCTCGCCATTTCTACACTGTTCTCCACCATCTCCACCACCCCGACTGCAGTGTCAAGCACATCTCCGTACTGTACTCTGAGTTTCACATTCTTTTCCCTACATGATGTACATCTGTATGCCACTCCACAAACTCTGTTCGCAACGGTTGAGAGTCAATTGGGGTGGAAAAAGTTGCTACTGGCAAAAAAATAATCTAGAAACAATTGAGGACGCTCCGCGACCAGGTGGAAACTTGAGCGTCTTTGTCTCATTGACCCCCCACAGTTAGCGTCTTTGACTTTTTTGGGGACAGACGACTTTGGAATAGCTGGAGAAGGACAAGTGAATCCTGATTGCGATAGATAGACGGCCGAGTAAGAGATACTTGTGCGATAGATTGAGAGAGAGTTGTGGGATACCGTAACAAATTTACGGATGATGACTGGAGACAGAGTCGGCAATGCTCAAGTACTATACTTCGCAATTCCCCCAGCTATCATCCACTCGATCTCTAATTACTTGAGGCCAATATTTCCTCTTGTACCTCGGCAAGTGGCACTTGACCCCTTTCAACCCTGCACTAATTCGACTAGATCCGCATAGCCGGTACATAAGCGTTAATTTCGCCATTTTGGACTCAACGGGCGCACAACGGTTGTTCGGGGGTCCAAGCGCAGCATAAAAATGTCGAAAAATGCCAAACACCCCTGCTTTCCGCCATCGTGGGCCAAAATCACTCATTTACTCGATGACATATCGGTCCGATAAACGTGCAGCAGAGTTAATGCGCACTACAAAGTTTCCGAACGCATCAAAATATACAGACACCTGCAGCCCGCAAGATGGAGATTGCGGCGGCTGGAGCGCACGTGGGGACAACTTGAGTCCACAAGAATATTCTCCCGCGAATTTTATTCCAGATCCCGGTTTCACATTAGTAATCACACTTACTTCAAGTCCTCTTGGACCCCTCCAAAATTGGAGCTTTTAACCGACCCCTGAAAAGATACAAGTGTAGCCGTACTTTAAGTTACAGGGCTATTCTTGGCATCGGATGAGAGTCAGAGGCAGTGCCACAACAATATTAAAAATAGTCGGAGTATTTGCAAGGTAAATTTTGGGCCGCCCAATGAAAAAGCCTTGTATGAAAAAAAAAAAAAAAGCATTTTGCCAACAAAAAAATCACTAAAAAACGTGAATATTTATTAAGATACGTGAAAAAATCAACCGGGTCCTCCCTCTCTTCGCCATCTGTATGCGTCGATTTTCTTTTTGGGACTGCTTGCTAAACAAAAAAAAAAAAACACAAAAAACCTTAGCTGCTAACGCCATGGACTTAAGACCACTTGGCACCTCAGCTCCTGTATATTTTTGCAACTGCTTAATAACATTTTGGCGGCTAATAGGGCGGGTGAACAGAGCCCAATCGACAATCAAGACGTTTGCCGGTCCCGATAGGGACTAGAAACAGGTTCAGGGTTTGTTTCGGAGTCCGAAAAGTTGACAGACAACCCGCCCTTCGAGAGACAGATTATGAGTGTGGCCTTTGTT